TTAATGATTTGTAGCCCTGTGAGTACAGAGATTATTAGAGTGTACAGTGCTGGTCAGATTAGAGGAAAGAAAATACCATCAAGGAGTGAAATCAACCTACAACTAGAGACGAGCCTAAGGCACTCTGTAAATTTCATTCGGCTTCTTTCTAAAGACCTGGTTACTTCCTCCTCTCCTGTGACCTGGTAACACCATAGCCGGTTTTATTGGAGGCGTTTATTGAATGATAATGGTTGAAGTTTTTCTCTTTATCTTGATTCAGACGATAGTGCTTTGCTATGTGTGAGTGCCATAATGTTTGGGTGTGTTTTGGCTGCGTGAGGCTGCTCTAATATGCCCTAATCGCTGTGATGTCATCCACCTGTTTTTTGGCCCGGGGGTGGAGATGACTGATGAGGTAATTTTAAATAATTATCTTATCTGATCTGGAGCTTATGAGCTGAAACCCAAAGATATTATAAAACATTGATGTGAAAAGCTGTCTTTAACGACACAATTCAGGGGTTTGCCCAGTTTCTTTCCCCTCATTCTTTAAAATAACAGTCATTCAGACTGGAATAAGTGTTTACTTTGTAGAAGAAAACATGTCTCTTTATTAAATAAACTACTTTGGTTTTATTTACCCTTTCAGTCATGTACTAAAAGGGGATTTCTGCCCTACAGTTCATATTCAATGGAAGAGTCACCTTCAGAACCCAGAGAAAGGAGATCAGAGTCTTTGAATGGGACTGTGCGACTGAAATGCTCTGAACTGACCCTTTATATGTGCTGCTGTCCACTGAATCCACTCTCCTTTTATTTTATTATGTAGGTTACTCTTTCATACCTTTCCAAGAACATTTTCTCCCGCTGCATCAAACATCTACTCCGTCTTTAAAGGTGTCGGGGCGGCAGGTTAATGCAGTGTCAGTGCCCTTCAGGAAGATTCACCATTAACCTCAAGTTCAGCTGTGAGAAAAAGGTGTCTTAAGATCACGCTGCGGCTCTCTCACCATCTATTCTTTCACTTTTACACTCCAAAACATGAAATAACCGGAGTGTAGCATGCGATATGAAGAGACTTATGACTCATACAGAGGATAACGTCAGTGAGCGGAAGATGAATTATCACTAATGTGTCTGTCTCCTTGTTGAGCATGAAATGCAATTTATGATTCGCAACGCTGTTCAGACCCGTTCGGTGGTTAGCATATTAGTGGTCCGGAGGCATTCCACTTTGTGAGTGCCAAAATACTCCTTTAAATTCTGGTTTCCACAGAATTAGAAATAAGACCCACTGATGGCATGTGAACTATCATTTATCTGCAACAGTTTAAATGCCAAACCTTTATTAAACAATGAAATATAAATAATACAATTAGATATTTGCTGTGGGAAAAGTAACTATGGCTGCTTCTTGAGCGTACCCACTCTCACAGCAGTTACAGGCATTAAAACCTACTATATAGAAATTGACAATCTTATCATCTGTAGCCTCATTTGCTTTTTAACATCAAAGAGAAGCATTACTGTTTGTTTCCGTGTGTTTCATAAACTATCAAAAAACCCTTATAGGAGCTTTAAGCTTATTCTATAGGTAATTCTGAATTTAACCGTGCACTTAGGGGCTGAACACATATTCAAGGCACATGTCTTCACCAGTGTTAACTCAATGGTGCATGAAAGATGTCACTTTAAAGCCTCCTCTAAATGCAGAGTGTCCTGTTGTTCCTGGGCCATGAAGGCGCCCCCGCTCAGTACAGTTTTCATGGCCCAACACATCCCCAGATTTAGTCCAATCCAGTACCAAGTCAAACCAGATGGCAGACTCTCTCACTGCCAAGTTATACACCTCTAAATATGAGTGAAAGCTGGCCCATGGTACAAGATTTTCTTAATGTGAGTGACCCCACATGTGACAAGTATGGCAGTTTAAAAAGTTTTGTCCTTAAAGTGTTTAAGGATGTGATCATCCCATTCAAAGTTAACCGGAGACTCATAAAACAATACCCAAAGCTGATACGTGAGTAAGAAACAGCTCGGTTTTTACATTTTTAACATTAAATATTTGAAAAAAAATTGGAACATTTGACTGTCAAAAGTCAGGTGGTTGAGATTTTTGTCTTAAGACGCCACTCAATTATGTAGAAGATGAAAAAAAAAAAAAGACAGCTTTGTCCGCAGGGGGTGACAAGAAACAAAAATTCATAATAAGAGCTTTGAGTAGTGCTTTCTGATTTAAATAAATAAATAAATAGATTAATATACAAAATAAACTTCCTGCTGATTTTGAAAGTCAAATTTATTACTTTTTATTATCAGCTGTTTCTTCAGCTGCTTATCTGACACCTACCTTCCCACACCAGATTCAGGCATTAAAAAGTTCTATCCAAAAGTTGTCTCTAATGGTCTTATTTGCTTTCCTACATCATGAAGAGGCAATTGTATGAATTATAAGCCTCTTTTATGAACATCAAAAAACTCCTCATAGGAGCTTTAAGCAGCTGAAGAAAATTTAGAGTAAAGAGGAAAGACAGGAAGAAATGAAAAATTGAGGCAGTTAGTCTTATGAATAGTCTAATGTAGTTGGGGGGAAAAAAAACTTTGAAAACTTTGATTTAATGAAAGGTTTAGTAAATCAAACACAGTCCAGGAGTTGTTTGATTTTCTTCACAGGGCCAGTCTCAGCTATCTAACACAGCATTAACATCCCCGTCTCCCTGTTTTTGCTTAATGCTTATCTGTCATAGCCACTCATTTACAAACTGATGGGTAGAGCCTACCATGGACCCTGCCAAGGCTGTGGCTTTGATCACTTACAGACCACCTATCCTAAAAATGCACACACTCACTCACTGTTAGAAGAATAAACTGCTGAGGGTTCGCCTGCCAAGACGACACAAGAGGACATTTACTCAGCCATAACAACCTCAATGTGAGGTCAAGCCTCCGTGCCACTCGCAGGATTCAGACTCATTTCAGGACTTTTGGCAGAGTGTAGAAGTAAAGTTGGATTGCTATGGAGTGGCTCTGCAGAATATTGAAATTTTGATGCTGGTGAAAGTTCAACAACTTCTTTGAATGTTATGATGACCTCCTATAATTGCACGCTACATGGAGTGATGTTTTGAATGAAAATATGATTTAAACTTAACTTGTCTGCGGTGGAACCAATCGAATGGCAGACACTTTGGGTGTTTTTGAGTGTATTTTGGCTTATGTGTGTATTCTTGAATGCTGTATGTAAGACATTTTCACATATGCTACCAAATGTGAAAAAAGACGTGAGAGGTATTTTATATGTGATGGCGATCGTCGTATGGCAGTGTGATGATTAGGATATGTTTTTCTGGGCTTGCGTGTGTGCGTGAGTACTTCCTATGTAATGATAGCCCTCGGTCTCTCTCCAGGCGGCCAGGCTACTCATCGAAACCTCAGGGTCTTTGCCAACCCCCGGAGCCCAGAGAATATGGCCTGCAGCTGGGCCACAGAGGGAGCCTGAGCCCCTGTACTTCTGAAACCACCAACATCCATAATTAAGCAAAATGCAAGACAACAAACATAAACAGGCTGTGTTCATAAGAAGCAAAGTTGATAGTTGTGGTATGTGCAGCAGGTACTACAATACAACACATAACAAGAACAAATAGCCTCACAAATTGTTTACACCAGAGTATAGTTGGCTTCACTGGTGGAGCTTTACATCTGTTGAGGAGAGGATGTAGCAGGATGAGAACACCATCTACTGGTCAGCTTTGGGAGCATTAGTTCCTGTTTCAAATACTCAACAAAGTAAAAGGAAACTGTCACATCTTTAAGGTCAAAGTATCTACACTTTACAAATCAGTCTTCAACGTTACAAGTATGTGTTATTACTGATCTACTGTATTTCCTCTTGGCGGTAGGTGTCAGAAAAGTTTAATATAAAAGCTAAACATGCTGTTCTATAGGTTAAAATATTATGTGAAGTGTAGTATTTTTCTGTGCGCTTGTATTGATGGTAATATAAAACAGCCTACTAGTGGGTAAAATACAAGTGTCTTAGAAATCTCATTACAACTACCAATACAAATAATGATAATTATGGTGATAATAATTTTATATATATGGGACAATTAGCAAACTTTAATGAAAGGGGCAAGAAGTAAAAGCAAGTGAGTAAGCTCCCATACTTTGATCTTACAAGTACATTCAACCAAACCATAAATCAGTCAGTCTTTATTTGAACAGCGCCAATTCACAAGTGTTATCCCAAAGAGCAGACTCTATTTACAAAGACCCACTGTAAAGACAAGAACAAACTGAGCCCCATCTTATAAGATCAGACCCACTCCCATCCCATCTTCAACCACATGGTGTCTAACACTTTGCAGCATTTAGCAAGTTACAGTGGAGAGACAAAAATTCCTTTAGCAGGTAGAAACCTGCAGTAGAACTAGACTCGTGTGAGACAGTCATCTGCTGCTACTGCATTGGGTTTAGAGAAGGGATAGAGGGAGATGCAGAAAGAGAGACATCACACATCTGCAGCAGTAATCCAGAGGAAACTACAGCATGATGGAGCACAGGGACCCTCAAAATGAATGCATTTGTGATTTCAATGATACGTGATAATTTAAAGTTCAAGGAAAAGCCTCGTGATGGAGTTGAGTTTTACAAAGAGATTTAAAAGAGGACACTGAGTTTGCCTGCCTGACATCTCCAAGCTTGTTTCTACTTGTTTATGACAAAATGAAGTGCATTAGAGTTAGCAAACTTTGGTCACCTGGTTATCAAAGCAAAGAACCTAGTCAAAATGACCTCCAGGTTACAGGCTTCCTGACAAACATTGTTGAGAGAGGATTGTTCATGTAGCTAAAAACGAGGGTCATCCAGTTTTTGATTTCAGTTCGATAGGATATAAAGTGAGAAACCGCAGTGGTGTCAGGCTTTGACGGAGCATAAAGCTCTCATAGAGAGAGTTGAAAGTCTTTACCCTGCCTACACTTAAAACAGGACAAATCATTACAGCAAAGACAAAAATGTATCAAACTATTTCCTTTATTTGGTCTTTCATATATGCACCTTTACAATTATAACATCAAATATTTGACATCAAATCTTATTACTGCTCTGAGCTCTAAACTCAAATGGGATTTCTTTTTAAAGCAAACCAAAAGTTCTGAAAGACAGACTTAAAGTATTTTTTCAAGTAAACTGACATACAGTACATGACAAAGAGGGAGAGAAATGATATGACTGTTGAATTTATTATTGCATACTTTTAAAATAAACATGCATTTAAATGCAAGACTGCAGGCATTCTTAGTAAGTGCATAGATAACATGGTTACATTTACTCTTTGGAATGTAATTGGAGTAGATGAGCATTTTGATATTTAACTCAACAGGATCTAATAGACAGCAGCAGCAGTAAATGACAGATACCTCCTGAAAGACAAATGTAGCTATGCTTAACCTATGAATCTACACATATAGAAAGTATGCATCTAAATATGAGGTATTTAAGGAATGTAACTTTTGCAGAGGTGTAGCGTGGTCCTGTCACAGCAGCACAAACAGGTCAAAGATTTGTCAGCAGACAGGACGTCCCTCTCAGGCCTTTTCTCCTGCCCACGTCACACACTGACCTGAAACTGCTGACTGATCCTGGACCGAGCAGCAGATACTGGAGCAGCAGTTGGAGGGTAAACCTGGACCTCGCTCTTTAGTGTTTGTCCTTGCCTAGGACAGAAATTACAGAGGAACATAGTCACTACCACTTTGAAAACATGTTTGGCAAAATAAACAAAAAAAGTCTGTGAGCAACTGCTTATATTTAGTTTTTTAAAAAGTGCAAAGAGACGAATTAAACAACCAATCCTAAAGGTAAGCATGTAAGCTTAAATGAATGTACTTGGGTCGTTCCCTCTCCTTGCCTCAGAGGTTTACACATGAGGGAGTGATACTAGGTGGCAGGAGAAGGGTTTTTTTTCCATAAGAAAGTTCATGTTGCTTACGGCAACTTCAGCTAACTTTTCTAAACCATTTTCAGTGAAGTAAAACTAGGTAAGTAGGTCCAAATGAAGCAGCACAGCACCTCATGAAACTTTTCTGACACATCACTATCAGGGTCTGGAACATTTACTGTTCCAGTTATCAGTCCTCAAACACTACAGTATCTAACACAGTATTCTAAGTAATATTTGCTTTATGCACCATCTTCAGTTTTGAAACAACAGGATTAAACAAGAACAAGCCCTTACACAATGACCCAATATTTTCCTCATCATTTGGGTTTTTATTTAGCCATGCCTATCATCTATTTAAGGAATTGTTTCTCATCTATTTAAGTCTCCTGCCACCATCATCACAACCTAATTTATGTTTGTTTTCCTCTTACCTTTGTTGGGGACAAACTTGAGCGAGTGGCTGAATATTCAGAATCGAGACATCCCTTCCTCTGGGCCATCATTTACAAACTCATGACCCAGACCGTTCCCACACTTTCCACACAGAACCTGCACAAACGGAGCACAGCCACATCATCTTGCCATGTCTTCTTTAAAGAAGAAGAACAAATACTTCATGAAATGATGCAGCTTTAGTTGAGTTTGTGACCTTGTATGCAGTGAGACTCTCCATCATCTTGGTGACGCTGTCCTCTCTGATGGTTTCAGTGAAAGCTGGCCAGGGGGACGAGTGGGCAAACTTTGACCGGCTGGAGAAGAGTGGGTGGTTACACTGTGAGCACACATACATACCTATGGGGGACGGTAAGGAAAAGATACCCAATTAAAAGAAAAAAAAACTATTTCTCTATAAATTAGCTTACATTAATTTTAGGTGACAAGTGTACTTTAATATTCCTCTCAAGTAAAACTACAGTAACATGAATGGATTTTAGTTAGGTAGAAGTACAACCATGAATCTGTTTATCTATTCAAGTAATAAGTAAAAAGTACTTTCTTACACTCACTCTGAGACAACAGTTGGAGATATTTAAGAGACGTTGGTCAAAATAGATCAGATTTATAAGAGCACAGAGACCTGAACTGCTCTAAATACCTCTGATAAATGGTTTGAATAACCAAACTATTAAACTACTTGGACATTTGAAAACTGATATTGGTAGATCTTGAGAAAAAATGAGAAAATGTGACATCCATTGTTCAAATGTTCTTACTTTACACATTATAAAATGAAGGGAAGTCTAATAGATGGGAGAGTATGTTAGTCTAATTGGGCATGTTTGTTTGCTTTGCCACAAATGTGTTATTGTGACTGGACTCATTTTGTATGTTTATCCCTGATTTAAAAAAAAAAAGTACTTTTCTTACCAGTGCATTCAAATTACTGAGTACATACTGGTGATGGGGCTTGTGGCCCAGATATGCCTTCAAATTATGCTTAAGAATCTTTAATAATTTATTCTATGTTCATTTTAATTGAGTCACTTATAATTGTGAAGGTTAAATGCTCTTTTGGAAGTGCCTATAAACAGGTGTTGCAATGAAACGCCTATCCTCTCCATATACTCTACCACAGATATTACACATCATCTAATAGTCGTTTTTGATGTGAATTAAAGCACAATAATAACAATAATATAGTCATGTTTTCCTCCATAATCCAGACTATAAGGAGGTTACATCACATCACTGCTAACTGCAACAAGAGCCACCGTCTGCTCACCTGGTTTGAAGTGATCCTTATAGACCTCACTGCTGAAAAACCGACAGAAAGACATGACGTGACTGTGTGAGGAAAAGTCAAAAGGAGAAAAAAAGATTAAAACTGATTTTATCCTGCCCTCAAACGGCGCTGACAGATGACCGTCAGTGTCGTGTTTTCCTCCTCTCGAGTCAAGTGAATGTAGCCGGAGATTACAATGAAGCTCCGCCCACTCCTGCCTGCTCTCTGCTTTGACGCTAGATGTCGCTGTTTGACAACAGGAAGCAGAATACCCCTTCACTAAACACTAGACTGTTTAGTTTCAAATTAAATGTCCTTTATGATTTATTTTATTTATTTATTTATTTATTTTATTTATTTTATTTTATTTTATTTTTTTTTGGGGGGGGGGGGGGGGGGGGGGGTTGGCTTTTGTGTTTCAAGGACAGAAAACATCCAAATTTTGACCAGGTTAGTCAAAGTGGGGCACTCACAAATGCAGGGATGGCATGAACAAAACACATTTTCCTTATCTCAACACATTTCATCTTATCTCAAGTATAAGATATGTAAAATGCAGTGTCCTACCAGATTTTCAATACAAAAACACCTTTAGGGGAAAGTAGAAATACACGCACTCCGTACAAATACTTATTTTAATCAGCTATTAATATCAAACAATGAGTTGTACGTTTATGACCAACTTGTCCTCTGGCTTTATTTAATAAATAAAACACAGATTTCGACATCATGAAATAAATTCAGTGGGGCTGAGTTTTTTTTTTTTTTTTTGTCCCTCTCAAGTCTGTATTCTTCATTCATATTTGCAATAGTGCTTCAGGGCTTCTGGTAGCTCCAACCAGTCGATGGCCATCCTGTGGACAATGTGCTTCTGGATCGCTTTCCTACACAACGTCTGCAAAGAAGAGACTGGAGCACCAAAAACAAAGAGAACAGTGGATTAGCAGAGAGCACGAGGAGAAAAACTGAGGATAAGTTAAGGAAACTGTTAATAGATTACTGAATGCATCAAAGAACTTTCTCACCATTTCACAATGCCTAAGGGACTGCTGATAACATTGGCCCTCTGCTAACTCATGGATTTCTGTTTGTCTATATGTTGACTGATGTAAACTGTCCCCTTGGAAATGAATGTATGAATAAATATAATGATGATAAATATAAAGTTGTAAAGTTATCACCTAACTTTACGATAAAAAAAATGAATACGAATAAAAACACAAAGTAACTACAAAGAAATATAAACCCATCCAAATAAATATTTTGGACTGGATTAGATCAGAAAAGACTGTATTGAATTGGATTGGATTGGGCTGGACAGGACTTCACTGGACTGCATTGGATTGGATTGGACTGGATTGAATTGGATCGGATTGGATTGGGCTGGATTAGGTTTGATTGAACTGGATTGGGTTGGGCTGGATTAGGTTTGATTGAACTGGATTGGGTTGGATTCCTGTACTTGCAAAACACTTTACAGCAGATTGGGTTGCAAGCTCTTAAAAAAAAGACAAAATACAGCAACGTTGACAAAAACAAGCACATTCCCTTCACTGTGGACACTTCAAATCAGTTCATTAAGGAAAGATTAGACTCAAAGTATTATAAAATCCCCAAAGTATTATAATTTATCATTTATAAGTGTACATCAAAAGCTGATTGGCTGATCAGAGCACAGAAGACAATGATATTACATGTGTGGTATCTGTGGACTGAAAGAGTACGGGCTTTCTGATGGTATAGTATTCAAAATAGAACATAAACCTAGACTAGTGATGTTTGGGTTGAGTTTCTCTAAATTAGCAAGAGTATCAAAAGAGCTGATCCTGTCTGTGTCAGTTGATAGTCAAGCATTTTTCAAGTTCTCTGGTTGATTTGGCTGGATCCCTGATGGGTAATGTTTGCTGTTAACAAGTAACTTACACAAACACACATCACAAAAAATGAAACCCTCCATTAATCAGCTGGCACATGAGTCAAACTTTAACATCAAAATACATGCCAAAGAATTGTTGATACTTGTGGTTTCTGTCATCAGAGTCTGCTCTTTTCAATCTGATTTAAATCCAAATGTAAGTTTGTGTTTAGTTAGCTGTCAAATACTTTTAAAAGTGGTATGATTCCATTATTAACAGCTCTGTTGACAAACAGTAACCTAGTAAAGAGATTATGGCCTCACTTTTGTACAATGGGAGGAGGTGGTGAGTTGTAGTCAATCTGTATAAATATAAATCTGTATGGGATCATTATCACTTTAAAGCCCATTATTTGACAATTCATCTGTGGTTTAAAGTATCAATGAGATACTCACATCCATACTCCACCTGGACAATTTGGACACACTTAGTGGCAGCAAAGACGTCCACCACAGCATACAGAGGCTGGATTACAGGGATCCCCTTTGCGGAAGCTCCCATGTCCTCTCCATTGATGATGATGTGCATGTCAGCCACATCTCTTCCTTTAGGAACATACAGAACACCTATCCTGCTTCGCCGGGCGGTGGGAGGTAGAGCGTTGGTTTTGTACAAATCATCTAAAATGTGGCTGAAACGTCCCGGTCTGCTGCGTCCCACAAGCTTATCTCTGGGGATTTTAATGTTGTCAATGCACAAATGAGAGTCAGTGAAGAAGGTCTTTGGTTTGCTGTTGTTGTCCCCTTCATCTCCCTCTCCTTCACGTCCAGCTCCACCTTCATTCTCCCCTCTACCGAGCCTGTGTCCCCCATTTAGTCCTTCCTCACCGGCCCCCTGACCCTCAGCTGCTGGCTCCTCTTTGACTTTGTTATGGTTGCGAGTGATTGCGAAAATCCAGCTGTCCCCTACATCTGTCAGGTCAGGTATGGAGTATTCAGGTACCACCTCTAGGTCTAGAGGGTTCCTGGCTGTCAGGCCAACACGAAGGTGCCCACACCAGCCGAGCTCCTTATCCTCAATTTCTATCAGAAAAATCTCCCCGGGCTTCAGAGGGTTTTTGCTGAAACATACTGCGTTAGCAAAGCTCTCCACCCGGGTTGCTTTGGTTCCTGAGTAGTCCAGTTGAACATTGGTGCCATGAATTGGATGGAATTCCATAAATTGGTCAGGAAATGGCTCCATTTTGGGTTGTATTTTCACCAAATCAAGAAGCAGCTTTGTTCAGAAAAGAGAAACACGCATCAGCCTGAAGTTTCTGGTTGCAGAGAAAAAAACACACATTGTCGGACTTCAAGAAACTTCCAAGTTAAGAAGTTTAGCAGTGTTTTGGGATGGTTGCTGACCAGCAGCATGGTCACAACAAAATGACGACTCACAGTGAGATCTCTGCACTGCTTATCTGTGAGCCACCCGAGAAGCTTCTGGTAGGGGGCTATTTTTGAACAGCTGCACATGTCAACAGATGGCAAGGTATGTGTGTGTGTGTGTGTGTGAGGGTGTTAAAAGGGGTGGTCGACAGTCACTCTCATGAACCAGACAAGCACAGAGATTGAGGTGGGGTTACCGGGAGCAACAAGCCTACTCATTTGATTTCACAAACCCATGTACTGATGTAATAAGTGCATAATTATCATAATACACCATATGCCAGGGAGGTATGTTCAACAGCAGGCCTTTCATAGCTGCACTCTAAATATAGTCGTGCCCTGCAAATACAGTCTGGATTCCATTATTATGTAAAGCAGCAATTAAAGTAATACACCAAGATAGAGAGGTCTGGAGAGATTTGCTGATAATGGATAATATTATGGTGTGAGAATATGAAGAGGCATTAGATTTAAGACGGGGAAACTCCCAGGAGACATTTCTTATATCCATTATATGTGAGTGAGAGTTAAAATTGCTGCAGGCTGTCTCACTTAAATTTCAGGTACCAGCTATTTTTATATTATTATTAATTTAAAGATATGTAAAGAGGGACTGCCCAAGGGCTGTGATACTTACTGCTTCCATTTGGATAATATTCAGTTGCAACCATCTGTTACTTAGATTGTATAATACATGCACAGAGCCTCAGTGATGGTACTCATGGTCATTGAAGCAGAGTTTTGAAGCTGATTGGTGGAGGCTACCATGTTGGAAATATGGGGTCAACCAGTCAACTAAACGACAGGCAAAGTGGCAGATCTTTAATCTCCCAATGACAGTGTTAAATGTTATGTCATCACCGTCATATTCACCGGTGGTTAACACGAACGGCAAATGGCAACTTGGGGTTGCACTCACTCGCTCTACCGACATTGCCTGGATTGCAGGACAGTATCTTGCCTTTGAGACTGAATCATTGTTGTAATAGAGCTTTGACCAATCAGGATCAGGAAAAACCAACCACATTAATACATTTATGTTTGAAAGTCACAAAGAGAAATGATATTTTGTTGTTTAAAATTATAACACAAATAGACTTTTCAACATTACTTTGAATTATTATTATTATAAGTGTTGTTGTTGTTGTATATATAAAGGAATGCGTTGGACAGTTTCTCAGACTTGAACTTAATATAACTTGCATCCTCAGAGTTGAACCATCTCATACCGAAACTGCACTGAGGCTGAATTTCTCCTGGGGCAGCAGGCTGTTTTTATAATCTGTACCATTTCCATAGTCCAGCAAATGGTCTGCTGGCTGGCCCTGATAATCTGTGACGTTGCACATCACGTCATAGTCCGTCTCTCTGGAATAGAGCAGATACCAAGTAGCTAGCTTTGTTACCACCATGGCGTCACTATACAAAATATGGGGCATGACTTCTGTTGCTCTGCTCTGACCCAGGCAGTCTGCCAAACACACCCCTCTGAACAGAAAACAATGGACATACCAGCTCAGTTGCAGTAACTGTGGCACTGGGCTGCTTCTACTGGCAGTTAAAAACAATATAATCATATTGAAGGTCTGGATATGCATTTGTCATAGACCTATGGTGAGACATGGCAGTGTCCAACTGGTTGCTCACAGAGCTGTCATGGGGACACAAAGTTTTTTTCTGTCCTCTATTTAAGAGTATTCCAACAAAAATCAAATAATTGGCACCATGTATCACTCACTCATAATATATGACAAGGGAAATGTACAAGTGTCCATGGATAAGTGTATACAGTGCGCCAATATTTCTTGGCTATTGTTCAATGTCTCTGTGACATTCATAACATTTTTGGTTTATTTTTTTATAAAAAGCCTCATAAATCTACCAAAGTTTTTGGTTATCTTGTCCTACTTTTCAGCATCTTTTTGCTCCGCCCCTGTCACTCAATCTTTAATTCTCCTGGCTCTGTGGTGGAAACTCACAGATGGCCTAAATCAAGAGAGGTACACTCACTTTACAAATAAATTGCTCTTTCTGTTAAGATATTGACCTTTAACTACTAAACCTGAGTGCAAAGAATCCCACTTTTTCATGTTTTATAAGGAAACCTGCTGTGATATTGGAGTCAGTGCAATATTATCTTAATATATATTAATAATATTACAATTATGATATGGATGTGATCCATCTTCATTGGTGTGGTGCAGCTCATGAAGAGCCATCAGAGTTATTTTAAATCTGTTTCACAAGCAGTTCAAAACTTTCAGAGGCTCCTTTCAAAAACCTTAAGCAAATAAGAGTGTAACTCGACAATTCCAGATATTCAACTCATGATCTTGATGATTTTGTGGCCACAAAATATATGATCATGATATTATCCGGATATTTTTGGAAACTTGAATAGGCTATAAAACAACACAACAGAGAACAAGGACAGAGCAACATATTAAATCATAAACTGTAACCATAAAGTTAATATAGTCATGTTGGTTCATCAAATAGAGGTTACACACCACACACTCCTGGGCTCTTGGAATCTCCCCTTACTACACCCACTCTGCATGGATTTAGACAAATCACACAAGCAATACAAAGACAGCAGCAAAATAAATCTACTCTATGGCAGCAGATTAAAAAATGTCAATAGATATGGAAGTTATTGGAAATAGAAATTATTTAAATCACCAGGCTTAACACCTTACACATTATTATGTAGTGTTGAGAGAGTGTCTGCTGCCAGGCTGCTCAGGAACACCTCCTTCAGTCAGTGATGGATGGAGGGTTAATGTCTCTCACCCTTGCTGCAGCTTGCACACCACTCCATCCCGTTCTTCATATTGTCATTTCTGGGGCTTTCACTACGTTTTATCTAGGCCAAGATGGAGGGAGGAATAGAAAGCTGGAGATGGGGGTTGAATCGTGCATTTCCCCCCCATTTTTCTTCCTTTTGTCATGAAAATGTTTTATATTCAACTTGCAGATACTTCTTAGTCAAAACTTTGATGCCTCTCCATAAAGACGACACCATTTGTGCATGGATGCTCCTCACATAAACAGTAAATGATGCCCTCAGGCTGGACTTTAGCTGTCAACATGTTGTGTGCAATTAGACAGCATTTATACTCCGCATTTCTACTCGTGTGGGTGAGTTTGTACGCGCGTCTGTTGGGGCTGCAGGACCCTTAATCTGGATTATCATGCAGCGCGGCCATGCTTTTCATAATCAGTTGGGTGAGCTGTGATTCTCGGCAGCGCATGACACATCTGGATGAAGGCAGTCGGTTAAAGGGAGGTGAGTTTGACTGCGTGAGAGAGAGAGAGAGGGAGAGAGAGAGAGGGGGAGAGAGAGAGAGAGAGAGAGCACTGATACTCCTCATTCCGTGGTCTTTACGCACACAGATGGAACTAGCAGCAGACAGCGCAGCCACATTTTCATGCACAGAGTAATTTTTCGGGTAAGCATGCGGTCTTCATCTACATGTTTGTTCCTATTCTTTTTGCATGACATCACCAACCCTGTAGATATTTTCAAATCCATTCAAAAACTGTAGGAAAATGAATGTATGAGTTGCAATGTGCGCATAAAATGCATGCGTGATACAGCGCACACTATTTCCTTTTTGCAACACGTTCTCGTTTACTTTCTACTTTATATCTGCATGTCATAGTCTTGTCTTCTGTATTCTGAAACCCAAATTCTCCTGAATAGTCATTGCACAAGTTAGGAACCACGTGCTGTCATGTATGAATTTATCTTTATGAGATGATGGATGTTTCAGGACACGCTGACATGCATTAGGGAAGAGATCTGTCAGATATCAATTAACGTGCAACGAGCACTGTAAGGAACTGTGTCACATATTAATGTGCTCCAACAAAGATTTTAGCCTATGAAAGATAGAATAATACAGCCAAAAATGTCTACAACTTTTGAGAACCCTCCAAAATAAGATGTCCTATCTTTGTGCTTTGCTAAACCTGGAATAAAGAAGTTTATTCCAGTTAAACTGGGACCAGTTAACATTTGACAGCTTTGGTTAAAAGATGACTAATAGGGGTCATCTGGATTTCAGAGTAGCTCAAGTTTTTTTTTTTTTTTTTTTTTTTTTTTTGTGTGATTAGGTTTTCCTTATCATCTGTGAAGGTATTTTGTACAGGGTTTCACTGGAAAAAGTTGCAACTAAAATTATGTCACATTTTACCAGAAGTGATGCACCCTGCATCAATAAATCATTTATGCCAGCAGATTACAAATTTACTTGTAGTGAAAGAAGCAGTTTCACTGTGCAGCAACACTGTAAACTGAGCAATAATCATGCATTCAAAGTTTCCCTTGAGTTAAAAAAAAACAATGACATTAGAATATCCCAATCGTTCCTGTGAAAAGATTTTAATTACTCATGAAATCTTTTATTAACAATCATGCCTGACTTTAAAAAGCCAACAATGCATCCAGAGTGACAATTTGTTCTTCATGTTATTTCATACATGTGTCACTCTTCGTATGGGATAGGTTTCATATAGAACATTTGGCCACACGCGACATAAAACAGTCTTTTGAATACTTTCGCAGCAAAAATCCATTCTTAGTTTCACATAAAATACGCTCAAGCTAACATGAGGAGTTTTTTTAACTACTATGAAATAGACTGAAATTCATATTGATGCATTTTTAAGACAAAAAGATAAATGACCATCAGTGATATGATTGATGATTTTCATTACAGAGTTATTGGTGCCCGATATTGGTGTAATAGGGCAGGTTTCAGCTGGGGAGCTGAAGAAGAGCTCCGTTTTTACAATTTCTACATAAAATATTCACAGTGAATGATATTTTTGAGTGTCAAAAGTTAGCAGGAGAGGTTTTTTTTTAAGAGGATGCTACCTTAGCTTGAAGGGGACAATATATGTTAAGGCTGCCTTATTTCAGAGGGCAAGCCAAGTTTGATACAAATTGAAAGTTCCTCACAGGCGCTTTAATAAAAAATAGGTGCTGTTTTTTTTTCAGAAAACTCTACTTCAACTTGTACAGGACAAAATCTGAAAAGACGCACACTACTTAATCTACAGGGGGCACCAAATCAACACAATAAAATGTTCCTCTCTGGAGCTTAAGAGTTGCAAAATGAAAAATGATTTATTTAAAGCTCCTGTTGGTAGTTTTTCACTGCTTTTGAAACTGACTCAAATAAACAGTGATGTCTGTTTATGACCTAGAAGCCTCAAAAAATGGCAATTCAAAAAAGCTGACAACCGATTTGCTGTTAATTTCAATTCTTGTAACTGCTTGAACAGGTAGATGTCAAGCATCACAATTTTCTGAGCAGTGAGAAAAAAGTAACTTTTTCCACAACAAAACATTCACACTGTATTGTACATTTCAGAGTTAAAAGACCTAGATTACTTTGTTGGAAAAAAGACTTAAAGATTCACAGGACAAAATCAGCAGAGAATAACAACACATGGCTTTATCTACTGAAAGAACCAAAAAAGAAACAAACGAAAATTTCCTTACAGGGGCTTTAAGAGTCAGCTTTTCTTTTTGAATGGGTTTATTATGAAAAAGTTCTAATTAAGGGAAGTATTAAGAAGGGGAAAAAGAAAACGTTGAGGTTTCAGTGAACAGACTCAATTACATCCTCCATTTACCTTCAAAATTAAGCCTAGAGACCAAACACTGTGCAGCGACAGTGACTATGAAAAAGGATGATATTTTATTTGGGGTGTAAACGCTCCAAAAGGTTTCTCTTTCTGTCAAACTCTTTCTATATATAATCTATGGTTGTTTTGAGTCCTGTCTTCTGTATTTGTATCCATACACATTTATCCATATGGAATATAACCTTAAGAACACTGGCAGCAAAGGACCCTGGAGTATGGTATGGTTTCCAATAACTTATTAAACACTGGGTCACAGAGATGAGCTAGCTTGGAAACATAACCCTCCAAATGTTGGTTTAGCCGCTAATCCAGCAGTGTGATTTGTCAGATTTCATAGTAAAACCCTGCATTAATGTTAATCTGAGACTGTTACTGTCCAGGCCTGATTGGAGTTTGGCACACAAGCACACACTAACGCCTGTACACCCACTGAGTGAGAGGCATGTCAGGCCCGTAGTGTCACTGATTAAGAATGTAATGGATTGATCACATACACCACAGCGCACTCAGAGCAGATGTGTGATGTGTTTCGTGCCACAGTTGTCACACAACCACTCTAGTATATGTCGCACACAGCCTTATGGAACAGCCAACAGCTGTCTTACAAGTACCTTCAACGAAACATGCTGTTGCTTTAGGTGTTTTGATGGTCACAGCTGGGGTCCTTAAACCCTGAAGATATTCTTTAAACAATCATATTAACAATGCTGCACTTACACACTCTTTATTCTGTCTTCACCTTTTCTTATATCACATTTACTCCTTTTTTTATGATCTCCAGGTTCGTCACAGCTGAATATTTCCAAGAATACAGTAAAATCCAAAACCCATATGACAGCATTTGAAAAGTCAGTAGAGCTCACACAAACCTTTTAACAACATATTAGGGAAATCTAATCCTATTGACGTAGTTGATCCCCTGCCTTTGCCTCTAGCGTGAGCATTAGGTTGGTGGTTTTGGGGAAAATGTCTCAGCAAGTGGAAGAAGCACTATATGAGAGTTTGAACATTTTCATGACTCACCTAATATTGTAAACCCTTTAATTTCCAGAAGAGCTGCATCATTTCTTCAAAGTTTTATCAACTACTGTGGCTAATTTTGAAATACCAAAGACAGATGTTACATTCAAACCAGTTTTCATTTAAAGCTCCAGTGAAGAATATTTGGTTTATTTTGGTTTTGAGAAATGACACAAATTACACAACCAGTTGCAAATAATTTATGCAAGAAAAATTTCACTAGAAAAAGGGGGAATTCTTTAAATATTCAAGAACTGAGAAAATAAGAACTAGAACTAAGAATTATTGAAAAATTTCTTGATATCTGGAGCAGCAGTTACTAAACCAGGCACACATTAATACAACAATGGCCTGTCCTGTTTTTGATCTAGTTACCATGGACAAAACATAGTTAGTTTAACAGCAGTCAAGCATGTCTAATCTGTGTGTCAGGTCCTGATCTCTCTTCCCATCTTGTGAAAATCTATGCTGAAGGTCTAATGTCGCCTAGCTTCATGTGTGCATGTGAGGTTTATCTCCCACCATCCATTTTGGGTGTGAGCAGATTAGTCAGAATCCACCAGCTGCTGTGGAATTGGTTGAAATTGTGCCACACATGGCTGTAAGGCAGTTACGTAAATCTGACCGGTGGGGTTATGGAGGTAGGGTTTAACTTGCATATAGAGCAGGGCACTTGACCTAGAGGGAAAACAAAAACGAAAAACGAAAGGATCCCTGCTGGGCTTTTGTGCCGTTTCCCCGCCTCTGCCCAGTGATCCAAAACTGCTCTTTTCTCTCTGACAGCTTGTGATACTCACTGCATCTCTGTTCCTGCTGGTGTGTGTTTTTTTAATCTTCAGTTTGACAGCTCAGTAGGTGGTGACTGTCTAATGTGTTTTGTAGAAACACGCCATGCTGCTGACACACAAAAGCCACATGGGGGGAATTACACAGAGAGTATCTTTGAACTTCCTTCACCATTCAGCTCAGGGTTACATAAGTAACTCTTTAAACAGCTCCAGAAAACCTCAAACTCTGGGTTTTTAAGGCCGACAGTAAGCTCTCCAGGGGATGAGTTTGCGAGACACTGTAGATATTCCCTCAGGGATGACATGCAGAATACTCCCGCAGTTGGAGAGTTTGCTAATATCTTTTTCTGTGAAACCATTAAGTATTTGTTCAGAGAGTTTTGGGAAGCTGAAGATGTGAAAGGCTGAATCTGCCTCCAATCTCTACTTTATCATCAGATTCTTCACATGCACAGAAAGTTCCTGAACTTTAAAAGGATTCAAATGAGCACCATCACCCGATAGATCCAAGCCTGAGCTGGCCTAGTTTGTGCAACATTTGGGGTAGACAGCCTGTCTTGTCTATTTTTGCATGCCTCTAAAACTCATTCAGTATGTGGAACGACAGCTATGGGAGAGGTGCTCACTTGGATCCGATTCACTAGTCTCAGGATTAATTTAGATCTCCACAACTCGTCGCAGCTAAACCACGTAACACTCACACTCTAATGCGTAGCTTGCACTGCTAGGCAGTTCCTGAGAAAATGAGGCACGAGCATTGAAAAGATGTCCTTCCTCCCCCACTCCGTGGCTCATTCCCTGACTGCTTTTCTTTCTTCTGCCCCTGAGGCTTAATAATGTGGCTGACCATGTTCTTTATTTATTCCTGTTCACTGACACTTAGGCGCCTTGGCTGTGCGATGTGAAGTCAAGAAATGGCAGAGAGTGGAAGAAATGGGGGAAAGGGAAGCCAGGACCAAGGAAGCGGAGGTGGAGGAACTCTCCAGGAGCCCCACACCCCAACTTCTGGCCAATCCCCGGTCAGTACCTCCTCCCTCGGGAACAAGAGACACCTCCCACGAGGGATTGTGATCCAGCTGACTGGCACAGAAGGAGAATGGGACAGCCTTGATGAAAGTGAACTCATCTTCTCTCTTGATCGTGATGAGGACTACCCTTCGATTTCTCTCTCCAAGGAGAGGACACTGTCTGATGAGGATGACAGACAGTTGCAGTCCCAAGCTTTCCATGTCCCTCTTTCTCCCTCATCCCCAGGCTCCTTGGGCAACTGTTCCACTATTGGCCCAAGCTTCCTGTCCCCAGGCCCGTCTTCACCCAACCACCGACCCCTCGCAAGTCTGGTTAAGTCTCTCTCCACAGAACTGGAACTAAAAGAAGGCTCGACCCTCAGGCCCAAGCCTCTTCTAAGCCTTGTCAAGTCAATCTCCACTGAGATCTCCCGCTCAGAACCTGAGGTTTCTCAGTCCAAATCTGACTCCCGACTCAACCTACACCTGTGGAAACAGCTTACCCAACACAAAACTCGCAGCAATGGTGACTCACGTACTGCACCACCTTCACCTTGCTCTCTATCCCCAAGTGGAGAGGGCTCAAAAGGTGGGTTCTTCAAAATGGAGCTGGAGGACACCAAGAGGAAGCTCTCAGAGGCAGTGCACGAGCCTCTTAGCAGCATGTTCAGCAAAATGAGGAGAGAAGAGAGCACAGGAAGTCCCAAACACCAGGCAAAGAGTCAGGGCGCTCATCAAGGAAGCTCCAGAGGTTTGGGGCGAGAAAGTAGCACGGACACTGTACTTTCTGATTCTCCTGTGAGGAACCCTCGAAAAACTGATGCTGATGTTTTACCTGTGTTTGACTGGCCTTCTGTTAGATCTCCTGGGAAAGGGTCCCGTGGCCCATGCCCATTACATCCCAACAGAAAAAGTCATCGAGACATGGAGCTGGAAATCTGTACAGATGGTGATGTGATGCAGGTTTTTGAGACACATAAGAAGACAAAGAGACCATCGACACCTCTGATCAGGACTTCAAACCTTTCTCAACCTCCTCATCCTTTGCCGCGCATGAGTTTGTTCTGCGTGGCGGTGCTGTCCTATGGTTATTTCATTCTTCCACTTAGTCCATACCTCTCTGGACTCGCTCTGGGATTGGCATTGGGCTTTTTGTTAGGATTGATGCTCATCAGGATGGGTTCCTCCAAGTCCTGCTGCAGATCAGAACCACCATACAGACCAGCACAGACTTTGTATGGAGAAGGGAATCTGACAGGAGGAAATGTCATCGCTGAACCAGACACCCTTAAGGTAAAGAGATTCATCATTTAGAAAGAAATCTTCACCTTCGTTCTCACCTTCTCTACCATCTCAGTCTCACTCCATGTTTCTCGTATCTGCTATAAATAGCAACTGAGAAAGAAGCTCTTACAGGTATCATAGAGAACCTACAGATTTACCCAACCTTCAAAACCCTTGGATGAATTAAACAGATTGGAGAAACTATGTTTTTTACAGCTTCTGGTCAACACTTAAATGAAAAATGAATAGTGGTAGTTAACAAATAGTTGAAGAACTTGCATACCTAGATAATTTAAGATCCTATCTTCTCACATGATTACACCGCATTAGGAGCCGAACATTCTTGAGCATTCTGTGCATCCTTGAAAGTATGCCTGATTTTGACCAGGTGAACAAAGCCAAGTTGTTTACAATTTTTCCATTCAACATACAACCAATTACCTTCTTGTATACAAGTTAGTTGTTTGTTATGTGACGCATAAGGTTACCTGTATGCTGCATGCTGAGACAAAGATAGTAGTCCAGTTAATTTGTATAATCGAGAGATCCCTTGGCTTAATTGTGTGTGTAAACATGTGCGATTAGAGTGGGAGTGTGAAATTGTTCCTGTCAGGCAACAAGGTGGGGGGATTGTGGAGATCATAGAAGGAAGACATAACACTGAAATCATGCTGTAATAGTGTTTTGCATATTGTATGAAGCAATGCTTTGATGACAGTTTTTGTATTTACATCAAGAGGTGCAAACAGAGATGTGCAGACATATTGGTTGTTCTTGTCTTAAGACTCATTTTCTTCTTCAGCCTCAAATTATGTCAATCATCTCCTCTAGATCATGATATCATCACCTCACCCACTCAATTTATTTTCCCTCTTTATTCCCTGTTGCAATATGACGCTGGCTACTGCTAGAGCAGACAGGAAAAAGTCTGGGTGAAACCTTTGGCTGTTTCAGAAAATTTTAGTTTTTGCATTTTTGAATACAAGAAGTATATTGCAACTCGATTAGCATGGAAATACAGTGGTCCACAGCCCTTCTTTTCAATGTTTGTTTAATATACTTTTTAAACAAACAGCACAAACGTTCATATGTGAGCTACTTTTTGACAATCCTGCTAAATTTTCCAGTCCCAGTGCTAAGCTTGCTGACCACTGTGTAGTTGTTAGCTTACTCTCAGAACCCATTATTTAAAGCTCCTGTGGTGTCAAATTTGGTGCACCTGTGATCAAAGCAGACTTTGTTTATCCTGTCCTCCACATGCTTAACTTGTGTCTTACAAAAATCTTATCTTGCTGACTTTTGAGAAGAAAATATATACCATTTATTATGAATATGGTCTGCATATAAACAGGGCTGACACCTACCCCCTGCACTGTGTTCAGACATTTAAAATTACAGCATGAAAATCATCAGTCTTGTTGCTAATGGTCTTCTTTGTTTTACCATACCATAAAGTATCATCAAAATAAATTTTATTCTATTTTATGAACATAAAAAAACCCTCACAGGAGCTTGATAAAATAGATTTTTGGGGTAGTGGCTAACTTTTTTGGGCTCTTCGTGTACTGAACAAATATTTTGAACAGAAATAAAGGAGAATGAGGTTTAGACTCCTTTTCCTGTAAACTGGCCATTAAACCTGACCAGCATCTAGAGACATATGAGTTAGAGTAGGGATTTCTTCCTAATGAACAGATTATGAAATGCTAAAAGTGACGGTGATAGGAGACGGATGGTAATGCAGCATAATGAGTCACATAATGCTCATGAAATAGTGTGGATGAAAATGCTTTTACTGCCAAAGAACATTTTTACTTAACTTTCCTTTATAATGAAGGAGCCACAGGTGCCATTTTTGCCATGGCAACTCTGATATTAATACATCTTTCCAACCATTTTTTCCTACTCAGAGGAGATCTGACCCCGCAAAAATGACGTACATGGGGAGAATCCTTTTAGAAATTGCATTTTGAGTGAAAAAAAGAAAGGATCAAAACAAACTGACATTTAATCTTTTCTAGCTGTGCCATAATAGCATTACAGCAGACTGCTCTGGCCTGTAATCGTTCACAGAAAAACACTGCAAAATTTCATCTGAAAGCCTATTGAGTGAAAATGATGACATCTAAATGCTCGAAAGGCATCTTAGTGGGTCTTGTAATTGGCTTTTAGTCGTGCTAATTTGCTTTGAAAAATACCAGTGTCAAGTCAGTCACTGCAGCACCTTTTTTGACTTCTTCCTTCGTAGATTAAAGCCTCTGAAAGGTGTGTGCAACCTCATAAGGTGCCCAGAATACAATTAAAACCTTCAATAATAAAAAGTGCCCAAGCAGCAGAGGTAATTACTGTTCTGCTCCTGGCTGAGTTTGACTCAGAGCAACTGGAGAGGACCGTTACCAACCAGACACCATCAGATCCTGAGGCAATTAGTGAGAATGGAGGCAGGAGGAAGCTGTAATTTGTCAGGGCAGGACTTATGGAGGAAAGGAGGAGTTGATGGCTGGGCTTACTCTCACTTTATGGAGAAAACTCTCTTGTTTAAATATAAGTTTTCAACAGAAAATGCATGGCAGATTTGTTTTGTACAGATATATTTTTGTCTGAAAACGCTAATTGCAAACTCACCGGTCAAGCTCAGCATAGAGATAGAGGTACTGCTTTGTCATAAGAGATCTTTCCCTGAGTCTCCATGTCTTGTAAATGCTAAAAGATTACAAGATTACCAGCAACCAACAGACATCACATAATATCTTTCACATGTATTAGTTCTAGTGAAAAACAAATACAGGCAATGCTATCATTTTTCATTAAAGATCACCTTTATTGGGAATTTGAAAATCCGTGACCCTGCATGAAATCCTGACCTTTACATCTATAATATCCGCCTCCGATTGGAGGCGATGACAACAGTTATGAAGTCAGGAAGCATTTGTTGCCTGTAAAGTCAAATCCAGGGCAGAATATCCCTCTAAACAAGATCTATTTTTGTTATGTTTCATGCATATTCTCCGGTAATAATATCATTCAGGATGAGTACTCCCCTAAATCCTCTGTTCACCCTCTTTACTGCATTTATTACACAACTAGACTATTCCTTTGAAAAGCATCTATTTTTAAATTGGCTGAAGTGAATCCTCTCTGTTAAAGAGTATGGATCAGTTGATCTGAACTCGTCCAGTACTACACGTGCCAAACAGAGTTTTCAAGGTTAAAGTAGCAGCAGATGGTCTGTTAATTACTCACTAGTAACTGTTCATTGAATTAACACCTTTTTTCTGCCTCTTCAGGGATGGATGAATGAGATACAGGAATACGACCCAGAAACCTTCCACCCAGCTCTGACTCACTCCGTGTTTGCCACCCTGGAGGGCTCTTGTCTCCGTCTGGACTCCCCGCGTACCAACATAAGCCGCAGGGCCATGTACGATGAGAGAGTCCAAGAGACCACCTTCATCAAGTCACGCTCCTTTCAGCTTGCAAAGAGCAAAGTATGATATCAACATCAGCTTGAGTGTGTGTGTGTGTGTGTGTGTGTGTGTGTGTGTGTGTGTGTGTGTGTGTGTGTGTGTGTGTGTGTGTGTGTGTGTGTGTGTGTGTGTGTGTTGCGCTGATAAATGCTTTGATACTGTACACCATGATAACAGAACAGCAGTGTTTAGTCTGCACTTGTGTGTTCAAAGATAACATCAGAGATACTTTATATGAAGGTACACTGCTTCTTTACAGGTTAACACAACAGCACTGGTAAGAATGATGCACTCTATATATCCTCATTTAGTTTGTTAGCATTGTACGGTCTGCCAGTCAGTATCAATTACAAAGTATATTGCAGGATTTGTAGAAAAAGGATTTGTATAACATCCATTTTTGACCTCAGGATGGAGCTAGACATGCAGTTCCCAGCTTTTTTCCCTTCTCTTAATATTTTGAATATCCAAACTCATGACCCATCTAAAAAATGACTACGTTTATACTGTGTGAGTGTGCTAATATAGGCAGTAATATAGATGAGAGCAGCCCAACGTCTCTTCCTGCTCACATAAAGAGAGCCCAAAGAGACGTATATATTTTATGAACTTATTGCGAGGAAGTCTTACTTAATACAAGCAATTAAGCTCTTACTTTGCTTGCTTGTAAGGTTATTATGGATTATATTTAGAGCACTGAGTTATTTTGAGTTGAACTTTTTGCCGTGTGTGACAGCTTCACAAACTTATTTCTATATTGTGCACTTGCATTTCAAGAAATATGACTGAAAATGTATCCTCAAGTAGCTTCCTACCTCATCTGTAAAGGATGAATGGGTAAATGACCTTAAGATTTACATTCAGCGCTGTGCCTGGGATTGTCAGTAAAGCAAAGACATACATAAAATAGTAAGAATAAAAAGTTATTTGGGGGAAAAAGTTGAAGAACTTCTTGTACCCATTTTCTGTGTTAATCAATAATTTATAATTGGGACTTCTAGCTGCATTACCCGTTAAACAGCAGCTGTTCGCTTTGACACAACACAACTCTGCCACTGTTCCCTAAAGGTATTCCTGCTGCCATCTGTGCTGGCTCGAAAGAGGGTGTGGAACCCAAAGTACCCCATCTGCATCCAACTGGCGAGGGGAGCAAACTCCCAGGAGGGTGATGGAGGAAGGTCAGCGGAGAGTCACGGCGAGGAGCCGAGATCTGAACCATCAAGTCCACAACAGCGCTCCTCAAAACAAGTCCATGAGCCCGTCGCTACCACGCTTTATCTCTTTGGCCGTACGGGAAGAGAGAAAGAAGAGTGGTTTCAGCGCTTCCTGTTTGCATCCTCGGATGCAGAGAGAGAACAGGACAGAGATGGACCTGGCAGATGTGTGTCCAGATCGGGTATGAGAGACGTCAATAATGCATTAGAGCGTAGACAGCTTTGACATAAGGCATCCATACAACTGCTGTACATGTGTGGATTATGGATTATATGCTCCAATTCTTTGCATTTCTGAACCAATCCCCTCAAGGGGACAAATAGATATCAGTTGTTTGGTGACCTGATGGGAAAAAGGGGTCAGAAAACCATTAACTACAGGCACAGGCTCTCTTTTTACTTTTATTTGTACTTTGATTTGAGTTCTCATCTCACATTCTTTTTCTACTGCCACTTTTTTGTTTGATATATCAGGGACTCGTTGTGAAACACTCGCTTCATGTCCCTGGTTCAAAGATTGTAAAGGGTGGTCGACATTTTAAGACGACACAGATCTTGTTAGATTCTCTAGGAAACAGCTTATTTTGGGCTTTTGGGTGAAAGTTTTTAACCCATTTGAGAATATTGTACACCAGGCTAACTATTCAAGCATCTGAACTCTCTGTCAGTGGCTGTTTTCTTTCTTGCTGCCTCAACCAATCAGGTAAATGTTTGTGGTGTACTTTCAGGTGACTCTGCACCAGCACAGAGTGTCAACATGTCAGCTAATGTTCCCAGCAGCAGAGGCCCCAGCAGAGTGGGCAGCAATGATGACGACACCCCCTCCTCACCTCCCGTCCTCTCAAACCCTCCTCTTCATCTTGGTCAGACCTCCAGTAGCACCAGGGGCCTTTCACTGCTAGATTACCCAAGCTACATGGCTCGTCTCCTGGCTACAGAGGAGCTGATCTCCCTCTCAAGTGCTGGAGTCAGCAGTACAGAGACAAGTCCCACCTTAAAAGGAGATGTAAGTCTTGTCACAGTCAGAAAATGCACTTACTCCTCTGTTTTTAGCTCTGGCGTGAACGAAACCATCAGTTTTGTCCGAATGTAATCTAATCATAGTTTTTCTTACAGTGTATCTGTGAACTGTCAGAGTATCCTGGGACGAGCCAGACTGCTTGGGTGAATGCTTTAATTGGACGAATCTTCTGGGACTTCTTACGGGAGAAGCACTGGGCTGACGTGGTGTCCCATAAGATCCAGAAGAAGCTGAGCAAAATCAAAGTACAAAAACTTTTACAGAGAGTTAATTTAAACTGAAGCAGCCAGTTTATTATGAATGTGACGTACAAAGAGTGTGATTTATTCCCTGTGTTCTTAGCTGCCTTATTTCATGAATGAGCTGAAGCTGACTGAGTTGGATATAGGCTGCTCTATGCCACAAATCACTTCTACCTCCAAACCAGAGGTCAACCACAGAGGTGAGCACAGACCGGAGATTAAATGATGCTAATAAAGTACATAATCATTGAGCAAATTATAACACACAAGTGCACTCACACAAACACAGCTTGAAAGGAGGAGAGGAGAGAAATGAGGGGTTGTTTTGGTGCGTACATGTGAGTGCTTCAGAGCATCAGATCAGACGATGTTATCCCGATGTAATCTCACAGAGCCTTCAACATAGAGCATGTTGGTGTGTGTGTGTGTGTGTGTGTGTGTGTGTGTGTGTGTGTGTGTGTGTGTGTGTGTGTGTGCGTGTGTGAGTGTGTTTTGAAATCAGGCAATCTGGCATTCCTACAACGAGGATAATTTAAGTGTGTCAGCATGTTTTCCCCACCCACTTTGCTGTTATACAACTGCCCGTCAACAAATTATCCTGTTTCCAGCTCCTCTGCTCGGCCCGTGCTTTTTCCTCTGAGGGGGATTTATAATCCGTCTTAATTTTTTATAAATTTAATTTCAAGGCTTGATAATCACGCTGAAAGCTGTTTAATCTGCCCACTAAGCAGTGTGTGTGTTCAGATTAAGCTGCAAGGCTTCACAAGCTTTGTCTTAATTTTGATGGTCAGCTGTTGACCTCTGTGTGCCGCCCCCTACAGGCCTGTGGGTGGAGCTGCAGCTGGTGTACACAGGTGCCCTGCAGATGACCCTGCAGACTAAGTTTAACCTGTCCAAGCTGGGGAAAGATGGCGGGCTGGAGACAGACTGTAAGGCTGAAACTGGTGGCCCACGGTCAGTTCTACACACTTACAGTCATACACACATAAACACATTAGGACTACACACACACACACACACACACACACACACACACACACACTCAGATGTCCAGAGGCTTTTCTGGATAATGTTAATAAGTACTTAGCTTTACTTATGCATTTTCTGGCTTGGAAACACATATTGAGTCTAAAACTGCGAGGATGACATTTTTGTATGTAGTGTGCAGTACAGTTGTAATAGTTATAGTTGTACCACCACAACATCAGTTTCAATCAGCGGTATTGTTTAGCGCTCTGATAAAAGTTTCTGTCACAATACTTGTGACTTCCAGAAACAAATGCTCTGACCAGGGGTGCAACTAGAGGGGTGAGCCTCTCTTGAACTCCCCGAATTATTGGTAACCCAAGGTGCCACCCCAGAATCTAGAAGTATAATTGATCATGTATGTTGTCAGAAAGTCAAGGCACTGGACATTCCCAAACTTTCAGGCATTAAAATGAGGTAGATGTCAGACTAGATGATTGACAACAGGCTGAAAAAACCCAGCCTTTTACACTACAAATAATCAGTGAATGATAAATTCTGTAGTTACAAGAAAACAGGAGGAAGTTTTTGTCTGAAATCACAACTTTCACATGCATGTGATGAGAGCTATCTTTGTCCACACAAACTAAAATTCCTCACTGCAGCTTTAAATAACTTATTGCTATTTAACATCTAGATTTTTTTGATTGTTAAAGTCTGTATTAATCATTTATTTGTTTAAATTTCATACTTATTTTTCACTTTTTCATAATTCATTTTTAATGACCAAATACTTATGAAAAAGTTCTCAAATGTTGCTCTAAAAGTGATTAAAACTTTTAAATATTCACACCATCTCAATAAGATATGTTAACACTCTTCAAAATGTTACATTTGTGCAAAGCAGGTCTTAAAACTTTAGTTTTGGCCATATGGGGTATGAAATATGGGGTAACTCTGAGCATAGGGCTGGGCGATAAACCGAAAATTTAGCAATACCGAAATTATCGACGTCATTTTGCCCATGTCAATTTATTCTTTGTCAAAGAATAAATCAAAAGATAAAGGTTGGTTTTGGATGTGTGTAGGTAGGCTATGGTCTCATGTCCCTTTAAGACACTGTCCAACATCAGAGACGTGACTCCACCCCATCCAGTCAGTAACAAAGAGGGAAAGACAGGTGAGGAGATGGAGGACGGATCAAATGTTGGAGCGGCTGAAGTAGACAAAGTTAATATGGGAGGGGGTGAGCAGCTTGTGGAGTAGTTATCGTCCATTTATCGTTATCAAAGTTAACTGCTATGTATATATATATATATATATATATATATATATATATATATATATATATATATATATATATATATATATATATATATATATATATATATATATATATATATATATATATATATATATATATAGTGACACTGATTTGAGGCCATATCGCCCAGCCTTACTGTGCATTTACAGTTTCAGGTGATACAATTCTATTAACTTTGTGTTAATACTGCGTGACTGCTATGATTTTAAATCTGGAAAGATCTCTAACACAGGCTGCAGTGCTACCGTTTTTACTCAGTTTTAGTGCACAGAGAAAAACTGGGGGATCTCATATGAATTCTTTAATATTACCTTCTATAAAGGTGTGGGTTTTTATAACCGTAAGAGACAGATTTTTATTAAGATGGTAAGAATGGCAGCATCAAAATCAGATGTTATAACTGAAGTGTAAGTTCTAATATAGGCTACAAAAACTCTGGAGCAGAAAAATAACCCTGCAGCAGGATTTAATAAGTCTCTTTTATTACACTTTATGCTTGTGATGACATCTTTAGACATATTGCTCTACAGAAAAGGTGCCTCACAAAAGTGACAGATATTTAGATGGCTGTGTTTCTCTCCTGGTGACAGAATGCAGGACTGTCACTTCAAATGATCAAGAATGAGTTTTTCTGTAATCTTAAAGCAAATCCCCTCTTATTACCCCAGGCCAAGCGGCAGGAGTTACGGCCCACATCTAACAGTAAATCCAGTATTTTCGTTTTGACCGTAACAGACGTAAAAACACACCTACACAGTTCGCTGTCTTTGCTCTGATCCCTGCAGACTCTGATCCCTAAAGTAAAGCTTCACATTACATTGATCAGCCATTACAGGGCCTGTCATATAGACCCTCTCTGCTGGGGATTATGGTGATTGCAGAACTTCACATCAGCTGTGTGATGCATGTGAGGCTTTACAAAAAGTTGGGAAATTTGTGTTGATCAATCTTTCCTCTTTGTTTATGCCACTGGGACTATGTCAGCTTGAAGGTTTCCTCATGTATGAGCATACATCCATCAGGTGGAGTAGCTGTTTATAGCTCAGCTTTGTTTTCCATCTTCACTCTCCTCCTCCAGCTGCAGGCCCATCCTCAGTGTGCTGGCTGACAGTGATGAGGAGTCCTCCAGTGCTGGTTCATCTGATGAAGAGGAGCTGCCTCTGTCTGAGCCTCAGGGTCTGCAGGGAGAGAAGGGAGCCACACCAGCTACTGACGGGTAAATAATCCACAGTTAGAGAAGAATTGAGTGACTTTCTTTAGTTCATTATGAAAGAGGAATGAAGGAATGAAGATTACAAAGAAAATATATGCAGAAGGCAGTCAGTAGATATTTACGTCAGCAGATACTCACAAAGACGGGGGCGATTTAACTTTGAGTCACACCGTCAAGTGTTACTTACACCCTGCTGTGTTGTGAATGTTCATTTTTGAACCAAAACAAGTGTGCTGTCACCGGGCTCCAGATGGATGTTATTTTCACTTTTCTTCACTCTTCTCTTTTAATCCTCTTTCACAGCACTGGGGGTGGAAAGACGGGGAGGAAGATTTTGAGATTTGTGGACAAAATCGCCAAATCCAAGTATTTCCAAAAGGCGGCAGAGAACGAGTTCATTAAGAAGAAGTTTGAGGAGATGTCCAATACACCCCTGCTGCTCGCAGTGGAGGTGCAGGAGCTGGCTGGGTCTCTAGTCGTCAACATCCCACCGCCCCCTACTGACAGGATATGGTAAGTGCTCATGCATTATAGCAACAAAGTGGCTTAAACATGGTTTTAATGCATGTCCGCTACATACTACTACTACTACTACTACTACTACTACTACTACTACTACTACTACTACTACTACTACTACTACTACTACTACTAATAATAATAATAATAATAATAATAATAATAACTGCACAGCATTAAAAAATCCTTAAGATGGGTGGAAACATCAGTAGTTTCTCTACAGACAAGAATTCAAGGAGACTGAGTTGTTGTTAGTATATATTACTCTCAAGAACAGAAAGGTATTTAGTCAACAAGTAGCAATATCTAAGAAATAAGAATAAAAAGTTTATTAGATATATTATTATGAGGCAATAAAAGAAGGAAAAGAGTTATACCACTCTGCACAGATGAAAAAAAAATACGCCTATTTAGATAAAACAACAGCTTTAACTTTATTCAATACTCTGAAATCTTGAAGGACAATGTTAAAGGTGCAGTACTCTTTTTCACAGAAATCCCTGTCTCTGAATTGTTTAGACCAGAGGAGTAAATTCTCCTCATTTTGACTCTTAGTTTTCACCAATATTGGACTCCCAAGCTGAAATGGATATTGGTATTTGAGAATATATATGTATTGTCATATGTGAGTTTTTGCACTCTCTGGTGGACAAACTGTGAAAATGCTGCACTGTTTTTAAGCCTCCTAAATCCTTCTCTGCAGTCGATGCTTTTCCTCCATCCTACCTTCATTCAAGTTGAATAAATCTGCATTAAGCTGGTATCTGTCAGATTTATCAGTGTAGCTCTGCTCTGAATATTGACATTCAGATAAGCAGCAGGTTATTTATGTCCCTCTGCGCTGTGACTCACATTTTACACATCAGGTCCTGCCAAAGAACATTTATTTATTAATAAATATTGAAACATTAATTCAGCACTGAGTCTGTTCCTGAGAAAGCATGAGACATCTGCTGTGGCACAACCAAAATAAAGCTGTAATTGGTTTGATCATGTTGTCGTCTCCTCTGCAGGTACAGCTTCTGTGCACCACCTAAGCTGGATCTGCACGTACGCCCGAAACTGGGGGAGAGGGAGGTGACTTTCTGTCATGTGACTGAGTGGATTGAAAAGAAACTACAGGATGAGTTTCAGGTAAAGAAAAAAAAAACAAAAACCTTTCCATCTTTTCAACGTTGTCCCTTTTTTTTCACAATCATGCTGTTTCTCCTACAGAAAGTGTTTGTTCTGCCAAATATGGACGACATCTACTTCCCTCTGATGCATGCTGGGATGGATGGGCCCAAGGTGTCGCAGCATGGATCCTCTCGGTCTCTGAGGTCCCAGAGCTCGTCCACAGAGTCCATTGAGAGGATCCCACCTGAGATTTCTGGGGCTGAGTCTGATTAGTGCCTCACTGACTAAACACAATTTATACCCACAGGAAAGAAGGGAGATAAAGCCTCTCTGTACCTAAGACTTGTTTGCTCCTGTATGAATATCTAAACCAGCGCTGTAGGAGTGAAGGACCGTCCAGGATGTCTTGATATCATCCCAAAAAGAACAGTCTACAACACAACTAGATTGAGATGTAAAATGATAACCATGAAAACAACTACAAGTGAAAGCTTTTGCTCATGTTTACAGGTGAATGATCTTTATGAGAATAATGCTGCTCTGATGTTTACAAATTAATGTCACTTTGGATATGACAGATACGATTCAATAAAAGCTGGATTAAATAAGCTCAGCTGTCTGTGTGGACCTTTTTTTTAGCCTCTTCATCCTTGCGAAGAAAATTTTGACTTCTCTTGTACATTTTTATAAACTTACATTGACTGTTCATGATTCATATTAAAGCTCCAGTAAGAAATTTTTCAAAATCAGCTCTTGTTTTTGTTTTTATAACAAAAACCTTTTGTCTGGTTAAACTTAATGATACATGCTGTGTATCTCTTCATCCTGCACTTACCTTGCAGCAGCAGTTTTCAGCATGAACAATATCATTGCCATCACCTGCCAGAGTGGGAAAGAGACATTCTTCCCTCTTTTACTTTTCTCACTCACAGAAGCTCCTCTTCTTATGTGATTCCTCCTTTCCTACTTCCTGTCCTTGCTTTGCCTCAGTCCCTTACTGTCCCTGCTTTGGCCTAGCGCTTTCCCAAAATTCAGACAATAAAGTAATATGTACATGTGGATAAATGCTACATGTGAAACCTTTTTAAAAAATGTGATTTTAACCCTTTTTTCTCTATAGGCCCAAAGACTGAAAGTGTACGTTAAACTGTTGTGCTTTGTTGCAACATATTTCTGATGCTTACAGCAATAAAAAAGCAAATATGTGTCCCTACAAAGCTGCATGTGAGGAATAACACTGAAACTATAACTGTGCTTTAAACCAGCTAGTCCTCCAAGAAGCAATAGAGGGCAGCAGCCGTTCATTATCTAACAGGTTGGTACTGTCACCAGTGTTATTCTCCTACATTGACCTTTATTTGAATAATAAGATATTTGTTAAGGAATCCTAGCACACCTATATGAACATTTTAAGCATGGTGGAAGACACACAAAGCTGGGTGTGGAAGCGAAAAGAAAATTTTCACCAGAACAAATTGAAGCTGGAGCCCAACTTTTGCCTCTGATGATGTAGTGCTAACAGACAAAACAATGAACATATTTACATGTCATTAAATTTTGATGTTTGACATAATATGGAAAAACACATTTTGATATATAAAGAAAAATTGTACAGTTTTAATACACAGTAGAGATGGGATTTATGGCTCCTGACAAGCCATTCCTTTTAAAAAGCAGTTCAAAAGACTGGCTCATTGTTATATTGATTTAGTTTTTAGAAATCAACCAGGGGTAGAAGTGGTTGATATTCACTCTGAAATATTGATTATAATTTCAATTGGCTTATTTTTTCATTGTAAACATAAGGTGGTGCCATATCTCCATGCTTTGACACTGAGATCACTTTTTTGATTTTTGCCTCACCTAAAAAACTTTGTGTCACAGTAAAAAGTATGCAGGCCTCAAATAACCGATAACTACCTGGTGATTGAAGCACACAGGTGACACGTGAAAGCAACATAGGCAATTTGCATTTAAGAACGTCTAGCAAACAAACGGCTCGTCACTGTGAATCTGTTCTTATCGCTCACTTAAAAGAGCAGTTCAAACGACTGACTTGTTCGGGAACTTGACATCTCTAATGTGCTTTCTGCTTATTAGGCTGCAAGTATGCAGGAAATGCAAGAATGTACAATGTGCCAGTGATCATTGCGTAGTCATACAGGATTGTACTGTACACGAGATGATGATGTTTGCATTGCTCTGTCTGTGTTAGTTATGTATTCCTGGAGACAGTAAAAAGAAAGTCTGAACAGCTAGTCTTACATTAATACTTTTAGGCAGACATAAACCAAAGTTAGGAAATTAAGTAGAATAAAAATAAAGGAAAAGGACTTTCGATACTTTACAAGAGGATATGATAGAACATAATACAGTTTGGTACAATACCATGTGAAATGATACAGTAATAAGATTTAATTTGGTGTGATGAGATAAAATGGGGAAACAATTTCAAATAGAATATGGTCAGAGTAAGAGACAATATAATACAGATATGATAAGACATGTTTTCATATGAATTTATCTGACTCAATATCATATGATACCGTATAGTATAAGCTTAAGGTGCCTGTGGCTTGCTGGTAGAAATAATCAGCTCCAAATCAGACGGTTGGTTGTTCAATCTTGGTACTGATGCTCACATCCCAAAGTGTTAACTTGACCCATCCACCACTTGCTGGCTGTGTCCAGTGGTGTATGAATGTTTATAAAAACTCAACATATGACACAATACAACATCATACAATCAGAGCGAATGAGATATCAAACCATGGCATGTGATACAAACAACAAAAAAGAATACAGTGCAGTTGAGAACGTTTTTTATTTCTTATTTTTAATGTATTGCATCAAGTTATAGTGGGTCACAACTGACTGAATTGTATTTCTTAAGTGTCTTACATCATCTGTAACTTATTGTATAATAACTCCTGGTCCTATATTTTCACCATGTGGCTTACAGTGTCTTTCATACCTGAGCTCTGTAAAGACAATGTCGTCTCTTTATTCTTCATTATGTTTTGGTAAATAATTAAGATTTTTGTGAAAAGGAAATAAATAGGAACTTGATTTTGTGCCAAAATACTTCTGCGCATCATAATATCTCATACAGATATTTACATTTACATAGATTCATCTGAACATTTTACGATGAAGAAATTTTTAATATTTTTTAGCACTGGCTAAAGACTAAATTATGAACCTATCCTTTTTCAAATGTCAGGACTGGTTTTGTTAAAATGAACTCTTTTAAAAAATCTGTTTAGTCTGGAATACTTCCAGTTACAGATTATATAAAACTCAACAAAGGGCATTTTTCCAGTTAACAACATGCATGATTCCTTAAAGGAAGTGTCTTTCTTGTGCAAGCAATAAACTTGTCATCAGCAAAAAAATGATTGATAGAATGTGCTGCACACCTTGATTTTGTAGAAAACAGAAAACACATTTTGCTCAAGAGTCATGAAAAATGTTCTGACGTTCAGATACATTTCATCATAAAAATCAAAAGTGCCAAATATGAGATTCGAAACGGTTCTTGTTGAAGCATCAGAAGTAAATGCACTACATGCTGATGGCAGTGTACACACTACTGTGTGTTTATAGACTCTAACTTCTTTAACTTTACTCACACCCCTACTTGCAGACTCCTTTTACTGCTCTTTGAACAGCCTCTCACACACGTACACACCGATTTATGCTCATAAAAAGGTCCTGTGATGATAAAAAGTGTGCAGGAAAACCAAACAGAGGAAATCTTTTCCCAGCAGCTGCACATTTCTGACTCATATTTCTCCTCAGATTTCCTTGTCTTTGCATGTAAACACAATAAATCTTGTCAAACTCCTCCTAGAGTAAACTGAGTGTGAATAACACCTTCAACCTATTTCCTTCTTCTGCAAATGAATGACAGTGTATCCATCACTTTTCTCACATGTACCTTTCTTTTCCAGAAATCTGAGATCTCACAAACACCTCCAGTGACTATCTTTTCCTGTCTTATTCAGGTTTTCCTTCTCTGCAATCCACTTAACAAAAATTAGAAATAACATGAAACAAAAGACACCAGGAAGCATAACTGAAAATCATTTATTTAATTTGCACATCAAGTTTCAATTTTGTTAACTGTATCTGGACTTAATGCCAACATCATCTTCCTAATTTCCAAATCACAGAGGAGATGAAAATATGTTCAAAAGGAAGCAAGAAACGTTGAAAACAAAAGTTTATGCTAATTAGATTTTGACCTGATAAGAGGCCACAACAAGTAGGGATCAACAAAGTTCCAGTAATTGACCGAGATTCAGGTAATAAAGTCAGTTACTGAGTAAAGACGTGAGGAGTGTAGGATTGCGTCATTCCTTCCCCGTCGCCGAACATGTCCTGACTCCCTCAAGCTGCCCTACCATAATAAAGGCAGAAAGCCCCCAGTAAATTAATAACGGACAATAAAGGCTAAAGGCTAATAAATCAGAATAAGGGAAAGACAAAACCCACATTTTTAATTTTCTTTAGGGAACCTTCCCAAAAGGATCGATAAAAGAATATCTAATCTGAACTAGAATCTAATAAAGGCTAATAAACATGCTTACTGATTCATGTAACTGTCTTTTTAAGAGGTTCTTGTATATATACTGTATTTTTTTCAGCATATGGATAGAAACATAAAGGCTGTTCTAAACTGGAAACAGTTTCCCCTCCAGCTAAAAACAATATCATATCAGTTACACCATGTCTCTTCATCATGGCTTGAAAATGGCCTTGTGAATTGTGTTGTCATACACCACGGGGGTATTCTGCCCTTAGCTTTCTAAATGTCTTGATGGTTATTCATAATGATACAAAAACACCACGAGGCTGTACAATCCCCCCTACTGGCCCATCAGAGCTAATTGTTGTGAATGTTTAATGAAAGCAGAGCTCAGAGTTAAGCACCAACACCAAACCACATCCTCACAGCTACAGGAAGGATTAAAGTCTGTTTGACCTGGGTTAAAGGATGCCTCAGGATGTCCATCACTGGGTTTCCGGAGAGAGTCTGATCAGTGGCTCGTGCAGCTTCACTCAGAGGGAATTTCCAAAAGCCAGTGAATCATTAAGTATGTGTGACATCTCGGAAAAAACAGTCTGAGCCAAGAGACATTTTAAAACTGGATTCATTTTTCTTTTTATCAAAATGAAACTCCTCTTATAAACAATTGAGGGAGTGTACAACAAGTTTAAAAGTTAGAGAGAGGCTGCATGCCATTTTCATTAATCAGAAAGATTTATCAAGCTTTTCATTCAACCTTCGACTCTCTCTTCTTTAATCTCAATCTTTTAAATTGTGCAGAGTTGCTTCATTGTGTTTTTTAAAGCTCCTTTGAGGAGTTTTTCGACATTATTTAGAAAAACAGAATTTCATATTTATACCTTCCTATGATATTCAAAGCAAACAAGAACATCAGCAGCAAGACAGATGATTTTTGTTTTGGGATTTTTTATACATGAAACTGAAGTGAGGGGGTAGGTGTCAGCTGAACAGCTAAAGAAACAGCCTTGCTTTCACAATTTACACATGAAATACTGACTATTATTCATACATTTGATCACCAAAAGTCATCAGGATGAGAAATTCTGTTGAAGGACACGATCTAAGTATCTAGAAGACAAGATGACCTGAGCTTGCTTTGTCCACAGGGGGCGCCAAAGTTGACACAAACAGAAAGTTCCTCACAGGAGCTTTAAGCTATTGGTAAAATCAGACAGTTTAACATTGTAAATAATGTTTAATGTGAGACCACTCTTTTCAATATGCTTAAATTTGAATGAGGCTGCTTTTCCTTATGTTTCAAACTAACCTGTGTTTGCAACATGCCTAACTTCAAACCAAAATTATATCAAAAAACTTTTTTTTTAAAATTTATTTCTAAACTGGTGCAGATTATCCTGATGGTAGCAAATGTACTTGTACACGTCAGATAAAAAAAAAAAAACCTCAACATGTTAGTTTTCCATTTTCAAGTATTTGCATTTCAAAAACTTAGAAAAGCTGACTGCAACAAAATGGTATGAAAGAAGGGCTTTCTTTCTAGTTTTTTTTTTTTCTCCTTATGTATTGTACAAAATTAAGACTTTTATGATGTGTTGAACTGTGAATGCTCATGTTTTCACAACATTAAGATATGCAGCCTTAATTGGGGTATGTAGAGACATGGCTCACTGAAGATTCTGGCTGCAGAGGTTATTGCTCACATTTAACATCTCATAAAAAAAACAGTTGCTTGATTGTTCCTTGGAAGATGGTGACATTTCCTTGAGTCTGCTCATCATTCAGAGCAGGATTGACCCCATTTGCCAACCTGGTATGCAAGATCAAGTCGTTTTACTTGATGAGGTGACATGACACAGTTTATATAAAGCCATGAGGACACAGTGACAGGCCTTCTCTGAACTATGTTTTTGTCCTGACTCAATCTGTAATTATCACTATTTATATTTATGTATCCTCGTTCCATTATTACAGGTGACTAATCGCACACTGGGATTACATGAAGCACATTGTTATCATGATCTGAGTATGTCTGCACATGCACAAGGTGTGGGTAGTGCACGTTTAATCAATATCAGGTCAAAATATTATAATAATACGGAAAGGAAATGTGAGAAGTAGGTTAGAAAACAAAGTGAATTGAAATTAATCTTTGAGTCACACAGAAGAAACTGTGACAGTAGACCAGTTATTCATGTTAACTGTTCTTACCCATCCAGGTCAGGGCAAATGTTTTGTTAACATCTGGATTTGATTGAAGTTCTGGAGAAAGAAAGTCAACCTCATTTCGAAACTGACTGGTTGACGAAACTTGAAACATGGGCCTCAGTGAGAACTGTCACAGACACACTGGTGCAGACTAGCAGAGGTCGGCTCAGATGAGACTTAAAAGTCCACTTAAGTCTGAGGTTTTCGGGCGGAAGGTGAACTCCTTCAAGGACTTCTACCAAGTCAGATTTGCCTTCTGGATTCAACTTTGACATCAATGTTGTTCACATTTGTCTTCATGGTGATGTATCATGTCTCAGGTTCACCATAATGTGTTCAGTCTTGTTTTGCTAGTAAATCCCAGTTTCATAATTATCCAACCAGACAGACCAAAAATCTCTGTCCTCCTTGGTGGCAACATCTCAAGGAAGGACATCGGGGCTGCTGGACAAGCTGGTAAAGAGGGCAGGTTCAGTGATGGGCAGGAGCATGAATTCCCTGGGGACGGTGGTGGAGAGACGGATCAGGAGCAAGCTCCTAGCCATCAGGGGAAACACCAGCCACATCTGACCTCCTGTGTTAATGGCAGTGTACCAAAAAAGACATTTATTCTAAAGTGGATTGCTTCTTTTCATTTAAAGGTTTTTTTCCTCTTTTTTAATTCAATTATTGTACTTAAACTGTTATGTACACTCTGGTAGTTGTCTTAGTTGTTTCATTCTATTCTGTATATGTATATTGAGATTGGTTCCTACTGGTTTCTACCTCACCCACACACAGTCTTTTATATCTTATAAATTACGTTATACTTTGTTCTGTGGAAATAAATAAATAGATAGCTGTCAGACCTTGAGGGTCTTATCTGATTTCTGTTGAACAAAAGGAATTTCTGACCTATTTCCCCCCAAACAATACCATGATCATTAACCAGCACCCACTTGAGTCCAAGGGCATAATGATAATAAAATGAGGTGTTATCAGGCAGTTTTAGTTATAAAACTTTTTGTTTGAAGAAAATTGGGTCATGTTGCTCTTCAGTTAATGTACACGTCATTAAGTTATATCAGCATATGTAATGAAAGAAAAATTGTTTAAGAGAGAGAGCAAAGAAGTAGATTTTAAAAAAAGCAAATACACATTGGAAGCAAATAATAAAATAAAATAAAACAAGCAAAAAAGGGCGGGGGGCAGCTAAGAATTAAAAATACAATAAAGAAAAAAATTAAGACAAACATTTGATTGAAAGGGGAAAAGGGCAACAAAATTCTTAAAAAGTTGTGAAATGCTTGACTGAAAAACAGGAGACCCCTCCTGGTTTATCAAATCAATTTTTAAGAGTTTCATAACATGACGATGTATAAAACAGGCAGTCCAGAGAAGCTAAGTCATTCAAAGGGAAAAATGGAGCAAGATTTTGAGTGAAAGTGTTCGCCAGTGCTGTCTAAAAATAATGTTGAACTATACTGACTCAAAAATGTGGTCTAATCTTTACTAGATTATAAACTCAGAAACCCTTTAACTTTCAGAAAATGCAACTGTTCTGTTTATAAAGTATCTTACCTAAGCTTTAAAGGTTGATTGAAACAGCTGAATTTACCCTCTACTTCTAAACTGTAACTGAAACATGCTCAGCATCCCATGCTGTACCTCCAGGTAACCACCCTAAAGCTTTTTCACAGCACGTTTGAATTGTGTTATTCGGAAAGTATGAGGAAGAAAAAGCCCTGCAACCTTTGCATCTAATTTGCTCATGAGATTTATGATATGCCATTTGTATGCAATTATTCCTTATTGTTCTCGGAGCTCAGAATGCATGCTGACAGCTTTGTAACATAGACTGGTGCGTAACTATTTCAGAGCTCATCTCTCACAGGTGATATTTACCTGGGAGGGAGATGTTGAAAGCTGATTATTGGCCCACACTTAATCATAGCTTTCTGCCCTAGGCCTGAAAACTAGGCTAATGCTGGGTGTAGACATCAGCCTCAAAAAACAAAAGCTGCCTTTGGACTTAACCTAATTTAAATATAGAAGACTACTGTGCCCAAAATTTGCGTTAATTTGAATAACCCAACATTCTGGGTCAAAATGACACAATCAGTAGTCGGTCCCTTTTCAACCCCGGTGCAGAGGCTTTTAGAGTGTACTGTGTCAGTGAAAGCAGTTCATTAACCTGGTCTTTGATTCCATCATGTAATTAGTATAAACTATGATCAATCATTAACAACTTGCACTCAATTATGGACATTGATAGAAGGCCTGAGACTAACAGAAACTAACAGTGTGTGTTTTTTGTTTCAATGTGTGACAAGTCACGACTACAACTAGACCAGTTTAGCACCTGGACTCTTGTATTGTTAGGCCATACCATATCTGCAAAATGTGGACTAGTACGGTCAATATGCAGGGTTTATCTTGACAAAGTGGCAGTCTGGAGGACAACAAACAGTATATTGTTCATTAATAGCTTTCCAAGATGCATAAGCCACACGTGCCAGCACTTATACATCCCAATACCATCACAAATGCTAGCTTTTGAGCTGTGTGCTGATAACAAGTCAGGTGATTCCTCTACTCTAAGACCAAGAAAAGCCACCTGTGTATATTGATCATGTTTACACTTTTAACCTATATCTATTTGTGGATTTTACATGTGATTTAGAGCCTGTGCAGTGTTTTTCACCTCATAGTCGTGTCTGTTTTTGATGTAGTGCTGCTCGAGGGACTGAAGATCATGTTCATCCAGTTTTAGTTTCCAGTCAGAGCAGATTCTCTGAGCCTTATTTACAGTAATTACTTAAAATTCTTTGCAGTTTCATTGTTCTGATTGTTGAAATTCTTTAACTATTTGTGCACGCAGGTGATCCTCTTATCCTCTCTGCTTTAATCTTTTTATCTGGTTTCACTGGTTTTCTACACAAACTTGACTAACTTGTCAGGTTTTCACCTAACTAGTTGGGAGATGTTCCTTTTGGTTTTTATTTACTTATTTGCATTGCACAACTTCTCAGTATTTTGTCACAACTTTTTTTATTTTCATGAAACAACCTGACATCTTTTACTCTCTTTTACCAGAATCAAAATGTCTCCCTCATCTCTAGCTTTTGCATGTTTTATGTTCATTTTCTCAAAACAATGAAGCAGATTGTGCTTTCAGTACCGTGAAGCTTTCATGTATTTTATTCTCTCCACTTTGTTTTATTTTATCCTTGCAACCTTCATGTAATTTATGTAGAAACACTTCTGAAAAAGACACAGAACCACTTTGTCACTTTGGTGCAAATAAGAATTTATTTATCTGTTTCTGTGTAACTCATACAATAGAAAAAGGTCAGACTGCAGTAAACTGTGTACAGAGAGGAATGAACACACTCATAAAATAGTTATAATTAAACAAAACAAGTTCAGGCAAGACACTCGTAAGCCATCCTCTTCAGTTTGTACACCGCACCCATCATCTGTTTACAGGTGTTTCCATGACCATCATTCACAACAGGCAAGCGTAATTTAAGAGCATAAAGTAGGTACATTAAGTTGGCAAAATATAACAGAGTAACAGGATTAAGTTCTACATGTGTGATACAGAAAAATGGAAGATGTGAATAACTTTTTATTTCCTGTAAAATAGTAGTACTTAAATTTAGTATAGTAAGGCTGTATACAATGAAGTGTAAATGTTTAACATCTTTAACCTCAATTTTACTTCAACTTTCCTTTCAGTGAGAGAAAAAAACATCTTTTTTTTTTTTTTTTAAATAATGTGATCACTTCACATACATTTTTACCCGCTCTCCTCTATGCTTCATTGAAGCTACATGGTTCTACATCGGAGTGAAACATCAAACCAAAGATGTCAGGTCTCCTCTGATCAAAAGAAAAATGTTTAGACATCAGTTTATGGATTCAGCAAACATTTCTCTCCTCATTACTTCTTCTTCTCATCAATAACTGGTCTGACAAGGATCACAAAGTGATGCCACCTGGCTGATTTGACCGACAGACCTATGGGAAGGTTTATGGAGTAAAATCTCATACATCTTGAATTAAATGTATTTTTACAAGTATGATTTTAGAGCCAAATGTCAAATCTTAGACTTCTCAGCGGCCATGGATGGGCTGCGGCTGCTTCTGAAGCCGGGTTTTGGTAGCAAGGGCTGCCTTCTTTGTCATGGTGGTGCAGCGGTTCAGGATCTCTTCAGTTTTGGGTCTGGGTGGCACCTTGGGAGCATTCAAGGATGTGTTGCTGCCACCAGAGGCTGATCCGGAGCTTTTGGAACTCTTGCCGGAGCTGCGACGGTCAGACAGGCTCAGATCAGTACTGCTACCTGCACTTTCACTGGCATCACGCTGCTGCACTCCCTCTGTCACGCTTGAGGATTCGCTGTCTGAGGAGAAACCGGAGAAGCTGAGCTCTGTGCTGGTGTTGCTTGTTCTGCGAGTGAAACCGTTTGAGGTGGAGGCGTCCCTCTCTGTCTGCTGAGCCTGTGTCCAGGTCTCAGAGAGGACTTCCAGAGACCGAGCCTTGTGCAGACGTTGAGGCAAACTGGGCTCTTCTCTGGATGGCCCTGCAGAATCTTGCAGACTGGTTTCTTCAGTGATGCTGGGTGGAGGAGAAGAGCGAGGTTCGCTGCTGGTTGCAGACAGGTTCAGGTTGGAGCTGTGCAGCTTCCTTTGCACACTGTAAAGACCAGTGCGAGGGTTGTTGTAGGGTTGCAGGTACATGGCAGGGATGTAACCTCCTTTACCATTAAATCTGAAGAGAGGATTGAAAGGGATAAGGAGATCAAATCAACCTGAAAAATCTCATTCAATGCATGCTAAATATCACCTGTGCTTTCCCGGTGGCTATTTTCTACACATATAAGAATTATTCTTATATTACTGGCCAGAAATTTCAGTCATATGTTGTTTCTTAGCTGCAGTTGAGCTACCTACCACAATCAAGGGTTTTAACTCCTATATTGCTCTACCAAGATGTAAACAAGCACATAGGACATATGGCACCAAGAATAAAACCTGCTTTCTTCCTCTCTCTGATGTGTACATGAATAAGGCATTGATGGAATTTCTACCACAGCCTGTGCTCTATATTCCCTCTATTGTTTACAGCAGACTGAAGGACAAAAGAGGCATACCTGATGAGCCACCAGCCATCATCAGACTTTCTCAGCACCTCGACCACAGAGCCAATGGGCACTGACACCTCGTCATCTTTTTTAGCTGAGTAACTCTTCACGGCACAGTACAGGGTACCTGAAAGAGGCAAACAGAGAATAATGTTACACTACAAGAAAGGCGGAAGGAAAAAAGTCAAGTCAGCTCAAAAAGGAAGCATGTATTTCAAAAAAATGGTCAAAGAGAGCTCCCTAGTGTCTGCTCTTTGTAACAGCCGGGATTAACTGTAAGTATGTAAAATGACTTTGAACAATTAGTGAGGGATTCAACCATTGTCCTGGCAAAAGTACAGTTACGCAACCTTGTTATTTACCCTACTTGCATTCTTTCTGTGACAAATAAGTACTCTACCTCCTAACTGGAATCCAGCAACATCGTCATCGTCATCCTCTGTTTCCCACAACTCCAGGTAAGGAGCAGGAAACCAAGCCAAGCGCTTCTCCTCGTTCTCCACCAGCCACCAACCTGCAGAGAAAAAAAAAAGAAACTACATTTAGCCAGTTGAAAAAAAGAGGACACTTCTGAATGTTGCAGTTTAATACAAGCTAAAACTCTGACCTGCAGGGTCCTTAATGAGGACATCCAGTTTCTCATCCACAGCCACCTTAAAGGGACGGTTCTTGGCATCTTTTGTCTCATAAGCGGCCATGCAGCGGTATGTCTGGGTGACCATGGGGTGAGTGACGTTCCCTGCAGGCTGTTGGTCTCCTCCTTCTCCATCTGGGCCATCAGACAGCAGGATCATAATGCTGCAAGAAAAGGGAGGAGGAATGTCAGAATCAGTCGTCCTTTCAACTTTTTGCATTATTTGGACTCAATCATGACATGATGCACCTACCTGTTCTTGGTGAAATCAGTCTTCAGGTCGTGGTCTTTGGGCGTGAAGAACCGAGTGAGCTCTGAGCTCTGGGTCACTATCTGGTCGCACTTCAGCAGCTCCATACAGTAGCCCTCCAGGAACTTCATGCGTCGCAGGGTTCGCTTTGACCCTTTCTGCTGGAGGCTTCTCCTCGCCTTCCCTGAGGAGAGGAGAGGATGCAGTTGTAAGGTTTATGCTACTCGACTTTGGAGTCCTTGAATTGCTTTTCTAAATGTTTATGGACAGAGAATTTTAAAAAGAAGAGGTGCTGTAGAGATGAATTATGTTCATGCTGATTTTAGTTGCATAAGAATAATAATTCTTCTATGCTTTTCTTGTTAAAAGATAGTGTTACAACATAATGCTGTAAATGTTCAATAGAGACCAATTAAAAGTAGAAAAAAAGATATCTTACCATTAAATTTGGGGATCACTCTGTCTTTCCGAAAGGGGTTCATGTGGGGGAATCTCTTCTTCAGCTGCCTCTGTTTAAAGATGAAACATTGGGATATTGCTTATTATTATGATTACTAAATGTGTTCACAATTTAAGAAAAACAAGTTGTGTTTTTTTTTGTGTTTTATTCTGATACTTACATGAAATTTCTTAAAATCCTGGAAGGACCTGTAGATAATCACTTCAGCCTCATCAGACCATAGCACTGATATCATGAACATCTTTGGAGAGAGTGGAAAAAATGATCAAAATAATATCAAAACAGAAATAATACACACTGATATAATGTGCAAATGAACTTGTGATGCAGAGCATCACTTACCTTGAGTTTTGGTGAGTCCCTGACCACGGATCCAATGATCCGGGCACTGATCACGAAGCGCTGATCGCTGACCATGGTGCTCTCTTCTCTCTGTGAGTCTCTGTTCGTGGGATGAGAAAAGCTGCTGTTCAGATCTTCAGTCTCTAGCTGGGATGTCTCGCTTGCTCTGGGTACCTTACGCTTGTCATCGGTGATTAATATACGTTGGCCGTGGGGGAGGAGTCAAGAAGCCCAAAAAATCCTCAAGAAGTCGTAAAGCACGGCGAACACGTGCGGAGGCGTGGGTATGCAGCATCCACGTGGAGGCAGGTGCGGCTGCTTCCGACTCTAAATCACACAGGTGAGCATCTCTGACATTGCGTCGCCTGAGAAATTCCGAGCGGGAAATACACACCTGCCACTAAAAGAAAGCGTGCTTTCACACATGTTCCCTGAGGACCTGTTGACTGATGACTTAGGAGCAATTATGAAGCATATTTCCAGTCAACCATTTGCTCAAATTAACAGTGCCTGCGTCAAACAAACATGACAGCATAGAGGTATTTCTTTGTGACACTGGTATGCACAAAAGCCTGAAACGGACAAACATCCTTACATTCATTGAACACCATTTTTACAATGAGAAATCTCTGTGGTTAATTTACATATTAAAGGTTCAGTGTATACAAATATTTGGTCATATTTAGCTGTCAGATTGTAGACTAAAATACTCATTTGCAATGTTTTGCTTTATTGCAGTCTTTGAAACCAAATTTTCAAATTTATATCCAGCTTTTCTTTTAGTGTGTGGAATCACAAAAAACTCCTTTTGTGTTCAATAAGATTTTGTTTTTCATTTAAAAATGCCTTTAAAGCTGCAGCATACTGCAATTTCAGTAAATGCAAAATTTGGACCTGCAAACCAGTCTTCAACTCAGGCTGCAGCACACAACACCTGCATTCATGTTCACTCAGATCTTTGAATATCCTGTTAAAATCGCATGATTTTATCCAAAATGAAATCAAGGTAAGGCTTACTAATTCAACTGGTTCCCAGGTAACCTTTCCGCAACAACAGGAGTCCAGAAAGTACTCTGACCAGAAGGAAGTCCAAACTAAGACCCTTTCAGAAACCAGGGTCTCCTCTTACAATTCAAGATTGACATGAAAACAAATGACATGTGTATTAAGGAGCTTTACAGGTGTCAGAAACTTATCAAATAGCTTTGGACAAAGTAAAGTGATAAGTGAATCTCTGTAAATTTCATCAGTTTCTGTAATACAACATGATTCATACCAGTGGTATGGTTATGGTATGTTTCCAGGAAAGCAAACATTTATGGTCTTGCTTGCCTTCTTGTTGTCTTTATTGTCTTCCACAACACTTCCTGGTATTCCCTGCATCCTCTGAGTCCCATCATAACATGTGTGTTTCCACGTGCAATCATTTCACACTTGTCAACTCGCTGTAATATCCCTTATCAGGACCAAGTGTGGAGAGCTTTGCATGTATGAGTGACTTAATAGGAAAGGGCGTGCATGTGTGAGGGTGTGGAAGGGGGAGCAGGTGTTTCTTCAAAGTGAAAAGTGCATTACAGGGCCAAAGTCAGAGGGGGTTATCCCAACCAGTCATCAGATTAACTCGGGTGTGGAGTTCTCATCTGAAGTGATGCCAGGATTTTGCTGCGCACACATCGACTCGAACACACAGAGCGTTGTGGTGTGAAAGGTCAGGACTGTCCAGCTCAGTGTATAACCTGGTAGGTTGTCAACACTTGAGAGAAAAGCCACGTGAGGTTTCCCTCACTGAGCGAATGGACCATGACTTTGGATTTTTGGGGGAATCTGTGGATGACACAAGATCATGCAGGGGCATCGAGAGCGAACCAGAATGTGCTCGTATATTGGTACAAAACACAATCATAATGAACATTAGGCAGTCATTCAGTCTCATAAGAAGAGTCACGGAGAGGGTTAAACTAAAATACTGTATTCAAAATTGTCTCGTATACAAAATTTTGATCATGGAAATATTAAATGTTCATTTGAAAAGCAGATTGTGCATTCATATGTCCTCTTCACCTATTAGGCACTGGTCACTACACATCTGTGAGAGCTCATACTGCCCACTGAAGCTGTGGCCTGTTTTTAACACCTCAAATCTCCAAAAGTAGTATGGGAAGTAAAACCTTGATTCTTAGGCCCCTCTCCTTTGGAATTGTACTAGTATGGATCGAAGAGGCAAGCACTCTCTCTACTTTCAGAGTCGTCTATTTTGCCTTGAACCAGCCTCTCCAGTTATGCTGCTATGTGCTTAGACTTGATACACAGAGCCTTACCCTATAGAAACTATCTACTTCGTCCCTAACGGTTTTGTATGCTTTAGAAAACATGTAGAAGTATGATCCAGAAATACAACCAGCCTCTCTGGGCTCAAGCTTATTTCAGATGGACTGAGGCAAAATGGAAAACTGTCATAGAGGTTGCTTCCTCTGCTATAAAAAAGAGAGGGACCACCTAACTTTTGATTAGCTCACAATTCAAAAGCCATCATCTCTGATGTATAGGGATGCACAAGTGTTAACAGCATTGGTAGCGTACATATCTGTGAAGACACTGTTAATGCTGAACATAATATATGAGCTTTGGAGCAAAATATCTGCCATCTAGACAATGCCAATTTCAGGGAAGACCTTGCATATGTCAGCAAGGTGATGCCAAACTACAGTTTGCACAGATCACATCAACATGGCTCTGTAGTAGGAGAGTCCAGGTAACAGCATTTATTTTCAGAACTCCATAAAGTGGTCTCCTCATAAAATCATCTTAAATGTTCTTCTGATCTTTTCATTGTCTTAATTTACATATATATCAAATTTAAAAATAATAAGAGGTAGTTAGAATGTTGATCATTTGAAATTCAATGCCCTACATCTGTCAAATTTACACTTTCATTTTTACTGTAAACGCGTCGGGATGGATTCTTTCAAACCACAGGATTGTAACAGCTTGTGTCTGCAGAACAATGAATGATTGTTAAGTTGTTGAACAGACAGTTTTTTGTTTGCCTGCCCAGTCAAAGAAAACAGTAGTGACTCATTTGTAAGTGACCTGACAGTTCTGATTGATTAGTAAAGCCCTACAAATGGAGTTTACACAGTGTGCCAATCAATGCCAATCATATATTGGATTAAAACTCAATCATTCACTCACATCCTCCTTCCTTTCCGCAAAATATACTTGTTTGGAGTATTCCCTTCATACATGGCATTGTTTTGTTTGATTTGGCTTTGCTATATCATCTCTTCTTTGTCTGAGTTCTCCTGAAACTGACTATTAAAATGTCAGCGGAATTACTCAGGTGCTTGGCTCAGCTTTTCTTTTCTTCTGTCTCCAACAAGCACTTCCAGGAATATGAGTGCAACCCATTTAGCAAATTCTATCTGCTGAAAACACAAACTTGCACATATCACTGACTGTATATTTGTATAGTTATATAAAATTTAAATAAAATAAACGCTACTGTAAAGTATTCAGAGCACTAGTCCTCTAATTACCACCATTAACCCTCCTAATGAACGAACTGGCTGTAAGGCACACACCCCGACACAGCATTTAGTCAGTGTGCTGTTAAAACACTGTCAGTGTTCATATGGTGCAGCTTGGACACAACACCAGTGATGATCCCAGGGTCATAGGGTGTTTTGGGTGTCATGATCAATGGGTACCCTCACCTAGGCGGCCCAGTCAGGGCTGATCAGACCTTGGTTTGTGTCCAGGCAGCATCCTACACCATAGAACACCTCTCTTTATCCACAACTATCACAAAGCTTTTTCAGCAGCCTCACTGATCTTTCTGATGGATTTCCTCCCCCGGCAACCCATTTATACCAAAAGGCTGAGTGCTCAATGAAAGAGATGTCCCTGGGAATCCCCTGCAGCCAATTCCGATGGGTTCACAGTGATTTTCTGTACAGGCCTCTATTGGCTCACAGTATTTGGCTCTTTTTGCTCACGGGCTTAGTTCGCTCTTCCCATGAGATTATAAATTCCAGAAGCACCACTTGTTTCGTTAGGACCAAATCCAGCCTGTGCAATGTACTTATTTTATGTTCCGGAAACCTACGCTGCACCCTCAGGTCCACTTTCAGCTGCCAGTCACAAGCTGAGGCTAGCAACCCTCACTGAGACCTTGTGCTCTGCCTTCCGCTTCTCCCTGCTTGGATGGAGATGACATTCTGCTTTGTTGCGACCTGAAATTTGCTCTGCTGGATCCCAGTGCAGATGGTATCATCTACTGCCTTCAGCACCTGTAAACCTCCCCTCTCCCAGGGCTTTTCAGCAGCAACTCAAGATTTGCTCCAAGGAACCTTGAGCTTGGTACTGTGGGCATGCTAGAGTTTTCGCCAGATCCCAGCTTGGATGAACATCTACACTGACTGGATCAGGAATATCAGTTTAGCTGGTTCTGACCCATAAAGGACCCTCCAGGTGTATGATCCCAGTTAGTCCTAGCTCCTTGTTGGCGCATGGCCACTGTTCCAATGTTCCTCCTCCACCCTTGCAAGGATCTCTTTCTGGGCCCACCCTCAGCCTTGTAGAATCATGGTGTTAAGTGGCTACCAAGCCCAGCTCGCCCGATGCCCAGTCAAGTTGACCGTTCTCAGACTGGCCTGTGCCTGTTCAATTGCCTCATGAAGCTGCCATTTCCCTCCAGCCCTGACTGCGATAGAGTGAAGAGTCAGTTCACATCATTAATGTCCAAGAGCCGACCCTTGGAGTCGACACATCTCTAGTGCAAAGAAAATAACTCATATGGATTTATCATATCCAGAAGATGTGTGAGTCTGACCTGCACTGGTGACTGAGAAACATTGCTGGGGTGCCTGAAGCTGGTTCAGCTAAGTGACATTGGTATGCCAATATTCTAGAGCCTTATACCCTGCAGAGTCAGCTTATTTGGCTAACTAAGCCCCACAAAGATGTTCTTAGAAGCACAGTAGATTTTCTTGCTTCAAGGATCTCAGAGCAGCCCTCAACTCAGGTCTTCTGTTACTAATTTGTCAACCAATCCTTCAGTCTGATAACCTCAGTTCACCAGTCTGAAGCTCCTCTAAATGTTAAAGGGTTAAACACTTCAGATACTTCTTATCAGAGCCAGACATCAGCTGATAACACAACTTGCTGCAGAGCTACCTGAGATTAGCAGTTAACTACTCTTGGCAGTGGTTACTTAGCTAAGTTTCCTGCCTGAAAATGTACTTACTTTAAGTTCCTGCTCCTTTGGTGGCATTAATCATCACGTGAACTGGTAAATTATAGACCTGAATTCAATGTCCGGGTTGATCTTCTGCTTACTGTCTTGTGAATAATGAGCAGTTTTGTTGAGACCCCCAACAGTCCTGAGGGACTCCAGTGATGAGCTTTGGATTTCCCTTGCAGTTCCTATCTGGATATGTTTATTTTGGGCCTCTCCTCATTTGTGTCTTTCTTATTCATGCCGTTTCAACTTTTTTTGACAATTTAAAAAGTGCAGTATGCTTCTATCGTTTTACTTACTTGTTTTTGACAATTTGCTGCTTGTAGAGATCATCTGCAAATCATAAATAGGAAAAGACACTTGTTGAGCGCATAGGAAGTGTTACTAGGAAGTGTTACAGCTTTTTCCGTGAACAGTCTCTAATTACGGATAAGCAAAAATATGTTTCCTATAACTTTTTTTTGTTGAAGTTTGTGCATTTGAATGTGGGTAGAGGTATATGTGTGTATCTGTATTGGGGGTAAAAGGTTACAAGAACAAATCCATGGATAGACAAACAGTCGATATCACACAGGTGAGGACGTGACCAGGCGCACGCAGAGTTGACTGCTTCAGGCAAACATTACCTCATTCTCCAGAATTGAAAGGCGCTACTTATAAAGGTGTGGCGCATCTTAAGGAAACAGCAAGGACTTGGACTTGGTCTTTACCTAAAATTAGACAGGCTTTCATCGAGAACCGTCCTTTAGATAACCATTGGTGGTAGTGCAAAATCGAAAAGATAAATTCTTACATTTTACATCATTATCCTCTTTGGGAAACATACATTTAGATAAAAACAAAACAGCAAAAGCAGAAACAGAAAACTGTCACGGTTTATTGTGCTCTTTATTAGTGCGCACTGATTGATTTTATGAGTGTTATCTCAACAACAACTTTATTGAACAATAAAAGATAACAGACATCCATGACCTAAAACTACCACAAGGAAGCTGTGGATAAGATCGTCACACAGATACTGTAACATAACGGGAAAGCTGTCATTTGAAGCCATTTTGAATTATAATCATTTGTGAGTGAGTGAGTGAGCGGCGTGTCATCAAGTTGCACAGGTGAAGGGGGTGTCAATGGTGCACAATTTCTGAGAAATTACTACCCTTGTTACACCAAGTAGAAGGAAGCTTTGCTGTATAATAAAAACAAGGAGTTGCTTTTCTTCCTCTACACTTGAGCGTCTAAGTGGTATGCAGGTATGCAACACTCAAGGTGAAATGAATTGGCTTGTAGAATAAGGATCAGGCCTAATGAGGAAAGGGAGCTGGTCCATATGACTTAAAGATGTCAAAGATGAGAAGGATACATTTCTTCATCTGAACAGCATGAAAAAGTAAAGTGATGGCTGGAAAAATGGTAGATTTTTTAAATTTTTTTATAGCGCCTACTAAATAGGCACACACAGAAAAAGGCAGATGACTTCCACATGAGTCATATAACTTTAAGAGAGAACAACTGATACACTGTGCTGTGTGAAGCTTCCTCCTTCCTTCCCTACCTTAAAAGTGGGAAATTACCTGCTATGGAGTCTCAAGACCATATCCTCATGGTGACCTTATTCTTGTGATGCCATGCTTAGAGTGAGAAACTCCTGTATTGACATAATATGTGTTGTAAGCCATTTAAACCTTCATAGTCCTACAGAATGTGTTATTTTTACAGTATCTTTGCTGACAATAATCCACAAAGACAACAGACTGTGAGAACCAGGACGAGAGTCAGGCATTACCTCTCCATTATGCCGCTTCCTAAACAGCAATGACATCCCAGTAAAATGTTTATTTTATCGTTCAAGGCTTTGGTAGAGCTAATGTTTATGTTGGTGTCTATTTTCACATCATGCAAGCAAGCCAACAATACATTACAATATAAACAAATGCTCTGGTGGTTGACATGGTAACAGCCTGAGGGTTAATAGCTAACAGGGTCTCCTCTATGATCATAGAGGATTTAAGCAGTATACTGTTTGAGAGCTAACATGATACTAAAATAGACATCAACATAAACACGAGTGGCTTAATGCTAAAGTCAGCCATGTTCTGATGTTAGCTGATGGGCTGTCAAATGGGTCCTTTTGACCACACTGTCTCCTGGTTTTTACGATCTGTTTTCTTTGAGGTTGCTTCTCAGTCTGTGAGCTGAAAATGCCACAATGCATTCATCAAGGTTGAGATGATTAATAACCTGGTACACAGCAATAGCACATTATGACGACACTTGAGTTTCTCACCCCGAGCTTGTAGTCATAGGGATATGGCTTCCACAGCAAAGCTTGGTAAAAATTGGTTTATTATGTAACATTTTTGAAGAAGAACTTTTAGTTGTTTTTTTTTTTTCAACCTTCAAAAACGATTCTGTCTTTATTCTAAGTAATGAAAATGAAAAATAATCATAAAATAAGATGTACGTCAAATTAAAGCTGTGCTAAAAGCCTTGTAAGGCTGAACTCATGGCTGTTTGTTTGTTTGTCTGTTTGTTTGTTTGTTGAATTCTTATACAAGTTTTCCGCTAGATGAAAATTCTTGATTTTCATACAAAATTTTTAAAACAAAAAAAATTTCACCTTGTTTGAACATGTTGCTTAAGCCATGGTAGTGCCTGTAGCTCACTGATGTAAGTATCACAACATTTCCACAGAAACAGAGCTAACATCTTATTTGAAAAGTTGAGTTTTACAGCTGTGGTTTGGGAGGGAATATATTCTTTTCCTAAATAAGCTTTAAAGTCATTATTTTTTAACATGAATGTTAGCCAGCTAACATTTACAGCACGACAAGGGCAGGACTTATATTTTTACTATAGAAAATCACATCTTAAGGCTGTAACCATAGACTGTATATACTATGGACAACCTGGTTCCGCCTTCCACCTGTTTACGGATTTGAAGGCAAAAAGCTCTCGGTAATTCTGTGTTTTTCTCCACTTCCTTGAAACCAAAGCTGCGCAGTAGCGATGCGCGCATTCGGCCACGCAGTCGCCGAGAGTCCCTGTGATGACCCTCGGCTCAAACAGCGTATCCCCCCGGGTGAGCTATGCAATCCCTGAACGCCCATAGGCTGTACCAGGTGTCAATCATAGAAAACATGAACCCCCTAATAACTTTTAAAAACGGAGCTGTACAGAAAAAAAAGGACTTGGGCACAAACTAGTCTTACAATAACTACATGTCAACATCACAAGCAGGGGGGAGAAAAATTTATGTTCTTTGTAATAAATTTCTAAAGTTTGTCCACAGTCCCATAAGCTTTGCTGGCGGAGGCGGGATTTATGACTTGTACTGCAGCCCACCATCAGAGGGTGCTGTTCCTGGAGTGGCTTCACCCAGCGAGGAGGCAGACTCTGTCCATTCTTTATACAGTCTATGGCTGTAACTTTTCAAACGTCCTTTTTGGTTTTATGTTGGCCATATTTTCACAATTTTTATCATTTCATCAAGATTTTCAAATTTGGCTCTCTTACTTGACAAAGTACCAAACAGTCTCTCAGCTGGACTGTAAATATGATTTTAAGGTGTTTTTTTCTTTTATTTTCATTCATCTTCTATATCACTTAGCCCTTTCGGGGTCGTGGGTGGGCTGGAGCCTGTCCCAACTACTCACACTCACACTCATACCGAGGGGCAATTTAGAGTCGCCAATTAACCTGATGAGCATGTTTGTGCCCCGGAGAAAACTCACATGCTCGGAAAGAACATGCAAACTTCACGCAGAAAGGCCCTGCCCAACCCAGGGATCGAACCAACAACCTTGTTGCCGTGAGGCACGTACACTGCCTGTGCCGCCCTGTTTCTTTTATTTTATGTTTGAGAAATTTACCATCTTTGTGTGCAATTACTGGCCTGCAAATATTTGGCAACTATCACTCAGCACATGGCTAAGTACAGCTTAAGCAGCCCTTTTTTCCACACACCTTAAAGTGTTTTTTGTACCCAACTTTAGGAAAACTAAATTAGCTCTGGGGAAAATTTGAATCAGTTCTTACATGAATGACTGCATTAATTACTTAAACTGATTTGATTGTCCAAGCTGAGCCACATCATTATAACAATGTTGTATAACAATAGTACAAAACACTCCTTTTTCTTTGAATGAGTGTACTATCATTGAAACTTCCTGCAAGGAAGTTTCTGGTCCGTAGCCAAAATTTAAACCTGCCTGTGAGATAATAGTTGGGTGTTAGTTGGCGGAACAGAGATTGTAACAGATATAGGGAGGTATGTGTGACCGAAGGGAAACAAAGCATACTTCACTCTAGTGCAACCGCAGCAAAGATTAAATGCACCTATTGTTTCATATGGTTATGTAATAATAAACTAAAAATGTGTGATCATATTTCAGGATTGAGAATGAGATACAAGGTTACGCATTGTACTACTGGCCTTGTTATGTAACAATGAAGGGGTTGGCTGATGCATCTGCAGATGACCACACCTGACACACATCTTATGTCATTTTAAACAAAAAAAAAAAAAAAAAGCCAACAAGCACCATCCAGAGCAGACAAGTTGCCCTATCAATACTGCATCTGCTGCATGTCTTCCTTGACGAGAAGGAAGAGGTTTTTAAGATGGTTAAACCCAGCATTTTATCAATAATCAATAGTTCTTTGGCAGAAGATATACTTCCCTCTGTTTTTAAACACGCACTTTTAAAGAAATCTAACCTTGACGCCTCTGATTTTAGACCAATTTTAAAACTTCCTTTTATATCCAAGGTTTTAGAGAAGGTGGTTTCTACTTCACTTTTATCTTTCGTGTCTCATAATAGATTATAATCTTTGAGAAATTCCAGTCTGGTTTAAGAGCAGGTCACAGCACTGAGATGGCCGACTTCAAAGTGACCAATGATTTGTTTTTAACAGCAGATAGAGGAGAGGGAGCCATTTTATTTATTCAGATCTCAGTGCAGCATTTGATACTGCTGATCATCCTATTTAAATTATACTGCTTAGAGACTGGGTGGGCTTCAGAGACACTGCGCTTAGCTGGTTTTCCTCCTATCTTTTAGAGCAAACCTTTGCAGTCACCAAAGGTAACCATTCCTCCTCCACCTCTAGTCTCACCTGCGCTGTACTGCAAGGTTCAGTTTTAGGTCCAGTTTTATTTTCTATTTACATGCTACTCCTTATTCAAACAATTCAGAATCAAAAGGTCTTCTTTCACTGCTACACAGACAACACAGAGATATACCTGCCTTTGAGACCTGAGGACCAAAGAAGTTAAGCTGCTGTGGCACAGAAACTTTTCTACAACTACACTGCAAATCTGAAATAATCATGTTTAATTTACAAAATTCCATAATGACATAATGACAACCTGGGCTCATTTTTTATTTGCTGCTGTGCTATACATGTCAAAGTACAATATAAAGCCATGTTTGTAGAGGGCTAAATAAAAAAGTTATTATTTACCAGTCAAAAAGACTGGTTGATGTTCTGTACATAAGATAAAAAACACTATTCTTCCTGCTTCTCTCAGGCCAGTTTGCACCACCCAACCACTTGTAAAGGTGTGCAGGGAGTTTCTTTTCTCACATTTTATCAAAATATTTTTTCAAAGTTTACTGATCCCCAAAGAGATTTACTTGTCCGGAATCTCATCTCATTTACTAGAAGAATAAAAAAGTCTGACGGCTGTGGTTACATAAGATCTTCTGAATCTCTCCATCAAGCAGCAGAGAGAGATGAGCTGTTCACCACCTTCCTTGTTTTTTTTTCTGCACCATCAAGGTGTTTTAAGGTGGATGTGCCACTTAGAAGTACACTCTTCAGGAGGCAGGTGCAGAGTCATTAGTAAAATATGCCTGACTGTGACAGACACATGTACCGTTCTGTTTCACGCGACTCCAGCCCCCCGGTAACACACGTGTAATGTTCACCAACATGTAACATACTTTTACAGGTCAGCAAACCTGAAATGCAACTAGGTGTCTGTGCACCATCAGCTTTTTCATGTTCTGTGCTTTGATGGCTCCATATTCACATATTTCATGTGTTCATGTAGCGCCAGAACACTCAGTTCCCACAAGACATAGCAGGCACAGCCAAGCATTTACTAAATACCTACCTGAAAATTTGGCTCAGACTTTGTGATCCTTTCCCTTTCAAAGACTTCACAGACAGAGAAGGGGATTTTCTGTAGTGACTTGTCTATTGTCTTTGTATCCGCATGTGTTGCTGAAAACAGAAAGTGATGGTTTTCAGGTCACTGAAATCTCATGTGTAACAGAAAATAGGACAAAGATGGAATATGAATACGAGGCCAACAGTGTGTTTCTAAACAGATCCAACAGTGGCAAAAATTAAAAAAGGACTGGAAGAGTTAAGAGATGCTTTGAGTTTTGACTGGCAACCAATAAGTTGCAAGATTGTTATATAAAGTTTGTCCAAGTAAGGCTGAATCTTTCCAAAGTAAAAACCCCTCTGTGACAGAGTGTGCTGGCAAATAGTGTATTACTTTAAGAACTAAGTTTTCCAGCGTAAAGTTAAGAAGAGATTGAGGATTTTACCATCTATGGTACATAATGTACGTTTTAAAGGATTCAGGAAATCAGATTAAAACTGTTCTGTGTTTAAATTACAAATGGTATACCCTCTAGGCTCAGAGGGCAGTGTCTATGTGGGTATGTGAATGCACTAGCGCACATGGCATGGATAACTTGCACATTTATGAAACCACCATCAGTGCAGAATGATTTACACAAGTTGAAGAGCACGATGTACTGCCAGGTAGTTATAAAAACAGAGTCACCAAACCACTCTTTGCACGAATTACAGGCGAACGTGAAAGAGTGTCGATGCGAAACTGCCCTGTACTTTTTTTCTCATCCATTCAATATTTTTTCATAATTAAATGTAGAAAACAACGGATGAGACCTACAATTGTTGGGAAACTGGATTCTTGTACCAAACAAAAATGTGAGAATATGCTACTATTAGATGACAGTAGTTTCCCTCCTCAGTTTGTAAATGTCCACAGTGTTGTAAAAAGACAAGGTTATGTAACAGAGCGGTAACCCTGCCCTAACTTTATGGATTATGTTCCTGGTAAGAAATTCAACAAGGGCATTGAGTTTCAAAAGCAACAAACAATAAATGGGCTGTGCTCATGCTATTAAAAAAGGAATGTGAGGTTTCAACATTTTGTGAATTACCTCACTGTTTCTGCACAGTGTCCAAACTTTTTTGGAGTTGTATATGATTCCTGTGGGCACATTATATTTAGTTGTGTATTCTTGTTCCTTCACCACATTGTGCTAGAATACACTTCTAACTGAATTGCATGCTAAGAGACACAGCGGGAGAGAGCTGTATATTGGCTAAAAAAGTTCCTGCCTTTTCATTTACTCATGGTTTAATTTTGGAGGTCTATTGATGAAATGTACTTGTTTTTTATTTTATCAATTGAACCAAGTATGTATTAAATTGTAGATGTATGCATACCCATAATTGTACAGAAAAAAAAAAGAAATGTATATGTTTGAAGACAAGGAAGAATTCCTCATTGATGGAGATTTGGCACCCTCTGTGGGCAAAGCAGAAGCTCCTACCTCTTTTCTGATTTATTCCTGTACATACTGGATTAAATACTGATATTTTTAGATCTTTAAAAAAAACCCTGACACTGCAGCAGGAACTTGAAATCAGTACTTAGGCCCTAATCGCAGCTCCATCCATTAATAATTAAAGCACATAAATCTCCAGTCATCATGTAGGCAGTCTTCTTGCTTTTTGTAGGTTGTACACAGGCATCATTTTTAGTATAAATCTGTCTGATAACCAGCTGAAAACTCCTAATTTAAGTGTAAACGAGTATGTCAGGTGATTATAATTGTGAGATATGGTATGAAAGTGCTGAAACCTTATGTTGTATATTCTTCAGACAAGAGACACATTGCTTGATGTTTTGATATGATTTCTTAAAATCCATTTTTCATTCTTTACAATCACACCATCAAACAAATCCAAGCTTAATCTCAAACAAACATACCTCTTGTCCTGTTATAATACAACTCTGACAGGTCTTAGAAAGATGGCACCATCACATGGGAAAGGGAACATGATCAGGGAGCAACGTCAATAGGCAATTTAACAAAAATATTTCCTTTAATTCAGATAGAATCTTCTTTGAATCATATACTATAAGGATAGAACAAAATTTTGTCTCTGAAAACTGAAGGTTTAACTTTTGGAGAGTGCTATGTTGCGAGTGTTGCATAGTCGAGAAGACATTAATGTAGGGGTGGCAGGGACTTAAATTAAAACAACACGAGGGAGTAAAAAGCTTTTGTATATCACAGAGTGCAGGGTAAAAATACTCTTCTTATGTGATTATTTGGCTCTCATCCCCCCCTCCACGTACACTTAAACCTTTAAAACCTAGCTTGACCTGCCACCTTGATGCTTGTGTATCAGCATTAGTAACATATAGTCCATCTTTGTGCAAATGTAACTCAATAGAACAAGATCCACGGCAATCACATGTGATAATAATCTCCCAAGCAGGTTAATGAACACAGGGAAAGCTCTTTGTGTGTGTTACTCACATTGCAGCTTGTAAAACTGCCACTTTGCTTCAATCATTGAGATAAAAATAAAATATCCTCATGGCCGGCAAACAAAGACCCAGCTTAGCTTTATAAAAATACTGTCACTCTAGCTTATGGGCTGATTAAAGCTCCATTCAATCTAACTTTTCTCCTGGTTCCATTCCATGCAGACGACTCCTTTAGTATTCATAATTGCAGACTCCTCATAGGAATCTTTGTCACACACAGCAGTCTTGTGTTTTATGTTGCTCACTCCACATCAGCTGAATGAAATCTGGAAAACCGCGGGAAAGTGTGTAAAAATGCCGTGCCAAGCTTTGCGCTTAAAAAACCAGATGTTAAAACAAAAGAAGAAATGGGGTTCACTATGAGAGCCACTCCCAGTCTCTGATGCTGGTTCTAACTTTACAAGCTGCAGCCGCGTAGCAGGAGCTACACTTCTTTTCCTTCCATCTCCTCGTCTCGCTCTTTCGTACATTCATTAGTCCTGGATCCCGTCCACATTTTAATCAGCTGTCCATTCATTTGTTTGAGTGTGTAAGAGTTTGCACTTCTCCAATGGGGGAAATTACCATCCCTAGTTGTCCATTGTTCTCCTCCTCAGTAGCATCCACAGACCTCTGCTTCACTTAAAGTCTCTGTCCGTCGCAAAAAAAAAAAAAAAGGAAAAAAAAAAAAGATCCAGGATGCTGACCGATGTCACCGAAACTCATAGATGGCTGCACTGTGCTCGGGAACATGGGTGAGGTTTAGTGACTGGTACCTGCAGTTTAAAAACACAGCACTGGTTACAATATGTCCATGTGCAAGCAGCACGACATACAGGTCAGTCAGAGCAGCCTCTTAAAAAACTGCCATAAAAACTCATGAGCAACCTTTTAAAAATATCTATCTTTCAAACTGAAACTTTTTTGCAAAGTAGCAGAGATTTTGCAACATATTCTGAGTATTCTAGATTATTACATTTGAAGACAGTTTAATGATGTAATGAAATATGAACTTTGCCTTTTCAATTCATTAAGGGGTATTATTAATATTCATTTCCATCTGATCATCTTCAGCCAAAAACACCTTACAAAAGCTTAAAGTTCAGAAATTCACACCATATTATTATGACAGCCATGGCCACACTGGATTCAAACCAGAGACCTTACTCAAACCAGTCCCACCATGGCGTGAACCCACACAATAAAGCACACTTCATTGAGGATTAGATACAGCAGCAAGCTCTGGAACAAATTCACCCCACTCCTAGAAACAAGTGATATCATACAAACAGATAAATAACTCATAATTACTCATTTTTAAAGACCAATAAAACTACTCCACAATTTGTGAAACTAACTTTTAGTCAATCCCTGTAAATAAAATGCTTTGTGATGGGAGAAACAGTTGCACCTCACAGCTAAGGGTTTGTTAACAAGCCCTCCACATGAGCATGCACACTGACTGACAGAGTGCAAGGGGAGGATGGAAGGAGTGCTTTGAGAGGACTCCTGTGGCCTCTGGTGTAAAGTATGAAGTCTGAGCGCCCTCTGCTGGACAAACTGGGTGATGCTTCTCCAAAATAATGGGATGCTTTTTATCCCTAACAGGTCCTGTAAACATGAGCTTTAATCTGCCCATAACTGAAAACATTTATCCAGATATATTGTGCTGGTCTGCCTATGTTATATTGCTGAGATGGCCTATGACAAATATTCTAAAATCAGTGTTTGTTTTCCATTATAAGCTGATATGAAAACTTTTTCAGGTCGTATAAATTAAAAATATTATTTATCTACATCAAATTATGTCATGACTGTGTTCGCCTCATAGAGCAGAAAATTAAAGCAGCACAGATGATGGTCTGCACATGATTTGGTTGACACTGTGTGTAGTAATATTAGTTTTTCTTAATTGTTTTGTCTGATTTTATTTTTGGGAACAGTCTTCACCTTCTCCACACTGAGAGAGCAATCCTCACAACTTTTTGTTTGAAAGCTCTCAACACTACTTCACTCTGACTAACAGTGACTTCTTTAAACTTCTGTTCTGATACGTTACCATTCAGAGCTCCTGTGGTAGTAATAGCCCTCGATTGTTGCTGTGGATTTCTGGAAGCAGATGTAGTAGAATCCAGCAAAGGAAGCCCCACTGATGTCTTTAATTGTGTGGTCTGGGACAAGAAACTGTTCCTGAGGGGGGCAGACAGTGTAAGAAATGGCAAAAGCGAAAAAAACAAGTGACGGGGTTTAATTTGACGCAGCACCTTACCTTCCACCGCATGAAAATATAGTCAGAATTCTTCAGATCCTCGTAGTCAAAATCATCAGAGTTGAATGACTTGGCATACTGATAGAAGGCCTGGAACTTGCCCTTGACATTAAAAGTGAAAGGAGTCTGTCAGAGTAAAGCAGCCTTCAGCTGTGTGGAAAGTAAATGAACAAGCTATCAGCTTACCCAGTGTTTACGATCAACATCTTCATCTGCATCCCACTTACGGGTGAGAAATGGTCGCTTCCTGCTGATGATCTCTCCAGCAAAGAACGTGGTTAGCGTTGGGTATTCCTGTAGAAGAAAACACAACAGAGAAAAGATGACTTCCTTTTTGCTTCAGCATGCTTGTGTGTGTTAGTTTAACAAATGTCACATGAAGCTAAAAGTAGCTCTGCTAGCTAGTTCAATGCGTTCAATCCCTCACAAATTACAGGGCAGGGAGTGACATCTGAAGTACATGTTTATTTTCATCACTGTGGTCTTACTGTGATTGTGTTCATTTTCATGCAGCAGAATAAACAACTTCATGTGCATTTTTCCACAAAATTACTTGTCTTACTCACTCTACCTTTTGAAGTTCAGATGTTGCTGAGTTATACTGTCAAATCTGTGCCAGATGCGTTGATTTCAAAAAGGGTTTCTGTCACACATTTGTTTGATTTTGTCAGAGTATCCATTTTGTGCTTTTAACTGCAAAAAGACTACCAGCACAAAAAGCCGAGGGCAAATTGAATTTCAGTTTTAATTACAATTTTGACTTACAATGATCATGAAAACTAAACAAGCAGGTCTAAACAATAATTATGTTGCTTTTGTGTTGTCCTTGTTTTGTCTTATGTCATGAATAGAGCCCTCAATTGAACTCACGCTGACAGTGAAAAGGAGAGGGGGCCACATCCAGGGCTGGACTGGCAATCTGGCATTCAGGGAATTGTCACAGTGGACCAACACATCTGGGGTCTGACTGGCTACAACACTTACTATTCCTTAAAATGCAGCAGCTCACTGAGCAGAGGCAGGGGCCCATTAGTGCAGTTTGAATATGACACAGGACTGGTCAAATCATGTATCTAAAAAGGACAGTCTCTATTTCTGTCCTCTCCTCTCCTCAGATCAGAGAATTATAATCTCTGGGTGTCATTATCAGGAGCTTATATCAGTGCGCAATAATGCTTAGGAGTGTGTAAAAGTTACAGATGCTGCAAAATGAGTTAAGAGTGCACTGCTATATCTTCCACATGTGGTGCCACAGCATTATAAACAATCATGCATCCACAGAGGGGACAAGAAAATGTATATATCACTGCCACAGGAGAAGCAAATGTGTGTTACCCTTATACAGAGGAACAGAGTGAGAATGAGGAGAGAGAAACTGCAGCAATAACAAGTGTCAAAATATTGGCTGTGTCCGCAATGGATCCCTAACCCCTATATAGGTGACTAAATGGGGGTTAGTGCCATTTTGAGGGGTGTCCGAAACCTGAGTGATCAATTCCAGTGCCCCTTGTAGGCGACTCAAAATTTTCCATAAAGCATTGCAAAATGTAGTGACCATCCGATGGTCACTCACCAGTGGTGGCATCCCGTCATGCCATGTAGTGTCCGAAACATCTGGTGATTGAGCTCACTACATAGTCAACTAAATAGTGAAAACCCATATTGGGGGTTAAGGGTTCGGGATTGAGTGATTCATTTCGGACACAGCCATTTTTTATGTTAAATAAATGCATGTGTAAGGATGTTGCCAAGTCAATGAGTGATAACGTAAAACAACAATGATTAATGAACAGTATTCCTGACAATAATCATCATTACGAATTTTGCCATGGTCAAACATTTCTTGAGAATTAGAAAGAAGTTGAAGTGACCAGGGATAGCTGCAAGTATGAATGTTTGTGGTACAGTGAAGTACATCACTCCTCTTACCTCAGTTAGTCCCTTTATTTTTAAGTAGCCACACAGGTAGGAGTCCTCCATGGTGACATGCTTTAAAGAGAACATAAACAGAATATGTTAAAAATACTCCATTTCAAAATAAATTCCATCTATAGTGAAGTGGTGGTTTTTATATTGTATTTACATTTTATATAGCGAGTAGAAAAACATCCTCCACTGCCATAAACCGGCAAGTTTGCAGATACAGTTAAGTATTGAAGCTTTATTACTTGGACTATTTTATGATAACATTATACACAGTGTCTCTCTTCATAACTGAGTAGGTATGTTGGTAAGCAGGTGCAAACACAGCTACATCTACAGCTATCTGCGCGGGTTACTAAACCACAGGCCAGCGCTCATTGATTTCCCAGCTGTCAATCATCACACCGCCCGTTTGACAGCTCACCAAATGCCCCTGACAGGTCGCCTCAATAGTAAAATATTCGTGTCACAGCCCCACCTGCAAAACAACCTCCACGTCGTACGAGTTCCCTTTGCTCTTCTGGTGGCCCCTAAACTTAGAGCCGCTGTACAGCAGCGACGTGACAACTCCCGGCTGCTGGGTGTTTATCGGTGGCGGCGGGATAAGCGAGGCCGAGGATGAGAAGGCCGCAGCGGGGGAGTCGCTGAGGTATCCAGCGGGGACAGGCATGGCTCCCGCTTCGCTGGCTGGGCACCGTCCGCGAGCGTTTGCCGTCAGTGTGACGGACTGTGTCAGCGTCTACGGAGAGGTATAGCACCACTGACGAAGCCCACCTACATTCAAATCCCCCTTGACTCTCCCACGGTTTAGTTTACCGGGCAGCAAGCTACCAGAAAAGTAAGTACACTCCGACGCGGCTCTGTAGCCAGCAGAATCCGCCCCTCTCATTGGCCAATTCAGGTCACTTTGGTAACATCTTCAACGTTCATTGGTCCAACCTGCGGAAGGCTTTGTGGGAATATTTAGGTGTAGTTTTTCCTCTTGTGTAACAGGACGAAGAACTGTAAATAAAAACTACATTTCCCAGGTGTTAAGAGTATGAAAATACATCTGTCAAGAATAGAAGGTCACACGCGTGCTTTTGAACACAGTGGCTGCTATGTGAAAGCTGAGGGAGAAGTGTCTAGGAGAATTTATTTGCAAAGGTGACGTTACACAGTTAGCCAGTACAAAAAAAAGAAGCATGCCTAGTATAACGCTATTTTGTAAAAACATGTGGCACTTTTTTGGCTAACGTGCTGAGGACACAAACTGGTCGCCTGACAGAAACAGTTAGCTAGCCTTACGGTTAGCTTTTCTCAAGAGACAAAAACATCACCTTACGAACAGCAACTATGTTGAAAGGATTTTTAAGACTTCAGAGTCCGTTAAGAAGTACCCTTTCACTCAGAAAAGTGTCCCCAAGAAATCAGCACCTTGGAATTGCTCTGAGATACTCCACAGCGACAGCAGGTGAGATGGATGTATTCACTGTGCACAATTACCCCAACAATGTATTTGTGTCGCATATCCATGTTGACGAAAAGATGGTGTGTCTTCTGCTGTTTCCAGAAAGAAAAAGATTTTATCAAGATGTCAGCATATCTCAAGGAGAAGGTCAGTGCCACAAATATACAGTATGTCTATGCAATGAAGTCGGTTTTTCCATGTGTGTTCTTTCTTTTGCTTTGTAAACATCCCAGTTCTCCAATTTCTATGCAGGTGGTGTATTTGAAATAAACCTAGACAGAAGGAAACTAAAAACTCCTGGAGGGAAGCTGTTCACAGCCCCAAATGAAGCTTTAGCCATCGCTGTGGCAACTGAGTGGGATGCTCAAAGGGACACACTTAAGTTCTACACGATGCATCTGGTAGGGTGGAAAATGGGAATTGGAGGATGTTTGAAGCTTTCCTATCTTTGGCTGTGTCCGAAATGAATCACTCAATCCCTAACCCCTAACCCCCATATGGGGTTTCACTATATAGTTGACTATGGAGTGAGCTCAATCACCGGAGGTTTCGGACACTACATGGCAAGGCATTTTGCAATGCTTTATGGGAAATTTTGAGTCGCCTATAAGGGGCACTGGAATTGATCACTCAGGTTTCGGACACCCCTCAAAATGGCGCTAACTCCCATACAGTCACCTATATAGGGGTTAGGGATCCATTTCGGACACAGCCATTATCTGCAATACAGATCTGAATTCAAGGTTAAAATTAATAGTATGCCAAATAAATCTGTCCAGGTTATTCATTTTAACCACACTCATCTTTCAGACAACGCTGTGCAACACAGCTCTGGACAATCCCACTGAACGTAACAAAGACCAAATGATTAATGCATCCCTGAAGTTCCTGGAAACCGACACTGTCTGGTAAACTACATTTTCACACAAAACAGTGCTTTACTGCTACTTTAAGCAACATAATTAAGTTAATATAGTATCCCTGGCACAACAGTGTATCTATTTTTCGCAAAAAAAAAAAAAAAGTCCACATACACTATTCATGTCCATATTTTGATGAAAATGACTGTTTTCCATAATTTTAGACTGGCTTTATTTGGTGTATCTTGATGACTTAGCATGATGATTATGTCCAGCATTATCCCTGCAGATAGATATGATTATGTTTACTTAATTGTCATTTACATGTAGACCTGGTTTTACAAATGTCATGTTTTGTGTAGTTATAGAGTAGAGGAGCCTCCTGCTTTGGTTGAGCTACAGAAGAATGAGTGGGACCCTGTTCTGCACTGGATTGAGAACAGGTTTGCAGCGCAATTATGTTTTGGCAAAACCAAGGCAGACATTTAAGACCCTACAGCAGCAGTAGAGCTTGTGTTAGTCAATTCATTGTATTTATATTTGTTACTTTTTATTAATTACCTTCATTTTCGACCTTGCACTTCCAGATATAATGTTAACATTGGCTCTTCATCCAGTATTTTGGGTCCTGACATCCCAGAGGCAACCAAAGACACATTCCGGCAACACCTGAATTCTTACAACTTTTGGTCCTTGACAGGTAGATACTCCCTAAACTAATCCAAAATAAGCACCTATAATAGTTGAAAGATTTCAATGAAGAGGTGGTATACAAAAATATCATGCACTCAAATTAATGTATAATAGTACTGTTGTGGTAAACAGTAATGTAGCCTGTAAGCTATAAAGTGGTGTGGCAGTGTGTAACGCTGTTTGGTTTTCATGTGCTGTGCAGGGCTTGAGTATGTGATCACCCAGCTGAAGTCTGTTGTGCTGACGATGGGGATTATTGACAGACATCTGAGTGTGGAACAGGCCGTGCTGCTCTCCAGACTGGAGGAGGAGTACCAGGTATGGACACTCAAAATGGGGTTCCCGTCAGCTTATCTTTTAATTTTTTTTTTAGCTGTCATCAGTATTCAACATATCTGTGTCTTTTCAGAATGCTGTTTACTCTGTTCTTGGTGAAAATGCATGATGGTGTTCATCTTGTGACAGTTTGTGGTAGTGCTAGTGTTATCTTTTAAGTGGATGTCAATCAGGAGAGACTTCATTATAAGCAGGCAATTTTGTTCAATTAGTTTTGGACAAAAGTGATTGTGTACTGTTTCAAAAACAGTATTATATTACACATTAAGAAAATCAGATGAATGTGTGATATCTTTGGAAATCAACTGCCACTGAGTTGTCTGCGTCTACTCAAAGGCGTAGTTAGGTCAATAACAGGGTATGATACCTTGCTATGGAGTCTGCATGCTATGCTGTGCTGGTGTAGCAAGGATACAGGGTGAGCTGAGGAGCTGGTGGTGGATTCTGGGGAGATAGGTTGGAAGTGACTGGGGTTGGAGAGGGTTTCTGAGAATGAATTACAACAGCAACTAAAAGGAACAAAGAAGAACAGATTTAAATTATTGGTAGCAGCAGGATGATTGGTCAATAGAGGTTTAATAATAATAATGATTATAAATAATAATCATAAAACATTTTATTTATAGGTGCCTTTCAGGACACTCAAGGTCGCTTTACAAAACAATTAAAAAGACAATGAAAATACACATCAGCACATCAAAAAAACATTTAAATCTGGACTCTACAGCAGAGCAACAGCAATCAATGTGAGTAGGCCTTTGTAAAATAGTGTGTCATGAGACAGGATTTGAAAATGGACAATGAGTCAATGTTCCTAATGTCATGGGGGAAGGAGTTCTAAAGGCGGGGGGCAGAGTGGCTGAAGGCTCTGAATTCCATTATGGACAGGCAGGCTGGAGGCACAATGAGACTGATGGAGGAGGCAGACCTGAGAGTCAGGGTGGGAGTGTTGATGTGGAGGAGTTCAGAGAGGTATGGAAGAGCGAGGCTGTGGATGGCCTTAAATGTGTGAAACAGAATTTTGTAATCCATGCAGAAGTTTTGAAAGCCCGTGGAGTTGGTGGAGAACAGGTGTGATGTGACTGATGGATGGTATTCTGGTGATGATACTGGCAGTAGTTTTCTGGACCAGCTGAAGCTCATAAAGAGATTTATGGGGGAGACCAATAAGAGGGGAGATGCAGTAATACAAGTGGGATGTAACTAGAGTATGGAGCAGGATGGTTCAGGCTATCCCTTATAAGCTTAGAGCTTGAAACATTGGTTGCCCATAATTCGCTGTTCCCCAAAAGGGAAGAGGAAGGGGTTGTTGAGAATGAACAATATCATAATGAATGAATGACTGAATTTGAAGAATACAGTCTCCTGCTTGGACTTACCTTCAGCTTCATAACCATGAGATCTAGGTACACCTGTCATTCCTTGGATTAAAAATAATCTTTACTTAGATAAAAAAAACATGTATGTAGTTTCTTTTACTTTGGGAAAACAGCACCCTCTTCTGTTTGTAATCATATGTCTCATGTAACATTGCAAACAATATACAATTAACAGAAAAGGCTGAATTTACTCTTCGGAGTGCTGGTTTGGTTTCTGCAAATATGAATTCTGCTTTTTTTGCTAAGAGCAATTATTTTTTTATTTTTATTTTGCAGCTACATAGGGTTTCATTGAGTTGAACTAACATAGAAACACAAAAGCAGACATGCTGATCCTCCTGCAGACTATTCCTTAATACTAACTTTTGCTTACTTCCGCACAGATTCGGCGCTGGGGAAATGTGGAGTGGGCGCACGACTACGACATGTATGAGCTGAGGGCACGAACTGCTGCTGGGGCTCTTTTTGTTCACCTCACATCTGAGAGTTCAACTGTCAAACGCAAACTCCTACAGGACTGAGAAGGACAAAGCCACACATCACTGATCATGGAGGAAATCTGCCTTCCCAACAAAGAAACACCCTGTGAATCTCAGTCCATCCTGTTGGCAAACACAGCCAACCCTGTTTGATCCATCTGACATAAACAGCTGCTGTGTCTGTGATCTGTTGCACAGTAGAGTTATCCCACTCCATAAGGACGCATTGCCTGTTTTTTGCAGTGTTTATATGAGGGAGCTGCCAATGGTGACACCCCTCATCGAGTTTCCAGTCGGTTCTCAGTCAGCCATGACATTTTGGACTCTGCACATGGTTTCAAGAGAACAGTGACTAATGTTGTCTGTTTGGTGATGGAATGTTTATTCCATGCCAGTTCTCTCTGTGTATATTTGTATACTGAATAGTGCATATGCTATATTAACAGCACACTATCCATACTAACAGTGCTGTGTAATGTTTTGGTTATGATGCACAAATACGCAGTTCATATACAAATGATTTATTTTGTCAACATTATTTATGTTGTAAGCATTTTTGCTTTTTCATCATGGTGAGTCGGGGGAGGATTGAGCTCAGCGCTTAGAAGAATAATCATTGATACAACATCCATTGCATGTTCATGTTTCTCCAGAGCTGGCTTAAAAACTTTGTAGTGGTCTGCATCCTCATTTTGTGGTAATTTACAGGTTCAAAGCAAAAGGTTTTGTTTCCTTGCAGTTCAAATAAATCAATGTGATTAAAACAATAAATTCTCTGACTCATCTTTGTCTTTTAAATATGTTCTGAAAACAAAGGTTACTTCTTTAAAAATGAGACAAAAAATGGATCTCATAATTTCTCCATAGATGTGCATATTCTGTCTGCTATCATGTTATATTAAGGATTGATGTCACAGTCATAAAAAGAGTATTTGAATTTTTATTGAAGCAACCTTTGGGTGTCTTTTATTTACAATCGCCTGACATTCTGGATGGATGTGCTGGCTGTCCAATCACGCCTAAGGTCAGAATTTTTAGACCAATTAGGTCGGTATGTGGGCGGGACTTGGTGGACGTTTCCTCATGTATCATTATCATCATCCCATGGACTGACTTGTTTGTTGTCTAGCAAGATGGAGTTCCTTTTGGGAAATCCTTTCAGTACCCCAGTCGGGCATTGTATCGGTGAGTCACCAGATGTTTCAGATGTGATACTGTGTGAGGGCAGTATTTATTTTGCCCTGTAAATGTATTGCTTTGGTGTGGTAGTCATTTGCGGGCTTGCTACGTTTAGCCTGCTAACGTCCCTGAATGAGTTCAGGAGAGCAACCGTTAGCCGCCTAGCTAACTTCTAGTAACGGTGATACCTGCTGTCATTGCGCTAACAACACATTCAACTAATTTCAGGTCTGTGTTCTGTCACTGGCACCTCTGAGGCTTTCTCTCAAGACATTAATATACCTAATTTAACGTTTCTTTAATGACGACAAATAGCTTTGGTAGCTAAAAGCCAGCTAGCCACCAGTCATCGTCATGTAATGAACTGATCTGCTGTGTTTTGCTGGAGCGTCTTAACGTGAAATGTCCTCGACTAACTCCTTGTGTTTAACAGAGAGAGCGACTGATGGCTCCCTGCAAAGTGAAGACTGGACCCTGAACATGGAAATATGTGACATCATCAATGAAACAGAGGATGGGTGAGTAAACCAGGGAGAATCAATCAATAGCCATACCCCTAATTGATTTTCTCGCCTTTATGCGTCAATATGTTTCTGTCTTCCTTGTGCATGTGCTGTTCTTGTAATGCACTTCTGCAGAAAGATAGGCTATCAGAGTCATTCCTTTCCCTCGTGTTTATCTGTGTCATACTTAAGAGAAAAAGCCTTGCTCTGTCTGGGTAAAGTGGATTTATGCAAGGCCTCATTGCTTATCTCATCCCTCCATTAACCTTGTACTGTATGTTTAAGCTGGTGTGTCAAGTCCAGGTCTTGTTTGATTAGCAGGTTGTAAACTGGCTTAGGTGGGTCCAGGCTTGTGCATTGGATTTTATATCAGTAGATATAAAAAGGGTCAGACTTTTTCCCTCTGTGACTAGTGTAACACACCCACTGCTGCATAGCTGGTTTGACCTGTTCGTATTTGCCGAAGAAGTTGATCATTACTAACTTTGGTAAAAGAGGAGTCATGTAGAAATTGTGTACTTTCAAAGAATCATTGACATGTGCCTGCATTTAGTATTCAGCTTGCCAATTCTTGCACTTGACTCCATCATTCTATTAGTGTCATACAAAAGTGCCCTCAGCCATTGAGATTACCTAGTCATTTTTTTACTCTTCTTGAAATTTCTTACCACTGTATTTAAGAGCTGCAGGCACTCTGTGCTGACCTTGTGTGTGGAAAATGTGTGCCTGACTTGTGTGTTTGTGTGTGTGCAGGCCAAAGGATGCCATAAGAGCTGTGAAGAAGAGGCTAAATGGCAACAGAAACTATAGAGAAGTTATGTTGGCTTTAACGGTGAGTTTAATGTTGGAAAGAGGAGGTAATCTACATTGCATTTAAAGTTTATACAATGCTTATCTTGAAAAAAGTTGCGTAATGTCACAATCCAGTTGATAAGATGCAATAATGTTTTTTTTTATTATTATTTGTATCTCATGAATCTCATTCAGACAAAATTTGCAATTTAAAGCTGCATGTGTATCCTTTAAAATTCTCCTTCACCACTTAGCAAACATTAAGTGGAGTTTTCTTCTGCTTCCTTCAGGTTTTGGAGACGTGTGTGAAGAACTGTGGCCATCGTTTTCATGCTTTGGTCACCAGCAGGGACTTTGTTGATGGTGTGCTCGTAAAAATCATCTCACCTAAAAACAATCCACCCACAATTGTACAAGATAAAGTCCTTGCCCTGATTCAGGTAATATTACAGCAGAGAAAAATTGAAGTTCAGTCTAATTTGTTCTTTTTCTTTGCATGTGTCAGATCTATATATTTTTGATTTTTCAATGCTGTGCAATAATATGAGAGACACTTTGTGCTTTCGATTAAGTTTGCAAGTGAGAGGTGAAGTGGCGTTTAGGTGTTTATTGCAGTACGTGAGGCTGAGCAGCAGGCTAGAAGGCGTCTTGTGCTCCCCAGGCAGAGCCTCGGGTAAAGTACAGTATCTGTGGGGCAGCAGTCAGGATCAGCTCGAGTTACCTGTCGCAGCTCAGGTAACCCTGCTGGGCTCATGTGGGCCGCTCTTATTTCCTCCAGAGGAACCATGTGATCACAGCGTACACCATGGACCACAGAGGAGGGAAGAGGGCATTGAACAGTTTCTGACATTGTCGTCTTTGTTTGTCTAGTCCTTAGAAAGACAAGTTTGCAGTGAGAAGGGTGAGCTGGGAAAAAGTTGTGTGGGAAAATGCACAAAAGAGCGCTCCTTTTATCCAACAGCAAGAGAATTGTTGACGTTTCTTTTATCACAATGTGTAATGCTCTGTTGGGCAACAGACTGCGGTTGTGCTCTGCCGCTCCCTCACAACCTGTCTGGTCCCTCGGGTGCTGATGTGTGTGCCCTGGAGTTGTTAGTCAAGAGCTTGTGTGCACAGTTAATAGTGCTGACAATGATTCAGTTTTAACGTCATTCTTTAAAATATTTTTAGCCAAACTTGCCTTAAACAAAAGGAGGAGATTTGAATGTTAGATGGAATTGGCCTGCAGATGAAGTGACTCAGTAGAATGTTTTTGGATGAAGACCTTCAAAGTCCTGTGCACTTGTTTTACAAAAGTGTGTCATGTCTTTGAGCTCTCCTGTAACAGCCTGTTTTAGCTTCATCCTATCCACTCATGAGGAGCGGAGCCCAAGAGCTTTGTGGTTTGCTGACTGAATATATCAAAGTCTTATGAACAGAAATGATCAGAGAACAGGCCTCTTCTAGTACTCTGACATTGTTGACAGTGTTTGCTGCGTCAGCTCCCCTTGGGACCATAGTTGTTTTTTTGTCTCCTCTCTCCAGGCATGGGCTGATGCATTTAGGAGCAGTCCTGACCTCACAGGGGTTGTTCAAATTTATGAGGAGCTAAAGAGGAAAGGCATCGAGTTCCCCATGTCAGACCTGGAGACCCTGTCACCTATACACACACCCCAGAAGGTAAGCAGCTTAAACACAGACACAAGACTTTTTGTGTTGATAGAAAACACAGTGAGATGATCTCCTCTGATAATTTGTCACATTTTTTATATGACATCTTTTTTCTGTCTCTTCTAGGCAGCCACAGCTCCAGAGGGAGACTCCACCCTTCATAAGTACAGCACTACCCCTCAGCCCACACCTCAAGCTGTCCCACCAGCCTACACCACCCCTCAGGTCCCTAACATCCATGCAGCTGGAGCCATCAATCCCACACCTGAACAGGTACAATGTTACTAACCCCAACATACTGTGGGACTGATTCACACAAGGATTACGCAGCTTTTGCAGACCCAAAACATGCGCAGGTGAAAAGCACATACAAAGGGATGAATTCTCCACAAATGACACAGCAGAGTAAAAAGTGTCACTGTGCAGCAGTGTTGTTTGCATACATCAGCAGTAAAATACGCTCCTATCTGTACAATTGCACCTCATTACAAATAACACCTATTTGTGTGTGTAGCTCAGCCTGCGCTCACACAGGCTGAACTATTATGCGTGGTATAGTTACCCGCCATCTGAACAAGATGCTCTTTGTTGACTCAGTCCGGAGAGTTTGCTGGATGCAAATTATTTTTGGCATATCTGTTATTAATCGACTTCCTCCCTCCATCCAGCTCATCACATATGTGGGTAAACCACACAGCCCAGCAAGTATGGAGATGCTTATAGATCATCTCAGTCACAATAAAATGTAAATCTGCAGCAAACCGCACAGAGTTGCAGAACCTAGTGGGTGTTTTTGTGCTTGAATATCATTAGCATAATATGTTCTGTGAACTAGAGCTCGAGACAGAGCAAATGATGCACTGTTCTAAGTGCACAATAATCAGCCGCGAAAAACAGCCCAAGTCCTGACAGCTGTTTCAAACATGCTCAACCTCAAGCAGCCTGCAGGCCCCTCACGTACGAGCAGACCGCTACATTCTCAGATTTCTTGTTTGGCTCCATGCACGCTTTAATGATGACTACTCATGTCCGTGCGTTGCTTCTCTTTGGATACCTGCCTGCCAAGAGGACAGAAATTTGAATGTTTGTTTCTCTGTTTTCTGCTCTTTGCAGACGTTTGCCAAAGTTGATTATTGTTACCAGATTTTAGTCATGTGCTGTCACCAACTTCTTCATATTTGTCTGTTGGTTTTGACAAGGTCTTCAGCTGTTTTCATCACTTATTGCTTGTTGAGTTGTTGAATTGTTTGTTGTAAGGTTTGTTTGTTCTGTTCAAGCAAACTATCCAAACACTCCAAACACTTTATTTTATTTGTGTCTTAGTTAGCTCCTTCCAGTGTATAGAAATTCTTAAGTACAGTATACTTAAAAACTTTTGGTTACATTTTTTAAAAGTTTGCTATTTTTGGCCGACTTTTTAAAAATATTATAACTGAATATTTTAAAGCTTAATCATTCATTTTTTAGCTGAGTCAGTAAGAATCTTATTCAGTATCTTATTAATTTATGTCTTCGATAACTAGATATGCCGGCTGCGCAGTGAGTTGGACATTGTTCGTGGAAACACTAAGGTGATGTCAGAGATGTTGACTGAGATGGTCCCTGGACAGGAGGATGCTTCAGACTACGAACTTCTGCAGGCAAGGAACCTGTGTGTTTGTGTGTGTTTGTGTGTGTCTCTAATGAGTGTGGATAAACAAACATGAATGTCTGATGTATTACATTTACCAAAGAGATTTATTAAGCATCAAGAAAACAGAAAACTGAGTCCGATATGCATGTGTGCATGTGCTCCCAATGTGTGCGCACTGTGTGTATATGTGTGTAGGAGCTGAACAGGACTTGCAGAGCCATGCAGCAGAGGATAGTGGAGCTCATCTCTTGTGTTTCCAACGAGGCGGTGACTGAAGAGCTGCTGCACGTCAACGATGACCTCAATAATATTTTCCTACGCTACGAAAGGTGAGACCACTCTGAAAAATACTAGAAAGAGATATCTTGGTTTGTTTGCCCAGTTTTGGCTAAGTAAACTCAAGAGATCTCTCTCATTTCTTTTTTTGTTGTCTTTGGTTGCCTCAGGTATGAGAGATTCAGGTCCGGGAGGTCTTCAGCTCAGAGTGTCAACAATGGGGTGAGTCAGCAGTTCGTCTCTCAGGTGATGAAACAACAAGTGTTGCATCGATGTTTAGCTGCTTGTTTTTTGCTCATTCTCTGTTGTTTCTGTGTCAGTGTTGTAAACTGAATGTTCCATTATGAAGCTTTAATGCTGTTATCTGTCAGTTATCAGTCTATGAGTTATCAGATTTAAACGCCTCATTTGATGGGAATCCTTCATAGCTGTGTATGCACATGTTCTCATCATGGCAAGCATTGAAATGTCCTTTTCTTTCATTCATTTTCAGTATTCTCTAATCCCTTCCTACTGTCCGGTGTTCTCAACTTCAGTGTAGGGAGATGTTTGGTAGTTTGTTCAAAGACTATGAATTTTGGGAAATGCTGAAAGAGGGTAATTTTAATTTAGCGCTGCAGTGGTATTATTTGTGCTGTTTGTGCCTCCAGCTGAGTGCTCATGGATCTAATCACCACCAACCAAAATCTTCCCAGCAGTATCACATGAGACTAATTTATTTTTTCACCTCCTTCTGTCAACTTTACTGTTTTTACACTTGTAAGACTCCATAGATATGTCGACTTGGGGTGTATCTAGGGCTGGGCGATAAACCCGCGAAAATTTACTGATACCAAAATTTATGACAATAACGGACGTCATTTTGCCCATGTCAGTATATTCGGTGTCAAACAAATGAATAAATAAAAGTTGGTTTTGGATGTGTGTAGGTAGGCTATGGTCTCATGTCCCTTTAAGATGCTGTCCTATGTCAGAGATGTGACTCCACCCCATCCAGTGCTTAACAAAGAGGGAAACACAGGTGAGGAGATGGAGGTTAATGTGGGAGGGGGTGAGCAGCTTATGGAGTAGTTATCGTCCATTTATTGTTATTGAAATGAACTGCTCAACATATTGTGATATTGACTTGAGGTTATATTGCCCAGCCCTAGGTGTGTCATTGGTTCATAATGATAAGGACCTGTAGGTTGTCCACTGTTGAACCTGGAAATCACTTGCTTGTTTAAAGTCAGTAATGCTGTAGCTTTATTCTCTGGGCTCACGTTTTCCCTCTGCTGTACTAACACACCTGATCCAGCTGCTGTCAGCCTGCTGTGTTGTGGTTGTTTTCTGCCCCGATTGTGACATTAAACCACGCCAATATCAACAGGGTCACATGCAATCACAATAGGGTTGAATATGGATCCTTTTAAACCTTGAGTTTTGCTATTTAGAGAATGAAATGTAATGTATTACAGACTGTGAAACTTCACTTGTTATCACTGGAATATCATTAGTATAATCTTTTGAGTACAGGACCTTGAGATGTAGCAGACAGATGTGGCTAGAGATGCACAACTCATGATGCTGTCTGTGCTTGCATTGTATTTGTGAATTCACCCCTCGCTAGAATTCCTTAGTTTATTATCAGAACCTCAATGGCCACGGCATGATAAGATATCCTATCGAAAAGCTGAGGCAGTGATACTCTTTTGGCACACACATGATGACCTCTTCGTTGGGTTCTCTGTTGTACTAGGCATGTTTTACCTCCCATAGCTCATGTCATTACATTTTGTCCATGCACAGGCATGTTACAAGTATTCACTGTCTCTTCCTTTGTGTTCTTTTCTGTTCTTCTGTTTTTCTGTGGCTAGCTGAGACAGGCAAGTATGAAAATATTGTTGACGTCCCTAAATGATCAGTGCTGCTCACCCCACAGCGATTGTTAAAACATGGCTGAATTATATGGGCCCCGCCTCCTCCACCAGTATCTGTCACCCCATATGGCATGTTTTGACCTTGTAGGTAATGTTATAAAAGAACTTGGAGGTAGACTGACAGTGACACAAGCTTAAGGTGGCACTGAGATGAATCACTGTCATGTTGTGTTAATATTATCCTAGACCTCCAGGACCCAATATTTAATCCCCCCTCCCACCCTGCTGTATTTCAACCTTCTTAAGGGGAATCTTTCAACTTTAAAGATATTAAGATAAAAGATGATGAAATCAACTTGAGAGAATGAGACTCAATCCAGTCAATTACTTTTATAATAAAATTTCACCTTCAACAGATACAAATGTTTCCCCCTTAAGAAACCATTTTTCCAGAAAGTAACTTAATTTCCTCAGTTAGACATTTTCATGCTCTCCTGAAGCTAACTAACTGGTATTCAGGCGTTCTGTTTACTTTTTCTCATTATGCATCATGCCTACATTTTAAATTTGACCACTTTTTTTCTTCCATTTTTTTCCAGACACAGTCGAAGTACTATGTTCCGTTTAACCCTGCCTCTCCTTAGCCTCCCACAAAAGGATTTGTTTTGCTGCTCATGAGCCAGAACCCCGAGTCCTTCTCTAGAGTGCAAAACGGAATGAGAGTTATCATGTGCTTCTATTTCTCCAGGTACTGAGTGAGGCTACAGAGGACAACCTCATAGACCTCGGCCCAGGCTCACCAGCCGTGGTCAGCAACATGCAGAACGCAGCACCGACCAGCCTGCCCCCCGCCATCACAGCCCCTGCAGGGAGGCCCTCCTCTCCAGCCACACTGGCCTCCCGCCTGGCAGGTCTGGGTAAGTGCTAAACCTGAGAGGACAGAAATGACAAACACGTTGTGACCTCTCACAGATTTTTACAACATCATTGAGTTGAAGAAATCCTTTGACATACCTGCTGGTGTTTTAATTTTCTTTAAGACTGATGACATGATGACTTCCACTCTCATGCCTGTGCTAACAACACCCAGTCCTGTTGTCCTTGTGTGGTTGCTAAGCAACCGGCACAGATTTCAGATAGAGGCAGCATCTGGCGACTAGTTGCCAAGCAGTAGCTCCAGCTTGCATGAACAAAAAGGCATTATTCCTCTGTCGATAGAGTCAGCGTTGTAATCACCAAGCTTTTCAAGTGTTTTTAGGTCAGCTTTTGAACTCTGAACCCAACGCTGTCTCCTCAGTCTTTACATAAGTGATAAGATAGATTAAGTGCACTTGAACCACTTGAGACTGCAATAAACTTAATTCTGTTTTTTTTTTTTTTTTTTAACCAGGATTTTTTTATACATCAGGGACAAAAAGCCACTGTTGAGTTAGCGATGTATCTTTATGCACATTTCATTACTACTTTGAGGTATTGACATGTAAGTGAATTTGTATATTTTTCCACTTCAGACATGGGTGCAGACAGTGTGAGCAGCACCTTAAGCTCTCTACCCAGCTGTAAGCCGCCTGCTGCACAAGACGACTTTGATGTGTTTGCTCAAACCAGGACTGGAACTTTGCCTGAAGCAAACAAGACGTAAGCACACATCAGGGATGTATTGTCAGCAAATGTTGTGTACAGTCTCTGCAGTTTAAGCACATGCACCATGAACAGGGGCTAAACCTGATAAATGGTAGAAACAGCCATGGCCGTCTACTCCTCACATTTGCTTTCTCTTCAGTCTTTCTCTCTCTCAATCTCTTAAAAAATGTCATTGTATTACTGTATTTTTCAGGCAATAAGGCGCACCAAATTATAAGGCGCACTGTGAATTAACATGTCTTTGTTCACACATAAGGTGCACTGGATTGTAAGGCGCATTAAGCATTAAGTATTAAGCGCGTACTCCGAGCCCAGGCTGACTTACATGAATGAACTTGTAGTTTAGACATGACAGTCAGGCAGTCGTGTAGACTGCTCAGGGGTCCCGTTATTGGGCCAGGTAGTGATACAGCGTACCATGATGCTCCGAATATCCGAATATGAGCGGAGTGGCTTCGTTGCTTACCAAAGTTGTACTTACACTTTTTGACAGATTTTTGCTCTCATTGTACCACATAGAATTGGTCAGTAAGCACAACAAGTAATCAAACATAAGGCGCACTGTCAATTTTTGAGAAAATTAAAGGATTTTAAGTGCGCCTTATAGTTAAAAAAAATATGGTAGGCTCGTGGGACTATTTTCACCTGTTTATTGTCCAAACAGTTAAAAATCTTTGTGTTGAAAAAGCTTGGAGCAGAATATATTCTGTAGTTTTCCAAAAAAGGATGTATATAATTGTCATTTTTGGCTTTGGTCATTGATTGCCCTGAACAGAAGTTATAAAAAATGATGAGCAGTTCATTCACAGTGTTATAGCAGCCATTTTCAATGTCTTGTTCCAGATCTTCAGCTGAAGAAAGCAGCACCACCACCAGCCTCCCTCCCACTCTGGATGTTTTACAGCCTGCTGCTGGAGCGGTGAGTCTCACTGATTGAGTTTTTTATGTGTCTGGTGTGGGCTCCAATTTCCATTTAGCACCTTTGTAAGCACCCAGAACATCTGGAGTGTGTGCTCAATATGTGCCATGATAAAGCAGACGTTTCCTTTCATGCTTGTGCTGCTAATCACCGAATAAGTTAACCAAATTGGATAAGGAGTTTTAAGCTCATCTGAAAGAAATAACTCTTGTCTATTTGTGTGTCAAACTAACATTGAATCTTAACCCCATTTTACATCAAATATGCATGCTTTTACTTTTTTCAATCTTTTAGAGTCGTAAGTCTTTCTTGGCTTTCATGTTTCATGCTGTACAAAATCACAGATCTTATTTAAATGCACAGTCTGTTCCCAGGATCCCTGTCTCCTGGTTTCCTTTTGTTGTAAGCTTGTTAACCAAGTAACAGTAGCACCAATCACACGTCAGAAAGCTTTGTTATGTGCTCAGACAGGCATAACACAGCCTATTAGAAGTTCCTCTCTTCATCAAGACAGACATGACAAAGCTGACATACTACTTATTAAAAATCAGCCTCATGATGCTTTTATTTTGTAAATTAGCGCAAGTCAGTCCTACAAAAGTTGGGTTCTTTTTTTGGTTCATTCTGCTGTTGTAAAGCAGAGGAACGCCTCTTTTTAACTTTTTTACAGTGAAACTTAGATTCACCAGAGACTAACAAACAGGTGATTTTTCTGGAGTTGTAACAAACCCAAAAAATAAAAATGAATAGTCTTACCTGATGGGGTGAAATTAACCCTAATTTTGATCTGGGCATGAAGTTCTTTCCTAAAATTGCTAAATGGATAAAAAAAATTGCAGCCCACATAAAAGAAGGTTTTAGCTGTAGGGTATTTGTTGCTGACTGGAGTGCTGTGCCTCCAATAATCATCTATCGATCACAAATAGGTTCCTTCACTGATGCTTTTCTAACAAGACTGGCACTGATGTCATCTCATCTTTTTTAGTGTGTGTATCTGTCTCTTCCAATTTGTGTTCTTCACACTCCTGAACTGTGGGCTTTGGCTTGTTAACTGTCTGAAATGGTCGATTTAATCATAAACTGGGTTTGGTTGTATGATGTATGGACCTGCTGCTGCTGCTTCTGCTGCTGTTGCACACACTCAGTGGTCATCACATTTCTGTGCCTGCTTTTTCATTTCATCATCTGGTGTCACACCGTCCACAAACACTCATTTCTTTATTTCTGCCTCACACAAATATGTTTTAAGTTTGTGTATTTAAGTTATTTTAAGTTATATTTATGTTGTGTTTGGGACTGGTTATTTTTGTTTCTGTTGTGGCAATGCCGCCCGCCCTCCTGGTCTTGATGCTGCCGTGTAGCGTGTTGGACGCCAGTCCTCTGTTATGGATGACATAGAGGAGTGGCTGAGTACTGATGTGGTGAGCCCATCAAGATTTTTATTTCTGCCTGGAGTTCTGTCTCCTTTTCATTTTTCCTTTTTTCCATCTTGTTTATCTCCTTTTTTTAATCTAAAGTGTTTTTAAAACCTAAAAATAACACACTATTCTCACATTTCCTCCCTGTTCAATCAATCACATATTAATATCCCAGTTCACCTCGAGTTACTAACAGTGTGCTGTGGGAATTAACTGACATTAGTATGACAAAATATGATGAAATGAGCATGAGGTTTTTCCTATGTAGACATGATACACCTTCAGAAAACCTGTTCATACCATTCTGGGTCGTGGTTGTTGAAAATTGTGTTCTTTTTGCCCTCGGCTGTGGCTCCCAGGGAAACAGTTTCTTAAATCATGAGCTGTTTAGTTGTAGAGATAGATATGTGTGGAGCCAAGTTTGATTGACAGATTCCAGACTTGCCTCAGCATGTCCACTTTTTTCAGAGAAACTGATTTGATTTGCTTTCTGTCTAAAAGAGCTTTAGGATTGAAAACATCATGCTCATTTTGTACAAATTCACATGAAATTGTTGAGTGGTGATTTTCAGCTGTTTGGAAAAATCTGATTGATTTCCCCTTGTATCCACCTTTTTTTTTTTTTATCTTTAAATGGGCACCAATACAAAATTTTGTGTGAATTTAATGGTGATGACGGGTAAGTGGCCCCTTGTTGTACATTGCAGTAATACTAAATTGGTAAGTATGATCATAGATATCTATCAGGGTGTAGATTGGTTTTGGGCACTTGGGAAGGATGAGAATTTGACTTGATTTGGGATCATTTGTAACAGATTAGATTTTGATAAGCAATCCCCAGATATAAAATTGTCTTTTTTTTTTTCAACAGAAAGGAGATGAAGGTGAGGAGGGTGTGACAAGTGAAGGTAAGCAGCTATATCTGGTTGTTCACATGAAAAACACATTTATGTCCCTTCAGATCAAGTCATCACAACAATTAGTCAACATTCTCACTAAAAAACACTGACAAAATTATTATAATGTAACTCACCACCTGCTCTTCTTTCAATCCAACAAAAGAATACAACTCAGTTTAAGATTTATAATGGCATTTTTAAGTTTAAAAGAGTGATCATAACGTTGAAAACTTACAAACAGAAATAGTCAGTCTTGTTTCTGATGGTTTTGTTTACATTTGTAGGTTGTAATAAAGCACAATTGCAAATTCCAGTCTGGTTTATAAGAAGCTTTAAAGCCTCTGTGAGGACTTTTTAGTTTGTGTAAATGTTAGTGCCCCCTTTTGACAAACCTAAAAAATGATGGTCTTGTTGCTGTTGGTCCTGTTTGATTTCGGATATCACAAAAAGTAGGGCTGGTCGATATGGCCTCAAATCAGTATCACTATAATGAGCAGTTCACTTAAATAACGATAAATGGATGATAACTACTCAACAAGCTGCTCACCCCCTCCCACATTAACTTTGTTTACTTCAGCCGCCGCTCCAGCTGCTACAACTTTTGAACCTTCCCCCATCTCCTCACCTGTCTTTCCCTCTCTGTTACGGACTGGATGGGGTGGAGCGACATAGGACAGCATCTTAAAGGGACATGAGACCATAGCCTACCTACACACATCCAAAACCAACTTTTATTTATGTATTTTTTTGACACTGAATACACTGATATGGGCAAAATGACATCGCTTATTGTCGTAAAATTCGGTATAGGTAAATTTTCAGTTTATCGCCCAGCCCTATCAAAAAGGCATCAGTATGAATTTCAGTCCATTTTATAAAAATCAAAAAATTCCTCATTGTAGCTTTAAGTCATTTTGCAGTTCGTTATTGATCATCATGACTGCCACTGGCAACTTTTGCTGAAAAGCATTTTAAAAAAATGATTTTGCAATGTCTGCTGTAGTGGCAAACTATGCAAGAATACTCAAAGTGGGCGTAATGATAACAATCTCTCAACAATAATTTACAGTTATTGTGCCCCAAATCTCAACTTTCATTTCCAGCTTCATTTAACCCTCTTCTCTTCATAAATGAGCATCTTTGCTGTCTTTTTCACCTTCATCCAGAGTTTGACAAGTTCCTGGAGGAAAGAGCCAAAGCTGCAGAGATGGTCCCAGGCCTACCATCGCCCCCCAGTGGTGAACCAGGTGCAGGCCAGGGAACCCCGAGCCGCAAGAAGCCAGACAGGCCGGAGGACTCATTGCTGGCCATGTAGACCCTCCATCCCCTTACATCCCCTGAGCTGCACCACCTGACGAGAGACTGAGCTGACACTGAATCACACTCACCTCTTCCTGACTCATCACGACACTATTCAGTTACACTACAGAGATTTCTACCTGCCCTCCTCATGACAAAAAAGGGAATTATTTATATTTTGGTTAATTTCTTATAAGAAAGGGAAAACCAGTCAAACAAGTCTCCCCCACATGATGTCAAGTGTCAGAGACTGTGAGGCGGCTTGCCTCCTCCTTCCTCTTCTCTTGTGAAGAATCTCCCTCCGCCTGTTTGGACTGCAGAGCTTCGTGTTGCAGCTAATCTTTAAAAAAAAAAAATTAGTTTTATAAAAAGAAGCATCCTGCTGTCCTTGTCATCTGTAAGAAGGCAGTTTCTTACCTAAGCCCTTAAAGCATGCATCAACACCACTCTGAATCATTTTCGTCATTAAAGGCAGAAATATTATGTTGTTATTGTAGGCAGGAGCGTACCTACAAGGATATTGTTTTGGTGTTTGTATCAGTCCCTTTGCAAGTCAGTCTGAGTTGAATTGTAAATCTGTAAATGACAAATGTCGAGTTTATTAGTGGTGTGTATATTTAAGCTACATATGTATGAAAGATTTTGATTTAATGCAGATTTTTGAGAAAAAAAAAAGGTTTATCATCCAGCTGCTCTGACGAAAGGGATGTACCTCAGTGGGGTCACAAGAAAAGGGAAAGTGTGATCATGTGCAAACTGAAAAAGGAGAAGAGAATGTAGTTTTTGTGATCGGCATAATTGCGCACTGCATCAACAAATGTGTTGTAGATTTTTCAGATTTAACGACAGATTTTTGATGAGATTATATTGCTGAGAATTTATTAGCCTAAAGCTGCTGTCTGACTTTATTTGAAGGCAGCTCGGTTATCCCGTCTGCCGGAAATACTCGTTTGTAACTGTAGGTTTTATCTTTATTTTTGCGTCGATTGCGCTGTATAATCTGTTCTTGCTGTCTAAGGACCAAATTTGTGCTTTCACCTGGATGTAAGAGGAAAATTCTGGATCATTTAGTTTTTCGCTCGCAAATTTCGGTCCTCTCTCGAACATCCAGAGATGTAATGAGAACTCAGTATCACAATACACAAGCTGTTTGCACCTTATCGTCGTGCATTTCTCCGTTTTATTTCGTCTCTGCTGACCTTTTAACATGACATTTGTTTGCAGAAATGAGCTCGGCTGCAGACAGCGCTACAAATGAGCTGCTCTGCTCTTTTGACAACATTAAATGCAACATGTTACACAATCACAACAAGCTGAGAAACAACAAGCACGCTCTCTGACAGCTGCGTTACCTTTTAGACTTGTACTGTAAATCACTTAACACTTAACCAAATGTAATTAATGAGGGAAATATTGAAGCAGAAATGTAGAAATAATTTATTTGGCACTATTTTTTCTCTTCAGATCAGTATTTTTAATCATTTTATTGTTAAGAAAAAAAGGAAAGCGGGAAATGAGTTATCTTAAGGGATAGAATGAGAAATTCCTGTAATGCTGTTTGTTTGTGGAGTTTGATTTTTATACATTGCTGCTGGCTAATGTATCGTATCTGTCATGGTTCTGTTTCTTGGATATTCTTGTCAGTTCAATGTGTCCACACAGAGTTTGATAAAGGCAGTTTTTGCTGTAAGAGAACCCTGTTTATCCCATGAAGGATACTTATTTTTAATCATCACTTCTTTTTCATGGACTGGAAGCACATGACAAAAATAGACACGTTTAACTTTCTTTGAAAACTTGGGACAAGCATCAATGTTGCACATTTTGAAAGGGAAACCTCCTTCCGTTCATTTACTTTAGTGCTTTCAAGTCCAACATTGTGTGTGTGTGTGTGTGTGTGTCAGCTGTCCTGTGAGGTTTATCTCAGATGATTGAAAAAAGGGCGTCCAAATGTTTGTTTTTTGAAGAATACATGTTGTCAGTCTCCTGTTTGATCACCCTGGTTTATATCAGTGATGTGAAATCTCAGAAACAGAAAGTCGTAGCAGACTTGCATTTTTTCTTTTCTTTTTTTGCAGAGGAACGTTGTGTTTCTTTGTGCGTCTCTGGATGATATGAAAAGATGCTGATAAAGGAGACTGTGTTGTGTGACTGCTACTTTTCCTGAGTTGCCTCATCTCTCATTTTCTCTTTGTGTTGTTTGACTTATGCATGAACTCTAATAAAACACTAGCAGTGTGTCCGCAACCTCGTGGTATTGTCTTTTATCTTGATAAGAATGGAGTATTTCCCTCTCCTTTATCGTGCCATCCTTCGCCATCTCCTCTTCTGATCAGATGTTAAAATGACCTGTAGTAAACCCTCTCCATTTACCTTATCCCCCCCTCCCTCCCTGCTCTCTCTGGAGGCCCACGGGCCCCACACCAGGGGCTTCCCCATTGGTCGTCAGGAATCGCCTCATCCCAGACGTGGCCCCTCTCGCTCTGGCTCAGTGACTGGAGCATTTTTCCCGGTCAAACAGAAAGAGGGGTGTGCCTGTCAGACAGAGGAGTGGACTCCTCCACTCATGTACAGAGTCCCTGTTTGACTCAACATGTGCTGTTTTTCATGGGTTTATAACTCTCCGAAGCCGCATTGAACACAAAGAGCTGTTGGATTTCTTCCTTAAGAGGTAAATGAATACTTTTATGTTTTCTCTGAAGAATAATTTAAATCTAGATAAACATTTGAGAGAGGTTCAGCTTTTTAGGATGTATATCTTATTTGAAGATTAAAAAAATAAAGCTAAAATTATCCAACTTCAGTGAAAAATATAACATGTTTGAGCTGAAGCTGAAGCTGCTCTTACAGTAACACTGCGCTAATGTGCATGATTTAAAATGACAGTAAATTTTGCTTCATATAGCTGAATTATTTTTTCTTTAGGGATGAAAGTCAGACAGGCCACTCATATCTTGGCAAGTTTCTCTTTAAACCTAACTACATAACTTTTATTTCAGAGCTCAAAGTGAGTGGTCAGAGTTTTTGGATCCTCCAGAGCTGGTCTACTGAAGAGGAGCCTCGTTTTCTCCCAAGACATACTGTCAGTTAGCACACTCTGCTGGTCGGACTGATCGCACACGTGTTGGAGGTCAAATTAAACAAAAATGTGTATGTCGGCAATGAAGATATTCATCATCCTACAAGTAAACCCATCAATGAAGCTGATGGGAGAGCTCTATCACCCTAATCAGCAAAATCTTGCAGTAAAAACAGCAGTTTTCCCCTTGGATGAGAACTTTCTGCTACATGTGCTTCATGGGAGGTTTGGGAATGCAGGCCAGAGCTGTGGTGCATTGTAGTTGCATTGCATGTCATGCTCTCACAGTGCAATGGATCTGCTCTGCAACACAGAACTTGGTCATAAAACACCTCATTACTTCAAAATATCTGTTTTTACTGAACTCTCAGCTGCCTCAGTGTTATTTTCTAAATTGAAGGTCATTCTGTTTACTCTGGGTGCCTCATTGATAAAGCCAATGGAGAACATTTCTTGTCAGCATTGTTTTGAGTGTATTTATAAAGTTTTAATGGACAAAAGCTTGTGTGCCCAGCCAGCATAGAACTGAGGCCATGAAGTTCAGCAGTGCTACATTAGAGTGCATCATGAGCCTATTTACCAACAAAGTGTTATTGGGCCTTGTACAAAAGAAAAACTTGCTTTTTACGGCTGCAGTTGCTCTGAATATTAAAGTTAATAATACAAAACTATAACAAAGTATAATCTTAAATGCTGAAGATATGTATTTAGTTTCAGAGGTGTATTTACAAGGTACCCATAAGAAAAGATAGTCCATACTGGCCAGCTGAAACATTAAATTGAATTTGTATAAAAGCATAAATGATCGAACTATAATCATGCATTTTTGTACTAATACCAAAGTAAATGGAAATGAATAATTCTGCAGATGAATTACTTTTACTTTGGCTTCCATTTCTTACTAATTCTTCTTTTCTTTGGGTAAAATTTTGGGCATAATACCTGTTTTTATCATCATTTCTACTTTTTTGCTACAGCCAATTCTCTAGTTAGGCTGCGATTCTTCTTGGAAAATATGGAACTCTAGATTTTCTGACCTGAAGAGGTGCCATCTCAGAACTATGAGTGTAACAGCATATTCCAAGGGAAGCTGCTTGACTGTGAAAATAAGGAAAATTTCAGCATGTGTGAATAATAAATAGGTGGTTTTTGCCACAGTGTCAACAGGCAAAGGTCAAATGTTGTGATTCTTTTCCACTGATTAATCTGATGTAGCCTACCATATGAACAGATTGTCCTTGATATCGCTTTACATAAGCTCTACAAATGAGTTTTGACCAATCAGAATCAAGTATTTAAGAGCCTGAGAGTTCAAAAGGACAGGCATAAATCGAGTGTAAACTGGTTTGTGATGGTATTGTACTTCTGTGTGTCCTTGTAATGAAAGTTGTAACTAAATTTGGTGTGATTGACATTCAGACTATCGTCACTTTTTCTTTACTTGCCTACATTTCTTTAATTAGAGTTGTCAGCAGCTCTACAGTACTACCACCCACTCCTTACATTGTCTTGCAGGTAGGTACAAGAGTTGCTATGGTTACATGCTATATATACAGTATAGAGGTATGTACAGGAATGGTTCTGACATGGGTAGAGTTGTAACACCACCACTCCCACCAGTCAGAGATAAAATAGGAGTCCCATGATGAGTTCAGTGTTAATGACTATGACGACTAAAGTACTACCTTCTAGATACTCAAACTGTGTGTACAGCACACTGTCTAACTCGGTGGTTAACCACTGAACAACAAACCTCTCCAGGTCATATGATGACAATCACATAATACTTGTCGGAGATGTAGTGGCTAAGCTAACACACCTTTTAGGCCATACTGTATGTAGATTTCAGTATCACCATTGAAACACTTGCAGGGCTCTCAAATTTTGAACTAAGCTTTGAGTGAGATGGGGTGGGAGACAAGGATGAAGAGTAATTGAAGATATAATAATAATAATAATAATAATAATAATAATAATAATAATAATAATAATAATAATAATAATAATAATAATAATAATACAATGCACTATAAGGGCTACATTAATAAAAAAATAAATAAAAATTTGAGATTACTTATGAGAACAAAGTCATTACTTACAAGAATGAAGTTATAAACTTATGCTTAGTTAACTGTTGTGGAGGAGAGTTGTTAAAATGAGGGCTGTGGGGCATTTACATGAATTGTACTCCAGTATAGGTTTCATAAAACATGGAGATACTTAATCCTTTGGTACATTAACATTACGTTGTCATGAGTATCAGAACTTTAAAAAGAATATATGAGAAATGCATCTTTTCCACAGAAAAATAACAGATGGACTTTGAGGGAACCGCTGCATTTCCTTTTATTTTTTAGTAGAGGTGTTATTTTGCTATATTTGGTACTAAACTGGGGCTCAAAGAGTCAAATCTAGACCCTCTGGTATGAGGAATATTCATCTCCTGAAAGTGTATCTCTTGTCAAATCTTCAAACCAGAACTGACACATTCAAACAAACACATGTCTGGCTGATTTCAGACTTGTATTTTCCTTTGAATGTCAGACCTTTACTTTTATGAAATTACCTCCTTTCCATTTGTCTATCTGAGGAAAAAAGCCTCCAGCCAGCAGCTTGTATTGAATCCCTGGCAGGGACAGTCCAAGTGTAAACAGTCTCCTGACTGCCATTGATTGACATGCTATGTTGATTTTCTCATTACCGACACACACTTGAAGCCATTTAAGAATAAAAGCATATTCCAGCCTTAAAGTGCTGAACCTGGAGCAGTTCTGCACATGCTTTGAAATGTCAGAGGGCAGAGAGGTGTGTATGTCAAAGTCCTGGGGGTATTTCACTGATCTTCATTAGTGTGTTTCTAATGTAGTCCTGCAAGAGCATGGATTTATCTTCATCCCTATCATCCTCACCACAGCGCAAATAAGTTCTCCAGACTAAATGACCTATTTGTGTTTATGATTTACTTTATATTAACTCTGCAGATCAACGCTCTACCTAATCTGATTCCGCTCTACCTGCACTTCTGCTGTTTTCTGCCCCTGAGCTGCTCATTTAATGTGGGCGCCAAAATACATTTCCTCACTTGTAGAAATGAGAAAGATTATTGCATGAATGATTATAAACAACTGTTAGAGCGATTAAGACAGAATAAAACCAAAGGGAAGCAGTCATTTAATAGAGGCCATTCAGAGGAGGGGAGTCTGTGCCAGTAGCTACATTTTCACATATCCACTCACAACATAATCTGTGCGTTGACTTTTCGGGCCTGACTGCTGCCTCTGCTTTCTGTTTAGCTGCCTCAGAAGAACCTGGTCGCCTCGGAGCACTTTATGCTAAGTTAATTTACCCAAATATATCCGCGGCATCATGGCAGCCGCCCCTCGCTATTCAACATCAACAACTTTGTTAATGGAAACTTGCTGATCCATAAACGTTTGTGCTGCTGCTGCCGTTAGCTGGGGGGCAGTTCACATATGAATGTTAAAAACCTACAAAATCAATGAGGGGCATTTGCAAAGGAGGCATAAGGTGTGTTTAATTATATCTGTGTATGTGTGCATGTGAGTTTGTTTCGGGGGAGGGGTGGCTGTTCAGGCTCAGGCAGGGGCCTCTTGTATTTAAATAGGGTCACATCTCGGCCTCACCTTGCAAGTGTTATGCTATATTAAATGCCACTCATGTTAAGTGTGTTGAAAGCCTCCTCTGATGTAGTCAAGACATAATATAAAGGTTAAATTGAAAAATGTCCCTTCAACGGCGCAGCTACACGCCATGATTGATCTCCCTCGTACAGGCAGGAAATGTTAGGCAGACCTCGGCCTTTTTTAAGTGTATGAATACAAAATGTTGTAATAAGGAGTGACGGGATTAGAATTTAAGTGTCAGTCAATCAAGATTTCAAAAGGTCAATAAAGAAATTAGCTAAATGTGCGGAGAACGAGGGTTTAAAATGAGTGAGTTCAGTCAAAACAGGTCTTTGTTGCCACAGCAGATTTGTCATACCAGTAAAAGCAAAGGTGGCGGCAATAACAAAAGAAGTCTCTGCGCCACTCAGATATCCCTGTATGACTTAACAATTACAGTTTTATCCACACAAAAATGTTGAACATTCATGGGATGGAGCTTGTTTTTTAAGTGTTGTTTAAAAAGTCTCAAATGAGACGGACTAAAGGAGGTTTTTGGATGGTCCTTTAAAGCAGTGGTTCCAAAAATGAGACCTCCTGGAGGGTCACAAGACTCTCATTGGAGGGTCTCAAGATTTCTTTAAAAAAAGGTTTTAATTAATTACAGAAAATTCAACTGCATATTTTGTGTGTGTATTAAAATGAAAGGATAATTAGTTTCCTGCTGTATCTGAATGCTGATAGCAGCAATAAATTATCATGAGTAACAGCAGGGTTGTGAGTTTTGGGATATTTGGGGGGTTGTTGGCTATATATTGGGAGCCTCTGCTGTAAAGGACACTCTTTGCTCAAAACACAGGTAAGTAAACCTCCAGTGCAGAACCTTGAGTGTCCACTTGAGGCTGGCTTCAAAAGTAAAGAGTTCCCATTAAGCCTAACATTAAAAGGTCAATTTTTACATTAGAGGGGTTATCGCCTGTTTCAAATAACAGTTTTGATCACAATAGCACATTTTTCCACTCATAAGAACTAATATTTACAGTAACTAGTTCTGTATCTAGTTACAGTCAAATTCAATGAAACTGTTACAATTGGATAAATGTAAAGGGTCTCACTAACCTTTATTTGAAATCAAATAGCCAACAACTACATAGCATTTATGATCAGACTCAGCAGGCAGGATTACACCTACTGTATATTAGATCCAGAGAGCCTGGCACTGCAAACACCACTGGCCCAGGTAGAGCTCATGTTAGCTTAGCAGACCAAGGACAAGCCTCTCCATCAAATTCTTGATTTTAAATCACTGCTGAGCCCACAGTTGGTAAACCAGATAGGACTGAAGTTGCTGTACACATGCTTCCTATATGAGCTGTAGCCTACTGCTATCAGAGAACCAAAGTAACAGTGAAATGAGTAGGGGTGTGTCTAAAGGGGTGACCGGCGTACTCTACCCGCCAAAACAAAAAAGTGATTAGTCATCCCAGGTGCCACCCCAAAATCATAAGCAATTATTCTCAGTGGTGGGACATGTGCTGAAATAAACTATTTTGGATGTATTGACAGACTAGTTTTAACTATTCATAAGTCACATATTTATATTTGTTTGATTGTGTCAAATTTGGTCAGTTTCCTCCGGTTTTTATGAAATAAGTGTGGAAAATCTATGTGTCTCTACTTTGTAGTTTTTTTGCATGGGAATATAATAACTACATGATACTGAAATCGTAGTTGTTGAAGTGAAGACAAAGAGTTTGTATGCTGTTCCTTTGTGTGAAGTAAAACAGGGCTGTTTCTTCAGCTGCTCAGCTGACACCTACCTCCTCACACCTGTTTCAGGCATCAAAAACTACTAAATGAGAATCACCAGTCTTATTGTGGATAGTATTTTTTGCTTGCTTGTTTTATAAAAAATAAAAATAAAAAAAATTAATATGAATTTCAGTCTTTTTCATCAATGTCAGAAAACTCCTTAGATGAGCTTTAAAATTAGACATATTTGAACATAAAGAGCTAAAACAAGCAAAACCTCAAAAGTACTGACATTTTTTTAAAAACTAAAATGTCCAAAAAGGGATTTGGTAAAAAAAAAAAAAAATCATCAGTCCAACCACTGAAGGAATAAAAATGCTCTGAGAGTGTTGTGTTTTTTTTTGTTTTTTTTCAGGTCTGACTGGCTGCTGGCTAAAAAAATGTTAATCAATGAGAGAAAAACACGTGATTTTGAGTAATTTCTCCTTTTTATAAGGGAAAGAAGCTCAACTTTGAACATTTTTGAACTTTGAAGTGATGTTTTTAGGACCTTAAGAATTTTCAGACACATCATACTTTTACTGTGTATAAACAGTACACGTAGAATACTGTAAACCTAGTCTATGTCAGCACTGGACTCTGCACAAACAGTATAATGATATACTGAGTTTTCCTTTAGCCTATTGTTCTGTATACTTCACATTTTATCTTTTGAGTTAATGTTTAACAGCGTCATGTTTTTCAGTATTTTTTTTCCATGTAGATTCAGTCACACATACTGTACCTGTACACTTTGTTCTTCATTCATGTTTTCAAGTCAATAAAATTCCTCTAATCTCTCCATGTTCTTACAAATCCTCCCAGGTTCGGACACAGACAATAGAGGAGAATTGAGTTTATATATCTGCCTGTTCCTCTCACAGAGTCCAGAAGTGAAGGTTCAGGTGTTGGGGCTCCAGAATGTGAACCGGCGGCCCCGTAGTTGCCATGTGAACGGTGCTGTGTGAGGATCTGAACCCCGTAAGTGGTGGATCTGGAGTGGACAGGATGTAGTCAATACTAAACTTGATCTCAGACTCAGGTTTCCCTGGCTGGGTGGGGTTTAAGCTGAGCTGGTCCTGCTGGGGGCCGGGCCTCGGCCTGTCAGGGGTCAAAGGGCTAAGAGAGGAGTCGGGTACTGGGCCCCGAGTTGCAGGTGCATGCTGATTGGTTCGGCTCTCCAAAGGGTGGAAGTGTGTTTCTCCTGATTCACGGAAACTGATTTTCATGTTTCTCCTGCGCCTGCGACGCCGGAAGTTTCCGTTTTCAAAGAGGTCGAGCATGGATTCACAGCCTGTGGCAAAAGTCCAGAAGTTTCCTTTTCCCTTCTCGTTGCCCTCTGTCCGAGGAACCTAAGGAGCAACACACATTACAACCTTTAGTGTTGAGAAATCTTCAACATATACAAGAATCTTTAAAAGCAATCCATAAAAGGAGAGTATTATCAAACATCTATGAACAAATATTGAAGAAAAGTACAATTTTGACAGGATTGTGATGTTGCACCTTGATGAAGCAGCTGTTCAGCGACAGGTTGTGTCGGATGGAGTTCTGCCAGGCTCTCTGGTTAGAGCGGTAATACGGAAACCTCCTCATGATGAACTCGTAGATTCCTGATAGAGTGACCCGCTGATCAGGACTCTGCTGGATCGCCATGGCTATCAGAGCTATGTAGCTGACACGCACACAGAAAACAAGACAGATACACATAAAATCAAGGAGCACACGTTGAGCTAAACTATATCATAGTACAACCTGTGACATGATAACGGCTACTAACACTGTTGCTCTGTCCACATTATCTTAGTTGCCGTTGAGAGTAAGCTTATGCCTTTAATAGCCGTGCGTTGTTGAATTAAAAAAGAGCTGTCCTTGTTCACATAGGTTCTCTATCTTAGTTAATGAAGTGAAATAAACATTATGAAAACTAATAAAAAATGCAAAACAGTTCTTGTGGTTTTCGTTGCTCACACAGGAGTCAGTTGCAGACAGTAAATAACAAATAGATTTAAAAAGCACTTTTTCTTTCTATATGACCACCCAAAGCACTTTCACATCACTTGTCGCAGAGGATGCTATAACAGTTTGAACTAATCCCATCCACACATATTTACTCACTGCTGGCCATGTCACTGGGAGCACACTGATTCAATGTTTTGCCTAAGGACAATTTGCCATGTGATTTTAGGAGCTGGGATCAAACTGCCAGCCTCCTGATTGAGAGATGATACGCTGTATTTTTAAAACCTGGCCGGCCGGTGCCTATGACCGCAAGCTTCAATTTAAAGCAATCTAAAAATGACCATAAATGCTTAAGATACAATGACAGACAGAAACAGATGATTTAGTGAACAGTTTGATGCTGCAAGTGTCTGTCAGTCATCAGTAAGGTGTTTTGAAGAAAATATAACATGAGTCCTGATACGATTATTTCTGCTATTACAGAAATTACATAAATTTTATTATTAAGGATTTGTAGCTCTGATAACTCAAATATTATGAGTGAGTTTGGGCAGAAATTCTTTTAAAATGAGGACAAATAAGCAGAATCAAGCTCTCTAATAACCACAGTGTGTGTGTGTGTGTGTGTGTGTGTGTGTGTGTGTGTGTGTGTGTGTGTGTGTGTGTGTGTGTGTGTGTGTGTGTGTGTGTGTGTGCGCGCGCACGTGTGTGTCTGATTGTTTTCCTTCCTTTATAGACAGAGGGGTATGATTAACTGGAAAAAAATAAATAATTTCAACATTTTATTTGATTTGAATTTAGACGGATGATGCTGTAGAAATAAAACACCTTTTATTTAAAACTTTTACAGCAACACACAAAATAAAACTAGGCAGAGCAGTATGTCCAGAACTCTAGTGCCCGGTAATTTGTGTGCTATTTTTGATGGTAGATATTTAAAAACTACAATCCAGATTTTAAAAAATATCATAAAACTTACTTTTTTGATTGAACATAATGTTTTGGTTTTTTATCATAAAAGTTATTAAAGAAATACTGATCATTAGAAAGCATTTTCAAATAATAAAAAATCTATTAGACTTGATAAAATGATGTCTAGGGCTACTCAGAAAGAATTATTGCAACAGCCCCAGTTTAACTTAGCCTACACTAAAGAATTAACTATGCTTTCATAACAAGATTATTGTTTATAAAACACTTGAATAGAGCTTTAATAGCAGACCAATCCCTGTCCATTTTAGCCAACACGATAGGAAACAGAGGCCAAATTAATTAATATAAGATTTGACTTTTGAGAGCAAATTTAGTTTAAAAAACTTCTTTATGTTGTTTTTCAGGATTTATAAAATGTGTAAAACATGACAGATGAAGTGGTTTAAATACTGTAACTTAAATAGTTAAGTTAGTTTAGCCAGTGTAGTTAGTTTGCAGAAGTCGGATTGGTCCATACCTGTAAGCGGGTCTGCACATCTTCTTCTCCTCGTCCGTGCTGGATGATGGGTATCCGTCTCCATCGTAGTTAAAACAGTTGAAGGGATAGTTAGAGTTATCAAACATGTTTACACCTGGAGGAGTCAGTGTGTGGTTCACAGTGTTTGACTCTCCTGACCTCGGCCCGGCAGCACCCTAACACCCTGTCCTGTTGCTCTGCTCTCCCACCATCCTCTGCTCTGCTCAGCTCTGCTGCCACTGTGAGCTCAGCTGGTGACGGCTGCCTCAGACCCCCCTCACACTCACAGTCCTCTTCCTCCTCCTCTTTGTCCCAGCAGCTTTCCAGGAAAGGCAGTCTCTCTAAACACTCAGGACCTCGTCTCTGAGGTTTTTAGATTTGCTGGGATTTCCTTTTCTTCTCTCTTTGTCTCAACTTTGTGAATTTCAGATTCATAAATTTAGATTTCTACTTAAATTCACACACCTGCACACATGTGAGGCACTGTTGGCCTATTGAAGAACTTAAAATAACCATCTTTTCCTCATCTTTCAAGTATTACTATTTTAACACAGACATAGCTCAAGTATTTCACAAAATATTTTAAAAACAACAAAACACCTTTAGATTACATCAAGGCCTCCTGTTCTTAATACAGAGCTAAAAAATGAGCAGTTTTGCCAGAAAGAAGCTTTTTTGAGGCAAAAAAATTGCCTTTGATTTTTATTTTTGTGTTTTAGAACCTCTGCCAGTGTAATTTTACTCGAAGATTTGTTTTTGTCTTTTTTAAGTCTTTTTTTTTTTCATTTTTAAACTTTTTTTGGAAGTCTACAGCAACACTCACAGCTGACAGATACATTTAGAAGAGTGAAAAATGTCGTCTCTCTGAAGTGTGGTGTGAAAAATCTTACAAACAGGAAATGTTTAAGCACAATGCCAGTGGGCCATGTTTGAAAAACTGCCCCAGGCTTTAGACAACAGCCTTTACACTGAGCGGGTTTTTGATATTTGTACTTTGAACAGCACTCACTAACCGTGGGCTGCAGGGTCTGTTGGTCTGTGCTACGTATGAACGGGAGAAAGAAATGACACATTTGGCTGTTAAAAGTTGTCAGGATTTGATGTCTTGTCAGAGACGTTATTGAAGAAAGATAATAAATCTAATAAAAACAGAAAGATCCTGACAGGAGCTTTAATTTTATTTCCAATATAACATCAAAATGTTTGATTAACATTGAGGAAATGCAGCACAGTCTTCATATATTAGGTGAAAAAAACAGTGTATTTGCTGAAGTTTAAAAGCCAGAATATAAATGTTATGCAAGGCTATAGTACAACCTTTTCAACCAGACACTACCTGCATTTCAAAAATAAAAAATCCAGTGCCTAAGTTAGCTCAGACTCAGCTCACATCATTCGACTCATCATTGAATCAGAAGAAATTGATTCCTTTCTCCTGCAGGCTCGAGATGTCATAGACAGACTACGGGGTCTAAAATCAGGTGTCGCCCTGTAACTCGAACTCCTCTTGGCTGGTTCAGTCCAAGCACACTAACAGTAGCAGCCAGAGTTAGTGTGCCGGACAAATGCCTCCGCTCACTGGCCTCCAGCGGGATTCTGGGTGGTCTGCAAAACTTGTAGTCCGCCTTCATGTTTTATTTTGCTTCTTTTTATAGCCTAATCTCACTAACTGCACTCAAAACAGCCAACCCCAAACCAACAAACAACATCCTTTGCATCTTTGTTTTCTTTTTCTCTCTGTTAAGTCTTTGGACTGTGTGTGTGTGTGTGTGTGTGTGTGTGTGTGTGTGTGTGTGTGTGTGTGTGTGTGTGTGTGTGTGTGTGTGTGTGTGTGTCTGTGTGTGTGAGTGTATTTGTGTATGTGTGTGTGTCCAGTTTGGCAGACGTTTAGTCAACAACGGGAAGTTTTGGAGATGTTATCTATAATGCTCTATAATGGCCATAAATTGTTTCCGTGTCTATAAAACAGGGGGTGTGTATTTTGAAGGGATCTTAACGGGGCAATTGGAGGTCTCCTGTGAGGCGACAGAGGCCAGAAAACAGCCTGAGGTCTGCAGGGCCTCTGTGTGTGGCCCTGCTGCTGCAGGACAGACCTATAGGAGCTGTAATAGTCTACATAGAGAGATTAAAGAAATCCTCTCTTTATTTCTGACTTTGGTCCATTTCTCTTTACTGCCATCACTGACATTCACCATGTTGCTCGTTGTTATTGTACAGGCCGGACCTCCCAATTAGAATTAAGAAATGCTGAATGTGCCTTCTGCTCACTTTTCCAATTTTGTAAAATGTTCATTTGTTTTTCAAATGTCATGATAAATCAGTGTGATGTTTTCTTTTCAGTGGATTCTTTTCGATTTTTTTCCCACTAATTATTCTGATGAAATTTTCTCTTTCAAATAGTCAGTTTTTCACATTTTGCATCTTAATACAAGATGCTTTTTTTTTTTTCTTATTGGAACATTTTTGATGTTAAATGAGCTCTACTTCCATACCTCTTTATGGATTGGGCTTCAAGCTGGGTAAATATATATTTTACTTTTAACAAACCCCTCATTTACAAAATCCTAAGTTTATAAAATGAATTAAGTTTTCTCTTGTTTTTTATGGAGCCCCTGAAGTTTTACAAAGCTAATAATTATAGTCTTGTGTGTACAAGATAATTAATCATAAGTAATTGTGTACACTTTGTCCTGCTGTGTGTGATAAACAAGAAATAAACATTCACTTTTAATCCAAGGTTTCTTCCAGCCACGTTTGCTGTAATGAGCTCTACAAAAATACCTGAATATAGAAAGCAATAGTTTATCTTACTGTCAGATAGCAATGCCGCACTGCAGAGACTAATGTTATAATTATGCTCTGACTCACAATGCATAATGCAATGACCTGCAACATCCGACATAAAATCCACATCATTTTTCAAATGTTTGATACTAAATACCAAATGATAAATATCACTTTAACCAATAAAAACTGACAGACTTGAACATATCTTGGCAGTTTATTATACATCTGAACAACAAAGGCGCACCCCTCGAACATTACCAGCTGAGAGTGCTTTTGCTTCACACAAAGTCCTTCTGTAACACTCGTAAAAACATGTTATAAACAGTTGTCACATAGTGCGGATAGCAAATTACTGGCAAACAAAGGCATTTATCGACAACTGAGGGCAAAGATCACTTACAGGCCTTTAGGGGCTCCATAGTTTTAAGAAGTTGTTGATTTAAATTACAATCTATGGCACAAGAGTGAGTTTTTAAACCTAAGTAACAAGTTTGAGGACGGACAGAACTATTAAAAACAACATAGTTGATGAACACAATGCTGTTTGAGAGGTGATCTTTGCAGGAGAAGCTAAGTGTTAAAGAGCTTAGACCCAATCAGCCAGATGTTAAACTAAAACAGCATTTAAATTCCATAGGGAGAAATTACCCTGCAATTAAATTTATTTTTTATGGAGATTGTTTATTAAAAGTTCAGGTGTTGTCATGTTCTGATGCCAATACTTTGTTTTGTGTCCTTAATTGTTTCAACAGCCAAGATATGTCAGGGTCCCAGATCAGAGAGCACAGACTGATTCATGCAAAACTGCTTGTGAGAGGAGAGGAGGAGGTGAGTGCATCAGGTTGGTCTGAGTTGAGATCAGATAAGCACCTCCTGCTTCACTCCCATGACCAGGCTTCCTCTGTCTGCGGCTGCTGCAGTGATTACAGCCTGCACTTCTTTTCTGGTCACTCTCTGTCCCTCTGATGGTTGTCTTGGCCTCTGCTTCCTCCACTCGGAGCTTCGTCTGCCTGTGTAATTGTGTGTGCGAGTGTGTGGAAGTGCGTGTGCATGCATTTATGTAAACCAACCAAGAAGCTTTTTCCGGGGGGTGTTCTGTGAGGAAAGGTTATCAAAACACAACAGTGCAGTGGGAACTGTAAACATGCTCATGCACAGAGTGGAGGCTGAGGGCCATTTTTTTCCTCTGCACCGTGCTGTGCAGGCTATCCTCACCGCATATACTTGCTGGAGCTCCCTCTGAGAGCTCCAGAGCAGGCCTGTGCACACCAACACTTACTTCTCTGACTCGCCGGATCTATTTCGTAAATTTTGATTGGCACTGGTGGATGTAGTCATGCAGCTTTTCCACAGCAGAATAACTTCTGCAAACTCTATCATTTTGGTTCACCTTGCTCAAAGCACATCTTACTTAAGAAGAAGGGCTTCTTTTTTGTGCATATTAAACCTGATCAAAAACTATTCCTATTGGTTTGTAGACTGTTTTCAAAACAGGAACTGGGTCCTCTGACATTTGAATATTCCTTGAAATGGTTTGGGAAAGATGGCCTTCTCATAAAAATGTAAGGTTTGTAATTTTTCAATAATTTTTCTTGACAAAGAGGTTTGAGATTTTTACTCTCTTTCCATGCAACAGTATTTTGGTCTATGACACCTTAAACTCTGTTAGCTAATGTCCTTCTCCTTTTGCTGTAGACTGTCATGACAGATCAGTGACCAAAAATCAGCTGCTGATATGAACCCATCTCTTGTAATGCATTATTATCATCACATATATTAAGACTTGTAAATGCATCTATAAGGCCTTAAAACATCCCTTATGAGTGATAATAAGCATTTATAACAGCTCATAACAATGTTTATGACATGTGATAAATAGTGAGCATAATGCCTTACAAAAGTTTAGTTTAATAACTTTTATTCCTTCATGCAAAAGAAAATCATGCAAAATGTATTTCTGCCTGATATTTTACTTACAGCTACAAAAAAGCTGATGATGTCTTCAAAATGTATTATAGGGACACACATACATATTTGTTAATAGTCTCATACAGAGCTGTCACTTTACTTAGAGCGCACTAAGTCAAGCTTTAGCATTGTGTATTAATAAGACATTTTCAGAATTGAGAATCATAGAAATTTTAACTCTTTTTGGTGATACATTAGATGTTCTTTATGAACCTTCAGAATCAGGGAGTTGTGAGTAATTTGTGCTCTTAGACCTATTTCTTTTTTTGCATTAAGATATCACATGTTATAAACTTCAACTCTATAGGGCATTATGCTCCCTGCTTGTCACACTGCTGTGTTATAAGCTGTTATGACTGCTTGTTATCATTCATAACAGTCACTATTAAGCCTTACAGACTTTTTTATAAGGTGTTATAAATGATGCATTATAAAAGGGTGGGTTCATAAAAAGTGATACTGTTACATTTTCTCTAAAAGATGTGACGTTGATAATAAAGTGTTCATGGTTAAAAATCTACATTAAGGTAAAACAGTTTAAACTTACTGTAAAAGATTTTAACTGCTAGTCACTTTATTCATGATTGGGGATTTTCCACTTTTATTTATTTATTCATTTTTCTTTTTTTATTTTGATGTATTTCCATCAAAAACAATCACTTTATTTGACTGAATGGTCCCTGTGTTTTCTTATTTCCCAAGAATAGCTTATTAGTTTTTTCTAATCATGAATGATGACCTGTAGTTCATCTTTGACTGTTGCCTTGAATCATAATCTTCCATTTATTTTAAACAAATAAATTGAACAGGAAAAAAAGTAAAAGTAAAAGTAAAACTTTTGGGCCATACACTATTTAAAAAAATATATATTATTAATGACTAGGGTCATTTTTCCTTAAAGCTTTTTTTTTCACAGCTTTTTTTTCCAACATCTTTTACATTATTCATTCATTTGTGCTCAACGTATGCAGAGGTGGTTTTCTGTGTGGTCTTTTCCATAGACTATATATTAGAATTCGTATGTCTATGGTCTTTTCACAGCATATGTTGCGTGTCTGTATGCTAAGCAAACATCTCTCCTTTAACCTCTATTTGGGAGGACTTTTCTTTGTTCATGTACTGACTGTGAATCCCTCTAAGGAGACTGCGACTGATATAAATTGGCCTCTGAGATGGTATCACAACATAATTATACACTCAAAAGCATTCACTTTAGGAGAAAACACAGAGCCGCTCTACATTTCTGCTCATTTTGTTTTATTGCACTTTTACCATGATGCAAAGAAGTGAAAAAAATCCACAGAAACCATGAGTTGAATAAAAAAAGAAGCATTTTCACTTTAACAACACACCCTCTAAAGGTTCCCCGTGGATCCACACACACACACACCTCAACACATCGCACTGAGCTGACAGGACAATGGAAACTCTGTGTAACAAAATGCTTATGGAACAGATGGCATCAGCACACACATATATGAAGACCTCTTTATCTTAGCTATAGCTCGTACCCAGGAGGAGTTGAACCCTTTCTGCTATGAAACCAGACATTCAAGTATTTCTATCATTGCACAGGCACTAGATTTTCCTAATGAATATATTAATTTTCAGCCAGACACCAACAGATCAGCTATCAGCTGTTGGTTTCGAATGAAATATACATCCTAAAAAATAATCTCTCCACGACAGCAACATCTGGACATCAAATATATTACAACAAAACAGAAATACAAAACTATTAGTGTCACATTTGGCTTTTGGTACCTTAAATCTGTTGCATTGTTAAAAACAAGAACTGGATTTTACTTTGTAAACACAAGTGGAGAGTCATTTGAATTCATTTTGCGGCTACAAAACCTCTTTTAAAGCCATGTTCTGAACCTGATTTGGGACTAAATTTACTGGCAGATGCTTTTGCACATGCTCAGTTTGCCCTCTTGTGGACAAATAAAGAAGTGCACCACTCTGTGTAAGTTAAATGGTCCATTCTAACAGAAAATGTGATGTTACTAGTTAGAATTTATTCAAAACAAATAAATATGAATTTTAATAAATACTCTCTCAAGTACAAGTAACATTTAAGGGCAAAGATTAAAGGACAAATCCAGGAGTAAACCTGCACTCCAGTCAAATATCTCCATCTTTAAAACCAACATTAGAATCAGCTCTGCAGAAATAAAATATTAAAAAAGACACGCTGCAATAAAACATTTTAAGCAAATCAATAAATCATCTTTTTGATCATTAAGACAACAGGAACCTCTGCGTTCTCCTCCAAACACTTGCAATACCAACAATACGTAGAAACACATAATTCAGCTTGTGAAGAGGAAGGGGGAGAGAGGAGATAGGGGAGGGGAGAGAAGTTCTTTACAAGTCCCCCAGAATTCACTGAATTCAAAAAAAGGGTCCTGAACGAGACAGAGAGAAGGCGTCTCTTGCAAGACTTTCATGGTTTGGTGGTGCTGTGGTGGGTCGTGGGTGTTTTTATCCTACACTACAGTCAGGGGCTGGATATTTTAAGGAGTCTGGGTGATGTGCAGAGCAGGGAATCAGTCTCTTTTGTGACCCGGCCCCAGATCCAAACTGTTCAATCCAGCAGTAGCAGTAGTCCACTCCCACACAGCTTGAATTCATGTCAGGCGGCAACTTCTCTGTAAGTCCAGCAAAAATAATCAAAGAGCCCTCTGAGAAATATCGCGCAGATGAAGCTCATCTGTCCTACAGGATGCCAGGTCAGTTTAAAGAGAAAGACTGAAGCTGCTCAGTCCAGTCTTCTGTCTCCAGACACCAGTCTTGTCAAGCTGCCAGCACCCCAAGACAGCTACCTATGTCGTGGGCTGCTGTGGGCGTGGTCTGTCCCCTGGGGTCCCTGAAGGTCATCCTCTACGACATAACTGTACCCCTCTTTTTCAATGCACTCTGACAGAACATTCAGCACCTAAAAACAAAGAAATACAGCAGAACAAGAGTTTGAAGTGTTAATACTGTGAATACTGTACGAATACTTGGAAACAGCTGTTGGTCCTTGTACAAATGATCAGATAAAATAGAAGGGGCATGCTCAGTTTGTTTGACTGGGGTGGCCATAAACTGATACTGAATTATGCAGGGGTGGTCCAAAGTATAAAGTACAGCATACAAACACATTTGTGGTTCTGGTAATTTACTTCTTTACTATGTCTGTATTCTTTGATCATATCTACTTTGGTGTGTGTTGATTTTGGTGCCCCTAAATCTGAACCTTTTTTAAATTTTTTCCTGAGTGGACAGGTGTCCATGGTCTGTTATATTTTAGGAAAATTAAAAATCATCCCAAATCCTTTCATATTCAAATATACTTCTTTCAATATTTGATATAGATTACATTCAAAAATAGCTTTCATTCAGCAAGCTCATTTGACACCTACTCCATAGGCATCTACTACAGGCTGATCTCGTTTTTTTTTTGTTGGCCATCTAGTGGCATCATAGTGAACTTCAGTCTGTTTTTAATTACCAACCAAAAACTCCTTAAAGTATCTTTAAAAAACACATAAAGAAGGAACAAAAGTAAAAAAGTACTTTAAAAAAGCAAAAGAAATCTCCTTACAGCCCACAGCAACATGAACTTATAAGTTAATTCAAATTTAAGTCCTGCCTCTTAGCTGGCAGCTATGCAGTCTCAGTAGTGAAAAAACAGGGTGGTTAATAGATTCTAAGAGGACCCATGCCACCTTTAGACACACTCTGGACACGCCCCTGTGAAATAGGTCAAAATACCTGAGAAAACACTCAGGGCCTGATTCACGCAGAATAGATTGAAACTGCAATTAACACCAAGAAATTATGCGTCATTTGCACCCACTCTCTGCTCCATTTCTGATGGCTCTGATGATAATCAAGGGCAAAAATGCCCTCTAAGATCTGCTGCTCTGTGTGGTTTGCTCTAGTTTTCTGCTGCGCAGCGCTGCACTATGGGCTCTCATGCTGATGGATATAAATTCTATCCACATACATGATCAGATGGAAGAAGAGGGACACTCCAAATCTACTCATTGTAGAGCTGAATTATGACAAATGGGCTTGAGAGAGCGAGCCAAAAATAGCTTGTCAAAAGAAATAAAACTACAGTGTGTCATGACGCAGCCCTTGAACGTCCCTTCAAGTGTGGCGGTTGAGCCACAGACAATCTGGCTGATTCTACCCCTGATTGTCTTAAAAACAGTAATGGTGGAGTTGTAATGACAGACTTAATGTGCAGATTTATTACTTTTGGGCTAAAAGTGGAACTGTTTCCTCAACCATTTAATACTCTGGAAAAGATATTGCCAACTTTCAGCAGGCCCTAAATATTTAACTCTAACTGTGCAGGATTGCTAGTGCCACTGTCAGTGACCTAGGTGTAAATTAGGTGAATTAGGTGTTATTTGCAATAAAGCTCATTTGCATAAACATATGCAAATGAGCATGGGCATCTTTTGCTTCACATTAATGTACTCATTGGCTCATCTGAATGTGTGCAAACAGCACACAGTTTGCTCTGTGGTGCAGTTTATTAAGAACTGTGAATAAAGACAAATTGGTTTTGTCTCATCTGCACAGATTTAATGAGCACAAAAGCTGCACAATCTACTTATGAATCAGGCCTTCAGCATTTTGAGGAAACTGATGCCATTCTCTTTATTGGGTGCTAAGTAGAAGCTTAGCCAGCAGACGCTTAGCTTAACTTTGACTTGAAGGAGAGAGGGGAGTTTGGCTCTGTCTGTAGGCAAAAAATCTGCATACCTGGCGCAGCCGACGGTCCATAGCGTCCAGGTGTGGCTGGATAAGGATGGGACTGAGGCGGTCCCTCACCAGGGACTCTGCCATGAGCGTGGACAGCTTGTATTCTTCCTTAGCCAGCAGTTGTAAACGCAAGTGAGTTGACTTCCTTACCCTGCAGAAAGAGCAACCACAGGAGAATCAGTTCTACCCATATGCTCTGCAGCACTAATAATGTGAACCCGACCAATAACTACAATTTTCTCAGCAGGACAGAAAGGATAAATGAAGCCATCCTTACCTTTTTACAAGCTACATGAAAATACAGCACATAGGTCTTTACCTGCAGCACTGAGTCAGCGGCACCAGAATGGACACCTCGTCGTGGGAGTGCTTTCCGAAGCTGAGGGGAACAAAAAAAGGATCACATTAAAGATGATAACTGGAGTTTAAACATGCTGATGTAGTTTTAGATGGTCGGCTGTAAGTTTCAGACAAGTTTGTAATAAGAGTGATGACTGCATTCAAAGTATATTTCTACAGTTTTTATTTGCGTTTTAGCTTCTTTAATTGCAGCTCTGTGGCTCACCCTCGTCCATTGTCCAGATGGATGATGAAAGTCTCATTTCCAAACTTTTCAAACGTCTCATAATGGTGCCGATCCATGTTTCCTGCATATGAGCACAAGTAAACATTTAAGCTGAGTGACAGTGGCAAAAGGAAAAAATAAAGCTTATATGTGCTTGAAAGTGTCTCACGATCATCAGAGGAAAAAATGTTTTCTGAATTTTAGGGATGATTATCTCGCATTAATGGGACAAGTATGAAAAATAAGAACCTGCTCTGTTAAAGGAGATAATCATCAAAGAATTACAAGGACAGATTCTTTCTAATAAAGAATATAAAAAGATTACTCTGCTCTGCTCCGAATTAATAAGACATCCCAATAAAAGCTCTCATTTAGACCACTTAAAAAAGCAAAGAAGCCTCAGACGTTCAGCTTAAGCCAGAATTAGTCTGGTGTGGGTTTAAGACAAACTTCTCTTGATATATCTGTGTCTGTAGGTGGTAATTATAGATGATTTTGCCATTAATGTGAGGATTTTGTGCTCGTACTTTAAGGGGTTGTAGTATTTTTTGTGAATCAGAGCAAATTCCCCATCACAATAATGCAGCTGTGTAAGCTGTGTAAGGTCGAGATTGAGATTGAGATTTGATTTATTGGTCCCCTTGTGTGTAAGGTGCATCTTTGATAAACATGTGCTCCCAGAAAACGTTTCACATCGGAATTTATTGGCTTCATTTAAAAAAATGTACACAGGTTTACACATATTTCTAAGAGGCTGATCTATTTTTACTGTGATCTGCGGTGTTTAGCCAAAATTAACTGTGGTCAAGCCAGTCGCTCCTCACTTTTTCATATTCAACTCACCTGCCTGTGAATTTAAAGTTTTTTGGTACCTCAGGAAGCATATTCTTATTCTTAGCTTTTAAAATATGACTTTTACAGTATGCAACTATTTTTGCTATGAGAACTTGGCATTGGTTGGAGGGACCTGTAAACTTTGTACCCTGAACTGGTATCTTTATGTTGGCACTACTAAACCACAATAGTGGTCATAACACTAAATGATCCACGCAACAGGTTCACTTTTTATTTTAAGTTGAGATAACCCGTCACTTTTATCAGCAAATTTCCCCAAAACATTTTTCCTCTATGTGTACATGTATACCACAGTCTTCAGCTCAGAATTACTTGTTTACAGCTGTAGTTACCTTCTCTAAGTAATTTAAGACATTCAGACAAAATCAGTGTATCTCACTCACCCATGAGGAAATCAAAGATGGTCATGTCCATGATGTCTAGCAGTCGCGTCCCGCTGTCATAGGGTGGCGTCTGTTTGACCTCCTCACAGTAGTCCGGGTCTACCTCCCATCTGTAAAGTTATACATAGACATTGTGCTTATTTTAAACTTATCTGCTGGCTTTGCAAAAAGGTAATCTAACATGTTTAATCCAGCTTTTCAAGAGGAGATGACAACAAGAGCTCATGACTTATTGCTGGTCACAATGGTAGTTAAATAAATACCCTCTGACATCTGAACCTGCAGACTCTACAGTGAGTCCTTCAGTGTCTGCTTCAGTCAGTGAATGTAAGCAGCAGCAGGAATCGATTTCTTACTCTGCCTTCTTGCGTTTGTGGTAAGAGCGTCTCCACGGGTTCCTCCAAGTCTTGCGTTTAGCAAGGGCCAGGTCTGGTAGGAAGGCAGCCAGGGATCCTTCGATCTGGTCCGGTTTGCCACACAGAGCGTGCTCAGTGGAGCAGTAGTAGGAGCACTCTCCGTAGAAGCACACATTATTGGCTGAGAATTGAAAAGGAGAAATACTCTCTATGAGCCACTCAGAGTAAAAGAGTTTTGAACATACCTCACCTCCTTTTTCTGCCCTTTTGAAATGCAAACCTCATATATTTCAGACCCAATTTTCCAGAGATTAAAACTACCTGGAGACATTCACTGACTTGTATTAATTGCTGAGGCTGTCAGTAATTTGAATCCTATAAAATGTAAAGGTTGCATCGCTAATTAACTGTCATTCTTTTGCACGAGCTAAAGTCCCATGATAATACTAATCCCATGCAAATTAATCCCACAGTAATTCAAGGCACAGAACTAGCTTTGCATTACATTATGGAGGCAGAAACTTCCATTTTGCACCGCTTTTGTAAAGGTGAGAATAGCAGAAAACTATGCTAATGTCATGTATTTCTTCATAACGTCACAACTTGGAGGTTAAACAATGTGTTGGCCACAGTTTTTGGGTTTATTTTTGGAACTGAAAAGTAGAGGAGAATCATGAAGCTTTTTATAAATTCTGTGGTCGTAGCAAAGTCAATCTCATGGTGTGTTTGTAAAAGCTTCCCTTTTTTTTTCTTTTTTTAGATGTGTTTCTAAAAAGCAATATCTCTGCTCTTTTTCAGTTTGTACCTGGTGAAATGAAAAAAGTCCTCCAGAGCTTTTTGTCTCGTGTGACATCTCGGATCTCTTTGGTCATGTTGACAAGCCTCCCGGCTACAGGAGGAACACGACGAAAGTCCAGAATCCTGCGGGACAGAGACACAAACAGGAGAGTTACACTCACATTTCACAATACAGCAAAAGTTTTCAATCTGTTTATGCTCAATTCCTGAGAGAAGTGTGAAGGGGTGATGCAAAGGGCAGAAAAAGGCCGGGTAAAGGACAACAAGAAGAATCCAGGTAAAAAACAGAAGTCTGCCGATACGTTTTTTAAGAGTCAGACACATCATTCACTGTGTATCATGATAAATATACAAAAAACTTCAATTTCTGTTCTTCAACACTATCTGACACCTCCCCTCTGCAGCAGCACCAGGCTTTAAAAATCACTTAAGAGGAATTATAAGTGAAGTTGATGATGGTTTTGTTTGCTTTTGTAGCCAATAAAGAGGTGTCAGCAACAGTGATATGTCCAGAATAGTGTCAGTGGGCCCCCCTGAAATTTGACTGGCTAAGCCACCCTAGCCAAAAACAAAAAGTCTAGACTCACTCCTATTCAGAAACAATGAAAGTCTCTCCATCAGCTACCCACTGAGCATATTTTGGTCAAAAAGAGGTCTAATAGATGTCTAAATGTAGCCTAGATGACTGGTCTGAAATCAGGCCACCACAGGTCTAAAAATGAAAGTTTGTAGACGTCTGAATTTAGACCAAGTTTTGACCAAGTCTTTATCTGGGCTATATCTATACTACACCGTATATTGCTCAACAGCTATCATAATTAGTTTGGTTGAGTACTTGGAGATCAGTAACGCAACTCACAGTTGCTTTTTGGAATAAATAGTTATCGAATAATGGGTTAAAGTGCACCGTCTGAATGAATGAACAGAATCTAGACGGTTGACAAAAAACTAGAAGTCTAATAGCCGTCTATTCCTCAGCGGGTAAGAACTTCTCACAGGACCTTTAGTTTTCATACACCAAAACATCCCTTTTTTAACAAATGTTTATTCATATGCACACATGTTTATATTATTATTATTTATTTTTTGTTTGCACTTTGGACCAAAATCAACAGGATTTTATTCTACTATGTGCCTCCTGCTTTACATATTTACATATTTAGTACTTATATACATTCATATCACCCCTGCAATTCTTGCACATTGTTACAATCACTTGCCTTTAGTCTATTACACCCTTCTGCACCTTATATATATATATGTACATGTTTTGCACATATATATCGGCACTGTACTTGAGTCTGTAAACTGAGGCCTATGGAAATAAAACTTCATCCTGTTTACACATGCTGCATACTGAATGACGAAAAAGTAAGTCTAAGTCTGAGTCTCTAAGTCTGGAGTTCAACTCACAATGAAGGCATCTTGAATCTTGAGTAACAGAGGTTGTACACCTTTATTGATGCCAATTGGCCCAAAACAAAGAAAACAGGGGCTTAAGTGTTAAGACTTTGAGAAAAACAGGAATAAAGAGTGATAGGGTGGTGGATATATAATGCCCATTGTGGATATGGGATTTATTTCACAAAGTCAGTCTTCAAGTATGGCAATCTCAGTCACGGGTTAGTGGGTATGAAAAACTGATTTAAAGGATCCATTTAAGTGTGAGGTTACTAGTTCTTTTGAATCACCACATGACAAAACCGCCCACGAGGCTGCACATATTCACTCAGGCAGTCCAGAGACGCTCTCTACGGCAAACAGCTTTGATTCATATGTGTTCATCGAGGGGGAAAATGGGAGCCACCCCAGATGGGACTCGAACCCACAATCCCTGGCTTAGGAGGCCAGTGCCTTATCCATTAGGCCACTGGGGCACACACCATTGCATTTGCATCAATGTAAGTTTGATTCCCTGCCAATAGAGGGCACTGTGACACCAGTATTCACCGAGCTTTTGTACCTCATGGAGGTGAATGTCCCTGTGGTTTTCATGTTCTTATCACTCCACATTAAACACATTTTAACTCACACGTCCATCTGAATTTATATGTTCCAGATTTTATAGTCTGTCAACATTTCCATCCCTCTGAGACCAGCATGATCTCTGCATCATTTGGCGGGAAATGAGCATCAATGTGTATGAGTCAGATGGAGAGAAAGGGCTTTTAATAAAGCTGTCTGTGTTAATAGATGGCGTGTCTCTCTTCATGTGTGCGTGCCACATGCCGATTTTATGCATGTGTAGTCTACTTCCTGTGTTCACCCAGCCAAAGGCTCAGCATGGGCTCTTTAAAAATTGATACCCTTGACAGCACCTAATGGCCGAGGCCTGAGGGCAGAGAGGCACAGGACGAGAGACAGAAAGAGAGAGGAGAGGAGAGGTAGGGGAACAGGAGAACACCTGGCGGAGAAAGGGGGAAAAAAGAGAGCTGAGAGTGTGCCGCACAAATGATGCCATCAAGCTACACAAAGGCGAGCTGGGTGAGCTAGAATCACACATTCATGTCTCCTCCTTCTCACACGGGATAAAGCAAGAAGCAGGAATGGTGGCCTGCTGGGAGGGAGCATGAGGCTGTGCTGGAGGCAGTTGCCTGAGCTGTGCAGGAGTGTGTTTGGTAAGGCGACTGGGGTGAAATGTCCCAGGTCCTTTCCAATCTGAGTGGTCAACCTAGCCTGCAGGAAGTTTGCAGGTATTTGGGACACGTATTTACTAGTGTTGTTTTACACAAATGCTGTCTAAAATTATCATTATTTCTCTAGCACCAGAATTACCAGGCAAATTATCAATATTTTTGAATACTTTAGGCCCCAAATGCAGGGGAAAAATAATAATTACAGCCTTCCAACACTAGTATTTTACAATATTTTAATTGAAGAAAGAAGATAAAGATGTACATAGGCTGTATCAAGGTAAAGTGACATATAAATACTCCATCAAAGTAATGCACAACCACCACAAATGTGGAAACTGCTGAATTTTGAGTGTTTTCTCATCTTCAGATTGAAGGGGCCACCATAGCTGTCAAGTATCCTGTTTTGGCTAGGCAACTACTGTATTTTACCCCTCTTTCCCTTCCCGTATCAATATTCTCCTGTATTATAATATATATGTATTAGAACCTCCACCTCTCCAAACTCTATGTCTATGTCACTGAGCACACACTAACTAGTATTAGTAGTTCTAGCAGTAGCTAGTACAATGAATTACTCCTGCAGCCCCTGGGAGGGCTTAGGGAAACGTACCTTTTTTCATAAGCCAAAATTTGACAGGTATGAGGGCTACTCCAGTACTATTGTCAGCTTTCTGCCTGGTCAAGGGTAGGACTTGTTTTCATAGCGACTGGTGCAGCAGACACTAAGCAGCCATTGACACAACTTTTATGAGCTTTTTTAATCATCTATTTATGGGCCCTTAAGAAATTGATAATGTAACACAGACCTCCTCTGTTGTAAAACAAAGGAACATTACATCTATTTGAACCTAAGTCCTTAGAGGAGATTTGAGCTGTGGAGACAGAGGTAGTAACTGGGTGCTCTTCCGATATAAAAGTGAGCTCATACCACTTTACACCACCCCTGTATAATTCAGTCCTCCTGTGGTTGGGCCACCCCAGTTTGACAATACTGGACACACCCCTGGGACTGACTTCACTCCTTTCATTATTCATCTTTCTTCCTCTGTTAAACCTCAATCCCACGTCTGACATTTTTATCTTGCTTTATTTTCAAGGAGGCCCTCTAGGATTCCTGCATAAACAACTGTGGAAACTTAAATTCCACATAGTAAAACTATAAAAAAGCCAGCAGGTGTCATAAAAGTTATATGGTTTAATGTTGAATACCATATTTGTCCTTGAATGTCTCCCTATCTGCTCTCCCTCACCCATCTAATGCTGCATTACAGAGAGCACATCCCATTTAAATCCAATCACATAATTAATGATGCTTAAAGCAGTGTAGCCTATATAAGAATAGGCAGTGGCTCTATGTGAGTGTGTGTGAACGCTGCTTTTTAAGAGGCTGTGTGTGTCTGTGGGCCCCCTGGGAGGCAGTGCAGCCTAAGCCTCTGCAGCAGCAGCACCACCACCACCAGCTCTAGGAGCAGCAGTAACACAACACACTGTATCCAGGCTCTAATTTAGAACAGACAAAATAAGGGAAAAAAAATAAAGCGCTGCTTTTGGCAAACCCTGCCTGGCTTATATTTAGAATGGGCACAGGGCCTTTCATGCCTTTGGTTTCCTCCTCTTCCCCCTTAACCCACACATATGCCGGGAGTGTGTGCGAACATGCTTTTATGTGTGTGTGTATGTGTGTACAGAGGACCAGATGTGTAGCAGACTGGTGAGGAGAGCTGCTGCTAATGCAAGTGCTGCTGAACTGTGTCATTGTGCCTGAAGGGAAAGCAGATTCAACATCTCTGCCCTCCTCTGTGGCCCCTTTGTATCCGTGTGTGTGTGTGTGACCTCAGTATCATCACCAGTTTTCACACAACAACACAATCCCTCCTCTCATGTTAACATATAGCCAGAGTGACATCAGCTGGACTTTAATAACAGCGCTGAAACTCATCGCCCTCCTTTGCCCATCAAGGTTTTCTCTTTCCATTATGCAGTGTCTCCAGCAGGCCGGCTGGCTGTAAAGTGTTAACCTTGTAAAGGCAGGGAAGTAACAGAGTGTGGTGGTTAGCTAAGCAAGGAGGCTGCAGTCATTGTTCAGTCAGATGCTAGCTGCAGGAGGGCGGCATTCATTCTCTATGACTCATGGTCTCTTAGAGCTCACAGCCTCCACTGTACGAACCGACTCACACCACTCAGTGTGTTTGAGGAAAGATGAAATTCTGACAGAAGTTAGTGAAGAAAAGGAGAACAAAATAAGTGAGGACAAAGACTGGAGTACTTTAAAAGAAGAGAAACGGATCCCCCAGCACTTTACAATCATATCTTAAAGCTTTGTTTTAACACAGTGTGCAGGGTTTTTGGCCCAGGCTTGGTGTTGGGCAGGTTTTTGATCCCCCTGGATGGTTAATGAGCTGGCACGAGGAGTGGGAAATGAGCGATCAAGGAGGAACAAAACCTGCAGGATGCTGGCTCTCAAAGATAAAAAGAAGTACTTGGGCATGAAGGAGTAAGAGCAGACTGAAGAACACTGACTTTCATCTTAATTAAGTTGAAAATGTTGTTGCAGTACGGCTGTTTCTGGACCAAACCCCCCACTGTTGCCCCTCTGGCTGATTTTTGCACCTAGCTCTGGTAGAGAAATAATGTTCTGGACAAAAAAAGCAGTATCATAAGTTATACTGTGCTGTTTTCCCTTTTTCCTGCTCACACTGAGTCTGATAGCCGCAAAAGCAATGAAGTATAAGCTGTAGGGGTACATCATCTGCATATTGGTGAAAATGAGTTTTTATCAAAGCTCCAATGAGGAGTTTTTTGGACAAATGGACTGAAATTCATCCTGATGCCTTTTAATGACAAACAAGACCAGCAGTGGCAAGACTGAAATTATTTATAACCCTATTTTTATTGCCTAAAACCAGTATGCCTGGAGCCCAAGGAAAATGCTTCTTTTTACAATTTCCACATAAAATATTCACAATGAATAATACATTTGACTTTCAAAAGTCAGTAGAACTAGATTTGTTGTCATAAATCAATACTCATGCATGTAGCTGACATGGTAAGCAAAGACAGCTTTGTCCACAGGGGGCGCTAAAAATGACTCAAACCAAAAGTTCCTCACAGGAGCTTTAATTATAAATTACATAAATCAAACATTATTTCAAACGTCTTTAGAAATGATCAATGACATATAAGTAAGTTTCCTACATTAATATGAATGTTTAAGAATTTTACCTGTTCATACATAAAATACATTACATTTATCTGTTATATATTCCTGGGTATTGTTAAAGGGCAGTCTCAGTGTTTCATTTCTGATAATAACTGTCTCTTAAAAATCTTGAAATACTGGTGGTCATACCTCCTAAATGGTTGGTTTGTAGAAGGGAGCAGTGGTGTTTTTTATTTATTTATTTATTTAAGGCTGGTTGCCACCTGCCATAAAACAGAGGGAAGATTGAATCAAAGCATAAACAGCTGCTAGTTAGCCACTGCAACCCTACAAAAGATAGTCTGGCAAGACTTACTGTGAATTGAAGAACATCGTGAGAGCTTGTGCCTCTTCAGAGGATGCTAATACCTGGAATATTTATACTTTATAGTTATTCCTTTACTCAGTTCTGTAACTTACGATGGATCAGGAGTGGCAAAGACTTCATTTCAAAATAAAAGCACCATCAATAGTTTTATGAGGCAATCTCCTCCCTAGAGATATTTTGTATTTTAGTGATGTGGATAAAAAATAACTCTGAACACAATTAAAAATAGACGATGACTTGTATATGAGTCATTTGTGTTAACTGGTTAAGTTTTATGAATTAACATCTTGTTCCACCTTTGTCTTTGTCTTAACTTTCCTAAATCAGTGTCTTCAAAGTTTTCCTTAAAAACAATGAAAATATTATTCTTGTTATTTTTTTTTATTTTTTTTTGGCCTTAATGATAATTGGGTGAAAATCTAACAATCCTAATCACAACATAATCACAAAAAATCTGTCACCTTCATTTAATTTTATTTGCTAGCATCCTCGTCCAACCATCCTCGTGGAGCAGAGCACTCAAAAGCCTGACCTACTTAGTGCTGAACGACACACAAACACAACACTCGTCCTCGGGGACCATCTAATGTTTTCTTACCTGTCCAGATGGAAGGCAGCAATCTCAGCATTGTGTCTTTCAAAGTCAGAGAAATAGAAAAAGTCGGGTGGGGTCTCTTGCTCCCGAGTCTGCCTGCAAGGACACAAAGAGAAATGCTTAGAGATCAGGTATAACTGTCATGCAAAGCTCATGTTCTGAAAGTCAGCAATATGCAAAAGGCTTAGAGTCAACCTGACCACGCAACATATTAGATGAGATAGGCTACCAGGCATCCACAATGACTTCAAGAACCTTAAATTATGTAGCTTTTCTTCACAAAATACTAGTAGATGTATGTAATTGTAGTTATGCAGACCACTGCCACATCCTGAATTTATGTTAAAATATTTGGGAATAATTCAGAAAAAATGAATGCAAGAAAAAACTTGAATTCAAGCTTTTCCAGATACCAGGTACCAGGATATTGATACCAGTACCAATACTGATACTCAAAACTCAATAGCAGTTACTCGTATAGGCTCCTACTATCTGGATTAGGATACTGATCCCAGAACTAAGGGGAGGACAGTCATACATGTCATTAAAGCTGCTGTGAGAAACTTTTGATTTGTGTTGTTTCTGGTGCCCCCCTGTGGACAAAGTAATGCCTCTTATCCTTTGTCAAGTTATGTTTTCAGGCAAAAACCTCATCCTTTTGTCTTTCAACAATGCCTTTCATCACTCAGAGTGAGTATTTGCTGTTAAAAAAAGACAAAAAAGGCCTTTTGTTCAGCCTGCTGTCAGCCATCTGGTCCTTCCTCTTCAGAGCATTTTCAAGCATTTAAATTACTACAGGGAAATTATCAGACTTCTTGTTGATGGTCTTGTTTGCTTTTGACGGTCATAAAGAAGCATCGGTATTAGTTTCAGACTGTTTCTGAACCAGTTAAAAACTCCTCAGGGTGCTTTTAAGTTGGGAAGAAAACAACAATCAAAATATTTGTTTGTCGAATGGAGATCTGGTCGGCCCTTTCTGATGGACGCCAAAACTCTAACTCTGATCGGCTTTTGGGGGAAAAGCAGATTTGTTGCTCAAGGTAAAATTTAGGAACATGAAAAATCCCTGCTCACAGGTTTCAGCTGTCTTTCGGAACAGCCTCACATTCCCACAGATATCTCTCTCCAAAGGAGGCCCTGTTGGTGATAAAACCCTTCCACTTTACACCTGTGTACCTTATACAGCGAACAAACTTTGCAAGCAATAACTACGACCCAATAAACCAGTGTCCTTGCCTCACAAAAAGGGCCCTGGATAGAGTCACTGCAGCTGTTTTGTGGAGAAGCGAGGACAATTGAAGGTCAGATGCTTCTTCGTGAAGCAGCCACTCCTGTACCTATTTCTGTCCAGCTCTGATCCTTTACCCCCCAAAAACTGCTTTGCACACACATTCTGCCTTTAAGCCCTTAGTGGAGGGAAAAGAGGCTCTTAAAGGCTTAAATCACAGAGATGATGGAACATGGGCCAAGACGGGGCAGGACGGACAGGACGGCGTGGGTAAAAAGGCGAAACGTGAAAGAGAGTGGAGGTGAAAAGATCCCCTGAAAACATGCTGGTGATAGAAAATATGTTAATGGGTTTGAAAAATACAAGGACAGTCAAGCAGACCATCATCAAAATGCAATCTTTCCTACATTTTTGAATGAATTTTTTTCTCCTCTTTGCTTTCATTTATCGACAACAGTAAATACTTTCCAGGCAGGCAGCTGAGTGTAATGATTTGGACTGCAGCCTCTGTCATTTCTGCTTCAGCTCGTTGAGGGAGGATGAGAAGAATGGAAACTATCTTGGCAACTTCTCTTTTCGCCCCTTTTCTCTCTATTCCCTCTGGATGCGTCTCTCTCTGTTTATTTCGCTCAAAATCCTCTATCTCGCCTCCTCTGCTTCTCCTCGCTATCCCTCACACAGAACTGTTTTCTTTTTTTGTCTCTTCTCGTCCACGGCTTAATACTTTTTATCTGTCTGCCTCCCTCTTTTCCGCTCTCTCCCTCTCTCTCCCTCACTCTGTTCCTCAGCTGGCTGGCTGATTGTAGCTTCACAGCTGCGTGGCTGACATATGCACCAGTCATTAACTAACCCAACACGGACTCCAGAAACACACTCATCCATTAGAAATTCTTCACTTTTCTCTTCTTTTTATTGCCCTCATTCTGCCTTCCTCTCAACTTTCTCCATCCGTCGTCTCCATAAATCATTTGACTGGCAGCCATATGCAAATACATGGCCAAGTGAAGCCCAAGTAAACAGAAAATCAGAATATAACCCCTTATCGAAAAGGTATATAGCGTCCATTGTGTCTTCTCTGCCTCAGTCTCCTCCCTCTCTTCTCCTCTCTCTCTCATTCTTCTTCTCTGTGCTGCCATTGAGGCTCTGCCAGTTAAGGCCCGAGCACCGTCCGTTGATTGTATCACTCTCTCTTCTTCTAGATAGCCTTGCTTCAGGGACACAGCTCTCGCTCTACATCAAGGAAAAATGAGGCTGACTTTGAAAGCAGGGAGCCGTGTCTATTTACGCGGGTGACGCTCAGCCAACAGGACAATATCACTCAGTCCTGCAATATGAGGTGACTACAACAGTTTTATCGATGGGGACAGTTGTGCTAAGTCAGACCCTGGATGAGAGTTAGTCTTGGGCAAATAAATCTTAAAAGTTTTTGTAGACTGTGATATATAAAGCTTGAAACAAAACAATAAAGCCGAAGGCACAAAGAAATTGTTTGTCTAACTGGCATAAAAGGCTCAAAAACACATTTGACAAGCTATTTACTAAACAATGCTGATGTGCTCTAGAGCTTTGGACTAAAAATGCTGTTTGAAATAAAAATGATCAACATTCTAAAGATGCATTTTTAACACCTTTTTGCCTTAAAGAAGTTTTATTTCTATATGCTACATATGAGACAGACAGCTGGTTAGCTTATCTCAGCAACAGGATACAGCCTTGTTCTCTCCAAAGGTAACAAATCTGAATCCAAGTACATTAAAAACCCCTCTCATTAAAATGATGATACTTTATTTATCAGCACAAAACTCAATAGTAAGATTAAAAAGGGCGATTTTTTTTACTTCTAATTTTAAAATGTGTCCTTAGGTCCAAATCTGTCATGTCCTGAGGCCAAAGTAAAACACTGATGCAGTTTCCAACATTTTTTAAGGGTGATTTATTTCTCTGTGTGGAAACTGAACCCTCAGATCTTGTAGTTACTGTAAAATTTAGAGTATATGTCACTCTTTCATTATTTACTTGTTTCTCATCTAAAAGTAAGTGGCCACCTGTATGTCACTGCAAAAACATAGAGAAGGGTACCTCTTTTATTATTGTTTACCTAGAAGTTGGTGCTGTAAACTAGTTTAAGCCCAATCAAAAACATGCACTGTCATGACTGCCAGTGTGACCACCACTATTACTCACTGTAAAAGTCTACCCCCATCAATTTCAAGTGGTTGTGTCAATGCACATGCAGACTAGGACTACTGAGCAAATAAACCGTGTGTGGAAAAACTTCAGTTCAAGACAAAAGCTGACCAGCAGAGGTGAAAGGTGCAGCTCTTGAAATTTTCACACAGGAAAACAGTTTAAGCCTTTTTACTCTCAGAGATTCTTAAAGTCAGACTGTGTCTGAGGATGAGTTCGCTATTTCCCCATATTGCCAAGCTGTGTTAAGCCAAATACTGTTTTTGCTGAGGCTTCCTGTCCAACTGACTTATACAAGACTGGTATTTCTCTATACCAAACTCGTGACAAGAAATATCTGAAAAACACTGAGAGTATTTTTTTAAAAAAAGTTAGACTGATCATATGATCAAGGGTGTTTCAAAGCAACCGATTATGCCCTGAATTCCAGTCAAATCAGGAGATTTAGAATCTGATTAAGTGACTATAAAACGCTCAGAAAACAGTCAAAACTGAACACAACTTTTTAAACTCAATTTAACACAAGATTAGCGTCTAGTCAAGTCTGTGTCTAAACAAGAATAAAAGAGCAATGTTAGCATAGCTCGCACCATCAGCCACCTTGCAGGTTAACAAGTCTGTGATGGTTTCATTTTGCATACAGCCTACAAACAACATCTCTATATACAGATGAAGTAACTACCAAACTGTGCCATACTATGTTGTCAAATGTGTTTGTTTACATTCAGGTAGTACGGCATTAATGTAATAATAAAATAATGAAGCAATAATGCACTGCAGCGTATTAAAGCAACAATACAATATAATCAAAACAGATCAGCTAAATTCTTGCATAAGCTAAGACCTGACAGGACGATGTGTTTTAAGCTGTTAGGGAATCGATCACATTCACAGTGTTAAAGGATGACATAGCTTAAATAGCCAAAGTTTCTGGCACTGCAGTTGTGGAAAGCCAGTGTTTCACGTCCGTCTTGACCATACAGGGGATTTTTGGAGATTAAGTATGAGCAAACACTCTGCTGCAATGATTCACGATCACTCAGCTTTAAAGAAATCCTCATGCATACTTCACACAGTCCTGCTACATTTCTGTCTCTATAGGGGAAGCTGCAACAGTAAGCTGCTTTATTCACGCCTCACTTCATACACTTCCATTTACACCCAATACACCTTACAGAGAGGTAAGCATGGTTTGTGTTGTTGCTTTCCTATGTAAAAGTGAATGTGAAAGTGAAAGCAGCTTGAGAATACAAGCGTGAGTTTGCATCTGAGAGCGATTTCTCAGCCTGTGGCCCCGGCTTCAGATGTGGCTGTACGGATGCTCTTCTCTTGCTGAATGCCAGCCAGGAAGCAGGAAGGATGGATAATTACCATGATCCACAACCAATTCAAATGTCAATAAAGTTATTTAGAGCATGGCATGATTTCCCCCCCACTGCTGACCTGTGAGAGAGGACGACAAAATGAAGAGGAAAAGTAAAGAAAGGAGCGAGGAGATAAAGTGTGACAAAGACACCAGAGGTAAATGGAGAGAATAATCAGGACAAAGTGGAATAGACGTCTCTAAGCGTTCTTTGAGCTGACAAATATGCAGCACTATGTGTAACATAACATTATCTTTGAATCCTTGCACAGCAGCACCTGTGTTCAGGCAAATCTGAGCGTGTTCTGATCAAGCAAACCATTAGAGGCGGCTTGTCTGGAGGAAGCTGTGTCGTCAGCACAAGGCAGCGTAAACATACATGAATGCATGACCACATAATAATGTCTATAAATGTTTGAGCACACAGTGTGCGCTGAGCTCAGAGAAAACAGAGCGGAGGGCAGAGATGTTCAAGAGCTTTTCATTCTGTTCACTTTGCTCTGTGTGGTTGAGCTTGAACCTTTAAAATATTTACAAATTCACGGCGGATTTATGCTGAATGATAAGCAGAAATCTTTCAACAAGCTGCCAGCGGAAGCATATATTTCTTTTCTCCTCAATAAGGCACAGTAACACTGCCAAGAAAGCGTCTATTTTTTCAGTGGGATTTGGCATCCCTTTAACCGCCAACATCAGATCATTTATATTCAGCAGCAGGTGAGGCGTACTGATCCGAGCATGCTCAGTGTGACCCTTGCCTTGCTGTAAACACATAGTTTACACCGGGTGGTCAGACAGTTTCTTGGCTCCGCTCCCCAACCCCAAGGGGCCCTAGCAGCCAGCAGGGTAGCGCAGGTCTATCAGCAAACACACAGCAGTGTGAGAAGGTGAACGAGAAGAGCGCTGCATCTGGAAAAATTCTACCTGCACATACAGGACATAGCTGACCTCTGCAACCCCAGCAGGAGAGACAGGAGAAGAGGGGAGACGGAGCAAGAGGCATTTCCGTCTGCCCTGCTATTGACATCAAGTCATAAGGTTTTATTTATTTATTTACTAGGAAAGACAAAAACAGTCACAAAGTTTTCTGGCGTTGGTCACTTTTCTAACTTCAGCAGCCATCAGCTGAAATTGCATTTATACCCGTACATGGCTTAACATTAGCCTCTACATTAGCTAATATAAAGTGTGAGTCAGCTATGTGTAGTTTGAAAATACTGCTGCAGGATACATTGATTTTTCAGTCAAGTTACTTCAATAGTTTTTCTTCCCAAAAATCTGAGGAAATACCAGAAGAAAAAAAGAAAACATGGAAGCTTGTGAAGCTGCTGGGGCCCACCTCTGATGGAGACAAGGGGATCAAAATCCTGTCCTGCAATCCAGGCAACAACAGCAGAGCTAGGTGCATTTCAAAGTTGCCAGTCACTACAAAGTAAGAGTCATGAGTAGTTTACTTGTCTTTGCATTATCTTCAACAAGAGTTTTGTGTTTCATGTCATTTGTAAATAAAAAAAATAAAATAAACAAACAAAACTTTTTTCACTGAATGTGAATCAAATTTTTGAACAAGCTCAGAGTTATGAATGATGCATTTCATGATGCACGTAACTGAATGCACTGTGAGCTTTGTTTTCTTTTTCTTAACCACTTTTGAAACCTTGTTCAAGTATGGATCTCCAGCGGTCTCTACTTTTGTGAAACTGAGCTATTACAGAAAAACACCATCAAAAAGTAATTAGACTCTATAATTGGAGTAAAGATCTTTTCCAAGTAATACCCAGAGGTCTGTGTGTGTCAATGTAAAGAGACAGAACAGAGTGTAGTTTTATCAAGTTTCAAAGTCAAACTGCTGATCGATCACCATAAGCCCTCAGCTACAGTTGTTGTACAGTTGTAAGCCGCAGCATAGAGGGGAAGCAGCACAGAGGAGTTAAAAAAGATCTGCTGTTAAATATAAAAGGACAAGGGCATCTTCCAGCCCCAGCGGGTCCCCACCAAAGGGCTGACTCCACACACTTGTCACACATCATCCGTCAAACCCACGGGCATTGCAAAGTGAATGCGCACACAAAACTACACAGTACTGTACATGCACACACACACACACACACACACACACACACACACACACACACACACACACACACACACACACACACACACAGAGATGGGTGTTTTTAAACCTGAAGAGGGGGTTGTCGAGCTGCATGGAGGCAAGTAAGATAACGAATCTCATTTAAGGGTCAACAGAATTTAGAAAAACAACACTACCATGAGGAGATGAGGGGAGGCGGCACGTTGTTTTATCTCAAGCATAACGCCTCTGAAGGCTGACCTTTAGAGCACTGGCACTTGATAAATTGAGAAAAAAGCCTTTTGCCAACAAATGAGACAGGTGTGCCTGCGTTGTGTTGCTATTTACCACTGCTGCTGCTGCTGTAACCTCCCACTGTAATCTCACATGTACTACAAGGACTGGGTCCACAAATGGAAGGCTGTGACAGGTTATTTTATATGAGTAAGAGCTCTGGAGGTGGCATACAGGCATGACATTTAGTGTTTAACAGCGTAAGGGACAAATAGAGAAAGAGGGAGAGAAGAGAGAGCAAAGAAAAGAAAGACAGATGAAGAAGAAAAGGAAATAATGAAGGAAGGGAAAATAGTCATCAACAGAATAGGAGAAGAGGAGAGAACAAAGACAAAGGATGAAGAAGATGGGAGGTAGTGAAAGGAGTAGGTGAGAAAAGAAAAAAGAAAAGATAAATAAAGAAGGAATGGAGGAATAGAAGGGAAATGAAGCAAATAAAAAGATAATAAAGAAAGAGTGAAGGAAAGAAAAAAATGAAATATTTAAAGATAAAAGAAATAAGAACAGAAATAAATAAAGAAAAAATCAAGAGAAAAAACAGAGAAAGACAAAAAAGGAGGAAAATAATGGAAGGAAAGAAAGACCAAAAGGAAAAATATAAATAAGAACAATCAAAAGGAAAGAAAGAAAGAAAGAAAGAAAGAAAGAAAGAAGGGGGGTAGACAAGAGAGAGGAGTAGAAAGGAAAAAATGTAAAACAAGTAAGACAAGAAGAAAATGAGGAAAAAAGAAAAATGAAATAAAGAATAACTAGGAGGAAAATGGATGGAGGAGAATAAAAACATGGGTAAATGAAAGTGAGTAAGAAGGGGAAGAAAGAGAAACAAGAAAAAGTTGAGAGAAAAGATGAGAACAAGAAAGGAGAAAAAGTAGGAGAGCAATAAATCAAGTGGAAGAAGAGGGAAGGAAGCAAAACAGCTGAAACAAAAAAGACATTGAAGTAGTGCAGGGGGAAGTAAAAAAGATGAAGCAAAAATGGAAGCAAAAAAATGAAAAAGGAGACAGGTGGACAGGGACAGGAGGAAAAGAAATCAAGAGGGAAGGAGATTAAATGAAAATGAAAAATATAAGAAGACAAAAAGAGGAAATAAAAGAAAGAAGACAAGAAAGCAGAAATACAAGAAAAACAAACAGTTATGAAAGAGAAGAACTAAAGAAATACGAAGACTAGAAAGATGGATGAATGAAAGAGTCAGGGGAAAATAAGAAAAAAAGGTGAGACTAAGGGAACAGAGACAAGAACAAAGAAAAAGTAATTAAACAAGAAATAAAGCAAGGAAGAATAAAGAATAGAGAAAGGCAGAAGAAACCATGACGACCCACAGCTCGCCTACACAAACCCTCTCTCAGTGTTTCAGGTGTGTGTGTGTGTATGTATGTATGTGTGTGTGGCTGCAGATATGTGTGTCACTCTTTCTGAGGTGGCTGCTGTCATAGCTTCCTGGGCTCTGCAGTGCTCTTCATCCTCCTGTCTTACCCCCTTCACATCGTGGGCCTGACATACAGAGAGACAGCTGTTTCCTCCCAGCAAAGCTCACTCGCTCACCCTCTCTCTCTCTTTGACATATTGACACACGCATATATAGAGGTATGAGCACACACTCTCACACAATCATTAGGGACCTGTAGGTATTCATATAAACATATATAGGACAACATAAAGGAGGAGAATCATATGTACAAAGGCAAACGATGGTAGTGCACAAAGCTAGCATTTGAAATGAAAGATAACTCACACACACATACACCCCCCCACACACACACACATGCTCAAAAGCATGTTACAACATGCTGCTATCAAGACATTAGCTTTTCTCTATTGAAAACGGCTAAGTATTCATGCTAAATGTGCACCCCTCCTGAGACTAATTCACACACATAAGCCTGATTCATATAAATCACAATGCATATGAATAAAGATAATGTCGATATCATGAATTATGCAGGAGGGATCATTTGAAAAGAAAATACATCCTGTTTACAGTTCAGCCTCCAAGGCCGCAGGGCCAGCGCTACCATGTAAATGAAGCCACTCTGAATAAATAGCCAGAGCTTTCAGAAACACAACGGATGTATGTACGAATTTTCAATCTGGAGCTACTTCAAAAGGGCCGTGTGCTTTAGCAAAGAACAGTCCTAAATGAAAATCACAGAGCAAAACACAGCTATTAGCAGTTTAGCCGAGCCAAAGCACCATGAAGAGTGTTAGCAGTGAGGAGGAGGAGGAGGAGGAGGAGGAGGAGGAGGAGGAGGAGGAGGAGGAAATGGGGAGGTGAAAAAAGAATTTCAAACTATTCTGTGTTTGCCATGTTCACTCTGTGGGTACCTCGGAGTGTGCAGGATGTAAAGTAAACGTGTATGAAGACACAAAGTGCCATATTTAAGGGTTCAAAACAAGTCGGCTACAACAAAACTCCAGTTAATGTTAGCTATGTATATACACCTTTGCTCTTACAGTATGTACTTATACCAAATGGTCCTATTTGCATTCAGTAGCTTGTTAGCAAATACTAGCAAGGGAGCATTTAATTATCTGGTTAAAATAAATATTGTATAGTGTTGCATGAAACGAATAAATCACTTAGATGTTTGTCCGAATGTAGCTTATTGGTTTTCAAATACGCTGCTGCACCCCTGGGTTTTCACTGCCCCCTGTGTTATCAGATTCCCATACTTACGACCACCAACCTAAAACGTTTGTTCAGTCTGATAATAGAAGTAAACTTCCCACTCTGAATGCTGTTTTAGAGGAAAATGGTGCTAAAGGCTAACTGGTCTGCAAAAACTTGAACAACTTTCATAAGTAGCACAGACATGCTACGAGTGAAGCAAAAAAGTAAAAAGACACAATTTTTTTTTTACTTCACACATGCTACAACGACAATGCAGATCCACAAACCTACCAACACAGGACATGATGATTCAGGGGCTTCGGGCAATTGGGGGCATTTTAATACCGTTGACATCAGAATGTGGAAGGCAAGACAGTGAATCTGTTCACTGCTGGAGCAAAGTGAGTGAGCTCGGACTGCTGCGCCACTTCCTCATGTAAACATTCACCTTGTTCACATTCACAAGTTTTGCATTAATATCCCAATAATATCGTTATCAGCTTTGATAGATGTAGACAGGTCGCGCCCTGTTGGCCGTAAAAAAAAGCTGTCATGCAAATAAATCGACTTGGGAGGCATTTCTGATGACAGGGCAACACAAAGGACGCAAAGGTGATACATGTGCATAAAATTTTACAGCCTAGCATAAACAGAAGCATGCTATCACACACAGTTATATGATAGGAGCTACAAAGCTCCAACCAAGTCCTCCTCCCTCTTCTGCTGTCTAGGTTACTGTCATGTCATCCTGTAAATATCCTGGGAAGGCCATAAAGATGAGCCCATCATCTCCACATAATCTGAGACAGATATACAGCTGCATCTGACAGCAGGATACCTCCTCCCGACAGTGCGTGTCCTAACACAGCAGCAGCACCTCTCATCTTTAGACCTCTGTCTTCCTCTGCATCTCTGTTAGTCTTTCTTTGAAAGAAAAAAAAAATAAAGCCATCAGCCCCACTGCCTCTGACTGCCACACTTTCACTCTATCTGGATCAACCACTCAGACTAAGTAGAAGCATCCTGGCCTAAAGCATTTTTTGGCCTGTGTTTGACTGGGTACACTGGCACTAGAGCACAAAAACTCAAAGAAGATGTAGAAGAAGATGTAGTGATTTGAAATGAGCCTCATACGGTCGCACCAAAATATATGTAGCGATTTGAAATGAGCCTCACAAGGCCGCACCAAAATAATACTTGGCGATTGGAATTTATAATAAATGTCTGAAGATTAATAATCTCAAATTATGACATTTATGCACTCGTTGAAAGGGGCACCACCCACCCTTAATGGTGGGAAAATAAAGAAAACAAAAGTTTAATTCAGAAATCAAACATCAAGTCAGTTTTAATTAATCAGTCTTAATTAATCAGTCTTAATTAATCAGTCTCATATCTTAAGTCGAAATTCTAATTTCAGGGACTCCACTTCTGGAAGAACACTAACAGACAGGAACTTAGAAAAATAATGATCTGTTTATTACAGGATAAATGATGGTACAACACACATGCAATAAATGATGATAAGATAATGAGGATGAAATAATAATAGGTGAATAAATAAAGATTCTGAGTCAGGCTAAGAGCACTAAAGTTAATGATAGTGAGTGAATATGCGCTAACATATTAACCTACACTAACTTTAGTGTCGAGATAAACTCGGATGTGGATTTGGAGGAATCTAAGATCACCAGAATAAGAGGATATCTGAGTTGAACGCAGGAGACAGCACCAGCCCTCTTTAGAGCTCTGGAGGTTTGCATACTTAAGTGAGACTGGTCCTTGGAGAAGATGGAGCAGGTTCCGAAGGTCCGGGCTACTGGCGGTTCGAGCGGTTCAGCTCAGAAGACGACTGAAGTCAGCCGAAGGATGAGCCAGGAGTTGCAGCACTCAGGCCCGAAGCAAAAACCAGCGCCTGTGGATCCTGTGGATGCTCGTTTGGGTACTTCTTTAGTCTCACTCAAAAACTCTGGCACAGAGGATGACCTGGGCCTGTTGGATTGCGTTCGGAGGTGACTTTGAAATCACGCAGAAAACTCAGAAAAACGAGGCTCGAAGAGCAGAGAAAACTTTCAAAAATGGCTTCGCGAAATTAAAGAAAATCAATCAAAGGCTTAATCTTGAATTGCTATGTGCACAAAAAGTTGAAGTTTCAAAACTTGAACTAAGACGATGTTAAAGAAAAATCAACGTGAATCAACACGTGGCGTAAAACTTAGAAGACTAAGAAAAAGTTCTAAGAGAAAACAAAGAAACGCACCACAGAAGGGTGTGGACAGAAGAGAAGGGGCATAAGAGCCGGGGACAAGAGAGTCAGCAGAAGAGCAGAAGCATAAGAGAGTTAAGAGGCATAAGAGAGATAAGAGAGTGAGCAACCCCACTCCACTGGTTTTATCTTCTCACACTGGGAGTGTCTGAGGAGAAAAAGGAGGGGTCATCGGGTCTCTGATTATTTGATCTAACTTATTCTTTTGGCTGGTAAAAGAGTCAGATCTGATACTCACTCACTATGATTAATATCATTGAATGCTTGGTTTCATGATAAATAATTTGATACTAAACACATATGAATGAAGTGTAGGATCACATCAAACATTCTCATTATGTTTTAAGTATCACATTGAACATGCTAAATTACTCTGAAATGAAACAGATAGTAACACATAGAAACTGTGAACAACAAAAGAGTAAACACATGTGAATGAACGTCATCATGATTAATAATGGATTCTAAATACTCACATTCAGATTATTCAGTGACATTATAACCACCTAATGGTTAAGATACTAAATAAATAACTAAAATATAAACCAAACATTTCTAAACTATTTCTGTTACTTAGAGTAAACTTAGGATTCATAGTCAATAAATTTAACTCTTAAAAGTTCATGAAACAGTCTGAAAAGCTGTTGGTCTAAAGAACTAAAGAATAAGGATTTATTCTGTCAGATAAGATAACTTGGCTTCTGAAGCACATAGAAAAACGGGAAACATCTCATTTTAACACAAATTTCATGATTAGACAGATTAGTACATTGCTGAATGCATAAGATGTCATGATCAGTCATTTGTATTCTTTCACCAAAGGAATGCAGTCTTTATCAGTGTATGGTCGAGCAGGGTTTTACGACCGAGGTCTGGAGGTCAGTGTCCCCCCTTATCCTGGGGTCCGTATGTTCACACACTTTAAGACGCTAAATCTCAAATGGGAGATCTGGGTTGAGACGTTAATGTTTATTTAGATGGTCAGTAATGGAGTCAGTTTGAAAGGTAATAAAAACTCTGTCTCTGTTCGCCGAACTGACCAATCCTGAAGAGTCAGAGGTTTAGTCAACCTATGGTTGGGTCACTTATTTAACCTGAAAGTGCAAACACGTCTGGAAAGATTTATATCCTGTTTCCTGGGACCAGATAAGGAAACTTTCCTGTAAGGAATGTGTGGGTTTCACATCCAGGGTTGTCTTGATTGCTACAGTCCCCCCTTCGTCACGGTGGTCCTGTCCATGGAGCATCGGGACGACGAGTAGACAACCATGAAGCAGCAGCAGGTGTATGCAAATAGGACTGATGCGTCTCATTATCACTATGTGAATCACTAGTATCTGCTTTAAGATAACATCAAGCATGCATTAAGCTATCAAATAAGGTGTTAGACTTTTCTCAGTTAACTATTGGTAGACTAATGTGAAAGAAAATCTCCTAATTTTCAGTATTAATGAGATTTAGAAAAGCACTCTTTAGTCTGAATGCTAACTGGATCTAAAGCTATAGCTGTTTTTCATGCTTGCTGGAGAAGTCTGAAAGTTCAATTTCAGTTTCAAAAATGGTTAAGACTTAGGTGGAAAAGAAATGTCTGCTATAGACATATTAACCATCTGTGTATGAGCATAGTCAACCTGAATCACAAACATCAAAAGTTTACTGCACAGAGTTTCTCTTAAACTTTGTCTGTTAAACTTGGGGATGATGCTCTTATTGGTTTGACTAATTATCTGCTGTTGAGTCTGAAATTTGTCAATCTGAGTCTTAATGACAGAAATTTCAGCTTTTAATCTGTTCATGGGATATTTGACAGCTGACAAGCTGACCATATTGACAGAGGAGGGACAAATGCTAACAAAGAAAGCAGCAACTGGGGTTGCAGTCATCAATGTATCACCACAGCATTTGGATATCTTATTGGAGTCATTTAGCTTTGGCTGAGTGACTTCTGCTTTCGCAGGACTCACACCTTCATGACTCCACAGTGTTAATCTCAGTGGTTAGCTGAGTTGTCATGTTTATTCACCTTCAAAGTGGATGAAACCGATTGAGGTGGATAATAAGATCGTCGTTTCTGAGAGTGTGATTTACTCTGATTCTGCCAGTCATTCACCCCCCTTTGGCGGTGTTGATGGTTTTTCCTTTGTCTGGGATAAAACCCACCGTGAAGGGAGTCTGAATAACAACAGTTGGTCTCAAAGTTTACCGGGCATTGGTCTGGGTCAGACCTGGGCCTTGGTGTGTAACTTTGACCTTTGTGAGTTTGTGGAGGTCGAAAAGGTTTTGGGGGCCTGGTTAACCACTCATTTGGAGGCTTATCGGAGCCTGAAAATACCCAGTCTGAAGCTTCGTTCAGCTCCATGGGCAGTGAATTTGTCTCCATAGCCAAGAGAGTAACGGGCTCTGCTTTCTTAGCCAAAGTTTGTCGTTGTTTGGCAAAACCTTTTACAGCAAGTTCACGAAGCTGTCGGCTAGTCGAAGTGTTTGGACAAGCTAAGACGCCAAGGTGATGACTGGTGGTAGGGTGGAGGTTCTGGACGAACAGCGTTTTGAAGTTCAAGTCCTCCTCCATTTCTGGTTCATTTCGGAAACCAAAGTAAGCTTCACGTAAGCGGTTGTAATACTGTTGGGGAGGTTCTGATCTCCCTTGTTTAATAGACAGAGCAGCAGAGAGGCCTGTCTGGGTCAAATAGTCAGAAAACTCTTCAATTAATGCTTGGCAGAGCAAGTCATAATTATTTCTGACATGATAAGGCTGTCGTTCAAGGAAACTGCTAACCTCTCGACTTGACGTCGCCTTAATAAGGTAGATTTTGTCATCAACGGTTGCACCTGGAAATTTCCTCAGGTAAAAGTCAATGTCTTTCAAGTAGGTGCAGGTGTCAGTAGCACCTTGGTGCTCAGGTTCAAAGTGTGCTATGATGCGAGCAATTTTGTCAAGATCCCTGTCTGAGGGAAATGGTAAGAAGCCATCATGAGGAGGAGAGTAGGACTCTTGGTTTAAGGATGACCTCTCAGGGTCAAGCAGGGTCCTGTCATGATGCTGAGAGAGATACTTAAGAGTTGGTTTGGAAGGAAGTGATGGCGCTCTCTCAGGAGGCTGATCACCTATCATTTCTTCAAGAAACGTTTGCTCCATGCGTTCTCTTTGGGCTCGACCTGACTGGAGGGAGCATTGTAACTCTCTTTGGGCATCTTCAAGTTCTTTGTCTGTCTTTTCTCGCTGTTCTTGACAAAGAATTAACTGTCTTTGAGCTATCTGGAGCTGGTGCTGTAAGGTAGAAGTTTGCTTCTCCTTAACTTCAAGAGCTTCAGCACGCACTTTGACCAGTGCTTTCAAAGCTTCTACATCTTCTGTTGTTTGCTCTAGTAGGGATTCGGACTGTATCAGATCCTCTATGGTCTTAGCAAGCTGCTTATTCGTGTCATCAAGTTCTTTCTCCTTTTTGTAAAGGGTTTCATTAAGTCTTTCAATCTTGTCTTTGAGATCAAGATTTTCTTCATGACTTATTAGTGATGGAAGCTTTGACGCTTCACATCTGGCACTGTGTTTTTCTAAAACACTTAGAGACTTCTTAGTCTCTTCTAGCGTCTTTTTCAGAGCGCTATTTTCGTCTTTTTGCGCCTTTATCTTTGCTAAAGCGCATTCCAGCAAGTAGTCTTTATACTCAAGCTGAGAAGACATCACGACAGACATGCATCTAGTGAGCTCTTTGTCACGAAGTGTCGTGGTTAAGGCTGTTTCCAGTAGGTCAGCCATTGCATCCTCCGGATTGGAGGGTTCGGCCTTTTGAATCTTAGTCATGTACTGAGGTATCAGCTGACTAGTCAAGTTTGCCAACACTGTGTGTATGTCCCTCAGGGGGTCTCCCTGGCTGGACTCTTTTGTGTTAGGCATGTTTGGTTTTGGTAAAGAGGAGCAGGTGGTTGGTTGATGAGTTTGAGTTGGCTTAAAATGAAAAGAAGAAGCAAAATATCAAATTAAGTGAGTTAATCGACTTAATTTATCAGTGCTTGATAAAGAGGAAGAGCCTATCTGAGTAGATCTCTAATGGAGAGAAAAATAACATAAAGTTAAATTCATTTCAATGAAAATTGAAATAAAACAAGGTGAAATAATGTTAAATTAAATTTAACATCAGATACAGAACCATTGAATAAAGGGTTCAAATTGTCTCCGTGTTGCAGAGATCAGCAAAGCTTAAATAAACTGCCTGATGCAGTTGGATGAATCTGAAACCAATGAAATTGTCAATTTAAGGAATTAACTCTGAAGTTAATTCACAAATCGCAATAAAGCCAAAGATTCAACTACCCAATTCATCTGAAATGGTAAAATAGATTTCAAATATTAATTAATTTGTTCATTAATTAATTAATCTTATGAGGAGGGTTAATACATTCATGTATTATAGGGAACAGTAAAACTGCTCAATGGTGTGATAAGTAACAACAGATCAGGTGATTGATTCAAGGAGTTACTTTATCAATACGTTATGTAGGCTCTTATAACAAAGATAAAAATCAAAAATCAATGATCAATGATTTAGAATAAGCACATCAAACTTCATCAACCAAGTCAATCACTTGAGTTATGTCTGTAGAGTGTTACACACTGACTACAGAGAGGCAGTACAGCTGGCTGATACTGCAGGCAGATAATAGCAGTGTTAGCTCAATACCAAAAACAACCATGTGGGGCAGTATGGAGTTGGGGTAACTGCACAAGCTCAACACAAGTGGAGAAGAAGAAGAGAAGAGGAAACAGTCATCCAACTAGCCTCTTGTGGCTGTGAGGAGTTGGGAAGTGTGCAGGAAGGAGCCTTTAGGCTCTGCCTCCTTGAAGGGCCTTATCTGCTTAAGGCCAAAGGTCAGTCTCTCCACTGACAACAAAGGGTTAACATTTCACAGCAGGCTGCGTCTGCACCCTCAAACATAGAACTTTACACCATCTTCTCAGGCAGATTGGTTCAATAAAATCATTTACAGGAACAAGAATCGAAGTGACAAATCCTTAAACAGCAGATTCAATTCAATCAAACAACAACCTCCCACTGTTACAGTGGTTTCCTGTGACAGGTAGTTAATCTGTCAGGGGAAAGGAGGAAATCTGAATCCCATATAGTTACTAGAACTTCGTAGCAGACTATAGAGACCAGAATCAAAGTGACAAATCCCTCAACAGCAGATTCAACTGCAGACTTTAAAATCACAAATGCGGTGATTTGTGAACACAAATTTTGTCTGAATTCAATCAAACAACAACCTCCCACTGTTACAGTGGTTTCCTGTGACAGGTAGCTAATCTGTCAGGGGAAAGGAGGAAATCTGAATCCCATATAGTTACTAGAACCTCGTAGCAGACTACAGAGACTTCAGGGGCTTGAAACCACAGCTCGGAGCATCGCGAACACTGGGTTCAGCCAAAGGCCTTAAATACAAGCGTACGGCGACGCCACAATCGTGCACTTAAATATTGGACAGTCTAGACAGAGCAGAGGAGTCAGTCTCACTGCTACTCAGAACAACATTTCACGCTGTCCAGCTCAAACACAGACTACAGGCATGTAGTACAAGAGTGTGTGAAACACAGAGCATAAAGGTTTTATGCATAGATCAGGAAAACATCAGAACTTAGTCAAGCAACTTCAGCAAGCATAGCATTGATTGTGATTAAGTCTAGAATAGCCTGGAAATAAGTTTCTCTCATCAATTTGGAAGGCTAAGTTTTAGGTTGTCTGTTAGTATCCAGAAGTTTTGTTTGAAACGCCTCACGCAGGGGCTCCAAAATATATGTAGTGATTTGAAATGAGCCTCATACGGTCGCACCAAAATATATGTAGCGATTTGAAATGAGCCTCACAAGGCCGCACCAAAATAATACTTGGCGATTGGAATTTATAATAAATGTCTGAAGATTAATAATCTCAAATTATGACATTTATGCACTCGTTGAAAGGGGCACCACCCACCCTTAATGGTGGGAAAATAAAGAAAACAAAAGTTTAATTCAGAAATCAAACATCAAGTCAGTTTTAATTAATCAGTCTTAATTAATCAGTCTTAATTAATCAGTCTCATATCTTAAGTCGAAATTCTAATTTCAGGGACTCCACTTCTGGAAGAACACTAACAGACAGGAACTTAGAAAAATAATGATCTGTTTATTACAGGATAAATGATGGTACAACACACATGCAATAAATGATGATAAGATAATGAGGATGAAATAATAATAGGTGAATAAATAAAGATTCTGAGTCAGGCTAAGAGCACTAAAGTTAATGATAGTGAGTGAATATGCGCTAACATATTAACCTACACTAACTTTAGTGTCGAGATAAACTCGGATGTGGATTTGGAGGAATCTAAGATCACCAGAATAAGAGGATATCTGAGTTGAACGCAGGAGACAGCACCAGCCCTCTTTAGAGCTCTGGAGGTTTGCATACTTAAGTGAGACTGGTCCTTGGAGAAGATGGAGCAGGTTCCGAAGGTCCGGGCTACTGGCGGTTCGAGCGGTTCAGCTCAGAAGACGACTGAAGTCAGCCGAAGGATGAGCCAGGAGTTGCAGCACTCAGGCCCGAAGCAAAAACCAGCGCCTGTGGATCCTGTGGATGCTCGTTTGGGTACTTCTTTAGTCTCACTCAAAAACTCTGGCACAGAGGATGACCTGGGCCTGTTGGATTGCGTTCGGAGGTGACTTTGAAATCACGCAGAAAACTCAGAAAAACGAGGCTCGAAGAGCAGAGAAAACTTTCAAAAATGGCTTCGCGAAATTAAAGAAAATCAATCAAAGGCTTAATCTTGAATTGCTATGTGCACAAAAAGTTGAAGTTTCAAAACTTGAACTAAGACGATGTTAAAGAAAAATCAACGTGAATCAACACGTGGCGTAAAACTTAGAAGACTAAGAAAAAGTTCTAAGAGAAAACAAAGAAACGCACCACAGAAGGGTGTGGACAGAAGAGAAGGGGCATAAGAGCCGGGGACAAGAGAGTCAGCAGAAGAGCAGAAGCATAAGAGAGTTAAGAGGCATAAGAGAGATAAGAGAGTGAGCAACCCCACTCCACTGGTTTTATCTTCTCACACTGGGAGTGTCTGAGGAGAAAAAGGAGGGGTCATCGGGTCTCTGATTATTTGATCTAACTTATTCTTTTGGCTGGTAAAAGAGTCAGATCTGATACTCACTCACTATGATTAATATCATTGAATGCTTGGTTTCATGATAAATAATTTGATACTAAACACATATGAATGAAGTGTAGGATCACATCAAACATTCTCATTATGTTTTAAGTATCACATTGAACATGCTAAATTACTCTGAAATGAAACAGATAGTAACACATAGAAACTGTGAACAACAAAAGAGTAAACACATGTGAATGAACGTCATCATGATTAATAATGGATTCTAAATACTCACATTCAGATTATTCAGTGACATTATAACCACCTAATGGTTAAGATACTAAATAAATAACTAAAATATAAACCAAACATTTCTAAACTATTTCTGTTACTTAGAGTAAACTTAGGATTCATAGTCAATAAATTTAACTCTTAAAAGTTCATGAAACAGTCTGAAAAGCTGTTGGTCTAAAGAACTAAAGAATAAGGATTTATTCTGTCAGATAAGATAACTTGGCTTCTGAAGCACATAGAAAAACGGGAAACATCTCATTTTAACACAAATTTCATGATTAGACAGATTAGTACATTGCTGAATGCATAAGATGTCATGATCAGTCATTTGTATTCTTTCACCAAAGGAATGCAGTCTTTATCAGTGTATGGTCGAGCAGGGTTTTACGACCGAGGTCTGGAGGTCAGTGTCCCCCCTTATCCTGGGGTCCGTATGTTCACACACTTTAAGACGCTAAATCTCAAATGGGAGATCTGGGTTGAGACGTTAATGTTTATTTAGATGGTCAGTAATGGAGTCAGTTTGAAAGGTAATAAAAACTCTGTCTCTGTTCGCCGAACTGACCAATCCTGAAGAGTCAGAGGTTTAGTCAACCTATGGTTGGGTCACTTATTTAACCTGAAAGTGCAAACACGTCTGGAAAGATTTATATCCTGTTTCCTGGGACCAGATAAGGAAACTTTCCTGTAAGGAATGTGTGGGTTTCACATCCAGGGTTGTCTTGATTGCTACAAAGAAGAAGAAGAAGATGAAGAGAAGCGGCGAGGAACTTCCAGCAGTTGTCCTTCCAGGGCTGGAATAATGCTACGAAATATCCAATCACTTTTTAGTTCATTTCAAACGCATCAAAGCCAGCAGGAAATCAGGAAGGGCTCCAAGTTAATTAAATTGCCTTGGATTATAAATTGAGCATGGGAACGCAATTAAGTGTTGCAAAAGGCTTGATGTCATTTCTTCCACCTTCAGGTGGAGTGGGGGAGAGGACAGAAGGAGACAGTTATGGAGGTATACAGACAGAGGGTTGGTTGTCTTTGTTTTGATTGTTGTTGGGTTTTTTTTCCAGACAGACGGACAGACAGACAGACAGACAGACAGACAGACAGACAGACAGACAGACAGACAGACAGACAGACAGACAGACAGACAGACCGATCGATCGATGGATGGATGGATGGATGGATGGATGGATAGATAGATAGATAGATAGATAGATAGATAGATAGATAGATAGATAGATAGATAGAAGACGCAAACCTCTATGCTTACTTTTCACATTTTTCAGATGAAATCCAATTTTCCATGCACCAAACCAAGAAATGAGACAGGAAAGCGCGATAAAACGTGCTGAAGATTTAAACTAAATCTCTTAACTGAAATGTAAACACGCATCATTGAATTCCCATATAAGAGGAGAACTGAACAGTTTTCTAATCTCCATTTCTAAAGCAGAGGTGGATTACACATGCATGTGTCTCGGTGAGTGGGAAGGGGAGATGATGAATTTCCCCGTGTGGCATAGAAGATGATCCCTAATCTTTTTCCATTCATTCAGGTTTCAAACAGCAGCATCAATGAAGTCATGCCACCATCTATTGGATGGCCCTGCACTGGGCTGCTGAGGAGTGTCACATACAGGGCTGCATATTGACCAAATAATCACATTATTCACACATTTGCATGGACTCTGGGTATTTAAAGGAAGATGAGATTTTGGTTTGGTTAGTAAAGGTTTTTTCAGCGCAGGGCAACCTGCTCAAAATGAAGATTTATGATCCTTTTTAGAAAACGCTTACTGCTTTAGCCCATGGCTTTTTGTAAGAGTTCAGAGACATTTGAATTAAGAGGGCTTTAGATTTCTGAACGACTATACAGATGTAATGAGCCCAGAGCTGGGCAGGACTTAGTTAATCTATGAGTCCTCAATATGTGATGTTAAATTCTCTTTTAATTTTTTTTATCAAGAACTAAACCTTTATATCATTTTAACTTTTTTTGGCCTTTATTGACAGGTGCAGGACAAGGACAGAAAAGGAAAGTGGTGAGAGAGTGGGGAATGACATGCAGAAAAATCACCACAGAGTGGACCTGGGCCACCTGCATACATGAGAAGGATGCATGTGATGAAAATATATGTGTAGGCTATTTTTCACAAACTGTTGTTGAACTTGTTTCATATTTTGAGTAGCATCTGTCTCCAAAAAAAAAAAAAAAGAAACAAAAGCTCACCATGAGCAGTATGGCTGCCCAGAGCTGGGTGGCTGACGTTTACCATTTAACAGTCAGGTGAGCAAACATACACTCTACTGCTTAAATCACAGGAAAGTTGGAAATATATATATATTGCCAAAATTGGCCTTCCCAGGTTACTTACTCATCAGAGAAGCATTTTCATTTCAAATCGTACACCTTTCCCAACCGCAGTGGGGGGAGACAGCAAGCTACCTCCTGGTTTCATAAGTACAAGTCATCCTGCAAGCCGGACAAGTCACAGTAGTCTCTATGCATGGCCAGATGTGACTGGAGTGCAAAGTGCAATACAGAAAAAAGCTGCTGCAAAGATATTCAGTAACTCTAGTCTGGACAGCTGTAGAGTTTGTAAAGTTTCTCGGTCATTCAGGTTAAAGTTACCCAAAGCTTGATCCTGTAACATCAACTTGAACTAAGTCTAGATGCTTTTTTGGATCAAGCTTTAATAGGTTTGGTGTCCACAGCCTCCAGCTACCCACTCCACCAGTCTTATAAGTAAATACACAGCAAATAAATTCATGTGCGTTTTCTTTTACTTGATTCGACACACAGAGTGTAATAGTTCAGTTCTCTACCTGTTTAAATTATATCAAAGTGATAAGCTGTATTCAACACTTCGCTTGAATTCAACCTCGAAAATCAAAACAGCTCCAGTATTATAATCAAGCCCTGCTGCCTTTATGAATAGTAGCCATTTTTTTACACAGTTATTTATCCACTGTTCATGCTGCTGACACTTTATTCGTGAATCTAGCTCTACCTTTCTAGCTTCAACTCAAGCATTCACATTATACCTGCTGCCCTCTGCCTCTGATTACTGTCAGGTTAACCTCCAGTCTTACCTCCTGCTATTAGATACAAACATGTCATATCTTTATGGCGAGTTCAAAACAGCAACAGCACACTAACAAGGGCCAGACAGTGAATGGGTCAGCACATTCAATTATCCATATCTGTAATTGCTGCAGATTTGACTTTATTGAAAGTGCTCCTAGTGCCAGTTTATAAAAATAGCGTCCACTCAGAATGAGAATCTCCTCTAGATGATTAGGGGACAGGCTGGGCTAAGACTGATTGCTGTGGCCTTTTCCAGAGCTATTCTGGCTCTGCTGAGTGTGTGCCTTCCACTCAGCATTGATCTATCGACCCACCGTCCAGTAAAACCTCGCCCAGACCAAAAGGTGAATCTCATTTCTAAACACACACACACAATCAACAGCAGCAACAGGAATATATAGAGAGGCACACCTGAGCTTATGCATACACACACAGAAAAGCAGACACAGACTAACAAGCATGTTGATTTTTGATGACAAGATTGATGGAGCCTCTCTGAAATCTCCTTACGTCAACAGTAGCCGGCTGTTGAAGAAGGTGTGTGATTCTGTGTGTGTGCGCGTGCCATTGACCAGCCTATGTAGGCTCTGTGACACCGCAGCAATCACCACGGTGTAATTGGAATTGAGCAGCTCACCCATGTGGCAGTAAAGCTCAAACAGAGAGAGGAGAACAATTGCTATTGTTTGCTGTAATGAGATGCAGGTTAATGCTCAGGGTTAAAGTTTATATGAAGATGATGTCATTTTATCCACGGAAAAGAATCAGAGCAATCCGAGCTGCAAAACTGTCTTGATGAGCTCCTTTTCCATCTCTTGTTGAGAAAATATATTTTAATCTTAACAAATTAAAGCTCTAAATATGGTTCTCTCTTTGATACTCATAGGCAGGAGCCTAAAGCAATGAAGGAAAAAAAATCTCTCTTAATTTAAGTTCGATTAAATTTCTTTCTACCCTGTGTTTTTATGACTTTAAGACACAGGGAAGCAAAGCAGCTTTGCCAGCACACAATTTTAGATTCCTAATTATTCTTTTGATTAATTAACCAAGTAAAAAGTGTTCCTTTCTTGTGTCATCTGTTATTGCCACCCTGCCAGCTTCTCATATAATAGATAGTTGAGCACAGCCTATAATGATTTTAAAAGCAGTGAGGTACAGCCCCTGACTAATTTGCAGAGGCTCACATCCCCTGTCTCTGCTGGTCTGATATCTTACACTGAGTAGTTTTGTTCAATCAAACTAGCACTGCACACGCTCACTTAAAACTGCCATGAGGTACTGTTGTGTTGGTCTGGTGTCCCCTGTGGTCAAATCAATACCTCTTATCTATTGTCTCGTATGTGTGAAAGTGGTGTTTTCAGACAAAAACCTCATCATGAGGATTTCAGGCATTAAAAAATTGCCTCTATTGAAACGTTGTGAATCTTGTCCTGTTGTGTTTGCTGACTGAAAAAAACTAATCTTAATTTGTTTTAAATGTTGTGTTTGTGTAATTATAAAAAACTACAGTGGAAACAGTAAAATGAATCTTAAAACACCGTAAAAGCAATAAGAATCATGATATATATCAATTTTTTTGGTCTCATGTCTGGTGTCTTTCTTGGGTCATAGAGAGGCCTCAATGTTAATTTTAATAATACCATCCAACACCAAGTAAAGTAAGGTCGTGTTCACACCAAAAGGTCCGTTTTCTGATACAAACCAAAGCAAGAATGATACATTGATGATACATTGTTGTAATTTCTCAAGTGGTCCAATTTGCGTTCACAAAGGCCAATCTCAAACGGTCCAAAAAATTGTCACGTGGCAGCAGAAGCCATTCAGTGATTGCTTATACAGTTTAGACAGGTAGATGACAAATGGGCCGTGCATATGACTAGCTGGGAAGACTGCGGCAATTAAATAATGTATCTATACACGCACTTTGCAGGAGACGCTCTGGAATCGGACGGTCATATCACAGAGGACGACAGGCAATAATGAGAGCGTACCTCAATGTTTTTTCGAAGCACGTTTCCTGTGATTGGTGCGGATGGGGTTCACACCAGAAGCAAACCGCTCTAGAGTTCATTCGATAGCGGGAGACCACCCCTACCAGGCGGACCTGAGCCTTTACACCAACCAAAACGAACCGCACCAAGGAAGTGAACACTCCAGGGTTTAGTTCAACTGGACTAAACAAGGCTGGTGTAAACGCGACCTAAGTCTGTTCTTATCAACTGATTTTAGCATATAAGACCTGGCCTTTGCTAACAAACAATAAAAAGACACCACTTTGGTGACTGCACTCCTGTTTCAGGATACTTCACCTTAAACTATTCTGGATGACTCTTTTTGAGATACATTTGTTATGACATTTCAGTATAAAACATTAAAGAGGGAATTTCATTATTAAGACAGAAATCCTAAAAAAAAGACCATCTAGTCCCAGAAGTTTCAGGCCTCACTCAAAGCCTTCCTTTGACCTCTTTGCTTTAACTGCATTCTTCTCCATCATCCAAACTCTGAGTTTTCCTCTTCACTGTGCTGTAACACAAGCCTCCTGTCACACTGTATGTAAGTACAGAGCTGCTCCTTTAAACTCACGATAGACTTTCCCTTTTCTGCCTTAATGTCTGTATTTCACCCTCTGCTTTCCCGTCACTGTCCCCCTACTCACCCTCAGGGCAGTAAACTGAGCAGAGGGTAGATCTGTGAATACAAAGCCCTCTTTCTGTATCACACTGCACGAGTTAAGACCGCAGTTCTTCGCTGAACATCTTTTTTGTCATGTTATTAGATCATAAGACATTTCATTGTTTTGGTTGGATGTTTGCCATTTATTTCTCAAGGCGGCTTTGATTTGATCTTATATAGCCTTCAGTGTTCATAACCCGAGTTATTAGGACGGTTATTGAGCACCAAAAGTTCATGGCAGACAGTTTTAATGTCAGGCTGAATTTTGCACTTCTAAAACAGACAAGCTGTCTCTTGCTTTCGGTGAACAGTCAGGGACATACACTCACCGGCCACTTTATTAGGTACACCTGTCCAACTGCTCGTTAACACTTAATTTCTAATCAGTCAATCACATGGCGGCAACTTAGTGCATTTAGGCATGTAGACATGGTCAAGACAATCTCCTGCAGTTCAAACTGAGCATCAGTATGGGGAAGAAAGGTGATTTGAGTGACTTTGAACGTGGCATGGTTGTTGGTGCCAGAAGGGCTGGTCTGAGTATTTCAGAAACTGCTGATCTACTGGGATTTTCACGCACAACCATCTCTAGGGTTTACAGAGAATGGTCCGAAAAAGAAAAAATATCCAGTGAGCGGCAGTTCTGTGGGCGGAAATGCCTTGTTGATGCCAGAGGTCAGAGGAGAATGGCCAGACTGGTTCGAGCTGATAGAAAGGCAACAGTGACTCAAATAACCACCCGTTACAACCAAGGTAGGCAGAAGAGCATCTCTGAACGCACAGTACGTCGAACTTTGAGGCAGATGGGCTACAGCAGCAGAAGACCACGCCGGGTGCCAATCCTTTCAGCTAAGAACAGGAAACTGAGGCTACAATTTGCACGAGCTCATCGAAATTGGACAATAGAAGATTGGAAAAACGTTGCCTGGTCTGATGAGTCTCGATTTCTGCTGCGACATTCGGATGGTAGGGTCAGAATTTGGCGTCAACAACATGAAAGCATGGATCCATCCTGCCTTGTATCAACGGTTCAGGCTGGTGGTGGTGGTGTCATGGTGTGGGGAATATTTTCTTGGCACTCTTTGGGCCCCTTGGTACCAATTGAGCATCGTTGCAACGCCACAGCCTACCTGAGTATTGTTGCTGACCATGTCCATCCCTTTATGACCACAATGTACCCAACTTCTGATGGCTACTTTCAGCAGGATAATGCACCATGTCATAAAGCTGGAATCATTTCAGACTGGTTTCTTGAACATGACAATGAGTTCACTGTACTCAAATGGCCTCCACAGTCACCAGATCTCAATCCAATAGAGCATCTTTGGGATGTGGTGGAACGGGAGATTCCCATCATGGATGTGCAGCCGACAAATCTGCGGCAACTGTGTGATGCCATCATGTCAATATGGACCAAGCTCTCTGAGGAATGCTTCCAGCACCTTGTTGAATCTATGCCACGAAGAATTGAGGCAGTTCTGAAGGCAAAAGGGGGTCCAACCCGTTACTAGCATGGTGTACCTAATAAAGTGGCCGGTGAGTGTAGAATTGGTCAAAACGGGGTTTAAACAACTAAAAGAACTACATTTTCTTTCAATTTAAAGACAAAAAAGTCAAGTTTAATAAGTTTTAACCCTGATTCCTTGTCCTAATTGTGAGGCAATACATTCATATCAAGAATAAAATATTTTAAGAGGTCTTTCTGAGAGTTATTTTCAACCACAGCTTACTGTTAGCTTGTGGGTTGGTCTTTCATATCTCAGGTCGTCTCCAGGTTGGCCTTCTACATGTTAAAACAGTCAACAAAACATGTCTGCAAGAGGCCAAAAAAATTCAAGTTGAATGATTAAAACGTTGTTTACTAGTACGCTGTTCAACTTTCAGCTCAAAGCCTAATGTGAAGACCCTTCATGCACAGAATGCTTGGGCCAGTTTCAGTCTGAGTGAGCTGGATACATGGAGGAGGAGAAAATTAATCCTCAACTGCATTACATAAATCACGTAGACTATGAGAGATGTGATTTTACTTCAAACAACATGTAAACACACTGACTGCTGAGGTGAAGTAAGACAGCATGAGGAAAATTTGTCAGAAAGTCTGATGGACGACTCTCCATGATGTTGGCCGACTCAGAGTTAAAATGGTTTGGATTTGAGTGTGTATCTAATCCAATTCAATTCTTCATCTTTAAGATTAAATCTTCCATTATTTATTGTCTCATTTACAGTTTGAAAACAAGGATGTCGTGATGAGAGAGCATGTAGAGCAGAGTAGAGCTCAGCCATTGGATAAACTGGTTTTGGCTAATGATAGATGACCTCCAGATCTGTGTCACACCAGTGAGTAAAGAGAAGACATGAAAAAGTGGATGAATATTATTATTAATATTATTTTTGGTGTAAAACCCAGACAGAAATTAAACACACATGTCATCACATGGCCATAAATCAAGTCACAGACTCTGAGGGTTTCTTGTTTATACTGCAGGAAGGAAGGAATCCTCCTGAGCCAGACAAGCACACAAGCCCATGTTGTATAGGACCTGGGTCATAATAAACAAACCAGAAAAGTAAGTCCCAAAAGAGAACTGCACCTCTAGCAAGGGAAGTAACAATTTTGTGTGTTTTTTGGTTGCAAGTTATTTATTTCACAACAAAGTAGTAATGAGAACATAAATTCTGCCTCTGACAACCAAAATCACAACTTTTACCAATCACTGTAACTCCACTTGGTCAAGCTTCATTTTGGGGTTAACATACTGAGTCTGAGGACTGAACAAGCTGCAAAAGAGACACTTTCATCCTGGTAATTTGGTGTTTAAAGCTTGTTAGCTTGTCTGGATAATTGAAGTAAATAGTAACTTATGGTGCCGATATGTGATCACATATTTTTTGTTTGTGTACCTGGCTTGCATTCCATGAACAGAAAGCTATACCTCAGATTAAAATTTAAAGTTGAGTAAATGATCAGTCAGTCAGTCAAAAGAATAGATAGTTGGAAAACAACGAAAAACATTTGGCCTTTTCAGCTTCCTCCATGTTTGACTTTGCTGCCTTTGGTGTTTTATTTAAAAGCAATCTGAACACAAAAGGTAGTTAATAACATAACCTTGGTGTTTCAGGCAATTTTAAGGTTAATTTAACTCCTTTATGATTTTCACTGTTTTGTTTCTTGTATTAAATGACTTTAGCTGTGATGCCAGACTTGCATCAAATTTAATATAATTACATTTTAAGGACACACAGGTGAGGAGAGGAGAAACTCTCAGGCATAAACAGATAACAAAGGCCATGATGAAACCCAAACCAATTGCCTTTTCCCCTCCCTGAACAACAATTACTGCTAATTATCAGCTGCTCTGCCACCTCAGCTTCCATCCTTAGCACCCAAATCACGTAGCACACATCCATCCGCTCACTTCTCAAGCCATTTTTCACCACTCCTATCTCCCTCTCCCTCTGCACATGCTGCCTTCATCAGCCTGTAACCAAAACAGCACAGGAGGATGCCTGGGTGTCGCCGAGCCTGATGGGACGGCATGTGTGCTGGCGGTTTTTCATTATTTATGCCCGCCCTCCTACTCGTCGCAGTTTCTCTTTCTCCCTTCCCTCAATCCCTCTCATCCGCCCTTTTGCTCTCGCAGCGTGCAATGGATTTATTGGAAGGTATTACGAAGAGGGCCTGGTGTTACCGCGCTTACATCCTGATGGACACAATGCAGGGTGAAGAGGAGAGGAGGAGGAGGAGGAGGAGGAGGGGGAGAGGGAAAAGGAGGTGATGAATACTTGGAGAGGAGAGTCAGACATGGGGGACAGATACAGCAGAAACACTCATGAGAACTCAGAGAGGAGAAAGGCTGAGTTAGCTTTTTTAAAAATATGTTTTTTATAGCCTGAGCCTACAATAAGACATGTAATTATGATTTAATGATACGACGGGGCTTCAATTTGTGTGTTAACACATGAACTAGCCCCCCTCAGACTTTCAATCCATCAAACCTTCTGTTTCCGTTTCTCTCCTGGTTTTTTATCCCTCATCCCAGTGCAGTACGGGGGTGAAAGTTTGAGCCGTATCTGTACTCTGTGTGAAAAATAGATGCAGCCACCAGGCATGAGCACATTTAGTCGAATAAAAGATTTAACCTTGTCACTCTTGCTTGTCGTCACTGGAATTACAAGACAGACGAACAAATTATTCATATTTGTTTTAGTGTTGGCACATAACCCTTGTCATAATCATGTCTACACTGAGAAAGCAGCCACCCGCCACTTGCAGCTCTGATTAATGGCTACAGCAATGATGCCAAAATGCACTATCTAGATGTAAACAAGCACAGATGACTCATATTGTGATAAAGTTTTATATAGGCTGTGTGAAACCTAAAAATGTGCAACCAGCTCAGGCACATGGGTGTCAGCCTGCAAGGAGGGCTTGTGGTCACCAATATGTCAGCCAGCGGTTCGTAGATTGCTGTTTTTGAAGTCTTATTGGTTTTCTGAAAGCAAGAAGAGTCTTATTTGGATGAGACGGTGGAGCTGAAGAGGGGTGAGGAGTTGGCAAGTGCCAGATAATGAAAGATATTGGATCTAGGCCCACTCTTTATTTATTAGTTGGTGCATTAGCAAGCTAGTGATGAGTTTGCCCTTTATAATGACAATCTTTTTGTGGTGGTAGCTAGCTGGGTTTATCTCTATTGCTCTGAAAAAACTAAGGGGCCTTGAATAATTTTACTCTAAGATTATCCTCATCTCCACTAAGAGAGAGAGAGTGGCAAAAGAACAAAATAAACCTCAGCCAAAGATATTCATTACTTTAGTCTGTTGTGTTGTCTTCACACATAAGCCAACCGTACCCTTAATAAACAGCCTTTTGTTACTTGTTTCACGCACATATTCACTGAGGGAGGTATACATTTAGCAGATAAAAAGGGACAAGATGATATTTTTAGCTAGAAAACACTACTCATGTACGAAAAAAGCCAGTAAGGAGGTGAACAGAACAGCTTTGTCTACAGGGGATGCAAAAATCGACACAGGCAGTTTCTCACAGCGACTTTAAGAGAGAAAGAATAACTCTAATATTCAGGACACCACCACCTCAGTGCTTTTTAAAAACACTCACTGCTTAAAATGCTATAGTACAAAATGGTCCAAATCCCAAGAATCAATCAATATTTATATAGTACCTATTCTTATCCCAAGGTGCCTAACAAAGAAAAGCTGGTCTAGACCAAACTCTACTTACAAAGATTGTACAGTAAAGATAGGCTAGACTGCGCCCCATGTTGTGTGATCAGACTCACTCCCATCCCACCTTCCACCACATGAGTGTGTCACTTTTATCAAGTTACAGTGAAGAGGAAATCTTCCTTTAACAGGCAGAAGCTTTGAGCAGAACCAGACTCATGTAAGACAGTCATCTGCAGCTACCACAAAGACGCACACAGCAATCCTTATGGGCTGTAAACATTTTCAGTGCATTTTGTCTTTTAGTTTTATATTTACTCACTTTTGGAGCAAGCCTCAAGTGGCCACTCGAGGAACTGAAGTTATTAGCACTTGTGCAGTTGTTTTATCTTTCTGCCGTGGAAGTTGCTGCTAGGACTATACGCACATAAACACATCACCCCACTAATACGGCACACATGTTGTTGAGCTGACATTACTATATCCATGCGGAACATTAATGATGACTGAGTCAAACTATCTTCATGTTCAGCTTATGGTTCTAGTTTGACATAGCTTTAATAGCCCCCACACACACTGCAGATGGACACAGGCAATATTAATCCTCTTTCTCTGGACAAGTGACACACTCAGATCTGCACACATGAACACTTTTTTTTTTTCCGAGTGGATGCAAAGACATGGATGTATCAGAATATTTGCATATATAAGTCACTAGGTTTGCTCATTTCTGTGTCTGAAAGTGACACACTTAAGATGCTATATCGTGCAGCAGAGGCTGAGCATGAAAGCGCGAAGACACAGGCCTTTCCTAAGCTCATCAAGAGCCTCTCAGAGCTGATAGGCTGCAGCTTACTGTAGCAGCACTAGAAGCAGCTAGAGGCTACACTACTGAGAACAAAAGCCTTAGCTCTCTGAAACACCACACAGGCCAGCGCCATCCAAACCCCAAAAGAACCTCTCCATCGCCCCGCTCATTGTGCGCCAGACTTATCAGGCTGTTCCTGAATAGGATGTGCTAATAGAATTATGAGGAGGGAATGAAAGGAGAGGAGAATGGCAGCCATGTTCCTGTTGAGAGTGGGTTCATTTCCACAAGAGGCGAAGGGCTAGCCGACATATGCTGTAGCCATTGTGCGGCCTGTAGTCAATAAGGCCTTCACTGACATTAAATGAACTCACAGGCACAGAGTAAAAGCACCCATGAGAGTCACGTCCACATCTGTGATTGGGGTGGGAAGGAGGGAGATGTGTACTGCAGGTTTTTCAGTCTCCAGTGAGATTTGATTCTGTGTGAGCAGGTGGAAAAGTAGAATTTTTAACACACATCCACAGGCGTCCAGTTGCTTCCCACAAACACGACTTCATGCTGTACAGTGCTGCTTGTAAGAATGCGCGTTTGTCTGTGTGTGGTTTCTCAGGAGACACGCCAAGGCCAGAGCAGTCTCACTACCTGGAAACAGCTGGAGATGTTAGATCAATTACACTGCACAGTGCAGAATCACACACTCGGGTCAGTCAGCTGCATGACACACCACAATATGGAATAGAAGTTTAAAGACACAAGGGAGCTGTCTCATATTATTACCTCTCTTATAAATTGCTTTAGGTTATTTCAAACACGTTTACAAAGCCTAAATGACTAGAGAATGGGTTTTCCTACACTCATGTTCCAATAAGCCATAATTCTCATATGTGACATGAGTAATGGGTAATGTGCAATTACCTTAATTCTTGCATTGGTATGTGCTTCTGAGTTTACATGTGGGTTGTTGTTTGACTTTATCATTTTGATTTTTTACTACCATGGAGGCAAGTAACCCTACGCAATAGTTAAAACCAAAACAAACTTTCCAAAGGGACAATTAAGTTGCATTGTAGCCTATCATATTGTATCATGGCATGATAGGGTATGATATTATGGCTTAAGATAAAGTAGCAGAATCACATAAGTCACTTAACTTTGTATTCTACCATATTGTACTATGACATGTTCTAACATATTGTCACATACTCAATTGTACTGTATCTTATTCTTTCATACTGTATCATATCAAATCATATGCTATGATACCATATCATATCACATATTGTCATGTTATACTGCAGCATACCTTATCGTTTTGTATCTTATTCTTTCATATTGTAACGTGTCATATCAAATCATATCATATCATATCATATCATATCACATCATGTCATGTCATGTCATGTCAGACTGCAGTGTACCGTATCGTATTGTATCTTATAGCATCATACTGAATTGTATCAGATCATACCGTATCAAATTGTACCATGTCAAATTGTGCCATACAATACGGTACAATCCATTAGATTGTATCTTACCATACCATATCCTCATGTATTGTATCATAATCCATCATATATTAGCAAAGCATACCATATCATATCATATAGCACCGTATGGTGTCGTAACATAGGACATCAGACAGTATTGTTTCATAGAATACTGTGCTGTATTGTTTGGTATTGTTCTGTATTGTACCATAACATATAGTACTATAACACATCATATCGTATCAACTTGTATTTTACTCTATTGTATCAGATTATACCATATTGTATTGTATTGTATTTTTATATTATATGTTATTCAAAAAATATCAGTGATTTATTAATACCAGTTAAGTTTTGCTATGAAACCGTATTCCTATAATTAGCACTGTTCCTGCTATCCCAACTCTAAATTTCTCACTCGGTCATCAATGACACAAACCAGCCTGTATGATAATTTCTTTATATAATATATCAGCCCTGAAAACATGCACGTCTCACCAGAAAACAGATCTTGCTCAGTGCTTGAAACAGAGAGCTTCATAGCTAGCTGTGCTTTAATACAGATCTTCACTGCCTAGATAAGTCTAGCGTTGCGGATTCTGGCAACTACTTTTTAGATAAGCAAAGAAGTAAATGTCTGGAGATTTGACTCCTGTTAAGACATTTTAAAACAGTGTGCTGCTTCAGATAATTGCATGCAAGTCAGAGCTATGCTGGAAAAAGTAGTTTCACTGGTATGAAATTGGTACATCAATGTATTAAATTTGCAAGTCTGGGGATCAGAAGCAGTATCTGTAAGTGATACATAGCATCAGAAATCTCTACTCTCAAAGCTCATTACAAAATGACACCAAGCATAAAAATTAGGCTCAAGTACAAAAGGAAAAAACCCTCTTCACAGCAGGTAGAGACATCTCTGCTGAGTCCATCTTCCTCTCTGCAAAGTGCTCCCTCGCTGCTACATTTAGTGACAGCTTTGTATTTTGCTCTTGCTTCTGAGCGCTCAGGACTGAACATCAATGATTTGGGCAATTAAGGCAAATCACAGCATCTCAATTAGAGGGGGACAGCGTGTTCTTCTCCATTTCAGCTCGAGTTTGGGCCCGATAAGATCGGGAATATTTTCACACAAAATTAACTTTAGTGCAAATTCAAAACAGGCTATTGCATATAACATTTAGATTTTGGTTCAGTCATTTCCAGGAAATGGAATCCTTTAAAACTCGTCTTTGTGTTGTAAAATACAGTTAATAGCCTTCGTACTTCACTGTGTCTATGTGAGGACAGTGCAGGCTGCCATGCTGTGCTTATATTACTCAGGCTGACACTTAAATGGCTCCACTGGGCTCAGACTCCCATTGTGAGCTGGACGGATAACAGCATGTCTGCACTTTGAGCACATGATCAGGTTTTATATGACACACCGATACCCCTGGGGACATGCATATGGCAAATTGGAAATTTAGTTATCCAAACATTTAAAGGGGCCAGAGCGTCTCTGGAGGCAGAGCTAATCTCATCGGCTGTGATGATCATGTGAATGTCAGCGGGGCCAGCCGAAAGGTAGGCGTTGAGCTGATATATTACAGCAAAGGGAAAGAACCAGGTGAAAAAAATGTGTAAGTGGTGATAATTTTGTTGTTTTTATTCATTCTTGACATGGTATTTGGTAATAATGGGTTTGGAGTCAAGGTTTGGTCTGTAACACATCAAAACATTGTAAATCTCATCCGTAACATTATCCTAGTGCCCTGGATGATGTCATGTCTGGTCTTGTTTAGCCCAGTAGTCGAAGATAAAATAATGAATGTTCAATTTGCATTTGTATATGAGAAAGACAAAGAACACTTTTTATTTATTTCTTTTTATCTTAATCCCAGTACCCAACAAATGTTTGCCATTTTGTATTATGTTCTACTCTTGAGCTGATAAGTGCTAGACCTTCTAGTTGTGTCATAAACACATTTCATATATTGACATCACTTTCTGACTTATCCTGTGTCAGCATGCCTGGGGATCTAAATAAACAATGAAGCTCCAGCGCTGTGCATTGTGCATTAATACACACCGCACCCCCTCTTCATTAGGAGACACACTTGTTGATTCTGCTGTGGTGGGATCACTGCAGGTGTCTCAATACCCACAGCCCACCGGATATTAATCAGATTTTTAACTAATCAAGCATCTTTGACCCAGTCATTGAATCAATGAAACTACCATCTGCTCACTACCAGTAACATAATCAACAGTCCAAGTAGATTAACATCTCCCAAAATAGCTTCATATATTTCTTTTTGTAGGGCATGATGGTCTAACAGTTATAAAACAGGTCATATCTTGACAGTGATCTTTGATATCTTGTCATACATAGTAGTTGTATGACTGGATGTTACACCTAATGTGTCAACAACAACGTGTAGCTTTAAATGTCAGACATCTTTCCAACTTTGACCTTTTAACAACCTTTAGCAAACAGCACCACGACAAACCTACTGACTTCAGAGTTCTGAGATAAAGAAGAAGTTCCTGTTACCTTCTAAGAAAGGAGTCATTATCAGGATATAAAGGAGAGAGGGAGAAAGTACAGCCTGGAGGTATAGATGTAGTGATTGAATAATGTACGTGTGCCCTCAGGATGCTTTCACTGAACTCGAAATGGCCCCCAGTCCATGTAGATACCATTAGATTGCCTCAGATTGGGGCTGAAGTCATGCCTCTCCTCTTCTTGTCTTTCATGTTGGACACATTAGTGACAGGAGAGTAATCAAAGCTGCCATTAATGCCCGGCCATTTCCTCTGCCCTTGTCATGGGGGCCCACGGGGCAAGACTGCACTTCCATTGGACAGAATATAGTGTGTTTCTGTGTATATGTGTGAGTGTGTGAGGGGGATAAGACGTCTCAAACCGCCCAGCTAATGGATTTTCTCCATTTCCTGTGGCTTTTGACTTGAGATGAAGAAAAGCCGCAAAGATGCAAGTGATGATAAAAGAAGTGATTTGTAAAGAGTGAGACACAGCAAGACAATCTTTAACATCAAAACCAAAGTCAAGACAGGTTAATATCTAAAATCTTCCTCAACTGAATAATACTTTCCAGAGGGCGTTATTGTTTTCTGTTTTTTGAGTACCAATGAGTAGCTGTCAGAAACTGTTAATTCTAGCCTGATACAAACCCACAGAAGTAAAAAGGCCAGTGTTGAGACTGTGTACCAAACAATAGACGCCTAATCTTGGAGTGCAGATGCCATAATCTAAAACAGAGAAATGCTTTCTCAATGTGTGTGTGTATTTTAAATAAAAATGATCCGCTAACTGGATTAAAGAATGTATATTATGCCAGGTATGTAACTATGTTTAACCTATATACAACTGTCATGAAGATGGGATGAGAGGATTTCTCTCTGTACTGCCTCGTTTAATTCAAAGTGTCTGACAATGAGGACAGAGTGAGGCTGAATTAGACACAAGGAGATAAACCATTCATACATCCGTTAGCAACGTCCCATTAAATCCAGTTGAAGTGTCCCGTTCTGCCAGGCAGCGCTTCATCCTTTCTGCCTCCCACGTTGTCTCTCTTTCTCTCTCTCTGAGTCATACTGCACACTACAAACTACACCCTGGATTTTTTACACTTAATCATGTGGCTTTTGTGCGCAATTTCACAGTGTCTCAACCTTTGATTTTCACTTTAATCAACCCTGGCTTCAAATTACCCACAATCCATCACTTGCCAGTCTCTGACTCCGAACATAGGCTGCGAACTATATGAGTAATTAGCAACGTAAACCCCCAAATTCTTTCATGTCTGGCCTGAAATTTATTGCAGAGACAATTAGTCTAACAACACTGTTTGCCGCCTGGATGAGAGGCGTCAGCATGCCACCGCTGCAGGATTAGACTTGTGTGCTTCTGTGTGCTACTACATCTTACTCATGTGTTATTGCAAAAACAAAGGTTGTGTAAAACTCTATATGCTGATGTGAGTTTGGCAACGCACTCTGGTGAGTGACAAGGACGTCTTGATTTATGACACACAAATCCGTGCAGATCACAGCTCACACCACGTAGCTAAAGTAATACACACATGAGGAGAGCAGAGAGGAGCTGGCGCTTTTCTGTTGTTTCTGGAGAGAGTTACTGCAGGGGCAGGGAGAGTTTCCCAAATCCCCAAGAAAGTGGGTTAGCAAAGAGAGAAACGGGGATAGAAGGAACTAATAAAAACTGGGTGGTGGAAAAGATATCAAGGGATTTGGGAATATTTTAGTAAGAAGACGCAGATGACGAAGGACAGCATCAAGGTCTGGTGAGCCGTGATTGACTGCAGCTCAGGCCTGTGGTGTCCTCAGATCCCAGCGCTGTGTTTGGTAAATTAGTGGGTGGGGTGCACAGTGGCTGTTGATAAGCAGATAGAAAACAGGGCTCAGCGCCTATAAATACTCTATAAATACACGCAGGGAAACCCTGGAGCCACGGGACCAGCAGGGAAAGGGCACAGAGGGAAAGAGGGCTCCAAACTGGAGAGTAAATAGTGGAAAAAAAAAACCCAGAAAGATTAAGTAGAGGTGTAGGGAAATGTGAATGAGTAAAAAATACACGGGCCACAAACTTTATCAGATCTCACAAACACCATGAGTCACTTCTTCTGTTGCATAAGAGCCCTAAATGAAAGGAAAAGACACATCTCTTCCCGACCTCAGACAAACCAACCTTGTATTATTGCACCACCATTATAACCTCACAAACACCAAAGGAAGCTGCATGGATTGACGCTGCCGGAGAAAACAATACAAAACGGACCTTGTTAAGCATTTATATGCACTGTCTGGGAGGCTTTATGAGCAGAGGAAAACAAGTTTTGCAAGAGGGCGAGTAATAAACGACAGATTCAGATTTTCCAGAGATCTGAGGCGCTGTGAGAGTAAGCATGGGTAAAGAAAAATACACAAGAGACGAGGAAAAGGGACAGCGCAGAAAGTCAGCCTGTTACTCCAAGCTGAATCACTCATATCATACCAGCAGGAAAATGAGCGGACGACGCATCACTCTCCTCTCGCTTTTCTATTCTCCCCCAAGACCGGAGACTGGGAGGTGTGGCCGCAGGAGAAATACTGGAGTGATGGTGAAAAGGAAAGACAGGGGGTGAACACTGACAGAGAAAAACAGGAAATGGCCTGAGGACGACTACAAAATAAGAGGGAAAGTGAATGAAAAAGTAACAAAAGCAGAGACACCAAATTAATAAGGACTGAAGGAAAAAGCGGAAAGCTGGTTTAACAAGCAGAATAATCATCCCTTAAAGTTTCAACATGTGTGGGATAATGTACAGCAGGCAGGTCATTAAGCAAATATAATGTCGACAGGGTGAGAAAAGACCCCGACCCAGAGTAAAAGGGTCTTGCTTCACCCTGAAGGGATTGTGTTTCATGTAATGACCTGTTCACTTCACATCATCCCACTTATTACCTGGCTACATGTTTTCTTTAATTTGGCTGATGTCACTTTCACTCGACTACCCGTGTGGCTGTTTCTTCTTGGCCAACATGATCAAACATTTGACACAGTGGTGAGGTTAATAAGAAAACTGGGTACTAAAGATGATTAACAGGAACTTCAGACAAAAGCTCAGCAGGGCTCGAAGCTCGGTGTATTTCCTTTGTGAACTAAAAAACTGTGATAAATGAGCAATAAATCATCAGTTGTTTGAAAGAAGTAGCTGCAGCCCCTCTGGATTTTGAAAGTTCATGAACATCAGGAGTGTTTTAAATCTGCACTCCTTCTAATGGCCAGCAGGGGAAGACTCTTTTTGTTACTTATAAATATATGGGATTTTTTTTAAACTGGAAGGAAAATTGACCTGACTTTCCTATGATGTGACATACTGAATTTAACTGATAATACTGCAGAAAAACTTAATTTTCACTAAAAGCTTGTATAAGCTGTGAAGACTGTTTCTCCTTCCTTTTTTAAGGTGACTTTGGGGTTTTTAGTGCCTCTGAGGATAGCGCACCGGGCAGTGTATGTATTGGGGATGATGTAAACCAAAAGTCCCTCACAGGAACTTTCAGGACTTAATTCAGAAATGTTATGTAAACATATTTACAGTGGTTGATTATCATTTCTAACAAAGTCACTATCAGTAATTTTACATTCGTATAAATTTTAGGTATTTTATCCACTACTGACTAGTCAATAAAATATGTATGTAATTATGAACAATTATGATTACAAACATACTTGTCAACTAAATCAAAAACATAGCAATGCTGCAAGCAACAATTCTGTTGTCCAAATATGGTCAACTTAGTTTGAAAAAACCTTTCACACTGATGTCCAGAAGGCCTAACATCATTTAAAAAGGAGTTTCACAAACAGTTCAGAGGCCTCAGATTTTTCTCTTCTGTTCAATAAAATAGATCAGTGACATGCTGCTCTGTGTGTCTTCTGCTTCCCCCTCAAAAAAGCTGTGCTAGTAATGAGGGCGAAAAAATGCAGCAGCCAACTGGACAGAGACTCAGACTGTCTCTTGGTTCCTTTAGTGCTGTCATGCATTTTCCAACAAGAGAACCAAGCACTAAATCTTCAAGTAATGTACCAATTTCTCTTGCCCTGGGAAAAAAAAACCTGGCAAGCAACAGTTACTTGCTACTATGGTCTTGCCGTATTAAAGTTCAGACTACTTAAGAAAGAAGAAAACATAGCAAGTTAATAAAAGCAGACCTGCAAACTTTCTTATTTAATATGCACGTTTCTTTTTTAAAGTCTGTTGCACTTAACTGCTGCTCTTCCATTACTGAACTGCAGACTGAATATTGGTTGAAAGCTTAAAAACCCTGCTTTTAATGTTTTCTTACACACTGTGACAGATGTGAAAGCCCCTCTTCAGGCTGACTAATAAATTATGAGTTGTAGGCTTACAGTATATTTAGGAGAGGGAGTGTTTTGGAAAGTGCATGCTCCATGTTTAAGTGGTGCGCCTGCTTGAGTTGTTCATGAGCGGTGAATTAGGGGAGGACATGTGTAAATAAAGGTGAAAGCACTGCCCTGTTCCAGCTGCTGGGCTTTGATTTGAACCGGATCATTACTTTGAATGATGAGTCAGACACGCCCCCTCTGAAGTAACTCGTGTTTGCAGCAGAACTGAGGCTCCAAAGCTCATATTTGAATAAGCGCTGGACAAACACCATAAACGCCTCCTCTGCCCCCCTCCCACCCCAACGCTGCACTGAGTTAACAGAACACACAACGCAGAACCACAGTTAGAAAACACGCTTTCTCTCCCTCTCTCTCGCAGCACACTAATCCGTACCATTTTGCCAAGCTGCTTTCCCCTCACTGCTCCTAACAATGCTGAAGTCACTTTTCCTCCCTCGCTTTCCTTTTTTTTTGAGAAACAACAACAAATCATAATCCTTTGGTGAGCCCGAGCATATGGTCTTTTCTTTATCCTTTCTTTATCCACACCCCACTGACATTAATAATCTGTAGGACTGGGGAGATGGTATGAGGCCAAAACATTCCCAACATTCAAATAATCCCTCTGTCATTTTTGTACAGCTTTTAGATTAAACTGGCATTCTCAGGGGAAAGGTTTGTCTAAACAAAAAAAAAAACACTGTTGCTCAAATATATCTGAATGGGATTGACAAAATAATTATCCTCCAGGACTGTTTTTGTGATGGTGGCGTTTTAATCTCTGTGGAGCTAAATTTGTGATGAAAACCCCTCAGTTATCACCTGACTGTGCATCAAGAAGATGAAAACTTGCGAACGGAAAAAGCTTAACAGACAAGCTCTGCCACTTTTTATCCGAAATTCAAACCTTCATTCGAACTCTGGGGTAAAAGTTCATATTCAAACTGTAATGAGCCATTTAAACTCATAATAATACAGAATACCAGTCCATGTACTCTTGACCTCAGTAAACTAATACAGTAATGCTATTTTACGATAATGGAGGATTTGTCGAGCAAAGCTGCACTAAGTGGACAATCGTGACATCAAAACATCTAAGAAGTGCAGTGTAAAAGTAATTTGGGATCTACACCATCGATGCCAATTAAAAAACAAAGGTAGGTTTGAATGTTGACTTCGTGCAAAGCAGACTATGACGCCCACATAAAGTGGAAGCGGCCGAAGGACAAGTGTTCAGGATGCTTATGACTGCCTTTTTTGGCAGGCCCTTTCCCAGAAGTTTGAAAAAAAGCCAACACTGATAAGATTTTACTTTTTTAATTTTGTTTTAAATTGGGTTGTAAACAAAGGCAACATTTTTTTTACAGGAACTGCACTCATAAATTGCTCTACGATTGCAAAGTTTGAACATTACCAAACATTTGCACATCAAATTCAAACCATTTTTTTAAACTGACTGCCTTAAAACAGAAGGAGTTAAATTCTTAAAATCAAGCACTTTCTTTAAATATGAAGAATTAATGTTTTGCCTTTTTCTAACAACTACTTGAAGAGAGAGAGGGAAGACAGTTAGGGATGACATTCATCGTAGGGCCGAGACTGGGGATCATATCTTGGACAGATGGGAAGACGACTGTAGCCTGTGTGTATGAGGTGCTTGCTCTAATATCTGAGATAAACCAACGCCCCTCATTAAAAGTATCTCAGCAATAATCGTCACTAATTTTTATTAGTTTGAAATACAATGTTTCATTTATGTCCTCGAGGGGTGAATTAATTTTTCATCTAATGCTTTAATTACTATTTAAATCTATTTCTGTTACATTACAAACCTGTGTTTTGAGTCAGTGTTTAATCTTTTTTGTTAATGTTTTTGTTGTAGCAAAGAGTACCTCTACCTTTCGTGCCAATAAAACACCTATAAAATTTAATGAAACTGAGTTTTTACACAGTTAAAATTAAAGAGAGCCAATAAAAAAAGGGGGGAGAACTCAGTCTGAGAACATTATCCTGCCACTTAAGAAGCACATTCCAAGTAAAACAAATTACATGCTGTCATCTCTTTAAAATCAGGCACATTTCTAAGAGACCAACAGTGCTGTGTGAGCGCAGAGGCTGTCTTTTCTATAGTTCGATACATGCAGCCTTTTTCCCATCCGCTTTCAAGTGAGGGAACAATTCATGTTGAGACTTGGCCGTTATGGATTGCTTTTTAATCTCTCCATCTGAGGTCGGTTGCATCACTTGTTTTGACTAGCCAACCTCCTTCTTTTCCCAGTGTTGCAGACGTTAGCCATACAGCTTTCGGGGGGTTTATATGCAGATATTGAATTGTAAGAGGAAGACTACTTTAATCAAGCTCATACACTATGAAGCAGCTTGGAACAGATGTTGTTTAATCCCCATCTATAACATAGCCAGAGTGCTGACAGCTGGGCTTCACGTAACCTCTTACCCACCATAACCTTAGCCGCCACTTTGCTGTTTGCTAATTGCGTATCACAACATGCCCTCGTAATGCCACACTCCTGAACACCCCTTCAGAGGACCAGAGAAGGCCTAATTAGGCCAAGTGTCCATCTGCTGAAAAGGAGAGGTGAAGGGTGAGCTGGAGAAATGAGATAAATGTGGTGAGAACAAAACCAGGATGCCCAAAGACCTCGAAAAGCCATAATTAAACCTGACAATCAGGAATGCTGGAAAGCAACGAGTGAACATGGTATTTTACCTCCTGCTTCATTACAGGCTAATGATCCCCCTAAGGTGTTTTCCCTGACACTAACTACAGCTTATAAAAAGGGATCCGTTTCTGCCGGCGGGACAGCATGGAAGAGACGCGAAGCTTTTAATGGCAAGTGAAGGTGAGGACAGAAAGCAAAGAGGAAGATCACAGGAGGAAACCTCTGCAGACCAGAGTGAAGCTCCAGCACGCCATAAAACGCTGAATACTTCTGTAAAAGTGGAGCTGTCTCGCCCTGTGGCAGGATAACAGACAGTGTGTTTTATATGAACCACAGAGCATGCCTGTTTCCCTCGGCGATCAAACTCTGATCAAAATAAAAGTTCAAGCAAAGGCAGTTAAAGAAGATAGAACAATCGGAGCACATCCTTCCTTTATAATTAATGAGTCTCTCTGCATTTTCATGCCACATACATTCAGTGCAGTTTTATTTAACTATTGAAGCCTTTTATGGTCCATGAAGCTTAAACCAAATTTAGGCTCAAAGCAGGTGAAAGAGCCTCTGTAAAGAAGAGTGTTATGTTTTTAATAACCAAAAACAAAAGGTTTAAAAGGTGCCCAGAGATTATGTCATTCCTTCAGCTGCTCTTAAAGCACGAAAAGTAAATTAGTTCATGACTTTTGGCTGAAGTCAAGGATTGGAATAAGATTTATTTAGTCTCAAACGACTGCCAAAATCTCATTGGATGACAGGTTTCCAGACCTCAGTCCAGTAAATGAGTGTTTGGTTTAGAAGAGCCGGTTTGCTTGTAACCATGCAGCATGAGACTAAACAAACCAAACACACAAAAATGTCAAACAAAACATAGATTTGACTGCAGAAAGTGCCTGCCTCGAACGTCTCAGGCAATCAAATTGCTATTGCATATTTTTCAAGTTGATTTCATAAAGATTAAGTTAGTAGTAAAAGAAATACTTGTGTTTGAAATGATCTCCTATAGGTTATGTGACACCATCCTTTTTATTGATGCTAGGCAGATGCTGAAAAGGCTCATTTCCAGTTACGAAACGCCCTCTGTGCCTCTGCTCTCAGCATCTGCTCCTCGATAAGAACAGCAGCGTGGCAGAGCCAGATGAATCAATGTCTGCTGTGATTGTCCCATCAGCTGCTGAGGTGCTCTGTGTCCAGGGAGAGAGGAAGAGAGAGAAAGAGAGAGAGAGGGGAAGTCTGCCTTTGAGTGACAGCTCCTTCAAAGCTAAAGGGACAAGATGACAGATGGTATCAAAGCTCGCACTCAGACAAAAACACTGAGTCCAGGAGCAGGTTTTTGTCAAACCTTTTTGGGCAAGTAATTAAGCGTCTTTTTGTTATTTCTAAGAAACAAAGAGTGAGTTTATCAGGGATGAACTGCGATTGCGACGGGCCAGGAACAACTTGCCTGTGAGACTGCGGAGGAACGCCAATTGAAATGCATATGTGTGTGTGTGTGTGTGTGCATGGACAAACATTCACACACACACACACACAGATGGTGAAGGAATTTAGCCGAAGCTTTGATATGCAGATTGGATGCTGGCTTGTCATTTCTGCTCGCTGCAACACTGTGTTATCGTTCCTTCAGCGCAACATTAGAGCTGATAACATTTACCTGAAGGGGGGGCAGCTGACTGATAATATCGTCAAGACGATTTCTGCTCCTGGAAGGCCCGAGTGAAGCCTGTGAGGAATTCAGTATCAAAGTCCTGTTGCAGCGGGGGCACACGTGATTATGAACATGCAGACTGGCACAAGAGGACAAAGAAATATGACTTATTTCTGTCACAGGTCATCTTTGAATGTGGAGGTAGGATACTAACACACTCACGGGCCACTGTGCAACTGTTTGAGGCTGTTGCTGAGTTTTCTAAAAGGGCAAGAAAATAAGTGTAGAAGACGAGGAAGAAGTGGAGCGTGTTTCAGCATCTGACAGACGTGTCAAACTTAACGATTATGCTAATCATCTCACACTGATTAAAACTGGCACACTGTGTTAGAATACATTACCGAGGAAAACATCTCTGGCTTAATAATATCAACAGTCCCCATAAATCATGATGGCTGATTACTGTAGATGGCGGAGGGCCAACAGTACATTAACAGATTATTACAATGTACTACTTTTTCACTCCCATCCCCACAGACCATAGATTACTTGCATAAGCTTCTTGTTTATCTGCAGCATGCTGGGCCATAGGTTTTCACTGCTTTTTTTGTACATTACCATGACAACTTCAGCCTCCTATTAAGAGGTTTTTTACCAGAGTGGATCAGTTAACCCTTTATTTTTAATTACAGGGCATTTCACAGCTGCATCTGCTCGGTAAATAGGTCCTCATCCACTTTCACTTTCACACAAACATCACTTTCACACAGTAAGCCAGGGGGAAATAGTGTTGTTCTGAAAATAACATGCTCCCCACATGCAGGGTAAGTGGTTCATTTTGTCTTCTTTAAGAGGCAGTGATAGGGGCTTAAAAAGCTTTTTTCATGTAACACAGTCTTTTGACCAACATGCAAAAATCATCCACAGAACACATCGTGCGTTTAATAAAAAATGTGAAATGTGCACAACTCTTCCTGTTTTGGCCCTGGCCATCTTCGTGAATAAAGAAAACACTTATTCATCAGAAGCAGGCCTCTGAATATCACATTTGCCCTCTGGTGCAGCTGTATTCAATATTGTTCATTTCAGCTCTGATACTTCATTTTGAACTAGAATTGAGGAATCTGAATAAGCAAGAGCATTTTTACAACACATATTAAACAAACACAATAAATCAGAACAGGGAAATCTCACCAGACCTTGTCACGCAAATGATATCTTTTTCATATGGCACCCATTTTAGCATCCTTTAGAGATGAGTTGTTGCTTACAGACCCTTTTTTTTCATACTACTACATCAAAGGAAGATACAGATGCACAAGCATGGTGTCATATACTAACGCTCTAGTTTGTTTCATCATTTTTTTTTTCCATTTCTCTGTGTTTGCTAAAAACAAACATTCTTGCATATATAAAGAAAAGCACAATCCTCTGCGTGATCCTGATGCACCAATAGCCCGAAGTGTGTCATAGTCACTGCAGGGGACCCAGTAAAGGGGTCAGATTACTAAGCCTGAGGGCTCCATTTGATCATCCCTCTGCTGCACTGAGAAAACATGTCCTGCTATTTCATCTACAGTGTTCATGTTAAGGCTGCTGCCTGTGTTTCATTTAAACCGAGCTCTTGGAAACATATTTTTCCTATTCGTCAAACTTTTTTTTTCACAAACACCTTAATTTCTGCCTGAGCACAAACTGAATAGTGTACAATAACACCCTGGTGTAACAATTATAGCACAGTCAAAACTTTGAGCAGAGAGGAGAGTGTGGAGCCTGAAGTGCTGCTTAATTGCATATCTGACTGTGGCTGTAATTTTCGATTAATTATTCAGCTGAACCCGTTTTACCATACAAAAGTAAAGAACAGAAGTATTTCCTGAGTTTGGCCACTGAGTTTGCAGGCAATTATAATATTCAGCTATTATTCATGATCCCCAAGTGTTTCGTTTAAGGACTGGAGAATGTGCACGGCAATTTGCACTCACAGATGCACACATATTGACTCTTTTCTTATACAAGAAACTTGAATGTGTTAGCCAGGAGATGTGTATGAATACAGAGATAAAGAGATATCATATTATGTCTATGTGTTCACTATATGGGGTTAAAGATTTAGGCATAAAACTGCTTTTATCAGATAAAACCACAGCTTGGATTATGGGCATGTAATTAATGCAAATACATTCAATGTAGAGTTCATCGATGTGCTAACTACTGTATGCCACAAGCATGTGCAGCGTAGGGTGTAATTGCTGTATCTACTGCATTACTCTAATTACCACTGTGTTTAAATAAGGGATGTGATGGCACCTCCTGAGACTGATGAAAATTGGCACAGGAAAGAGACAACTCAAACAGATGAAACACATGTAAATGGCAGAGGATGTTTTTGATTCTCTGATTAACATCATTTGGGGTTTGTCCAGATGGGGGGGAATGGGACCCCTTGAAATCTGATTGGCTACCCCAGGTGTCATACTTTACTTTGATTGGTAATTTCCCTTGTCAGAAAATATATATATATATGTGAAAAAAAATTGACTGTTATGAAGGGATAGCTTTTTTTGCATTACAATGTTGCTTATGTTTCTTAATTTTTTAGTATGAAAACATATTAGGAAACACATAAACAGTTTTTTTGTGTAGCAAAGGAAAGAAACACCATGGAGTTTGTTATGTATGCTATGTTTGCTTGTGTAGCACTTGGAGATTTTTTTTTCATGTTTAGTGTGTTAGAAATAAAATGTATAATGATTATTATTATTCTCATTATATGTCAATTTGATCAATGCAAAAATACATGATTCTGAGCATTTAAACAGAGAAAAAGACAGTGAAGTCTGGATAAAATTGCTGCCTGCTATCAATAAACTTCTGGATATTTCTCTCTTTACTCTTCGTGCACATATTGCAGGTAGTGTCTCCACATCTGCTCTGCAGATAACAGAGAGCGATGATGTCTGGGCAGCTTCTGAGCTTTTTCATCAAACATTTATAACTGCTTTGAGTCTTTTAACTAGTTTCATTCATTCCTTTATCTACATGGTCATAAATTAAAGCATTTTTTGCTTTTATCATAATAGGAAATAGAGTATCAAATGTGTAAGGTATTAAAAAGGGGGGAAAAAAGCCATCACACTAACAGTTTAAAAGGCAGTCTCTTCTCTAAAGCCTAAACATAAACTGGGTTCAGACCATGAAAAACATGGATGAATGCAGGTGCCCCAGCATCCAGCACTTAAAGGGTTAACTTCCAGCTTTCCCTGCTTTGCCACTGTGCTGCTGTGAATTTCCTCTACTTCCAACTTGAGCCGCACTCATCATCCGTGCTCTGAATGACTTGTCCTGAGGCGGTTCATCCCTTTATTTCCTGACTCAAAGTCAAAGCAGAGGCACAGAGGACCTTGTGAATACGACATCACATGGTAAACAAGCGCTCATGCACACTCGTTGTCAAACAAACAACCAAACTATAAAGAAACATGAGTGGGTTTACTCCACCGAGATGTCAGGTTGTTTGACATCCTTTTGTTCAGCAACATATCAGAACAATCCCTCAATTGTCCTGTTTTTGTCTGTCCCCCAGTGTTCAGTCTGTGCCGTGTTTGAGGACAAATCTGAGCAGCTTTAAGCAGGAATAATAAAGGGGGTTTTGTTGAGACACGTCTGCCCCATGTTCACACAAAGCTCACTCAATCTTATTCTTTCACCTCCCACGACTGATATCGCTCGGTGACACAACATCAACTCTTCTACGCAGCCAACTTCCCACCAGTATTTCGTATTTAACACAGATGTTTCCTCCAGGCTATTATTTGTGCTTCTGTCAATATGTTATCGACACAAACGAGGTGACATTATGTGTCTCCTGTCTCTTGTCTCCCGACGTGTCAATCAAAAATTACTCATGGACCCGGCTCAGTACTGATATAGATCGCTCGGCGGGGAGGAACAGCGGAAAGAGCAGATATCTCTTCTAGGAATATAGGGATTGATTTGTGTGTGACTGAGCCAACAGTCAGCTGATTGACAAGCGATACAATTAAGTGAGAGCGAGCTGGAACGGAAGACCGTCATTATATCAATCATCAAGCACTCCCCCACCTCTTTTCTTCGATCATCTTTGCTTATGGTCTAATGAGCTTTGCGTGGCATGAGAGTGTAAATATTAAAATCATGTATCAGGGTTCACATCAGCACAAAGACACAATAAGAAAACAGGAAGAAGGAGAAACAGACTAAAACAATCAGTATCACACAGAATTCAGACACCATGGTGAAGTACGACACCACAGCAGGGACTCAAACACACCATACAGCAAAGATTTATTTCTGTTTATGAGGGTGCATGTTACTAAAATCCCCAGAGAGCATAAAGGTACATGCATACCTTATTATTCTTCTTAAAGTACATGGACATTTCTGACAGGAAAAGACACACTCTATGCATTATTTCACTTGAACTTGAAGCTAAGCCTCTAAAGGTACAAAATGTATTGTCGCTGCAGCAGGTCTCCCACAGGGACTGTACCTTTTCATAGAGGAGGCAACTTTTTCCCCCACAGCCCTACAAAATAACACCGCCATCGGCTTATAATCCTGTTTCATGCTGCTGTAATTTGTACAATGGCTGCCGGCAAGAAAAGTTCAAATTGCCGTTGTTACATGGGTAAAGAAAAGCTGACATGAGACCTCATTAAGTGTGACTTCCAGTGCGGCCAATGACGAGCCAAAGAGCAAGAGTTATTAGAAGTCCAAACAGCCTGACAGGAAATGGAAACGCTTTAGCAAATTAGAAGTTGTTGAAAATACTACCATTTTCTGACTGCTATTTTGGTGTCCCTCAACGTTAAGTTTTAGTTCCTATATCTATTTACCGTAATACACATGAGCGGTTTACCTCACATGAGTTAATATTCAATTTGTTTGCAGATGATACGGTCCTGTATGTACACATCAGCTTTAATTATACAGCAAGTTATTGCCAGATATAATAGTCATGGATAAAGAGGTGTACAAAGTTGAGTTAATGGTTGCGAAAGTATCAAAATGTACCGAAATGATATCCCTTACTGTAAACATGTTGGTTAATCATATTGGTTAATCAAGAATCAATAATCCTTTTGTTTGTGCTAACGTGTGTTAAGATGATTGTCCCAACTTGACCACATAAAGTGTTTGTTCATAGGAACAAAGGCAGATATTATGAAAGAGCCTCAATCCAGGGTTATTTCTGTCATAACCACGGGTGTTACAGGATGAAGAGGATGATAAAGACAAGATGCAATTGAGCTTAGTCATCGAACTCAGCTTTGTACAGGTTACAGTGCAGCTACTGTGGCAGAGAGCACAACTATATTGCTGTCAATGGCTTACTTGTGAAACACAGGGCTGGGCATCAGATGGGATTTTTGGTGTTACACCTTAAAGCCTGTGGTCTTAGCAGCCATTGCAAAACAATACCTGTGTCAGACCAGTCAGTGGCAGGTTTATTTCATGTCTGGAAAACTGGACCGCAGACAGCAGTTAAGAGGGCTGTCTTATGTGTTACACCATAGAGGACAGGTATTGCAGACTACAAATTTGTTAAAAGGTAATCATATATTTCATAAGTGTGAGGATTACGCCTTTCTTCAAACTTTGTTGGCAGATGTCTCTGTAGACTTTGATCTTGTAAGTGTTACCACATTTTAAAATTGGGACATATAAATCCAATGATTAAAGAAAATCCCTGTCTGCAGCCCAACCAGAGTGTGTTATAAGCCACGTTTCCATTACATTTTTTCACAAAATAAAAGCGATGTTTATCAAATTTCGACAAAGTGCAATTGCGATTTGCGGGTGTTTCCATTGAATGGTGTTCAGTTCATAAGCGAGCCGTGTTTGAATGGCCGTTGCCTAGCAATGAGGTAAACTTCCTGCCCGTGCAACCTCGTATTCCTTAAGCCTATTTGCACACCAACATGGACGTTTTGGAGCAGCTATTTCTGTGACCATTACTGCTGTTGCTGCTGCTGTCATCAGAAGACGAAGGCAGCGGGTGATAATTCAAAGGCAAAGCTCGTATGTATGGGAGCGGACACGGATGAGGGATTTCTGGGAGAGGATCATTAATGAGGAATTCACAGACGAATTGTGGGTTCAAAACTTCAGAAAAATACAAATACAATTCAAAACCTCAGAAATAACTCTGTCTCCTCCCCCGTCCACACATACCGCGCCATCTTCGCTTGTAATGAACTGGTCACTTGACCCGCTACGTCACGTCCGGTGACAGAGAATTGCGAGAATAGTGTTTCCATTACACTTTTGCGATATACTTCTATATCGACACATCTGAAAAACCACCTCATGAGAGCGTAAAAACTTTTTAGCGATATTTGAGAGGTTTTTCGAAATGCAGGTGTTTCCATTACCAGTTTTCTATTGCGATATTTAGGTTTTGCGCAAATCTATGGGTAATGGAAACGCAGCTATATTTAACACAGAAAGAGGAACCCTGCCACAACAAAGCAGTGGCACTGACCACAGCAGCTTGATCTTTCTCTCTAAGTGAGAAAAAAGGAAACAAGAAGAAAGAATAACCAAGGATCGATAAAGCAGCCTTGTTAATGGATTTCTTCATCTGCGCCGTTCATTAAAGAATGCACAAGAGAGAAAAACAAACTGAAGGAGGAGCTGCAGAAACAGGGAGGGAGTGACGAGGAATACTAAGAACGAGAAAAAGCCCAGTTAAAGATAGAGTGCAGGACTCCACAGATATGGATGGTTAGAGGGTCGATCGTTACCCGGACTTCACATGCATTCTTGACGTCCTGCCTGCCTTCACTGCCTGATTGCCTGGCACACATTTGCATCAGTCGAGAGGAGCCGAGCAGAGGAGCACAGCCGGAGAAGTCTTTGATCTCACAGCCCCTGTCTCTTTGATGCACCATGTGGAAACACACCAGCAGATTTGAGAACGAGTCAATGATGTTGGGTGTTAAGTAGATGTGTGTGCGAGTGGATGTTCAGCGAGTGTGTATGTGTGATCTCTGCGAGGGAAAATCATGTACGTAGTGGGAATGACTGTGCAAATCTGTCAAGACCTTGATTGCAGTCCAAATGAGCACAACACACACATGCCAGCATGGGTTGCCCTATTTTGTTAAAGTCAAGTGCATTCAAGCAGGAGGGGAATGAAAAAGCCCCCCCTTCACTCTTCAGGATTATTAAACATCACGGCGGATCTGACAACCACAACTGTCAAGCAACAGATTTACATCCAACCCCTTCACCCCCGTGCTTTTCTCAGAAAATGTCATTTCATATTTCCGTCTGGGTTCAAATTCGAGGCAGTGCACCGAGATAATCTGTGGATTTTGACTCTGTGCGTGTATCGACAACGCTCTCATCGTCGGCTCCTCTCTCCTACCCTCCTTTCTCCTTCACTCCTTGCCCCCTCACCTCTCCTCCTTCCTCTCTTGCACTCGTCTTCCATCCCTCTTTCTTCTCCTCCACCTCTTCTCTCCTCATTCCCATCTCTCCCCTTCTCCTCTCCAGCCTGTCAGGATGATTTCAGGCTTGTTGCGTCTGGCCTGACTTAGTGTGGTGCGATTGGAGCAGTAATTACAACAGGCTCTGAATAGCTTTTCCTCCCACGGAAAACCACGCTACCTATCATCCCCAGGCTTAACCCTGCTCTCCACACTGACATGCAGGGGCCAGACAACAGCCAGTGTAGAAAACCATTAACCCACAATTAAATTACAATCACCATAACAAAGGACGGGTGACATTTAAATCCACCAATCGAGGAGGGATTAGGAGCAAAGAGCACTTCTCATGGGGTGTGTTATCATCGAAATATGACAGTGTGGATAAAGGAAATGTGAATTAATCAAATATTACACAGTCTCTACCAGTGTGGCAGTTTGGGGTAGACTTAAATCCTCTTCAAGTTAAGCCAAGCAGTATTACAGGGAGTGTGGAGCTTTTGCTCCTCTTCACCTTTTTATATGAGACATTAATGATATGCTGGAGTTCACCGCTTGGGTGTTCCTCGTACCACAGCTGGAACGGGATCCAGAAGACGACAGAAAACAGCAGAGGCTTGGTGGGTGGATCACAACGTTCCCAGTAACTACATCTGGAATTGTTATTTAGAACATTTACGTGATTTAAAAAAAAAATGTTCAACTAAGACTTGCGTTTAAAATGTATGTGATGATTTTAGACCGACTGGAATCGCACGTTTCTTGCAGCAAGACTAAGATACTAACCTAGTACAGGTGGGGATTGATTTTCTGTTGCATGTACACACCTCAATCAGACCTGAAATGGCCTGGGCACACTTAGGAGTTCACATGCCTGGCTTAGATCTAGAAGTGGAACAACAGAAATGAGTCGTAGGAAGCCAGAAGTAAGCAAAATCTTAACAGATGAAGATGACGCCGCCTCAAATCAGTATCACGATATATTGAGCAGTTCACCTCGATAACGATAAATGGACGATAACTACTCCACAAGCTGCTCACCCCCTCCCACATCAACTCTAGTATCTACTTCAGCCGCCACTCCAGTCGCTACAACTTTTGAACCGTCCTCCATCTCCTCACCTGTCTTTCAAGTCTCTGGCATAGGACAGCGTCTTAAAGGAACATGAGACCATAGCCTAACACACATCCAAACACAACTTTTATTCATTATTATTTTTTTTTTTAACACCAAATATACCAATATGGGCAAAATGACGTTGGTTAATGTCATAAATTGTGGTATCAGTAAATTTTCTGTTTATCGCCCAGCCCTAGTACAGAGCTCTAAAGTTGTCCATGTTTCACTGGCATACATAGCCTCTTGTTTAATTGTTTTTCAACTGTTTTTTGTGCATTGACATGAGTACTAACTCATGTCCTGAGAGTAAACTCGCTGCAGTCAGAAGCAATCCCATGGCTGAAAAGTTCTTTAACTAACTCTTAAAAGTTCCTTATCTAACTGCAGAGACAGACAAGCTGCATCAAATCACACAGATTTGTCACCATCCATAACAATAAAAGTAAAAGTAAAAAGTCTGTAAAGGTCACTGGTCGCAAATTTGTTAAGGACTCCACTGGGTTATGAGCACCTAAAAGCTGTAGCACACAAATCACTAAACACTGACATTTAGCACACTCGCCAGCATGACATTATGAAAACACCAGAAATTGATCAGATGACTGAGTCATAAAACGGCACAGCCAGTGTTGCCTGAGGGCTGAGGACGTCCAACACGGCCTCTATAAAAGACGTGCAGTGTCATCTGACAGCCCCTGAGAGGTGAAATGCCTACTCAACGCCTGCCTCTGACACAGCAGAATGATGTTGGCCTTCAATCAAATATCAAGGTTGTGCTGAAATGAAAGCAATTTGATATCGCCAGAGAGGAGAATGGGGAAATGAGATTGATGTTGTGAGGAGAATGAATAGGTGTTAGAATGAGAGGAGGAAGTCAGTCGAGGTAGAAAGCTGCATAGTTGGTGTTTTATGCTGAAATGGCACTCAAGCTTAAACTCAATACACCAGAGGTTGTTTTTTCTTTAAGACAGTGGACTCCCGCCAGGTAGTGGCGCAGAGATGAGAGGGCAGTTAAACCAAAGGAACAATAGAGCTGGTGGGGACTATTTTTAAAGCTCATACAGCACAAAAAGTATATTTTTGCTGAAAAACAGGAAAACTTACTTCATGGGCTTGAAGAGAGCTTGGCCGTAGTTGTGGAAGGTCATGATGAGTTTGAGCTGAGTTCCTCCAGACTTCATTGCTGTAAGAGGGAAACAGAGAAACAAAGCTATTAGCAAATCATTAACTGAAGCCAACCGGGCTATAAATATTGGACTGTTACACTAATGAAATGAGCTGTACCATCATGCATGCAGACTGTTGTGCTTTGAAACAACCAAACCCTCCCATATCCAAAAGTACTGTGCAGTACACCTAAATCACTGAGCTGAACACCATGACGAGGATTCAGACCACATATGTTGATGCTCAGAAACTTAAAGCGACTCACTGCAGTGTCATACAAAATATAAAATATGATTAAAAAGGCAACAATTTGTTGATATTGACCGTAATATATCGCATGTGTGCCTTACCCAATTCAGATTAAGAATTTGAGAACAAGGCAATCACACACCCGCAACATCCCCTGCCGATTAATTTAAGAACGCTGTTGTGTATGTGATCCTGCGTGTTTGTGTGCTTCAATCTGCCCATGTGAGTCTTTGTGTGAGCTTGTGTATTGAGTGCTGATGTCACAGTGTTTGTTTGATGGGAAGAGAGAGTGAGGGGGTGAAGGACAGCCAATGCTCGCCCAGCGCTCTCTGTTCCTGCGCTGTTTATTCTCTCTGTGTATTCTCTGGAGGGTCCAGCCCTTCTCTCCCTCTCTCTCTCTATCGCTCTCTCACTTCATCTCTTTGTGTTTCTATTCATCCTCCTATCCTTCATGTTTTTGAACACGATAATGCAGTCTAAAGGCACTCCTGGGACTGGGCTCGGCACTGGGGCGAGGACTCTTCTGGGCTTAAATCCGCCAAAATTCGCCAAAATAAAAGAACAAGGCAGCCATTGAGCCGGTTGTCCGCCAGCGAATCGATTGGGAGCAGTGTTTTGATGGCCTTCTGCCAAAGAACAACCCTCTCAATCAATGTTCTCATTTATTTTTACGAATGGGAATCACAAGGACAAGGGAAACGTTTACTGAGAAAAAAAATTCACATGAAAAAAAATCAATACCTGTCTGTTTGTAACTGCTGCTGTGTGACATTTTTCAAGAAAGAGAGGCTTAAAATAAACGCAAAATTTAACTGTAATATCTGGTAACTGCTGCATTTAGAGCACACTGCATACAAGGAGCATGAAGATGTTGTTTTGTCTGAGAAAAGGAGTTTTTGTTGTGACTCCATGCTGCAGAAATATCCAACTCTGTTTTAGGGCTGTGCACTCACCCCTCCAAAGTAAAAGCCTTTCATTATAATCCGTAAAAACCTTCACCATATCTGCTGCTTTTGCACGCAGCAACTTTATCAATGAACAGTTCTCAAAAGCAGTAGTGTATTATGCATTCAAGCTTTCCTGTGCTTAAGTTAAGATAATAACCCACTGCTATTGGCTTCTATTGGTATTCTGCCCCGGGCTTGTGTAAAGGCTCTGTAATTACTGAGCCACCATGTATTTAGCTGGCTAGAGACGCTGAGAACTGCTTCCTCTATCCAGCCAGCCTGAGACACAGAAAGCAAAAGGGAGAAAACTCGACAACATCTGGGGTAGAATAAAGAGAAAGCAAAAAAAAAAAAATCTTTTGGTGGCCAGACAGCGATGCTACTTTTATAAGCAGTTAATCCTCTCCAAGATAAGTATTTAATCTTCGCTATAGGCTTGTTACTTTGCTGTTGTTGGCACATGAACCTGAAATCTGCAATCACTTCGATGAGTGAGCGCAAGATGGGCGACCTTGAGTAGACAAGAACTCTTGGAATGTGGGACTCGAACTGAGCCAGAATGAAAGACAATCTTCCTGGGGAAAAAAAGAGAAACAGAAAGGAGAAATAGATTCCATATAACTGGCCTAGCACGGATTAACACCTCTGTCAGGTATCTTCTTCCACTTGCAGGGAGCGCTCTACAAGCTTTCTATAGAAGGCTTGGGTTTTTCTGAGCACTTGTCAGTTAAAGAAAAAAAAATCAGCCTTTGATAGGAATCAAACTCAGATGTGAAGCTGTGTGATTTGCATAGAGACCAGGTGTTCTCCCACGGCTTGATGTATTCTTCCAGTGAGGATACGTGAGAGAAGATTGTGGTGTTTTATTACAGGGGCCTCTAGAATCAGCCATGTCCCATGATGGCCTGCAGCCGACTTCCAACTCAACGCATACTTGTGTGTGTTTTCATGTCATACGTGCCTGTGGCATGGTGGAACCTGGCCGTCCATCATTGTGCAGCACCTCCTGTTACTGTTAACCGGTAGATCCAGTTACATTAAAGCCATACTTTTCCCCCATGGAGTTCTGTTAACACTGGCAATCGCTGTTTCAAGTTTGGACTGTCTCTCACACACTCTGACTTCTCTAGTTTTACACATTTTGGCCTTTTTATGACAACGTGGGTGACCTTGTAAGATTTTGGTGCCTGCCACTGAAGAATCCCACACAATCAAACTGAACACTTAAATGAACAAGTTACGAGGGGTGGGAATCACCAGTGACTTCACGATCACGATGCGATTTTTTCCATTTTGCAATACAGTGAGTATTGCGATACAATATATTGCAATTCATATAATTTTTTAAAACTGTTTAGCTGATTTAGCATTTGTCTTTGCTCTATGTTTGTCTTATTTACACTGTATTTTATCTTCATGTAGCACAAACCTTTTATGTGTTTTTTGTACTAACTTTTTCCTGCTCTATGATGTCACCTCTGCTAACCTCACTGGACAAACAATTGATTTTATTTTTCCATCATCATAGATTTGACTTCATATTCACAATTAACTTGAAAAAATCGATAGACAGTCAATGAGACGATATGATACATCACCAGACAAAATGTTGCGATGCTATGCTGTAACGATTTTTTCTCCCACCCCCTACAGGCTACACCAGAAAATGATTGTCATCACAAATGCACTTGGGTTCAGTCTTCCTTCCTGTCCAATCTTTTATGATTTTAACAAAACCAGGTGAGGTACTCCAAGAAAGTTAGACTGATTTCCGGCCTGGATCTTTCCTGCAGACAAAAATCAGTAAAGAGTTGACTGTCTGATGGTTCTGATGTTTATTTTACCAGATTTTCACCAGGATGGAGGTATGTCATGAGTGACTGATTAGCTGGAAACAGGTTTGAGATCACACCAATTTTAAAATTGCACATACCAATATGTTCAGTTAAAATCCCAGTGTTCAGTGTTAACTGTGAGGGGAGCCTGTGGACAGCCAAGCGTGCACGACAATGTGGATTGTCATGTAAGACGGAAAAATAGCGAATTGGAAGGCAAGCACAACAAACACAGCCATGTGACGCAGCCAGAAAACACTAGATGTGCAGCATTAAGAAAGATTAACTCCAACTTGTTGATTTGTGGAGACAACATAGTGTGTCCCACAAAACACATCACAATTAAACTGACAGGGAAAGGAGCAGTAAACAGAGACTGCTTCAGGAATAGATGTGCCAGATCGCTAAGCAGCTTGAAAAGCATCCTGTCGTCTGCCATGTTTGTTTGCTCTTAACTCACAAGAGATTTTAAAAGATTTCCAGTTGTAAGAATCAGGACTCTGTTTTTTGGTGAATGTTGGTGTGTTGAGGGTAGTATTTACCATATCCTTCATATACCAGAGGAGCAATAATGTTAAATCTGACTTTATTTGTCTTTACGCGCAAGAGCTCTCACATTTACAACATCTGTTAGGATTTTTAAAAAGCTATCAGTTTGACCTTCGCTTAAAGTAGTGGTTTACAAAGTAAGAGTGGGACCCCCTGGGGTATCCTGATACTTATGGAGGATTTCAATAAGTCTTCTGGGGGGGGAAATTGAAATTACATATTTATCCATTATCGTTATATTAAAAAAAAGATGTAAAAGAAGTAAAGTTTGAAATAAATCATGCAAATAAAAATCTTTCACCTGTTTTCTGCTTTTTTTTTGTTGCCACATGACCTGAGGTGTTTCTGACAGATTAATGAAACGCATCAGTTTCAGCAGATTAAATCACAGCAGCACAGGAAACACTGCGACACGAGCTCACTTTTAGCAAAATCAGCTACATCAAGAAACTTAACCTTTCAGACAGTTAGAAATTCACACACACAAACTAACTTTCACATCTACTCTTTAAATAGTCCAACCAATGTTCCAGTTAAAACGTGGAGATGACTTTTTTATATTATAGTTGTTTGGCTGCCATGATCAATATTAATCTAATGCTCATTTTTGGACTGACCCCTTGATTCTTTCCTGCAGCTGTGAGCAATATCTAACCACCTCAAGGGACAGGGGGGTTGTTGGTGTTATGGCTGTATGTCTTTTCTTCTTTGTCCTCTTTTCTCTTTGATTTCTCTGAGCAGGAAAAATTACTGACTGACACTTTAGAGCAGAGGTTTTTAATTTTAGAGTTTACTCACACTTCTTTTATTTATTTTTTGTTCGGCCTTTTCATTTAATTGACTTGGATTTAATTATTGAAACTGTTTGTAGGTAGAAAATATTTTTAAGGTGTCTCTTTTGACTCTTATTGGGTAAGTTCGTTGACCTCGGTCTCTGGCATTGACATTTTGTGAGCTGTGGGCTCAAGAATTTGAGATGATAAAAATAGATTACTCTAATACTGTATCCATGGAAACGAATAAAACAGATGACTCCAGTTTTAACACGAACCATGTTAGGGAGGATCTGAAGTGCCAAATTTCTGTCAAGCAACACAGGCAGAAGCCAATAAAACCTGCACAGTGCCAAGATATTCTCTGTGTATTTTTTTTTATATTTAGATAGTGAATTACATTATATTTATATTGTTTCTCAACAATAGCTTTTGTAATTCTCATTATATTTCTAATTTTTAGGCAGCCAGAAACACCTTGAATAAATTCCATGTATTTGTTAACCAACTCAACTATAAACCTGACTTTTGGTTGTAACATTATGATAAGATCACAGCAATGGTCCATAATGTCTGCCTTGTTCTCCATCTTCCCCTGAGCGGGACTATGTTTGGAGTTTTAAACATACAAGTGTTACTTTTTGTTTGTGTCAGTGTTGTGAGTCTTCACAGGATGTTGTTTTGTGCAGCTGGAGGTCGGTTTGTGTTTTCTTTGGTTTTGGCTGAGACCGTGTAGACTGTTGTGTCTTGTGCCTCCTGCTGTGAGTGTTGTCTAAGAGTTGTATAAAGCTGCTTTTTGACTCTCTTCCTCAGAAAACAGCGACAATATTAAATCACAGCTGAAATAAAATATGAATGGCTCTAAACAAACGGGTCTTTGAGACTAAGAATCATGAGAGAGTGTATGAATATCTCAAATGCTGGCTTTACCATTTACACAAGAGATTTTCTGAAATGAACTATGAACTCTCTGTTGTACACTCAGTCTCTTGAACTGTCTATGAACTGAAGAACTTGATAGCAAAAGCGGCCCAAGTTCAATCCATGAACACAACTAGCATTTACAGTGGACCTGATAAAGTCTCCTTTCTCTTGTCATTAACCTCTCAAGCTGCTTGTTTTTATATAACCAATAATTTGGTATAGATACTATTAATTAGGCCATGTGGGGAAAAAGTAGAAATGTTGTTGTTATGAATATCCGCTCTCTATCTATTCAGTTTTATGTCTTCAGTGTAACGTGTTATTGGACCAATCCACCTGTACACCAAAGCCCTCTTCATGGCTGTTGTTGCCATGGCGTCACCTCCCCTCCTTTTTGTCTTTGCATGACTCACCCACACTGGTGATCCTTTGGGTGACAAGGTCCTTGAGGAGAGCATCAATGACCGGGTTGTGTCTTGAGTACAGCTCATATCGATTAATCCCAATGTGGAAGCGGAGCCAGTTGGGGTAGGAGTCTGCTGACAGCTCGCCTGTGGGGCTGAACTCATCCATGGTGCCTTCAGCGTTCCTGGGGAGGAGAAGTAAAAGAAAGCAGACAGAGAATTTAAGGGTGTTCATGTCAGTGTTTCAACAGAGTTCAACATTTAGCCTTTTTCAGTTTTCTTTAGATTTTAAAGTGCTTTTAATGACTTTCTAAGTCTAACACATTACCATGCTTGATCTTCTGCAGCTTTTGGGTCAAATCTGATGTCTGTGTTGACGTTAAACAAGGTGTCCTCGTCCGTAAGAGCTGGTACAGATCTTTTGTACAGCGGGTGATCATAAAGAGCAGACAACCTTGAACCTTTAACAGGCACGCTCTTGGCCATGGCCGCGTCCTGGATGAACTGTTTCTTCCTGTCACCGCGCTGCTGCTGCTGCCCAGGATGCTCCATCCTCCTGAAACCCTGCTGTTGTGCTTTGTCGCCCGTGACCGGGCTTCTCTCCAGGGAGTGGGAGGAAACGTTAGAGCTGGGCTCGTTGCTGAAGTCCTGGAGGATCCGCAGGGTGTGCTTGTTAGGCCAGCCCTGCTGTTGCTGCTGCTGCTTCCCCCAGCTCTGGGGCTCCTCGCTCGGTGTGTGCGAGCAGGAGCAGCCGCTGTTGCCGTGCCTCTCCAGCTTGGGTAACAAGTCTATCATAATGTGCATGGAGCATGCGATGAGGAACACCATGAGGATTAAAAAGCGGAATTTGCGCAGGAGGATCATCTTCATGGTCTCCCTTTTGAGCAGATGTGAGTATTTACTGCAAATGATGAGCACGCAGATGAACAAGCTGACTACATCGCTGATGATGTTCACTAGACTGGACGCCAATCTAATGAAGTATACATTAAACACGTAAGAACCATCTTCACTTGCCGTCTTGAGTAAAGGATTCAGTGTTCAGCCTTTGTTTTTTCAACATCAGAATCCTTCTTTAGGCGCGCGCGTGTTTCCAGATTTTAACAGCGCAAAAACATCCGCAAGCGTGCAGGTAGAGCAGGTCGCGTGGACTCAGACCAGCGGTGATTTAACGCAAGCCACATCCTCCTCCACGAGAAATCTCAGCAGAAAACACACAGAGTACAGCAGACAAGTGATCCCAAGGCAGCCGTGACACGCGGGGGGAAAACGATCCGTTAAACGCGCGTGTCCAAAAGGTTCGAGGGCGCGTTTTGGACTCGATCCTAGGCCGGGAAGAGCAGCCGTGGATCAGCTGGGACCTCATATACGAGAGGCACAGCTTCGTAGGTTTTTTTTTTAACAGGGGAAAGTCCAAGAAAAGTAATGTTCTCCCGTCCACCTCGGCGATCAGTGGCGCGTGAATGATCCCTAATCGAGTCCGGAACAATCGCCAAACCCGAGGCGAGCCAAAGATAGAGATACGTAGATAGTTCACTGGAGATAGAAAACCCTCCCGCGGGGGCCAGGCCACCTCTGGAATAAGAGAACGCACCTCTTGTAGCATGTGTGAATGTGGGTGGGTGTGTTAAATATGATGATGAAGCCAGGACTAGATCCAGCCTTTTGCGCAGCGTCACTGTGCGCAGATTGGCTGAGAAAAGAGAGAGAGAGAGAGAGAGAGAGAGAGAGAGATTATGTGAGGCGTATAACCGCTCGTCTGTATTCCTCTTTGAGTGAATCCTCTTCTGCACATCCCGGTAACGCAACAAGAGGGCGTCTTTCCACTTTTTTTAACCACAGCAGCTTTTTCTTTTTTCTTTTCTTTTTTTTTTTTACTTGGGCTTTCTGAAATTCATCTGCTGGAATCCCTCTGAAATTTCTCCTCCGAGACAGCAGTCAATCCGTCGATGATACATTAGACAGGCCTATTAGAGCGCTCATCAGTCTGAGGATCCACTCCCATCCTGCACTGCTGCCACTCAGCCGCAATCATATCTTCAATAATGTTGAAAGGCTGCATGAAATGAAAACCACAAAGCACCTTTCAGCAGCAGACTGAAAAAAGGTCTCATGCAGCAGAGAAGTAAACTGTCTCCACTCATTTTACCCTGCAGTGACCTCTGAGTAGAAAATAGAGATGGTGGAGTCATCAGATTGTTTATAGCAGATTGGAACCAAGATAGGGTGAGCAGGACTTCACTTTACATCCGGGATTATTCAGAAATGGGTTGATGGATGCAAATATGCTAATATTTCACCTAAAGATATTGAATAGAGTTGTGTCTGACTTGAAACAGGCCCTCAGCTAAAACTATTTAAAGGTGGTTTAGGTAGGAATCCGTTTAAGAAGGATCCTTTTTTTGTGGTGTATGAACAAAAAAGGTTTTAATATCAGTCAATAGCTAGTAGTTATTGATGACATTTGGGAATATAACGATATCGCTGTGTTCTCTTATGTCTGTGTGGTCAACAATTTCAACATTTTCTCACTGTAAATAAAGCCGTTCTCCGCCTCCCTGATCTGATTGGTTGTGAGGCAGACGCTGCTCCCTCATGGTGTCAGGCACGCTCCACGTCCTCAAATAATGTGCACGAGCCCAAACGAAGTTAGCGTGCTACAATATCGGACTGTAGAAACCAACCAGAAAGTACGGACAATTGTCTGAATCCTCCTTTGGCCACGACTGCCAACACAAGCAAGAAGACAAAGTAAATACCGGAGACTCTGTAACCTTTCTGCTGGACAGGTAAACTGCTTTAACAAGCTAAGTGTCTGTAACTGCAGTCAAACGGGACCTGCTGTGTGTTGTAGCGTAGCTAAACTGTTGACCTTGGGTCCTGGAGTATGTCAATTTATCCTAGTTGTAGACTACTAGCAAACATGGTGTTTGCTGGTAGTCTGTTGGCATCTACAGTAGCACCAATGCTTTTGACTTTCACGTGGACTGGGCCCCATTTGTAATTATCTGAAGTATTTATCTGCATTATCTGGATTTAATTGAAATGATATGAGCGAGCGTCTGTTTATGGGCGGGGCTTGCTGGAGCAGAGAGGGAGGGGAGAGGAGGAGCTGAGGGGAAAACTAGCTGGGTGGGGTAGTGTTTACATTCAAGATTTCTCCCCAAAACTGGCACTTCCTCGGATCCTGCCTACCCCACCTCTAAATTTAGCAGAGCTGAATAAGGTGATTGGGATCATGAATCAGTGTCACACCATGTTTGAATCTTGCCCTAAAATGTTTACTTCATGTGCCAACTTTTTCTTTGTCATGTGTGTTTTGTGTCTCTAACCACTCCTGCCTACACTCTGCTGTTTTCACCTCTTCAGCGGTTTTTTGGCCCACAGTAAAGAAACAAATGAAAAATCAACCGTTTCTCCCAGTAGATTGAACAGTTCTCTGATTTTGATCGAAGCTTCAAATCCGGCTGCTGTTTTTTTAATGGTGTGCCATCAAGAAATAATATACTGTCACTGTGGAGAGTTAATCAATCAGGATAAAAAAATTAATACACCCCGTATAATTACCCCTAATAAAGCTGTAAGAGACACTATTTCGTCCAGGGCTTCTTCGAGGAAGAGAAGAGGCAAATACATAAGAGGCTAGATTATCTGATCAATACAACAAATGCACACTCACCAATTCTTGACGCCAAGTTCTGGGCCATACTGGAAGAATCTCTTACGGTATTTCCTACTAGTGTCGGTATCAGTACAACTCTACCTCCAACTATAAACCACAGAGTGGAAGCTAAGTCTCCAGCATCCGCTCTGTGCACTAATGTTTCTTTTTTATGGCTAATTGGCACAGCATTATGGCTGCATGCATGCTTCCCAGTGGCTGTAAATAGGCAGCAGAGAGAGACGGGGGTGATAAACTGCTTGCGTTTCTTAGTATGGCATATATGCATGAGTAAGTGATCATGCTGTCTGTGATTACCTCCCTAGATTAGTTTATAATTAAAAAGAGCCTAGAGAGAGAAAGGGGGAGGTGTTGGCTGTTGCACTATTACAGAATAGAGTCATAAGAGAGAAGAGTGGAGATGGCTTAAGATTGGCTCCTTGGGAGGATTTACCCAGTGGAACAAAACATTAGTTGTGAGTGTTAATGAAGCTGATGTAGAGGAACAATTAAAACAGCAAAATAGAGATCTCTGCTAATCCTCAGTCCTGAATCAGTCTGATTTAATTACTCCTTTAAAAGAAACAACTTTAAGAAACATTGGGGCTTGACATATAAATGACTAACCTGTGAAACTAGTCATTAAAACATGTGGAAAGAGCATTTTCTTAATCCTTGGTTCATGATGTGACATTCAAAAAGTTCTTTTTCTGGTTTCTTGAATAACTAAGGCAACAGTCACAACTTTTAACCTTGTTGCTATTATCACTCCCCCTCATGGTTTAAGTCACTTTGTAGCTATAAGACGCTTTGGGAAACTGTGTGGTTTTCAGGACAGGATCTTCTTACTGAAATTGAAACTAACATTTTTACCATAGTGTCAAGAAGCAAAGGGGCGTAGAAACTCTTTTCAAAAGGCTGACTTGAAATGACTTGTACGATCTGGTTTTCTTTGGCACAGTAATCCATATACAGAATCATTACTTTACTTGCTTTGATTCTGACTGGTCAAAATCATAGACTGTATATACTATGGACAACTTGGTTCTGCCTTCCGTTGTTAAACGAATTTGAGGCCGAATTGCTCTTGGTATTTCCGGGTCTTTCTCCACTTCCTGGAGAACCAACACTTGTGCATTTGGCGGGAGAGTCACATAGAGTGGCTGTGATGACGCTCGGCTCAAACAGCGTATCCCCCAGGTGAGCTAAGCAATCTTCGTAAGCTCATAGGCTGTATCAAGTGTCAATCATAGAAAACATAAACCCCCTATTAACTTTTAAAAACTGAGCTGTACTGAAAAAAAAGGACTTGAGCACAAACCGGTCTTACAGTAACTACATGTCAACATCCCAACCAGGGGGGAGAAAAATGTATGTTCTGTGTAATTAATTTCTAAAGTTTGTCCACAGCTCTGTAGGGATTGCTGGAGGAGGCAGGATTTATGACCTATACTGCAGCCTGTCACCAGAGGGTGCTGTCCTTGGAGTGGCTTCACCCAGCGAGGAGACAGATGGCGTCCATTCTATATACAGTCTATGGTAATCGCGAGAAAGTTGGGCAGTAATTATTTTTTAGAAATCTTCTAACAGGCCAAAACCTTGAGCAGAACCACAATCAGTGAAAGACAGCTTCTACTCTGACAGACTAAATGTGACAGACTTCTCTTTTTTTCTCTGCTTTCTTTGGCATATGGAGAACAAAGGGTTGGGTTAAGATTGGGGAAGTGACTGAATCAGACCAAAGGTCACCAAAACCAGAACAGGTTGGCCCTTAACTCTCTTAACTCTGAAAATGTTTGCGTGTGTGTGGCAGGGTGTGTGTGTCTATCACATAACTACAAGCGTCAGGTGTCAAGAGTCTAACAATGGATTCAACAATCCTCTGCATTGTCTATTGTATTTGATGGAGGATAGACTGTCGTATTTCCCCTCTAGGAAGTTTTCCCCTACTTCCTTAAACGACTGTGTAATGGAGGGTTTACACTCATTGATACACTTACCAATGACATTTTGGGGCCCTTTAACAGTGACTAATTTCCCACAAAGCAAAGGTCCTTCGGATTGCCTCCTCTGGTGTTTGATGTCAGTGATACAAGTGCAGCGGACAAAGCGATCCCTGTTGCCTGTCTAAATGTGTAGCCTGTGGCCTGGTAGCCTGAGGTGAAACAGGCAGAGATGAATGTGTATTGATGTCAGTCAGACATGGATCACAGCCATCGATGGGTCAGTGGTTCCTCACAAGGCCTGTCTTGTGCAATTGTTGCCGAGTTTCTCATGAGGAATCAACCGGCCTGCTCGATCCCATCCCTGCCAGGCTGATGCGTCAACACATTTTTTATTTCACATTTATCTGCTGTCAAATGGCATTAACGCTGCAGGCCCGGTAATAGAAGTTGACTGTTGTGAGATGACAATTTGCAACTCCCAAATTAATAATCTCACTCTATTACTGGGCAGAAATGCAGCTATCATGACACAGCAGAGTATGTGTAAACAACAAATCCGCACACCGAATGGTCCAACTCTTTAACCCTTTTCTGCATGTTTCGCCTTTTCTACAACAGAGCTCCTTCTGATAACAATCTGTGACCTAACAGGCGGATTGAGAAAGACCATCAGCCGATGGCAGCTTTGACAACGGTATAAAAGGCTCATAGACATCTAACAGACATGATTAGGAAGGAAGAAGAGTTCATCTTAACAGATAGCTGACTACAGCACGGGTAGTAAATACACAAGATTTATGTCCTCTACACTTCACAGTGTCTCTCTGTAAGATAGCACAGGCGGATAGCGAGATAGCACTATCTGTGTTCCTATCTGCACCATCATGGGGAAGGGTGAGGTCTACTATTGTGCAAAGTCTACCGAGCAAAGAGGTGATTCAAGTCCACATGAAAGATGATATTTTCATTTTGTAGGCTCAAATTACGGAAGTAATGTAGAAGAGCTCTTTTTAGCAAAAAGAATAAATACATTTTCTGAAGGAAAATAAATCTGATGACTTTTTGAATTAACTTAGTTTTACTGACTGCTTACTGGCAGATTACATAACTAATTCAGTGAGGTGATGTCAAAGTGATTTTGCGTTATTCATTTAACAAATATGAGGAAGTTGCTACAAAAACTTTGAGTTTGTGGTCTGCTGAACTTTGTCACTTTAACTTCCTGCTTCAGTTCTGAGAAGTTACATATATTTTTTTCACTCTGGCAATAAAACCACAGGCAGTTTTTCTGATTCGTCATGACATGACAGGGGCGTCCTAGACTTTGAGACTCTGGCGGCCCACACAGGGCCCTAACTTATCAAAGTATTTGTGCAATACAATGTAAAGGATTTATTTATTTTTTTGCTTTATTCTATTAACTATTTAATCTTAATTTATATTGTAGGAATTTTTTGTAGTGATACATTTAATAGACGTAAACTTGATTGTGTCCATACCAATCATATCAGTTTTAGCTACGAGCATTTGGCTGTAGTAACCGTTTGTGTAGTTTTTTTTATTCATAAAGAGCACCCAGGAGACATTATAAATCTTTTTCGTCTTTTTATTTAAGGGCTATAAAGAAACATTAATCTCCAGTTGTTAGTAAAAATAAAGTAAAAACCACAGACTGTGCAAAACTATGGATGACACAGCAGCTATCCCGAATGAAGCCAAAGGTTTTAGAGCTCCCTTTAGTGACTGGCTGCAGTGTCCCTCATACAGCCCGCTTCCTCCATTATAACACATGGAACATGTGTCAAACTAGATAATTAAAATGCATGCCAAATAATCATTCTTTTTTTCATTCCACAAGTTTTTTTTTAATTAGTTATTTGATGTAAAAAAAATACTGAATGACAGCTTTGTTAGCAGCATTAGGTTCTGCAGCTTTATGTCCAGAGTTATGGGAGTAAAGGAGGAGGAGAGAGAGAGAAAACACAGTAAATGCTGACTAAGGAGTCAGTGATTAAATGCCACAAAGCTCATAGCGTCTTTTTCCAACACACTTTATTAAAAGTTTTAATAAATTAGACCTCTGACAGGCCAATCATATTCAAGGATTGGGGATGACACTCCCTTGTCACTTGAGGCCAAGTTGTCAAGTGGTCACAAATATAACACCAAATTTTGAGTAGAAGTGGTAACCACTGGAGCTTTAGGCAATCTGTGTAATGCTTCAGAAATGTACATTAAGTTCAAATGAAAAGTGAAAGTCACCCTGAAGCTGCCTGGAAATATTATGCTGACAGTTGTTTATTATTGTAAGAAAAGAAAGTGGGTGCGCACTGAGGCATGGACCTCTGCATCACAGCCCTCTGCTGTTTCTGCTGCTCATACATCCCTCAGCATCGCCAATGCTCCATATGTATTGTCTGAGTAAATTCATTTGTCTGTATTTGCCCTTGGCGTGACCAGGGCTGAGAGAGGAACAAGACTAATTTCCATCCCTGAGCAGTGCCGCACTCGCTGCATCTGATACGGCACATTTGAATGGATATTACAGATAACAATGCCCTCTGTTGGCCCCAATAAGCCTCACGCCGCTCTCTGCCTCCTCCACCCTCCTCCTACTTGAGCCCCCTTCTCATCTCTATGTTCAGACGTGCAAACACGGAAACATTTTAACTATCCTGACCTTCATTTTTAAAAATAATTCCATAGACATTGTAAAATCTTATTTCTGAGCAGCTCCTCTTTTGTTCTCATTGATACACTTTGTGTTCCTTTGTTTCTCTTCTCATCTTTTTTGCTCATAATCTTTAAATGAACGAAGCGCCTTTAGTTTACATAATTATCACTTGTGGATGTCAGCACAAAGCAATGTTGACATTCTGCTTGATTGCATATTAGGGACGTGTGTTCTCTTTGTGATCATTACTTTGTTCTCACAGAAGAATGGAAGTTGCTGATAAAAATAATTGGGATCTCATTTAGAGCGAATATTAACTCATAGAGAATACATAGTTCAGTGAGAGGATGCCTGAGGGCTTAAAACAAACACTTGGTGGCTCTTAACAGATCATTGGCTGTACACCAATATTAGTGTATCTGTAAAAATTACCACGTATTCCCTCATGAGTAATCATAATAACTCAGTAATTAGAGAGGGATGATTTCATTTGCAATTACAGAATTAACAACTAAAGCTTCCTGTTGCATTGTAAAATGTAAAAAAACAAAGAGTGTTCATATGCAATTATCCATCACAACTATTGATGTTACTTTCAAAGTATTTGTAATTGGATTAAAATGTAATGAAAGCAGTGGTACTGTTATGACCTTTCATGATACCATAACAAAATGATAACCAAAATGTATAATATAGCCACTTTATAAGCAAATGTGGTTGTTTCAGGAAATCAACAGAATTAAATTTCAGTTATGTTCACTGTCTTGGTTTAACAAGTTCGGGAACTAACGTTAAAATATTAGTATTGAACACTAAATGCTCCTGAGGTCAATGGAAATATTAGTTTGGTATTTGGCTGCAAACAACAGCGGGTGAGAAACTGTAATCCAACAACCAGAGTTATTATAGTATATCCAAATGAAGACATAAAAGCTTTGACTAAACTTTACAGCAATCAAGCCATTAGTTTCAACAAATTAGGTGATTTTATATTTCAGAGAAAAAAACCAACAGTCATTGGGGCGTATCCTTCTGGGACCATGACCTGTTAAACCAAATATAATGGAAGTCTTTGCATCTATCTAACAGTGGTGGAGACTTTTATTACAAATCCATTTATATGAGCCTGTTATGGGCTCAGAGGAGTTGCAGGGGTCTTTATCTGTTGACCATGAACCATCTATCGTCTATCTACTCCCTTTTGGAGTCACAATGGGGCTGGAGGCTGTCCCAGAAGGGCACACTCAGGACAGGTCACAAGTGTATCGCATGGAGAGACAGACAGACACACTCACACCTGCAGGCAGTTTAGAGTATCCAGTTAACCCTGTGAGCATGTCTTTTGACTGTGGTAGGAGGTCTGAGCATCTTGATGGAACCCATTCAACCAGCTGTTTAGAGATGCAGCACTTAGGGCCAAATGATAGCTTTTGGGGGCTCTGTGTGCATGCTGGCATTTGGAGAAGCAATTCAGGATAACCAAACCAAGACTGGCTTTTCAATGTTGGTCAGTTTTGACTTTTTTTTTTTTTTTTATTTTTTTTACTTGGGTAAATTATTAAATCTCTTATATGCAATCATGGTCATTTGGTCGTGGAGGACTGCAGGAGAAAATATGAGAGACCCTACATGTGATGTATTCAACAGTTTTGATGCATGGAAAGCAACATTATGATTAAAACATGCTACACACAAACAGATCTTAGTCACAAGAACTCTCAAACTGGAAATCCTGTAAAGCCACTCCCAAAAAAAACAAAAGTAAAGACATACAATAGATGAGGCAATCAGATCCAACTTGTTTTCTGCGAAACCTGTTTTTCTGCATATGTTAGATGCCTGTTGGCTCAGCTATTCAATAGTACCCAGGTGAACCAAAACAAAAACACTTCTGAAAACCAAATACTTAACCTTGGGTTATGAACTCAGAGTGGAGGAACCTGAAAAGTTTATTTTCTGGCTCTGAGGCTGGTCGATTCTTGATGTAGACTACGAAAACTGCAGTAATATCAGAAAACAGGAAACAGGTTAACAAATCTAACCCCTGAAGGAATTAATATAGAAGTGTGAAGAATGAAGGGACCAGCCCAGAAGGAGGTCTTGCGTGTTAAAGCTGCCTGCAGAATACCAAATATCTCCAAAGTAGAAAAAAGGAAGGGAAGGCTGCGTGTTCCCCCTCGATCCCGGGCTCTTAAGTGGTGATACAGGCTCCCCAGGGTCATCTCTTAAAACATCTTAAAAGCCCAGACTGTCTGTGGCTATAATAAGATGTTATTGAGAAGAGTTCTCCCGACTCTGTCTGCCTCCCTCTGCTATCAGACCACGCTGCTTACTCTCCTTGCTGCTCCACCTCAGGGTTATTTTTAAGTCTGTTTGGGAGGCACACGGTGAGCACTATACTTACCCAGGTATAGGTCTGTTTTGGCTTGTGTGTGTTGGTTCAAACTCCGAGAGGTGCATTCAGTGTCCTGCAGAGGAGGAGAGTAAGACAAGGTCTGTGGAAATGAGTGTTTGGGGTTTGTGCAAGAGCGCGTACGCCAGTGGGTGGATACCTGGGTCACTAGGTGCACTGATCAGTGTGTTTTGGCGCAGCTGCATCCAACCAGAGGCCCTGACTGTGTTTGTCCCGCTGACTGCCCCGTAATCCTATAATTAGAGCTTGGGCGGACCATTTTAATGAAGGCTGGCTTGGATGGATGAGTGTTTCTGTTTGGATCATTTTGGTAAGAGTGTGTGTTTATTTTAGAGTGTGGCCATGCTGACCGCCGGGCCTCTCAAGCACAGGGCTCAGTGCTCCGGTCTGGATTTAGCAGTGACCCTCAGCTCCTTCACTATTCCTCGACACAGATAACAGTCATCTATGAGCACTTTGTTTGTTAGCTTTTACTCTGATTCACCCTTGGAAAAATGTTGCAGCATGAAAAAAATAAAAGTGCAGTCCAAACCAAAAAATAAAATGTGCATTTTTGTTATCATGCTGAAAATTACAAGAACAAAATCCCTCTTTTATCTGCAGCCAATCTGATACTATCTCCAAGTTAGCCTAGTTAAGCATGTAGACTGCTCTGTCCAGTGACAACAAAACTGAAGCAGTACTTCTTAAGCTTAGTCATGACATGGGAGTTGATTTTACAGGAAAAAGGAGGTTTGTTTTTACAGAGGTCATGTGCTTTTTGGGTAGGATGTGGAGAAACTGAGAGTCCCAAAATCAACCAATGGCCTTAATTTAACTGCTGTGTAACACCATGTCTGTTTGTTTTACTGTCTAATGAAATTACATTACAAGTCAAAAACAGCCAGTTTAGTTACCCATACCAGTTACTTTTAGGCATTCATCCTCCCCCGATCGTCCTCGGCACTAGCACAGCTTTCATGGGGCACACATGCAGCAGGATCAGGTTGTCATTTTTCACCTCAGTTTCTATGAACTTTAAAAATTTAAGGCGCTCACTGCAGAGATTTAAATATGCTCACAGGTAGGTAACCCTTAACACTGGACAAAGCCAATTTGCTCTTTACCCACGACTGCTGTTTTAAGCCATAAGCTCTAATCACAAGACTCTGAGGTTTAGTGAACATGAGTGATAATGTTCCTTTTGACATGACTCACTGTCATGGCTGTTTACATGGAAGTCTGCGGCTCACCATCAGCCACGAATACTTGCTCATAACAGTTTCCATCATGAGTTACTATCAGCATCTTTTCCACCGTGATCATCAGAGCTGCAGTCTTTTTTTCTCCATGTTCAAACTGCTCTCTTTCCAACGACTGAACCTTCTAGTCAACATCCTCACACAGCCAATAAATCAGTTTTTATTGATGTTGTTTGATAAGTGAAATGCTGTGAAAAAAACTTCTTTGTGTGGATGATTTCAATCACCTCAGAAAAATTATTTTAAAGAAATATTGTCACATCTTATACCTCTGGTCTACCCTTCCCCTTAAAGGCACACTAAGGAATTTTTGACTTATTTTGACGTGGTCTCATTTGTAAAATCATTTCTCTTATGACCTACAGAGTAAAATAAATTTATCAGCGACAGGATATTTCTCTGCTGACTTTTGGTGTCTGTGTTTGGGGTGAATTTCTGAGTGTTTTTAAAGAATATTTTTTAGATGAATTTTGGGGCTTTTTGCCCGTCTTAATAAGACAGTTTGGACACCAACAGGAAATGCCTGGAATCAACCCCTCAGTTAGGACTGCAGTCTCCGTACATGCGGCACATTTTTGTGAAATGCACTTTCCTACTTTAGCAATCGAGAGTTGTGGAAAATTATCATCTCAATATGTGGTTTACTGTACTCTTCAAAATGCTCTGTAATACTTTACACACATTGGTAAGTCTGCATCTTTCACTGAATGATTTTTTTCCCTTTAAAAACACAATTTCATGCAAATATTTGAATGACTTCAACCGTTTAAGATGAAAAACAGTCTTATCTTGAAACATGCTTCCTTTGCTTAACCAATTTTTCGCCTTGTATGCTTTTAGAACAACTTGTTTTACAGATACCATCTCACAAAATCAACATTTATATTGCATTTTGTGGGTTAAGAGCAGACCACCTTTACGAGTAGAAGCTGTACTACAAGAGCAAAGCCTCCTGTCTGGATGTTAACATCCTGATGCTTTGGAAACGCTTCCAATCCAGCTGTCTGCCTGGCACCGACTTGTTTGGGTTGCTGAATGCAGTGGGAGCGTATGTAGGCGACGTTCAACAGTAAATCTCAACAGTAATGGCAGCAGAACTAAAATTGAGCGGAATGGAGACAGATTCTGGAGTCGTTAAGTTATAATGAGAGAGGAAAGCAGATATCTCTGAATTTGACTTAGGGCCAACACCATTAAGAGAATGATGGATGAAACAATTCTATCTGTTATCTTTACTCAAACACTGGACAAAAGTAGAGAAATACACACACTTTTACCTACAGCCTTACTTACTTCTCTATGTTCGAGGTTCTCTGCTCCTACACACATACATCTGTCTCCTGACTGCTGAGTTTGCATCTCACACCTCTCTCTTCTTAGTGTGTCTCCACCTCTTTCTCTGTGTCTTCTTCTCTTTTCAAACCACACACGACTGCAGACCTGTCACGACGCTCCTCTCTTCTCCTTTCTTCTCCCATTATGTTGCTTCTCTTTCCACGTATTATCTTACTCCTGCTGCTGCAGCATGTCAACAGAGTCCTGTCACTGTAGGATGGAAACACAAAAAATGTCAACACAAGCATGAGGTTTGAGGAGAGGTGGTTTCATGTTGACTCACACGAGTATGAGCATGTGGGAGGCTAACCAGTCACCATGATACAGTGAAAATGACACTTGTCTGTGTGGATTTCAGACACAGAGAGAATAAGAAACCACACAACTTTCCCAAAACTACAATCAGGGATATTTTGAGGGATAAAATGTATTTTGAGATTATTTTTAATGCGCTCTTGAGCCGTAGAGCAATTCAGAAGCACTTAAAGTTTTATATCTTAAAACCTTTTATGATTACTTTTAAATGTCAGTGAAACCTCATGGCAACCTCATGAGGAACCATTCATTCAAAGGGTCCCATTAAAGGCCAGCATTTTTATTTCAGCTCTCACTGTGCTTCAGTTGTCTCAAGATAAACTTTTTGATTGAGTGTTTTGTATCAGGAAACTATGACATGTGAATAAAGGAAGGGTTATCTTCCTGTGGGTTGAGATTTAGCAGCAAAGCTAACTCCAGACCAACAATCAGTTGCTTGATTGCCAGTATATCAGAACAGCTTCTCAAACCCTCTCCACCCACACCTCTCTGACTAAAGCTGAACTGTGGTGGCTTGTATGACTTTCTAAAACCATCAATCTGACATTTACACCAACTTCACCCTGTGATTGACCTGCTGTGCAGAGGCGAGAAAGTTAGCATGGGTCTGACCTTCTGGCTTCTTTCATTCTTGATGCAACTGTGTCTTTATATTTTATTCAGGCTTCATACTGCAGAAAAACATGCAATGCTGTGAAGTCTGACTTTAAATCAGACTTTGGATTACCAAACTCAAAACCAAGTGGCTGCCTCAGGTGTTGGAAAATAACGATGATATCTAGAAGTACAAGAAAGTTAGGGTGACCATATGTCCTATTTCACCCAGACATGTCCTCTTTTTGGGGGGGGGGGCTGTCCGGCCTTGTCCGGGGGGTTTATAAAATCCTTCAAATGTCTTGGGATTTGTATGGAAGTTTTGAGTTTGTGTCGCGTGTAATTACTGAGTAAGAATCGCATAAAAGCGCAAAAACGCTCGATCCGACCCAATAACTCTCAATATTTACATGCGACTCTGTGACTCTACCCCTGCGTAGTCGTGTCCTCTTTTTGGGGATTCATAAAACGGTCACCCTAAAGGCTAAAACATACAGGATGCGTATTTGGAGCATGGCAGCAGCATCGTGTATCAAGCAGCAAATAGGTTGCCATTCTAATCAATGCAGCAAAGCATACAGGATGCGAATCAGCTCCGTCGTAGCATCGTATCGAGAGCAGCACTGCTAAAGATATGCAACAAGTCTATTTTTGTTGCTCTACGCTTCCAATGTGCGTCAATCCACACAGAGAAGCTCGTCCTAGACAGGAAGTCAAGCATGAAAAACACACATGTCATCTGGTAATTTAAAATAAAACACCATATGCGAACTCCCAACTGTGTATCAGTTCATGCAGATGAGAAATACTTCCTGGTTATGGTTAATCCCTGATCCGTATGGACCCCAACAGGACTTTGAACTGCTAACTCTGCTAACTGAATATAACAGCACAGCATGAAGGAACATAGTTTACTTTATTAAACAAGAGTAAACCTGCAAAAACCCAAACTGTAAAATCATGTTGCTTTTTCACATAAAGTAGAGGCTCAACAGTCACTGAATTATATCCAAATTAGCAGGAAATAGACCACAGAAAGACAAAAACACCTGTTGTGAGCATGTTGTTTCTTCTTGCGATACCCAATGCTGCTCTATGGAGCAAATACAGAACACGCTCAATACGGATCCTGTATATTTTTGGCTTGAGAAAGTGCATTTTATCAGGAGCCTACAGACTCAGCTCCACCTTTTAGCCTGTTTCGGGGTTAATGAAAGTTAAGTTGAATCAAGATTTTCAAAACTGCAACCATTATTTAGTTTCAAAACCCCTCTTCAAGAACCAGTACACTACAGCAGGGCTCTCAATTTTTGAACTAAGCTTAGAGTGAGAGGTTCCACAAACATGGAGATACTTAATCCCATGGTACATCAGCATTACACTGTCATGATTATCAGAACTTTAAAAAGATTATATGAGACATGCTGCTTTTGTGGAGGGAAAATGGCTGGAAATGGCTGTACAGAGGCTAAATTCATAAATACAGCTGTTAATTGCAATAGCATAGGGCTTTAGTTGATCACATGAGTTTATCTGCCATGAGGTGTTGAGGTCTCTGCATGTGTAAGTTACTGACTTACTGAAATCATCGGGTCTTTCTCGTCCTTACAAAAATCTGCTCTATTTCGGTGAGTGTCTGTCTTCTTCTGTCGCCAACCTGCAAGATATTAAAATCTACCTGGATACAGCAATGCTGCTTTTTGATTGGCTGTTCAGTAGATATACTTTATTTGATTGGCTTGCACGTGGCACGCAGCTTCTGAACTCTCGGAGGAACTTCCTACCTGTTCCATTGTTAAAGAGGTGCAACTTGTGGACATCACCGTGTTCATTTAAATGTGTGAGAAATTCAATGTGTGGCGTGTGAGCGTGTGAACGGGTGGGAATGCGTGTGTCACACACTGAATGCGTAAGACTGGAGAGCCCTGCTACAGGTGTCTTCTTCAGGTTGACCCTGAAGGAGACACCTGTAGTGTCGAAATGTCACTTTACTTGCTAATAAAACTGCTCGAACACATCATGTGCTCAGGATCTCTTCTCCTCACAACGTTTTAAAATTAATTTTAATTACGTAATGAAATAAGAGGAAAAAAGACAGGTATCAACATTTTCTTCAGAAACATTTTTTGTTTTGTTTTGGCTTTTGTTTTTGTGGGGACTTTATTATCCTTTAAAAAAAAGACACTCAGAATAAGGATCAGGTGTTAAAATTGGGTGTTTAATACATGTGGAGCGGTGACAAAGCAAAAGGGCAGTGTAAATGAGAAAGACACAGGTTGCATTTCTGACATCAGCAGAGTGTTAGATGCCCGTCTATATTCACAGCGATCAAAAGGTCAGAGTGTTGTTCTGACATTCTCCACACCTCTGTAGCTCATATTCCCCCGCCAGGATGTGGAAATGTTATTTTTGCAGAGATGAAGGCTGGTTGGAGCCAGTGTTGAACTAAAAGTCTGTATCCTGAATGGAGTTTCCACAAGATTTTGAGAGGCTTGACCTTTCATTGATAGCCTGAATACGTGGTACTTTCCCCTTGGGGTAAAAAGAAAAGGTGCGTCGGCTGTTTTTCTCTTCCTCAATAGGAGCTTTATTGAACAGTAAAGTAAAAGAAAAATGGAGTCTGTTTCCTCTCCACCTTTCGCATCGTACATTGGACAAAAATGCGATAAAATCCAATTCTCATTCATTTCGTAACCTTGGTGAGAACCCTTTGATTTGTTTTTTTACCACACAAATGCATTAGAGACACAAGTGCATTGAAAATTGACGCCATTCAGGGCATGTTCCAGTAGACCTCAATGCCATGTTATATGAACCGTGAAACACGCACACCTTTATACCCGTGCTTTGTGCACCACTAGTTTTATGGTTTTTGTGATTTTATGCTCCGGCTTTCCGGATTTTGCTGTATAACATCATATGCAACATCGGCGGCGGAGGATATGATCAGCTGGAGTAAAATACAACAAGCCTTGAAGTATTATTGCCCCATAAAACATACATATCAGACTCTATTACTGCGCATGTAAGACTTCTACTGTCCCTGTTTTTGCCTTTCAAAAAGCGTATTGATTTAGCCTCACATGAAACCATTCCCACCTTATTTCCCTCAAGACTGCATGGACTAAAACCCCTCCTGTCTACGTTGCAGATATTGTACTGTTACTCTTAATACATCAACACACACAGGTACACACCTTTGCCTCTCTCTTCTATAAGTATAACTCACAGGACATGTAATCTTTCAATAAAAGAAAGTACATTTTCTCATGGCGATAACTTATTTTCACTTTGATAGTTTCATACACTGGAGGGTGCTGACTTTGTCACTGTGTAATCCCTCTTTTTGATTTAAACATAAGAAGGGTTTACAAACAAAGTGTATGAGAGCTTTGAAATTTAACCCCAGTGATTTAGATGTGCTTTTAATGAATCTGTGTTTTATTAGATCCAATTGCATTCAGCTGAAAGGCCGCACAAGCCTGCGCTGACTTCACAGCAACTCCACTTTCCTTTTTTTGAGCTTTCATAACAGAGCCTCATTGTCTTTGCACGTAAGGTTAGTCTCTGTTGTTCTCGACGGTGGTTTGTGTTGGCCGGGGCAGGTGGCTGGCCCTGATTTGATTAGACTGATGACGAACAAGGAGCTCCGCAGAGGAAGGGATAGGTGGTGTATTCATTTCCTTTCACCTGCCAGTGGTTTTCTCAAAGGAGGAAGGAAAATCTCAGACATATATGAGGAACATAAAACAGTGCCAGATGAAGATGTGATTGACATGAGGATGTTGGAAAACATTAAAGTTTTCAAAAAATTTTCATGAATCTGTAAAACACAGATGTGATTTACAGATCCAGTCTCTTTTGATAACTGCAAAAACCTACGACAGGATCGCTAACTTAAAGAATCATGAAAACAGTCAAATTTGAGTCCAAATTCTCAGGATCTCTCAGCAATCATTGTTTATCATCATCTCATGACAGTAATAAGCCTCTGAGAATGGATGCAAACTTCTTGGTAATTTTGGTGTAGCCAGAGGTGAGGGTTAATCAACTTCCTGGCAAGACTTCCTCCGTGCATCCTTCATGTTGTCAGCCGCACCTGTTTGTCTGCTTCTGGCAGGTCTCAGGTCAACAGATGATAAAAAAGTTACGCAGAGGCTTCAGTCTAAAGAATTATCTATTATTCTTGTGAAAAACTTTCAATTAACCAGTCCTCAGTTGGCTTAAATAACACCATGATGCATAGTCCAGAATATTGGATGCATAATTTTCACACTCACTGACTTTACTGCCCAAAAGTCAGTTGTTAGTACGTGAATGATATGATCAAAGGGATATTCCTCAATTTTTAAAGAGGGGTTATATGAGTAACATATTACGAGTCAGTGTATCGGCCACAGTGGATTCTTATTAGTCTGCTCCTTAGTGAGAATCTGAGGGGGGAACCAGGAGCTAAACTAGGCTAGATAGGCAAAATAAAATAAAAAAAACTGCACGCACGCCACTACATTTTCAGAAAAGATTTCATTTACACTAACCCATGTGTGTATGCACTCAAGAACATATCACATATGTAAGTGGCAGTGTAAGAAGCTCGAGCCCACGTTAGCCAATCAGAATCCTGCATAGCAGCAACAGCAACAACATTCCTTCCTTCATTCCAGTGCACAATCTACCGTCAGCTACTCAAGTTTTCTCTGTTTACATGCAAACAAAGTTTTCCAAAATCTCCACTCTGGCTGGAATTTTTAAAAGCATCATTTTCAGGGGCAAAATTTTAGTTTGCGTCTAAACGAAGGGTGCAAACGATGGTTAAAAAAATAACCGGGTACGTATAAACGGGGCCTTAAGCTCTCATCTCGTAAAGTGCACGCCCTCCTAAGATTTTTTTCAGCACTTTATTTTGCTGTCAGAAAGTTTATTATTTTTGAACTATTTTGCAGACACAACGCACAGAAATTCTCTTCCATAGTTAGGTTGGGTAAAACCAGTTACTGGTCTATCTGAAGCAGTTCACTTTCCAGTATTATATCTGAGGGGTGTCCAAAGCGGTCTTGTAAGGGTGCCCTGAAACGGATCACAAAACAGACAGTCATGTTAAGCAATCAAAACTTTAGAGGAGGATATGATGGCTTCTGCGATATTTAAGAAGACCGTGTTTCCTTGATGTAATAATATATTTTGATTATATATATTTTCACAAACTGTTCCTTTAATGGTAATAAATGTAAGTAGAGTTAGCAAAGTTAACTCTATTTTTCCACAGCTATTGGCACAATCCCATACTTCATGTTATAACAGGACTAAACTCCCATGGGTGGCACTAAACACCATCCATCAAAAATGAATCTTCAGTGGCCCACATGTAACTCCTGCAGCCAAAAATAGACAACCCTGGTCAACACTCAGCAGCTGCATGCACTAACAATCATCCAGAGCCGTAGCCATAGTGACTCAAGGACAATGCCAATGTTTAATCTGAAAAGAAAATCAAACAGCTGTTGTGTTGTTAATTTTAGGTTTAGTTCAAATGCACAATTGTTTACGGTGATACTAGAGCTACACCACACACAATTAAGACTCAATGGGCAATATTCAAATATCTCAAACTAGGATTGAGACTTGAGTTGAGTACACATAATAGTACACAAATATCATAAATCAGTGTCAGTATGTTTCCTCTCATAACAATAAGCAGTAAAACCTTGCTTTTCTGTTTTCCCTAGATAACCACGCCTCTGTGTATTTCAATGATTTCCCTCTATCTGATCCCCCATTGTCTAAATTCCCACCTGCCTGTCTGGGCTTTTTGTTGGAGCTTTGTTGGGCCCTGAGAGCAGCTTAATACCTGTGGCTGATCCTAAATCGGCAAAAGGCTTTCTCTCAGACCTCCCTCTGCTCCTCATTTCCTTTACCAACAGTTGTTTGCAAGAAAGGGACAAACAGGTTCTGTGAAAGAAAAGAGATGAATCATAGTGTAAAGAGGGGGTCCTGGCGGGCCTGAAGTCAGTGTAAAACAAGAACCAACAGGTTCAGGGTCTTCGTCTTGAATCCAATGAAGGAAAAGAAGAAATGAAATTCTCTCAAATAGTTTGAATGATTACATTTCCATCCAGATATCAATGGTATTATCAAACAGAGATAGCAGAACTCCTTGTTCCCTATCAGCACAGTCATGAACAAATCTTTCACAGTTATCAGAAAAGGGGATGTGTCAAAATTGTTCTCAGCAGGGTTCATTTTTGTCTGTTTGTTTACCGAGCATATTAGAGTCTGGGGCCTGTTGTGTTTAATGTGGCAGACTTTCAAAGAAGCTAGAATTCAAAGGAAGGGCCTACAGCGTCCAGTGCATCTCTAAGCATTGGACAGTGTGCCAAGGTAAATACGGTGGTAAGCCAGCTGATTTGTAACAGCACTCACCTAAATGGATACCACTTGCTTCGAATGAAAGCAGGCCTGTGTACAATGACAAATCCAAACCAAGCGTAGATGTAGTCTGCGACCAGTGATCACAATCAAGCCCAAAGACACTAATACCCTCAGTCCCGATCTGTCATTTAGTCCACTTTAAATCAAGAAGAGCAATGGAAAACAATTCAGGGCCTCTGAATAGCCACGGTCAAATGGGGCTAAAAGAAAGTAAATTGGATTAGTAGTCTTCAATCATTCAATCCCACTATTGATCCCCAGCCAGAGGAAATATCTGGATAGCTGCTGCAGTATCCAAAGTGGGATTGATTGAGAAAATGGGACAGACACCAGCTTGATTTAGTTGATGCATCCAATCACTTCTAAGTTTCACAAACACACACACACACACACATTTTTTTAAGTAAGGGTAAGTGACTTTAAAAAAAACTAGAAAAAAGCCTATAGTCATTAAAGCCATTAAACATTTAAAATGAGCTTATGTTTTACAGTTACAAATTACAGAAATACAGATCAGCAAATGTTCAATAATGGACAAACTATACAACTTCATCACTGGAGTTTCAGTATAGATGCTCCTGGTCAAATATTAGGTTTAAGTCGCTGAGTCAAATTATTACTTGAGTTAAAGTTCCAGAGAACTTCCTTTTGAAAATACTTTAGTATTCTGATACAGTATGAAGCAAATACAAAAACAACCAACCCCAGAAAAAAATGGACCAAGTTACAAGCACAGAGAATATCAATTAAATAATAAAAAAAAAAACTCTGTGTCATATTAAAACAGGCTTTAACAGGGTGGGTTGGCTGTGATAAGGTTTTCATGTGGAAACCAGAGATAACATTGACGTGATACAAATTATTCTTAGTTTCTAAAAAACCTCAAACAAAGGCTACAAGATCAAGTGGCCAGACTGGACCAGTCTCTCTCATCTAAAGCGAAGCCCCTTTATTCTGTTCAGGCCATTATTTCAATCATAAGTGGTCAGTGTAAACATAGCAACAGAGCTTCACTCTGGAGGTCAATCCATAGTCATCAGGCTGCTCATTTTCTGTGTCTACACCTTTGCATACAAAGTATTTTCAAAATCGCTTTATAAAGCTGGAGGGCGTCAAGGAAGCAGTGAGTAATGTAACTTCTCAGTTTTGCTGAGGAGTTAATTATTCCATATATAGAATATCACAGTCTCAAACCAGATGCAGGTGAACAGAAAAGCAGAAAAGGCTATGTGTGCTTGTGAGTGCATACCCCACACAGACAGACACATACATGAGAATTACTTATATTGAATGAAACTGATGGCTCTAATTATTTCAACAAGAGAAACCCACTAAATGCCTCCTTTTCCACTTTGCAATTGCACAGTGGGGTGATTGGACTGATTTTTCTGCTGAAAGAGGCCAATCAAGACAAATCAAGAGGCCAATCCCGGGGTTTCTTCAAATCCTAATTTTCAAAAACTGCAAAAATTCAAAATGTATCCATTCAAAGTAAATCAGTTGAATTTTCCTCATCAAATGTCTTCATTACATATTTGCAGCAATACCAACAGAAAAAAAAAAACTTTTTTTTTTTTATGTAACCAGACATTTTTCAGCTCTTTAAAAAGAAACTTACAGAACTTTATTATCATTAAAACTATTCAAGATGGATTATTATTATTTTTATTTATTTTTCCATTTATGCATCACAATGGGCATCTTCTAAGGCCAGAGTTTGCTTTTACTTTTGTTGTTGGATACATAATCACAACATGTTTTATGCAGAACAATATTTTATTTTTACCATTCTTTTTAAACAGGATAGGTAAAATGTTGTCATGCATTTTAGTCGGTTACCTCATTAATATTCTTGTGGATGAGCATCCAAGTACGTATTTGTGAAATGTTGGACACCACCTCTAAAAAACATTTGGGGGTTTGCAGTATGAACATTTTAATTGGTTTCATATCACCGTACAGCAGACTGTAAACAAATGATCCATATTATTCAAAAATGCATAAACATCTTTGTTGATTGCTTATCCATTTCCGAGCATAAACAGTTGGTTTGAATATAATTGGAGACCCTTTCTGCAAGGTTGAAGTCAACTGTAGAACTGAAGCCAAAATTTGTCTGAAAGCAGGAATCATTAAAACCATCATGAGCTCCAAAAAAGAGCACAAGTAAGAATATCAAAGCCAGAAAACAACCAAAAGAGGTGTTAAGTTTGGAGGTGATTTATCACACTGCTCAATATAGACGTAAAACTGCTCCACTCTTTTTTCGGCTGCAGTAAAAGGCTCTTTAGCCTTCCTGCTTGACCAATCATTGAGTCATTGGTATTGATCAACAACTGCCATCAACCGCCATCAGGTCATTTTGCTCTCAGAGGAAATAAAAGTCTTACCTTTTAGATAGAGGTTTATCACGGCAGGAAACTTCTTACACCATCACTGCACAGCTAGATTACATTATGTTTTGCCCATTTTCTCAATTGTATTCTGTTCAGTACAGGGGAAAGGGTCAGGTTATTTCTGCATCGTCTCAGCCTGGTGCTCTTCTGTCTTTTAGTGCACTTCAATGGAAGACATGCTGGGATTCTATGGTGGACCACAGGAGTAAATGTGCTCAGAAACACAAGTCCAAAACAAAGACAGCAACAGACACGCAATGCAGGATGACAATCAGCAAATGTGCCGATGCACAATCCAAAAACATACAAACCAAGAAAACAGAACGAACTCAAAAGTCTGCAGTCATCACATTTTTCTAACGTAGCACTCCATATTTTCCCCATTTTACTCTAATATCTTTCATCCTCCTGCTATCCTCACGCAATCCACATCCCATCATCTCTAGCTCTCTCTTTCATCATTTATGATGGGCTTCACTCTGCTCTCGCCATCAGGGGGGCATGATCTGGTGCTGAAAGGGTGAAAGACTCAATATCTCATTTTATATGTCATCATGTTTCTCCAGCTGCTGAACAGACACAGAGCATGACCATTCCCCTGAGAGGGTCTTGAAAATGAGATTAAGTAATGTCTCGTTGAAATGGCCACAAATTACTTTCACATTATAGGGCTTGACTTAACTTTTTATTTGGTAGCACTAAATGATTTAGTGTGAAAGCAGCGTTACCTGCAACCACTGTCCCACAGGCTTTACACCGCCATCATCAATTCAGGAATGTTTTTTTTTCCCACAACATTTAACAACCACATGAAATAAATCTGTTTGTCTGTTTAAAACCCGCATTGATGCTGATTGGTTATGTAGGCGTTTAGTTTTAACAGAACGTTGCTTGATTAGTAATCCCTGTTAAGTAACACATGCCAGTGTTGACTTGTGTCCAAACAGCACACTTCTGTCCAGGCATGACTTATCAACAACTGATCACCATATCAGCACTATTCCTAATTTATGTTACACCAGAGAGGTTATTCACTCTCACACAAATACTTCCACATCTATCTTCAGCTCACACAGATCAAATTTTGGTAACATGCAACCAAAATAAAGCATAGCGTTAGTTCTGTCAGGACACAATGTCAAGCGCTGATCTGCAGCCAATGGCTAGTAGCCACCTCAACCAGATGATAATCAGCTGATTCACTCCTAGCTCCTATTGGTCCTTTGCCTATAGAGCGCCTTATTTAAAAGTGCACTAACCCAGCCTCTTCCTCTGCTCCGACAGCTAACCAGCAACCCACCGCCACCCCAGCTCCACCCTTGTGCCAGCTAATTGCTCCGCTACCCTTGAAGCGCTCCTGTTCCTGGGGGGTTCTGTTCATCGCTGCTCTACCCCCGCCGCCTCCGCCTTCATGATGGCTCGTGGAGGGCAGGAAGGGGCTCTTCCTGCCGCTGGCCTTTCACCCATGCCAACGTGGAGAACGGGGGCCCCGAACAGAACCTCGCGTGCGCTCCCTGCTATCGCCTTTCATGATGGCTCGTGATGGGCAGGAAGGGGCTCTTCCTGCCTCGGGCTTCCATGCAAGCGTGTGGAAGGGCAGGGACCCGGAACAGAATCATGCCGCCAAATTTAACTTGCACAATAAAGCAAAAATTTTGACAAAGTGTACCTGACTGAAATGGTCACAGTTTCAAATCCTGCATTACTAAAATAGTATGTGGTGGCCAGCAGGGGCAACAGATTTGAATTTGATCAGAAAACTGTAAAAATGTACAAATAATGCAATATATTCATATATTCCTTAATTACGGAAGATGAGAATGGTCATAGATTTTTTTTATGTACCATTATCTTATGATAACGACTTATCTCGTTATCTTTATATAACAAAGTTCGTTTTCTCGTGATAATGATTTTCTTTTTCTTTATCCCGGCATAACAAAGATTGTTTCCAATGAAAATGTTGATGTCTTGGTCCATGCATACGCAATACACTTTCAACGTGGTAATTTTTAACTGCCATGCACGAATCGACAAAAACAGTAACAATAGTGGACACATTATTTATTAATTTGTTATCACGAGAAAACAACCTTTGTTATATCAAGATAACAAAAAATTAGTCCAAACAAACTTTATGTCGAGATACCGAGATAAGTCATCATCACGAGTTAACAGTGCATACAAAAAGAAAATTCCATGGCTGTTTGCATCTTCTGTATTTAATAGTTTTACTCAAAGTTAAATTTCTTTCCCCTAAGAGTATTGAGTGAAAACATTTTGGTGAAAGAAGTAAATTTAACCTCAGGATGTGGACTATTTGATGGAAAGATGTTCCAGAGAGGTGAAGTCTGCTCATGAATAAATGTATTTTTCTCTAAAAATCAAGCTTACTAGGCCCACAAACCCCTGACAAATGCTACCCCCCGCCTCTTTCCCTTCAAAGCAGTAATCACTCAATTTATCTTCTGATTTTCTAAAAAAAAAAAAAAAGTCTTCTTGGAAATCAGAGGATGTTTCCACTGAAATGAAAGGTGGATGTGGTAGACCTATGGCATCTGTTATTTTAAAGCTCGACACATGGAGATGGTGATAACATACATGAAATATCACTATCATTATTAGCCACCCTGAGTGCCTGACAGACGGCACCTGTCACAAAATGGCCAGTGTTGTCTTATCTGGGGAGCAGCAGATTGAAATGTTAATGAGGCCTTTTGATCAACAGCAGCCCTGTCTGTCAAGCTGCCTTTAAACTGATCGTTTGTTTGTAGAGAGGATGCAAAAACAAGCCACAAGTCCCATGACCCCATGGTCGAATTAAGAGATACAAATAGTTTTGTCTTTTGCAAGTTGGTCGGTTCCTCCTTCTTCACCACCTGCTGTGTCTGGGTATTGATTTAGACCAACAGGAAAAAGGCAGGGGAGGACGGTCTTTGATGGGGAAAGAGAATTTGTTAAGGAAACTCCCAAATGGGGATGAGTTTCAAAGCTCAAAGTCTGGCAAACATCAGCAGAGAGCGACAGTGAAAAAGCCTGAAAAAGAAGCAAGAACAGAGATGAACTACCAAGAGAGAAAAGAGAAGGACTGAGACAGAGGAACTGAACATATTCAGGAACAGAGAACACATCTTTGATGTTTCTGAATGTCCACGAAACAATGAAGAATATAACTTCATTATAGCAGACAATACGGGCAGAGATGAATGCCTCACCATGTGGCAATCATCATCACTTAAACCATCATTGAGCATCCGCTGCATGGTGTTAATGTGAGCGCTGATTGCAAATTGATCCCCAGAGAGTGATCTGTCTCTCAGTTTTACACAAATCCTTTTGAAGTTACTCTATAATGCCATACACCATGATGCCAATCTAGATACGTCAGTCAAATTCTCCATTTCATATTTTAAATAGCAGTTTTGTTGTATCCGCACAGTGTGACCATCCTGACAGGTCCTGAGATTACCAATGATGCCCAGTCGAAATGACACGTCCATTTCCTGCAGAAAATGATCTCTCATTTTCTCCTCTCCCATCAGTTGCAAACATAGAGTTAACAGAAATGTGTGAGGTTTGGTGATGGAGGAACTGCACCGTTTTGCTGTTTGTACACAGATGTTCAAAGAAAAGTCCAATTGAAATGGCCTTGCATATTTTCTTTGAACAGAAGATATTGTTGCGGCTGAAAAAACATATTGAAATTGAAATTCCTTTTTTGTAAGAAAATCAGCATATTTACACAGATTGTTTGTGTGTGTGTGTGTGTGTGTGTGTGTGTGTGTGTGTGTGTGTGTGTGTGTGTGTGTGTGTGTGTGTGTGTGTGTGTGTCAGGAACTCAGGAACTAATCCTGTATATGACTGGACCAATCAGCCTAAGAATTTGTGTACATATTTATTCCTGTAAGCTAAAACACATCTTATGGTTGCACCGATAAACAGCTTGAAACACCTATTTTTCTTTTCATTTATTTATTTCGCTATTTATTTGTTTATTTATTTATTTATATTCTGGATAAGAGATGACACTTTGTATGTTTAACATGCTTCCATGGTCAAAACTGAGCAAAAACTCCTCATGACTGGAATCTTGTTTGTGGTCAATATCATTGTTTTGCTTTTTTAATCAGATTTGCTCAACAAGGTCAATGTTGTGCTCCTTTGTAGACCATCTTCTCGACCAGTTCTTCTTTTGAGCACTCTGTACTGTGACTGCAGGTACTAATGCATTAAACATACCAGTTGGGATGTGGGCATGTGCAGAGGTCACTTCCTCGATAAGAGATATTATGCATGTGACCTAAAACATGACACTTTTTGGTGCAACAGCAAATCCGCAGTGTCTCCTCTACAGTGTTTGACATGACGGACTGATTACATATAATCTCCACCTACTCGCCTGGTGTGCTTACATGACCATTTTAAACTGCTTCCATGTTATCACGCGAACACAAGTACAAAATTACCCACCAGGTGTGAACTATGCTGAAGTCTACACCGTATAAGTAGAAAATACCTGAAATAGAAATAACATAAGAGTCTTTACACCGTAATTCAGTGATGCTCATATTATTGTTAACAGGTGGAAGCTTGAATGATTTGTACAGCCTGTTTTCTCCTTGATCAAACAGTCCTCTTAGAAATCTCTAGCAAAACAACTCTTTATAAACTGATAAGGTTTTACTTTCACCTCAAGGAAGAAAAATATTTTGTTCTCTGGCCTGTAAAGCAGCTTTTATAATGCTGCAGGATTTTCTCTGCCTCTGACAGCGACAGTATCTTATCATTAATTGAAGGACGGCTCACCAGTGTGCGGACTCAGAAATTCTTTCTGCCCTTGGTTTGAGAAACCCTGTCAAAAAACAGAGAATGTACTCAATGTCAGGGACCTGGCTGCAAGACACACTGAATCTGAATTTTACTGAACCATCGCAGTAAGAAAGTATTGCGTTGTCTTCACTTTTCCCAATATACTCTCTGTTCAAACCTCATTTTACTGCAGTCTAATTTTTTTTTTTTTTTTTGACAAATCTAGGTTTGATACATGAACCAAAGGTCATTAGGTTTTAGAATACTTTACAAATTTAGATAAAGTAAGAATGATAGTTTGACATGAAACTTGAATATAAGCATTCAGACCCACAACCAAGTCTCAAACTGAGAAACAATCAGAGCCTTCAGTCCTCCTGGGTTTGCTGTGACAACTTAAGCATGTCTGGATTTGAGGCTTTTCAGCTTGTCTTCTGCAGATCCTCCTAAAATCAGTCAGGCTTGATGTGAACATTCGATGAAAAACCACATTCAGGTTTTTTCCAGGAATGTCTTGATTGGGTTCAAGTGAGAACCCTGACAGGGTTACTCAAGGACAATTACAGAGCAACCCCAGCATCATCTGTGTGCTGAGGTCTGTTGTCCTGTTGAGCAAAATCGAGCAGTTTGGTCAAGGTTCTCATCTTTGTTCCTGGCAGATTTCCCTCAACTCTTATTGCTCCCTTTGGCTGAAAAATGTACCTGGAGTGATTCTGCTTCTACCATGCTTCATCTTTGGGATGATTTTGTGCACATGATGAGTTGAGCCTGGTCACCAGGCAAAGAGTTCAGTCCGGGATTCACTGGTCCATTGGTAAGTTTCGTGAAGTTACTTTACTTTTGATTTTAGAGTGCAGCCTTGATTTTGCTCAGAACTTAGTCTGTCTAAATTTGATCATTTCAAAAGACCGTCTGATTAAAGATTTCTGACTCTCAGTCTTACTCAAACTTAGTTATTTGTAATGGTAACATCTGTTTGCCGCACTTGACCCCTTATTCATTAATCTCCAATTCAGTGTTTGTACTCCCAATTAAAGGGGTGTCTACCTATTTTATGAGAACCATCATATTTTTTTATTCATTCCGCTGAAATAATCTTTTTCTGTTGGTACACTTGGTAAATTTAAAAGTAAAACGTCCTTGTAAGAGAAGGAAAACAACATTTCTCCTGTGGTGAACAGCTAAAAGCAAAAAAACTTTCTTTCACTTTGTAAAAAGTAAAACTGCACTTGAATTCTTTCTTTACCAAGAATTTGTTAGATTCAAGTCCTCTTTTCAGATGGTCAAGACCTTGACGTTTTCGTGAGTCAAACAGTATTTTTTTTTTCTTAGATGCAGTCAACTTTCTTTGTGAAAAAGGCCTCAGAGCGTCTTGTTTTTTACACCCTGGAAGTCCTTCAGTTTCTTCTTCAAAAACTTCACACTGGCGTTTGTGAAAAAAGTTTTCTAGCTGACTTCTTTGAAATAAAGCCCAGGTTTTTGAAGTGTTGCATTGATGGTTTTCCTTCTTGGTCACCTCTCTTCTTCCTGGATTGTTAGTTAGATCAGGCTGCAACATCGAGAAAGAGTCTTATCTGTTTCCGACCTCAGTATATCAGAAGTTTGTGCTCATGGGAACCTTTTGTTTTTAAGCTTTCACTAGATCTGATCCCCACACAACCCTGTATCTAACCCCCGGAAGCAGTTTCCCTTACTTTATTTTCGGTTTCTGCACAAAAGCTGGACGTGTGTTGTGGTGGTTACATTTCTACATCATGACTTGTTAGTTGCCTTTTCCATAATAAAAAAAAAAAATTCCCAAATTATTTTGGGTTTTTGGTGCAGATTTTTGGATGAAAATGTAAATTTCAATAGTTTAATTCAAGATTCATTGTGAGAAATTGTGAAGAATGAAGGGGTCTAAAAATGAGGGATGTGTAATGTTTCAATCTGATAAACTGCAGACCGATACTAAAAATATTTCTTCATAATTATAATGCATGTTATACATTTATCTCAACAAAAACAGCTGATAAAAGTTGCTGTTATAAACTCACTGACAAGCCTACAGATTCTGACACAGAGAGTAGTGGTATGTGATTTGCCATGAAACACAAGGAGGAACAAGCGCAGCTGCAACAAGCTGACAGGAGAGTACAAATGGCTTCAGGGGTGGATGCTTTTCACTGTTTTACTGGAGAATACAGTGACTGCAACTTGTTAGCACATGTGCCCTAACATTCAGAGAGGAAAAAATGCCCTTAAGTTTGATCACAAGGACTCTTTGCTCTATTATTGTGATCTGTATTTTAATAGTAATTTATACTGCTACAATGCTGGGTGTCCATATACCAGACCTGCAGTGAGTATTTAAGTCCCACTCCGATAGTTTTTTTTACTACTTAAAGTGTTCTCAGTGGTCTTTAAATTGTGATTATGGAGGTTTTACAAAAATCACATTACCTGTGTCATTTTCAAGGGCTTTTCTTCTGCAGAGCTCCAGTAGATCATTAGCAATTTGCCTCTGAGTTGTAGGCGGAGACAACGCTGTTCTGCACAGTCGTCTTTATGCTAGCTTGCAGCCTAACATTGCCTGTGCAGCAGAAGTGGCAGATAACATAGGAGCTATTCAGCTGTCGGACACTAATGTATTTAGGGACATGATGAAAGCTAATATCATAGTTAGCTTTACAAGAATTTCATTCTGCTAACGCACAGATAGTCCTCTCTACTTCTACTTCTACTTCTCCGAGTGTGACCTGCAAAGCGGGGCTCCAGGGGTGGAGCTTGAATTGGTTACGTATGAATTCTCACTGTTTTTGAACGTGCTGTTTGGGTCTGCCAGAGATTCACAGCGATATGAATGAAGAAATTTCACATTTAGTCTTTTTTCATGATATGTCCTGTAGCATCATAAAACATGTAAAAAACAAGAAAAACATGATTTTCATCAGAGTGGGTCTTTGACGGTTCACTGGCTGGATAAAGACAAGCAGGTTAATATCAGTGGCTGGTATCAGCTCAGAAAAACCCATACCCTGCAGCTCTGCTTGAAGCCACCTGAATTTGCTTTATACATATCTTCTACTCTAGCTCTCTGTGGATAAGTATAATCATTTCAGCTTGGAAATGAAACAGCACATACCACATAAGTCTTTCCTCAGTCACTAGTACAAAGACCTAATCATCAGCCCAGAGGAATAATAACCTTCATTATTTCCTTTCAACTGTATTTCATCTGTAAGTTCAGACCTCTTCGGTGCTGATAAGACCAGGTCACCGGATACATAACTGCTTCAAGTCTACATGTCTAACGTCACTCAATCATTGTTCCAACATGAGATATACAATGTCTCATTTATCTCACTGTGCTCTCCTCATTAACCACTCTGCTCTCTGAGACCATCTCTGGGGGCCTAATAGCTGCAATTAGCAAAAGAGCCGCTCAGTAGCATGGGTATCGTGACACACATGACCCCCCCTCCTCCTCACCACACACACACACACACACACACACACACACATACATATATAGTGAGGCTGAAAACCTGTCAGAGGGAATTGTATCCCTGGTGTGTAGAGTGAGAGTTAGATGGAAGGCGAGCCAGAGCCAGCAGGCAAAGGCAGAGTGTCTGTGCATTTGCTAATAATGTTGGGCTGTGGGTGCCAGGCCTGATTTCATTTACTGTCAGGATGAGGACCACTGGGCCCGGATTAGCACTGGAGGTAGAGAAAAGAAGAGGGGAAAAAAAAAGTCACAATAAATTAGGGGTTATTTTTCACAAAAAAAGCTGCTTTTAATTTCACTAAAAGTACCTCCATTAGCTGTATTTAAAGTGCTTATCCAGTGAAGTATTAACTCAGCCTAAGTGGATAAACAATTGACTTTGTAAAGGCCGCTGGCACAGATTTTCCTTAATTTTAGTCTCATTACTTAAGCCTCATTTCAAAAAGTGTCTCTAATTTACAAGAAAGAAAATTGACAGGTCTTTGTGAAGTGGTGGATGTCATATTAACCTGATTATCCATTGCTCCTAGTCATTCGTTTTTACTGAAACTTTTATGAATGATCAATTGGTTGAGCAGTCATCATATTGATCTTTCCAGACATATGTCATTTATTTATTTATTTTTAATTTCTGCATGTATTCTCTAATTTAAATAATGGTTCATTAATTGACTTAATTTCATAATTTGTTTTTTTTCTTTGCATAATCCTCCTTCAGGAAAAAAACAAAAAAAAAATTAATAGACAAAAGAAAAACTGGATCTAAGGAAAATGTGCCACTTGGCTGTTTTGATTTGACATGGATGAGAGGATGACAGTTTATCATAGTTAGATAGTTTGAGCTTATTATAAGAAAGTCTGAGCCGAGTGTATTTAGTACAGAGAAAACTCTCAGCTCTGTAATTTGCAGTCACATAACCATAAATCAGTTTGGTGCTGTTTCGTGGACACAGCATGAGTGAGACTCGGTAACAACAGTATTTCAGACTCTTCCTGAATCAGAACTTACAAGCAGCGTCTCCTGTGGGTATTACACCTATTATAGACAAGAACCTCAGACAGCACCACAGGCTGTCCCTTTAGAGGCGACAACCACTGTGTTTACATGTTGATCGAAAAATAGATTTACTGCATTAGTCTGAATAAAACTGAATTTTCAAAATATATGTGGACCATGAATCCTACTGAACTCCTTATAGCTGCACTGACATAGCTATATAATGTGGTTGGGGATCAAGACAGCTCAGTTCCACATAAACTGGTCTGAGCATCCTAAATGCGTTGCTTGGAAGCTAAGAAAGGATGTATAAATTGGTAAAGCTGTGTTAAGTACAAAAGGTACAGAGCTGTTAAAGTTACGGTATCGTCATTGTTTGATTTAATCCTGTTATCCACTTGCTAACATGATTGTTGTGGTACGTAATAGGTCAATCAGGGGTGACAAAGTGAAAGGGGAATGTTGCCTCTGACAGTTTGGTGGAGATAGACATGCTTTTTGTCAATAATAAAATGAATCAGTGCTTATACATTGGAACAGTAGTCCAGTCGAATCACCAAATCACACTGAAACTGCAACTTGGCTTACCTGTGCAAGTTGGAAAATTTGAAACAAAAGCAAAATGCATGTATTTTTTAACCCAAGTTTATTTTGGGATCTCATTTGTGTCCCTACCAACTGACAGTGACTGTAACTGCTCTGAACATGTGTCACCCACATTGTTACATTTGTTCATTTAACTTCTCACATAACGTAAATGTGCACTTAGGGTGTTTTCACAACTAAAAGTTCAAACCAAGGTCTGTGTTTTTGTTACATTTGGTTTGTTCTGTTTAGGTTTCACACTGTCATTATTGCAACCGGACTAACAGACTTTACATAAGGCACCTGCGTGATATTGACATCAACTATGTGCTTTTTGTATGTCTCTGTAGTTTAAATCGATTGGTTGTAAGGCCGGCGGTCGTCTGACATCAACACATTAAAAAGCTTGGGTCTTGAATGGTGTAAAGATGGATGAAAACGTCATTCCCTCCATCGCACTATTTTTGATTTCCTACCACCAACAGCGACAACTTCAAGAGCTGTACATGAGGCTGGTCCGAGGAAGTCTCATGAATTTGATCATAAGACGACAACTTGATCGACATCGACAGAAAAGGAGAAGAAAGTATCCACTGCAACAACGACTTGGGAGAGAAAGTATCGCATCATTTCCTGTCTTTGGTACGAGTATCTGAACCTTTCAGAATAACGCTTTTCACACTGGGTGTGAACCAAACCATGGTTCAGTTTGGTCTAGACCGAGATCACCTCTTTTGGTTGGACCATTTTGGTTCAGATCTAACAGAAAAGTCTGAAAGTCAAGACCAAACGACGCAGGTTTTAAAGCCCCCTTAAACAGAAGCAGCACATCAACAAGAGTTAAAAACTACTGTCAAATGTATTCAATTTGTGAAGTCTTCCCAAACAAAGAAAAAAAAATGCATCTTGGTCCTGAATAGAATCTGTATTTGTCTGAGCCGGAGCTGCAGCTTTCTCTACGAGGGCAGCTGTCAAGGACTCTCATATGAGAGAAGAATGGGAGGATGGAGGAGCGAGGAAAGGACGATAAGGGAGAAATGAAGGAGGAAAGACGGAGGATGAGTGGCTTATGTCCAATTTCTTTCTTCGTGAGACCATTGCCAGTCTGTATTGAGCGCTTGAAAAAGAGAGCTGAAATGTGGAGATGCAGAGAAAGATGGAGAGCGCGGAAAAAGGGAAAATAAAAATAAAGAAGGGTGACGAGGACTGTGACAGAGAGGGAGTTAATTGCTTCAACAACCTCAGCAGCCAGGTTTAAAAACAGGAGCTATAGGAGGAAAGTGAGAGGCTGATGGGGACAGAACAAGGCCTAGTAATCTTTCCAAGAAACTCCTATTATCTGGCATGCTGTCTACGAACCGAGAGCTCGATCCCAGGGGTGCAGCACGTACTTGAATTGAAGCACACATGAACGCGGAGGAAAATCCACAACTACACACAGGAGGAGGCAAAGGAGAAAGACTGATATACTGACAAGGAGGGTGCATCACATCATGCAACCAAGCAGGCAGACAGGTAGAGGCGGGAGGTAGACAGGCAGGAGGGCAGGTCGGCTATGCTCAGGCACCCAATGTCCCCGAGCAGCTAGAGATATTGCTGCTCCACTGAACAGCATAATGACAGTCTCTTCTACTTCACATGGGCCGGCCGATGTGAAAATCTACTCATAGTCGTTCTTTGCTTCAATTTCATCGAGAGAATACCAGGCAAAAGGGGCCCAAAAGAGCAAATATGAGAGTAAATGACTGCAGGGTCAGAGGAGGGGGTTTTATTTGGCTAAATAAACTCACTTTGGATGGTGTCTACATGAGGGTAAATGAGCAGAAATTTCCAGTTCCTGTATTTGAGCAGTGATGCTAGCTGCAGTGGAGATAAAGTAAATCTGTGTTTGAGGGATTGTAGTGTGCAGATCTATCTTCAGATGAGCTCTGGAGCAGCGCACACTCTACAGGGAGCTTAAAACGGAGGCAAAGTCCTCTGGCGGGGTCCTAACACACACACACACACACACATAGAGAAAACACAGACCTGTCCTTGACTAAGACAAATGAACACTTCTTGCTAGGCGTTGCTATGGCTACTTTGTCAAAACCAGCTCAAAGGTTTGAATTATAGCCCCTGATTCTTGCTGCAGTCTGTCTTCCATTCACGCACACACTTACGTGTAGTCCCCCCGCGAGTCAGTCACTCCTCCTTTTCGTTAGCCGGATGATTCACAAGGAAATTATATCAGCTGGCGCAATGATGCAGACTCCAAAGTGTGATGGCGTGTTTTATTTGGTCTGATAGGATGGCAATTAGCCACGTAATGGATGGGCAGCCTATCATACAAGGCTAATTAAACACGCATTCACGCTACAGTAAGAGGGTATTTAGTTCACAAAGCCATCCAACCTATTTGGAGATGTGGTTCAAGGTGCTTTCTCACTTTTTCTTCTTCCTTTTTGAAATCACTTTCACTCTTTCCTTCCACACCCCAACTGTGTTTCATTTGAGATATTTGCTTTTTCCCGCATGGTAATATCTGTGTTTACCTGCGTGTGTATTTGCATATAAGGTGTGTTTCTTTGAAGAAAAGTTTGTTCTTTTGAAATAACCGAAGAACTGTGAAATGAATCAATTAGGCCGTAACCACAGATAGGTGAATGTTACTTTTTCTTTGCTTTGTTTGAGTAAAAAAAAAAGAAGAAATTCTGCGCACATAGCCTGAAGGCCTTTATTTTTTCATTTTCAAGATTGCATAGCGGCTATTGTGGGTTTTTAAATTACAGTAGTTGCAGGATGGTGTGTTTTTTGTGCAGCACGGACTCAAACTTTTAATGCACTATTCATTAATGTGCTTCTTCAGCAGATAGTGCGGCGAAGATAACCTCAGTCACTCACAGCTATGCCTCCTCCTTTTGGGAGGGAACTGAAAAAGACAAGAAAGCAATTATATCTCTACCACCACACTCATTTTCAGGTGCTCTCTCTCTCTCTCTCTCTCTCTCTCTCTCTCTCTCTCTCTCTCTCTCTCTCTCTCTCTCTCTCTCTCTCTCTCTCTCTCTCTCTCTCTCTCTCTCTCTCTCTCTCTCTCTCTCTCTCTCTCTCTCTCTCCTCCCAGGCTGATGACAAATGGAGGAAGATGGGTAGGGCTGCAGGTGCTGATGGTGTGATGGTGTGTGTGTGTGTGTGTATGTGTGTGCGGGGGGAGGGATATCATGCTTCATTTCAGCTCATGTTATGGTGGGGGAGCAGCGCTGACCACAGGCAATGACAGTTTTTAAGGCTTTTAGCCGCAACTCTTCACTTCTAAAATCAGACCTAATAGCTACATTTTAGAGCGGTGCGGCCATACGCCGCTTCCTGAGTGAGATCTTTTTCTGGTTGAGTTGTTCACCTTTCTTACACTGCAACTGACCGTGAAACTGAGTGTCTCTGTCACAAATAGACCAGTTAAAGGATCTGTTTGCTCAAAATACACAATAACTCTTTTATAAGTGTTGTTTTGACCTGCAGAATCAGCTATCTTCAGCAATCTATGGCATAACCCAATATCTATGTTTTTCCATTCCAGCTCACTATAAAATCCATCGTCAACAACAATCTAAATTTTATTCTATTATGTATGAGAGACTGAATCTGAATTTTCAAACTGGTACAATTTTCTACTTACAGTATATCGTTAAAAAAAATTTAACTCAGTGTGTTTTTAAGACAGACTCAACATTACTTCAAAAAGTGCGAGCACCAGGTAGCAGAGACACTTGAAAACTTTCTTGTAACAGGCAGAAACTTTAAGCTGAACCAGACTAATTAGTGGAGAGCCATCCATCATGACTTGAAAGTGTGAAAGGGACCAAATGAGAGATAGATGGAGACCATGGACTGCATAACACATGGACTTAGCTTTGGTCATGTCACTGACTTATTTCTAAAACCTATCAACAGCGGTCACCATATTGGGAATGTTAACTAGCTTTCATAACTATTGGTCAACCAATCAGGAGGCAAAGAGGCGAAGTTGAAACAGGCCTTTAACCTTCTGGCTTACAGCTACAGTGTGCCGCCTGTCTGTCAAGTCAGCTGTCCTTCTAATTTGCCAAACTCTTATCCTTAACATCCTAAAAAATGAATTCCATCTAAAACGATTAACTCTGCATATGTGGGTTAAAAGTATTTTTTTTTTAAAGCAGGCTTTAAACATATTCTTGTTTTCCTTCAAAGATGGGCTTTTTTGAATGTATGTGGCTCCTGGTGCTTCTGCAACCAGCCTCAAGAAGGCAACCATGGAACTGCAGTTTTTAGCTCAAGTCCAGAGGTTGCTACTTGATTACGACTGATCAAACAAACAGAGAGATATATTAAAACATTGGCAAAAGTCTGCTTCTACATATCACCATGTCAAGATGTCTGGTTTATGCTCGCCAAAATTAACGGTTTAGAGATTCAGATAGTAGCCACTTTAGCTATTTAGCTTCCGTATTAGCTTACTAAAGTTAGCTTAATGTGATGAAATCAGCTTGTTACAGAGGTGACGCTCTGCTAGCTCCATTTTTGACTTTCTTTGTCTAAGCTAAAAATCTACCCACTGAATGTATGCATTATTTGAACAGGTGAATACAATAGTACACAAAGCATCAACACAAAGAAGAAATAAACTAGATAACAGTTGTAACAGAAGCTGATTGTGTTCCTATCTGCTGTGACTGTGCAGCGATACTCTCCTGCTTTTAGCCAAGAAAGAAAGAGATGGTTGGAAGACTGACTTTCTTCTTGAAAGGATTTAGGAAAGCTGAAACAATGACTAAATTAAAGCAGTAGTCTTTTCGTCCCCCTCTCTAGCCCCTTCTTTCTCATCGCTCTCTCTGCCTCTATCATCTTTCAATCTCTGTCGTTCTGTTTTTCTGATTGATACACCCATTTCATGAAGATTTCACGCTCGAGGAATCCCAAATGGGTCTCCTCTCATGACAAACAGATCAATTTTTATAGACCTGAAAGTTGCTGGTCTTGAAAATTGTTTGACTATCTTGGATACACAGCAGAGTTTTGTTGCTGTATGCTCTCCCTTTTCCTCTCTCTTGGCTCATTCTGAGTCATGGGTTTCATATACTGTTGTCATGTCAGTGTTATAAACCATTTGTGAAGCTGCTAATATCCACTGCTGCAAAAATATATTCTGCACAACCTTTCACTCTGAAATAATTATACAAGCGTGAGCAAAGAAATATGTCAAAGAGGGGCAAAATGTAGCGCTGACACAACGGCCTGCTGGTGTGCTTTATGGTCTGCAGGCCTGTAATGTAAACAGCAGGTGGCTGAGCTTCTGCACTGAGGCTGCAGGAAAAGATGCTTCTAAGAGATCCACCTGCCTCTTTGAGATATTACTGGCAGCCTGGAGTCACACTTGAGCCAGTTAACATATGCACACAGTCAGAGTCAGACCCTTATATACCATCTAGAAACACAAGAAGAAATGCAAGAAAGCAAACGAGCTAAATTTGAATCCCTGAACGGCCGAAATCTGTGCTACAACTTCATTCAGCCTCTTGCATGTGTGTCTGCAAGCACACACACATGAGCGGTAATTAAAATGCAAGCGTCTCCACCTGCAGTGATATTCTTCTGAGCAGATTTTCACCAGGCACAGCCGCCGTGTCTCTGAAAGGGCTTTGATCACAGCGGGATCCTGTGGTGCCAAGGTGAGCAGCACATTAACATCTCATTCACAGAGTACACAGCAAGGTGAGCCGGCCTGCCTCGCTGCTCCTGTCTGCATGTGTATGTGAGTGTGTGATGGTCCTCACTTTGCATACCTTACATCATGTCTTCCCTCCCATTCCTGAGTGAAAACATGTGACTCCAGCAACCCTGAAGCGCACACATTTGAGGGTGCATCTTTGTGTATAATTGAACAAGCTTGTGCAACTCGAGGCACTTGAAGGTTCCTCTTCCGGCAAGCCATGGAGAACAGGATGCTGCTCTTTCATGTTTTCTAAGTTCTATAACTTTACAGACTATTTATAGAGGATTTAGTATCAGCTTTGTTCACAAATGTGAGATTGCCAGCATATACAGTAATTTTGCATTCACTGATTGCAATAACCGCTATTTCTGTTATCTTACATTGTCTTAGGATTCTATGCTAAAATTCTAGAGACATGTAAAGGTTAACGAATAGTAAGGAATGAGGGTAGGTACAAATAAGCTAAATAGCTTCTACGTACTCCTTTTCGATCTCCAAAAAATAGGGAATTTCTCGTCTAAAACTGTGCTGTATGTATATTTGATCGAATAAACCATATCTCTCTTACATTGTCTTTAGGATCCCAAGCTAGTAAACCCAGTGTTTCAGCTAACTTTATCATCCAGTGTTAAATATTTAATTCTGATTGGTCTCAACCCCTCAACAACACCTTGACAATAGCCAGTAAATCTGCATAACGTGAACAACGCCAAAAAGCAGGCATATCACACATGTCATGTCCAATCCATCCCTGGAAAGTAGTTCCGGCAGATTTAACCTCTGCTCTTTGGAGCCATAGGCAAAGAAATTAGCATCCGTTAGCATGCTAGATGGGTAAGCTACAAATATGGATGTTTTGGTAACAGATCTTCTCCTGCAATCCAGGCAAGGGGAGTAGAGGCTGTGAGTGCATCTTAAGTTTTTAATTGCGACAAGGATAAATGACTTTGAAGACTGTTCCCGCTGCACGGAGGATTAGAACCTGTGGATATGGTGGTGCCACCAACTGTGGATTTAGGGGAACATACAGCGTTTTTAAATCAATAAAGCATCATTAAATCAATATTTAGCGTCAACATGTTAATGACTTAAATGGATTGCTGGGCAATAATCAGGATAATGCATGCTAAACCAGTAGTTATGGAAATTAGAATCCCTTCAGAGTGAGACTAGACCTCATTTTGTCAGGATTATATTTTTTCGTAACCACCGGTTCACCATGCATTACCCGTTATGTAAGTTTTTTTCCTTTTGGAAACCAAGAAAACAAAAAAGAAATCAAAAGAGCTCAATGATAGGTCCATATGCAGCATGTATGGGATTGGACAGTGGGGGGAAGGATTAACAAGTTATTTTCAAAAGGAACTAAAAGGAAGAGAAAATAGTGGAGAATGCACTTTCCTCAAATGGGTGGACATGACAATGACTTTCCATGTATTGAAACACAGTGGGATGCATTCTTGCATACCTCAAACCAGCCTCATGCTTGAGACCTGCGCAATGCTCATGACAGAGGTTTTACTGAGGGCTACAAAGACATGGACCTTAGTCTCTTCTTTAACAAAACACTACTCAAAAGCACAATGTTTAAGAAAATATTCTCAGTGGGTACCAACACATTCATATTTTCAAGCACCGTGCTACAGTCCTACTCTTGTATTTGATTATTTGAGGGTGATATTTGGTTGGTCATTTCCAGCCCATGGTTTGACTCCCTGCTTTTCTCACATAAAACATCTCAATCTGACTCCATCTGTTTGCTCCAATCTGAGTCAGTGCTGTGTGCAATTTCCTGTGAGTGACTGTTTGCAGCATGTGAGCGGACCACTATTCTCAGCGCTGTAATACTCCATCTGTCTGACTAACAGGACTCGACGCCATCAGGAACGACAGTGGCCTTGAGTGTGTATGTGTGTGTAGTATGGATCACAACATTTACAAGTCTAGTAAATCCTGAGCGGGCAGCCACATAAGCAGCCAGAATGGTGGATGGTGCTCCGGAGAGCAATGACTCGTAGCACTGATGAGGGGGGACAGTAGGTGGAAGGACAAGTGGAGCTTGATTTACCTTTTGGCTAACAGTGGAGCAGCTTTCAGTCCATGCTTGTGGAATTTGTAGCACCTATACATTTTTTTTCTGCTGTCATTTCGTGGACACATGAAGAAAAAAAGGTGAAAGAAGTAGTTTTCAAGATACAAGAAAAGTAGAAAAAAAGGATGAAAAAATCAATCATCCAATCAACTTTTCTCTGGCCTTGCCTACATGATTCAGCTGAAAAACCACAGCTTTTTCTCTGTGTAGTAACGGCAAAACTATAGTTGCCAGTGTTACCTGTTATCCGCCATGCTTCTTCAGTCTAAAATCACCTCTGACCACAAGAGCTTGGAGACACTTCCAGTTTTAAGAGTTGGAATCATAGACTGTCTATAAAAAGGACGCCATATTTACCTATCCTGTTGGAGTTGAAGAGATTTAGAGCTGCTCCTGTTGACTGGCTGCAGTCTAGGACATAAACCATCGTTCATATGATGATTTATGTCTGTCCAGGTGTTCATTTTGCCAACAACTCTAGTTTTAGTCACTCAATTTTGAAGAGAGCAGATATGACAAAATGACTGACAGCTTTGTTGACAAATGCAGGCCTCTGTCAAGGATAAGCAGAGAAGAGGAGGTATGGTGAGGAAAAATGGGTAAGAAACACCAGCTCATGAGTTAGTCGGTAAAAGAGTTAGTACAAGAAGTACAAGGATATGTTCTGCTGAAGACAGAACCAGTTTGTTAATGAACAAAATGTGCTTGTGTGGTTTAATTTCATCACCATTTGTTGTTTTTATGGGATCTCTTACATTGTCATTATCTGCCATGGCTTAAGGTCATTACACACCGGTGAATCCAGTGAAGCGATGCAAAAATGTGAAATATTCGGCTTACGCCTTTTCCTACTCCACGTTTGCAGTTTGCAGGAGAGGACAAATTACAGAGAGCCGATAGCTCCAGAGCAATGGTTTGCTACATGTCTGAGGTAAGATTTATATTAGGCTATAGATTTGAATAGCAGTTCGCCTGTGAATGTTCGCAAAATTCGCTACAGGGTGAAAAACTTACAGTTGCTCTGTGGAAGTTCGTAGCCGGTGTGGAAGATTGCATTGGCTTTATGAGGTATTAAAAAAAGGCGAATTATTCACTTCGTAAATTCTCTTCGCAAATTCGCCAGAGTTTAACAACCTTTATCCTGCTAAAAAAAGGCACTGCAAGAGTTAAGACTAGGAGGCAACTCCCGGGGCTGAGAGTTGGAGCCAACATACTCGTCCAAACAACTGCAGTTCTTTTAGGTGCCACTTTAGGTCGTCTCTGAAAATGAGTCAATCCCCATTGAGCCCAATATGAAAATACAAACTTCTCAAAAGAATTAAACAAACATGTGATCTCTCAGTTATGCTCAATGAACGGTGTGGCCCCTTTCAGTGAGAGGTATGTGCAGTGTTACATCGACTGTAAGCCGCAGAACTCAATGCATTTTGGGTAGTTTTTGTACAAATATCCACCAAAAACATGGTTCATTCAGGCCCCTTGCTCATTTTCCAGCTTGTGAACTGTCCTTTGACAGCCTGGCTTCTCAGTCCACCCCCTCATCATTATATTGTAAATTCTGGCTCATGAAAACCAACATGGCTTCAGATCATATGTCAAACTCATACTTTAAAAAGGCAGTCCACAAACCAATGGGGGATGTCACCATGACTTTTCCATTGTGTATACTGTCTAGAGCAGCAGATTGTTCTAATGCAGTTTAACGTGGCAGGAGAAGCAGGTGCAGAGCCCCGTGATGGCCGTCTGCAGCCATTCAGGTCTAATCAGACCAGGTAATGATGCGCTGCTCAGTTTGTCCAGTCCCAGACGGAGTTGAAAACAGGTGAGTCTGATTAAACAGGATGCAGCTACACAGCTCTGGTAAACACAAAACAGACACAATTCATATATCACTGCATGATTGTTCTCAGCTGCACAGGATGGAGCTTATTCACCCTTAATCATTTCTGAAATATGCCCCTGTTAGCAGGCAAAGATGAGAAATTCAGAGCTTATCGTTGTTTGAGGTGATTTTGTCTTTTGTTTGCCTTTAAAGCCCAGCATCTTTGAAACATTTTAGATAACACTTTCACATCATGCAAGTCAGACAAAAATCTCATCAACTGCTTCACAAGCTGCTGAAATCTAATACTGTCCTTCAAGGCCCACGGCTCTGAAAAAGTCACCCAAATGTTTTCCTTCCAGTGTCTTTATTCTCATATTGAAACATAATACATGCAGATTCAAGCTGTTATTTCACACGAAATGTCTTGGAGGCTGACATGAGACATTAACAGTGTCTATTTCAGAATATTTCTCAGTTAGTCCATGAGCTGATATCAGCTGGTTAACGGTCAAATACATATCACGTTGCAGAGCCGAGATTAGAAAACAACATTTTCCATTGATTTTTCACTTCATTAAGGAATTGGACACAGATGCAGACTATAGACAGTCAAATGAGTGAAACTGTTTCAAATAGATTGCTGTGACAACTGAACCAATCAAACCAGCAACTTTCTGACAGAGAGACAGCTTGGCTCCAACACTGCCACAGTCGCCCCTTAAGGTTCTGGAAAGTATAATATGCCGCGTGGGTCATACGTTTAAAAACTGACTGTCTCCAACTTTATGGATACATCAAGTGCATTTGTTCAACCTAGTATCAGTCAATTTAGTAAAGAAACTATTTTACAGAAGTTTGGGAGAACTGACCTGTATGCATTGCAGCTCTGTGCAGTTTGCTCCTGTTTTGCATCCGAGCTGTGAAAAGGAACCATCAGCATCTCCACCTCCTGCTGTGCAGAGCTGTGCTGTGCACTTTTAACCTCACAGCTTGTCCAAACCATCGACTGTATATACTATGGACAACTTGGTACCGCTTTCTGCCAGTATATGGATTTGAAGCCGAATTGCTCTCAGTATCGCCACGTTTTTTCTCCATTTCCTGAAACCAACATTGCGCAGTAGCGTTGTACACACTCCACCACATGCACAGGAGCATTGTACCCACTCGATGGGAGAGTCACAGAGAGTCGCTGTGATGACGCTCGTCTCAAACAGCGTGCCCCCGGGTGAGCTACGCAATCTTCGTACACCCATAGGCTGTATCAAGTGTCAATCATAGAAAACATGAACCCCCTAATAACTTTTAAAAATAGAGCTGCACAGGAAAAAAAAGGACTTGAGCACAAACCAATTTCACTGGAACTACATGTCAACATCAGGCAGGGAGGAGCAAAATTTATATTCTGTATAATAAATTTCTTAAGTGTGTCCACAGCTCCATAAGGATTGCTAGTCTATGGTCCAAACCTGATGGGGAGGGTACAGTATATTCAAAGATGATCCATTACAGATGTGATAGACATTTCACAGTTTTAAACTGAAGTTTGACTCTGGAGCGAGCCAAAATGCACAACAACTCCACAAGTTGCACAGGTGTAGTTGGTGCAAAAGCTCTCCGAATATTATATGTCTACTAAACCTGGAACATTGTGTTGACTAAGAGTATCAGTTCTGAGACCTTCTAGTACACTGCATTAAACAACAGCCCTGTGCCAAGGAAGGCAGCAGAGAGGAAAACAGGGAAAATTCATGGCTGTCAAGAAAGAACCACATATAATCTACTATTTCTGATTCGAAACAAATTTGTCAGACCTTGAGAAAGTAACACTGCAAGTTGGTAAATTCATTAAAAAGTTACATAAAGCTTTAAAGTATCTGCTCATTTACAGGGGAAATTTACAATATATCAGTAATCTGATGAGATGCCATATGAAGTTTATATTTGTGTAGGCTAAGACAAAAATAGCAGGAACGACACATCGTGCCATAAATGTGTTTAAGTTTATGTGTAACAGGAGAAGCAACACGATGAGATGAACAACAGCACCTGAGTCCTGTTACCTCTCTGAGGATGGAAATATGAAAATGAAAAAATATCTCTTTAAATCTTTAGGTGCAGAAACCTGGATCTGCTGATATACTTGATTTACTGTCCATTTTGGAAAGCTGTCACATTTCGGCATCAAAAGAAGCATCTACATTACTTTACACTGTATATAGATGTCTGTGTGAGCTCAGAGAGGTGTTCAGTCATGCACCAGCTTTTGATGAAAACGCCAAATGGCTTGTTGATATCAAGCCAAGCATGAAAAAGATAATATACGGGGCGCGGAAAAGCAAAGTGAAGTCAAAATCACATGAAAGTAGGATTTCAACATCAATAGGAGACATTTCTGAGGCGCAAAAATGCTATATGTCACATGACCCTTCCCTGTGTTGTCCATACAAGGATATTATTGCCATGCTGATAGGACTGCCCTCCATTTTAAATGATTTCCTGTCCAGGTCGGTGCATAACGGGCCTTCCATTATCTCCTGAAACTCAAGAGCTTGACCAGAGAAGACGATTTCACCGATCAATACAGTAATTTCATACAGAAATATACAAGGAGTTACAAATGGGGTTGGAGGGGGGATGTCTGAAGGAGGATATGTCACATTTTATTCCCAAGACACTGAGGATAAAAGCAGACATCAGTGGATCTGTCTAGCCACAGTGAGTATCAGAAATAAAATGGACAACTGGACACTTTTATCTGGTTGTTTGATGTTTGTGGGGAGGCTGGCGGAGGTTCAAGGACAAACTGTACAGGGGGTGGGGTGGGAGAGAAAATGGAAACGCGCACATACAAAGGAAAAAAGAAAAAAAAAAAACATCAGCAAAAGGAGAAAAACAACAAAGCAAGTGAAAAAGGAAGAGACAAGTGCCTGAACAATGGCTGGTCTTTAAACATTTACCTGTGCGTGCTGATGCTGAGGGGAGAAATGGCTGTTTGATTCCATTACACATCTATTACAGCTGTAGTTAATGGCTGTGTCACAGTCTATTAACTGCATTCATCTTTTCCCCTGATATATACCAGGACATCAGCGGTGAACAAAGACAGATGACTGTGGCTCCCCACTGCACAGTTATTTACAACACACACCTTATTTTCATACATGGACCCACAAAAACATACAGCACATTCAACACACGATGCACAAAAAAAACATATAACCTTTATTCTAATATACTGCAGTGTATCTCAAACATATAACACACACATTCATCTTCCTGTCTGCTCCCTGTAACATGGCAGTGACATGCAGCAGTGTAGCCTGATAAAGGCAAACAGAAAAGGTGGATTTCATCTAAATATGTCACTATCAGAAGCATCAGCACATAGGACTGTAAGCATATTTCCTGCTCTGACAGACGACACAAACAGCAGGAAAGATAAGCAGTCATACACATGACTGACTGTGCGTGTTCGCATACATAAACTTTAGGTATATCTGCAGCTTTATTCACAGCTCAATCCTGGACTGAAGCTTATATCTGACTGTTTTGACTGACAGGATTTTCATATCTATTCCAATGTAGTCTGCCTTTTCTCACATTAAAATGCACTGAAATTTCCCTCTCTTGCTTCTCTTTTGCCTCTTTCATTCAAAAAGACGTCTTATAAGATATCCAGCGTACACTAAACCATTTGATTTAGCTGTCACTTTCCTCACAGAATTAAATCCATGAATCTACCCACAGGTATAAGACTATGTTTAAACAAATCCCACATGATTTGTGTTACACAGGAACAGAGGTAAAATATTCCTTCTCTGACATGGAAAAAAATCTCTGTGGGAATTGGGGATATTAATACTATCAAGACTCTGACAGCAACCAGTGTAATATTTCAAGTTTTGGCTCATTTGAAAATGCAATTTATCTAAATCAAACGTCTTATCATCTCTCTGTAGCTCAAGAAAAGTAAGTCTGAAATTTAGTCATCACGACTATAGAAAAGGGGCACGCAAACCTTGGCACAAAACCCCATATCGTTATAATCTCAAGGCTCAAAAATCAGACTTCTTGCAGTACAAAGTGATATAGTTTGTGGTTGTAGCTTTGGCAGCCCCACCGAACACGACACTACATGCACTATATTGGTAACTGCAGTCTGCTGGAGTAATTGTCAGCAGTCTTCAGAGTTCTTCCTGCTAACAGAGTGAAAGCACAGTGGTTCACACAATCTTAACCTAAAGCTCCTGTAAGGAGTTTTTCATCAATAACACTGATGTCCCTTCATGAGCAAATGAACGCACTATTTTAAAAAGTGATTATTTCTGTGTGAGTATTTTTAAAAGCAACAGTGATGATAGATGATCTGATCTTTTTGGACCTCAGTTTTCAAACATTTGTTTTTATATGGGAGAAAGGCAGACCTGCATAAGGAGCTCCATGTATGTTTAGTTAATTTCTTCGGGGGTTTATTCATGGTCTCGGCAGCACCTTCAAATGAGCCGCTCTGAGATGAGGCTCTTCTCCCTGCTGGCTCTTGCTGGTCAGTATTAACCTATTTAGGGCGGCTTTTAGGCTCCTCCATCCCCCCTATACTCTTTCACAATTTATGAGGCCCAATCAATACAGAGTGGAGCACCCACATGAAAAATGGTTCTGGGGTAAACACAGAGAGGGGCACATCAAAGAAAAGAGATACCACTCACCAAATTAATATAACCTAATACACAACGAGAAGAGCTCCAGACCCCCCAGAGCCTAATACCTGGTTAGAGCACTTTTATTTCCCCCTTCCTCCTTCCTGCCTTCCTCTACACCCTCTCATAAAGCTTTATCAAAAGCTAATTATCCTCAAAAACAATGAAATAACTCATATGATGGCAGCTTATATGGAGTTTATTGTATGAGCCTGTTGGCAAGAGTGCCCTACAAAAATTATATTGTCACTTACCTATTAATGAAGACAAGTTTGCAGGCAGTCTTTGGTCCATTTTAATTTATATTAATTCTCTGTCAGCCCTCGTTATGGGTGTTATTAAACTGCATCCGGAAGCTAAACAAGGCTTTTGACCCATGCACAGGTTTGAATAAATCTCTCTCTATCATTTAGAGGCTGTGAGCGGGCGAAATACCTTTACAAACAATCCGGGACAAAGAGGGACGTGAGAAGAATTAAGACGGGCTTAACTTCAACAATTTCTGAGGCGTCTTTGTGGTAATGATGCAGATTCACAGTACAGATCAAACATCCTTAAAAGAGGAGGATATGAAGGATAGCTTGTGTTGCATGTTGAAGTACTGCGCTAGTATCATTAAAGTCTGTTACACAGTCATGGAAAACCGGGGCACTTATAACACCTTGTTGACGCACCTGTTATGCACTCTGGCTAGTTTTTTGTTTGTCTGCTGAGTGTCCATTTACTTGTTCCATTAAGCTCAAACAATAAAAGTTCTGTGGGCAAAAAAAACTTGATTTGGATAAATCAATCCATTTATACTTTTGCGCCATAAACCAATAAATCAAACACAAATTCCAGCCGCCCGCCTTCTTGTGCGCCACACTTGAAGTAATTAGTGGGCACTTTAAATGCCCTTTGGTGCTCTCCACAGCGCCACACAGGTAAACTAAAGAACGGTTCCACCACACCTGATAACACTTTTCTTACTATAACCAGTCAAAACTGCACAAACCAAACTGCAAGTCAATCATGAAAAGAATTGCTGCTCAAACTGGACCTGCTGCAAGTTTCTAAATCCAATTCACCTGCTGTACCAGTTAGTTTCATACTGGTAGCCAAATTTGCACCATCAGTTTTAAGAAAATTATGCTAGGACAGAACCTGTACCTCAAGAGTTGGTTGAGAAATGCTATCCATCTTTACATAAATCATATGAACCAAAGGCCTTTTAAAATGTTCTTGTTTTCAGTAAAGAAAATACTTCAACATATCAAAAAGTTTTAAAGGAAAGTATCAGTTGGCATGAAATTTGCTGCATCATGTTATCAAAAAATAACAATACCATTGGAGTTTTTGGTCTGCTGTCTTTGTAAGAGCTAAGTCTATACTTTTAGCTACTGAGATGCTTGACCGAGGTCAGTGGTTCTCGAGTCCAGTCCTCCAGGCCCACTGTCCTGCATGTTTTGGATGTTTCCCTGCTCTAACACACCTGATTCAAATGATTAGCTCGTTATTAAGCTCTGTAATGGCTTAATAACGAGCTGATCATTTGAATCAGGTGTGTTGGAGCAGGGAAACATCCAAAACATGCAGGACAGGGGGCCTCAAGGACTGGACTTGAGAACCACTGACCTAGAGTAACCTGGTTGATGCACCACGTGACTGGTTTCTTACACTACAGTGAGATTTTGATGATCAGTGGTAGTCCGGACGCTGTTTCTCAGATGCAGTGGACAAAAATTTATTGCAATAAACATTAAAAAATCCATTTTGCAATTGACATCAAGCAACACAGACAAAACAAAAAAAAAATGCCGGCATTTAGCGCCACAGCGGTCAAAAACCTTTTGCCCTTCTGGGTCAATCACCTGCCCACAACAGTGACATAGCTACCTTTATTCCTGAGCCCCAGATAATAAGACAGCAACAAATTTGGCTCCTACAGCCTTGCTTTTCTGAGATACTATAAAAGTTGTTCTCACTTTATATGACATTTTTCAAGTGTCAAATACGAAGATTTGTCAAGTGCAGCATTATTTTCAGCTTCAACCAACTGACTGACCACAAAGTGAGAGAATAGTCTGCATAATGTCTTTGCCAGTTAATATGCAGGCTCTTTGACATGTTTAATGTCAGAAAATAGGTATACTATTTATGTATCAAATCTGGGTTCAGTGTAAGAAATATCTTTTCCTCCACCTTCAGTAACCTAATTTCAGTGTCATAACATGCCACAGAAAGGTTGAATAACCCGCTGATATGCTCCCATTACTCTGTCCCAATTTCCTTTCACTAGATCTGCATTAAAACCGCAAAGCTGATCTGTTGCCAGAGCCCCTGATCATTGATGGTGTTGAAGAGAAGGTCACAGATGACGTTCACACCAGAAAATCTGCATCACATCACTGATTCTAACAGAGCTGATGGGCAGTGATTGGCTAATGAGGCTGAAACTGCACCATTCCAGTCAATTTAACCAAATGCTTCATGTTCATGTAAAAATATTAAATATACGTCACAGTTCTGCGTCTATTCCCAAAAGGATGAGGTTTTTTAACGCAGCTTTCCCAGAAACAAACCCTCATTTCCTCCAAAACGGTCTCTCTCTTATGACCAAGACAAACACTGCCATGCTTAATCCTCCTGTGTTAACAGTTGTCTTCCTGGCAGCCATATTGGTTGTTTCACCCCTCTACTCTGCACCCGTTCCAGGAAGAAGGAGCTATTGTTAAATGATCCATTCATTCTCCATGGCTGTGTGAAGAGCTTCTGGTCAGTGGAGAGTGTCTAATCTGCCATGCTGTCTGTGTTTGTATGGCTGTAACGCCAATGACTGACTGTTATTTGTATTCCCTTCACAACAGTCCACCTATTGGTCTGACTGCCTGTCTGCCTGTCTGTCTCTCTGACTGGCACAAATATCTGCACTGTCTGCCTGACTGCTGCACTGACTGACCACCTGTCTGAACACCTGATTGGGTCTAACTGCCTGTCTGACTGCATCAATATCACATTTCCTAAATGTCCGCCTTTGTGTCTGAAAACCTGACCGTTTGAATTTCTGCCTGGAGGTTGAACTGCGTGACTGCCTGTCTGTCTGACAGCTTGTCTACTTGCGTTCCCAAATGCCTAGATATTTGACTACTTGAGTTTGCACACCTGTCTCCATTTCCACCTACTTGTGTCAAAAGATGAATGCTCGCATGAGCCAGAAAGTGAACAAAACTCAATAACAGGGAGTGGATGAATGAAAGTCTGGACGTGAAGGAAAGTGGAAAGAGCATTTTAGTTTCAGAACTGAGGCCAGTCTTGAAGTACATAATGGCCTCAGTTTTTCTGAACCAGCGAGAGACGACTCAGCTGTTTGAGTAAGAAGTGAAGTGTTTCAGATGGGAAAAAGGAACTTACCTTTCCCATCGTTCAGTTTTTCCTGAGTATTTTGAAGCTGAAATGGTGTTGCACCTCTTGTGGACAGTAAACTTTACGGCTATTGATCAGATACTTATGGGATAGTTATTCAGAACCTCAGGTCTTGAGAGATGAGGCCGGTTTGTACTAAAAACTGCACCAGAACCTTTGTCGCTGTGCGTGACCCCCCCCCCCCACCCTCTCTTCCTATAGTTTCTGGCTCTCTTTCTTGTTGCCAAATCAAGGTACAGAGAAAAAAAAAAGCTTTATTTGGGACTCAGGATTTTTAGTCGTTTTACCTTATATTTTCTAACTATGTTCAATTTTCAAAGCTTTTTTAAACCCCATTGGGAAAAACTGTTTCACAATTTTATTCCCAAAACTAAAACAAATTCCTGGTTTTCACATCGCTTCTCACTCCACATGGCTCAAACATAAATAAATTTCTCCTTATTTTCTTAATTAAAAAATAGAATGTAAACAGGATTTTTTTTTAATTTGCTCAAAAATGGAAAATGTTTAAGAAACACCATCCTTAAAATACGATGCGCAATACCTAATGAATAAACGTACTGGAGATTCATGGCAATAAACTGTATTTATTTATCAATATTTGCTGAAAGTTCATTGACATAGTATATAACAGCTACTATAAAATTCAATGAACACTCGTGATTAACCCTTAAAGCTTTGGTTCTCATATGATATTTTCTACAATAAGAAATCTTACAACATTTTATAACTCTAAATAACCATAAACTGCACACCTTCCAGCATCTTCATGGCCACAAACTAAAACCACAGTCGACACAACTTTTAGTATTTTTTGCATCATGTCATCTTTAACTGTTTTTTTAATGTATCACCATACCCAGTCCCTGAACCTTTATATGTACAAAGGCTGGATAGCATCAGTGTCAGTTGTGGTACAGTAGAGGAGTTCTTTGACTGTCCTTCAGACAAGTGGGGGTCTGATCCCTGGTCCCCATGTCAGGTGTCCTTGGCCAGAACACTTAACCCCAAACTGCCCTTGGTGGCTATGCCAATGGTGTGTGACTTTGATTAGTTAATACTGATGGGTGCTTCATGTGGGACATCTTTACATCTGCCATCAGTGTGCAAATGTGGTGTGAAAGGCTAAATGTGACATGTGCAGTGAGAGGTCAGACGAGAGAAAGTGCGTACAGTCCATTTACCATTTACTCTAAGAACAGCATGTTGAATGGCAGCTGTAATGACTTTACATTACATTCTATGATATGTGCGGTTTTTGCGTCTGAATATCTGTAGTAATATGAGCTTTTGTAATGTTGGATGCTTTACATTTTAAAGAGGGGGGTATTGTGCTTTTTTCAGACTACCAGAGGGTCCACTACCTATTTTCAAAAGCAGTCTAAATCCGATATTAACAGCATTTTCATCTTCAAAAGTTGTCAACACAACCTGCCATAGCTCCACTAATAAAATAAATCAGATATGCAGCAAATAAAATTAATATTATCACCTAACAGAGCTCTTCCAAAACCTCTTCATATGCTATCTGATTCACTATTCCACCTTTTTGTCCTTCAAACTGAAGTCATGTACTCCTTGGTTTTATCTGCAGAGTTAACGGGACAGTCAAGGTGAAAAGCTCAGTGCCACTGTGATAATCAGAGCAAGAGGAACTGGCCACAGCTAGCTCTGAAAATGGATGTCTCACCGGGGAGAATATTGCATATGGTGCATTATTATTATTTTTTTATTAGGTCAAAAAATGCTTTGTAAAGCATTTTATTGCAGCAGGCGGGAATAGCAGATGAATTTCTCACTGGGATAATGCGCAGCCAAGCTTCTTCCTCTGCGTGTTGTCTCCATAAATATTCAGACCCACAGTCCAGGGGTCATGTTGGGTGAGAGGAAAGCTGCGGTTATTCAAACAGTGTTTTGCTGACGTGTTTTAAAAGGTTGATACAGGTCATGTTGTCTGAATGATCCTACAGCCTGCCTTATTTCTCTTTTAATATTTAACACATCCTGTTTTTAATCACATTCCTTTCCTCTTTTCTAAACTTCCAGCCTTCGTTTCTTCTCTCGTCTTGTTAGGTACCTCTGTCAACCTCTGCTCTCTCACCTCTGTCCCCAGTTAACGTGTGTCTCTGTCTCTCTGACTCATCCTCAGTCGCTGCCTCTGTATAACCTTCCCATAACCTCATTCTTTATCCTTGTAAGAAACTCTGGCTCTCCCTTACAAATGCAGTGCCTTTTCAATGTTTTGAAAGTTGTTAATAGTATGAGGTGATGTTAAGAAGTTAGCAAACTGGCCAGAAACTCTGGACAAGGCCATGTTTGATCTGCTCCCTCATGTTCCCATGCAGTCTTTTTGATAAGCATTAGCTTTAACCAGACTGATTAGAGTAGCATCCTCACACATCTTTCAGCTCTTTTTAATAACTCTCACACAGGTATAATAATGTTGGTAAATCCTGCACAGTTTTACTTTTGTGATTACAGTTCCCCTCCCTAGACATGCAGGTGCAAATGTTTACATGGTTGTGTACAAGTGGGGTGACCATGTTCTGAATCCCCAAAAAGAGGACACGACTACAGGGGGGCCTAATTAATTTTGAGAGTTTTTCGGGTCGGGTCGAGTGTTTTTTATGTGCTTCTAACTCAGTTAGTCCATGCAACACAAACTCAACACTTCCCTGCAAAACCCCGGACATTTGAAGGATTTTATGAACTCCCCCAGACAAACCCTGAGGAGGCCTGACTGACCGGACAGCCCCCAAAAAAGAGGACATGTCCAGGTAAAAGAGGACGTATGGTCACACTAGTACAAGACAAGCTTTCTGTTTGGAGATATTTTTACATTTTCTCAGAAGCTGCCACTGACCCTACATCCCTCTCTTCGCTCCTCTGCACCTCAATCCTTTGTCCCCCTTCCTCACTCAGGTATTTTCATCTTCTCTGCCTTTTTGAAACCAGGGGCTCATTCAATTAGCCATCTGCTAGCCTGACCAGCTGCAGCAGTGTGACCATCTCGTTGGATAGTGTGACCCCGAGGGTCAGGACAGGTGAGTGGACAACAATCAGCCACTTTGATTACTCCCTTAACCACTGCAGAGCAACCAATCTACCACAGGGTTACCAGTGAACCTATTAACCTGTTCGCCCACACACACGCACACACACACACTTACTCACTGCAAGGAAATTGGATGTTGGAGGAAGGGCCTGATGTGGTATTTTCTAATGGAAATCCAGAGAGTAAAATAAAGTCTAGAGGTATTTTATGTACATAAGGCTTTTGAATACATGTCTGTTTGTGTTACAGTCACCAAAATAAAACCAGGAACTCAATCCATGAGGTTATTATTTCAAAGACTTCCTCTTTCTCTTTTGTAGTCCTGTTTTATTTCCTCCTTGCCCGAACTGATTGACATTAAGTCACACAGAAATATCCCCAACCTGCATCAGTGAAGAGCCTCAAGTGTGTGTGTCAATGTGTGTGTGGCAACAAGGTCAGCAAACACAGGCAGCAATTAAATAGCTGCTTGTAGGCTTCATTGATTAAGCTGTTAGCTGTTTTTTTTTTCTCTTGAACTGGATTTTTTAACCATTTAGGAGATCATTTGCAGTTTCACAGGTTCATATAAAGTGCTTTGCCAGTTACTTCTGTTACCAAATAGCTGTACTGGACACAAGTAAAAGCACTGTGTGAGAATGAGGGAAGTCCAGGGGTCAAAGAAAGCCGGTATGCAGCGGTACGCCATACCAGGAAGACATAAACAGCAGTTTACATCCGGTATGCAGCAGCATGTAAACTCTCACCCCTGCAATGTATGTAGGCCACAATTGCTTACCGTGTTGCCGCACGTCACTCTGCACTCTGCATTGTAACCGTAGTAATCCAATGGTACCATGCTGCTTGCGAGTGAGTCGTATTTGCCTCTGTAAACAAACTCCAAGTGGGCGCGCTCAGTGCGCACTTTTGATTGGATGCTGGTTGCCTAGGCGCTGGGGACCGCCTTCTGCCTTTTGCGGAAGGAGGGAATTTTTAAAGAGACAGCTGCTTCAATCTTAATGCAGAAATAAAATGACATGAATGCAGAGAAAATTGATTTTATGTTCAAGAGAAAGAGAGATGCAGCAGATGATGATACTGTGGCATCAGAGTCGGCACCTTGTTAAACTTCGGTGTGCTCCTCTTGTACAAGGCCTATGGGTACAGTATCTGCAAGAACTTTATCCTACTTTAACCCCTGGAGAAGTCCCTCTACAGGAAAAAACAGATCAGGGTTTTGTCTGCAGAAGAGTGTCCATGATATATTTTTTCATGCTTGTGACAACTCATTTATTTTCCGTCTACTTTGGCCAAGATGTATGTGCAGCTCGTAAAAAATATCAGCAAGCTTTCCATTGTCTGGATTTTGGACGATTGAGGTGGACATTAGACAAGCTGTTCATGCTGTCAAACTGAACAATCTAACCTGTCATGAGAATCAAGCCATTCTGGACAGCCTTGTCTTATGCACCCAAAGAAACAAAGAGGCTGTGGAAACACAAGCAAAATTAGAGTTTACCATAACAAACTGCACATGCTCCAATTTAGTGCAAGTCAGTACATTTACATGCATAGTTAAGTTGAGCTACAGTCATAGCTGGATTAGGTGTTTAACTTGATTACTTTCTTTATCCTGGTTTACAAGAACTGGGTAAGAATCGAATCGTAAGTGGGGACATGCATCCTCCCAGCTTGTGGTTATCTAGTTGTACCTCAGCTGACTTATTACGTTGACGAAACATGTTTGCAGGAGACTAACAGGATGTACGTCAAGCGTTATTTTTACAGCTCTTTACAGTGTGATAAGAAGGTTCTTTTCTTTGTCTGTTGAGGTTTTATTTACTACCCGGCCTCCTAGCAATGCATTAGTGCTATTCAACTTCTAGCTCAAGGTCTGGTGTGCAAATACTGGAGCATGGAAGAGAAAATCAGTCCCCAACCACATTATGTTATTCCAACTTTAAGTAGCTTTATTAAGTGTGTTTTATGTAACTAATATATTGTGAACTGATTTTATCTGTAGCCTATACCATCCAAGGGAAACTTCAGCACTCTCCCATATCAGCATTCAAATCAGGGAGTCAAACCAAGTGTAATGAAAATACACAATATTAATATAAAAAGGACGAAAAACAGTGATGCTGATATTATACTGACAACTGTGGAAAAACTGCAAATCTTCAGCTCTACTTTGCACTTGGAGTCAATTACACAAGGCTACACTCATATGTGATAAATGAGCCCGCAGGAGAAAAGGGTGTCAGCAGGGAGGATGGATGAAAGACAGCACGGATCAGTTGGTTGTAGCTACACAGATCGTCCTCACATCAGTGCAGCTGAAGATTTCACTGAATACTGAATAAGCTCTGAATGTCGGTGTCCTACAAAAAATTGAAATCCTGCTTCTTCACTGCTCTAACAAGGTCCTGGAGTGATGCAGCTGGAGGCAAGTCTTGTGGTGCAGATGTAGTTCAAAGTAGCAGAATTGGTAATAAGAGGAAGAACTGGAAAAGTAGCACGGGGATCGATGGTCAGCGTGAGCGAGAAGGCAAAGTGAACAGCACCATCCTCAGAAACTCTCATAGACGGATAAAATCAAAGCGTTTGTGTCACAATGTGGACCGTGTTCTTATTTGCTTACTGACTAGAACCTTAACTAATGACACACAAAGTAAATTTATGTATTCATTTACACATGCACTAAAAACCTACACCATAATCATGAGTGCGCTGGAAAACCTGGTTAGATCACAGGCATGTGTGTGAGTTCATGAATGCTAATTGGTCGTAAAGTGACAACACACCCCCGCCATAGCAATTAGCTTAAATCCTCACCCATGACTAGCTGATGAACGCCATATACAGAGGTGTGGATGAAAGAGTGAGAAAGAGTTACTGAGAATTAAAAACGTGATTTCTGAGAATAACGAGCCTTATTGGTGTGAAATCCTAATTTACACAAACACTATGCATGATCAGAGAAAGGCGTAGATTTTGTGAGTAGCAATGAACAAATCATAACTACTTAAATTTTGACAAATGCTGGATCCCCTATAAGTTTAGTTGAGCAAAAAAAGCAACACAAATCTATTCTGTTCACATTTCATGAAGATTAAAATCCCACATTTGATGAGAAGTATTCTGAGTCACAGGGAGTTGAACGCCAGCATTGGCAGAATCTTTAAATATTTTGCCTTACAATTAGTAAAACATATTGTATGATTGTCAGTGGTGCTGGTGGGAGGATTGTGCTAGCTTACCGAACATTTTTTTCAAAACTATCCTTATCTATGGTAGCTTCTTACTTTCCTGTAAGAAAGTGGCATCGTCAATCTCTTTATTTAACCCTCACAAAGAAAGTTGAGCACAAGACCCTCAACGTTTTGAAAGTTTCATACTGACTTTATATAGAGTCTTTGTAAGATCGTCATGACAGGAGCAAAAATAACCCTGCACTCTGAGGTCATGAGGGTGAACTTCAGCACCTTTTGAACAAAACTTCAGCTTCCTGATTATAACTCTGTATCTCTACCCTTTAACCTCCCACATGCAGCACAGAAATAGATCAAGCCCCGCCACACTGCGCTTCCTCTTCACACTCCCATATGAACGCTATCTGTCTAAGTCTCATTATTAACTCTGAGCATCCTGGTGCATATAGAGGTATAGAATTCAGTGATTCCAGGCTCTGTTCGCACATCATGAATCTATAAGTGTCTCTAATTTTGGACAGAGAAAGGAGAGATGGAGGAAGGTGACCCTGGCTGTGTTCTTAATCATCAGCTGGTCTGGATGAGGTTAAGAATGGAAATTGGTTTGGCTCTGTAGTGAATCTATTATCATATCTCCTCTGTCCTCCGCCCAGCTCCGCCTTTGTTTCTCATCTCTGTTAGACACCGTTTTACATCTCGCTCACTCTTCTTGTCCGCCCGTCTCCTCTTTGTCATTCACTCTTTTTTTTCCTCTGCTCACTTTTCTCCACGTCTTCTTCTCTGTGATGTAAAAACTGCCTCAGCATATTGATAATGGGATTTATTTAAATAGCCCCCCTAAAGGGAAAGGACATCCTCTGTGACATCTGCAGTTATTATATTAAATCATGTAGGTGTCTGCATTATTCCCCCTTATCTACCACCCTGTATTATCCTCCAAAATCAAACAGCCTACTTTCTTTGTATTTTTTATCAGAAATATCTGAACACACTATCAATCAGCTTTGGAAGAACTTTCAACTTCTACATCCATTCACACACACTGTGAAGTTTCCTCTCGCTGCAAACACTTGTTGGTTCATTAGGAGCCTGTCGGAGTGATGGACTCTTTGTTAGGCTGATTAAACGGTCTCTCTAATTAGCGGCTATATCACGGCTCAGTTCACAGCTGCTGTAGCAACAGTAAGTTATGAGGCCCTACAAACATTAAGAAATTCTTTCCTTAGTTAGTTAGAACACCTATGATGTGCAAAAAAAGTCAAATTATAGTGGATTTATTTTGGCAGATTGTTCGACTCTCTCTTGAATTCTCCTGAAAAAGGTAGAACTAAAACATTGGATAAATGTAATTTCTGTGAAATGTCACTTCAGTGGTACGATAAAGTTATTTGGTATAAAAGTGGGTGGTGTGATAGCTCCCCAAAAGTAAAGCCAAAACAGTCTCAGTTTCTCCAACTGACAGGCCACAGTATAGAGACCACCCCCTCCATGTAAACAGATGGGACATTGGTAAAACTTCAAGATCAGAATATACTTCGCATTTATTTTTTTAAACCATGCTTTCTGACATTTCAGTTCTGATCTTGATGATTCATGGCCAGATCTTAATTTTTCAAACTACTTCAGTTTTAATAAGACTTTTTAAGTAACAAAAGGGACTACTGTTGACAGATGCTAATCCTGTATTACTGCATTCTCTGCATTAACAGATTAGATGTCAAACAGACACAAGAATCTATTCTGTTGTAGACTGTACTACCCCAGGTCTTGGCTGTTTAGTTTGACAGAAAAAATAGTGTTTTGGGGACGAGGCATTAAGGCTATATCACTAAAAGCCAGGACGAAGTGTGCTGGTTTTGGCTCCAACTATGAAAAATATTTGCAGCTATTGCTGGAAGTATTTTGGTGTCATGTCTGTACAGCAGGAGGAGGTGGAGATGTGTTGTCCATTTTCAAACACAATCCATGTTCAATTGGTCTAATGATAAACTGAGGAATAATTACACCCATGAATGGAGGATACAGCTTCTTGTAAGTAAGTATCTGGCTACATCGAATCTATGAATAGTGGTTGCAATGCACCAGTCAGAGGATAGAGGCTTTTCCTTGTAACTGTAACTTTGTAAATGCAGCAGAGTGCTCTATGGTGGATTAAGAGAGGATAAGATTTAGTCTTAAAATAGGATGAGATTGAATCTTAACTTGATGGTGGTCTTTTTAAATACTGCTGTTTATAGGGAGTATGGTCTAGACCTGCTCTTTATTGTAAAGCTTCTTGAGATAAATCCGTACTGTGTAAATTAGGACTGACTAACTGACTGTCTGATTGTTTGATTGACTGGTTCAAGAAAATTTCCAAGTCAATCAGTTTAAATGTTCAGTTAAGTTTAACTGGACTACTGCGGCCCAGTTTACATGCACTGGGCAAAGATCAGATTATTGACTGAAGCTTCTGCTACAGTAGGTGGCGACATGCCCCCTTTCAGCTTGACACGACTGGTCGTCCCCTTATTGACTCATTACATATCAAAACTAAACCTCCTTTCTTAGAGCTAACTAGCACACTGGCCACACAGTGACCTCTATGGGATTGGAGGTTGTTGTGATCACATGAATTTGAGGGGAATTACAGACACATTCAATAAATTTAATGGACTGATGTGAAATCAATACACTGTCATAAAAACAAACATCCCGATACTGTAGCTGTCTCAAATCTTTTGGAGAGTCCTTTAATACCACCCTTTAATTTATTTTATGTGAGTTGGCAGAGAGTTGTGAAAAGTACTTATTCCAATTTTACAGCCTTCCCAAAGTGACATATTGGTTGTTGTTTCCCTCAAACAGCAAACCCAGAAAACTTTTAGTCAATATTTATCTAAAAATCCTCCTAGTCGGTCTCTGTTTTGCAGACGCTGCAAATGATAACTGAGGACTTTTAACATTTTTACACTGCGCTCATTAAAACAGACAGGGTTTGTGTGGAGCCTGTTTCCTCTGTAAGCAAAGGAACCAGCTCTGTCTAAACTGAGGCTGTCACATCAAAACAACTCCAACTGCAGAGATGTTTTTTCCACCTTTCAGAGTTTTCTTCTCCGCAACATCAGCATAGCGAGATTTCACTATAATCAAGAGGAAGTTTTTGGAAGACTCTTAGAGAGTTTACAACTGTACTGCATCAGCAGAGCAGTTTGGAAACAGTCCAGCAGTTTGTGTTAGTCCTTCTTTTTAACTGTAGGCCAGAGATAACATTAACCTTTCTCTGCTGTAGGAAACAAGAGTCCTGTGAGGTGGAAGAGGTCCCCAAGTGTAAATGTACTCCAACAAAACTGTGGGTGTTGTTTGACTCGCTAAAAGCACCTGTTATTTGTGCTGTATTTATGTTTTATTTGTGGTCATCCTTAAAGGATCCAAAAACTGCATGAATGGCCAATACACTGCTAGAAATGTTCCTTTTTCCTGGCTGGAGCCTTTCACCGTGCTTTAGCAGTGTGATAGCCAGATAATCAATCTCACAAGCGGATGCTAATTGTTACATTTAAGGTATTGATTTTTGTGGAGATGGAGTTTCTTAACCCTATGAAATGACTGTTCCGAGGGAACAACCAGAGCTTCACATGCATTGACTTCATTATCTGTTTTTATATAGTGAGCGCTGAAAATAACTACCTTTTAATTTATTCTGACAATGATCTTTCAATATGCTTCTCTGTGTTCGCTAACATGTTATCATATGTTCCCTCTGTGGGTTTGTTACCAGAGATTCATTCATGTCAACAGAGCTCAGTGAGTGAAGAGAGTGAGCCAACATGATGACAGGGATCAGACTCACAAGGCCTCAACAAGGGCGCGACTCGAAATGTTGGTTCAAGACATTTGATGTGGAAAAGGTTAAGATAAAAAAACGAAAAGGATAAAGAAGAAAAACCAGCCAGAATAATATATTTCATCACCCTGTTTGTCATCTTTTACTGTTTGCTCAACAGACTAGGTAGAGAAAGCCTAAAATTAACTACATTAGATAAAAAATGTTCAGTGATTGAAAATAGTCAAATGAATTACTTTTTTTTTTTTTTAAGTACAATGAATTGAAAAAATGACAAAAAGCTTCTGAAATTATTCAAGGAAGATGAAAAGCAGCAGGTTTGAGTATATTTCTGATTAAATCTGAAATGAGTAGTTCTGTCGGATAAGAAGATTATTTTTCTGAGAACAAAAGTTTCAAGTGAGAGGTGATGTATGGTGAACAGGTGGTTATGCAAATGAAATCCAGCCAAGAGTTTGCAGGTCTGTCTCTGAGGGGATTCTCATTCACATCACCACCCATTCACTATCACCCCACATATTACCAGGCTACCAACGAAGAGCGTAAACAATTAGACACAAATTATTTATTAAAAAAAGATATTAAAAAGATTTACTAAAACAGATAAAAAAATGCTCCCTCTGATTCAACAGGGGCTTCAATAGCAACAGATTCTTTAATGAGCACACCTGTCGAACAAATTAATATTAGACGAATTAGTATTACCTTTGCTACAAATGACATTAAACTGAATGTAACTATTTAAGGTAACATCAGACAAGCTAAATTAGACTTCTACAGGAATATTCATGTTATTTCTGTCCTCAATCTGCTCTCATTGGTGATACATAAATAAAGACCGATGAGATATTTCAGACTTAAACACTAGGAAATCCGTGATACCAATTTCTGATTGATATATTGAACAATTTTGACAGAAAGACAGAAAATGACTAAAATGTTCTTTGGTCTTATTCGGTGAAAAGATTCATCTGGTTGATTCTGCCACCTTCACCCCTTTTTTGGGGAAGTGTGGTGAGGAGGAGGCCAGAATACATGATCCTTTATAAATGACGTATCTGCGCCACTAACTGAGACCAAGTGGCATCTCTGTGTCTGAATCTATCACTGCACCATAAGTGAGCGCACAGACAAGGGTTTAGATAGAGAGCAAATAAGTCCTCTCAAGACTGAGTGGGAATGAGCTAAAATCATTAGAGGTTCAAAATCAGCTGTACATAAGCTACAGGACATGACTTAGTTGCTGCAGACAGCATACAGCCTCCAACACCTCCCATTAGCATGCATTGTAGCAACACATTAGAGAGAAAGTGTGAACCCTCAGTCAGCAATTATCCCAATTAACTCATTCATGTCTAAACTGCATTATAGCTGCCTCATTATCCAAATTGTTGGATGCAAATTGTTGTCCTTGCCTTAGAGGAGATAATTTCCCCATTATGCTAGCTTGCTAAAGTGATGGCTAACGCACTCTGCCAAAATATCCATGTCTCTTCTCAAAAAAGCTGGAAAACACACTGTCTGATAATACAAACAGATGCCACAAGAAAGGCACAACATCCTAAACATCAGTTATACACAATTCACTTGATTTTCCTTCTCATGAGATTGAAAGAGGTCGCAAATGAGTCAGTGGAAAGATATCAATAGCAGGAAATAACACGACTCAGTGCACTGTAATTAGAGATTCAGTGAGATGAAAAGCCAAGATTCGCTCTTTGACACAGGTCACCCACAGTGAGACACAAATACTATCTAAATGTCATCAGGCATACTGTAGCTGCAGAATGTGCGAAGTGAATTCATTATTTTCATCTGTTTTCATCTCTGCGCCATCATATCCCCATCAAAGGAGTGTGAAAGAGAGAAATTAGAAAGTAAAGTTAAAAGTCAGAGCCGAGGAAAGTGTTCGAAATCAAGCTCTCCGAAACAGTCCAATATTAATTTATCCAAACAGATTTCTCTGATGATCAAATGAGACAATCTCTTTATTACATATGACGAACTATTAGATTGAAAACTATCTCCAGCATCATCTCTCATTCCTGGACTTGCTAGCTGAAGCTATCAGCGCACAGATCAGTAATTACTGCAGGTTGTCAACAATTTATCACAGAGCTCCCAAGGGGCCCAGCAACAGAGGCAGTATGTGATTGCACACGTGCACGCTCACGCACATAAAAATGTAATCACCGGCACGTGGATGCGCACAGAGCTGCCTGCATGCACTGCGCCCCAAAGACACACAGGTGTCAGTGTGACAGAACATTACTCCCCTGTCCTCCATGATAACTCTTAGTGCCTTGGGAACAGTTTTGCATGGCTCTTGTAAACACCCATTAACAGGAATTCATTTACGGTATTGTCTGTGGAGTGGCCAGGAAATTAGTTTCTATAAATATCATGTTTTGTTCTTTATTCTTTCACAGGTAAACAAACCCCTCTCCTCAGAGCTGTGCAACATTAGTATAGAGACCAATTAAACAAATAAAATTTGGAATTTCGCCACATTTTTTTTTCTACGGATGCATTAATGTTAAGAGAGAGTAACATCAAGCTAAGCTTTTTACACTCTGTGAAAAAAAACAGTTGTCCATTTGTCGGCAGGTTGTCAAAATAATTCTGTTATTGACGTCGAACAACACGACGATCCATCATCAAACAGCTAAGGTCACATTGTAAGTCATATCTTGTGCAGCTTACACACACACACATGAAACTCTACACTGACACATGCGCATAAACCCTCTCTCGCCGTACTGTTAAATCTGATTTATGAAAAGTGACAACAGCATCAGTGTTTTTAATTATTAATAGGAGCGAGTGTGTGGAAGTCATCTCTCAATCCTCCCACAAAGGTAATGGGGTTATTTGTTGTGGTGGAGGCTTTTACACCTTGATTCATTTGACAGCCGTCCCCTGTGTCAAGTGGAACAGCAACGGCGGGTGGATAAGGAGGCCATTCCCTGTGATCCGGTGACATTGACCCGTCTTACTGGAAAGCATGTGCACTCACACGCATGCACTATTGCACATTCACAACCACAAACCGCACACACGCGTTTACACCCATTTAATCTCGCACTGTGTGCTACCAGCCCTCTTATTGGGGAAGTGACACGATTACAGGAGCTGAAGGTGAAGAAGTGACCTCTCTTTAAATTGCACTTCAGCTGAACTGAATAAAAAAACACATTAAGAGGTTAAATGAAAAGGTTAAGTGATCTCCCTCACACTGAAACAACCTTCCATAAAAGCCGAATGTCAACACTCTTTTAATTTCATGTTTATTCAGTCTTTAAAACGTTACAGTCAATGTAGTTTCCTTTCTTTGTACACTGTGTTTATCATTCCAGGCATCTGTCAGGCTGCACAGCGCTTCAATCTGTGCTAATTACAACCCCACTGTGAAGGTGCACTGTACTCCAAAACCTTTCCACTGCTCCTCTTTCAGGGCTGCAGGAGCTCAGAACAAATTAGTCTAATAGCTGAAAAGTGCTTTCTAAGCAGTGACAGGGGTCAACTAGCTGGAAACACGCTCAGGTACGCCGGACAAGGACAAAGCAGAATATGGTTGTGAATATGCCTGGAAGGTGTATGTGAACAGTAGGCAATCAAAGACTGCTCAACAACCCAGGGATAAACTGTGCTGCACATATGAATGGAAATTGACAAAACTTATTGATCCCAGTGCCATTATCAATTCAGCTTATTGATCCTATTCTTTATCAATTCCTGTGGACTTTCTGTGTGCAAAAACTGCCCTTCAAAGGTTTTCAGTGTCAACAACACAAATGTTATTATGCTCTGCTGAAACACCAATGTCTGTCTTATAAATGGACCTGATTGCACATACAGCCTCTGATTGGTTGACAGACCAAAACAATGATTGCAACCTTTATCTAGCAAAGTCAATTAACATCACAATTGACGTTTCTTTATCAAAATTGAAACATAAATCATGTCGAGTATATGATAGCTAAAAAATAACATTATTTATAGTGAAGTGTCTGACTCATAGCTGCAGAGGTGTTGCTAAACCTGCTAGTACATCTGTGTTAGATGATGGTGGGTCCTCAGTTATAAGAAACAGCAATGTATTTACTAAACATATCTATGGCCACATATGCGTCTCATTTGTTTGTTTCTTTTCTGGTCATCTACCTTGATGTTTATGCTTCCTGGTTACTGCCAGTAAAGTGTTCCTGATGTCTCAATAAACCCACACTTATAGCACAGTGTCGGATGTGTGTTTATTAGCTTGGTCGAAGCATTACTTGTATGCAGGTTTTGCACTTATAAATAAAGATAAAATAAGAATAAAGCAAGAGACAGTGTTTAAAAATTTAAAAGTTTGCTTTACTTCAAGTGCAAAAGTTATGTTGCTTGTAGCCTATGTCATGTGTTTTTCTGTTCCTCTGAACTGCTGGTTACAACAGACTTGGCATGAACCTGATCTGCCATCTCATCAGGACATTGTTAAAGAACATGTCAACCCAGGAGCTCCAATCGCAAGCCTGTGTCACCGCCATCTTTTGTGTTCCTTCAAAAACAGCTGATTTCTCTTCCCAAAGACAAAAGCACCCCGATGAAGTAGGACAGTTTTAGACAACAGCTATAATACCTGTTTCTATTTGCTACTTCACTGATGATATCCAAAGACCGGTACAAACTGGATTTGCATCTTGACTGTTACCAAGCTTTTCCATCTATGAAGATTTTATATGAAGCCTCAGAACTGCAAGCTGCAAGCAAGGTATCAATAGTGAACAAAGAGCCTATGCACTAACAGCTAGCCTCAAACCCTTGCTGTGAAGGTTTTACTTTTAAGTCTTTTATGACCCTGAAAGGGTGTGAAATGTAACACCCAGACATGTCTTAATTTATATCAATGAAATCAAAATGGACTACTTCAGCAGAAAAGAGGGCTTTCATTGATCTCAGTATAAGATAAATAAGGAACATCTTGAGTCACTTGTTCAAGGTCAAGACTCACAAAATAAAACTTAAAAATGAGCATTAAAGGTCTCCTCCATTCTTTCCTAATTACCTTGGTGATGAATTGTAAAATCAGTGAGTTAACAATATTCATCAGCAGCTGCAAGCTTAACTTAACTATTCCCTCTACATTAATTTTTTTCAAACCTATCTTAATAATGGTATCTGAAAGTCATTTAAGCTTAAAATTCCTATTTCCAGGGTGTAACTACATCAACACAAACAAAGTAAACTGTGGAAAAGTAACCAGGAATTCCATCTCTGCCTGTCTAAGATCACAGTGCTATCTATTTGTTCATCCCTGTGTCTGCATCAGCAAACCAAATTAAAACTCATATCTTTGTGCTCCAGGCTTCGCAATATTATTTTCAATCAGCGAGAGATTTATTCAGCAGTGCATGACTAGCGATCTTTTATATCTATAAACGGTGAGACTCCATTAGCAGCATGGGAGGGTACCAACGGGACAAGATTAACCATTCATTTTACAGTTATTTTTACAGTATATTCATATTTATCTCACCTGCAGGCCATTCTCTGCCAAAGACATCGTTTCTGTTCTGCAACCATCAAGCCACAAAAATATCTCACTCGGAAAAGATAATAATATTAAGGTTTTATTTAAGTTATACACTTTTAATGGCGTGCATATTACAGACAAACTATGCGACCCGTTGTTAATTCTCCTGATGTTATCATGCAGACAGGATTTGAAAAGAGACATGGCATGAAACCATCAGTCTGATGCACCTGCTGGATGTAAACTGAGTGATAGATGATGGTAAGATCAAGAAAGTCTGATACTAGAACTTTTTCCTTTCTTTGACTTGCTGCAAATAAGTGATATTTTTTGCTTAAAGACCCTCTCTGATGAAAATCATGTTTTTCTTGTTTTTTGTATGTTCATATGGCACTTTTTTGATGCTACAAGACATATCATGAGAAAAATAAATGCAAAATTGCTTTTCTGTGCATTTCTTCATTCAAATTGCTGTGAATCGTTGGCAGACCACAATGGCAGGTTCAGAAACAGAGAGATTTCATATGTAATCAATCCAAGTTCCGCCCCCGGAGCCCGGATATGCAGGCCACACTTTGCATATAGAGGAGAAATAGAGAGGACGACCGCAGAACAAGAGTGTGCATTAGCGGATTGCAATGCTTGTAAAAGAGCTAATTAGGATTTTAACATTTAACATCATCCTGAAAGACATTAGTGACATTAGAGCTGAATAGCTCCTTTGTTACCTGACCCTTCTACTACACCGGCAATGTTAGGCTGTAAGCTAGCATGAAGAGGACTGTGCAGAGCAGCGCTGTCTCCGCCCACGATTTAGAGGCAAATTGCTAATGAGCTCTGCAGAAGAAAAGCCCTTGAAAATGATACAGGTAATGTGATTTTTGGTAAAAACATCATAATCACAATTTAAAGACCACTGAGAAAACTTTAAGTAGTAAAAAAAACAATCAAAGTGGGACGTCAAATCATCAGATCAGTCATCCAACTTCTACTCACAAATGTAATTGTTGCGGCGACTGCCATGCCCTGACGTCACAAAGAGATGGCCACTGTGGCTTTTCTGGTTAATATCAATGATTTGCCTATTGTATCCATTTGTTAAGAAAACTGTGGATTGTTTATTCACCTCTCTACCACACATTACTTTTCATTAACTGCTTTAAATCCACCTGACTGAAAAAGAAATACTTTGAAGTCCCTTTTGCTTCATTTCTTATGCCATTATGACTGTAAATACATTCATTTGAACAAAAACATCAGTCACCTGTTGGCCCTACGGTTTTAGTTTTGGCTGCAATAATAGGCGTCAGTGCCAGTGCTGATATTTACTGCAGGTCCTTTAACTCTGGCATCCCCTCATTATTTCCACCTTTTCCCTCTTCACACTCATCTCTCTGTGCCTAAAAAGTCAGCAGGTCTTTTTTCATCTGCAAATGCCACCATGAGCTGTATTGTCACCAGCTGGTCCTATTTTCTCTGCATTTTTTTTCCTCACCCCCATCTTTTCCTCTGCTTCTCATGGCGCTGCTTTGACAGTGAGAATTATACAGCAGGTCAGGACTAATGAGTGGGTCTGGAACATTTTCTCATATTTATCCAGATGAACCTGCTGATCTTGCGCCTCTCTAACCTCCTCTCTTATGCAGTTTGTTGTTTTCAGTTTCCTCGTGGTGCTTTCTTTCTTGAGTTCAAACTGCCACAGATTTAAAATTCAGACTTTTGATTTCCAAATAAAAAAGTTTGGGAGGTTATAAGTTGCAGTGATAAGATCCTGGAGACTCATTTGGGCTCTGAGACCAGCCTGGGACCTATTTTAGCATTTCTTTGGTCCCCACTTATTTCTGCAACGATCAAGTTAAAGTTTAAAAGGACACGCTGCCTGGTGGTAAATAATAGATAGCATATTTGAGTTTTTAAGCCTTCTTCAGTACTTTTTTCTGTCTTGCTGACCCACTTTGAAAGACCTACAAACCCCTTTTTCCCCTCCAATGAACAACACCGTTGTCTTTACCGACAGTCTTGTGGAAAAGACATTCATTGACTTTTCTAAATATGGTACATAACTGGCCTAATATGGAAATCCTTACACTTGGGGCAACAGAATGAGATTTGCGCTGCAAGTCAACACTGTTTCTTGTAATGGAGGATATGTCTTTCCACATCTCTGGCAGACAAAGAGATTTGCTTTCGTTGAAAAATCTTTCCCGACCTTGTTCCAAACCCATTTGGGGTTGTAAATTCGCCATGCTCCGCTCTCAGAAGTCAAATTTACCCCAAACTCCCTTGATAATTCCTTCCGATCCATTACCCTGCATGCTGATATGTTGTGTTGTTTGTAACTGCCGCACAGCTGCGTTAACTCCAAAACATACAATCAAGCAAAGGCAGACCGAGCAGACAAGGAGGAATTTATTCAGTAAACAGGCTTTTTTTATTTGATTTCCTGTTGTGCCGCCGCATACAGTAACAGAAAAGCGGTATTGTGTTCATTAGTTTGTGTGCATTAGCGGAGGGATCTAATGGTTTATGCATACGAGGCCAACAGCGGAGGGCTCTTGTGATTTAGGATGATGCTCGTTTTATGGAAATCAAAGCAAGAAATAAGAACAGTTCTTGTAATGCACAGATGCTTCCCCTCCTCCTGGTGTTCTCTCCCACACTTGTCTGTCAAGACTCCCCCACTCCTCCCCCTCACCCTCTTTCCCTTCGATTTTTCTCCTTCACCTTCCCACCATCCCCTTCTCTTGTTACTGTCAGAACACATTAGGATGTTACTAACGAGTGACTTAAATTAGGATCCCTGCAGTCCTCTCCAGGTGTGGGTAATGAGGTGAGAAGACAGGAGATTGGGGCTCCTCCTCCGTTCTTTCATTCACTAAACAAGAAAGAAAGATGGTTAAGTTTGGACGGGCAACACATCAAAATATTACCCCTGTGTACTCTTATGTTGCGGTGGTAATAATACACACAAATGAGAGTGAACACACATTTTTCTGCACAAGACTGAACACATCACAACCCTGACGGTGTTCGCTTTCGTGGCAAATGCTACTTTTGATGCACCGCTGTGGATTTATAGAAACCAGAAGTGAAATGCACAAGCGCAGACAAGCTTAATGATATGGAAATTGAAGCCGTAAGTTCATGAAATGCAGTAGTGAGCTCTCCTCTCAAGGCCATCGGCTAGATCTGAACTCCAGCAGCTGATGGGCTGTGATCTGTTATCGTCCCTGTGGCCTGGCCTCTCACAGACAGGCCAAATAGGTGGTCTCCCTCCACTGGAGGTGGAAATGAATCTGGCCTCAGATCCCTGCTCTTTTCTGCTCCCTCTAACACCCAGCTTGTCTCCCCCGTCTACCTATCTAGGCCATCTCACTTTGTTTGACGTGACCGGTGTGAGCAGCAGTTATACGTGTGTGTGTGTCTGTATGTGTGTGTGTGTTAAAGCCTCAACTTTTCCAAAGTACAGAATGATCAATCCCAGCAAGATTTTATTTTAAAAGAATTACCTTCGATTCTTTCTCCTGCTGATTTGAAGCTCTGAAGCAGCAGAGTCAGCGAAACACTCAGGGTCTCACATTTTTCGCACTCTTCATCACTGTCCATCAAGCTGCCATCCTTTTTTCAGCACCAACAGAGGCCTTGACAGAGTGACATAGTCAAAAATAATGGCCATCTGCCTTGCATGAAAGTTTTGTAATCTGATTAGCATCGTTCTTCGCTGCCTCAGCATGTTTCTGGTTCAGGGGCTTTCACTGTTTGAGTTACAGAGGAGAAGCAGAGGCACCGACCGAGAGTTTCCATATATACATGTAATAAGGTTCACTGGTTGTCTTGTCTGTCTGTGGGGTTGTAAAGCTGTCACTCCAGGCAGTTACACGGCTTCTTCTCTCAGCCTCTGCGCTCTTTTATTAAACCTTTACAGGGGGAAAGCTGTGCAAGGATAATAATGTTAAGGCTCACAGTGGTATAGGTGTGTGGCTGCAGAGAGTCAAGATTACTCAAATATGCATTAGCGTTCAGCTTTTCAGGTCTCTCTATATATATCGTGTCTGTGTTAGCATTATTGAATCGCAAATATTGTGTCAAGGAAGAAGCCAATTAAGCCAGAGCACTTATGAAAGGTTACAGAAGAAAAAGTGAGATTTTGAAGAATAAAGCTGCAACTTTCATAAGAAAAATGCCAGGATTTTATCTGACTGTAAGCCAGTATATTATTCAGATAGAGGGAGGATTTGAAGTGAAGCACAAAAATAAAGAACTTGCAAAACATAGTGAAAAACTTACTAACGTTTCAGTTTACAGGTTACTGAGAGTCCGATCTTCAGCACATCAGCACCATGTTGGGACAGGGATCAGGATTCTGAGTCGATCATGGAGGAAACGAGTCTCAAATGAAGAAGGGCAGGCTAATGGGCAGCCCCTGTACACTGCTGCTACTACTACTCTGTGAGAACTACTCTACAGTAAGACACAGAAAGATAACCCCTAAGGTGACTCCTCCTGTAGTATCCCCCTTACACATAATATTACTTACATATTAATCACAGCCTTAAAGAATGAATATTTTCATAAACTTACAGCTTTATTCTCATAAAATGATTTTATTGTAGAAAAATTTAGGGCATTATTTTTTCAAATTAAAGGCTTTAATCACTAAGTCTATTAGAATAATATTTATATTTACATCTTTGAGTAATTTTATGAGTAAAACTGCAACTCTTTGCTTGAAATATTACATCTTCATTCTTAAATCCCGGTAGCCTTAATTCTGCATTGCAGCCCATAAAGCAAAAACATATTTATTTCCAATAGCTTTAGTGCTTTCACACTCATACGTCATGATGCTGTCAGTTAGTCAATATCTGTCAAAAAGTCAATATCTGTGTCCCAATTCAGGGGAAGGATCCTCCAAATTCTTGCATATAGACTAGATAACCCAGACAGGACTAAATGAAACATTCATTGCAGTGAATTGGTCCATTTTGGTCAAAATTAACTAAAGTTATTTTGAAACTTGTCAAAAGTTTGATTTTCCTTTCTTTAACAAATGTGTTTTGCAAGAGGCCATGCTCTGTGGCAGCTGGGGGTCCTCTCTATACTGCTCCAGTGTTGTGCTGAAGTCCTACACGGATTAAATCAGCAATACATCATTATGACTACAAGATGTACATACACACACGAATCACCAAGGCTATTATTAACAGTACGGCTGCTCACACAGACTGCACAACCCAGCAATAATAAATGCTCAGCAGCAGCACAAAATCCTCAGAGGATGCTAGTTTTAACCCCCCACACACATGCACACATACACAGTTAGCTTATGTGTCCGACCACACAGACACTACCTCCCTGACTGTTGTGCAGAAACACAACTTCAACAGGTTTGCCAAAACCCAGACAAGTTTTACACTACACTGTAGTTTCCCTGTAAGTGTGATTGAAGTGAGCAACAACTCTGAATTAGCCGGACAATTAGCAATACTGCTAGCTAGCCTTGCCTCATATCAGGCCCTTAATACAGAGCTCAGTTAGCCCTGCTGCTTCTTTAATGTTCATGTCCATGCACTACTCAAAAAAATTTGGTTTCATACAGAGTTCATGTAAAGGTTAATGTTACTTATTTACAGTTAGCGCCCTCTGGAGCCCGGATCCCTTCTGTTGTAGCTTATCCTGAGCATGTGTTTCCCATATTTGTTTATTTTCTAGCATATTTTTAACGCATTTGTTTTTAGCTTTTTTATTTTCAGCATAATATTTCATTTCAGCATTTTCATTTTTTGCTTTGTTAAATTTGTCTTTGCACGTGTAAAAGAAGAAGCATTGCCCCTGAATATGCAGCATGTTTCTCCAGCTGAATTTCGCTCAGGCTGTTGTAGGTTGTTTAGCCTTGCCAGCCTCTGAGGAGATAAGATGAGGTTACAAAAGAAATCCAGCTTTTAGGGTGCTTCAAAGAGAGTACTGCCAAGAACAACTTCTGCAAAAACAACCGCACAGTTTTCTCCCTTTTGGGTGGGCCAAAAAAAATAAAAAATAGCAGGTCTCTTGTGCACACGTCTATGATCTCCACAATCAAGGCAAAGTTTGAAGATCTGTGCTGACAAAATAAATGTGACAAATTACAACAAGATCCATCACACACTACAGGACAAGCTGTCTCCTGAGTCTCAGTGGATGCTTATTGGACAGCTTGGATGAGCTCCAGCACGTTGTTGTGCTGCAGATTGGTCCCCAGCAGCACCTGGTGCTTTGTCTCTGCTTTAAACAGCTTCCGCCTCCATCGCTGGCTCCCTTCCTGACACAAAACTCCCCCATGGAAAAGAAAGAAGTGAATTGGTGTCTGCCTCCCTCTCAGGTACATCCTTCATCCCCCTCCTACCTTCTACTCCCCTACTCCCTCCTCTCTTGACTGCAATCCGCTGCCCACTCAAGCAGCTGTCAAGGTGAGGCGGTTTTACATGGTGAGGCTCCAATGCCCTTGTCCAATTTCACTTTGGAGTGAAGCTGGGCTGAACATGCCAATCCTGATATTACCAAACAAATTAAATCACGCGGTTGGGCGCAGAGGAGAGAGAGAGAGTGCTGAGGATGCTGAGATGGATGGGAGGAGGGAGGGAGGGAGGGAGGGAGGAGAACAGTTGTCAACCCTGCCGAGCAGCTCTCTGCCTGCTCTGATCAGGACATCCGAGGAGGAGAAGCATTAATTGGCTCGGGATGGAGGGCAGCACTGATGGGAGACAGCTCTGCTGCTGTCGGCCATGTCCAGGACAAAGCCATGATGGCGGGCAATTAAAGGCCTTATTAGAAATGAAGCAGCCGCGGGAGCTGCAGGTGAAGTGACAACCCCCCTGTCACACTGGCAGAAAAACATCTTTCTGATTTGGGTGGTGTAAGTTTACATCCCTGAAGATGTTTGTTGTTTTTGTGGTCTATTTTACCTTTAAGTATATCTTAAAAATTGGGGTCAAGATGCAGTCGAGGTTTCCATTTTGGTATTTTACAGCCAATCAGCCTGTAATAATGGTAAAACCTTATCATGCATTACTGATGACTCATACTGGTGGGTGTACGCAAACAAACAGCACTGGTGTACAGAGATGCCGTGACCCTTTGCGCTCTATGAATCAGACAATCTCTTTTTGTTCATTTGCACAGGTTTAGTGTGCTCAAAAGATGCACAATCCTTTGTAAACAAGGCCTTTACTTATGATTAAATATGAACAAGAGTCAGACAGAGAGAGTTTGATAGAGAAGTCGCATCTACTGCAAGCCTGCTTCATATATTATATAAGGCCTAGCACCTTCTGCAGTAAAGGCAAATAGGATTTATAATTGAAGACTTAATTCTGCAGCCTCATTACTCATTGAAAACAAAAATATAATGACATTTAGCAAATTTAATTATTTTAGTTGAACAAAGCAAAGCCAAGGTTTAAAGGTATGTGGTCTTAAAGCCTCAAGAATGGCTTCATTGTAAGTCTAAGTGAAAAGCACTTAAAACCAAGCAATAATCTGAAGTCTTAACTGATAATGAGGCTAAATTTAGAGTCACAATCTAATCCTGGTTTCATCCTCTGGAGAGCATGAATTTCTGCTGGACTTAATAGAAAACTACTTCACTGTTTTTAGGGAGTGTCTCTTAAATATCAACCAAAATTGTCAACCTAACCGGCATTGACTGTAGGTTCAATGGGGTTCACGCTCCTGTATTATTATAATTGTGTGGTATCTGAATGGCAGTCCATTTTAAAGCTTTTCTTTCTGAATCAAAGTGGCACACCACTTAGCCAAAATTAGAGCAGCTGTAGCCAAATCTAAGAGATTATATTAAATGCAGAGCTAATCAAAGAAAACTTTAGTGGAACAATCACGCAACTTTTGTACCATATTGTTTAAACTGAATAGATATACAGGGGGGTTTAGTACTCGAAAAGCAGAGCCGATAATTTCCCCACCAACAGGGTTTTTAATGGAGGAAGCAGAATTTCCTGACTCCAACTGCTGCTTTCCGTTTGACACATCTAATAAGGAGCGATTTAGACCTGGAACTTTCAGGTGAGTGCGGTTGTTAGCAGACTGAACAACAGAATTCAATGCAATCAGGCAGCATTTGGAATAACAATAGACCTACTTTTTCTAGGCTGACTCATAAAGTGCTACCTATAACCATCAGAAGCCCTTTTCTAAAGTTACATACATGACGCCAAAGTCCATACAAAAGGTCAAGGCATAGTTAGCTGTTGTTGAAAGTGATTAAATCTTCAGATGAAGCAGAAAGGGCAGACTGGGAAAAAGCCGGGGCATCAGAAATTAATTATAACACTTCCTCACAATGAAGGAACGGTTTGATCATAGCAGTAAGAGGATCAGGCGGCTGAATTTCCTTCATATAAAACGGGTTCACTCCGAGGTATATCTGCTGGCAAATATGACTTATTCTCTCTGCTTGTTCATTTTACTCACAAAGCTGTGAAATTTAATTCATCACCTGGGAAGGATACCTGAATGAGTCCTATCTTGAGGATCTGTGTGGAAAGCACTTACAGTTTGAAGATTTTTTTCGTTATAACAGTGTTCATTGCCATTAAAGCTAACGTGAAAATATGAAAGTTAATGTGGTCATGAGTCAGATATGAGCGTCTATTCAGGAGGAAGACGTACTTCTGAATCCTCCCTCTACAGGCTTATTTCTGATAAAAGATTTAGCTGTAAATTACAATATGGGGTTTACAGTAATGTACAAAAGAGAAACAACTCAATCACCTGACGATTGGATTGATTTCTGCACAGTGTCAAATTAAGAGTCCTCAATATATATAGATATATAATACTCACAGAGCCTTTGTCAAATTACAAACAAGTCTGAACGGGAACCTTGTTTGGATTTTGAGGCTAAACGACCTCATACAGGCTTAAAAAAGAGTTGGGTAGCCTCCTGACTGACTTCCTTGATCGTTCAAAATCAAACCCCCATACTGAAAACCGACCTGCTGTTTGGGAGGCCTCCTTTGTTCTCTCCCAGCAAAAACATTGACCACAGGCAGCACATTTCCAGATCTGTAACCCTGAATCAATGTATGCAGCGGGGGCGGAGAGCTTCACACCCAGCTCTACCGCACAAGAATTGATTGCTGGAGCGCTGTGTTTTGCTAAATAGTGTTTGACATCAGGAATCATGTGAACACCACTCAGCTGGCCACTTGAGTGATTAGAACAATGGTTGATTAAAGTAGGAAATAAGCCTGGATTTTAGTCCAGAGTCAGTGAAGAACGGAAAAGAAGCAGTAATGTTACCTTAACGGCATTCAAAGGAACAGGTAAAGCAAATAGAAGATTAATAACAGAATCAAATGTTACATTTAAAGCTCCTATGAGGAGTTTTGGGATGTTTATGAAGAAGAGTGAAATACATTATGATGCCTACTCGTGATACCCAATATCAACAAGATTGGCAATTTTTATATCCTAATTGATAATGCCTGAAACAGGAGCAGGCTAAGTAGCTTCAAGAAAATTTCCACATAAAATATTCACAAGAAATGACATGTTTGACCGTCAAAAGTCACTACTGAAGCATGAAGAGGACCAGAATAGCAAAGACTTTTTTTATGGGGGAGGTGCCAAAAATATTTAGTTTATTCTGTTCACTTTTAGGTTTTCTGTTGAACGACTGGAGTCTCAGTGAGCCTTATCCTTGTCTACATTTTCTACTACTTAACTGAATATAGAGCGATGCATCCCCCAAACATGGCTGAATGATACATATTATGACAAAATGAAAACAGTTTGATGTAATTATACTGTAAGCAAAAATGTATAACTGAGTCTTCATTACAATTCCTATTTTTCTTTTTCTCTCTGTATCCAGATGTGTTAAACAAAGTTGCAACTTTGAGATGACACTGTTGCAAAAGTGCTGAAAACTGCAGTTCCTCAAGTGTCCTCTTGGCGGGTTGCTGCAAAAGCACAGGGAGCCATACACACTTATTCAAAAAAGCCCATTTTTACAAAGAAAGAAAGAAAGAAAGAAAAACAGAGCCTAATTCTATTTTTTTTTTTTTTTTTTTGGTACAGAGTAATTATTTATGTATTGTAATTGTTAAGATAAGTGAGTGTAGTGATTATTTCTTATAGCCCTTATACCATTTGGAAGACTTCAGAAAGTATAAAAAATACAGTCATTTGTGCTGCTCCGTTCTTGAGGTTTGTGAAGTACTTGAAGTCACCAAAACAAAAACAAATGTCCTAAATATTAATTTGAGAGACAACGCTGAATCCAAAAACACTGTGTTCACTGAGTATATATATATAATGTTTAGAACTTGCAGTGTGAAATAACCCTGACCAGCAATTCATACACTCTTACATAAATAACCACTTCAGCAAAACAATGCCAAGAGTGCTTCATAATTAACAACCCTTTACTGCTCCACACTCTAGTAAAGCTGATAGTGCTAACTGGTTTTAAACAACAATGTAGTCAAAGGCTTAATTTAATTTTAATCAAGATCACAATTTTGGTCCTCGCACAATCAAATAAACATGATTAATGGAAATTATTGACTTCGAATGCATGCTAGCTCTACCCACAGAAACTCTATATGGTCGATGATTCAACAATGCTATTTAATTAAACTTTGTTTTGAAGCACTTTTTATACAACAGTAAGATAACACAAAGTGATTCTTGGAATGAAAACAGATTTTAATAGTGAGGGATCGACCTCATCCCAGCCTCCCAATCCACATACAAAGAAATTAACATGTTTTGAGATATGAGGTACTTAATACAAGCAGGAGCTGAAAAAAGAACGAAAAAATGAAGAATCTGAGGAAACAATCACAAGATCTTAACAGGCAAACACTGGATGTAGAGTAAAATGTTAAACTTCAATATAGGATGGTGACACTGCCAAAGAACAAGATAAAATAATCAAAGATTACTCTTGTAAAAGAACATTAAAACAGGATATCATTACAGTTGGCATTGGCCCACGCGGCCAATAGGGGGCCCCCAAGAGGAATAAATATATATATATATATATATATATATATATATATATATATATATATATATTATTGCATGTATGAGTGATGCTTTCTGTGTGATCAAAAATATATATTATTGTAAAAAATAAAATACAATAAAGTAAAAACATTTTAGTGCTGCTGCTGATGTGGGCCTATGATTCTTACTGCTGATATGTCAAAGCTCCACTACCATTATATGCCTTCTGCTGTGCAATGTGCACTGAGCATCCAAAGAGCAGGTAGTTGTGGGGCAAAACAATGTCGCAAAAAAGGACATATCCTTCAGGAGCAGAGAAAAGAAAGAGGAAGAAGATAAAAACGCCAAGATAAAGGTATGTTAAAGAAAGGTATGCGAATGATCAACAATCTATTATTGGCAGAAATAGAGGGCACCAAAATCAAATTTTGCTTCGGGCCCCACTGAGGCTTGGGGTGGCTCAGTATCTAAATGGTTCAAAACTAAGAGTGAAGAACATCTGCAACAAAGCAAGCAGAGGGGTTAGATGTGTGTTAGTAATGCAGAGGGGCCGAGTGAGCACAGAGAATGAAGTTACATCAATAATGTTTAAGTAAGCATTAATAAGTTAGCAAGTACATGTCTGAACAGTACTTTTTAATATCACAATCATACTTAGTTTTCCACTGCAAGTCTGGGGGAGATTGCTGAGGGGCGGTCCCGCTCTAGAAAATTTGCTACACAGCTTCTCACAGTTCCTTTTTGCGTTGGAGCCAAACAAAATATATTGGAATCAGCATGCCAGTTGTTGACGTGCAGCTGCATCACTCTTGACAGGAGAAAAAAAAACAGTGACTTTGATTGCTTCCCATACTGCAGTGTACAGCTTGGGCAATTAAAATCATAATGGCAGATTTTTTAGATGACAAACTAATGAGCTCAACTCCTCTGAGTGAAAATGTCATTAGAAGTCCTGATGGAGCTCCTTCACTGAGAAACAAAACAAACCCTCAGCTACTCCATACGAGATGTGCAGCTTCTAAGACCACAGATCGACACACAATTGTTTTTTGATTAATTCTGTTTGTTTACACAGAGATACAAAGAGCCGTCTCCCTCTGCTGCGATACATGTCTGATACAATGTGATGTGTAATTGGATGCTGGTTGTGAAAACACAAAAATGGGAGTAGATGGCATGATGAAGTATGAGAGGACGGGGGAAAAAAAGGAGTGTGCTGCTCCTAAAATATTTTTCTTCAACTGTGTTTCTGTGATTCAGCTCAGTTGGAATGATCTGTATATGTGTCTCTTGTTAGTTTTCATTACACTCTCTTGGGAAATGTGACAGCTTAGTTGTCACATAAACCAAACAGACACTTTCTGAAAAGTCTTCCTCCTCTAAGCTCTTCTCTCTCCCCTTCCTCTCCTTCTCCTCCTCCTCCTTGGGGGATGAGGATCATTGGAGGGGGAAGATTTCATCATCGGGCCCTGCCAGGATCTATTCCTGCTTTGGTGCGTCCTCCTGAGATCTGTGCTTCGTGCCAGGGCTGATGATGATCCAGGCTCTACACCTTCCACTCCCAGTGGAGCACATCAATCACCTCCTCTCCTCTCACACCACCAGAGCGGAGAGGGAGGTGTTGGGGCGGGGTGGTGAAGACTTTGACTTAACTTAACTTATAACAGAGAGAAAAAGACTGAAGTTGTGGGGTGACTTGCTGATACCTCTGGTTCCTCACCATCTGAAGTCACAGGATACGAAGACAAAAATGGAGAGGTAACTTTAAACACACACTTTAGTCTTTTGATTTTAGTTACAATCATGGCATTTTAAAATATATTTAAGACTATTGAGCGCCTCATTGGACAGAGAGAGGAAGATGTGCATCAAAACAACAGGACCCGGTTTTAGTGCCATGATCAGTGCGATGAGGACTATAACTTTTGGGCAATCCCTTTAAATACTTTTTCCACATTCTGATTTTTTTTAATCTTAACTTTACTTTTATTCTGTGATTGTGAATTACTTAGGGCCTGTGTCCACTGACAGCTTTTTTTTTTTTGCACTGGCACTGCCTCTATTCTCAATTTCAGATCACCCTGGTGTTTACTGTCACTACGTTACAAAAGTTATGCTTTGCTGCACTTTTACTCTCCATTGTAGTAATAACAGTACAAAGTCTGTTTAAAATTGCTCTATAGCATTTAAGTTGTTTTTGCCTTAAAATTTTACATAGAAAACAAAAACAGTCAAGGGAAATTGTATTTTTACATTAGCGGTGGTACACCTAGAAACAGTGCCCTCAAAAACACGTGGAAAGTTGTTCCCACACTGCTGTTATTGGCAATGATGACATTTGAAATCCTGTCTGCCCTTGATTTTGATTGGTCAGTGAACAGGAAGTGACGTTTATGAGTGCAGCAGTGCTCCAAAAGTTTTATTTGCAGCTTAGAGTGCTATTCATGCAGCAACAACAAAAAAAAAGAGTAAAGAAGAAAGAGAAAGAAAATAAAACAGCTGACACTGGTCATTCTTGTGCTCATGGTCACTGAATAATAAATGCTAAACTGCACTGATGCACAGGTTAAAGGAACGGCTAAAGCTGTTAGTGGACACAGGCCCTAAATTTTAATTTCACAAATGTGTCTTTTATCTTAATGTTGATTTTCTGTTTCATAGTTTTTATTCTGTGATAACCATGAATTCTTTGTATATGTATATATATATATATATATTTTTAAAATAAAATCAACATTTTCCTCATACCTTTACTCACAAGATAACACCTTACCCTGGGACATTTTTGAAATATCACAGCTAAATTTCCATTCACTTTCTTTCATGAGGACACTGGCTATATATAAACTTAACTATGACATTAATAGGTTGTAAGCATTTTTTTCCCATTTGCAGTACTTATTACTTAGATTGGCTGTTTGCCTAATGAAGACTTAATATTGAAGCGTTGCATTTTTTAGTGTAATTAAGTTTTAGGACTTTTAATAAAGGATGTGGATAAGTGCCAGTAGATGCCCCACTTTTTACCTTCAGTGTGGTTTGTTGGGAATTTAATATTAAGAACAAATGATGCATTGCTCATCAATAGATAAAAAAAAACTTATTTTATTAAATATGAATAAAAAGGGTGAAAATTCTCCTATTCGTGTGTCTTAGGTTTGAATATTTTTTGTTTTTTTTCTTTCTTTTAAACAGAGAACAGAAGATCATCTGGGTTTTAGCAAAAGAGGATATTACGGGTGAAACACTGGGCCTGATTTATGATTATTTGACATCAAGAAAAACAAGAGAAAAGTATATAAAATACTGTTAAGTTGCAGCACATCTCCTGAAGATGTCCTGGGATGGTATCATGATTCAGATTCCAGATGTGAACTAACATGACTCACCCCCTCTCATCTTTAGGACTCTTAAAGTGCTTTTCTAAACAAAGTAAAGACGAAAAAGAGACAAAAAAACATTCAAATGAAATATATAAAGGACACAGAAAAGGGTAGACACATATTAAAGTGTTGGAAAATTCCTGAAACCTGGTCTTTAAAGCTGTAAACTACCAGTTTCTAAGAACCATAAAAATCACTGCTGTTTTCCTGAGCCGATCAGAGAGGAAGAGAGATGTCAGAGTCTGTGTGTAAACATGTTGGGAGGCAGAGACTGTGTGTCTGAACCGTGCAGAAGCGAACAGAGATATAACCTTTGTTTATGAGTGCAGGCGGTCTGCCTGACAGTGTGTGTAAGTCAAGCGAGGCCGCCCCACTCGCAGATCTACTGGCACACATTAATCAAGCACCAGGGGAGGAGAGAAACGCCTCAACACACCTCAGCAGGACTTTCTAACCAGAGGGTGGGAATGACCACAAGGTTATTGTACCTCCACCAGAGACACAGACGGATCAGGGCTTTGATTCTTCAACACTGCTGCGCTGAAACGCCTCTCCATAAACACCCTCCAACCAAGAACAGCAAAGATGATTGTGAAAGACTTCTTTACGTCACACGACAGTTCATGTGGAGTCATTCCAGCGAGAGTTATTACCGCAATAATATCCAGGAGTGCGTCCTTCAGGGTGATAATGACTGTGACAGAGATGCAGTAGATGTGAGGCGCAGATGGGTATTGTTATATTATTACTATTGCTGTTTTACAACCGGAAAAAAGAACAACTCAAGATAAAAAATAATTATGAACAAAGCTGAAATTCATTTTTGTGATGTATTGGTTGAAACTCCACAATAAACAGCGTAAAGAGAGACACGTAAAAGAGCACACAGAGCTTCTGTGTTACAAAAAGAGCATTTTATTAAAACAAAATGCTTATTTACAGAGCAGGAATACTAAAACTCGTGTTGGAAAAGCACTGTACTTTTACAAAAAGAGGAGGAAAATCCGGCTTGGTCATGACAAATTTGCAATACAGATGTTTATTTCTTATTTCATCATCTATCAGCCCCGTAGTTTTTTTTTAATGTGTCATAAATACAGGCCTGATAGATAGGCCAAATAATGCAGAGTAAAATGGCTTTAGAAAAAGTCAGACATGTTTTTACAGTTCATTTGGAGGGTAAAAAAAATTAAAGAGCAACATTTCCTATTCACAGAATCACAGAATTCCTCATTCAGTAGGGAAAAAAACAAAAACTACACGTTTTTTTAAGTTTACATACAAACTGCAGGAGATCCACAGCAAAAAAGAAAAAAAGAGAGCTGAAAAATAGTACGTTTTTCATGAAATACAACACAAATACAGCTTAATCACAGCTTTTTCCCTCTTAGATGAAAAAAATAAAAAGTGAGTCACACAGCTTCACAAATATTTTGACTGTTTACTCTTTGTATTGAAGAAAGTGTGACATGTCCTTGTTTAGATACAAAAATAAATACAAGTTGAAGAAGAGGTTGTGTTTTCATAAAAAAGATTTTGATCAGTCGAGATATTAACTATAAAGAGCACTTTTGATAAACTACTGCTATTAGAGTCAGGCCTTTGTCCCCGCTCGATAGCAAACTAGTTCAGTGTTCTCTGATTAAAAAAAAAAAAAACAAGAAAAGAAAGAAAAGAAAAAAAAAAAACGTTATTTGTGTCCTTGAAACCTCCTCTCCGCTGTCTCCTCTCAGAGCCAGGGGTGCCACGCAGGGTCCATGCGGCAGAGGTTGTCCAGGCTGTTTGCTGCAGCCACCAGCGTGTTCACTTTACTCTCTCCTCCCTCGAACTGAGCCAGGTTATGGAGGCGGGTCATGATGGCAGTGACAGCCTTTTGCACCAATGAGACCAGCTGTTGGGAGTCCATGTTTTCTGGCTGGCCTGCCGGGGACAGAGGCATGGACGTGTCCTCCTGGGTCTTCTTGTGCCAGGCAATGATCTCATCACGAAGGACTGCTTTCAGGATACCATCCACCTGTTGGAGACAGAGGGAATGATCCTTCACCTGTGTATAGAACATTATTTCTCCCACTACCACAGTGTAATGATGTCACTGATGACTCGAACATATTTTTATAACTCGGCTTTGCTAATTTGATAACCATTGTTTCCATCTCGTGGTGTTTATTACATGTTTTTAGACAAATTTTGTGACGGTTGTCTCAAGAGTCTATGAAAGCATCCAAACATGATAAAACATCTGTTTGTATGAAGCCTTTGCCAATTACAAACATACACTGAAAACAGAGCCAATTAAGAGTGAGTCACTCGTCCACAGGGAAATCTCTGTGTGTTGTTAGCAGCTCATTACGGTGACAGAACTGAAATACATAACCATGTAAACCATGACGGGACCGCAACACCAGCAATCATCACCTCTCTGGATACACACTGTTCCCCCTTTTTACCATAAGTGTTTATATTATAGTTTTTGTTTGTTTGTTTTCCCTCTAAACGTCTATTTTTGTGGCCGTTCAAAGCCCTGGCCCTCTCTCGCTCACATGGTCTGGTGTTTTGTTTATTTGTGTCCAAGGCTCTCCTGCTGCCTCCACATCACTCAAACTTTAAGTATGAGTCATAACTATACATAGACAGCACACGCCTGTCATTACTGCCCTGCTGCAGATTCACTGTACAGCCCTGGGGCTGCTCCTGCTCGCACTGCTGTGTTTTTGTTTGTCTGTGCCTGAGCGGACTTCCTCTGTGGGTTTATGTAACTCTAAGTGGGAAACAATCCACAGAAAATTTGTTGTGTTTGCCGTGTTTTACACTGACAGCTGCTCTGAACACCACGTCATTTATTTTTCCTCTTATCAAATCCATCCGAGCTCTGTGCAACACAGGCCATATTTGACAGAAAACACATTTAAAAGCATTGTATAACACAGGGATGAGTTACGAACAAACTAATCTTTAGTTCTGGGTAAAATACAGTCATATAATAAGATATCTATCTGCATTCACACTGGTATCTTGATAACAAAGAGGATTAGGGACAGAAAAAGAGAAAAAAAACAATAACAGGAGGGAGATTTTTTTTAAATTTGCATTTCAACATTAAAGTCGAAACTGAAAATAGTCAAAATTTTGACTTTATTCATGTCAACTTTAATCTTGAAATTTTGACTATAATCTTTTTATCTGGAAATGTCAATATTATTCACAACATTTCGACTTGAATCTCCTTCCTGTATTATTATTTTTTTCTCTTCATGTGGCCCTAATCCTCTTTCGTACTTGATCGTACCCAGGCCCACTTCTGGGGTGGGAAAAAAGTACAAAAAGTGTGTCCTAAGCAGCGCCTGTAGAAATTTGATAAAAAGCAGCTTTGTAACTGAAGTTTCATTTTTAATTCATGAGCCACGCCTGGTCCAAGTGTTAGGTAACTGAAAAACAAAACATCTGAGAGCAAAATCGTACCTTAAAGTTTGGCTGTGCGAAGCAGCGTGCCACAGCAATCATTGAAGCAGTGAGCGGGCCAGAGACACCGATGGTGGTCAGGAACTCGGAGATGTTTGGCGTCAGGCGGAAAGGAACGGGGCGATTGGCATCGAGGTCACCTGTGGCGTCGTTGATGTCGAAGCGAAAGTAGGAGACATTCAGTTTTCCAGTGTCCTTTAAATAGAGAACCAAGAACAAAAGTTAATGTAAAGTTTAAATCATAGGGATGTCATTTTAAACTTGAGGTTTTCCAAACACCTGCTCTAATAAAGAAAAATAAGGATAATTTTCTTCAATCTGCGGTCCTCAGACCACAGAAGCCCCACAAGAAAAGTCTTCTTTTCAAACGTTACGGGCGCAACAAAGCAAGCACACAGCAACAAAATAGCAGCAGTTATTGATCTGCGTGCCCCAGACACCATAACACTTCAAACTATCAGCAGCAGAACATCTATAATCCTCAATTCACTCCCACTCCCCTCTCCTTGCTGCCTGACTTAAATATATACAGCCAAGTTTTCATCCATAAGCCTGCATTTATGTGCGAGAGGACCGCTACACAAGCAGCCATTCCAGGAAGATAAGCTCCCTTATACGAAAAGGTGAGTGGCTCTGACAGCTTTATAGCAGAGCATTTCATTCCAGCTCCGGCTCCCTCTCCTCCTCCTCAGTCTCGCCTCTTTTCCTTCCTTCCTCTCCTTCTCCTTTAATTCCCCCTCTCTCTCCCTGCCCTTCTGTCATTAGCTCCTCTGGGCCTCAGTGGAGGGCCTCGAGGCAGTGGGCTGAAACACCAGCAAACCCCCAGGAGGCCCAGATAAGCCTGCAGACAGTTGGCTCTGGAGGAAAAGCTCAGAATGCTAAATCAGCACAGTAATGGCCGACGATGGCTTCATTTGGCGGCTGGGGTGAAGGAGATCATGCCACTCTAGTGTCACATATGTGTCCCCACAAAGGGGGTATTTCACTGAAATCCCACCATATAGGAAGAATACAACAATACAGATTGCTTATGTTAGACAAATCAGTCTTATTGGAGGAATATCATTATCCCATACCCTGGATTCGTCCCAAACTGAGCCCTATTTAAAATGGAAATCCCAAAGCATCAAAGCAAGACTGAAATACCCCTGAACTTGGAAAGTCCCTGTTTAAGCCACACTGTTTTTCCTGACAAAAAAGGGGGGGATTCAAAACTGTAGCAGGCCCTGGAGAAGATAGACAAATTTAATCACTAGAAAGTGGTCTACTCCAGCAGCATCTTGGTTAGATGACTGTATCAGAAAAATATTTCAAAGATAAATCTGAATCACTTTTTGAGGAGCACCAAAAGTTCAACTCTTATCAAATTTGTCAATAAATGAAGATTTCAAACCCTATGCAAGTAGAGTACAAAAACAACACTGTGAAATGTTCATAGCTGAGGTGAGAGTGACCGCTGGTGTGCATGTACTACAGTTATGAGTAGAGTAAACGTAGTGCAGACGGGTGAGTCTGTATGATAGAGATTATGGATGAATGTATTCACAGGTTTGAATTGTGACACAACCCTCTGAATTTTCATTCCTCTTTCTGTTTACTGTATAAAAATATATGCATTTATAAAAGACAGGAAAAGTATGTAATATACATAACACAAATGTCTTTGGATGTTGGTTTATTGTTCTCTTCCAATTACTGTTGTTTCCTGAATATGACAAGATTTTTCCTCAAACACATCTGGAAAAAGTTGGATTGTCACTTATTTAGGATTTAGTGATTAAATGTACTACTATACACATTCAAACTTACATGTAAAGCAAGTTCACCCCCATGACTGAGGCCAACCATCAAACTCGTCCACAACACCAAGAGGATGAGAGGTGGAGACACACAGTGACCACAGTGATGGTTATGAACGCAGCAGAGTTCATGAAGGACAGTTAAGCAGCTAAAGCATATGGTATCAGAGTGTAATGTCTGATGGTGAAGATGGCGTGCTCCTCCTATATTTGGATATATACGGTAATATTAGAATCAAGACTTCTTGGGTGACACAGAGCATCACAGAGTTTCATTTACACCCGCCTAAGGGCAACTTAAGGTCTCATTTAGACGAGGTGGAGCTCATGATGTTAGAGCTGTGATGTCCTGTCCTTGCACCCTCTCCTTCTCTTTCTCTCCCCTTGTGTTTATATGTGTGTTTGCCTGTGTGTGTGTGAGTGTGTGTACGCTCTCCGTACCGTAATCCTTCTGTGTCTAATGGGATCTGCCGAGTGGAACAGGCAGAGAGGGGGCTTAATACCAGTGCTTAGCTGCCCGGAGGAACGCCTGTCAGCAAAGGCCGATTAGGATCAGAGGGGAGGGGTGGCCGACTGACACAATCATCTTTAATAATGACTTTGAGAAAAGCTGTCTGTGGACCCCGAGCAGCGGCAAGTCGAGATGCATGTGGACTGAGAGGCGGACGTGCACACACATAAAAACACAGCCTCTTCAAATTGAAACATCTTTGATAGCTGTTGAGCGGAGCGACTGAATATAACGTTCTGTCAAAACATCCCTGGCATCAACAGTGGCTGGCTGACTGATAGGAGAGGCATGAATGTCATGGGGGAGAACGGTAATTCATACGGCCAGATATGGAGAGGGTAATAGTGATCTCTTAATGCATCTATGAGAGTGTATATCTATTGAATTAGCTGCTGTCAAATGGATCCCACTCGCCCTTGACAGCGGTCTGACATGTCTGCTAATACGAGTGTGTCTGTTTGTGTATGTGTGTGTGTGTGTCTGCGTCTCCTACCTGAGCGATCTGCAGCATCTCAGGGTTCAGTCTGTTGAGGTGGAGCATGAACTCGGCCAAACCGATGAGAGCCAGCTGGATGGTGAACATCTTCCTGAAGGTCCAGTAATCAGTGGCGTTGGGGAAGGTGTGGAGAGCCCATTCCTTTAGCATGCTCCGGGGAACCATGTTGCCCTGTACTTCCTTTAGGATGTCCCGCAGGACCTGATTGCACATGAGAGGATGGAGAACAGGTTAGTATCAGAGCTTAAAGACGAGTTCTACGAAGAAGAGAAAAAAGCACATTTCACATTAAAGGACAGGGCTTGACACTAACTTTTTTCCCAGGGAGCACATGTGCTCCTAAGTTGAAAAAGTAAGAAGCGCACAAAGAACTTTAGGGGCACAATGAAAATTGATCAAATAATGTGTGTCTCATTTGCCATAAGTACTATTGTTTCAAATCAATTTTAGGTCAATTGGTAACATGTAATGGAAGCTATTGAAGAAAATGTTCAAAATTTGCCTTTAGATTTAACACAAAACCTTTAGAGGACAAACTAGGGAAATAAAGAGGTGTGTCTTATTGTCTGACCTTCGTACTATTATTCTATAACAATTTTAGGTCAATTGGTCACATGACATAGAAGCTATTGGAAAAAAAAAACATTTCTTTTTTTTTTTTTTGGAGAACATCAAATGGTAATTTATTGATGGTCCCTTATTAAATACCCAACGTTGACAGTGAGGGTGCCGAATAGATTTAACCGCGCTGCTCTTGCTGTTGTTGGTTATGGAGAGTGAAAAGACACTTGAAGATCCGCAGTGAATGTCCGTCAGTTATCCTACCTAAAACTAACTTCACTGCGGTATTTACATGAAAAAACTTTTGTAGTCTTGGCTGATTTTTTTATGCACAGATGTGCCCCTTAAGACATTTTACAATTCGCACACATTTATTTTTATTCGCAAATGCGAGTGAAACGGTTGTACTGTTGAGCCCTAAACGAAAAAGATTAATTTGATATTAAGAATTAAATAAGATGCACAAATCTACTGATCTAAACTTCCATTACCAGGATCCAGACGAATCCAGATTAATGCGGGGCAGTAAAGGAATGTTTACAATGCACAATAAATGTCTGTTTCTATGAGTGTCACTGTACCTGGTGGCTGGCCTGTGTGCCTCTGGCCTGCACTGTGGCCAAACGATCGTAATATCTGGAAATGGGGTTGTCATGTTCAATGCCCTTCTTGGCGCAGCGTTGTTTGTAAATTTCCACCAGCGACAGGGATGAAGGGTTGTCCTCCACCAGCCGCATCTGAGGCGACACTGCCACCACCCGGGGCACTACAGAGTAAAGGAGAGTGGGTGGGAGAAAACAGGTGGGGATAGAGGAGATGAGGGGGAAGGAAAGGCAGAGAAGAAAAAAAAGAGAAAAGTGGTAAACAACTTGGTAAACAAAATAAAAACTGTAAACATCTGGCTGCACTTGCTAGGAAACAGTCCCCGTTTTACTGCGGTGTAAACCACAAATGTAGACCTACAAATACTCCAGAGTTAAGAAACAGCTGCAGTGAAGGCGGGCCATGTCTCGACACTACTCAGGGTCAAAGGAGGTAAAAAGCTGCACATGGGTCACCAAGTGAAAGCAGCCGAAGCATTTGCATACACAGGCACCCAAAATCAAATCAATGCACACAATTCCGGTTGGGATGAAATGGGTTGGAAGGGACTGTTGAATTCCCCGTCCATATTTCCCCTTAAACAAACCAATCAAGTGTATAAATGGAGAGTGGGCAAACATCTGGGCGGAGGAAAACCGCGAGGGGACGACAGGGGAGGAAACAGGTCATGAAAGGGAATTGAAATTGTGTCTATGAGTGAGTGAGTGAGAGAGGAGAAGAGAAAAGAGGAGGGTCACTGCCACTTGTTCTTATTGTGAAGCAGAATCAGAAGAGACAGGACAGAAAAGAAGAGTGGAGGCTTTCTGATTTTCATGAATAAATAAAAGTAATATTCGCTCTCTAATTTTCTTCCTCTAGTGAAAAAAACTACACTAATCTACTCCCTCTTCTTACCAGTGAAGAAGAGGTGTCTTTTGGTGGTTTCTTTTCTCTTTTCCAGGCACGGATTAAGAAGGCGGAGGAGCTGGAGGACCCTCTCCTCTCTTCGTGACTCAGTCAGACAGGCATCGTTCATCACCAGGTACGGGTAGATCTTGCCGTTGTGCCCACGGATGTATAGACGACGTGCTGCTGTGTTGTGTTTCTGAACAATTTCCACTCTGGGCATAAACCTTGAGAGAGGAGCAGAAAGAGAAGTAAAGTTAGACTCCTCTCAGTGAATCCATGTGTTTTCACACTGTTTCTTTATATCATTTATATGTATTAGAGGGCTGTGAAAATTTTCAGTAAGTTTAACTGGTGCTGAATTTTCTTGTGTTTACTTGGCCCTGGTACAAAGAGGGTTTTCCTCTACGTGGTCTCTTACCTTGCAATCTTGATGTAATAGTGCGTAGGTTTGGGCATGAGGAACTCCCCTGGGATCTCCACTTCAGCTGTCTGTGCAGAAAAGTTGCTGAGGAAGCGGCACTTCTCCTCAATGAGGAAGAACTTGGGCAGCTGCTTCGTCTTGGCTTCCAGAATCTTGATCCACTTCTTCAGCTTGGAGATCAGATTGTGGAGCTTCATGGAGCCTGGCACGCTGAAGTCAAAGTCTGGTGTGGGGAAAGAGAGTTTAGAGTCATTTTTACATATTTTCAGTATATTTATCACATGGCTAAGTCATGTCTAGTTGATCATTACATTCAACATTTTGTAGAAACAGTGTTATACTGTATTTTTCGACAGCAGGTGGTTACTATTAGGAACAGATTATAGCTGGGATGCAACCCTGATCACAGACTCTCCAGGTGAGTGAAAAATACTGACTCAGCTGTTTTGTGGTAAATCCAACCCAAACATCGGCACTAAAAGTCAGCATAAGGAAATAAGCGCTCTTCTCCCTGGTAACCTCATTTATATGTGGTGGTTATGGAGGGGAGGTCAGCGTAAGAGTGATATTGTGTTGAAATCAGTTCAAAACTGCACACGGTGCCTTTCCCAGCACACAGTATGGAGTGAAGGGAAGGACTGAGAAATGGAAAAGAAAATTTTAACAGAGAGATCAAGAAAAACAGAAACGGGTGTGGAGCTGCTGAATTCACTGTCCTTTTCACCTTTTATTTCACCATCAGTGGAAATGTTCACTGAGTTGCTGCCAAATTAACTCATTTCCAGATGGCTTGAGTTAACCCTTACTATGGATGCTCAAACTGTTAGTACTACTGACTATGTAACCATTATAAACTGTTATTTTTCAATCAATATTTGGCATTAAATGATTGATTTTATGTAGTTGTGTAGGCTATGTGTACAGTGGGCCTGATGCTCCTTGTAAAGAATCCTGTCAGGTCTTCTTACGTTATTCGTTAAACCCTCTGCCTTCCATATTAAGGGGAGGAACTGCCTGTTCTGAAATAATGAGGCTGTATGAGTACACAATACCCAAATGATTCAAAACTGGGTGAGTGAAATTGTCAGGTCTAAATGATGGAGTCAGTATGCTACACTTTCTCCTCCTGGATCAACATTCCTGAAAATGCCCTTCAGCAAGACACTCAACCCCAGTGCTGAGCCAGTGGAGCTGCTCTCAAGGCCGTAACACAGTGGACAACACCCATGAGTGTTTGTTTGTGTGAGCAACCTTTAACCTCTCCTGCAGCAACATACTCCCTCCTCTGTGCTATAAATGCGTTTCCTCACTCAATTTAATTGTACTATAAGTTTACGGCCTGTAAAAGCCACAAAGGGATTTAAATTGAGTCAAATATAAATAAAGAAAATAGAACAGGAATAAATAGAATCAAAGAGGATTAAGTTCTGAAGGGGTTCTGGTCAGATGACATTTTAATGCAAACTTTCAAAGCGCCTTCAGCAACCGCAAATGGTTAAGATTGATTAAAGCGAGATCTGGGTGTTTACTTTGCCGTTGTTTATCCAGTAACATGAACTGAGAGCACCTTGTTTCTAACAGCCATGGCTTAAGGGAGAGCAGCGGTTGCACAGACTTCCATCTGGGAAAAGTCCATACTAAATATTGTGTTGGCCACTCTACTCCTGCAGCATGGTGCCTTGCTGGAGGGAACTTCACGGGTAAGTTATTCATGGCAGGCCGGCAGCACAAGGAGAACTGTTTGCTCTATCGACTTAAAACTCCCTAGTGGAGGCTGGAAGCTGATTAAATTAGAGCTACTGAAATTAGAGTCTTAAAGTATTAAATTCCTGTTTCAAGTCACAACTCATATTGCACATAACATGTTGTGATGAGCTGCAGCTATAACGACAGGGAGAGGGGGGAAGTGAGTCAGGCAAGATTTTCCATTTTAGACTGAAGCCCCCAGGACAACCTGAATGCAAAGACTCACACAAACACACACACACGCGCACACCTGCCTCTCCTATTTCAGTACACCCTGTTATAATGAATCCATGAAACTGCAAGGCCTTGCCATTTCAGGCCCGTTCAATCTCTCCCAGAGTGAGACCTCCTAATACTTTAAATAAGCCCTTTAAAACAGCCAATGTTCTTTTCGGAGTGGCCCCATTTCACCATTCGTCTGCCTGCAATTCACCTGCCTCGATAGCGCTGGGAAAATTGAAACAGTCCTGAGGAATTGCGATGCGACAACAATTCAGCGCCATAAAAGTGTATAATGCTTACAAATAGAAAGAGCAAGACGTGCTGCTCTCCTTCGAAGCAATGAAGCAATACAGTAATATAATTCCAGCTTTTTATCGGATATAAAACATTTGGAGCACTCGTTTCTGCAGACAGGTGTACATATAGCATAGGTCATACATTTTCTACAACTCATAATAATAAAGCCTAGATAAAGAGCTACACTGATAAATATGAGCAACAGCCAAGCTGGTCTATCTAAAGTTGTAACGTGGCACTCAAATGCTTCAAAACACTAAATCAGATCAGATCATTACGAATGATAAAGTCATTCATAAATGCTAATGAAGGTGCTGAGAGATGAGCCTTTACTATTCTTGACTACTGGAATTGAAGTTCTTTTGGTCACATATCTGACGGATGTACAATAAAGTACTTGGACACCATTAAACCAGTGCTTCCTTTGAGTAGATTCACATCATCCACACCTGCAAGCATGCATTCTTTCACTGTTTTGGAGTCATTGAATGGCTGCCTTCTCTTCGCTAAGACCCATGACACAGAGAGGAAAGCTGCTGTGTGTCTCTGTTAGGACTACATCGGAGGTGTATGTCTCCATAAGCTGTAGACAAGCTCTGTGCTTTGGCCTCCTCAGGAAGTGGGTCTGGTAAAGCAGGTGTTTTCAAAGTGTCTTCAAAGTGGTCTTTTTGAAGGCCACTACTTCCATGAAGGCTGCTTTCATGCACATTGCATGTGCTGTTGAATTACTGTTTCGTAAATTGGATTCATCTATGCTTGTTGGGTTGGGCCCACCAATTAAATAATCCAGATATACATATAAAACCCATCTGTTGGCCTTTAAAAGTCTAATAATTGTCTTGAAACTTCTCAAAAAGGGAAAAAAAATGTTTCATTTGCATGAGCATAATATCAAGGTATAAAGTAATCAAGTAAAATAACAATATAACTTTCATACACTGTCAAACTGTTGGAAAGCATTTTAACTGGTTTCCTTAAATGGGAGAGGAAATCAAACCTGTGAACTTCTTCACAGAGAAGCTCCATGGTGAGTGCAAACCCAGGAGTGAAAGTAGAAAAGATCTGTTTTGAGACCCCCTGAACTCATCGCTGACCCCTGCTCTGTAGACTAGCTAGGGGGTAAAGGATGCTGAGAGAAAGAGTGTGGTGTGGAGAGTAGCTAGGCTGCTCCCTGACCTGTATGGAGGAGCCCCGGCAGGTATTCTGCTCAACCTGGCCTGCCTGACAGACCGCAGCAGAGGATCAGCCCTGCTGCACCAATTTATGGATCCAGACTCAGGAGGAGGGCCACCTCTGGGTATAGAGCCATCACTTCCTCATAACTCAGTGTGGGATTGTATGACTGTGTGTGGTGGCAGGCAGTCAACTCTACTCTATTGGATTGATTATGTGAACTTTTGAACATTTAGACAGTCTTCAGAAGTCACAGCAGGGTGTTTAGGGGTTAGAGGTCCTGCTGTCAGTGAAAGTTCACATATAAAACTCGCAACTGTCAACTACTAAGCCAAATTTCTATGCAGAATTATACTGAGTTGCATCTAACTGAGCAGAATGTCATTTTAGCATGACAAATGACTGTTCAATAAGCACAAAACTGAAAAGCCTAGAAACTTGTGCATATTTTACAGAAAGCTCTTCTGACAAAAGTCTCTGGAACAGATCCACTGCTAAAACAGTAACTCATGCAAATAGCAGTCGCCGTAATTGGATTTGAATGCCTCCCTGCTGCCAAATGTTATATGTGCACACATAAACCCATATTTTCCGGCCCACAAACCCTGTGAAAGCGAGTGAGCCACTAACGTGGTGTGGGGAATGGGAGCTTGGCTGCTCAGCAGCTCTGTAAACCCTGTTTGTTCCGCTCTGGAAGCCTTGTGTGGTTTCAGTCTCTGACGGCCCTGCTCCCACGTCGCCGTGGGGACAGCTGGGTAGCAATGGTCTACAGGCACCCTAAAAGGCAAAAGCCTGGTGATGCCTGGCTGCGTGAGCACAGCTGGCTCTACAACATCTGGTAAGATTCATCAGTGTTTGCCCCGAGCCTTGCTGACTTTGTTTATGTTGTTCAATCAGTCAGCATGTGTGCTGTTCTTGTGCTTTTGCTCGCTGATGCCATCACACCTGCCTCATATTTCCTCTTAGACTCTCTTTCTGATTGTTTTCTTTTTGCTGATTTTCTTTCTTCCACTTTTAAAGCTCCTCTCTCTGTCCCTTTTCATGATCCTTAGCCTTAGCTTAACCTTTACTGCTTTTTTCCTCTCTGAGTCAGGTGGTCACTTTATCTCTTTGCTTTCATTCACTGGTTGCCCTTGTCCTCCTCTAACCCAGGGCCAGACACATTAGCTCTATTGGCCACTCTCAGGAGCAGTGAAGGGGAAAGGCAAAGGAGAGACCGAAGAGCCTAAAGGGGAGGGAGGGAGGGGGAGGAGGGTTGGTAGGGGGTAGTTGCTCTATAGAAATGTAATGGGAAGCAGATACTGGATAATTAAGTAAACGTGTATGTGCAGTCAGTTTGTAAAAGCAAAACAAGTATACAAAGAGTTTCTTTTTCAAGCTGGAAGTTGCAGACAGAAATTGTTTAAACGGAGTCCAGCAAACTGTGGTTTACCTCTCTTGTGCAATGTAAGAAAACAGACACGCAGCTCCCACAAACAAGGACTTGATTGTTTTTGAGGAGAAAAAAAATCTCAGAGGGGGCCTTGGCTAAACCACACCTGCACCTGTCCAGCTGGACCGCACAGCTTACCTTTGATTTTGAACACAGACCGAAAGGATGCTAGGCTTTATCTTGGTCTTACAAATGAGCATAAGAAATGATGAGGATTGATGTTTTGAAATGGTTTTATCTAAAAATGAATTTGTACAAACAGAGCAGTTCCAGGGGGATTCAGAATAAAAGGGCAGTGATTTCTAAGACGCATGCTTTATGTTTTTAAATCTACACTGTGAAGTAGACATCCCAATGGCAGCATGAAATCCAACACAAATCTCTCTAATTGGAGGAGAAAACTGGCACCAAGCAAAACCTTGGATGTGAGTAAAAACAGTTACCAGCTGGATGAATGTGGAAACTTTGTTGTAGGTGCATTTTCTTACCATGAAGAATTGAGCTAACAAACACAAAACAAGGCTGTTTATGTGGGCTACTACATCTCTAATGAGTGATTTTCTCCACAATAAAAACCAAACTACCCTACAATTGTTTTGACGATTTTCCAATGAGGAAAAGGGAGAAAATGTTTCATCTGCCACAATTGCTTAAATAGCAGTATAATCTTGAATCCCCCCTCTTACTCCACAGTATTTATGAGCTATATTTATCCACTTTTAGTACAGCCAGAACTGTGTAAACAATGCTCAACTCCCTGACAAAGAGGATAATACTGTGGGTGTAGCCTTCATCTCAGACCACAATAAAAAAGCACTTGACTGGTGGCTGGTGGTACTTAGCTTAAGTGGGAAAACACTGCATTTACATTTCAATATAAAATGGCCTAAGTTAGCCATTGCCAATATGGTTGGTGTTATTTCACTCAGACTCTAATGCACTGCAAGTCTATTAAACCCAAGTTGGGAATACATTTTGACCTGGTGTAAAAAGCTACCTAGAAATTTAATAACTTCATTAAAGCTGCAGTAAAGAGATTTTTTGTAACTATTAATACTTAATAGGTTTTTTAAAACTTGATGAGAATGAAGACTTATTATTTTCAATAAAGTTCAGAATTCGGGTTTCAGCTGAGGCAAGAGCACTCAAGAGTCTTCTGCTGTATTTCACCAAAGCTGGTGAGAGTTTCAGAGCGTTAATGATGCAGCTCAGGACGGTGATGATGCAACCAACTTTCATGTTTTCACAACAAGAGAAGACATGTGCTGAAAAAATAAAGACATGCGTATTTTAGACCAGTGACCCCTCCCTGCTGCAAAACACCAACACTCCAGCTATGACAGCAACAGTACTGATATTAACAACACAAATGTCCTGCTGGATACAAAGTGACTGGTTTAATTTATACCCACAGAAGCCAGACTCACCGTTTAAAGTAGTGTGGACACACAGCAGCACACATGCAAGCCTTGTTTACTGAGAGGTGGCTGATGTGTGATGTGGGGCTTTTGGGGGGAGGAGGTAGGAGGTGTTGCTGGTTTTGCTATGTGGCCAATTGTCACACCTTGTCAAAAAGTTGAAAATAAAAAAGGCTTTTTGGCTGCCTGAAAACATATACTTCGCATTTTATGTCTGCTCAAACTCTGAAGAGGTGTGTTGAAGTTACAAAAGGTAAACCAGCCATGGTAGAGGTTAACACGCCAAAGTGAACAAACAACTAAGCTGTAAAGTAAACACAAGAACAACCATAATATAAAAGAGACGTTTACGTTTTTACTGTTTCTGTGTCTATAAAGCCAAATGTGAGTTTATTTCAAAAGAAAACCTACCTGTCGTGAACTGTCCTTTCATCTTCTGGAAAACAGGGTCCTGCGCCGTGGCCTGGGCCCGACGGGCTAGCGACTCCGAGGCAGCGCTGGAGAACATTGTTGAAACGTTGGAGACATTCTCCAAGCCTACACCAAAGGTGCTCACTAGCTTCTTGACAAAGTTTAGCGTGTGCGGTGTGATCTTCGCATCGGAAACTGCACCGCTCTTCTCAAAGGCCACTGAGTAGCATTTAGCCAGGCCCTGCTGGAGCTGCCTCAACACCTGAAAGAAAAGGAGGAAGGACTTAGGGGCAATTTCAAGAGCTTGGATTATTTCATTTTAAGGTGTTCACTGGGTCACTGTATAAGAAATAAACACTTTTTTTATAACTCCAAGTGCTTAAGACAAAAGTAACAGGCAGAGACAAGCCTATTTCTACTAGAACAAAGGTAGAGCGAGGCAATGTCATTCAAAAACCAAAGCAGCAGAGCTTGAGGAAGGTGATGATGGCCTTGTATGCATCTACACCTGCCTGCCCCATGGAACAAAACATCAGGCCCTGCAGCTGCTACAGAGTTCCCCCAACCATCACAGATAATCACACAGTCGCACACACACATCAACAAACTTCCAGCTCTAAATCCCTCACCCCATCCTACACGCTGGCTGCACCCATCCATCACCTGTCGCGCTCTGCTGCCTCTGTCTCCCAGTGTTCTCTCCACCCACAGACTAGATACCGCGGGTGGACGCTGCCTAGCATGGCGAAAACAATTTGTAGCAGCACAGAGTTTAGTTTGGATGACTGTGGCAGGCCTGCGTCGGGCACTGACAGGAAGAAAGGATGCTGCTGGCTAAAGAGGTGATTAAAGCCGAAAACAGAGACAAAAAGGAGCAACAGAGATGGAGTGAAATAACGAGGGAGACGTAAGATCCCAAATTTGCACATGTCTAGTGAAAGGTTAATGGCATGACTCTAGTTCAGTCCGGGGATGAATGACAACAGTAACACATTTGCAGACGAGAAAGAACAATGTGGCAAACTCTCAGCTTGAAATTGAAAAGTGAAAAAAACCTGCAGTTTCTCGAGTGTCTAATTTCAGTTTATCAGCAGATGTCTGACTCAAAGTTCATCCACTGTGCAGTGTGTATCAATAAATACTTGAAGCTACGTACCCCAAACTTTTTTTACAAGCTAATTAACATGTTTGACTTTGCTATGAGAGTTAGCAGGGGACTCCTCAGTTTTTGTAGTTTGTCTAATGTGGATAATCGAAGAACTGCATCTTTTTGCTCTTCTTCCATGGCTTTATTATCATCACTGTAGCTTGCCACTTCAGAAATCCCATCAAAGCACGCATTACCTGCCCATTATCATACAATGTACATTCAGGACAAATCAAACTTAACAGATGTGTTAGAACACCAGGGAGGCAGGATGTGTGCTACAGTAGTCATCTGGTTGACCAGGTGGCGTGACAAATGTATATATGAGATGTACACGCCAACTTTATTTCACACATCTGCACAAATGTGGAAAATATCACAACCTGCTGAATTGTTTTACCATCATCTGATGAACTGTAAACACTGTGATGATTTGATACGACATGAACTAAACAGCGTCTTTGTCTTTCTCACCTCTTCATGCCAGTTCTCCCTGAACCACACCATCTGGTCTACGATGCCCTCCAGGGAGGAGAGAAGGGTCGGGTGGAGCTCCCGCTGCATGTGCATGATTCTGCTGCAGCGCCACATTGGGGCGGTGGCCCGGATAGGTCCTGGGTCAGAGGCACCCGAGTGAGGCTGGGCCCCAACGGAGGTGGGCTGCTGTTGTCCAGAAGCATCTGTGGTGGAAGAGTGAACATGATGAGGAGCAGGTAAGTGGTGGAAAAAGGAGAAAAAAAACGGGAGGAGGCAAGGAGGAAGTGTAGAGTACTCAGAGTAAGAAGAGCATAAAGTCAGCACATTCGCTGGCAAAACTAGTACAGGAATAAAACACAGTAACACTGTGGGAAGTTGTTTATTATAGAAAATGTGCTTTAAAGACATTTTCTTCGCCTAAACATATCTTTAGATTTATTAACTCAGCATGGGAAAAGCAAAAAGAGCTCTTCTCAAGTTCAAAGTGTAGTAAAGAGGCAACACACTACAGCCATGTTTACTTACCACTTTTGTAACGCTCCCTTTGCTCGATCTTGAGTGTCAGGTAAAGGGTGCGGATAGGGAAGTAGACAGCCTGGGGGTACACTCGTCCCACCTAGCAGATAAAAGAGGGTCACAGATTACATTTCAAAGACTCCCCCTGAGGACTGCAAACTAGGGAAAGAGGGGTGAGGCAGGCAGAGGTGATGGAGAGAAAGTGGAATAGTGAAACACTGTTTGTGTATGTGTGCCAGAGAGAGAGAGATATCATACTGATATAGCCAGAGACCTCTGCTGGAACACAGGGAGCGTTTGAAGCTTTGAGTCAGGGGAGTTAAGGAAAGTTTAAAACACGTCATGGCTGAATTACAAAACTGAATGTGACTGATGATGAAATTGCCCTCAAGACTTTCAATAGAAAGTCCCTGACAACATCGGAAGGCTTAATGGTTGAGATCAGGACATAAGAGAATGCAAGTTTTAAAACATAACCCAACTTGATAAGGGTAGCATTACCATGTTAAAAATGCAGCAGGTGCATTTGCTTCTTACCTTATGTGCTTAATTTATCTGTAAATTAGGTTTTGTAAGTATGTTAGCCTGTAGTTTAGCACGGTTGTATAACTTAGCAAAATCAAAGCAAAGTTATGGATCTGCCATAAAACCTGAATGCAAAGGAAATGTAGCGGGAATTCCTAACCTAACAAAGTGTAATTTGTTCTTTTTCTTTGTTTACATTATTAAGGCAGCTCAATCTATTGTGTACGTCTTAAAACCACACACAAATCCTGTCTCTATACACACCATTCACAACTAAAAAAAACATCCATAGTGCACAAGCAGTGACCCTGAAATGTCTAGCACAAAGTGACCGTAAATTGCAGTTCCTAGAATGACCACTTGGGGCTGCCCTCCAAAGATGAGCAAGTCTCCATTTAGTTTTATGCTAAAATGTCAAACTTCACACTAAATAACCTGTTACAAAAACATGATTCTATTCATATTATTCAACATGTAGTAATGAAAAAAAAAAATGTTTTGAACTTACTCAGTGAGTGAATGTCCATTTCTTTCACGGCATTGACAAACAGTTATACCAGTAGTTATCTTACTTGCTTGTTCTTTAATATATTCTGCAATGTAACTTTTTCATTGGCAGCTGATACATGAAAGTCAGGATATTTGCTCAGCTGTTAGTGAAAGAAATGCTGCTACCCTCTTAGCCTCAAGCAAGGACTGACAACCTGTAAAACATCTGCCATCCCATAGCTCCATTCCAGCTCCATGCGCTTTTCCAAATACTGTTGTTCCTGGCTACATAAAAGTAGCATAAAACAACAAAATTGTCTTACACGAAACCAAACCAACATAGCTAAGTTGACTTCTGTGATACAGTATATGAAAAAGCTCTGAACTTCCCCTTCATGTTGTCGCAACTACACCACACTTGTCACCAACAGAAATCCTGATAGGCAAGAAAGGGACTCACTGTGACACATCACACTGAAATTCTAAAGGAATCACTCTCTGAATGAGAGAGGTAATCTCAACTCGACACGGATATATTTGTAAGTGTGACATTTGGCTATCACTGTGACTGCACAAAGTGAGCGCCTAGAGGTGTAACATGAGCTGTGACAAAGCATCTTTAATATCTACAGAGGCAAGAACAGAGATCTGGCATTATTCAAAACTAGAGGTAGAGTGAAAATGAGCCCTGCTCAATTTCTCTCTTATTTTTTCTTTCCTGAAAGGGAGTTCCTTTTTCAGTGCATAAAAATTTTAAGGGTTATAGTTAAATTTTTAAATGCTTTCTTTTAATCTCCATGCCAAATGAGAAGGTAACAGAATATGGTTGAGTAATTCTCTTGATAAATGTGAAATATTATCAAAGCCGAGAACAGTAATAACTTCAGGTACCATACTGTAAAACAAAACAAAGAATTTTTCTTGAATTTAATGGAGGAAGAGGTACTCCTGCCTGGCTTTAGGCCCACTGGATGTTGGTGGAAGACCAAACCACAGGGTTCTCTCAGGTCTCAGAGCACAATTTCATAGGCAGCAATTACACAGCTACTTGATCCCTTTTAGACCCTTCATATGCCTGCAGGAAGAAAGGGATACCTGCACATCTACAACAACCACACTGCGCTCAATATTTGACTGAAAGTGGGCTGAGGGTGGATGGTGTAGTGGGGTTACAAAGGAGAAATAAAGAAAGAAAGAGAAGAAACCTTTTCTCAGACTGCAGCCTAAGGCTAAATGGATTTTGGCCCTCTTTGCCTTCTCCGACTCTACCTCTATTCCTCTGAAATCTAGTCCAGGCCTTTAGAGGGATTCTCAAACTGCACAAATCAAGATTACACAAAACTAGCTCAGGTTTAAAACTGCCAGAGAAGCAAACAGACAGGCCAGACACTAAGCAGAGCACACTCTACTTCTCTTTGGACTGCACTGCAAAAGAGCAGTTTCAGATCCCAGCAAGCTTAGATCTTCCAAGAAACTTGGAAGCTCTGTCCAATCCATGTTCCCCACAACTCTACATGGTCATTCATTCAGCTGTGGTTGTGCTATAAAGCAAGAACCAAAGCCTGGGAGTCCAATTGGATTAACTGAATGAGAAAAAGAGGCTAACCCTGGAGATAACATAACATAACAGAGACGATCAGAAACTGTTATTTAGTGGAACTACATCTAGGAAAACCCTTTCCATTCGCTCAACAGTGAGATAATGTAGCTATGGAGAAACCTTCAGCCAAAACCAAAACCCAAAAGCCTCTAACTGCTTTCTTGTGGCTTATTGTGCAATGCTCCCGGCACAAGAAGTCGCAGCATCAGCAACAAGCTCAGGATAAGTTACTGTGAAGCTCTCCACCTGCAAATTTACTGGCATCTACAACCCCAACTCCAAAAAAGTTAGGTTACTGTGTAAATTTTTCATGAAATAGTTTTGATCATTGAACCATTTATTCAATTAAACTAGAAGTCTACACAGAGTGGCAGATTTGTTGAGTGAAATGAGGGTACATTAACACATCAGATACAAATCAAGTCTACTGCAAATACTTTCACTCTACTCTCACCTAATTGCTCAAATTCTTGAGCTTATAAATTGCAAATACAGTGAATGTGCAATTTTAATGACCCTCCTTTCAAAAACAAGAGTAGAAAGATGCTTTTAAAGTGAAAAATCCACCACTGAGATGTAAAGTTTGAGGACTGGAGTTAAGAGTAATGGCAAGGGGGAGTTCTAAGTGGCTTCTAACAGCAGCATTAAAGATGAAAGAGGAAGGAAGGCAGAGAAGAAGAGGAGGAACCACAGATCAGGCCGCTAATGGGAAGATAAGAAATGTCATATTTTGGCGAGGATGAGGTGGGCCGAGGGAAAGAGGCTGAATGGTAGACAAGGAGGCAGCCAGCCAGGGATGGAGAAAGGGAGGCTGGGAGTGTGTGTGTGCATATGCGAGGGGGAGGGGGGGGTTCTCTGTTAACTTTTTGATTCATCTTCTCTTCTGCCCCCAGGCGCTCTTCTCCTCACCTTCATCAATATTTCAACATACGTTTTTTAAACATCCCGCCGCCGCAGAGAAACTCTAAATAATTCAGGTTAGCGGCAGAGACAAAGCCTTCCATGCATTGAAATGTGGTTTTCTCTTTACATAAAAAAGGGGGATGAAGGAAAAGGTGTCAACCTTTTAGTCTTCAGTCATTACAAGCTGACAAAGCAGACCAAAGTGAGGGCTAAATCTCCGCGGTCACCCCTGACTTTCATTCATAAACATTCAGAAGGCAGGCATTATTCAAGAGATTCAACCGTTACCAAGAAGTTTAAATCTTTGAACCTTGTAAAAACGGTGTCCTCTACACAGACAGAAGACATTAAAATATTACGGCATTACATAAAAACCAGGATAAAAGCATGAAATCAAAGGATGCTTTCACTGCGGTGTTCATTTATTTCACAGCTAACTTGCATTATGTCTGTTTGTCAATGAGCTTAACAACCAACCATCAGTGATGCGTCCTTTTATCAGCTTGCTAAAAAGTGAGGGTTTCTGAGAACATTCATCACTTCACACATTTGTCTGCATTCACATTCATTTATCTTTAAAACAACCCACTGACATTTTTAAATCCAGTCTCTCGCCTTTTAACTTTTCATCCCTCTCTACACTTTCTCACATATCCTCCGTACAGCACCCTTGCTCTGCAGAGAGGACGGCTGTTTGTTATAGCAGACTACTCTTTGAAGATCACCCACTTCAAATTGTGCGGAAATAATACTCCATTAAGCAAAGCAAATTAGTCCTCGGTTTAATTACTAGCTCTCTTCCTGCAGTGTGGATGCGCACGATATTAACTTCATAATAATTTCTTGAACAAATAATTTAAAAACCAATCCACCCGGGGACTGGAGGAAGCCAATAAATTGCTGTAAAAGGGACAGTGGAGGAATCTGAATGCTTAATTTGGTAAATAGAAAGCAGGCGAGAGGCCACTTTGGTGTGAATGCGGTTAATTTATCTTGATTAGAAAGACGTGCGTGAGCACTAATGCTAACGCAGTAGCCAGATGTGCTGCCCCAAGTGGATGAGGAAAGCCAAGGGAACAAAATAGGAATGATTGATGTGGGGACCAAACATGAAACTGAAGTAAACATGGAAAAGGAATAAAATAAGGGACTCCAAATGGTGAGATTACCTCAAAAAGGTGTCTGACAGATGTTTGTGTTGATAAAAAGTTAATTTCAGAGACCAAAGGGATTTTGGCTTAGGCTCAATGGGGCCTGAGATCTGTTTCTGGGATAGGATTTTGGGGAAAAAGGCCTCACCTGGCTGATTAGATTTAACAGAGGTTTGCCTTCTGATCCAACCAGGCAGGTCAGGAGCTGTGGTATCCATGCCAACCACTGGATGGGCGGGACTCCAATGCAGTACTTGTCCACAGCGTCTGCCAGGGTGTTTTTGTCATCAAAGCTGAGAAGCCACAACACCTAGAGAAAGAAAAAAACAAAGAATGTGAGAATGCCGACGCAGAGAGGTGAAGACAGGAAGTGAAACAGGTAAGGAAAGAAGCAAGAAACAAAACAACACTGCCTTCAACTGTAAGATGCCATGTAAGGTCTCTATCATTACTCAGACCAGTCCTGCTTTGAATGCCAAGCAGCCTCTTGGCAATCCTTCTCATGATCAAAGCCGAGCCAATGTGGAGATGATCCCTGCTCTCACTGGTGTGCCCGGTGTGCACCTAGATTATGATGAAGACATTAACCCCACTCTGTCCCCTTGGGCTCCCTTTAGTGAGCCAACCAGGGTACACAGATTGTGGATAATTACTGATAATGACCGGTCACCTCACTTCCCTGCATCAGGACTAAGCTGTGCCAACCCAGCTTGGCAGCACGATGTCAGAGGGGGGCTTGAGGAAAAAAAAATCCTATTGGGATGTGAAGCTAAGAGCAGCCATTAATAGAATACATAATGATAGCAATCCCTGATGTTAACAGTGAGCGTGCTAAGTCATACTTATCATTGTGTGACACATAGAGCTAGCTGCTCTTTTGCTACCAGGATGAGCCTCTTTTACCTGACTCATCTGTGGTTCTCTTACACAGAGCCCCAGCAGGCAGTTAAGTCATGTTTTTGCAATCCCCTAACACTCTCTGAGTCATTATTGAATAATAACACAAAAATATCATGTTTGTAAGACATTTAACAGAGCATCAACAAAATACACTCCACCCTGGTATACTGGCCAATCATTTTTCAATTTTTTTTTGCATTCCACTCGAGTTCCCCTCTAAGATCAATAAACTAGTGCACAGCCTCCTCTCACTCTCTACCCCCGGTGTGCTTGTGATGATTGTGTCTTGGGGGTCATACAGAGGAAGAGAGACATCTACAGGTTTGACCCTTACTTTAATTAACTTGTTGTGGTGCAACATTTCATATTAAAGCTCCTGCAAAAGGTTTTCCTCTGTGTTGTTTTTGGCGCCCCCAGTGCACAAAGTGTTGCTTTGTATTTTCTGACAAAAATCTCTTCCTGCTGCTTGAAGTATTATGTTCAAAAGGAACATTTGCTCTAGGAAAAGGCTGTTTTTTCAGCGCACTGTTGTCTGATCTGGCACTTACCCCCTTAAAGTAGTCTCAGAAATCAAAAATTACAAAACAGAAAAAGATTCTTGTGGCTGAAGGTCTTATTTGTGTATAAAGCTCCTAAAGAGGTTTCTCTATACCCTGTCTTTTTCAAAACCAGATACTATTCCTGTTCACAGCAGCTATGAATACACAGATGATGGTTTTAGAGGAGGTGCTCCGGGTCCATGTAGTGGTTTTAATGCAGACATGAGGGCCCACCCTTTGAGGCCCTTTTTTATACAGATTTCTCCTTTTAATAAAATAACAGTAAAAAATAACTTACTCCAGATGATATAATCCCTTATTCGTTCTAATATTACTCATGAAACAATATTATTTGTTCTGTATTCCAGTGTACTCTTTGGCTGAGGGTTGAAAGTCTTTCTCATCTTTGCTCCAGTATGACTCAGTCTCTCTGCAGATGCTTGTTCTATTCTCAATCATGTCACTAGCCTGTTGCAAGTTGACATAATTAAGTGTGAAAATTTCCACTGGGAATTATCTCATAGTGCTTAACAGCTTTCAAAGTCTTTTGGTTGCCACTGTTGCCCTTTTTTTAACCTTTGGTTGGCATCAGATCCAAATTTTTCCTAAAATGATTCAATTTTTAGTTTAGACATCTGATGTTGTATTTGTGTTATTAGCTACCAAATATGTGATTTTAATGCTTTGCAAATCATCACATCTTGTTTCTGTTTACATATTACTCAGCACCAAAACTTCCTTGGGTTAGTAAGTAAAATCCCCCCCGTTAGCTGCCATGCTGCTACCTTTCTAGTTTGGAGAACTGTTTCAATGGTGGACCACTTAGCTGATTATCAGGGCATATAGAGACCTTTCTGTGCCAACCTCTAAAGGGGCTGGAGAAGCTGTATTGAATGTGTGCAACAGTAGAGTGCTTGTTAGCTAGAAGCCCATCTCTTTACCTCCCACACAGGTCTTACTCCACTGCCCAGTACAATAGCATTGGTCTGACTGTTGGAATGAGATCCGTCTATGTAAAGGGTCATGAGACTGCAGTATCAGGGGAGGCCATTAGTCTGTTAACCCCGCCGTGCCAGAGGATGGCCTTCACACCACCATCGATCTGCTGTGGGTTCCAATTCCCACTGTCTGCTGCTGGACTGTAATCGATCAAATTACTGCTCTCTGCTTGTAACCGTGGCGGAGTGTGAGAGGGAGAGAAAAAATAACATCTTTCTACTCGTTAGGACCAATAATATATGGCCTGGATGGGGTCAGGAAATGGGGGAATTAACATCGACCCTATCTAAAAATGAGACAAGACTATGGCTTTATAGAGGCAGGGGTTGGATGAAGAAGTGGTCACTAAACTGCTTGTTCCACCCCCAACAAGAGAAAAAATAACAGTGTCGATGTGTTCTCCAAGGTCCTTTATCACCTTTGCGAGGTATTTGCGTGACTTGCTCTCATTTTGGTGGCGGCAGGCGTGGAGGTAGCAGGTGATGGCAGAGACTCCCAAGTGGAGCTGTCGGTCTTTGACGAAGATGTTCTCGAGGTAGTCTCCCCACATGGCCCAGGCCTTCACCAGGACATCATGCATCTGTACAGCAGCTGAAAATGCCTTGTTGGCCTCCTCTGACCTGGAACAAGACAGGGTTTGGAGAGAGGTTGAAGAGCATCAGAGAGTGAGGGTGATGAGAAGCTGTCAGGGGTGAGGGAGCAAACTGGGGGTAGCTGGAGAGGAAGCAGCTATGAATGAAAGGGAAGCCAGAAGGAAAAAAGACATACTAAATAGAAAAGGACACTGAGAAGAGGGGTGGGATTGAAAGAGATGGATGCAATTCTTGTGTGTGTGGAGAGAAAGAAAAGAAGAGAGATGGAGTGTGCAAGAAACAGATTATGATGATCACATTGTGAATTATGTACTACACATCAATAAGCACCATATTTCATTTGCTGTAATCTTCAAGGCCCTTCCTCTCAGCACTACAGAGTAAGCATTTAACCCAGAATGAATTAATGTCACCACGGGTGCAGACACTTTGCTATGTAGGAATATGAGTTAAACCTGGCCCTATCATACTGCACAGATCGATCCATTAAATACAGGCTGACATACGAGCTTAGCATCTCTCTATTTCATCAGAAGTGACAGGGCTGCAGCAAGGTAAAAACCTCCGGGTAATGGCTATATTTATCTGTACACAAATACTTTGACCGTGAAGAGCATTGCTACAGCTTAGAGAAATCTGCAGCCTGATAAAACCCAAGCACCCTTGGGATTTTTTTTATCCTGGCAAGTGCAATCTAGCAGTCACACTGTGAGTTTTCGATTTAGAGAGCTGTTAAATAGGAGGCAAAGAAATAGACAGGTGAAATCTGGCAGCGACCCCCCCACATTTTGACTGAACCATTTATGCTGACAGGGAAATATATTCTGAATCATCAGCTGTTTTCACCACGCCAAGTGGCTTCTGAGCACTCGTTGGCACGCGCTGTGAATAATTTTTTTACACACCTTTCAGCCTTTGATTAATAAATAAGATGCGAGAGGCACCCTGAGACGCACCCACCCTGCAGTCAAAACAAGAAGACAGGCCTGTCAATGAAAAAGCCTGACTGAGCTCGAGCTCCGAAATGGACCTCCTCCATTTTGGGAGTGCTTCCAAAACTGCACTCCCACTTACTCACAGCGAAATGTCTCCCCAGCCAATCAATTAAAATGTGTTATTATAAAAGGCATTTTGGCATGTGATTAAGAAATGGGAGCTTGATTGCTATGGGAGTCACAGCTGAAGACTCTTCAGTAATACTTAATGGGGTTGCCTCAGTCACTTTGCTAGTGTAAGAGTACATTAACAGTTTCTACTACCTGGCTCAACAGGAGCACGGGCACCCAGCAGACTGTCAAGTCTTTTGACACCCTTTAATTGAATGATCCCCAAATCCGGTGCACATATGGTTGCACATGCACACTCACACAACGCCTCCCTCAGTCCCTTACCCCCACTCTGCTGTTAATTCTCCCCCCTGTGTATGGGGGAAACTTAATGATTGCAATAAACCCTGCTGAGGTGGAGGCAAGTTTTTGCTGATCCCAGAGATTCCAGCAAATTGCCTGGAGTTAATTATTGAGCTGCATATACATTTAATAAGCCTCCCGCAATTTGTCTTTCACCCCTCAGGACGCCATGTCATGTCAGAGATGACGGGTGGAAGGGGGGCGCTGATGGGGAAGGGCTGGGAGAGAGTGTGGCTGTGGGTATCAAGTAGAGTAGTACGCTCCACAGGCAACCCCTGCAGCCAAAAGCACAATACTGACAGAGTTACAAAAGTAATGACATCAATATATAGTCACACACAAGCCAAATAAAGGTGAGGTGAGTCAGCTGGAGGCAATGAGTGCAGATCAGATACGACTGCTGAGTCCTGACAGGATAAAACACCCACACAGACAGGGGACCACTTACACAGTTTGAGGACTTTGCAATAATGAACTTACACAGACAAAAAAGTGAGGGAAGCAAATCTAAAGTTAGAGTATAGAGTAGGAAAAGGCCTCATTCACCAACCATTAAAAGGTTTTCAAAGTTTTCTTAGCTGTAATCTGTTTTCTGGTAAAAAGAAAAAAAACACATCCTGATTGAGAACTGGAGAACCAAAGAAAAATGAATGGCTATTGTGTCTTTTGCTTTTGCACCTGAGTATTATTAAATGACATGGTAACAATATTTTAAACTTTAATGTCAATGTAGGACTTGGTCTCATCTGGACAATGTTTAACCTGGACTCTAAAGTAGCCACTTTATCTTTTTTTATAAATACTGAAAGACAACACTCACAAAATCACAAACCCGCATTACACTTGATCTGGTTTAACCTCTTTTGTTTCCTCAAACTAAGAAGGTGTATTTGTTTGTATGATGAATCCACCGCCTATGAGTTCTGAATTTCATGAATTTCCAGTGTACAATTATGTTTCTATTTCAATCTAAACATCCACTACTTATCTCTGTCTGTATTGAATCCAGTGAGGTCTCTGTGTGCACATGGCCCTGCAATTGTCATGGTTTTTTATGGACATTGAAGTGCCCCTGTCCTTAGCAAACAAGAAGGAGTTGAATGAGCTCCCATCTAATGAGGACATACATTTCTTCAATTAAATGACAAAAGAAGCAAACCACTCTGCAGGTAAAGAACTCAAGAATCTGGCCTATACTTTCTTTTGTAGAATTTCTTTAAAAGAAGGACGATATTCGTGAATGAGGCCCATACTGAAGGTTGTCAGTTAGTAAAAGGCAGAACGGTCGATGCTTGGGAAGACATACTTGTTGATTTGTGCCAGGAACATGCCCTTCAGAGCGTAGAACTCAGCAGTCATCTCCTTGGTGAAGTACTTCAGGTTGGTCGACTCTATTACCTCCAAACCCTAAAACAAAGAGAAGTTAACAACACAGGTTTAACTTCATGCTCAACTGTGGAGAAGAAAGTTCTCCCAGAAGATATCTCGACATTGTGTTTTAGACAGGGCCGTAATCACAGGTGAAAAACAAACAAACTGCTCGCTGTTCATTAAGAAGAGAGAAAAGAGGTGTTAGGGGAGCTAAACTTCCATTATGGTGAGCGTCTGATTAGGTGTCCCCCATGTGCTGCTGTGACAAACGATGTGTAGCGGGGGGGGGGGGAGAGAGAGAGAGAGAGAGAGAGAGAGAGAGAGAGAGAGAGAACCAGAGCAGATGAGATAGAAGAGAGTGAGAAAGAGAGAGAGAGAGAGAGAGAAGTGTCTGCTGGCACTTTTAATGACTTGTGGTGTGCTGAACTGCTTCTATTAATCAGAGTACTCCATGGGCTTAAGAGCAAGCTCTAGAGTAACGCTCTCTTATAAGTCTCCCTGCTATTGCTTGTCACCTAGAGCCACCCCAAACACTTTTTGCTCTTACTACTTTCCCCCAATCGAAGTACCGCTAACTATGCCCCCGGCTACTGCTAACAGGAACCAGCTCGAGTACTTAAATCACACTGAGTGCATTAAACATTTTTTCAGCAGAGGCTGGCTTCAAATTGGAACATCCAGGACCGAGGTCCAAATATCTCATTAAGGTGCAGGTGCTACATGGGAAAATAAATTTTTCATGCCTAATCACGCATAATTAGATTCTACATACTAAATAATGTTTTCTATTTTTGGAGGGGATTTGGGCCATAAATTATTTGGTGTCTTATGATCATGAGTGATTAAATGTATGCAGTTGTTCCGAGAGAAATCTGAACATGAGAAACACATTCATTCACAGTACGGCATTTATAATATATCATTAATCATGGGCTGAGTTCTACCTGAAGAGCAGCTGTATAAACAGAGCTCAGTAAAACACAATGGGATGAAGTGAGGGGATATAGGACCAAGAACATGACATATTTAAATTACTGGTAATATGGATTTTAATACTGGACCATTTGAGCTTTACTGTAAACAATCATCAGTCATACTACAGTCATTTCTGTACTACTAATGCTCACATTAGACATATAGTTATCATTTTTAGGATGTTGGACACATAAGTCTGTATCATCTGTTCTGTTGTTGCTGTGTTTGTCTGTATTCATCTTTACGCCTCTCTGTTGAGGCAGATGGCTGTTTACTAATGGGTCTGGTTCTGCTCAAGTGTCTGCCTGTTTAAGGGAGCTTTTTTTTCTCTTTCTACTCTTGCCTTACAGTGCTTTCACACCTGGATCACTGGGAGAAGTTGTCTCTAAACAGAGGGTGTTTCCCTCCTTGGCTGAAGTCATTTTGACACTTGAGCACAGCAATCGCACTCTGCTGCAGAACACAACAAGCAAGTAGGGGCTGCTTAGAGGAGGTAGTCTTGGCTCAAACCCTGCAGCAGTTTGTTTGCTGTGAGAACACAATCATGCCATCAATGGTAAGAAACGGCTGCTCGAGTCAATCCAAAAGGAAGTGGGGCAGTTAGCTTCAAAATGGCAAAAGACTGACTTTACATCCGCCTTCACCCAAAGGCCTAACAAGATTTTTGTTTAGTATGTCAAACCAGGGCAAAATTTCTCTCTCATCGCCGAAACCTCAACTTGTGCCTCGCTGGCCTGGTTCCTCCATATTTTCACCACAGTCGTCAGAGACATATTATGTGAGACAACAGACAATTGAATTTCCCTTCGGGGATTAATAAAGTTCTTATCTTATCTAATCTTATGTCATGGAGGCTAGTGTTGTGGCTAGCTAGGTGTAGAGGTTTCTTTGCCTTTCAGCAACACTATTCAGCAGCCCAGTGATGGACCCTCCCATTTATGTGCTTGCTGAAAAGTATGTAAACTTCTGTATTTTTTAGTTTTTTTTTTTTTTTGAAATGACTAAACACATACGCTTATCTGTTTTCATATAAATGAGGCATTTGACCTTGTTAATGTTCCAGATTACCTTTTCTTAAGTGGCTCATATTAGTTGGCATCTCAGAGCAAAATGGGACCAGTACTCATGGCCTGTATTTTTCTATGCAGTGGGAAATAAGGGTTGTGATTTAATTATCTAGAGACCGCCCTGCAATAGTATGTACTTTGATCTGCTTTATTATACATGAATTCATACAATAAACCAAAGGGACAACAGTTTTAGATCTTAGAACAAAGCAAACAAGCAAGATGGGACAAGAAATGCTGTTTCTGTTGCCCAAAGATAACTGGTGTTACGCAAATGAAAATTAGAGATTTTGATTTAAAATTGGTAATATAGTACAAGAAAGAATATCAAACTAACCTGCATGCACTCATTTTTGCCCATGACACCAGCCAGCTGCAAGTAACATTTGACCTGCTGCCTGATCTTCTGGAAGCAGTCAACGATGGGCACTGTGGGGATGGTGTGGATACGACTCAGGATGTCCAGTGCCACATTCACCAAACCCTGAGGGAAAAAAAGAGTGATGTGTTTCTACAAAATGTTAAAAAAAAAAAGTTTAATGGACTTGAGAAAGTAGACCTAAACCCATACCTGTTTGCGTCCAATCTTGCCGTACTGAATAATAGCAGAAGCCGAGGCATGGACTCCCAGCATGGCATTATTGTTGTTTGGATCATGCTGCGTGTTCGTCTCATACGCTGTCACTATGGCTGTGAACAGAGAAAAAAGGAGTGAACATGTCTTTGCTCTTCACTTTGGAGTTATATTTGAAGAAGTATAAAAAAGAGGAGAGCTTAGAGCAGCATGAACACTAGGGATCGTCTAGCACTCTGAAAGCTCAGCTGTCATAATGCAGAGGAGGGCACTGGGGACATTGAACATATTGAACAGTAAATGGGCCATGGCGATGAATTTCATCAAGAAAATTCCATTTCACTTTAACATAAGTTTGAAAGCTGTCACGTATAAATGAAGTGGATTTTATTGGCACACTGCTGCAGAGAACCAGTGCTATCATTATTTCAGTGCCTCACAGTCAGAGTTGGAGCTCAAGTTGCTTAAGACATCACATTTTGCAGTGGCTGCCCCACTGAATGGTTTCAAAGTCACCGCGGGAGAGAGCTGAGCACTGAGCAAGGTAAATATGTGTGTGTCAAAGAATGAGTGTGAGTTGTGTCCTGCAGTGAGAGAGTGGGTGCTTTAGCGAGCTGACATTTGAAAATGTACAGAGACCCTGAGGGGGTTTTGCACATCACGGCCTTTTAAGACGACCCAGCTCTGGAACTAGCAGAAACCTAAGCAAGAGCCAGAGTGTTTCTGCAGGAGAGCTACACCTGTGAAATACTAACAATGTTAAGTGTGCTTCATTATCAGCCAGGACTGGATCTGTACCTTGGTAATGGTGCTGGCGCCACATGAAGATGCTGCTCCAATGAGACAGGTCATCAGAAATGATTGGCAGCCGGTTCCTCCATGTTTTCACCACAGTCTTCATGTCGTGGAGGCTGGTGTTGCGGCCCAGGTTAGCTGGCTGAAGCCCTGCGTTAATTTGAGCCGCTTCTTGCAGCTCTATGATCTGCTGTGCAGCCTGAAAACAGAAAAGAAGGGGTCAAAGTCTTCTCTTTTTTTAAAATTTTATTTGATGTGTCCACTTTTATTGCTAACACCAAGTTCAAAACATCTTCAAAGACATGGACACTTTCCACAAGTTCTTTCCTCACTCACCCCTTGGCTTATACCTACAGTGACCACACTCACTTCTCTCTGGTTCAAAATTATTTCTTAAAAGAAGCATACATGCTGGTAGATCTAAAGCTCCGGCCAAATGGCAAACACTTCAACTTGAAATGGCTTACTTTTTTGTTTACTGTCAACATTTTGTGTTTCCAGGCTCACTCTGCAATCTGCTTCAAAGACTCAGTCCAGACAGAGCACCAGCTGCACTTAATCTTCTTAATATTCTGTCTACATAATATATCTCCACAAACGTACACTACTAGCCAATTTTCCTGCTTAGTTTACGCTGCATCACACACATGTTGCCGGCTGCAGTAAATCAGTAACTGTCTCTTTTTAAAAACATCTCATGTATATCATTTGTTTTCTTTTCATGTTCTCGTTTTAGACTTCAGCTTCCACATTATGCTTGCTTTGGAGTTGTTTGCATGCGAAGAGCCACCAAGAAATCTACTGATTCTTCTCTCCTACATTGCTTCTTGTTGTCTTTGGTGCATTGTGAAACACATAATCAAGCAGAACATCCAAAACCAACCCAACAAATGAAATGAAAAGAGTAAGGAAAAAGGGGTCATGACAGCATGTTCAGGGATGGATGAAGCGTGGGAGATACAGAGAAACAAGCACAAAGATAATGGAAGACACTAAAAGGTTGTGAGGCTACAGCACTGATGTATTCGAAAAGAGACAAACAGCTTTCAGCCAGCTGTACTTCACCTGATTAACAACAAAAGCGGACGTCATCTGTTTGTAGCGTTACTGAGGGCCTTTTAAAACTATTACTATTTATATTTGGGGGTCATGTCATTACTACTGTATATGCACTATACCAGAATTTTGAACTTGGACACCATACCAGTAAAAGTATAATGATATTGATTTCTTCATTGACTGAGGTATACTTAAATGTACAAGTTTCCACAGATGTGTCATATCTAATCTGGAAGACATGTTTGGTGGTGCTAGATTCGTTACTAAGGTAGTAATTTTATGGAGATCAGTCACGGTGTAGTGTTGTGAACCTCCTTTCAAACAGTTCAGGTACAATGTAACATAGGTGGTTCTGTATCCCTGTTCCCTGTCTTTGTGAAATAGACACAAACATAGCCTAGGTTATGCTGCACTATATCAGGAAAACTAATATTGCCATAATTTTTCTTTCTGCACTGTACTATGTAATGCAATATGGAAAAATTCCATGACTATGCAAGATAAATGCAGTGTGTGCAAAGTACTCATTAACAACTAGAAAAATCCATAACACAATCATACAGCTACAGAGTTTCATGCATGCTTACATTTTATAACCATGTGGCGCACAGTTATGTACTCTACATGCACGGCATTCATCTCTCTCCATGTTGAAGTATGGGGCTGCACATCGATATTAAATAGGAGTTCATAGTAGATTAATTCTTGGCAATGAAGAAGTAATGACAGCATGACATGATGACATGTTTCAGGTCACGAGTCTGACATTGCATACCCTGCAATGTGACTATGATGGAGGGCAGAGCAGAGAAACACAGAGCAGGCCAGAAGAAGTGCAATTTCAGCTGCAATAAACCAAATCTGGCAACTTCCTTATTTCATGTTTATGCAGAGGTGTAGATATATTGAAAAGTTTTTAAGCCCATAGTCACTGTGAGGCAATCAAAAAATAACCTCTTATTTTTTACTTTGGCTGCTTTGTTTATTGGCACTCTGCACTCTTAACTCCATGTTGATTGACTAATGCTGTGCTCTCCCTTAGAGTTATATTTTGAAGCATATGGCACTGAAAAGTACTGACAAATTAGACGATCTTAGCATGTGTTTCCAATAAATTATAATTTCAAATTTTCTTAAAAATAGAAGTTCCCAACATCAACCCACAATAAAAAAAATGATACTGAGAAGCCGATGATGCAAAGACAGAGACAGCAAGACTGCAAGGCTACTGCAATAATGAGCAAAATGATTGAGAGATGAGAAGATAAAAGCATGAAAGTATGAAACACAGAAGATGAAAAAAAGGAAGAGACTGGAATCTAAAAAAAAAACAGACTGTTGCTGTCGTGGTCTTTCATAGGTATGATGACAAGAGACATGTTGCTGCTGCTCCTCCTCCTCCAGGTCACTGTCTCAACACTCTTTCTCAACAACCCCGGAGGCTGAAAGCCTCTTCAAACCAGATGGATCAAAGTGACCAAACACATTTACCTTTGAGGACGTAAGGACAGCTACATCTCAAAAGCTATGGCCTAATGACAACAACAACAAAAAAGATGCCTTCGAAGCAAATTTTGGGCAAAACCGATTAAAAGATTAGTCGTAGAAATTAGATTAATTTTCTAATATTGGAATGTCACAAAAACCAAACAAATTCAGCTGTATTTTTTTAAATTCCAAAACAAAAAAATGCCTGATAAATATTGAGATCCTGATATGTTACACTGGTGTGATATAAAAAAAATAAAAAGAGAGAGAGATGGGAAAATGCGAAAATGATAAGCAAAGGCTTCTATCTCATTCTGTGAAAAAAAGGCCTCATCGATCGGCCCAAAGCTGCTCTGTGAACACATAATCAATCATTCCATTATAACTACTCATCAATCAATATTAATGCCAAGCCTCATAATCAATAGTGTGGGTGATAATCCATCGATCTCCAGTCAGTGCTAAGAGCTGGGATTCGATGATAACTTGATTCAGATGGTATTTGAGCTCAGATTGTGTGTGTGTGTGTGTGTGTGTGTGTGAGTGTGTGTGTTTGCAGAGTCTGGGCTCCTCATTCTCCGAGGCTCATGGAGTCGTGAATATGAGATATAGAGTTTGGAATGGAGATTTACAACAGGCCGCTTGGCTGGGCAGAGGAATAAATAGCTTGTTTTCCCTTGGCTAGGGTAAATAATTGGACTGCATATATGCAAGCACACACACACAGCCCCGACCACACACACACTAACAAAGAACGTAGTCACCCGATTCAAATAGCCATTTTGAAAAGACAAATGTAGCGAATCAGAGCTGTGCTGAAGACTTAACCCCCCCTGCCCTAAAATCAAATCTCCCAAAACAAAATAAATTAGGCAATACAATATTTTTCACAATTATCTGTTAATATCAGCTGATGGCCCATTTCTAACCCTCATTCAGACCGTCCCATTCATCATGTAAATGTAATTCTGCTGCAGGTATTTAATCAAATGCTATCTGATGGCAGGGAAGTAATTACAGCCATTCTAAACTCACTCCCTTTTCTTTGCTCCTCTTTTTCTCTCTCTATTCCGCTCTCCTATTCTGTTCACTCTACCTTTTTCAATTTTCACAGCCGTCTTTTCTCCTTCTCTTTTTTTCCATCTTTGCCCCTTTCTATTGTAATCGCTCAGACTGAAATCAAAGAGGCTTAAAGGTTTTCTGATTTCTTTTTAATCATCTATCTCAATTTTACAAAATGGAAGTGAGAGAGGGAGTTAGAGGCCGTTATCAGCGTTGCTCCACAACACAATGTCTCGGGGCTACTGATGATCTCTCGACATGAATCTCTTCAAGTGCTTGAACAATAAACTGACTTCCCTTCGCGACTCTTCCCAGTTTTGCTGACAGACACTTTTGTCTTAAAATGGCAGGCAGAGTAAAAGTCTTCATGCGTTTTGTATACTGACCTGCAGCAGCGGCGTGTGCACGTGGGAGACGATGTGAGGCAGCCTCCTCCACTCGCGGATGGCCAGACTGGAGGCCATCTCCACCAGCCGCTCAATGAAGTTGAGCTGCTGCTCCTCTGGGTGGCAGATGGCCAGGTAGCCGCGGTGCATGTTCACCTTCCACGCCATCTCCTTTGGACAGCTCAGCTCCACCTGGACATGCAATTAGAAATTAAATTTATGCACTGACGAATATTCATATTTGTGAGTATTTATATTTATTCAGAGTTGCCGAAGTCTGTGGCTAAAAAACTAGGTTGGATATTCACATTTGTAGTTTTGAAAATCTGTTTTCCTTAGCCACATATCAAGATGATTTACAAGAACCCAGCTGTTGTTGGAAACACGAGTTTTGCTGGTTTTGCTTTACATTCATCTGGAAAGCATAAATGAGTTGTAATCTGTCTCCTATTTTTTGCATCTGTCATCTCCAGAAAAAGACACTCTTTTCACAGTTGAAAATGCCTTTAGTCCTGTTATCCATGCAGTGAAACAAAGTTGCTTTGTTTTCTGAGATTATCTTTACAGGCAGAATCTTAGATTTAAATCATAATTCAAAAACACTTCGATTTAACATTATTCATGCGTATTTATTCCTTATGTTGGTCAACACCTGGCTGACTCACAGACAGTCAACAGCTACTACTCTTGGTAAAAAGAGGGCACAAATAACTTTGAAATGGGGACATCCTGTTGACGTGGAATCTTTTTGTATCTAGACCTGGAATCAGGATGCATTAGTGTTTACACTACAAAGAATATGTGAATAAAAAAGACCTACACCCTAGCAGCAAGTGGTTTAAGTGATCTGTTGTTAGCCATCATCCAAGCTGAACAGAAAGGTGAAAAAAAAACTGTCTTCATAGTTTTTGGCGTGCTGTTTTTTAGTATGTATGTTTTGTCGGTGTGATGTCAAGCAGAACGGCACTCACTCCCCACTACATTAAAATTGTGGCAGTTTCAATTAAACGTAAACATCTAACAGAAAAAGGCCTACGACACTTCTCCCGCATAATTAGGCACTTGGACAAATGCACAACAATACTGTTTCCATTTCATTTTCTGAATGGTTTCAGCAGGACTTCTGTTCGAACAACTAATCATCTTAGCCAATCTGATGAAGAGGCAGAGGAGTGGAAAGGCCCAGCTATTGATTAAAACGCCGAGTGCATTAACACCAAACAAACAATGGCCCAGGAGGGGGGGGCTGCATCAAAACTGTGGATTACTGTTGATTGTTTATAGATGAGAAAAAGAAACACAGGATGAGGCAAGACAAAGAAGAGGAAAAGTGGAAGAAAAAGCCAAGGTGTGAATTTGTGTGAGCTCCTCCAACGTCGGAGAAAATTACAGTGATCGGTCAAAGCGCACCTATCAAGGGTGACACTTGATGAATATCCTGGAGACAGTGCCGCCCTTATCAAGAGCCAGCTTTAATTGAAAGCGGGGACATTTGGACTTTGCCTCAGAGGTGGTGAGCGGTGGACAGGCAGGGAACCGGAAGCCTTGCGTCTTTCCGCCACCATAAAACAAATCATCCTGCAGCAGATGCCAGGGTAATAATTCACACACTGCTATCGTAAATATTGGCCGCTAAAACCAGAGCTGCATGGCGAGGGATAAGAAGTGAAGGTGGAGGAATTGGTAGAAGAGGGTGGGTTGTGGCAAAAAGAAAAGCAAGCAAAGAGGAGGAGTTGGAGAAGTAAGAGTCAGAAAAGAGGAATGGTTCACTGAGGAAGGAGGGAATGAAACACAGAGGAGGGGATAAAGCGGAGTTGGAGCTGCTGTCCAGACAATTTAATTAGGTGTCACCTTAGGACAGAACGGCTCAATGGATTGGTTCCAAGTCTCCTTGAAAGAGCAAAGCAGGAGTATTTGTAATATGTCAGGTGCTATCACATGCTTGCCACTCGTCAACACTTTGTTTCAGGAAACATGAGGCCAATAAATTAGCAAGCCAAACAGCTGAGCAGAATTTCCACAGCTTTACAGGCAGCTTTCCCATCCTCTCATGTGGCCGTGAAGGTAGCTGACTGTCCAAAGATCAAGTTACTGAACTCCACACTGACATGGGGTCCAGGAATAAAATGAAAAAAGTGGAGTCGAGTTCACTGGGTTCAAACCTGGAGGCTCCACTGAGTCTGTGATTGTGTTAGTGAGAACTTGTGCTCATAGTTTCTATTTTCTGTCAAACTGATATTAGGTTTAGTGCAACCTTTGGGAGACAGTGAGAGTGGAACCTGTGTGAGGAAGTGTGTTTGTGCGTGTAGACATCTATAAATGGATGCATTCTTCCATGGTGAGTGTGCACCGCTCACCTGTACTAGAGCCTCCTTCATGGCGGCCCAATTGGACACTCTCCAAGCACACTCGAGCATGAGATAAGGGTTTGAGTGGCCTTTAGATTGGCCATATTCTGTCAGCGGTTCCCACTGGTTCAATTCCTTCGAACAGCTGGGTAGAAGGACGAGGGAGGTGAAAAGTTAAAGCCACTTTTAACTTGAAACATGCTTGAAGCAAAGAGCAGTGAGTCTCCTTTTGATTTCATGAATGTTTGCTAAGATAGACTTTTAAGTTTGTAGCCACTGACCCCAGTAAACTAACAACAGGAGGGTCATTTGATTCTGATGAGAGGCACAGTCGTCATCAAAGACCCTGGTGAGTTGTTATTAAAAAGTCATTTTATTCAGATTCATCTTAGGAAAATAAGATTTTTCCACTGGTTAAGAATTTTTGTTTTGTTTGGTGACAAGGACACATTAAGTCTCATTTAGAAGTCTCTTTTAGCAAAGCTTGTTGTTTCTGGATTCCTGCTCTATAATGTGTAGTAACCCGGATGGATGTAAATGAGCTGCAGCAAAGAGACATACATATATAGGGCCTGAATGATAATGAAGTAGAAATCTGCTGCCACTTTGTGCTCTTCTGGCTCTCTCACCGTGTAAAGGAGGCCACCCTCCGGGATAAAAGCATCTTACCGTATCCAGTGGTCCTCCCACAGCTGGTACTCAGGGAAGATGGCAGCAGAAACGTTGCTCCTCTCATGCTCCTTTCGAGCCTTCTCCATTGCTTTTTCATAGCTTTCTTGGGCCTGAACAGCACATGAGATTCTTAACAAACTTTTTCATTCAACCTAATGAAAGGTTTTCTGGTACAATGTATCTACCTTAGTGCAAACTTGCTGCAACAAATTTTTATAAACACATCTCAGCAAAGTGTCATGCAGCTTCAGAGGAACACAATTAACAGCTTCTTCAACAACAGTTCAGTTAACTAACACCTTTCGCTTGCATTCTACCTGATAATCCATCAAAAGATGCTGACTGTTTTCTTTCAACATCTCTCTCACCTGTTCGAAGAAGCCGTGCTGCTCATAGGCGATGGCTGTGGCAGTTTCTGGGAACTTGCACCTTTTCTGCCATAAGCCAGCCCACATGTCCTCCTCTTGGAGCAAAGAGTAAAGCTCTGCTAAGGAGTCCAAAATCTCCTAAAGTGAAAGATCACAATGAGAATGGTAGGAGTACAAATGGGTTAATTGTTGGTGATTGGCTTTCATTTGAACTAGAGCTCCCAGTATGGGTCTGCTTCAAAGAAAATAAGAGGCTGTCTTGACTTATTTTCATTTTATAGCTGCAACAATATTTTCCGTGAGAAAATATAATGCAATAAAAACTAAAAGCTGTCTCTGATTTATTTATAAGGCAAGTATTTCAATGTATTTTTAATGTAACCTGTTGAGGTGGTGTGATGCTCTCCTGCTCGTAGAACTCAGTGCTCTGCTTGGGTTTGCTATGAAGGCTGAGGCCCTTCTCAAAGGCCTGCTGCTCCAGCATGAGTGTAGAGCGCAGCCACAGGTTGTGTGTCTTCCCCAGGTACTTCAGTACGCACGGTCGGATGGGAATAGGAGGTACACACTGGGACATGGCCTCCACAAAGCAGTTAAGGGCGCTGGGCTGACAGTCTCTCTGGGCCTGGTGGCTGCCGCTGCAAAGGAAAGGGCTCATTTCTCCTGAGAGAGCCTGAAGAGGAAAGAGAGGGAGGTCATGTACAAACCATTTTCACTTAAGCAGCGGTGAACTGATATGATTTATTGATAAAGGCATCTTGTTGCATGTACAGTATGTGATGCAATATGCCTTTTTCCAGTAAAGTAAAGCTGTTATACAGGAAAGGCAGCAGTGACAAAAAAAACACATAAGGTGGCTGGAAAGGGACAAATAACAAATCAGTTTGGAAGATGTGATTTTAAAGAACCTACCACGATGACTAAAATGATGAAATTAAACCCTGAAGGTGGTCAAAACCATTACATTTACCCATTTTGAAGAATAAACAACTATTTAACATTTTTGGTAAAGGATACAAAAACCATCCAAAAAAGCAAAACTGCGTTTTTTCACTTGACCGGGCCACTATGTAATCACAGCCTCTTAAAACCCACAGAATGGCTTTTGAGCGTGACAGCAGGGTTAGTGCTCTGATAATCATGACTGACACACACTCAGAAATAAATGATGCAGTGGTAATGAATATAATTTTCATTGCCCGTCGACAGCATAGAATAATTAATGCCTTGATGGTCACTTAAATGAGACCAGTGGTGGAGACGGCTAATACATATGAAAAGAAGTTAATCCCTTCCTAAGAAGAATATATTTCCCATGATTCCTGTGTAAAATCAGGCCTGAGATTTAAACCCTGAGCAGCAGTAATCAGTCCATTTTCAATAGATATTGATATGCTTCAATAGTGTGATAAAATGACGACAGGAAGCAGGCGTCAAAAGAAGCACTTGTGACACATTAGTGATTTCAAGCCTTTCACAAGAATGTTATTATTTTGAAGCCGTTTTTTCATTGACAATCTCTCAGATGTTTAAGAGCTCAATCACTTCAAATCAAGGCCTTTCAACAAGTCTGGAAATACTCCATATGCATCTGGTTCATTACACTCATTACAGATTTCCTCCCTTGGTATTCGCGATTCCATATTTAGCATAAATGAACCCGTCCTCATTAAGTGGAAATGCATATTTTCAGACATGAACATGGCAGCCAGGGTCAGAGTGAATGTCGGCTTGCTAATGTCATTGATAAGATACAGAAATGGTTACAGGAAGCAGAGCGGAAGGTGAGTGTGTTTGAACTGTGAGAACAAATGGACGACCGTGAAAGTCGAAAATATCAAAGCTAAGGAGTAGCGTTAAATGACGAATGCTGAAAATAACTGACATTTTCATATTTAGGACACCAGCAGGATCTTAGGCTCTTCTGACCATGACTCACAGGTTTGATTGTGGCATTCAACATATAAAATTATGTTTCATTTTTCCGTTAAAGCTGGTGCATTTAATAACCCTCAACAAAATGTCAGTACATTTCTCTCCACTCATTGATAATACTCAGAACTTCATAATCTTTATGCCAATGTAGTAATAACCCATAACTGAAAGACTGAGCATCTTTTTTGAGAGAAAGGATCATATTACAGCTTCACAAAAGAAACTAAAAATTTTCAAATGAGAAGTGGGTCTAACTTAATAATAAAAATGTGTCAAAGAAATTTTTCATAAACATGTTGCATGTCATCATAACTAGCCCCAATCATGTTAATTTAAGTCCAGATCATCATGATAAGGAATTGCGATAATGTTCTTTTTTTTTTGGTGGTTGAATTAAATGCCATATTTGACAGCTTTGTTAGTTAATGCAGCACAAGGGCAGCAGATTACCAAGGAACTGGCCACAAAACAAACCAAACACTGACACAAGTAGGAATGTGCACCTCTAGTCAACTAAATGGCGACCGTTTGTGATCACCCTCGCTTACTCAGTTCTGATTGATTTCTGAAGATCCCTAAACACAAGAGTCTTGAACTTCCCATAACTGTATTTGCTTTGAACTTGCACAAAAAAGCTGTTACACCTTCAACAGTGTCAACCGACGGGACTGGATGTCAATACAATACCACATATGTCTTGGCCATCATGGAGGGTATCTTAACTTCACTTTGTTGGAAGGGAAGGGTTGAAGGCTCATCCATGGTCACTGTCAATGGTTATAATCAGAAGCCAGTTGGTAATACTCACATGCTGCTGCCTATCCGAGAGGATCTTCCAGAGGCGAGGGAAAAGCTGCACCCAGGTCCTCTCAGCCAACGGTGTGGAGATGTGACAAAGCTGGACCAGAGCGTTCAGGAGAGCCCCCGTCTAGCACAATAAAGAGGAAAGTGTCAGCTGCTGACTTGACAAGGCGACGGTTCTTAATCCTTGTCTTCAGGGCTCAAAACTACGGCTGATTCACTATCCCACTGGGTGGCTAATTGTTTGTCCCTGGTATCCCAGGTCAGAATCCCTTCCTGATGTTACAGCATCAATAAAAATCAGCAGGATACTTGATCATAAAAAAACTTCTGCATGGAAAGCCTCTAAACTTAAAAACTACATCTCTATAACTGCCAATAATAGCCTCTGGGTTATTCTGAAAGTTCTCAAACTTACCTTGACTTCCCGTAATGAGTCCAGAAACTTGTCATGTCGGTTTGTGAGCATGTGCAGCTGGTTGCCTGTGTCTCTCTCAGACTGCTCCTTACTCTTGGGAATGGCGGTCTGGTCGCCTGGTGCTAACTCTATATCAATTTCCACATCCTGCAGGAGAGCAAAAAATAAATAAATAGAACTTTTGACATCTAGTTTGCATGCTTGAAAATCAGCCGTTTCAAGTTTTTATGTAATGGGTGACAAAACAGGAAACACTAATTCTAAAGACAGATGAAACAAAGCTTTTCTCCAGACTAGCATATGTAACTCATTCTTAACAGGATTATGTGCTAAATCATCTTGATCCATTGCGACGTGAATGTGTCTCTGTGTCCCACCTCCTCTTTGGTCTCACTGTTCTCCCTCTCACGTGGCTCCTGCTTGACATGCGTCGCCATGGCGAAGGCGGCGCGGTCATGGCTGTCGGCCAGGTTGATGACGTTGGTGATAGATGGCAGCATGGATCCCTGACAGCTGGTGCTGATGATGGTATTCCGTTCGCACACCGCCAGCAGCAACTAACACACACATAGGAACACATGCACACGCACACAAATAAAAGATCAGCGACAGTAAATGACATGACAAGTGACAGGCATGACAAAAAGCTAACTGTGACTGAAAAAGGCTTGTTGTATGAGTCAACACTACTTGTTTACTGTCGTCTAGAGGGTATGAAAGGATTTCGTTTGTGAATTTGTTTACCTCTATGCACTGTTTGATCCAGAAGTGGCTGCCCATGGCCTCCCAGTTCTGTGAGCAGCAGATATAGAGCAGCCTCTCGTAGACACGCCGCTTCATGGAGGCATCAAACACCTCAAAGAACTTTGCTCTGATCAATGGCTGGGTGCAGCGTAGCCCTGAGAGGAAGGCTGGCTCCAACTTGGATGTGATGTCACTTCCTGAGAGACTCTCATCCCTAAAAAATATGACAGACAAGAATAACATGAGACTCACTAACAACCCGCCACCTTACTCGATTTTGAATAAAACTTAAAACCTTTAAAGTAACAAATATCAAGAACGAATAATCAGTTGTGGTTCCCAGCTGTACATTTAAATCCCTCTTTGTCTTAACTCTGTATTTCACTTGAAAGCTATCATTCCTTTCTCCGTCCAGTCTTTTATTTTCTTTGACTGCATTTATTAGAAGCGCTTATCTGCACGTGCTTTAACTTGGAAAACTGTTACTAAAGTTATCATTTGATGGTCAGAACATTGATTTGTCAGGGCTGGCATACTGACTCTTATATAGTTTGATTTCATGATTTATGAGGACAGAAAAGTGCATGTTGCTTATAAGAACACAATTTCAAAAAATCCATTCAAAAAAAGGATTTAGTATATAATTCAGATCACCTGCTCAAACAATCATACCAGATAAATCCCTGATTATGTTAAGGATTAAATTAGAGCTGCACAGTACACTGTGATGACATGATAACAGCATGAAGACCTACAATAAACACGCATTACTTTCTGCAAGTAATGCTTTTTCACTTAGCTCAATAAGTGAACACCAGACTTTGGCACCATTACAATGTTGTCAGATGAAGCTCGAGCTAGTTTTTAACTACTCTTATATCTGCTACAATTTAGTGGTTATAAAAAATGCTTTTTGGGTTAATTTTGAATTTACATGTTGCAAACACAGCTATTGTGCAGATCATAAGGTAGAGCCGATGGGCATAAAAATTGACTATAGTTTAGTTTGCATATACTCTCTCTAATACCTGATTATGGAACTTTATGTTGTTGAGGCAATTTTGGACAATGTCACTGCAAATGAAATATTCATCCTGTCAAGTTAATTTGTTTCTCTGTAGTTGTAAACATAATAAGCATGCCACTGATGAGCAGGATTGAGTTCATTACTAGGGGGTTATTTACAAATAGACAGGTAACACCAGACAATGCAACACAAAAAAAAAAAAAGAAATAACACTCTAATGAGAGGTGCTAGCACATTCAAACAGCAACGTCATTTAAACACTGAAGGTCACTCAAGTGTAAGGAGATGGCAGTTAACACTGAATATCAGGTGAAATTAAGTATCTTTTATGCAGAGACAGTTGAGCGTTCAACACTTAAATAACAATAACACTCTTCTTTACATCTTCCTGCCACACTGAACAGGAGTCGTGGGTGTGATTCACACGAGAGTAGAAGAGAGGGAAGGTGGGATGAAAGTAACAACAAAGAAATGCTCCTACAGCTGCGTTTGGTCCCTATTTGTGCTATTCTCCTCATCAAACATTGTTCAGGCACAGCTGCTTTATCATTTCATTCTCATTACTTGCTGTCTATCACGGCTTTACTGCCCGTTTTAAATCTTCTGGCAGATGGGGTGGAGGGATACAGGCAACATTTGGCTGATTAAATGTGTGTATGTGTGGGAGACAGGAAGACAAAGAGAGCCGCGGTTTGATGGATAGTGGGCAGTGAAACAGTCTTTCCCCTCTGGCCCTCACCTGCTGTGTGTCCTGTCATGGGTCCTGACACCACTGTAGGCCTGTGGAAAACCTTGGTGCTTTAACTATCTCGGTCACAATCTGCTGTCTTTCTGACTCCTTCTGCACAATCCCTCATGTCTAATCCTCCTTTTTTTCTGATTTAATAGTAATGTTAATCTATGAACTCCTCCCTCTCCATCCATAGATTTTTACAATACCGTTTCGTCTGCTTTTTCATAAAAACATAAATATATAGTACACTGCTCCTTCTTCAAACCCCATCCTCTTCATCCCACATTTTCTACTGCTCCTTGACCCAACCTCCTGTGACTTTTCCCGCCTCAAACCCCTGACCTTCACCCCTCCCCGTTAAGATGGATGCAAGGGCGGCAAGGTAGCGGCAGAATGGCCATTTGGCCATGTGATGAATGGCGGTAATTACCTGTAGACGTAATTAACGAGGTCCAAGAACTGGGCGTTTAACTCAAGTTCATCAGGAAAGCGCTTCTCTATGTAGGTCATCATCTTCACCAGCAGGATGGACTTCTCTCTGAGGTTGGGCATCTGGATGAAGCAGGGAAAGTGGGATGGGGAAAAGAGATATCAAGAAATGAAGGACAGGGGGGAGGAAGAAGTGGGAATATAAATGGCAGATAATAAATTAATTTGTCCTTGCAGTCATGTCTCTCAGTCTACCGAAGCTCCTTTACCTTTTCCTCTTATTCTACAGATTAAAAGAAAATATAAAACACCTTTGTAAGTGCTGATGTTTGAAGCCCTTCTGTGCTGAGGCAATATGATGTTCATCTAAAAGTTTCACATCTTTAAAATTTATTTATCTGATTAAGTTTTCTGATCATAACAGAAATAATGTTCTACAGAAAAACACATTTCTATTTTGTTTTAAGTACCATGTTTGTGAAATCATATGTCATGTTCATTCATATTTTTTTATAAAACATCTCACTGGCTCTCAATACAACTAAAAATCTCTTTTTTTTAAATCCTATTTTTACATCATAAAGCACCTGATGGTTCAGGCACTGAGAAGATTTCCAACCCAGTCCATTAAAGCGGAGTTTTTTTTAGCCATGCCCAGAATTAGATCAAAGGCTGGAGAGGGGGCTTTTAGTTGCTGTGGTCTTTTTTCTCTGGAACATGCTGCCTGTTGACCTGAGGTCCATCAAACCGGCTCGACTTCTAAAATTAACTTCAAACCCTTTCTATTCTCCTGAGGATACAAATAGTGACTCTGTCTGTCTGTGTGAATATATGTGCTCACTTGTGTGTATGTGCAGTATGATTTCATAGGTTTGGACTGAATTTCCTTTGTGCTTTTTCTTGTTTGATTGCTTGGTGTTATGTATGTCCTGTGCATGTTGTGCATTGATTTTATGTCTATACCTTGAGCTTACCTTTATACATATGTACAAATGAATACAACTGCATTTTGTTATTATTACAGTGTGGAAGCAACAACACCCTCAGGCTATAAACTGGTCCACTAGCAGGTCTAGAAGTATGTTTTATTCAGGTTTCTTCAGGGTGTAAAAGTCTGTTTTTGTTCCAGATTAAGTAAAGAGATCGCCCCATTAAGACAGTTTTGCATGATGCGTTTATTTTGCCCCACAACGGAATTTAACTTGAGTGACTTCAATTGCCATTTTAAGGAAAAAAAATACATGCTTTTGATGTGAGGTATAAATTGAAAGCAAAGGTACTTCCTCTAGAATGTACACGTGTGTGACTAAATGAAGTTAAAACTGTAAGATAAATTAGCACCACCCCTGAGAGGCCTCGCTTAAGTAAGGATAAAACAAATGCTAAAAAGGTCCGCTTGGAAAGCTGACCTTTTATTGTTACTGTGTGGGAAGCAGTTGCTGCATCCTTTATTGCAGTATTTTCCCCTGCTACGGATCAAAGACATCTGGCCAGAGGCAGAAAGTGCCTTCTGCTGTTATCAGTATTCATTATTTAGCGCAATATGATTGTCCTTTTTTATGATCATTTTTATTGGGTCCCATCATATCCCTACATTTCATAGCCCAACTTTCTGAGCTGTAATACTGGGACTATTTCTCTACCTGATTGGCGGCCATCGGAGAGTTGTTCTTCACCCACTCCTCAACAATTTTGACAACAGCACGGAGGATTTTGGGGTCAGGCGACTTCTCAATCAGTGATGTTAGGATGACCTGGATGAAGTTCTTTCTCATCTCCATGCTCATGACGGACAGTCGAGTCTTCACCAGGTCAAGGCTCAGCATTACCAGCTCACTAGTCACTAAAAAAAAAAAAAAAAAAAAAGAGTTATTACACCCATGCAACAAAAATCTCGAAATACACGATGTTGGAGACTGTGTGGGGAGAATAAGGCTAATCATTTTCATATATTTTGGGGATGCTCTGGTATAGAGTATGGAAAAAATGTTAAAAGTGCAACTTCCACTTACATTTGAAGTTTTATATTGAGAAAAAGAAAAACAGGAGATAAGAGGGTCAGCAGAAAGCTGACATTTTCATCTAGACTAAAAACAGATACTTTTAAGAACTACTGGAAAAACTATGTTGAATTTTTTGTCTCAATTGAGAGCAGACTGTGCAGTAAAGACATTGTGTATTATAGATTACTGATCCCCTTGGTTCAGGCTACAAACTTGTTCATTGTTCATATGTTTATTATGTTTACCCTCTCACAGGAGAAAAGAGACAATGCAAGAGAGGTGTGAAAAAAGGACATAAGTGAAAAGTGTTTCATTTCACTATACAGTTATTCTCTTATAACTTTACTTGAGAAATATATGTCTTAATATGTCTCTGCTCCGCGGTGGCAGAAGTATGAAAACATTCTATACAGTTGGAAATTTGATCAATAAATGTAAATTGTTGATGGAATATTGATGTGAGAAATTTAAAAAAAAAAAAAAAAAAAAAAGAAAAACTGTCCGGAGGAGTAAATCAAAAAAAGCAACAAGGACATAAAGTCAAAATATCAGACCATACAGAATTCTTTACTCTTAAGTCGAGCAGCTAGAAACACAAATCAACAAATGAATGAACCAAAGTGGATCTGGTCTTAAAAGATATCCCTGTTCCAACACCAAAGTGGCAGCTCTTAGAGTGGTTCATGGACACCGCATCAGATCTACAGCAAAACATTTTCAATCCAACAACGATTGAACTACTTCTGCAAAGCTTGTTAGATTAGTGAGACATAAAAAATCTTTAGGCAAAGAACTCGCTGGGCAGATAGCCGTTGCTTTTAGTGACAATAACTGCCTACTGGACGGTAAATGTGTGTGTTTCCCGATACAGTCATTAGGGACCCATTTAAAGCACTGATAGCATCTTCTAGCCATTACCTCCCATCTGAGAAGCAGCAGCAGGAATTATGTGCTGCCTTACTTCTGCAGACGTAGTGAAGCTGATCTCAAAGAACAAAGTGAATGAGAAACCTTACAGAAAAAAAAAATGTCAACACTCAGCTGAGAACACAAGAGGCTTTTACACAGCTACACCCAGGCTTGTGAACCTCTTCTCTCTACCTCTGCTGACTGATTAAAGGCCAAGTTTTCAAATGAATCCACATGAAACTGTGTGTGCCCTTTCGAACAAAGCAAAACAGCACAGGACGACCATCTGTTTGTATTAACCCAAGAGAAACTGGGAGACAATACCGAGTGGGAACTGGAGCTGAGGAACATTCCCTGTGAAATCGCACTATCTGTGCTGTGGATCTCTCCCAACGGCAACAGCTCCTCAGAACACAGCTGCGCCATTGATACAGAACTTGTGATACGGCCTTTGTATGGAGCCAGGTACTGCTGAGATACACAGGATATCTGAGCTCTGACTGAGTCTGAGTCTGAGTCTGAGTCTGGGGAAGGTCGCCATGTGAGTCTGTTTGCTACATCTGACCTCACACACAGGCAAGCCCTTGTTAGATCAGGGGTTGGGGAAAGTACGCACGCAAGGCTTTCTGATAATGTGAGTCAGCTGTAACTTCAGCTCGCAGGATAAGTTCAGCTGAAATAGATGTTGAAGTCTGGGGGGATCTCTGCTTTGATGGTGTCTCAAGTGCTGTGAACCAAAATACTCGGTGGAGAACAGAGGGATACTGGGAAAGAAGGGGGGTAGTTGGAGAGGTCTGAGTGGGGGGTGGGGAGCAAATCACACATAAATAGGTGTGCATTTATATGTGCAACTTTTACATGGATTGCCATTTTGGGATCCCTGATGAGTCAAGTTCAAATCACAGCTAATTACAAATCTTTTATAGACAGACACCACCAAGCTGTGGCATACACTGTGTGATTGTCTTAAGTGTTGTGGTGAAATGTCAACTCATAGAGTGAGAATCAAGTCTTTATAGTGTGACTCTAACAGATTCATCCCCTGTTTGTGTAGCAAAGTAGTAAAGACCACACAGTATGTTGCCATGTGGATTTCAGACAGTATGGGTCCATGTTGTTCACCCAGCACAAAAAAAACAAGTGTCATTGTTTTTCTTCAACTGATGCACTTTCCAGTTGTAAGCCCTCCACCCACACTGTGTAAATCGCAAGGGACTTTGTGCTCACATTAGTGCGAGTAGGCGTGTCGGTCTGGTGCGTTGGTATCTTGAGGAAGCATGTGCACCTTTGACCAAAAAAAAAAACTGGTCCAGAGTCTGATGTAAGAGGTGCAGTACTTCCCTGATATTTAGGGGGTCAATTACTACATCTTTGAGGTTTGGGCTATTTGGTTATAAGGTTGTGTATGTGTTAAAGAACTCCATTTGTGCTCCTGCATGAGCCATAACAGAGCTTGGCAATTTCGCCCCTCTTGTGAATTTCCACTGAACATAATAGCATCATCATTTCAGTGTCCTAGTGTGGCTTTACACAGTATTCCAGGAAAAATGCAATGATTCGCAAACAAAGAGCGCCATATTCACAGTCTGTGCTCATTGAACTGTTTACTGCAGGGGTTGGTTCAAGACCTCTACAGCCAGCTTGAGGTCCTGATGACCCTTTCCTGTCCTGCACTGTGCGAAGATGTGTTTTAATGCTTCACAAAAATGCTGCACAGAGCTGAACTGCTCCTATTACATTTCAAAGAAATTGTTTTGTGCTTGTGTTTTGCTGCAGTTAATCTCTATTTCCATGTTTTTTGTCATTTCTTTCCACTTAAGCCAGTACCTGTGCTGGTTTCGGTAACCCCGGGGTTGGCCTGCTGGGGGCTCAGGTGTTCCCGTACCATCTTCTGTAGAGAACGCATGAACACTGAGATGAGGCGGTCGATGTAACTGGCGTTGTAACTGCAGGCTGACTTCAGGATCATCAGTGTTCCTAGTGGAGCAATGAAGGGGAAAGTTGAAAGGTGAATTGATGAAAGAATTAGGAAATACAATTATCAGACAGGAAGCTTTACCTCTGTGCACAGAAAACGAGACACACACCTGTAGCCAGTGGGACAAAGACTTGACTTTTTTCTTTTTTTTTTTTTTTTTAAGAGGGAATGTCATAAAGCTCACAGTGTCACATAGACAAGGATATGTGAGACTAATGTCCCTCTCTATTTCTGCTCCCTGAAGGGGAGACAAATGTTAAAATACCACCCCGTCATGTCAGTGTTACCTTTCTGCAACAGAAGGATATCAAAAGCCTTTTATTGACCACAACTGCCATTTTGGGAAAATCGTATCAAATAGCGCTACCTTTAGACAGCTCTCCAATAGCCATTTGTCACCTTGAGGGCCTTTTATTTGAAGAGCTGCTATATATTTCAAATGAAGGGAGAAAAAATCAAATAGCTATCTCCTTGGAATGAATGTAAGCTTTCCCCATAAATACTCTCTGACATTTGGCAGGATAACAGTAATGTTCACACAGGGAGGGTGGCCTGAAAGCAGCAATTCTTCCCGAGACAACCTTTCCCAAACCGCTGGACTGTGGCCTCAGTTTAAACAGACCAGATGTTAGGCCAAGCAGCAGGGCCCATCGGCTTGCATTTTAACGACCCACTTACTGGAATAATTGCAAAGAGCGACCGAGTTAGCTCGGTTTTTGTAGGGAAATGAGTGAGAGTGTGACAAATATATATATTTTTTTATGTATGGGTTTACGACCAATAAAGTGAGGGTGACAGAGCACAAGAGAGCAGAATGGGGCAAATGAGAGGAAGAAAAGGGAGAGCTGAAGGTCTTACCGAATAGCTGTGTGGGGTTAGTGTTGCTTGTAGCTTTTTCATAGTTAGTAAGTCCTTCATAGATGACTTTGCCCACAGCAGCATAAAGACACTCCAATTCCTCGTACTTGGATGCCACTGATGATGTGCCTACAGAGAGGGAGGGAGCAGTGTTTGTTTCAAACAAAGAACAGCTGTGGATCTAAATCAACGCCTTTCTTTTAGCACACTGGATGAAAGATGGCCGTCGAAAAAATGTAGGAATCAGCAAACAAACACATTTTGGCAATGAGGGATGATTTCTCACACAGCCGAGACATGCATCTTTTTTTAGTTAATGAGTTTGGCTAATCCAGCTGAGGGAACCTACTGGGCTCAGTGGGGAAGATGCTCATGAGACGTGAAAGCAGGGAGTGGACAGCCCTTAGCACTTTGGTGTTGCCGCAGGTCATGCATGCAGCAATGCCCCGCTGGAGGGGCTTAAAATGGGCCAGGATGGCTGGAGACTGCAGCACTTGAAGTAGGAAGCAGAGAATCTCCAGTCCAGTGCAGATGTTAGAGATGTTGGCCTGTGCTGGCTGCTCCTGCGAAACACAATAAAAAGAGGGCTCAGAGAAATGAAATAATGAAATAAATAAATGAAATAAATAAGGAGACATAAAATACAAAGGCATTTGTTTTTGTTGGACAAAAGACAAAAGCTAGTGGCTGCTATTATGCTTCTTTATAAAAAGCCCAAACCCAAAACTAAGCAAAAAAAATAAATAAATAAATACAGAACAAAATCCTTGACAGATGCATTAATCACTGAACTTTTTTTCCCCCATACAAACTAAAGACAACTGAGAAATCAATATTCCACACACAGAGGTATTTCTTGCACAAAAGAACCAAGGCAATGTGATTGCTGCTAAACTAAAGATCAATGGCTAACATCGGGTCCCTAATTTTGTCTAAATTGCAATCAAGGTTTACAAGATGGCAGGGCCAAGAGGATAATATGGGACAGATCCACAGCACTAATCTTGGCTAATGAACAAGGTCACTCCTGTGATAAGGCTGCTGGTAGATATTAGGGTATTATTGATTCGGCACTGTATTAACAGAATGGGATCTTGTATCTGGAGCCATGTAGATTGGGTATTTGTGTGTATGTCTGGTTGATAGTCTGCTTCTTCCGCCCCTCCCCGTGTGCCCTCTCATGCCACTCCCCTTGACTCTTAATCACTGCCATGCCAGTACAAAGAGATGATAAAAAGTAATCGGATTTAGACCATTGTTCATTAGTCTGAGGAAGATGGCAGGGCAGGTAGAGCATGGTCCCGAGGGGTCCGGATTCGTGTATGTGCATCTGCATAAGACCTAAACAAAGCCTTGTTTATCAGACTACTCCCATGGGGTCTGGAAGGGCTGATTGGTTGTGTGAGTGTGAGTGTGTGTGTGTGTGTGTGTGTGTGTGTGTGTGTGTGTGTGTGTGTGTGTGTGTGTGTGTGTGTGTGTGTGTGTGTGTGTGTGTGTGTGTGTGTGTCGGCAGAGAGCAGCAAAGGCGCGGCCAATTGCAGCGATCCCCAAAGAGAAAAAGGGAAGTACGTGACAATTGTGGGTGCATGGCGATAACCTTGTCTGAAGTGACTGAATCGGACCAGAGAGATGACAAGGGAAGGAAGGGGGCAACAGATAAAAAGAGAGAGACAGAAGAGAGACTGCGATAAGAGGCTGAAAAGAAAAGAGGAGATGAGAGGAGGAAGTGGTGGCAAGACACAGAGGGAAAAGCGAGGACAGATTCAGAGAGGCATAGTGGGGCGATACAGAAGGCAAGGATGGGGAATCTAGGATGAAGAGGGGTGGGGGGGGTTGAGCAAGAAGGCACAGGCCAGCCCGGATAGCCTCCCGTTATCTCACCGCTGTCATTATTTTGTCATTATGGTAGTTGGTGACTCACTTCATGTATTTACTGATAAGAGACAAAGGATTCAGAGACGTCAGAGCAAACACTGAGATGAAGCTTAAGCAGGGACAGGGAAACTTCTGCTGCCTCTGAGGAAGTAAATGTCATAAAGACGAGCTCGTTTTTCTTCACTGTTTGCTGTTTTGTTTTTTAATTTGATCAAAACTTGTTTGCCCATAATAGCGTTGACATACACTTCACCACGGACTTTTCTGAGCCAACTACTTTCTCATACAAAATACCATTTTGGTCTTACTAAAAAGGCATTTACATTTTACCTTTTACCTACCTATTGATGTAAAATTTACATACAAAAAAGATAATTCAGACACCTTCAGAAAGATCCAAGCCAATGTCGACATAGTAACTGACCATTCCTTCTGGGAAATGCAATGAGGAAACTGTATAAATGGCTGCTAAGCACCAAGTGTATCCTTAACATGAGTCTGGGTGGGGCTTCATGAAGCACTAAGACAGTGTGTTAAGGTGTATAGCAGGGCTTTTGCAATATACCAGTGTAAGTGATAACCATCTGAAATCTGAAAATGCAATAGGGATATAAGGCTTAACATAAGCATGCAGTAAAACCAAGTAGCTAACTGCTTTTATCGGAGTGGTAGTGGTTCCTTATGCCAGTTGCCACCTGCTATAAAATGGAGGGAGGACATAAAAGAAACAGCCTTCACCACAGCAAGGCACTTTGTCAGGCCTGTCCTAGAGAGGAAGAAAAAAACTGCTCAATCTGCTTGACACTCAGTCAAGACAGCCAAAGCTGTCAGTTTTAAATGTTTAATCTGGAAAGAATTTTAGGTTATTCACAGGAATAAATGCACAATGAATTGTGTTTTGCCCATATCTGCTATTCATACAGTTTGTTTTGCCTGAGGAGGCCTGCTGATACAAAACTGGTCATAACTGCCTCAACCATGGAAGTTCAGGGAATGTAAACTGTTCCATTTTTTGTGATAAAATCTGGACCCCTGTTATTTTTTCTTACTTTTGTAGAAACTGTAAATAGATTGAGGTGCGTAATGACTGATTTGCTCCGCAGTATGTTCATGTCACCTTACCACGGTCATAAGCAGCTTGTCAAACCACTGCAGCTTTAGCTCAGCACGAGGCCACATTTCAGGTCGGAGGGCAGACTTCATCAGGCTAACGCAGCGACGGGACAGTAGCTCCCCTGGAGACCCAGCCACGTTGGTGCTGTCATTCACCTGAAAAAGAGATATTCAGGAAGATGGTATCATCATCATAAAAATCATAGGCAATGGAAGAGCCTATCATCTGTAGGTGTGATGGCTATGGGTTAACGTTAATCAAAGAAGTTGTGAATCAATTAAGTATCAAAATCCATAGTTGTCCCACAGAAACAACAATAATACTTTTGTTATTAGTCTGTTCTGTGAGCAGTGAGTGATCTCAGGAGGTTTAATTTAACAGAGATGGTAGGATGAGAAGTGAGAATGAAGTCTGGCTTGAAAAGAAGTTAGGGAAAGTCAAGGCTTGTAACCAAGGTCATCACTGCAGTAGAGCGAGGGACAGCTGTATGTGAAGGACACACAGAAAGAACTGTGCATGGGTGTGTATGTGTGTGACAGCCACCAGACATGTCCTACCTTCACATCTGAGGGGGTTGGGATACTTGTGTGCTACCTGGCAGGCGCTATGGATGGCAGATCTCTACTTGGTGTGAGTGTGTTAGTGTGTGTATGTGTGTTGGAGAGATGGACTGCTGTGTGTGAGCGGAAGTTACGGTGGAGGTGTTACCTGGCATGCAATCCTGATGAGGAAGTTGACCACTGTGTCCGTATGCTGTTTCTCAACTGGCTTAGTGAGCATGGTCTCTGTTCCTGGCATGGACTGGCTGCGGCCAAACACCTACAATACACACAAACATTGTTAAATGATTACAAGTAAGACTTATTCTGTATGAAAACAGGGGGAAATTATTGGATTCTGTGAACAAAGAAGATGTTTCTTCAGTAGTTAAGAAAGTTATCAGACTCCATTACACTTGGAAAGCAGTTTTAACAGCAAAAGAACTGACTGCGTAGGAATATAATAGAGCACGCACAAACATAGATTTCTAAACTTTTAATTTTCAAAGTACTGTAATAAGGGGTGTCCCGATACAACTTTGTTACTTTCAATACAATACTGATATTGTAGCCTTCAGTATCAGCCCATACTGATATTGATCTGATATTGGCACAAACTTGTGCATGACAGGTTTTGCACTCAGCTGCAATTTGTTTTTTGGCTGAAATCTGACCAATATCCAATATCAATATCAGATCGGGACATCCCTAATTGTAATATTACTGTTGTGTCCGGTCAGTAAACAAGGTACGGTTGCATGTAAATTTTGTGAACATAATAGTGCCGACACTTGTGCTGAGGCAGTTGATTGAGCACATTAATATATAACTTGAACCAGGACTGTACTTTGATGATAACTGATGATGGCTGATGGGTTTTAAATGCAGAACCACAAAAACATCTTGCTACGCTGGGACTGCAGAAGCAGTTTTTTTTTAGAAACAATAGGGGACCCGACAAAACCTTGAAGCCTGTGATAACAAGCTAATGCAATTAAGGACAAAGTCTTTAGAATGTAAATAAAAACAGACCTTTTCAAGTCGAATTTTTGCTTGTATCAAAGATTGATCTTTGTTTAATCCAGACACTTTGATTTAGATTTTGAACAGGCACCCCCTGAAACCAAAGCATCTCATCTTGTTTTGTAACTGCAAAAAACAACAGATCACAGTGGGACTGGAGATGAAACAGATGGGCAGCTGCAATTCTTTTGTAAGAAAAATGGATTACGGCAACAACAACCGTGCTGTTTTCTCCTGTCTGCAATTTTGGTCTCAGACAGATGTAAAAATGACTGTTTGATCAAAGTATCTCTCAAACTGTTTTGCAATTGTTCAGATAAGAGAGAAACACAAAAAAAAACAACTAGTGAGAACTTTGAAAGAAAATATGAGTTGTGAAATTTTGTGGGTTTTATAGTAAACACAGCAATGAACTACTGTAACAAGTCTTGGCTTTACATTTATTTCAGTGAAAACCAAGTGTTACTCACAGCTGAAGCAGCTCCAGTTGCTGTGCGGAACCTCTTGACATCTTGTCCAGCAGCTGCAGCAGCGGCTTCCAGAGACAGACCTCTTTTCACAGCACCTGCACTCGTCCCCTCGCCACCAGTACCTACTTCTGCCTCTGACTCCGGCTGCAATAGGAAAAACAGGGAGATGAGGATGGGGTGAAGAAGATGTCAGAAAAACAAGCCTGTAACTTGTGAAGGAGTCTGAGCAATAATTACACGGTAATAATAAATAGCTCTGAAAATGTTTATGTCAGTCAAAGTTATGCTTTACTCAGGCAGCTTCTTTGTCTGGGTTTTTTTTTTTATTGCAATGTGTGTGCGCATATTTGTGGTGGTCTTCCAACACACCTGCTGGTCTTTGATCCTTTGCAGCTCCCATTTGATCACCACCTCGGCTAAGTCCACAGCCAGTTTTCTCTGCTCTATGGTCACACTGGGGGTGAAGCCCAGACGCTGCATTGCACTGATCATGTGCTGTACTAGGTGATGGCGCACAGGATAATACACCTAGAGAGACGAACAAACTCGTAAAAAATGTGTACAGATGATGTAAAACAAATCACAGCATTGAGCATGAACAAATTAGCCACTCTGCATTTGCTTGCTTCTTTTGCACTTTCAATAAACAGAATTTACACAACTTCAGTCTCTACTTTTTGCAGAAACTTGAAGCAGAATTGAAGTATGTAGTGCAGGGAAAATAAGATACATTTTGTAGGACTACAACCCTGCAATCTTATTTGTATTGGAGGGAGCACCCAACTTTGTTTGTCCATCAAAAATTTCCCAAACACAGGAAAGATTTTGTCCTTCAAACCATCCATAAAGCACTGAACCAAAATACAGAGACTTGAGGAGCAAAGCTCCATGAATAAGGTAAAAGAGCTGTTGCCAGTCTCCTAACAGTTCCCTGACATTATCAAGACAAGGTGCATGTGTGAATGCAAATGGACAAATCTGTTCACGATGACTTTGTGCAGACTTTTTTTAGACAGTCAGTGGCAGGTCATAGTCAGGAAAATTTAGATGTAAGTGGGTACGTAAATGATGCCATTTAAGTTAGATAGAGTTTTGCTACGCAATTTTTTTTCTGCTTGCCTCAGTGGCGACTTGACTATTTCCCACAGTTGTAAATCTCTTGCAAAAATGTCCTTGTACATGTCGAGATATGACAACACAAGACTTCACAAAAGGAGACTCCTCCACCTTGCCCTGCACGCACTCAACAGCCAACCCCCTCACCAAAACCCAAGTATTTCAAGCAAGTCCATCAAACACAAATAACGTCTTACATTGAAGCATGTGTGGAAGGAAACCGCTTTTAAATATCCAACCTTGACATCCTGAAAACCAGTTAGAATATGAGAGGAGTTCATGTGTAAACAGAGCTTACGGATCCTCAGTGGTGTATATCAATTTCTACCAGTTATCTAAAAAGACCCTGGACCTGTTGCAGGAAGTTATGAGGAAAGGGAGTTTGCATGACTCAGTTTAAGAAGTGAAGATACGCAGTAACTTCGCAGAAAACATCATTATCATTTTATGCTGATAAAAATTAAACAAGCTTGTTACTTCTGCACTTGATTTTGGAGAGATACCACATGTAAAGATAGATGCGGGTGCTCAATCACTTTGGGACCAAGTGTCAGAAGAGGCAAACTCTGAAGTCGTATTCCCACTTACTCTCAAGGACATGATGACACACACTTAGCCCTGAGAGTTCGCACTCTCCAGCGTCACACTTGGGAGTCACTTAGCCTCACTCCGAACTGAACTGGGACTCTCAAACACACAGGCGCATGCTGACAAAAGAGCCAGAGATGAGATGTCTATCTGAGGGCTGTTGCCTGTGTCAAAGAATATTAGAGCTTCTCACTTTGAGGGTAATTATAGCCGATAGAGCGGGGCTTCACAGCTCCTTAATGACAGAGTGGCTAAGCCCTGTCCATCACGTGTGCACACAGACAAACACGCACGCAATCTCTCTATTTCTTCATCAAACACACATGCACACACACACACACACACACACACACACCAAGTCTCTCATCTGTCTGTCATTATCTTCTCCCCAGTGTAATTATGCTGATGTGATTACATTAGATTAGTCATCTGGCCCAGTGAGAGCAGCCTGTCAGTGAGATAGAGAGGGGAGCTGAGGAAAATGTCAGTCTTCTGCTTAAAGACCGTCTTTCTGACCGGCCAGGCGGAGAACATCGGCTGAAGAAGCAAGAGGGCACAAAGTATCGAGGAAGTTTAGGGAGGATAACCGACATAAAGGCCAATGATCCTTCACTGGTACGGATTTGTGAAGAGACTGGGTGCTCTTTGACTCTGGTGATCATCACTGAGATGGCATTAAGGCGATTACAGGCAGCAGGCAGTTACCATTAGCTCTGCTGCCCAGTGAATGATAACAGCTTTTACAACATGAGGCAACTGGGCACAACAGTTCTGTCTTGGATACTGTGAATATGAAACTCAAATACAACTTACTTGTGTCAGAAAAACTTTTACCAGACTTGCTCTTTGGATGCTGGTGGTTTATTCACATAAGGACTGATTGAGAGGCGTCATGTAATTCAGGGCACTCAAATAATCAGTAAAAATAGCTTCTAAACGGTTTTTGCGCCCATGTGGTTCCCTGCAGCTACTAAAGTCACACTGAGCAGGAAGCTGGCAGCAGGAACAAATGGTTGTGGTTGTTAACAGCAGTGTTAGTTTACCATCAAATCTCAAAATATACATTGTTGAAATGTTATAGTCAGCGATCTTGGATCCCAGGGGCTATCGTTAGACAACAACATAATCCTCTGAAAAGCATTGCAAACTCATCTGTATTTCCAGGGCCGATGATTAGCAGGAGAGGACCTCCAGCTAACTTTCTTCTCTATGTGTGGCAGTTGTTTATAGTCCAATTGTGTGTTCAGATCAAATGCAGAGCAAGACTTGCCCCTCCAGATATGACAGGGAAATTAACACTCCCATTTTTTTTAATTCATTAAAAATCTAGAAGCGTCTACTTCTGTGAAGTCTCAGTTTCCCTGTAAAAGTTACACAGAGGCAGGAGCAGCACCTGTTTATCTTTTTATGGAGAGTCTCAGTTTGAATATAATATCAAGTTTCACACAGGCTTCACTCTGGCTTACTTTAGCAGCACGAGTTTGAAAAATAAAGTAATTCTGGCAAGCTACAGTTTTCAGGTTTGCCAAATAACAGCATCATGTCGCATATTTGTAATAAGTAAAATTCATAGCTTTGTGAGAAGGAGACACTGAAATATCTCACTTTCAAACTGACTTGTGTTGCATCCACATATAAAACACAATACTGACAAGCACCTCATGCAATTCAGTTAATTAAAAAAACGACCAATTCCTAAGAAGGACTTCATAGTGTGGTTCATATATGAATGAAAAATCCAAATTACTGATTGGTTTCTGACAAATATCCTCAAGACACAACTCTTATTTGTTAAATCTATTCACCTTAGCCACAGCCAGCGTCAATAAAAACACTTCAGATCATTTCATTCAACAGCAGCCGACTGAAGAGCGCTTTTCTTCGTGTGAGTGTGTGTTTGTCTGATATCTGCTCACCCTGAAGTGCTGCACAATGAGATGCAGAATGTGGACCAGCTGCGGTACGGTGTGGCCTTCCTCCACAATAATTTTGCGAGTCCAGTGGGTCAACATCTGATGGCCGTCTTCCATTCGGGCAGGTACAGCAGGAGTAAGGATGGCCATAGCCTGTCGCACAATGGCCCGGGCCTCCATAGTGTGGGCCTTCAGCAGGCTGTGGAAGACCTAAACAGAGCAAAAATGCAACAGTTTTTTATGTAAATTTACCATCAGCCTTCTTGTCTTTTATTTTGTTAACCTTGTTCAATGTTTCTATCAGAAAAAAAAATCTTTCATCTACAAACTTGGTAGCTCCCTGGGTAAAGCTGTATGTCCTCTCCTTTTGCTGATTCTGTCATATATCATTATTAGCTAGCTAATATACTCCTTACTCAAACGTAGCCTGAATAAATGTAGACAAAGGTTCAACTTGGTTTGTCTGATGTGTTTGATTCTTATCCAACAGCACTTCCAGACTCACAAATTAATAGAACGTTCTGGAAGTTGTTTTTCTATTCTTTTTTCCAGCTATCCTTTCCTACATCTTACCTGCAGGACGATCTTCTTATGAATGGCGAACTTTGCGATGATGTGGGCCAGCAGCAGGTGACCACTATATTTACAAGCAGGGTCCACGCAGGCTTTGGGCAGCAGGCACGGCCAGGCGAAGGTCATGAGGCGCCGCAGCTTGCTGTTGCGTGACTTGTTGTTGTCGTGGATATGGTGGGGTGCATGCTCCACCAGCAGGGTGGAGAACTGCAGCAGACAGATTCGCAGGGAGTCCAGAAGGTCAGCCTGCTTCTCTGGATCCAGAACCTTTGATATGGAAAGTGAAGAAGAGTTGTACTCTTGTAGACTTTTCAATGAGACCACAGTTATTTAAGGGGGTTAGATGTTTCTTATGTACAACTTTTGATTAGGTGGGTAACACAAAAATGCCTAAGTTCTGTTGGTGTAACAGAGATCAATAGAGGTCTTAAATTCTAGGGATGCACCAATCCTGTATGTGGATCAGATATCAGCTCTGATATTGACAAATTAACTGGATTGGATATCGGATGAATGAAGCCGATCCAGCGTTAGGATCTAGTCTGTTTTTTCTTTTAATTCATTTTTCTTTAAATACATTCTGACTTCTTGACTTGGGCCTACCTCAATCTTAATGACATTGCAGCAGCAGCAAGTTACTTTTTTAACAAATTTGACTGAAAACAGATTTCAAAATAACCATCAAAATGTGAATACCCTGAAGAGGCAGAGATAGGAGGAGAGCACAGAGAGGGAGTGAGATGAGTGAGGGAGCGTATTTTAACCAGCCAGGAAAGGCAGCCATTAGCAGCCATTAGGACCGGTGTTAGTCAGTGATGAGATCTGTTCCCGCACAAACAAACATGCTGACCTTTAGCTTGGTCACACCATGACATTTACTACGGGAATTATAGCCAAGCCTGATGAATAAAAGGTGATGGAGAGGGAGAGAACTATGGGAGCAAAGCAGGGAAAGAGAACAGGGAAAGAAAGAAAGAAAGAAAGAAAGAAAGAAAGAAAGAAAGAAAGAAAGAAAGAAAGAAAGAAAGAAAAAGAAGAGGAGAGAGATAAACAATCAAGAGACAAGTGAAGAAGAATAAGTCAAAGTGGGATGTAGTAGACCATGACTGTATATAGAGATGTACATATATAGAAATGCAGCAGGTGATGGAATCAAAGAGATAGGTGGGGAGACAAAGCCAGTGGCAAAACAACACAGAGGAGAAGACTGAACAAGCCGAGTGAGGAAAAGGATGTTAAAAGGGCAGGAAAGGCCCCCTTTGAGGATATGTGTGCATGTGTACCTTTGTGATGAAAACACTGGTGATGCTTTCTGGGTTGTCTCCCTCGGGGTTTGGTGGTCCAAGCAGCTGCTCCCCTTCTCCTTTCTCAAAGCTGTACAGGAAAGCTGGGTTCAGGATGTGCTGCAGAACCTATAAAACAGGGAGAAAATGCTTTCAAACTGTTTGCTGTTGTTAAAAAAAACAACCTTTTCTGGGAAAAATAAAGCAACCTTGACTCCTTCAGAGTTTTCAAAGACTACAAAAGCTTCAATGATACTGCACCAACAATAGAGGAGAAACTAATCAGTGAAATCACCCACTGTGATCAGCACAATCTCAGCTCTCATTGGAATAATAATAATAATCGACTCTTAATCAGAGGGAGACAGGTCCTTCTTTCAAGTTGATAATAACAAGGGATTAAACTTTGAATCATCAGAAGACAAAAAGCCGGAGCAAAAAGACAGAGTAGAGGCAAAGTTAGCTAAGATGTCCAAAACAGAATAAAGACTCTTCTTGTAAAAAACATAATGTTTGTTTAGTTAATCAATAAGCGACAAAAGAAAAAAGTACACTAAATCTATCGCTTACACCATGAAACTTGTGGCAATTATCTCTGTTGGAACAGAGACAAAAGCTCGATTAGCTGTTAAAAAGCGGAATAAAAAAAAAAACAACATAATAAAGCTAACGACTGCATTTATTAAAGTGGCTGCTATCTGTTAATGAACCCCCTCTATTCAATCCATCATCGAGGAGGATGAGCTGCGGCAGCATATGTTTGGGCTCCTCTGTAAGCACATTTTTCACATGGGCTCTACAAATTGTACATGCATGCTTTGTAGGCTTCTACACACATATACGCCTGTCCTTCAGTCTCATCTGTTCCTACTGGTTCGGCGCCTCCCTCACATTAATCACTGCATGATCACAACAATGCTAATAAATGTGTGCATATGTGGATGTGTGCAGCTGTTCCCCCATAATACTGCTGTGAAGTGTTGCTCCTTGCACACCAGTAATGTGCCAGTAAAGCGGTATCAATCTGATTACTCCTATCTATTCCAATAAGCATGACAGAAACAGGGACTCACAAAAACATACATTGATAATCGACAGTGAATCTGCTACAGCTGTTCACTCCGTGCAGTAAGAGTTTTAAATAAATGATGAAAGTGTTTTCACGTTTGGGACTTGTTTGATGTCATCAGTTTTCCCCATAAATTACCACTCAAACTTGTGGTTAAGTATCTTATTAAGAGTCAAAAATATAGATGGGAATTATAATATTTTTTTATCAGGACTTTTATCATTTTGGCCAGTGTGGCGAATCTTATTGTGATAATTTTTCGCCCATATCGCCCATTCCTACATCCACCTAATACAAAGACACCTATGTTACTAGTTGTTCCATTCTGCACTATTGTACAAACATAGCCATGCAAGATGGCAGCATCAGTGGATCTGCTCCTTATGCAAATATAAAATGCTCATTCTCAGTTGTATTAAAACACTTTTTTATACATTTATTTGCGTAATCATTCAAAATACTAAAGAGTCTGTTTTGCTGAATGCTGCTGAATCCTACACACTGCACCTTAAACATTCAAGCTTAATTGTACGCTACAAATTAATTGGTGCAGGATGCAGACACATTCTGGCGTTAAGCAAAAGGATGCAATACATCATGTCTTGGCTTCTGTAAAGTAGCAGAATGTGAAACAGATGTGCTTTGCTTTATTAATTTTGTACCCTTCTTTGTTTGCTTGTCTGTTTGAAATGTTACCCATGAATAGTCAAAGCTTCTAAACAAGAAAAGCAGCAGAAATTGAATCTCTTTGAGATTTGTTTGGGCTTAAGAGAAGAAGTACGGGAGCAGCATGAGGTCAGTCTGTGCCATAAGAGATGATTCATTGCTGCTGCTGCTGCTGCCCCACACTGTTACTATCCTCCTCTCACACACTCCTCTAGAGTCTCATAGAGAGATATCCTCCCCTAGTCCCTAGCTAGTGAGTGCTACACATACACGCATGCACACGCACGCACGCACACACACACACACACACACACACACACACACAGTGATATTACACTTCCAGTGAAATGCTAAAGGCAATTATTTAAATGTCAGTGGAGGTAACACCCACACTCACGACTCATACACCAATCAACACAAACATATTCCCACAGAAACACAGCCTCTTTCTTTCTGTCTGTCTATCTCTCTCCACCTCACACACTGCTAGCATCTGCTGTGCACCCAAGGAGGACAATTAAGGGAAAAACAACAACATGAGCAAACTTCTAATGTAGGGTGGGGGTGATGCAGTTCTGCAAGCCAAGAAACTTAAGTCTGCTCTGTAAAAAAAAAAAAAACTTAAAGCAGCATTTTAGCCAAAGAAGACAACTACAAAAACTTAACTCTAATTTGTCCTTTCCTTTTTAGCCAAACACTTTTCAGTTAAAGCAAAGACAACTGAACAGGATCAAAAAGAGCTGAATTCAGGAAGCTGCATCATAAACACCAGCTCATGCCCTTGGATTTTAGAGTTTGTGTGCTCATTCTAGTTTTCCGTGTGAGTCTGTTTTTGAATCAATTGTATGTCCTTGCGGCACAGCCATGAAGCTATGTACTAACATGTGCCAGGGCAGGGCTTCCCCACTGACCCGTTTGTACTTAACGGCAGAGCAGCTGCTCCGCTGTGCCAAGTTGAAACTCTGTTACAGCTGTGCGGTATGTGCGTGTGCATGCATGTGTATTTGTGTTTAAGCATTAGGGCATGAATGTGGGAGAGTAAGCTTAATTAAAAAGAGCCGGAGTGACTGTAAGGCTTGCAACAGCAGGTCAGGTAGCGAGGACAGGAGCAGTCATGTGTGATTCTCTGAGGGTCTCGAGTCAGACAAAATGACCTTCCTGCCTCTGTCAAAGAACTTCTGCAACACATCACACCAGCCACAAAAGTCACCCACACCAAGGAGAAAAAGTACACAAGATGAAGAAAAAGTCAAAGGATTTCACAGGATGATTCACCAGTCTAGGACTCTGCAGAAATGCATTTTCATACCTTTTGCAATGCTGTAGAGATCTGAACATTTCTCTCTTTTCAACACAATGTACGTAAACACCAAAAATGCTCTAGAGTTAGAAATAAGCTTTTAACCATCAGGATAACTGCTGTTTCAAACAAATGAGGGAGAGACGAGCAAAGCAACACAGCCTTTAATCCTTCCTCTGTAGCTTTACTGAGAAAAAAAATGAAGCTTACTTTATTTCTAAACAAGTGTTTTTTTTATCTAGTGCACACAGGATCATTATTTTGTGGTAACAAGTTGTAATCTTGGATGCACAAGATAATCATCTCACAAAAAGAATACAAGATAAATATCTGGTGAGAACAAGTTATTCACTTTTTCGCTCAATTGTTTTCTTGAGGGAAGAAGTTGCTGCCTTCAGTGAACAAAATAATTATCACACAAGAAAAAGACATTTTGTGGCATTTTGTGTTTATGTCATGATTTCAGATTTTTATCCTGTTGTTATTGTGGCAAAAAAGATCTAAAACAACATTACTGGAAACCTTTTCTGGTGCTTGTGGCTTAAATAAAAGCAATCCTGTTCTGGTTGCCTGTGGACTTACTTTAGCTTTTAGCTCATCGTTGAAGTGTGGGTCATTGAATTCAACAAAGCGGAAGAACAGGGACCGTTTCTGGGCAATGGAGTAGTTCCTGGGAATTTCCTCCTCCATGTATTCCTTCAGGAAAGTCATGTTGCATAAGAAGCGGCCTGTGAAGGCCCTCAGCAGCTGGAACAGCAGCTCGATCTCGGAGTAGTTACGCCTGTAGAAGAGAAAGGCATGTTCAGTGTGCAGAAATGATATCAATAACAATAAGCACTGTTAATTATAGAGTAACTATGAGCCCACAGACTGGCCTGCAACCCACTGAGAATTATTTTTTCCATCAAATTCTCATTCCCTGATTTTACAATAGCAGCTCCCCCATGCAGTCTGAACAGCGGTACATACTTGCAATAGCTGAGCAGGCAGAAGGCCAGCAGCTTGGGCTCCTTCCAGTTGGTGGCAGCCATGTTGTCTTTGCGGTGCCTCTCCTGGAAGGTTTCACTGACCCACACACGTCTCAGCTGGCTGACCAGGGAGTGCTGGCCTGCCAGCCAGCCCTCATCATTCTTCACTATGATGCTGATAATCTGAGGAGATGAAGTGAGAAAAAAAAAAAAGGTTACACAGAAAACTGGGGATAAGCTTTACACATAAACACATACAACCTGGCAAGATGTGGAGTATAAAGATTACACTTATGTATACCTTGATGGCTTGGAACTGTAAGTCGAGTCTGGCTGTAGTGGTAGAAGGAGATCCAGGTCGAACAGTGGCTGCAGTGCCAGCAGGAACCAGCAAGGGTACGAAGCGGTTGGGGTTAGAGGCCAGTACATCTCTTAGAGGCTTGGCGTCTTTGTGTTTCAGGAAACTCTGCATATCAATGAGCACATATTCAGTCAATTAGGTGAGTTCTGTCAACCTAAACGGGTAAATAGCTGTTCCTTGGCATTTGAAGAAATATGCTTTACTGAATTTTTATCTGGGAGTGACTGATCTTTGGTTTTAAAAAGACAACTGTGCGGTAAATCAACAATTTCTCCCCTGATTAAAGCCCCTTGCTTAGGCAGTTTAGTTCTTTTTAGTATCACATATGTCACAGACAAGACTTCAGGGACTGCTTCTGAAAGCTTGTGGTTTCTGACCATGAACATGCGGCTCCACTGGGGGTCGTTCAGCGTAGCCTCCATCATGAACAGCTCCACTGTCTGAGATGGGTGACGCGTCAAGAACTTGATCAAAGGCTCCCTGAATGGACTGCCGGCCTGATGTAGAAATGATGAGAAGAGAAAAAGCAAAGGAAAGAGGCAGGAAAAAAAGGGACAGGCATTAGTTAAGAATAGCAAATGCAGTTTTATCCCTTTTTTGTTCAGATCTTTGAAGACTAAATTGCGGGGTTTATCTGCTATTAGTTCATACACTAAGATAGATCAAACAGGATTAGAAATCTTATCCCAGGATTTTGAATTAACTCAGGGAGATTATCAAGCAAGTTTGAATAATGTGTTTAAAGTAACAGCCATGACACTTTTTGAAGCTGGACTATCCTTCAGAGGGCAACAATGGTCTTTGCTTGTCTGAGCAAATTTGTGTTTCTTTTTTTTAAATATTACCGACAATTGTACAAAGACAAACCACCTTGTTACAGCAGCTTCAATGATTGTGTCTTTGTCTATGACATATTTGTACTTACCTAGAAGGACTGGACAGGATCTCTAAGTACTTCTTAAAAGTGGAGTTTGGGTCTCACCTCTATGAGCATGGCCCTCTCTGTCTTCATGACCACCTCTAGCAGAGGCTTGACCAGAGTCTGCGGTGCTGCTGGGATCAAGTGGAAAAGGTTGATGATGGCAGAGCAGATCTTCATTTCCTAAAGAGGGGTCAAAGAAAAAAAAAAAAAAAACAGCAAAAGACAGAAGGGAGTGAATGTGGTTCGAGGAAAGAAGACTGAAACAAGACATGGACATCATTCCTGACAGACAGTCTTGATGGACAGCCACTGTAGAAAGACAAGGATGAATCTTAGTCATAGGACTGAAAATGCAATTAGTGCTTATTCTTAAGTTAAATCCCACACTTGCTTGGATTTTCACTGGTTAACATTCTCACAGGGTACAAACAAATAAATGACAGACATAAACCTTGAATTATTCATATCTGAAGAGATGTGAAGGTAAAGAAGACAGGGTTGAGTTGTAAAGGTCTAAAACAGACAAATATGAGGTAAGAGCGGCACTGAGATGACAGTTACATTTCTGAAGATGACCACTGACACACAGACACAGAAAAACAGGGCGACTCAACCAGCACCACTACAACAACGTTGGTTAAATTCACCAGCACGACATTGGTTCAGCTATATTTTAATCACTGACAGAGAGTCACCAACAGAGGGCGCAACACCAGGTCACATCTCACCTCGACGCCCTCCAACGCAGGCTGTGCCGGAACGGGGAGACAATGATCAGAGTCAGCAGAGCAGTATGTGTGCATTTTGTTGTGTGTCTGTGTGTTGTCTGTCTTTGTTCCATATGGAAGGTGAGCAGATAAGACAGGGTGATAATGAAATGGAACGACAGCAGCAACCTTTACAGGTGACCTCATGGATACCTTTTTTTTCCGCAGCACAGAAGGAATAACACAGCAGAGGCCACACAGGTAAAGTCACCCAGAGTCAGTGGCAGAGTCAGTCACTGACAGAAATCAGGTCAGAAATACAGGAACTGACATTTTGTTTTTAGTGAACCTTTTCATCCAAATCATAATTATTTTTTTTCATTCTGACACATTGTTGCTAAAACCTCCATCCTTCCCAACCACCCACATCTTCATTGACTGTATATAGATGGATGTGTCTCCACCTCCATCTGCCATACAAAAGTCAAACAAAAGCAACAGTTGACATATATGACGCTGGCAAAATCTTTGGAACTATAGTCTGTGCACAAAAGACTGTCTGATGGCACTGTGGTACTGACATCAAATCTCCTTCGAAAGAAAGAATTCTTTCATCAGTACCAAGCAAAACCTTACAATGTGAACAGGTTCAATGACTCTCGTGGCTACAATACCTCCTTTATTCTAGTAATTCACTGAACACAGTGCTACAGCAGCTGCTGACCTTGTTAAAAGAGCTGTTGATCATGGGTTATACTTCATTTTAAACATCAAATAATTTAAAACTTAATTTCTCAGAAAAGTAATCACAAGGACCTAAGTCAACATGATAATGACTCTTAAAACAGAAACCATGTTCAATGTTTTCAACAGGTACTTTAATTTCTAACTTTAATCAACATCTCATCTGTCAACAAAGAGGATCAGGGCTTCATGATCCTTGTTGAAACTAGTGAGCAGGGTGATTGACAAACGTTTGGTCTTACTTTTAGGGGACAGTCACTATTTTTCTATGGTCTTCACTGTCCTCCTCAGCCCTGCACCATCCCTCTTTATCCACGTTTTGTCTTTATCAGGCTTGGTTGATTGACCCCCCCAATCCTGGCTTTTATTGCCACCGCCAGCCTTGCTGTCAACAGCCACAAAGACCAAGGGTTGGACTAAAGGAAAGACAGAGGGCCAATTTGCATCTAATTAAGCACATCAATTTGAGATACAGCAAACTGTTCACATAAAGAGACACGAGGAAAAATGGGCATTATTCCAATATAGGAGAGGCAACGGTTTACCCCCCCCCCCCCACCCCCTTCTCTCCCTCTCACCTTTTCTCTGCCTTTACAAGGTTATCTATCGGGGAGATAATGAGGAGACGCAGCGCAGGGCCCACCACCGCCTGCCTGGCGCCTAATTAATCATTGATTGTAATATGGCCACTCACAACTCATCAGGGAGGAGGCCACATTGAGGAGGTGTTGGCTACATGTGACCGTGGCTTTTTGTGTGTTTAAGGGGCAATTTTTCCTGCTTCTCCAGCGAGTGCTGTGGGGCTCAGCAGGACAGATGATGCGAACAATAAAAGGTGCCAGTAGACAGCTGTATTGACCTGCTCCCACAGGCTGTGACAGCTACTGCATCACATTCAAATAAGATTATGAGAAAAGCAGATTTAAGGGGAAAAAAAGGAACATCTATACATATTGAGTAATAAAAGTTGCACATTTATATTGAATTTCATAAAGCAGAAAGGTGTGTGTATACAAGTGTCTGGTCTGTCTGAGCTGTGTGTACTTACACTGCCATCACTGCGCTGTCCCCCCTTGTGTGTTATTACAACCACCTCCATCCACTTCCTCAGGTGTTGCTGAGAGAGACAGAGAGAGATGGGCTGAGACTGTAAGCTAGTTATTTTTCAGTGTTTGTGTGGGCATGTCTGTGCGGATCAGCAGGTAGAATATGGCACCAATACAGAATATTTATCAAAGAACATAATATTTGACTCAACAATCCAACAGCAGAAAAAACACGAACAACAATTTCAGAAGTATTACACAGCAGAGTTTGAAAGACATCAGACGCCCAAATTATTAGTCTAAATTTACCAAATTATCTAGCAATCATGTAGTAATTTGAAACTAACTGTCATTTACTTTGAGTCCTTTCTAATATGGTACCGTCTCTAAATTGGGGATCAATTTGGTCTATCTTATTTGATCTTCAAATGAAGAGAATCTTTAGCAGAATATTAAAAAATAACTGTGCACAGTCTTGATTAAGTTTGAATACATAACCCGGCAACAAGAAAAGATTTCTCACCATCATCTGATCACAGAACTTGTCGTTGAAGGAGTTGGGGAAAAGACGGGTCACAGAGGTCAGGCGGTTCACAACATTGAGAGTTAGGCTTCGGTAGTCACCAAGCATCATCAGTAGGGGTCGCATGTGAGTGTGGATCTGGTCCACCTCGATGGTTGCACCTTCCAAGAACTGATTCAAAAGTAGAGAGCAACATCACATCACTTACAAAATAACTTAATCATTGATGTGTCATATATTTTAGCCGCATTAACCATACACAGTTGTTTATGTCTCTGACCTACAAAAACAACACTTTGGCCACCAACGTTGCAGGCTATGTGGCCCATGGGCAAAGTGCTTAAAATATCAGCATCTGTTGCTGCATTGTGTCTTCATTAAGTAAAAATGGCTGCTCAAATGAGGGCAAGACCGGCCATAAACAAGCACACATGCCAACAGCACACACTGATGACGCACAACTCTCACACAGAAGGGAGGGAATGATGCATGGCAGCCACATTCATTTTCCTCTCAGAGCTGAGAACAAACACTCCATCCTGTATCGATCGGCCCATGGCAACGCTCATTAGTGCTAGCAGGCCAGAGATGAAAGAAAGGAGAGAGCAGGGAATGGCTTTGGGGGAAAAAAAAATATCACAAGATAGTGAAAAGGAGTGACAGTGGTGAAGAAAGAAAATGAAGGACACAGGATTGGAAGGAAAAGGGGACAAAGGGCAGATGGATGGATTTTGAGATGGTATGGATACTTTGATGAATAGAGGCTGAATGGATCGAGGAGACTGTGATAAAGAACGAGAAGGTCTATATGAAGATAACTGTGAAGGCAAATGGTTTGAGGGGTGGCTTATTGAAAAGACTTCTAAGGCAAATGTCATGAATGACAAAGATCAAAGACTGATGAAGCAAAGAGGAAAAGAAGAATAGAAATGAAGATAAAGAAAGACTTGAAATTATACAGGTAAAACGAAAAAAAAAGTAAATGATACAAGCAGTTAAATAAAAACAGGAAAGCATCAGAGTGATTAAGTAGAAAGCATTTTCAAAAGGTGTAGAAAATGTGTTTTTAAAATGATTAGAAGGGTGCCAACAAATTCTGAAGTCTGATCTTTAGCTTCATAGCTTAAGGGCACGGTCTTTAATCTCGATTTGGAAAGGTCATGTCTCAGGGTCTGTAGCTGGGATTTTTCCCTACAGGGATTTCAGTTGTAGCGAGTGATATAACAGATCCATGATTCAAAAATGGTTCCTTTTTCTTGGAATTTTATATTGATATTAAAGGTAATAACTAGTCCAAGTTAAAGCGCAAGGGAAGGTGTAAAATCGTGGCAATGTGTCCAATTTAAAAATATCTGACAATAGCTGCTGGAGATTTTGGAAGGCTGAAATCTAAAAAAACTAAAAAATACAGCCTCTTTAAAAATCCTTGACATTTCTGGTTTTAGAAGAGAGTTTTGGTGAACAAAATTTGAAAGCCAAATGATCATTTTTCCAATAAGACCTTGTGATAAAAAACAAGTGCAAAAAGAAAAACAGAAGTTCCTGATATAACCCAAGGAGGCCCCATTAGGTCCCAGGTAAAAAACTTTACATGTTTGCATTCTACGTTCTTCCATTCTAGTAGGGGATGTCACAGAGATTATGTTTATGTTTTACACAGTCTTTGGTCATTTCTATACAGTCTATGGTCATAAAAAATTGTGTGTGTGTGTGTGTGTGTGTGTGTGTGCCCAGTTTAAAAAACTATTTTAAAAAATACAAGCTTACATTTAACAATTTACAATAGCCCCCAACTAAGAGCCACAATGTTAATTAGCCTCTAGCTAATTTTTGGCTCAGCACTTCTCCTTGACAAACAAACTAAAAAACTGAACTCATCTGAAATGAACTGATTGTATTTGGTGAGAATAAAAGATTAAATGAGGATATATATTTGAGGTATTATTCTTCAGGTCAGCCGTGATGTAAGGGTGTTTTAACATAATCAGTTTGAAATATGTAGAAAGATGTTGCACTAACCTTCCTCATACACGCCTCGCCTGCCTCCTGCAGCTCATTGTTGGTGGAGTTGAGGGCTTTGAACAAGGCAGCAATGATCTTCTCTCTGGACTGTGGAAGGTAATTACAGGCTGCCAGCGCATCTACGCAGAAGACAAAAGACTATCAGTTGCATTCAACACAACTTCGCTGACAGAAATGAGATAAGATAAACCCACCACCAGAAATCTGATCATTGAGATGTGTTTCAAATAAAAATACAGAATATGACAAAAGTAGTACTCAAAGCAAATTGCAGGTATTTGGCTTAATCCACCACATCTCCGAATGAGGACACAGGTAAGCATGATATGTATAATCAATACAATAATCAATACAAGACACCAATGTATCCAGTTCAGCAGGCTTTACTTACTTAGAGCAGCGATGCGGAGGGGGACAAGGGAGGGGAGGCTTTTGTAACAAGGCAGCTTCATCAGAGCAGCGTCCTCTGCCTCACACAGGTTTAATAGCTAAAAAAAAAAAAAAAAAACAGTGGTGAAATTACACGAATACTCTAACAACAGTGATGGGATGGGTGGATCTGGTGGTTTTCAGAGTTGCATACGTTTGCCGAGTGTTTTCATTTTTACAAACATATACAAGATGTGAGTAAACAACGCCTATTTATTAATATGAAATCACTTTTGGAGCATATTTTTGGAAGAAAGAGTTCACAATATGTTTTTTTCTGAACTAAAAAAAGCCACAGTAACACGAACTATGTCATAAATTTGAAATCAAATTGTAAAATTACACTTGGAAACAGTAGATTTGATAGAATTCAGAGCCTCCGGAATCTGGCATACCTCTGTGTAGAAGACCTTGTGCTCCATGACATTAAGGTCCATTGTGAAGAGGCGGGGCTGCAGTGTGGTGCAGAAGGTGTTGCCTTCCATCAGGCCGATCTGGGCATTGGCCGGCTGGTGGCGGAGCAAATGTTTCTTGGGTGGAACCATATCTTGCAACACCTGTAAAATAAAAAAAACACGCACACACAAGAGAGAAATCATTTATGCAGTTCAGAAACAAAATCTCTATGCAGGTCTGTTTTTTGGTCAAATAAAAAGACAACAAAAAGGTGCACTATTACTCCACTGCAATCAGACACACTGGTTGACAGTAACAGATTTTCAATTGAAGTTCAAGTAAGGTGAATTTAAAGACATGTCTTTCAAAGCCTTAAATCATTCTTGTCATCAGTTTTACCTCTTTGTGTGGTTCCATGATGACAGTGACACTCTTGCCAGTGACCTGCGCAAGCACCTGCAGGGAGTGCATGGCCTGCTTCCTGACAGTTGAGTTCGGGGAGGTAACCTCGCGGACCAGGTCATGCGTGACCATGTGGAAAGACTTGTCCTGGGCGGCCAGCAGCTCCTCCGTTTTTTCTTCATCTTTCAAAGGTGTTGCACAGCGCACAAGCAGCTGCTCCAGGGTTGTCTTTGCCATGGCTACCGCTCCATTTGATACCTTATGGTAAAAAAATCAATACGGAGTTACAAGCTGTTACATTTCACGAGCCGCAAGCTTTGTGAAACTTCATGTGGAGACTGAAGTCTACTACAAATGACATCAGGTATATCTGCTTTTCCTTCGAAATCATTTTTGGTTCTCGAGAAATCTCCTCTCACCTCTCCTGTGAGATCCATCATGACAAAGAGCAGGGCCTTGAGAAAGGTAAGCTGGTTCTGCAACACCCAGATCAGAGGCAATCGCTCCATCAAAAACTTGATGGACACCACACCACCAAGCTTGGCGTACCAGGCCTGCTCATAACAGCAGGCGCACAGACGTTCCACAATGTAGGAGAATAAGGGCAGCTGGCACGCCTGAAAATGTAGACAAGAGGCTGGGATGATTAATTGTGTCAAATTAAAACAGTAAATCACAAATGAAAACATTAATCAAATGAATAATAAATTAATTTTAAAATGACAAAAAGCTTATCTGATTAAAAATGTGTATTCACTTCAAATTTTCATATGGAAATGCAACTAATCAATTTGTCAGAATATTTGGCACAGCCCAGCAAGAGAATTCATTTCTATGTCACATTTATAGCCAGACCCAGTTAGCGCAATTTAGCTCTATTGCCAGCACCTCCAGTACATTCATAAATATCAGCACCATCCAACGCCCTCTTGCCAGTGACTCACCCTCTCCTTGGAGCCAAGGATGATGCTGGCAACATCAAAGATGACAGCCAGGGCCACCTCTCCAATCTTACACAGCTCCTTCTCTTCATAGGCCATGCAGATGGCGATGGCATCGATCAGAACCAGTGGATCCATGCCCTTTGAGCCATTCTCCTCGCTGTGGAACATGGATGTGCTCGGCTGGCTGCCCAGCTGGTAGCAGGGCAGCAGGAAGGGACCTAAGATCAAAAGGGAGGATTAGAGGAATGAAACTGTGCATAATATGAACTTGGATGAATTTTAATACAGTTCAAATGATGCAGCAACTACACTTGTGAAGAGAATTAAAACTTGGTCATCAATACTTTTTATATCTTTTCAATGCAAAATCAAGAAAGAACAGATTTGTCGAAAAAAGGGCTAAAGAGGAATGTGGTTGATTTCAAGTACAGATGGGGATAAAAGCCAAAGCCAAAGAGAGCTAATAATAGATGTAGTGGGTATAACAAACTCAAGTTTCTCACCACATTGCTGAGCCACAGCGACCATGGTGTAGTGGCGAATCAGGCTGGCTACAAAAGGCAGCGCACTGGGCCTCAGGTCTTTTATCACAGCAGACATGAACGCTCCAGTCAGGGCCTGTTCAAACGTTCTGCGTGCAGGCGTGTCCTGAGCTTTGTAGCGGTGGGAGATGATGACATTGGGGATCCACTTCTCAGTAAAGCTATTGTGGTAGAAGCACAAGGATGAAAATAATCATTTAATGTTTGTTAATCTGTCTTTCATTTTTGTAAATTTAACTTCAAACACAGTCCCCAAACCTGTGACTCTTTTCGTCTTTGTCCTTGAAATACCCTCTTATTCGCGCTCTTCATGCCTCTCTCTTACCTCTGTCTTCCACTTTTCCCCTGTTGGTATTTTTGTTATTTACTGCAGCTGAGGGCAGCAGGGCCATGGTGTGATTGAGCAGCTGTTTTCTCCATGCTTGAGCTTGTGTTTTATAATGCCACACGCCAGGGGCAGAGCTGATGGATCACTTTATTTCATTATTGCCATTTAAAAGACTACTCTTTGTCGGAGGAGTAGAGGGGAGAGGAGGCTCAGGGAAAAGTAGAGGAGGAGTGAGTAGTGGAGCATGTGGAGAAAGTAAGGGGTGAATGTCTGATCAGTTGCCTTCCACTCATTCAAGCACCTGCCACTTCAGCACAGCTCTGTTTGCCCCACTCGGCATTCCATGATTTGTCCTGTCTTTTTCCTTTTAAAACCGAAGGGCTATACTTAAAGCGAACAAACACTGAGACTAACAGAAATGGTGTGAGGAGGATGAAGCTGGGCCAAGAGAGAGAGGGAGAAAAAGGTGACGAAAATCTCTAAGAGGATGCTGCAAATCCAGACATCTGACAGGACGAGAGCTGCAGGTTGCAGGCCCCCTGATCATAACTGATACACTCCATTATCCCCACAGATCTGTGCACACAGACGTATTACTGGGTATGTGTATGCGTCAGAGCAGAAAGACAGGATGGTGCAAGGGGCATGTTGCAGTGTAAACAGACAGGGGAAAGTCAATTAGCCCCTGGCCCAAGGATCAATGATGGTAATGCGACTAACCCTCATGACACCTCCCCCCTCCCTTCCAGTGCGTCTGTTCATGTATGCATCTTAAACTCGGGGGGGAGAAAAGGGTTTCACTGTGCGTGTGTAATTAGCATCTCTTGCACTTGAGACAGACTTGATGAGACTTGAGTGGTGTAGAGAAGGGGTGAAGATGTGAAACGATGGACTGAAAGGGGGCCGTGTCAGCAGGTGGAGGGGGCACGTTTCAGGGGGGGTTATGATTCCTTCACTGCTTGTGCGGCTGGGGTTCAGAGAGGGCAGACAAGATTACTGGATGTATGAGTCATGTATAATGTGAAGGTGTAGTCGAGTCTAATCTAGGTTGGAGATGGTGAGGATTGATTGGACACTTGGCTTTGTTTGGACTCGAAGTCCAACATGTAAAATGTCACTTGATCATTTCAGGCTACTAGTTTGGGCAATCTGCGATCTGTACAGAAATATCACACAATGGAACAAAAATAACGCAGAGGAGAGAAACTGGAAGCATTGAAACATGGCAGCACACTGTTGTCTGAGAGGTACAGACCTTTGTTCAATGATGATGAAGGGAAATGATGGGGATTATTTCACTAAATGTCTTTGCAAGAACTCAACAACTCATGACGTCTTCAATCATTTCTCAATATGCACAATATATTCTAGTATGTGTTCAGTCACATTTGCTGAACTGAAATTATAGACAGGCTAGTTTGGAAAGCAAAAATTAACGATGACTGTTAGCCTCTAACTTTTATACCTAAGTATTGAGAACTGTTTTCATACTAATACCATTACCAAAGATCCTTGTTGGGGCTGTCAATGAATATTCCAAGCTCGAAAATACATTCGAAAATATCTAAATAAAAATACAAGATTCAAATGTGAAAATTAATATTCGAATACTAAGTAAACAGCAGGTAAAAAATGAGTGGGAAAAAAATACAAACAAACAACAACAAAAAAGAACGGCTGCTTTGCAAGTGAGCGCATGGTAACAAAGGGTCAGGGACAGGTCACAGGAGCTGCACCTGCAGTGAGACTCGACCAAAACCGCCAGTGGCACATGCAGAGAGATGGCGGGATGTTCAGAGCCAAACTTGGAGAGAGTAGTCTAGAACCCAACAAACTTTAGAATTCTTCGGATTTTGGGCAGACGTAATAGACAGAAAAAATGTTGAGCAAGACAAAGTTATAAGCAAGCTGTGTAAGCAGCTAGATACTAAAATATGTTCAAACCAATGTGTTATTTTTAAAACCAATATTTGAACGTCACTTTGGAGCAATTTTGACAGCCCTAATCCTTTTGGGAGCTTCATTCTATCCATCCTGTATCACTCTCAGTGATTAAGCAGTTGTATGACATAAACATATAACAGCTCAGAAGAAAATTTTAGCTGACCATGTTTCCACATTCAGCCCAGCCAGAAACTTTGGGTAAGATTTTAAGTGTGTCTGGAGCCTGAGTAATAATCAAACCCAGAATGCTGACTTACTTGGGGTGAGACAGAAGCTGGTAGAGAGCATGCTTGTTGTCGTCCAGACTTGTCATGGCCACCAGGAAACACTTGATGACCTCCCAGGCTTGTCGTCTGTAGTACGGCTCTGTGTTGGCACTCTTCAGACAGTCCAGAGCCGTCTCTATTGCCTAGGGGAGAAATAAACCAGGCAAAAGCTTACTTAAAATTCCTCACTATTTTATTATCTAAGAGCCTCTATGTTAAAAAATGCCAATATTCATATATTATCGGTATGGGAATTAAAGTGCAAGGTATGAGTGTATACGTGATTAATGTGCGGGAAGTAAAACAGGGCACCATCTGGCCAAGCAAAGGTCATTATGATTTTAACATTATGGGCTGACAAGTAACAGCAGTGAGGCATTTAAAAAGGTGGAAAATGAACTAATTAATGCCACTCAGAGGAGAGGGGAGAGGAAGAGCAGGGAGAGACAAAAAATGACAGAAGAAATAGATGAGGACCGGTCAATGCTGAAGGATATTTTTCTGTGCTGATGGAGACATAAGTGCTTCATTATTTGTACATAGCTATGAAATTGAGAAGACAAATAAGAGGTAATAGCTTTTTAGACTCTAACATTTCAAGACTGACAAAATATCTGTAACCACAAAGTTAAAAAGTGAGAACAAAGATGTATGAAGCGTATGTTAACCATCAATAACTTCATGGCTGTATTATAAAAGAGACTCATAACTTCAGTGAGTATACATGAGTCAGAGTGTGCGCGCGTGTGTGTGCTCTCTGATGATGGCAAACACGAGACAGATAGCCAGAAAGAAGAAGGAGCAGCCATTAGTGAGAGTAAATAATGCCGTCATGGTGGCCCACACTAGATTGATGATTACTGACTGGGGATCAGGAGGAGAAACAGGAGATGAATTTAATTACCTGGAGGACACACACATCTCCCCAACTCACTCGCTGTTACACACAAACCCCTGACAAGGATATATAGCTCTCAGTTGGGGACAATAATGAGGAATATCAAGTTCTCCTACATTTCTTTCTTTCTTTCTTTCTAAAACTAAAATACAAAGAGGTAAAGGGGTTTTCAGAGTAGTTTCAACAAAGAGGGAAAAACAGAGTTAAGAAAAATCAAAAACTTTCCTAGTCAGAGAAACTAGAGAAAGCCTTTCAAACACACCACCAATTACAGCAGAGTGCTCTTACCTTTTCCATAGGTAGCTGTATTGATGCCTTGCAGTCAGTGAATTCAGCCTTGATGCTTGGTCCCTGGACTTCAGTCACCACATAATGCAGCCTCTGAGACTCCTTCAGCATCTTTCTGTTGCTGCCACCAAACTTTCCCAACACCCGGTAGGCTACATGAGAGATGCTCTCAGCTGGATTTCGCAGAGTACGCCACAAGGCCTGCAGTACACAAGAAACAAGGGAATTAGAAGTTCAGTGTTGACAGATTTAAAAAAGGCTATTTAGTATTCAAACTGTCATAAAAGATCACTAGCATTGATGCTACTAGAGCTAAACAAAACCCTGAAAAGGCTTGTTATCCCTGCAGAAGACTAGGTACAGTGTCTTAATGGGATTTCAGTCACTATGTTTCATAGATTTTGGTGTTTTATTCCATTTATTTTCATTGGGAAAATATTAAACATAACAAGAAACACAAATTTTTCTTTCAAAATCTTTCTCTCATTACAGTGTACACACAATGAGAAAAACATCCTTCTCTAGCCCCCACACAACCCACACTACCAGAGAGGGAGCATGAGAAAACTCAGAAAACACGATCACACAAAAAATCAATACAAATGATTCATTTAAGAACATTATGCTTTAATTTGAATCCAATTCCAGCTAGTTTTTTGGAAGAGAATGACAAATACATAACCTGGCAATGTAGAAAAGAGTTGTGTGAGTGCTACTGGTTCCAGGTATGATCTGAAGATATTGCCATCTCTATTGTTGACCACAAGAGGGCACGTGTCCTTGGTCTATTTGTGAAAATGATGAGATAAAAACTACCCACCTGCATAAGCTCTGCCCTGACAGGCTGAATGTGGTCGTAGAGGAAGTCAGGCTGCAGGTTGTCCACACATAGTTCCAGGGTGCGAAGGCCCTGACTGACTAGAGTCTGTGAGCCATTGAGAGCCGACACCAGTGGGTCCATCAGCATGGGCAGGTAGGGCAGCAAAGAGCTAAGACGCACTGGCACTGTCAAACACAGCTCCACGAACAAATCCTTCATGTGCTGTTTATGAAGTCCGCTCTGCAGCATGTTCAGACCTGACAGCAAGCAAAAGAGAGGGTATCAAATGAGAAGAGATGGAAATATCACAGAGGGTCCCCTTATTCTGATGTCTTGGGTAAAGTAACACTCAAGAGGAAAAACGAACATAATGTCGGCTGGAGTCAGTAAGGATTCACACACACTGGCGAAAAGCATCTATTAGCTGGTATAACTAGAGTAAGACTCAGAAACAGGAAAAACGTGTATAATTGACTGTGCATAGAGAGTCACCAAGAATTCTGGGTTATCTTTTCATGAATTTACAAAAGCTAAAAAGAAGCTAATAGATAACTGCAATTCAGAGAAACAATTGAAACTATGGCACTCCACTGACTAACAATCTTTAAAATAACCTACATCCTTCATACTTAGCACTGAACTGTAGAGTTTTTTTTCCCAGCTTCTTTTATTTATATCCACCTGATGTTGCATTTTGTGTTACAAACTAACGAGAAGTTAGACGAGAAGTTTGGGCCTATCAGCCATCTGAGACAAACTTAGTTTCCTTGTAATAGAGCAATCCACAAAGCAAACATACTGTTATCCAGATTGATTTTCAAAATTTTAACAATGTCCTGAAGTGGTGTCCTTGTTATTTTAAATTTGGCCAACAAATCCCACTATGTTGTCTGACTACTGGTCAAGACTTTCAAAGTCTTCATGCATTGCTTTGTCTACTTCTCCAGCTTTGAAACCCAGTTTATGCCAGGAAAAAGTGTCTGGCCACACATCAATGTCCACAGACCACAGTGTCTTTGTTTTTTTTAATGTCAGAGCAGTTGAGGTCCTTCCATCTTACAAAATATCTGACTCTTTTACTCCTGTGTTTCTCATTTTGTCGACCAAAGGCAATGATTCTGCATGACAATCTTAGCAACAAACTAAGGGGCTGTTATTTTTTTCTGGAAAAGTAACACCAGCAAATTTCAACTATAAGTAATGTCATAAGAGGCTTTACCTTGCAGCAGGTTAGGTAGAAGTGGGAGGAACTCCTGGTACAACAGATCATGGCTGCCTCCACCAATGGAACGAAATAGCGCCCGCAGAAGTAGGAAGTAGTTGTAGGGTTCCTTGGCTGACTGAGCCAGCTCCATGGAGCTGTTCACTATCTTGTGGAGGTGTGGCTGAAGGAGCAAGGAGAGCCATGTCAAAGAAGAGTATCAATGATAAAAAGAAACAAGCACTCCTTCACACAAAAAGCAATACTCACCTTCAGCATCTGTTCATTTTCTGCAGCAAACAGTGAAACAGACCCAAAGACAAGTTTGAAGAGCTTGAGGTAAAGGTTTGAGAGCTCGACATTAGAGCCCATCTCTGGCAGTCTCTCGAGAAGATACTCAACAAGGATGGTGGCAAACAGAGCTGAGGTTGAGAGGTTGGCCAGGAAAGAATTCGCAACAATCTGAGAAAAGTAGAAAGTAAAAAAAAAAGAAAATTTTCTACATGAGTCAATTTCTCATGCCTGATATGAAACAAATTATACCGTGGTTATATGCCAGTCATCATTTACCTGCAGTGCATAGTTTTTAGAGATCCTCTCCACCATGTATGGCACAGTTGTCTGGAAAATCTCTTTGAACGTGAGGGGGTTCATCATGGTGAAAACACCAGCGAAGTGCTCCAGTACCTCTTTCTCTTCCTTCATGCGAACCGTCTGACAGTTGGCCACCCGTATGTAAGTCTGCTGGTTATTGGCGACCTGTACCTGATCAGAGGAAACATCCTAATTGAATCTTTCTGTCTATCAGCACTCAAACACATTTATTTACACATGCGAATAGAAATACTGCTGATGGAGTTTGGACTTCTCCTGCACCTGGTAGATGTCCAAGGCCTGCATGGCATATTTAACCAGCTTGATGTAGATTTGTGTTTCCTTAGGCTGGAGCTGCTTGTTGGGAATGAATTGAGCCTCTGGAAAAGTAAAAATAGGAAAAAACCCTGAAGTTGGACATTCTTCTAAACTTTGGACCCCAGATCAGATAGGTAATAAACACGGTACTAAAGGCACTGTAGTTTTTTGCGCATGTATCTGTGTCGTCTTACCCCCTGGGGCTTTGCAAGATGTAATGCCCCATGTAATCGTCTTCACTCCACACACCAGAGTCTTCACCAAGCTGCGGCAGTCTGACACCTGAAACGTCTGCTTGTCCTCCTTCTCACCGGGTCGGTCGAAGGACGCACCTGGAGGTGCAGGTGCTGTAGGAGGAACAGGAGTGGGAGGGGCAGGAGGAGGAAGAGCAGGGGTGGTAGAAGGAGTGGGTGTGGCTGGCACTGCAGGTAACACCCCAGGATCGACCACACCCATCTCTGATTGGGGTTTGCACTTCTTGAAGATGGAAACAAGCTGGTAGCGTGCAATGGTGTGAAACTTAAGGACAAACACCTGATTTAGAGAAAAGAAAGAGATAAAGTAACTTGAGATTTCTCTGAGGATTCTATAAAAATAGGTATGAGGATCTTTATATTGATTGAGGCTCTACCTCCAACATCCTCATCAGGATGTCACGTCCATTTCCATTCTCCTGCTCGGACTTGGAGCGAATACAGTCTACCAGGTTGAGCAGCAGCTTGCAGGACATTGTCTGAATGTTACTTGGGAGAGACTCATCATCAATGTTCTTGGCAAAGAGCTGCACTGCTAAAGACAAATCTGTAAGGGGCAGATTCTGACGGACGTGGTGCACCAGATCTGCTAGCGTGCTGTAGGCCAAGGGTCTGGAAAGAAAAAGACAAATATACCTCTGATATCCAAGATAGATTTACAATCATAATAACGTCCTAAAGGTTGTGAAGATAAAAAAAAAAAGACTGCTTTTTTTAAACTGCAACTCTCTAAAAAGTAGGAGTAGAGAAAGTCAGACGGGTACAAAAAGTGGCTGAGCTGTGTGAGACGAAGAAAGAAAGACAGACAGAGAGAGAGAGAGAGAGGTAGTGAGTGACGCTGACATCCCTGTTGGCTGTCTGACAACTACCTGGTTTTTGTGTGGTACTAATGTGAATTGACAACTACTTTGTAGAGGGCACAAGCGAGTTTAGTTTCTAAGGAGGGTCAACAAGGTTTAAAATTGACCGGAGGGAGGATGCGCTGGCAGCTTGCCCTCTGGTGATGCGGGGTAAACATGACAACTTGACAGTGCGATCTGTGCTGCAGTGTTGGGAGTCAGCTGCCCTGAGAATTTCTTCAGCAACAGAAACTACCAGATTAATATGATAGGACTTTTACCATGCAGCTGGCTGTGCAATCAACCAAGGAAAAGAGAGACAGAGAGAGAGAGAGAGAGAGAGAGAGAGAGAGAGAGAGAGAGAGAGAAAGAGAGGGGGGGGGGGGCTCAAGTAACTCACCGAAGAGTCTCTCTAGCAGTGTAACCAGAACCGATCAGGATGGATTCATCAAAAAGTTTGTCCATACAAGGTATGAACTCTGAAAGACATAAAGACAACGTTTCATAGCATTATTGAAGAAGAAGTCAAGGTATTTCCAAGGAAATAAAGTAAAAGGTAAAAAAGAAAACAATGGAGGAAGATGTGTTGCTTCACACCCTGCAAAATAGTATGAGGAAACTTAATGTACATAAAATGAAAGCTGAAGTCTCTCTAAAAGAAAATATTTCAGCACTCTGTCTAGCCCCGCTTTGGCAGCTGACTGATCATTTGTGGTTTGACTGTTCCTATTTGTCAAGTGTTTTGCAGAAAATAAAATGGTTTTAGCCACGGAGGCAGAAGCAATAAAGAGTTTAGGGTCTGATTCACAAAAGGATTGCAGCGCTCTTGCACCTGTGCAAATGAGCCAATTTAGCCTCTTCGAAGCCCACAGACACAAACAGCTGATCAGTGCACTGCAGGCAGAAGAACCTGTGCATGTGTTGCATGCACAAGCACCGCGAAAACTAAACAGCTTTCAGAAGTGCAAAAAAATATCTCAGGTACAGCAAGGGTCTATGTTAGCTAGTATTTGCAATCTCCTGGACAGTTTCAAGTTCAGTTGTCCAGCAGAAAAAAATACATGAAATTCATGCAAAAAAGTGGGATTGTCTCATATTGTCTCATATTAGTCTTGTCTTTTTTGTGCTGGGATACATTTTTGTTTTCACTTAAATGCCACACAACATTTTCAGTAATTGGTAGCAGCACAGGGGAAACAGTAGGACATGAACTCTGTCAGGCTGCCAAATATCTGCAAGATGCCATGTATAATATGAAGATACATTAAACATAACCAAAGTTCAACCACTGCACAGGAAAGACATAAAAGAGATGACTCAGATACTGGTGAAAGGAGGATCAACAGTCAATCGTAATATAATATGTGTGTGTGAACTTATCACACAAAGACCGTACTTAACCTTGCAGAAATACCCAACTATCCCTTTAAGATCCAAATCAGGAAGAGAGTGCACAGCACAGTTCTGTGCAGCAGACAATACAGATGCTGACAGCACATCTCCACAAATAGAAGCGACACAAATGCTAACTGCAAGGAGCTGCAGGATTTTGTGGGCCTTTTGGTCCTTGAATGTCTTTAACACAATATGCTTTGTGAATTAGAACTTGACAGGGCAAATAGTTGGGCCAAATGCTTCCCAATTTTTGCCGTTAATCCTCTCAACAGTTTTAGCCATACCAGTGATTCATGCCACAAAATTCCACCAATGGGTATGTTTCATTCCATTTTAATATATGTCAGAATATTTACTGCTCTATCGCCAAACCAAATCTGACATCTTATAAGACTGAGTAAACACACAAAAGCCTTATAGGGTCTCCAACTTTGAACAGGTAAAAAGAAACTTCATTAACTGGTGGATGCTTCCCCTAAATTCTTATGCATAAGTGAGTGTGTGCATGAAGTGTTGACATACGGCTCCGTAGGTCAGTTGTGAGGATGTGCTTGGCTGCAATGAGGAGCTCTTTGCGGAGGTGAGCGGTCTCTGAGGGGCAGTTGGACAGCAGCTGCAGCATTCCCTTTACCATCTGCTGAGAGTATTTTCCGACTTGGTCCTGATTGGGCGCACACACACACAAGGGCACAAGATATGATTAAAAGCATTAACTACGATTCAAATTTACTGGTTAGTTTCATTATAAAGAATCAGTTTATATAGGAAAACCCTGCCAATAGAAGCAAAATGATGGGCCTGTATTCGGTATTGCTTCATTTCATATCTTTTCAATTAATTTGGACCAGCAGGGTGTCTGTAACGGCGCAAAAACATTCAACCAAACCCCCACTAATAGGATTCTTCCGAGGTGGGTTTGAAGGTACTTCACAGGTATTATCAGTATTTTATGATGTTTTATACCAACTGTCTGAGTTGTCATTGTTTTTTATAGTTTCTAATTTGTTTGATAATGACACAGTCAGTGTAGCAGAAGATAGTGTCAGAGGGAGATATTCAAGCCATTCATGTTAGAACAGAATAAAAAGTGAGTTTAATACAAATTATGGATTCAATTTTGTGACTGCCTCATCTCCAAACTCCCCAGCTTCTGTGGTTTTGTACCAGTAAGGACATTATGGAGCCCACTGCTTCCTGTCAATCACCCAACACTTGCAAGAAGGAATTAGATCCAAAAACGTGTCCTGCTGATCCACCAAATCATTCTTATTCACAGATTTGCTGTAAATTTTGATTAAGACTACATTGCTTGATCTGTAAATTATATAAAACCTATACTTAATTGAAAATGGTGCAAAGACAACGTGTCAGATGTTGAAACTAAAAACTTGTTTTGCAAAAAAAATTATTATGGTTGCAGAAAATATTTTATAGCTAAAAAGGTGATTTCTACTCTTTTTTAAAGCCAAGGTTACTCCATGGTTTCCAAAAAGGGTGTCCATGTTTGATTCATCAGACTACAGTACCGTTTACTACTTTACCAAAGTCCATCTTAAATGGGATAGGGTCAGAGAAGTCACCAGCATTTCTGGATCATATATAAAAAAGGCTAGATGATGAAATCCTTTAACTCTCAACAATTTTAGGCTGAGGAACATTACGCTGAAATTGTTGAACTACTTGCTCACACAGAGGTAAATCTTTTCCCCTCTTTGTTTCTGGGAGACTTTGTTTCACTAGAATTACTGATCTGTCGTACATTTGTTAAATCAGCTGGGAGATGTTTCTCCAGGTGTTCCTTCAGCACAACACAACGTTTTTTTACTGTTTTGTTGTCCTTATCCCACTTTTTATCAAATTTAAAAGGAGAATTTGTTTTTGTATCTCTAAATTGAGTACCAGGTTTAAATTTTTTGCAAACCATCCAAATCTGTTTTAATTAACATTTGATACAGTGCCCCAACTGTTTTGGAATTGAGGTTGTATAGATTGTTTGACCTCTGCCTTTATTGATGGGAAAGCTTAATGGAGACAGGACTTTGCATCTGAATATTGGTGTAAGCTTCACCCCATTACGCTTAACTGACACCCCTTAATCACAGGAGCATCGGTAAAAGTAAAATGTACTGCGTGTTTGGCAAGTAATGAAGGGGAAAAAAAACTTCATAAAAATGTTAATTCTGAGATTTTAGTAAAGCACTGTCAAGGAAAATCTCTCAAATGATGTAAGTGAAGGCTAAAACAGATATGGCAACGGTTTCCCTATAAAGTGGGATAACTTGGTTCATTAGCTGAGAAAACTGATGACACACACAGCCAACAGAGCGCTGTACCTGATAGATTCGGATGATGTAAGCCAGAAATGAAAGAGTCTTAATCTGAGCGGCGATGAAGTCTGCATACAGCTCCTTGTTATACAGCTTGTGTTGCCTGCAGAGGAAACAACACAATTAACATACAAAGCCATTCAGTGCCGTCAAAGACATTAATGGTGTTGTACACCTGCAGTAGCTGACAATTGCCACAAGTTGAAATGGGGAGTCTAAATGCAGGTTTGGTTCTACATGAATGACTTCTTGTTTTTTCCTTTTGCATCACGGCTGTTACAGCATGTCAGAAAGAAATATTTGTCTTTACCTTCCAGAGGCTGCTGAGGTACTTTGTCTAAATTAACTCTGCTCCATTTCCTTCCTGTTCAAAATGCTTCAGAAAAGCTTCTTCCTACCCGAAGGCTTCACCTCTTGCTTAGCCAATTTCTTTCATTTAAAGTTCTCCAAATGATTCTTAACTCCAGCTTTGGCAGGCAAAGCACAAGGCAGAACCATCAATGAACTTAAGTTGATTCTCTTAAAACAATTTGGTTAAGGCCCAGTCCTGTCTGATACGCATTTAAATAGGCCCCACAGTGGTGCACAGGAACACACATAAATACACAAACACAACTCACCTGGCCTGAGGAGACACCTGCAGCATGATAGTGTTCATGATGAGGGGCACAAACTCTGACACCACGTTATGAATGTTCAGCTTATAGAGCTGTGAAAACAGAATAAACACAATCACAGTTAATGGAAACCTGACTTAAATTCTGATGAGCATTTTCTTACAGCAGAAGTGATTATTTTTCCGTTTAAATTTTACTTAATATGGATTTAAAGGTAAAAATACACTGAAACTTCTGCAAATCCAATTATCTCAATGCAGAGTTAAGTTTGAAATACATGGCAGCTTAATCTGCACCCCTGCACAGAAAGTACATTTTACTCAAAACTTTGCTATTTACAGTCATTTCTGTTGCGTTTAAATTACATTTTTATACAGCAAAAAGTGGAAAACATCATTTCCAACGACTCATTTCACCTAATCCTGTTTCCTGAAATTGAACCACATTACCAAAGGTTACCGAGTGATGGGTTTATTTAAAGAGGTTCAGAATTAAGTCACTAACCTGGTACATCAGGACCACTATGATTGGCAGCTCTGCCAGCACCTTCAGAGACAAGGAGCCCCGTGGGATGATGGTGTGCTGGAGGCAGAAAAAAGATTGAAACATAATGAAAACGACTGCAGTGAAGGATGCAAATATTGGACACCTGCCTCGCTTATCTATGGATGAAACCGCATAATATAGAGAGAATCTAAAAGAAATGGGCAAAAGTGTTTCAAAAGACAAGTTTAAACAGATGGTAAAAATGCTTTGTATGAAAATGCATCGTAAAGAGACCATTATGTAATTCCTTTGTCTTTCCTACTTGAGGGGAAGTAAAAGTTTCTGTTTTTTTCGTGGACTCTTTTGGAAGTGTGGTGGCGTGGTGCACTACCGCTCTCTGGTGGCTCTGAACAAAAGTGTTACAATATACAGCATACAGATTTAGCAACGCTCATGTGCTTTTCAGTCACTGATGTTCTGTCTTTCACCCAGAAGTTCTAGTCTTTTCTGACATGATCAAATTAAAATATAATGAGGATTATATCACCATAAAGCATGTGGTGCAGAAAGTGGCATAAAATACTCTGTGAATTCTAATCCCAACTGATGGAATTCTGCTTACTGTTCTTGTTTCACTATCTTCTCTTTCTGGTGCAGTCTTGACCAACACTGATGTGATCATTCCAACCATCTCTGGGGAGGGGACCGTGTTCTCTGCTATCACCTGCGGATTCTCAAAGTACCGAGCCTGGTGGGGGCAAGAAGAAACAGACTTTTTTTTAGAAAGGGAGAAGGGTAAAAAGAACAATGTCAGGTTACTCTGTGTTTTCCCTTATCGTATCAGGAAGCAAAGCCATACCATTTGGAGGGTATACTTACAACAACTTTTGGCAGGTCCTTGTAAATCTGCTTCACAAAATCCAGAAAGTGATGAATCTGGGAAAGAGAAGAACAAAGAATATCCTTAAAATAGTTTTATGTTTCTGCCTTTATATGGCCAAAAAAATAGGAAAAAGATTGTTCTTCATTTTTGGTTGTACTTAGTCTGCTAATGTCAACGAACAGTCTGTATCCTCATAATGCAGTGCTTCACCTCTGCTATTTTATTTAGGATCTGACACAGTAACACTTATTTCATAAGGTTAATACAAGTTATGATATTAGTCATATCTTTTAAATAATGGCAGCTTATTGAATGTACTTTTGATTTCATTAAGAACTACACCATAAAAAAAGCTGCAGGTTCACAGTAAGAGCAGTCTGGATTTTTAGGGCAGCTCAGTTCATCACATTCAAAACTCTTCACAACAAAATATTGCTTCACATAACAAAAAACTGTGTCTCACCTCCTGAGAGATTGGAGGCCGAAACTGCTTGTGCAGCTCTATGATGATGCGAAGGCATATCAGGACATTTTCCTCACTTTCAATCTGTGAAAAACAACAGAAAAAAACAGACATGTGAAATGGATTCAAAATAGATTCAGGGAGTTATTTGTGCCTTCATAACCAAATATAATTTGTTAAGTCCCCAGAGGGATTTTAAAAGACAAATAGTGACGATTCTTAAGATTCTCTTCTCTAATGTATTTGTTCCACAGAACAGCAGATGCAACTTTTTTTATCATCTGTTGCAGCAACAAATAAAAGCATTTCAAAGGTTAGTATTCATTTTCCAACAATTTCTTGGCTGTAAAGCTTTGGATGAATGGCAAGCTAGATTTGGGGCCAATAAATAAAAAATAGCAATACAAACAAGGCTAACACAGTTTTGATATCAAAGAAGATGTAATTTATCAAAATTGTGTCACTCTCAAATGTGCTGTTCGACCAAAAAAATGGCATACCTCGAGGAAGCGGAACATAACAGACAGGATGTTCTTGGTGTGTGGGCGAAGGTGTTCATTAGTTGGAATCCGATGGATGATTTCCAACACGAGCTTCCTCAGTTGCTAAAAGAATAGATGATATTTAAAAGCAAAAGATTCAGTTTTGAGTACAATTGCACTATTTGAGTAAATCCTGTAATACTCTTTGCAGAGAGTATATTGTGATGAAACTGACTGATAAACCCTGACTGATAAAAGTTGTTGGGACTATGTCTTAAGGTCCTTACACACCGTGGCCGACGCGAATATAGAACGCAAAATTACGAAATATTCAGAGGCAAATTTTGACACGCCTGACTAAACACATCAAGCCCGATGCGATTTTTGCGACTTTCCGGGGGGAAAAGACGCATCCCGGGGAAGACTTTTCCGGGGGAAAGTCCCGCCTCCTTCGCCTCTGATTGGCTAGAAAAGCTGGAAACGTCATCACACGCTCAAGCCAAACAATCAGCACTTATAGCCAATCAAAGGTGAAGGAGGGCAAGAAGACAAAAATGGAGTCTACTTCAACTTCAAGTGATGGCAAACTGGTATTTCTGTAGTACATGGGTGCATCCAATATTACAAAAAAGACGTCCGAAATAATCACACGACAAAAACGGTCCTGGTGTGAAAAGACCTTTAGACTGCAGTCTCAGTGAAGCACAACTTGTGAATTTATTAATGAGATGAGTATTTGTCCAACATGTAAGAATACATTCAGATTATTAGGAGATGGAAGACTACGCACCTGTGTAGGTTTCTCTTGAAGGAACTGGACCTCTCCATCCTGAAGAAAGGTGAGGAAGCGAGGGATGATGTGTTCCAAGAAGGTAGAGTACTGAGGCGAAGAGGTCACATTCTGAAAACGCACAAGTACAACATATTTTGGATTGCATAACAACCAGACACAACCTCATAACATGTGTCAGAGCTTTGCAAATGTTATAGCTATCATAATTTTATTACATACAAAAGTTACAGGGTTGTTTACAACTCAAAATAACTGATGTTTTTGTTGAATCAAGAAAACATCTCAAAATTTATTACATTCCATCATCAGATACAGAGGAAGTTAATCAACTCTATCAATCAAACGTAGTGAGCATTCATTAAACATACCTCAAAGTTCTCGCTGACCTCCTGCATCATCTTCAGCTTGGTTTCATCAGCTGGAAGTTAAAGGACAAAAAGTTGCCATTAATCAAACCTGGTAATAACACAGTTTCATTTTTTATAGCCAGTCTTCATGTGCTCAACAGGGACTTTCAGATCTTATCAGTTTTACTTTCAGCGTCCAGATTTTTCAAAAGGTACGTCAAGACACACACTCACACTTCAACACACTCACTCAAACACACACGTACCCTTGACTGGACTAAAGCATATCGCTCTCATCACATGACCCGTTGTGAGCACAAGTGCCTCAACCAGAATATTTCTTTTTAATGTGTTTACATTACATAGAAAAAAGTGATGCAATGAAATTAGTTTATCACGTTAAAATGTTCTTCATTTTTTTCTTAATACTTTAAGTGAGGGGTGTCAAACTCAACCACAGCAAGGGCCATAATCTGGATTTAAGTCTAACCTGAGGGCCAAACAGGGTCAACATTTCACCAAAACTGTAAACTTCCTTTTAAAAAATATGCAAAACAAAAACAGCAATGATTATAAATCATTTGGAAATTAAAAAAAAGATAAAAACATAAGTTTAAAGGCAATCTAGGATAGAAAAATTTATTTTATTTTTATTTTGTATTCTATTTTATTTTATTTATTGGTTCAAAAGATCAGAGCATGATATTAAAAATAGAAAAATAATGCTTTTAAAGAGCAAATACATGAGGAGAACGTTGAAATCAGGTTTAAAAGCTCAAAATAGGACTTAAAATTTTAAATTGGAATCTAAAGTATAAAAATGACAAATCTAAATACTGAGTTGAACAAAATTAAAGCATGAAATAAAAAATCCAATCATGTTTGACTCATAATGTTGAAATGCAAAACTGAAAACATGAAATAAAACATAAAATATTTTTTCCCCCACGCTCTTGACTATCAATCAAATCTTCCTTACTCTTTCATTTCACAGATTTTCGTGGCTTATTAAGGACATTTTATGTAACGGTGCTAAAGTTTACATGATTATACTTGAGGAAATCCGCCGACCTCATACTGGTGGGCCAATAAGAATACAAATATGATATGATCTCGTGGGCTAAATTTGGTCCCTGGGCCTTGAGTTTGACACCTGTGGTTTAAGTCTATGAAGTCAAAATTTGTAAAATAGGTCAATCTTGTTTATGATCTATACATGTCTTTACAGAGATGTTGTTTAGATACAAATTACTGACATGATACCCTTCAGAAATTCTGATCATCAGGTCAAATACTAAAACATCTCTTCAGCTTTACTGATAGTTAAGTTGTTTGATTGTTTAAATAACTGCTTTTAAACTGGTAACTTTGTGAAACTGTATCATTGTAAGCAGATGGGAGACAACTCCTCTCACCAGCACTTGTGTCAAGCAACATGTGTGGTCCATGAACTTACGTGTGTTGGCATCTGTGAGTGCTGCCACAAACTGCAGGTACTTCTTCATAAGTGTGGTCTGATCTACCACCGTGGGGCTTGGGGCGGGCACGAAAGCCATAGTGGCAGCTGGAGAAGAGTCGGCTGCTGTAAGAAAAACAGGCAGACAGCAGTCTGCACAGCGCTCAGCGGGACATCATGTACACTGGGGAAGAGAAAGAAGAGAAAGAAAAGACAAGTCGGTAAAAAAATCCGTAACAGGCAATATAATCTAAGGTGTAAAATAATGAGTTATTTTCTATGGAACAATGTTAATCACCCTCGAAACAGCGATGGTGAGTGTTTCACAAACAGACCGGTAACAGAAAGAAACATGCCTCCAACGGGCGCACAGTGATGACATCATGAAAGGCATCGGTTAGCATAATTTAGTTTACTTGTATAGTCTTTGTAAGTCAAATTTGGGTTCTATATCATCGGAATTGGACCAGTTCTGATATTCATGGATTTAGCAGGCTTATTCCGCCTTTAAATAAAAGCACAGGGTAACAGAACGGAACAATTTCGCAGATGCGGTAGCAACGGTCGGCTAATGGGTTAGCTCCGCCAAATAAAGAAAGCGCTCGAGCATCCTCTAACGTTTAACTCTGTGTGAGACTAAATAAATGCATGCGAACATTTTTCAGACAAGCACCAGAGTAAATTATGTTTATATGCACGGCGTTTTTAGAAAACACTAACCTCTAGGCAAACTTTGTAAGAGAAACTGAACCTTTTTCACTCACCGTGCACCTCGGACAGGAAACAGTCGCCGCACTCGCGCTGCTGCTCTGGGCTCGCGACAAGCAGAGATATTTCATATCCCTCCGCGCGTGAAGCATACTAAATGTTCCATATCCATGCATAGATACAGCATTAAAATTCATAGTTAACGATCTTAAATGGAGATGTCCGTGTAATCGAAGTCCAGTCCCCCCAAAATTGACCAGTATCCATTAATATATTATTATAGTTCTGGCGGAAGGATAAGCATTACAATGGGTGGATATAAGACCATCGTTTTCGAAGGTCTTCTGGTACTCAGGGTTAGTAGTAGAGGGAATACATTTGCGGGTAACTGCGCACGGCCTCTGGCGGTGAGGAGATGTACTGTCAACAATGTCTTTTTTCTCTCCAACTGCATTAAAAAAAGCTTGTTCAATGTTCTGGTCTTACCGTGATGTAAAAGTTCACTCAAAGTAAGATTATTTGTTGTGCACTATGTAAGATTAAAGTGCTTTCAAAGTTCTGAAGAAAAATCCAACAACATTAATTAACCTGTCACTTTAACTTGTACTGCTATGGTAGTTTATGGATATTTGTTAACTTTAGGCTCTTAATCTACATCTCTTTATCTTTATTAGTTATGTGGGTTTATCAATAACAGCATTTTAATGATTGAAAACCCTTCAAATTTTTTTTTAGGTTGTATGGTCTAGTCAATTAAATCAAAATTACAGTTAACTACAGTTTCAAATTCAAATTCAGCTTCATTTATATGGCACTTTTCAGGCAAAAATGTAGTTATATCTGCCTCACAGAGGCTAAAAACAACAATAAACCCCAACCCTCCTACCCACACATACACCCATAGACCCACACACACACAAAGACACACAAACACCCTCACTCACCCACACAGAGTGAGCACTTAGGATATATTGTCAAAGAGACTTGGCTTGACACCGAGACATTGCGTGAGGAAAGAGCCTTTGGGAAACACTGGAGATAGAAAGATAAAAATGGGCGGTAACAGTCATATTAGTAAAAAGTGAATCTACTCATTGCAAATGCAAAGCTGGCAGCAGTTTGTTATTCACCTGTTATTCCTTGGAATCACAAACTGCTGTCAGCTCATTTTTATTCCAACTTTTGTTAGAATGTTTATTAGTTTAGCCACAAAACAACACTAGAAACTTATAGAATGAACTCTAATACTATGATATACATTGATAAATTTAATATATACAAGGATGGATATAATATATACAAAGATAAACAACTAAAATGCCTCTAAAACTCCGCCAAACTCACAGAGTGCACAATCTCTCTGCATGGTGTCCCCCTGTCATCTCTCTTGTCTAGCGAATCAGCTTTAAACTGCTGCCACTACCGTAATGTATAATATATTAGTGCAAAGTTCAGATTGTCAACTTTCAGAATCCGTTGGGATTACGTTGACGGCGCAAAAGGTTCAAGAGTTACGGTAGTCAAAGTGCCCCTGTCATTTTCTGTCGTCGGTGATGGCTCCGCATTTATAGGGATGAACATTCTCATTGTGGTGTGTTAAAATATCATTATGTCAGGCATTGGCAGTTTATTGGATAAACTCAGCTGCATAGGTGGTAACTGCTCATATTTTTGTCAAAAGTTAATCTACACAGTGCAAATACAAAGCTGGCAGCAGTTTGTTATTCACCTGTTATTCCTTGGAGTCACAAACTGCTGCCAGCTCATCTTTATTTCAATTTTTGTTAGAAAGTGTATTAGATAAACTCCCCATCATCGTGTATTAAAATATATCATTATATCATGTGTGGCAGTTTATTGGAGAAACTGCCAGTATCTGTTGGAAGTGAAGATCACGTTGCACCTGACAAACGTGCTGCTGTTAATAGCAGTACATACAGTATGCTGTACATACTGTTTAAAAGGGCACAAATCAGGCATTCCACTTGGTCCGGCCATTAGTGTAGGGGATAGCGTTTCTGACTATCGAGCAGAAAGTGCCAAGTTCGAGCCTCACCGGTGTAAGGACGATGGCACCTGTCTCCCGGGGCCCAAGCCAGGGGTGGGTCTTGATTGAGCAGAAAGCTTGGTTTCGTACCTGGTGCCCTCTGGCTGGCAATTGTTTTTTTTTCACAAGTTTATCCAATAAATTGCCAATGCCTGACATAATGGTATTTTAATACACCACGATGAGAAGGTTGAGGCTTTTTTTTTTTTCATGTGAAAATTCTGGGTGGTTTGAGATGAAGATGGATTGCCCCCCATATTCTGATTGTGGAGTTGTAGTTAATCTTGATTGAATTATTTTGATGGATATGGAAACAAACTTGAGTTAAGTTTTGTAAGATCAAAAAATAGGATACATGCTTAAGAAAAAAAAACTATCATAAATAAAAGCAGAATTTAGTTGACATATACAGCAGCTTGATTTTTTTTCTTTTATAGATTGCATTGTTTTTTTCTCACCACAAGATGTCAGTCCATTTAAAGAAAAAAAACACATTGGCTGCATTGCATTTGTTGAAGTTAACCTGAGACTAGGCAGGAAAAGCAGGTAATGAAATTTTCTGCATTATAGTTTTGAAAATACACAAAGTAAAAGATTTCAAGCTTATTGTTTTAATTTTGATGATTATATTAATAGATCATAAAATTAATACTCCAGTCTCCAGTTTTAAAATATTTACCAAAAACAATCGAACAGGGATTTAAACACAGAAATGCTCACTTCTTACATAAAGTTAAGTTCCTACAAACACTTAGTTACTGAGTTACTGTATCAGTGTGGCATGGCATCAGTCTGTGGCACTGCTGAGATGTTATTGAAGGTAGCTTTGGTAGTAGCCTTCAGTTGGTCTGTAACTTTAAGTCCGATATTTCTGATCGTGTTATGTTTTTTACAACACCCTGCAGATTATTTATGAGGTTTAAGGTCAGGTCAGTTGGCTTGGTAACGTTCCTCATTTCTTCTGTAGCTCCTTTACGGACTTTGTCTTTTCTTGGCAGCTCTTGAAGCTCTGACACCACTCTTTACTCCTAGTGAAGCTCACCAAAGTTCTCAACAGTTATCTTCAGACTGCGGTCATCCCTGCTGCTTCCACACTTTTCCCGATACTGTTCCTATACTTTTCTTTTCTGGTCAACTTTCTAACTGTATGCACTGATACAGCACTAGTGAATCATCAGTCTTTTTAGCAGTGGTCATCTGTGGATTACCCTTTGTAAAAAGTATCAGTGATCACCTTCTGGACAACTGTCAAGTCAGCAATCTTTTCTTGAATTGTGGTTGTAACTTGTGTGAACTAAATTAACTAACTTCTGTGATGAAAAAGTGTGAGAAAAGAAAAAAAAAAAACTCAGGTCCATTAGATCAAATCAGGAGTCTTTTGGATGGGGAAATTAGTGTGGAAGAACCATATTGAATATGTGTGCAAAAAAATCATCCACCATACTACTGTGAAGACAGCTGCTTGTCCTGCTTATCTAAATCAGAAATTATTCAGTAAAGAGGAGTTTTTGCAAATGATAAATTTACCTAAAAGATCATCTGCTCTTCCTTATAGACAGTACAGACTTTCATCAATTTGAACATCTGTCAAACTTGTGGGTTCATCTATATATAAACATATAAATGTCACTTTCAATACAAGGTCTGCCCATCACTTACCAGAATTTTATTTATTCATTTTACACACAAGGCTTAAAGGACTTTCATTTCCCATTTTGTTGGGCTTCTCTATATAAGTTCGCAACAAATACTGAGGATCAACTCTTCAGATAAAATCTATCTCTACAATCAGCATCTTCATTATCATCATTTGGAAGCATTTGGAAATGCCATTCATTTAACAAGGTCTTGTCATACTCATCAGGTATCACCGATAAGTGTTATGTCTTGCAAGCATTTAGTTTCTTCTCTTAAACTGAATAGTACTGCTGTTTACAACAACTTTTGTTTATGCTGAATGCAATGCATCTTCATGTGGCTCATTGAGGCTTCATATCTCTTCTGCAAAATATTTGAACTTTTATAACTTTTAATTATCCGTATCGCAACTCAAATCAGGCAAAGTTAAATCTAACCAAACCTAACTAAACTTAACTATACTCAACTAAACTTACTCAAACTCAGTTCAATTGAAGTAAGCCACACTTCACCTAAACTAAACTAAACTTAACTAAACTAAACTAGACTAAACTTTACTTAAATAAACTCAGCTGAATGAAATTAAATTCAACTGTGAGGCAAATGGTCCTTTTTTGTTTGAACAGTAATTCACTCTAACTCATTTTGAAATTTTCCAATTTGTTTTTTATCTATATAATAACATTTTTTGTATTTTTTTTTCCATCTGCTTTGTCAATGTCAAAAATAATTTCAAATGGGGTGATGATAAGGACTTTTAGATAGCTGCTATACAATTCCCCACATTTTGGAGGAAGGATTAATGGTTTTCATTAATCAGCATCTCTTCATTGAGTAAATCAGTTATGGAAGTCATTATTTAGGGTGAATTTCCTTTAGTGATCATTTTAAAGATGTTTCCAGGATTCATAACAGGTTCGCTCTTTATTTACAGACATGCACACATTTATGATTCATAATAATAGTGCATTATGCGGCCACAGGGCTTGAGATTTTGTTTCATAATGCTTGTTCTAATAGCTGTGGAAATAATGAAGTCTAGTTGAAAGATGCTCATTATTTATCTTGCCTTATCCATCCAGCTTGTGTGCTGAGTGTCTGCTCTGCTAATGGATTTTAATTCACAACTCTCTCCTCCACAGCCTCTTCTTGCATGCAGTGAACCCAGTGGCAAAAAGACTGTGGAATGAGATCTTCCTTTCACTGAATGTCATATATAATGCAAAAGCTAATTTGACACATGGTGTGACATTTTCATTCTCTTTCTGCCTCTCTCTTCTCTAACTAATTATGATCTGCTAAAAGATGTTTGTCTCAGGCTTATTGCACTGTCGGGTTCATTTCATTAGTGTGTGTTTTTTTGTACTCTGCCGGGGACTTTATCCTGAGAGGAGAGAGTGGATGACACACTGGTTCTCCAGCTTTGCTGAACCTCTCATCTGTCCATTAGATTTGTGTTTTTCCAGTGCACCGCTGCTGCTGCTTATGATGAAACTGCACAACCCCGGCTTTATTTCTCATATAGAGCGAAGTGCACTCTGTGTGAGACTGAGTCAGAATCATCAACAATACCCAGAAAAATCCATTCATGCATCCAAAACCCCATGCACACTCACTCCTTTTCACCCTAAGGTCTGCAAAATAAGCAGACATGTTTTCTATGAATCAGGAAAATCAACAGAGTATGTGTTTATACTGTATCTTCATCTTAGAAGATAGTGTTTTTCATAGTCTGTTTCCACCTCTGGATGCTGTTTCAAAAAAATCATTCAAAGTCAACTTAAGAGAGTATTTTTAAACCCGTCACAAAGAAAAAAGGTGTGATTGCCTGCACTGTGGGAAGTTACAGTAAGTCAGTGACAGGTAATAATTGGTTACACGGCTTTGGATGGCTACAAAATTGAGCAAAGCTAACTGGAGGTGTTGATGATTCCTGATCAGCACCTCTTTCTTTCTTTCTTTCTTTCTTTCTTTCTTTCTTTCTTTCTTTCTTTCTTTCTTTCTTTCTTTATTTCTCTCTTTCTTTCTTTCTCCCTCTCATATCCTACAAATCCCCAAAACCTTAAATATTGCTGAAGAATAGTATTACGCTTTAAAATGTTAATCACAAGCAGCAATAAATCTTGAAATCTTTAACTTTAAAAGTCAATGAATTGTCATTGAGGCTCATGTTAAAATTGCAAATAAACAGCAGAGATGCATATGCTTTTAGCCTAATTAAAAATGTGTTAATTTCTTTTTAATATTGGAATATGTGAATATATTGTATGTTTTGATTTTACTAAGCCCAATAATTTTTCTTCATTGTGTATAACAGGGGCTTGGCCATAGCCTCAGCCCTTCCTCTTTTTGAGATAACTTCAAAGCTAAAAGTTGTGAAGTTGTCAGATTGCACAATCTTAATTCAACTTCTTGTTACTACAAAGCTATTATATCACATGAAAAACATATATCAAATCTTTCAAACCTGTTGTACTAAAAAAAAGTTGTTTGTCCCAGCCACTTGTCATGTCCCAGATGTCTTCAAATTGAAAACTTTCCTCTTGTTGATTCGCAGCTGATTTAAAGATATGCTCAAGGGTCATAGTGACAAATATAATCCAGTCATAAAGAAGGAGTGTTTTTTCTTTTTCATACAACAATAATCATCTGAGCATCGTCTGTATATGTCATGGTAGACTGAGATTTGGATACACCTATAAGCACAGTTGAAAAAAAAATCTATTTTCCTCCCACAAAGAACAACAAAAAGTGTCTTATAAATTAATGAGGCAGTTCTAATATTTAAAAGGTAAGGGTTGTATTTTCATAAATGAAGTTTCTAAGTAATTCCGTCACCACTAAGGATAAAAAAATAATAATTTGTACTGATGTAAGATCATCTGAAACAGCTTGATGGTGTTTCAAATGGGATCAAATGCCCCTAAAGTCACTTAAATTACTGCTTTATTGATATCTTGGTTTAACTGTTTATTTAACCCAAACCAGAGTTTAAACAACAGATTCCCCCACTGTTCTTCCGCCTTAAATCGAGTCATGTCAGTGAATAAAGAGAGACAGCTTCTACCGTCTCCACGTTGTCCCTGACTGACAGTGTGATTTGGCCGCAGTTGGCAGTCATGTTCAAAGCACAGTGGTATGTCTTCCAGTCTGCGCTCCAGGTTTTATTGACCTTTCACAGGCAGGCAGCTAGTGCTAATTGTTTACCACCACCTCCTGTTTCTCCACTGCCTGTTCTATTGAAGACACTGACCTACATTTATTATGACGTTTATGATCGATCGGAATCTTGTGGCCTGGAGTTGGATTAAAACTTTATCACTGTATGCTTCCTATTTCCTATGCTGACATAAAAACTGATGGAGTTAACAATGTCAGGTCACGGTATTAAATTTACACTGATTCCTGACATTGAATCAACAAATCTTATGTCAAAAATCATCATTTTTATTTTAATTAAATGAGAAAAGAAGAGACATTAGCTACATGTTAATCAAAGTTTATTCCTTCAAAAAATCACTGTAGTCTCTGAGTTCTTGACTGGCCTCCACTCTGGTTTGACTTCCCACTTTCAGCTGCTTTTTAATATTTGAAATGGTTTGGTGTTTTGTTTACATCAGGTTTGGGAAACTAGGTCTTTATCCAGCAAAGAACATTGTTGGCAGAAATGCACGTTGCGCTTGCTGTATTTGATTCCTGTCTAAAGTACAGCATGTACCTGCAGGCAGGGTGTGCTTTGGTCCATCAAGTATGAAAAGGATGCCAGGTACAGGCAATTTCACACATATTTTGTAGTTTTAGGGGTTTACACACTCAAGGAAGATTGCAGCATCATGATGAAAAAGCAGTTTGAGTTACAAACATTAAATTGATTATGTTTCTGCCAAACAAGGATATTCTACGACAGACATTGAAGCTGCAATGAGTAACTTTTGGTTCATGTTGATTTTGGCGCCCCCTGTCAATACCTGTTATCCTCTGCCTCATATATGTGATAAAAATTTTGGACACAAACCTGAACCTTTTGGCCACCAATGATAAAAATTGCCACTCAATGTGAGTAGTAAAGTCAAAATTCATCATGCTGTCAATCGTCTGATCTGCACCTACCCCCTCAAGGCATTTTTAGCATTAAAAATCACTGCAGTCAACTCACCAGACTTTTCTCAACCAGTAGAAAAAATCCTCACAATGTCTTTTAGTAATTTAAATCATTAAACATTTTTTAAGATAATCACAGGAATTGAAAAAATACTGTTTGGAAGTCATTCATCTTGTCACTGATGGTCTGGTTTGCTGTTTTAGGTCATTAAGGCATCAGTATTATTTAAATCTGTTGTGTTACCAGATAAAACAAAGCTGTACCTAGTCTAATACTATGATGAAACCGTCTGCTACTTATTTTCATCCTATTGCTTGACAAAGGACAGGCTATGTTACAGCTTTGACTTCATGGACGTAATTCATGGATTAGCCTGAAATTTGTTGGCTTGAATAAAAGACAGACAATGTCATGTTCTAATCTTACACTTTCTTGTTGGTCCACTGGATTGTACATTGTTTTCATGAAGGATGTTGGTGCTCTCCATGTACTCTTGCTTCCCAACGATAGTGTTTTAGAGCCATGCTCCTGAAGAATACACCAACAAGGGATCACTTTTTGACCTCCTGTACACTTTCACCGCAGGTGGTACCAAACATCATGTTACCAACAGCGTGTTTTAACAGGCATTCTGGGCCAATCTGATTCCAATTGGCCCAAAGCAGCATGGCCAGCAGCCAGTCTGTAGTCCCGTTGGCTTAGGTTCGCAAGTATACAAATAGTTGTGTTTGGCATTTTTAGACCTTTTTTCTGCTTGAAACCCACCTTAAAGTGACTCCTGATGGACATAAACAAAAGCACACACTTTTGAGATTTTATTCTGCCCTCCATATTATTGTCTTTTATGGCTTGTTTCTTTTTCCACGCACCCTTTGTTTTACTTTCACATAAAAATCACATCATGATCTTATCATGCTCAACAAATCCCTGTGGCAACCCATCAGATTAAACACTTTAAGCAAACTAGCTACTAAGTGTCTTCGTTAGTTAATTAACTTTCCAGGCAAATAAATAAACAAACGGACATATGACCCAGCTAAACGGTGACGTCAGTCTACTACAACCAATCCGGGAGCTTCCACAAACACCTTTTTTGGTAATCCTCTTTTCTAAGAGGAGCTGTCCGATCAGCACCACACAGTGCGCTCTGTTGGTACCAGGAATAGTCACTTTGACACAAGCCACATTAACAGGGCTTACAGCCTCCACTGATCCGATTTTCTGCTCAGATTTTTCTTAATTTTCTCCATTAGGGATGGCGTTACTTTTTCACATTACATTCACGTGATATTTTACTGGGCTTGAATATTTGGGGAACACTTTTACGCACAGAACTTAGGGCTGGATTTCATTTTTATTGGCTTTTCATTAACTCTGACTTGCTTTAAACTCTGACGGTATGTTCTCACTGTTATATGGATTGATATGCTTTTGTGCACTGGGCTGCAGTCAACAAGCAAGCGGACAGCCGGACGATGGAAAGAGGTACATTTGTCGGGCAGTCCCCATAACCGGCGATGCCAGTTGTCCGGTAACCCTCTTACCCGAGCTCAACACCGGGAGCCAGGAAGAAGAGCTCAGAAACACCGTCATGCAGCTTCGAGAAACAATTTTACAGCAAAAGGAGAATATTTCTAAACAACAAGGCACCATTAACGAGCTCACCACCAAGCTTTCCCTCTGCGCGTCTGCCACCGACGACAGGAGATACGACAAGACTGGCTCCTGGGGCAAAGACAAGCAAAACACAATGGGAGATGTTCCTAGAGATCCCAACGACACAATTGATAGTCTTAGGAAAACTATGCAAGGGCTCAAGGACCGACTGGAGAACTTGGAGGTAAGTCAGGAACAATTGCACTAAGGGCACATTGTGTCTAACCGCGCGTAAAAGCCGGGTTTGGGTCTGTATACGGATTTAGAGGCTAACTATATACTGTCGATCCAACCCTCATCAGTAGACAAGCACTTCCAAGAATCATTACAGAGTACGTATGGTAAAGATCAAACGAGATTCGTACTATGATTAGCCTCAAACTCCTTATTAAGTAAATAGAATTAAACGGAACTGCCCAAAAAGAGGAGTAGACTGTCTTCTTTGGAGTCTGAAAATGTCTGTTTTATGTCTTAAATTCACTGATTACTTTAGCCACGGATTATGAATGTGATGGGTTAAATTACATGACAGGTAAAAGCTTGGGCAACATGTAGTTAAGTTAACTTGTCAAAATGAAACCATCAAATTGGAGGGTTACTTTCCCATGTTTGAAACAATACTCTCAGGGCAGTCAACGGTGATGTAATGGATAACTCTCAGCCCTCACAGGGGCCCATTGTCCATGATTATCTATGTGCACTTCCTGCACATCTTGACCCCCAATTTTTTCCCTTAGCAACAGCAGATGAGGGCCAATGTATCTGGCGCCTCCTTTCCCAGTGAGCTCCGTGACCTGCTGCAGCGTCGGCTCAGCCAGCTGGAGAAACAACTCTTGAAGAAGGTCAACAACCTGGAGGAACAGAAAAGCATGCTGTCCAACGCCACAGCCGCCTACAGGCTGAAAACAGAGAGCACACTAAACGCTCTAGTGGAGAGGATCAGTGAGCTGGAGAAAGGTACAGTATACACAGTCTGAAAGTCATTTCACAGATGTCACATCAGAGAAATGTATGGGGTGAAGTTTAATCAAGCACACTTTACAACATACTGGAGGCTAGACAGAAAAGTAACACACAATTAGTCAACTTTAATCTTTAAATTGTACCTTTAAGGTGCAAAACACATCAAGAGTTAAATCTGCAGTTAAAGAAAACTTAGGATGTCGTTTAATTATCCATTAAAATTCTGATTGGCAAACATAAGCAAGAAAGTAATCTGAAAACAGTAAAAATTGAATGTGATTTTATCGAATACGGCTAAACTTATAGTCTTTGGGTAAACTTTGTCAAACTGGTCTGGTGTGTATAACACTAGTGGAGCTAACACCACTAGTCTTCAGTTATCCTTAAAGGTAAACTTACTCATACCTGTGCTGGCAATACGTTGCTTAGATTGAGGGTTTAAGTAGCAGTTTAACTACACACTGATACACATCTATCTTTATTTTGTGAACTAAATAAGTGCCAACCCGAACTATAAAAAGCCATCTTAAATCCATGGAAATTTACAAACAGGTCATAGAGAATTAAAGCTTTATGTGGAGTTATATCCCTTGCTAGTGGTGGGCAGCATCACAGCTTAGAAATGACCCAATACCAAGGTTTTGGACCCATAGTTTTAATGAAAAGGTTTAGCACCCCCTGTGGACAAAGTAATACCTCTGATCTCTTCTCCTGTACAAGTGAAAGTTGTTATTTCAGACAAAATACCTAATCTTATAGTCTTTTAAAAGTGAAATGTATCACTAACTGTGAGTTTTGCCACAGAAAAAGTCTAAAATTCTGTTTCTTTAACCTGCTGTCAATCATCTGGTCTAAAACCCTTCCACCTTACAGCAGTTTCAGACATCAAAAATTACAACTGAGAAATTTCAGCCTTGTTGCTGATGGTCTCATTTGCTTTTGAAGGTCATAAAAAGGCATCAGTATCTGTTTTAGCCTGATTCTCAAGCAGTATAATATTCCTTACTGTAACTTTAATACTGATGAGTGTGATGAAAATAGTTGTAGCAGAGGTTGTTGGGCAAGTCCACAGCAGCAGGAGAGTCCTTACCCTGATCGAACCCCCATGACAACAATCTTTGTGCCAACATAAAAATGTTTTCACTGACTCAGCGCAACCCGATGCATTTACAGGCTGGATTTAAAATTTTGATGGAGCAAGCTAACACCCACAACTCTCACTTAACAGGGGAAAAAGACAGAGTGAGAAAGACAGAGAAAAGCATGTGCTGGTCTGTTTAGACTGTTGTCTAAGAGAAGATAAGACATGATAATGACAAAGTTAGTCATGAATTTCAGTTTACAAAAAAAAGGACAGGTGCACTATTTTATACAATTTAGAAAGAAATTTTGAATGTGCCTTTTTGTTATATGTATTACCATTTTTGTGTACATTTTACTCAAATGAGGGAAGAACAATAGCAGCTATTATCAGGATGAAGATCATTGTCATTATTTCAATGAAGTTACTATCAGCTCTTGAGGGATGGTATGATTTATTGTCTGAAAAAAGGATTTGAATTCTATTTTTGGTTTTAAAAGCAGCTTGTACTAAAAGGCTAACTTCAAGGAATATGTTGAATGTGTGGACTAGTTTTTTCTGCTCAGTTTTGAGACAAGATGTGTCTGGTTTTGTTATGTTACTAAAGTAACTACACTAATGGAAAGGATGCAGAGGAAGCACTCAGGAGAATAAAAGAGATGAGAGGGTCTGATGAATCAGGGGTTACAGAAATGCAAATGCATTACATAAAAGAGGCCTTTGTAAAAGCTGTTTTAAGCCAGGATCATTTACGTATTAGAGCTAAGGGGGAGTAGTGCTGCTTTTTCTTTGCTTTTGTTCCAAGGCAGCAGTTACCAGGTTTAAAAGCCCACTTGAGACATATCTAACCTCTCTGCCCATCTCATTCCAGGGGGAGGAGATTACAAGTCTCCAGAGCAGTTCAAGCTCTCCCTGCCTCAGAGGACCAACTACCTGTATGGGCGCATCACCAAGAGTCTGCCAGAGATGTATGCTTTCACACTCTGCATGTGGATCAAGTCCAGTGCCAGTCCAGGCATTGGGACTCCTTTCTCCTACGGAGTTCCAGGACAAGCAAATGAGATTGTGCTAATTGAATGGGGAAACAACCCAATAGAGCTGCTGATTAATGACAAGGCGAGTAATTTCAGCTGTACGAAATCTATTAAACCTGTATGGTTGATCTCCTAAATGTCATTGTTGGCTCTGCCTAAATCCAGGAAGGATACATCTACTCTTGTAAACCAACCAGCACACACTTCTTTTTGTCAGAAAAGCAATACTAAGCGTATTATCCTCTGACCACAGGTTGCCCAGTTGCCCTTGGATGTACGTGACGGTCGATGGCACCACATCTGCATGTCCTGGACCACACGTGACGGCCAATGGGACGCTTACCAAGACGGAGAGAAGTTGGGGAGTGGTGACAACCTGGCGGCTTGGCATCCCATCAAACCTGGGGGAGTCATCATTCTTGGCCAGGAGCAGGTAAGGAAGTTAGATTTAGTCATCACTGTCTCTCCTTACCCATGATCAAAGCAGTCAGTCGCCTACCCGGTGTTACATCAGCCACGACTTGTCTTCTATACCAAGTGACATTGTTGACAGGAAACCATGCTAACAATGTGCCATCAGCTGTGAAGAGCAGCATGTTCACATTTTCAAAAGCCAAACACTTCAAAGCCCAATGTCAAGTAGTTCTACTAACAAGCTGTATGATTTATGGAGCACCTTTGCAAACAGGCAATAGAAACAAGGAATTGAGCCAGACATGACATGACAGGTTTGTGTTTGTCATGACGATTCAATTTCTCAGACACCAGGATGCCCCGTGTTGGCCAAAGTTACTGAGGTCTCTCCTTGAACCTATCAGTGAAGTCAGGTCAGTTAACATGTTCGAGCAGAATGCAACAAATTCCAAGTAAATCAGCAGACGTCCCATTAATGCTCGTGTGAAATATCTCCACAAATATTGGATTTTGTTGCCTTTTGACTTATGGTCCCAAGAAAATGAATTTGAACAACACTGGTGATGTCCTGCAAGTCCAAATTGTTCCACCAGCTGGTCAAAGTATTTAATTAACCAGGGAAATCCAAGTCTTAACATGTTACTGTAAGGGTGTAACCTGATTTGGTAAGGCATTCAAGGTTCCAAGAGGGTGTACCCTAATTTCCTAATGAGTCCCGGGCTTTAAAAGGAACGAGGCTAAATATATTGTATTTCAAGTTCAATGTCTATGAAGAGAAGAGAAATGGGAGGATTTCCAATATTTTTAGTCTACATGCTCATTCCCCTACTCAGGGTCATAAGTAATCACTTTTGACTTAGTCAAAAATCTTGTCATAATTTTTAATGTTTTTTTTTTAATTATGAACCTTTATTTAACCAGGAAGTCCCATTTAGATTAAAAATCTCTTTGACAAAAGTGAGACCTGGCCAAAATAGCAGCCATAGAAAGTCAAAAATGAAATAAAATAAAATAGGAAGAGGTACATGATACATACTTAAACAATAAAATAGTAAAACATTAACAAACATTAAAACAACAAAAGATAGTAACAGGATATTGGTTTCATGAACAAATACATGAAAACAAAAGTCATTTAAAGCTTACACTCATCCAAACAACTTCAAGAGTAAAAACCCTGAAGTACCCTGAAGAGCTCAAATGTCGCACAATGTTGTAAGACCAGTCTTCCAGTATAATATGATACTATATTAAACATGAGGGAGAAAGAAGTATGACATTTTTTTAGTTTTTATATTTCAGTGTATAATCACGTATTAATTTATTCATATATCAGAGCAGGTCCCCCTACAAGTAGACCACCTTACACTGCCTTGCTTCTGCTGCAGCAAAGACCGTACAACCTATCGATATAATACTTGTTCACAGAGTGCCGTGCAGAAAGTGGGCATTGATAGTGAAAAGATTTGTATTGATAGATGTTTCTGATGGTAAAAGCTTGACTTATGGAGGATCAAACTTATGCAGCACTGCATTAAGCAAGGAAGCATTTCAGTCCAAAATTTGACCAGATATGTCCTTATATTCCCACTTCCACACGCTGTGCTACCAAAGTTTGCTGACATGTCAAAGTAAAAAAAATTATAATGAATTCATTTTTTTGTGTGTATTAGCATGATGCTGTTAGCATACAACTTGAATACCATGTGCTAAGGTCCAACCTTCTTGCATGACTGTTGACATAGACAGGCTTGTCTTTGCCTCCAAAGCTGTGTGTTTGCTGTACATGCCTGACTGTTGGCATGAGTTTCTAATGTGTGGGCAGGGATTATGTGCTGGAAATCACGTTTTATAAACCTTCACGCAGATTTGTGACCTAAGAGTACAAATAATACACCACTGTTTCCCCAGAAGAGCCTTTTATAAACTTGCTCAAGTTGAAGGTACCTAAGCTGATGTAAACTGATCAAGTTAAAATCCTAACTATATGTAATACTTATGGCATACTACATGGTGGTAATATTATTGTGTGCCTGTGACTTTATTATATACTATGTGGTCTGTGACTCTAGTTCAGACCACTGTCAGTTAAATTGTGATTTTTTAAAATTGAATATACATGCATCGTAGTGACCTCTGTAGTTGTCTTCATATGTTTGTGGAGAAACTTGGGCATTAAACTTTAATTTTATTTTTAGATATACAATCAGTGATATTTCAGGTGATTTGATTTTTAATCAGATATAGCACTATCTCTGGGGCTGGGACTGCACTGACCTGACCATGGCATTACCATAGATCAGGCCTGTTAGTTTAATGACTTGCCCATCTGGACTCCCAAACTCCACTCCTAGAAGATAATCACCTTTTATACTGTAATAGTCTTTTGATTTCCTCCCTTTTGTTTTATGGCCCTTGCAGGATGTGGTTGGAGGGCGCTTCGATGCCGGACAGGCTTTCGTGGGCGAGCTGAGTCAGGTGAACATTTGGGATCGTGTCCTGAAGCCGGTGGAGATTCAGTCTATGGCTAACTGCAGCTCTTATTTCCCTGGGAACGTGATCTCCTGGCTACCCAGCAATGTTGAAGTGTTTGGAAGGGGTGCGTTCAAGCGGCCCTTGGAGATGTGTCAGGAACGACTGCCCAATGCTTAAAACTCACTTATCTGCCTCTCTATAGATTAGCTGTTTCCATCCATTCAGCAGTTTTTATTGTCTGCTCTGACTGAAAAGTTTATGGACATTATGTACATTATGCTGCTTTGCGCTAAGATTTTTATGGTTTGTCAACAGAGTTGAAAAAGATGTGTTGACTAGCTGGCAGAAGTTCCATTTCTAGGATAAATCTAAAAGCTGCTGTGCTCCTACAGTTATGACTTTACTGTGATTATGAACTTAATCTTACAAACAACAGCGTTTATAAAAGGCTCCCTGAGGTACTGCTCCTATAAAAGGCCCATACACCAACATTCCCACACAATCCCCCCACACCACCCCCCTTCCTCCACGCTCAAGCAAGCTTAAATTAACACTCACCTCAAGCTTTGAGGTAATGAAAATCCACTTGAGTCCCACTCAGACACACGCAAGTCCTGCTACTACTACAAATACACAGACTCGCCAACAGTTTTCCGTTGACATGTGAGTTGGCATTGCGTGCTGCGTGGGAGTGAGTTGCTGGAAAGATTAGAGAACTGGCGAATGTTATGTCTATTCCTTAACAAGGGAGTGGGCTTAAAGTAAACATCAGTTAAGCCCCTTCTCCAGACAGGTGCAGTCATTTTGAAGCAGAGTATAACTGAACAAGTTCAGTATAGCACTTTATCTGTTTTGTAGTGCTGGTGTTGTGCAGTAGGCTGATTCCTCTGGCAGAAATACGAGTTTAAATTTGCAGCTTACATATGAATTACCTGAAACTTTACCTCTTTGGAAGCTTTATTCTTGGCATGCGTAACCAATACCAGTGATACTAGCGAGACTATCACAGTGCTTTCTTTAACCTGCCTTTTCCATTTGAACAAACCCTGTTGAAATGGTAAATCATGCTGAAAATATATTCATAGCTTCAATGTTGTGAAATATTTTTACACGTGATTTGTGATGTTTGTGAAGTGGGTGACAGATTAGACCTAGCTCTAAACACACAAATATACCATATATTTTGATTGTACTTGTTGGGTGTTACCCATATGTATATGTCGTGATATTATATTTTGCATTTTTTTGTCTTTGTTCGGAAGTTCGTAGTTTTTTTAACGTAATCCTTGTTTTTATGTAAACGGCATTGCCCAAATTGTCTTGTTTCTTCTGATGAAGACTTAAGTGCCATTATTTCTTTTTCTAAGTGTTGTAAAATCATTTACCTGCCAATAAAAGAGAAAGAAAATCACTACTAATGATTGACATGTGTGCAATTTGTTTATTTAAAACAAATGAGTGGTCTTTGTTAAACTTACAGTAGGTGCAAATCGGTTTTGAACTGCCCTGTCAGCTGTATCCATCAAGCAGGTGAAGTGACATGAGTGGTTAAGTACAAAGAGCTGAGCGGGATCTTTAGCCTTAGATGGCTTGGGTCAACAGGTGTCCTAGGTGGCATTAGGAACGCTTAACAGATGAGAGAGGCTGAAAGGTCATCATGGCATCACAGACACACTCACTCTGACAGAGCAGCCCCTTAAATACACAAACTGCTCAGGACACAGTTCAGCTAGGATGACTTCGAAAGCCTTTTAAAGGCCATAAGTCAAAGGTTCAATGGATGCTTGATGAATTTACACTTAGGTTTGTTTGTTTTCTCATGATACAGTCCTGCAATTGTTCATTTTTTTCTTTTGATATATGAAGAGAAATAAAGACACAGTTGTGCCATCACCAAAATGTTCATGCATGGAGCATGTTTATAACATGATAGCTAGGGGCTGTCATAATATATCCAACAGGTAATGACTATCAACATCTTTGGAAAAAAAAAAATTAAGGTAACACTTTACTTGATGCTTAGCTCTGTAACACATCATAAATATATCTATAATGCTACTATAGCACTGTGTAACTATAGCTATAAACACAATGCTTTGCAGCAATAATCATAACACATTATAAAGCATTTTATCATAACTTGCAAGGTCAGGTATTATAATGTGTTATAACTGTTAACAATGGTTGCATTGCATTATTATGTGGGCATTGTCAGTGAGTTGTGAACAGTTATAACACATTATAATACCTGAGCTTGTAAGTCAAGATAAAATGCTTTATAATGTGTTATGATTATTCCTATAATGCATTATGATCATTTATGAATGTTTATGACTATAGTTATACAGTACTATAAAGTGATTATAACGAATTATACATGCGTTATAGTGATAGGTGTCAAATATAAAGTGTGACCAAAATGTATATTGTGCTAAAAATAAGCATACAGTAATACCATGACTTAGAAGTGGCCCTTCATGCAAAACAGAAAAAAGGATCCTCATTGCTTGTTGCTGTTTTAAATTTGGTTTTGGGGATTAAAAACCATTTATGGCTATTATTTTAAGCTTGTCCTTGTTTCTGGCCATTCAGCAACCCTGAAAAACAAATCTGACACCCTTGCAATTTAGCACCAGGACAAGAGCACTGAGGCAGTGCAATAATCCCGTTGACATCCAATTAATATTTATTCTTTACCTTTCTTTCTTTCTTTCTTTCTATTTAAAAACTGAATCACAAATTTAGCTGCCTAATAACTTATAAAACTTATAGAAAGAAAGATTATTCACTCTGTCAGAAACATTCTGAATATGTGATCTAAAAAAAAGTACTTTAAAGCAAACAGGGATTTAACAGTTTTCACTTTCTGGTTTTGATTTCTTTTTTTTTATTTACAAAGGTTGTTTTTTTTTTTTTTAGTTCTCCAAATTTTCTCATCATTTTCAAGACAGCTGAGTAAAAGCTATCATCATATACATTTGTGGATAGTGTCATATTCACCATTAGCAGTATCTTAATTCAAGGTTAATCCCCTGATTAAAGAAATGTGTTCTCCTTGGCACAAGCTGCTCTCCCACTGTGAATCTGACAGTGGGCATTTATCAAGAGACTCTCCATTAATAATGTTGTGACAACTCTAACAGAGGACAAGCTGTTGTAAAGACCATTAAGGTGCTAAATGACATAAAAATAATCTCACTGACGTCAGGACAGTTGGGGAAGATTCTGGGATTTGGTTTTAAATCCCTTTCTCTAGTTTATCAAGCGCTTCTTTCATTTTTTGATATTTGATGGTGAGCACTGTTTGCTTCGTTACTTGTGAGGGTGAAATCGCTGTAAGAATCTCATCCACTATAGGACATTTTCTGAGTTGATACCACTATATGTGAGGGATTTTTTTAATATTTAAAGGCCCCAAAGATAAAATGATTATTTGTGAAAAGTTTGTATTGACAAATGAAAAGCTGCATTGGTACAAACAAAAAAAATTTAAACCTCCATTGAAACATTTATCATTTAAGTCCAGTGGTGCATTTAAAGAAGTTGTATTTAGAGTTTAAATCAAATAGTTTGGCTTATATGGAGTCACTACCTCTCATTTCAGTCTAACCAGAGTTTTAAAAGTTACCGTGATAAACTGGACACTCCATCAAGCTTGGTAGGCCAGTGGTGTAGTAGTTAGAACTGTTACTTTACAGCTGGATGGTTCAGGGTTCAATCTCAGATGGGGGTTCTCCATCTGAAGCATGAACTGATTTCTCAATTCAAGGGTCCACCTCTGAGTGAAATGATGGTGGGTTCTGATCCAAAACAGATACTGTCCACATGAGGCACAGGCAGAATGCTTTCCTTACACTGCAGTCTGTACCGTGCTTTTGACCACGAGAATATGTTGTTGAATTGAAAAGACCAAAAAAAGGTGAGCAGAGCCAGGCAGGCCTGCAGTGTGGGAGCTAGGGCTGCCATCTTTATTGTTGTGGGTTCAAATCCTGGTGAGGGACTGCAAGGGGGTGTGACATGTAATCATTTCCTTATACCGCAGCCTGAACTGTGCTTTTAGCCACCATAGTATGATAATAAACTGAAAAGGCCAACAAAGCTATGCGCAGTCTGGCAGGCCTGTAGTGTTGTAGATGAGGCTGCTGCAGTAAATGACATGGTCATGAGTTCAAGTCCTTATTCACGGTTGTGCCTTTTTTTCTGTCTTTTTTTGCCTAGCACAAACAAAATGCTTTTCTCACACAGGGTTTGTAACGTTACCGTTATGAAATGTTTTCGTGAAAAGACCTTTAAAGGCAAGCACATTCATGAGTAAAATAGTTCTGTATGTTTATTACAAATAGTAGCTGTCCATTTGAGACAAAAGTGATGTGGTTTTTGTTTTAAATTCATAGCAGGAAAAGTGTTAGGTTGAAGCAGGGGCCAGGAAAGAAGTGCTGTCTTTACACTGCGCTGTAATTTTGCTTTTGAACTCCTTGAACTATATGACAACCGAATATAGACCTTTAAAAGCAAGCCCTGCCCAGCAGTCCTTCGTTGTTGTGGTTAAGCCTCTGCTGTGTGTTCAAGTGCTTACACATTTATTACTGATTCCTCACTAATTCCTTTTTTGTTTTTTGTTAGAGTATGAGAGGAAATCCAGAACTTTTACCCCAATGTCTACCAGTTTGATGCTAGTGGACACAAAGGTCTTTGTTTGCCACAGTGTCAACAGACAGAGTTTAAAGTACCAGTCTCCCTATCGGATCTGACTTGTAGAATCTAGTCATGCCTGTTGTTGACTTTTCTGTTAAGAATAAATTACAGTTATTTCAGTTTTAAACAATCACCATTGAGTATTTCAAAATTGAACACGGACAGGAAATAAACAAAGATATTTCTTTTACATAGCTGCTGTATTTTACATGTTTGCCATGTTCAAGAATTCAGAAAACACTTAACAAGGACAATAAAGAAAGACAAGTTTATTTTCCAGCAACTAAATTACTTTTAAAATATTTTTAAGCCACATAACAAGAAGACTAAAAAAAAAAAAAAAAAAGGACAAAAACAGGTAATACACCGCAAAATAAATTAAAGGGTGGCAAAAAGTAAGAGATGAAAAAAGTTTTTTATATTACCATTATTTCAATCTTCTGTTTCATTTTAATTACTCTAAACTAAATACTGTGATTTCTTCCAGCTAAATTACACATTGCATAGAAAACAATGTAAGCAAATAAATATATACAAATAGGAAAAACAGTAGTAGCTATCAGTATTCTTAGGATAAACAACACTGTTTGACAGCAAAATCAAGCAAAACCTTTAATCCAATCTCTACCACAAAGCTTAATGTACTTAGATTCAGAACCAAAAGATGAAATACATAGAAAAAACACACTCCCTTCCTAAAGTAAAACAAAACTAGGCTCACATTAACATAAATTAATAAGTGACCAGATCCATTCACAGCTTGCCTAATATAAAGTCATTGCTTAAACATGAGCTGCAGTTGTGCTTTTAATTTATTATGAGAACATTTGAATGTCAGACTATCCTCTGTGACACATTCATTGATCGTCATTAGTGTGAAGAAAATCTCAAAGGCCTTCGACCCACCTATCTGAAAATTAATGACCAAACCATGATATGGAAGAAACAATACCATAAACTGTTGATATCCCGATACTAAACACATGCTGGCACTATTAATGCAGCCAAATTAATCAAATCTCAATATTTTGTTGATGATTCAGGTATTTAGTTACACATCTACAAAAAGGTGATATGCAAACAGTTACTCTCCTTTAACATCATAAATGTGTATTTTCCTCTACCAAGCCTCCACAGCCTGCTGGACATCAAACCATTAAGAGGAGTACTGAGTCCCGTACTGCACAAGGAGAGGTTCTTTCTCTTCTTTCTTCTCAGTGGAGAATTTAAAGAGGATCTTGCTCTGACCTTCAGACTCTTGGTCCTTCAGGAATACAGCATTACTGGAGGCAGCGACCTGAAAAAAAATCCCACATGCCCGGAAAAAAAGAGTCAAATATACTGTATTTTTGTTCAAGTACTTTTTGTAGCATGCACTATTACAGTGAGTTGACTAAGTATCCCTTATTTCTGGACACACATGGCCTCCTTGTGGTCTTAAAGTGAATTACAATACAACCATGAATGCTCTGTATGTTAATCTTTAATACTGTAACTCTGCGTATGTAAACATACATCACACGTGATTCATTATTAAGTTAACACAGCATGCTTGAACCAAGTTTGACACTAAACAGTATAGTATAGGGCATGAAACAGAGCTTACATCACTCCTCAACACAGAGTCAATACATACTTATACTGAGATATGATATGATATTATATACCGACTTATTAATTTTACATTTACATTTACATTCACAGTCTTCTGTACCTGTGATTTGTTGACATGCCGAGGACGGCAAGCGATGACTGTGATGAAGGTGAAAGTTGCAACGAGTATGGCAGCACAAGACAGTATGAAGAAAAGATGAGTGTTGTCTGTAAGAAACAGAGAAGAAATACATCATTTATTTATTAGCATAAAACATCCCAATTTGATGCATCTCTATTCAGTTTTATAAATATTCACCTTTGTCTTTCATAGATATTTGAATGGTAAAGTGTTCAGTTTTCAGAGACGTACGCTTGTGTTTGTTGCTTTACAAGTACTGTATGTAAGGTGTGAACACAGTAAGCAACAGCAGTCACGGTCTATCTAAAGATGCACTTTCCCTCAAAAAGCTGGATACCAGCTGACTTTAAAAGCAGTCTATTATGACTTTCAGTTTGACCACGACAGCGTCAAACTGATTGAACACAGCAGTCAGCTGCTGCAAGGTTGAGTCGCTCTCTAGCTGCATTCCTTTCTTGCTCTCTGTCTGTGGAACTAAAGCAGATAAATTGCTCATGGTGAGATTTAGATCAGAAACACCTCATGACACAGAGCAGCTTTTCCCCCTAGTTTACGTTGAACTTTGGAAAAACTCGAGGGTTGAAGGTATTCTTTTTGAAAACTGATGAGTCATCAAAGCTTGGCAGATTCAGTTTTAATTGATCCAGACAGTGTGGTTCATATACAGTAGATAACTAGAGGTAAAATAAGGGTGAATTTATTTATTTTGAGTCAGATCATAAAAGAATGATGAATTAAAGAATAAATCATAATAATTTATGCAATATTGTATATTAAAATTCAAATAATAGGTAAAGGGCTCCTTGAGTGATGAGTAATAGGAATACACAGAATAAAATAATAACTCATAATAGCAATAAGTAGTTCCAAGGTCTTGAATGAGAAAAACACATTTGTCCTTATTTACAGATCTAGTCAACTTTCAGCCTGACAACCCTGAGAGTAAAAAAGAAGCAAGGAAGCCTCTGCATGTTTCCGTTACCCACTCTGAGAAAACCTGCCGTCCACCAGGTAATTTCATTGGAGTCCTTTGGTGATGTAATGACAGGAGTGATATACCTAGCATGTACGCAAAACTGGTCCCTCTCATTGTCTTTAAGCCTTGCTGTCAGCTCCTGTGCCATTGCATTATGATTACGGACAGATTACAGAGTTAAGTTTATATGAATTTGGTTGGCAATTTGATTCAGACACATGACACCGTGGCAAGTTGTAAAGAGCGGAAATAAATCGAAATGACAATGTTTTTGGGGAGAATTTCTCTTGGTTTTGTAACGCTTTCACAACCAGTGAAATTATGTTATGCTATACAGAATAATCAATACTAGACAATTTGCTATGAAGAATTCTTCTACTGTATAACTCTCCGTCATTTGTTTCCCTGATAAGTTGTCTTCTTGTGTTTTCCATGTTGATCTTTTTGTCTCAAAAGCCAGTAAGTGTGAATGCATGTGTGTGCGTTTGTGTATGTATGTGCGCCCTATCTTACAACTTCTCTTGACGTAGATGCTGAAGGAGCTCTGCAGCTTGCTGATGTCATTGTGGACACTGATGTCCAGGCAGTGGATCCCGGCGGAGGTGAAGGTGTGGTTCAGTCTCAGGGTGTTTTCATACAGCATGGTCAGCGTGCAGCCCTCTGATATGTCAGGTACACAGTTGGGCAAGAAACGCCAGCAAACCCACATGGGAGGACTTAAGACAAAAACATACAATCACATTAGCACTTTATCTATCAGATGTTGGTAGTAAAGCAGCTCCTGAGAGTGATGGTCAGTATTTGAACTGTGGGACTCCTGGCCAAGACTTGCTTCTTTGTTGGTTGCAATATTTTGTTGTCTGGCTAGCAATTTGGGCAGTTTGTTATTACATGCAGTTGCAGTGATACAGCTCTTTCACTGACTCTGTAAAAAAATCTAATCTTAAGCAAGTATCTAAAATTTAATCACCAAAAAAAGAGATGGCATGGGAAAGATGGGCTCACTATACAAAATCCCTTAAATAAAGCGAAATAGATATAGATGACTATAGAATGGTCCTTGAATTGCATTATGGCTGATGGCTGTTACTCTGACATGTTAGTGGGCAGAACTATTTAAACTACAAACCAAATGCAGAACACCTAAAAACAATCCCACACCAACAGATTTTTTTATTTTTTATGCAGAATCTGTAAATTAAGATAATCCATGCTAGTGAGTTTAAGAAAATTTATGTACTGATGGATGTTTGTGATAGGACCTCCTTACTTTGATTGTATGTTTCCCTCCATATGCCTTAGAGTCAAAACCCTACCATGTTTTTTTAAGTGGCCAGAATAAGATAGGAAAAACTGAGACAAGATAATTTAACATTTAACACAAATTCACCTGCTTTATCAGCATACATTTTTATCTGGCATTTACAAAACACATTTTTGTGCAAGCCTGCCTCTCTGCAGTCAAATTAACTTGTTTCAGATTTAAACCCTAAAAATGACACACTTGGAGCTTACCTCCCATCCACATGGACAGCCAGACTGGTGTTCTGGGACACCTCGTAATCTGGAGGCCCCTTCAGCTCGATGTTTTTGATGGCATCTACAAAATTATTTTGAATATTACAAATTTAATCACTTTCTAGGATAAATTTAGCAGAACTTCAACTGGAGAAAAAACAGAGTATATTTTCATATAAATCAATTATTGCCTATTTAGTATTGGACATCTGCTGACAGTCTCCTGTTATATTTTCACAATCTAAACAGCAGTTATAAGATATTGTATCTTGTAAAGTGATGAATAATCTGAAAGTACATACCAAGCACTTGAACATCCATGGAGTAAACATCAGTGATCTGAGGTTCAGACTTGTTCAAATTTACTCCCACTTTGAGCCGCAGTGTGTAGTTGCCGGAGACAGGGTAGAGATATCGCACGACCGGCTCAGTCCCTTGGATCACCTCACTGTATCACAGACCAAAGAATGTGTGAAAAGTCGTCCACAATTTTCTTTATGTTTTCAATAAGACAAGGCCTCGTACCCGTTCCCAAGGTCCCAGGTGTAGGTGAACTTTGCCATGCTGAAATTCATCTGTGGATCGAAGAGCTCAAACATGGTCTCAGTGGGAACATCTGAAGCCAGCTCTCCTGTGTCCCTCACATAAGTGGCATTTCCATCCATCTGATAGAACACCAGCTTCCCAGCCAGATTTTCTGCTCGAAACAAGAGATGTTGTTGAATTTGTGATGCCAGTATGAGTACAAAAGAGATATGAAGAATTTCTTACCTAAATCTGTTAAAGGGTCTGTGGTCTCTGCCACACCCGAGAACAGAAGGACCAGGAAAACCAAGATCCACACCACGTTTTGTCTAAAACAAATCAGAAGTTTAAAGAACGCTCAAGACATTTCAAATAATTTTAAAGTTGTTAAATGTACCTTTCCATATCTGTTGGTCCTCTCAGAGAGGATAGAAACAAAGATGATCCTGTAGCTGTGTCTGACTGGCTGTGAGGTTTACAGTCTGAAGACGAGAAGCTGCAAAAGCTTGAAATTGTCACCATGCGTTTCAATCATGTGGCTCCACAACAACAATCGGCTTTTTAGCAAGAGGCTCTGGCCTGGGTCACATTCCTGTCTGAAATGTGGGACAATTGTCAAAGATGTGGGGAGCTCAATCTATTTTTTCTTTTTCACCCCAAAAAACTGAACGATAACTGTGAATGTTTTGTAATCTGTCTTGGCAATATAAAACGTCCACAAGGTGGCACTAAGTACTTAAGAATAACCTCCACATAGATATTCAAAGAGCATCACTGTGATCATTTGTTTAAGAATATACACCATTTATGGTATTGCAGCGGTCTTGATGCTTTTGAAGCATCTGAGGAGGGTCTCCAGTGTGTGAAATTCCTTGACTGACTTTTCCTCTGACAGTTATTAACATAGATATTAACCCTGACATACCTGTATCAATAAAATAGTTTTGTTGTCCTTACATAGCGCTTCTCTGACAGAATTGAGTCATGGTGCTGATTGTGTATGTAGATCGTGATGATTGCTTTTTGTGTCCAAGCATATCCTGGCCCCGTGCTACATAAAATTGGTCCCACCTCCACACAATGAGGTTTCCCAGGTCTGAATTTAGAAATAAAAAAACAAAGAGAACAAATGTCTGATTAATACAGTTGGCGAGATATACTCAGTTGAGGCATCAGAATTTGAATTTGTAGGCAAAAAGGTTGGTCCGGGACATTTAAAGTTCCTAAATATAAAAATAGAAGCCTATTGGCTGACCCAGTTCATCCATCAGTGGTAACCCAGCCATTTTATATTCATCTTTATGTCAGCAAGAAACACGAGAACTCAAATTTGCTCTTTCTAAAGTGGTCTTATGTAAAATGTATCTGACACAATGTGCATTCTTTAAATGATGACGCCTACACTCTTGAATGAATGTATTATCTCAAAATATGTACCAAAGCAAGCTGGCCAAACTTAACTTTAGATGGCAACTCAAATCTGCTGCACTCAGTGCTACGAGGACTCAAAATGAAGATTTTTGTCTAAAGTTACTATTCAAAGGGCCAAAAAACGAAGATGCACCACATTGAAATGCAAAACTGGTAGCCTTTTGAAATGCAACCCAAATAGTTGAATTAAGTAAAAACGTCACATCTGACTCAGTATACAGCCAATCAACCTTCAAGATTTTAGGGTTGCCACTGATGGCCAATCAGATTTTCCATCAGCTCCCCCACTGCAGTATTTTACCTCGTCCTTTGCTTAATTTCTCTTGTTTTCGTTTGATCTTCTATTTTGCAGAACTACCATATTCAGCGACACTATTTTACAAGTCATTTTTTGATAAGCACTAAGCTATGAAATAGAGAGTATTCCGCTCTTGTAAGGAACTGTCTATCTGTGTTGTTTCTGGCGCCTCCAGTGGACAAAGTGGTGATCTATTTATTGTTGCTAGTTTCAACTCATCCTTATCCTTCTGGTGACTTTTTGCAGTGAAATTAATCAATCACTTTGGTTTTTTGCTGTTGAAAAGGTAGCGAAAGTTGTTTCTACAACGTACCAAACTCCCAAAAGCAGAAGATAGAAGATTCCTATTTGACTATTGTTAGGACTCAGCTTTCTACTAAAGGGGGAAGGATAGATAGGCTAAGTACAAACTGTCAAGAAAACCAGCCTCCTGCAAAATTATCTGGCGCCCTCTGGTGGCACATGTGAAAACATGACAATGGCAAAAGTCCAACATCATTACATACTTTTTGTATGCAGAATTTTCCTTTAATAATAACTATTTCCAAACCCTGCAGTCCTCCATAACTTTGCATTGCATCAAGTGAAAAGACCACAACGTGACCTCCCGTGTGACGTCACGGCGCCCTCCCTCGCGCTCCCCCCGCCCTCCTCATCTGCTCTGAACGCACGGGGAAGTCTCCCGGAGTTCCAGCCAGCCAGTTAGTCAGACAGTCAGCCAGCGTGTCCTCCACTGGCTGCTCACATGTGAGGAGTGAGGAAGCAGACAAGGACTCGGAACAGCATTGGGATTAATTAACCGAACAATTGGATTACGAAACACCATCTTTGTTTCTCTTGGTGTTGTTCTTTTTTCTTTTTATTTTATTTTTTGTATTTTTCGACTTCAAGAGCTGAAGAACCAACCTGCCACCATGTCTCGCGCTCCAGATGATGTGAGCAAGCTCACTGAAAGCACATACAAGGTGAGTGAAATGAGGAAATAATTGATGTATATCAAATGATAATGTCGCTAATTTGTGATTCAGGCTAAAATGAGGGAATATTGTTGCCATGTTTGGGTCATGCGTCAACTTTCCTGCATCAAACATTGACCATAAAATTGTTAAAGAGAGTTATTGTGTGCATTTGCTTTGCCTTTATTGCACTTGTCACGTTTTATGGCAGTTTTCTTCCCACTTAGCATAAAGAGTCCAGGCTTTTGCTTTCACAATGTAATAAAAAAAATGACTGGGCAATCGAAACTTTCTGTCGTTGTTTACTAGTACAATTCACGACACACCCTGTTTTCTAATTAGTACTGGATGCATACACATAAATCACTGCAAACCACAATATGAGAGACAGAAAGGAAAATCAAGTTCTTCCACCAATCAAACTTCTGTAGCTTGTCGGAGGAGTTGAAGGGATCAATATCTATTTGATCATTGGATTGATCTTAATCCCTGAATTAAACTAATCAAATGAGCACCACTGGCTCTGACGTGTGAGAGGCTGGGTGTGATAAGGTGAACTGGTGTCTCAGTGAGGACTTTATAAAACATAAGTAGAAATGAAAAGGTTCATACTATGGAGTTTGGTTACATTTGAATATTTATAGCCAGTTAAGGTTAATATTATTTTTTCTGTTTGGTGTCCTCCCTAGTTTATCTGTAGAGGTAGTGTGTGTGTGTGTGTGTGTGTTTTCTGTGTGTGTTTTCTGTGTGTGAGCGAGAGTCATTGCTATAGTTTACGGTCTGCCACAGTTTCAGCTGTGAGAGAGAAAAACAAGGAACCTGTTTCCATTTCTCCCCCCCTCACTCTCTCCCTCTCTCCTTTGCTTCATTCTTCTTCTTTATGTGATGTCATACCTGCCCCTTCATTGTTCAATTGAGGGCGTGCCTGGGGAGTAGAGACGGGAGGTGAACAGCACTTGATTGTTGAGGTCTTTCAATAGAGAGAGAAAGAGAGGGAGACAGAGACAGAGAAGGGGGGAGTGATGAGGTTAATGCTGCAAATAGCTGCGACTTTGTGTGGGACTTCGCTCTCTGGAGGGAGTTGTAAGGCATACGTGAGGGGTCAAGTTAAAGATTGAAAGTTTTATTGTTCTCACATGGTGATATTTATAGCGCAAAAAAGCACCAACACATGCACTTGTTTTCATGTATTTCTTCTCTCCACCCACTGCCGCAAAAATAGCCCCATGAGTTCTATTATTCCCAGCAAGCCCTTTTCAAAAATATACTGAGAATTTGTAGACGTTTTTGAATAATTAAAAGCGAGTGACTCACTTAAATGTGTGAAATTGTATTATTAGATCAGGATAAGAGCAATTGTGCTTTCTGTTTTTCTCCACAACTTTTAATTTGTGCTCTTTGTCCCAGATTGTGATGGAGCAGTTCAACCCTGGCCTGAGAAACCTGGTTATCCTTGGGAAGAACTATGAGAAGTCCGTCACAGGTAAACACAGCTTTTACCCTCACATAAAACATATTTATGATCACACCTCATTATCTTCTGCATGATTAGACTTACAAACTTTGGATCTAATCTGAAAACATTGAAAGAGCTGCAGCATAAAGTCAAGTTTTGTCTTTATTAATAGTTTTGCCTGAACACAAAATGATCCAACAAGTCCTTTTCCCCCAGCTGATTACTTGATGTTTGTCTCTTTCCCCTGACGCAGCGATGACTTTAGCTGGAAAGGCCTATTTTGATGCTGTTTCAAAGGTTGGAGAGAATGCTATCGTGTCTCCGGTCTCCAGAGAGCTTGGTGAGTCGCATTCAAATCCACTTTGAGTCTGATGTAAATGACTTGATATGTATAAATGTATTTTTGGTGCAGCTAGGCCATGAAGAAGATAATGATTCCCAACTTTCGAACTCTGTGGAAACATATGATACTGAAATATTTAGACAGATCTAAAAGTTTGACAATTACAGAAATAAACTTCATGACTCTCTAGTCAGGGAAAAATGTGTGATGTTTGATGAGAAAAGTGATACCATCGTGTCTCTATTTTGAATACAAAGCTACAGATAACAGTTAGTGTAGCTTTGCTCAAACAGTGGAGCCTTATGGGTAAAAGTAGCATACCTTCTTTCTGTATTTATCATCTCCACTCAACCTCCTTGTCATACGTAAAACATAACATGTAATTTATGTTTTTAATCAATACTTCATTAGCTGTTAAATTGTGACCTTTTGAGGCTTTGGTCTTTGGTAGTTTTAATGAAAACTGGTTTTGCTATTTTCTCTTTATTGTCTTTAGACCAACTGATTGGAGGAGTTTTATAAACTTTTTAGGATCTCTTAAACTGTGAACTTTAAAGACACTTTTAATTGGCAGCTGTTTTGTTAGTTTTGGTGAGAGCTTCACAAGCTGTGTTCTTATGTTTACAGTCTAAGCTAAGCTAAGCTAAGCTAGGCTAGTTGGGTGCTGACTTGAATGTATCCAGGTCTGTGAACATGGAGGCGGTCAAGTAAGGCATTGGCCACTTTTCGAAATATGACTGACCACTCTTTTTTCCATGTAAAATTCTCAGCTCTGATTGGCAACTTGCCTGGTTTGAGGTGGACCTGAAGGACTTGAGTTAAAGTCAATATATATTGGTCGGTGTTGCAACTGGCTGCCAATGGCTGTCTTTACGTTTTAATGTGACACAATTACTCGAGTTCCATTTTAAATTGTGACTTTAAACTACAAATCATTTTTTTAATCCATAATTATTCATGCAAAGAGGATTTGAATATTATCATCCTTTTGATTTAATAATTAAATGCATACACACAGAAATGCATCACCTTTTTGATAGTTTGTTGTTAGTAGTCAACCTAGATATGATATGTCGGAATAGAAAGGATGAACATATTCCATTAATACATGTGTGCGGTTACCTTATGCCACCTCTTCAAAAGTCTGCCCCATCTGGACCACCCGGGCTGAAAAGTCTTGCATGCCCCCTTATAACTTATAAACACGTGACTAGGTGATCCCATTATATCTTCACAAAGAAGACAAAAAGTCCAGTTTCCAAATGTGAATTTGGCCATTTAAAGACCCGGAAAGAACAGAGTGACTTCGGTGACTTTCACAGCACATCACACCTCCTGCTGCATCCACAAACCCTCTTGGATTGTGGAAGCTGAACACCTTCAAAATGCTGTTCCTTTGGGACTTAATCATGATGACACATTTTGTCTGTGTGTAACAGTAATCCAAAATGTGTTTCCATTATGCAAACATCTGGTAATAACACTGATTGACAGGTTCACAGTTAACAATGGATATTCATCATCATCTGCTGTCTACCTCTGGCTCTGACTAAAGTGCTTCTTCTCTTCTGTCTCTGCTCTGACGCTGCCGTCAAATAGGTACAGGTTGTTATTCATCCATCCTCTGACTCATCTCCAATTATTCTATTAGTGCAGAAATTTGTAGATGACCTACTTTGCCTTGGGGCCTTGATTTTGAGTTCTTACTGTTCATTAAGTTGCTTTTTGTGCTCTGCTTTACCACCTCTTAACACACTAGATTATAAATTGGCTCCGTGTTTGGCTAGACTCAAATAACAGACAGGAAAATAGAGGATAGTAGTAAAAACTGCTAAAAAAAAGCTTTACTTTTAGTTCTTTACCATTGATTAAGACAGTCTGCATGAACACTGTTCGATTCAGACAAGGTGAAGCTGTTTTCACAGAGCTGTTACTGTGTGAAAGAGAAGCAAATTGGGTGTGTCTTCTTGGTTTGGTGAAAATGTAAATAATGGAATAAACAAGTTAGCATAACAACAACTAATATGTGAGAGAGATATGTTTCTGAAAAAGAAACCATAAGGAATACGTCTGATAATCAGAAATGGACAGTCTTACCTAAAGTCCCAGAAAGAACCTTTGCCCTTTTAGAAATTAGAGTGAAACATAGACAGGCATGTTTTGATTGATGGTATATGAGTGCAACCAAAACATGCGGCTCGATAATACCCTGCAATGTTGATCAAGTTTTTCGGGCCGCACCTGTTGGTTAACAATGGCTCTTCATCTCTTCATAAATAATATGTTGATGTTTCATGGTTAGTGACATTTTTACCACATGCCAGAAAAACAATAAGCCAAAGCAACTCCACAAATGCCGAACAACATGCTTCACCAATTTTACCTCATGTCATGTGGAAATTTGCTGCTTCAGCATCTTTGCTTCATTTCCAAAATAAAGCCTGCTTGTGTAACGTAACCAATACAGAGCTAGTTGCAATCTTGACTTGCGGCAAGATAAAAAAAAGTCAGATGATGGGCACTTCCAGTTTTTTCAGTTGAAGTTCACTCTTGAAAGAAAATCCGCTTCTTAAATTTCATCATACCTGATATTTTATTCTCATATTTGAATATCAACCCCCAAATCATAATGGCTTCCAGACAAAAAAAAAAGGCCCATGAAAATCTTGAACTTATACCCACAAGCCCTGTCATTCCTTCTCAGGCTGGAATAGACGACAACGAGACTGTGTGAATTCTCTCACACATTGCAGGGAGCAGAGCAGCAAACACACTGAACAAACAGACAGACAGAGAGGACTGTCTTCCCACCACTCATCCTCTTCATACCATGTCGCTCCATCTGCCTAACCAAACCCACCAATGGTCTTTATCGTCTGTTTGTGGAGGCCTGAGGAGGCTCAAACTGTATGGGGAAAAAAAGGAGACCATTATTGAGTTTCCTTCCATTTTTTTTATTGGCGTAGTGTTTTAAAATAAATGACAGAGAAAGAGTCAAACAATAGTTGGTATGTTTGATTTATAGACGAGAGATGGGACAGCTTTCCTCCGGTTAAATCATCAGTTTTTACAGTTTCCTAGTATTGCTTCACATAAATCAACGACTTTACCTGTCGGAAGGAAGTCTGATTTGGACCCTAGAGTTCAGCATAATTTCTTTCAAAACACACTTTTGTGAAGGATAAAAGACCAAACAATTACCCAGTTATTATGGCTCTTACAAAGTTGTTTCTCTCTTCGTCTTGGAAAAATGGTTTGGCACAGAAATCACTTGCGTCACAGCGGTTGGCAGGTATTTTCAGAAGGTAACCCAAGGCTTTCTCATCACACTGCGCTGCTTTTACGCAACTTCCACTGAGATTTTCTTTTATACTAACACTGTATGGGGGTTAAAGTGAAGTCATAAGGAAATACTTTCTGTCAAACTTTTCGACTGCCTGAGGACAGACAAATGATTGAAAGCCACACCTGTACTGTTTGGTTTTCCACACCCCACCACACAGGAAGAAAAAAATCCACTTTATTGGGAAAGAATTTTTGATCAAAGTCGATCTTTTGGTAACCTTGCAGATATACTTTTTTTCCTGACTTCAAACAGTTATCTTAACCCAGCTCCTCCATTAGCAATCAGCATCTACCAGTGTCAAGACGAGGCATCTCACTGTCTGAAAATACAGATGGATCAAAAATGAACCTTGCAGGGTTGTGTATAATTTGAATCCTAAATGAAAAAATCTTAAACAGCAAGTTTAATGTTGAATAAACAAAGCATAAAGTACCATGAAATATAGCAAATCAGGGGTTTTATTGCTACTTTCTTTCAGTATCATCAGTGGCCAATGGGAGCTAATGTCAGCAACCATTAGAAGAATACACTTCACATTTTGGGGTTTACATAAGCCAATAGAGGAAAGTTAGATAAAAGCATTTACTGCTGCACTCCCAAGTTAATGTCAGCTTACAGAGAGAAGACGCACAACACATAAAACCTAAACCGAGTTAACCTCTTTGTTCTGGTATCATTAGCTGCTAGCTTAGGCTAGTTCTACCTTTGACAAAAGATTGACTTTACAGTTTGCTTTTTGTGCTACTCACAGTTTCCCCAACACTTTACTTTAGCTAACAGAAGTAAGAAGATGTTAACAGACTGTATCTCAGAAGAAATGTGTGCCATGTCCTCCATGTAGTCCTCTAACTTCTTCTTAGTTTACCTTACGATCTTGTTCAAATCTGACCGAGTTTCAATGGCCAACTACCTATAGGTTTTTTGATTTGCACATGGATGTAGCTCGGTGTAATTTTTCTGTTTGCCATCTTTCTTGTGACTTGGTGTACCACACACATATCCCTCTGTATATTTAAAGTAATAGTTTACAGTGAATGCACAATGAGAAACTTCCTGTGCTTTAGTGTGTGACTGGACTCTGCAGGGAGTTGCCATGAAAAGGCAGCAGGTAGCGAGGGACTGAAAATGGTACAGGAGAAAGAATGGCACCATTCCCACCCTTTCCACCTTTTCTCTGCGCTGTTTGACAAGCCTCACGCAGGATTGTTTTTTTGAAATATTGAAGAACAAACAGCATGTGAAAAATGGTAATGTCAACCAGAGGGATATTTTCTCCCCAGATGATTCAGAGCTGACAGTCAATTCAGTGTGTCCTATACATAGCACCCGTAATAAGTTTTTTTTTTTTTTTTTTTTTGGAGGTACAGGGTTATTTTTGTTGTTATTGTTAATAAAATTTTGAAACATTTGGTTTGGAGCATTTCAGAAGCAGTAGAAGAACTTCATTGATCCCCCAAGGGAAATTCAATAGGGTGTCAATTGCCCTTCATTTTAGACTCTATGCTACTCGAAGCACTTGTTGTACCCTAAAGTCAGTAAAGCGAAACTTCTATTGCATCTGTACTTTAGGCGCACATTTTAACTGCATTAACACGCGCCTTTTTTTCCTCAAAGTTTTGATCCTTTTCATGGAAGTGAAGAAGTTGTATCAGCTGTAGAGCATTTGAAAGAAGTAGAACAGCTAGCTTGACGATATAGCATTAGTGTGTTTGCAGCGCTGTGTTATCAAGTCATACAGACTCTCCCTGAGCATACAAGACTGTTGTAGATGAGCAAAATAGAAAAGGGTGGTGGTTTGTTTTTTAAGAGTCCTCTCATTGCTCAGCCAGTTATGACTCCTGTCTTCACACTCCACAGCTCTGTAATGATGGCAGACCTCAAACATGCTCGTCCTCCATCCACTGTCAAACAGGCTCTTTCCAGGCCCTCTTGTACTTTTTTCTCTAAAGGGACAGACTGCTCGATAAACTGAGGCACTGGACTGTCTAAACCTCTGTCAGACCTCAATCATTTCTAACAAGCACCCATTACTCTTTTGACCCTGTTTCATCAGATATTCGAGATTTCATTGAGGGTCCAAATTACTCCAAAATCACAACGACCAAATGTAGCATGCTCAAAGTTAATGTGATTTGAGGTTTGCTTTCAGTTTGTTGTTTCAGCCAAAGAAACTGATGGCAATGCATGAGGCTGAGGTTGGTTTTATATGGTCTAGTAATAAATGATCACGTGTGCTGTATGTAATGGCATGTCGTCACTCTGTGTTAAGGAAGTTGTACTGATCAACAGTAAACACAGATGATTTGCTGAAATACGATTGACATCCAAATCAGTACAAACCAAAAAGACTGCTTTTGATCAGCTGTGTTGGATGTTGGTTTCAGATGTAAAAGAGTGCAGAGAACTCCGAGCGTGTACACTCTTTTACCCACAGAGTTTGGTTTACAGCTGAGATTAGAAATTGATCGACTGAAAGGTTGTTTGGCATCTTTGAAGTGCACCTATTTGAGTTTATGCACTCACTGTTTACAAAGCTAATTCACCAAAAAGTCTATTAATCAATGGGTCTGTAACAAATCATATGATCTTTAACAGCAGGAAGAGTTTGTCCTGTCGTCAAATGAACGATGAGTTTCATTCTCGTTTTTTCAAAGTAGAGTTTCGGTATAGGTGAATTTATTAGTTGTTCTGTAGTCTCTGATGGCCAGACATCAGAGACTATTGGGTGTCCATTGGAGTACAGTCAACCCTCCTTGTGTTTAGTCAGTCTAGCTCTGATTGTGACGTCACTTTGATAAGAGAGAGGGAACAGCTCATCTATAGCAACCTTCAATCAATGCTTCCCTCACCTGAACTTGAATCATTTAGATATCATTCAATCCTGACTCACATCGTACGTAGCTTAATTTTATCACATGCTCTACTAGTGTTGCTCCTGTGATAGAATAATGCTACGTGACCTGTTCCAACTCTGTCTTGCACAATAGAGGACTGGTTATCCATTAATTGTAGGGAAATAAAGGTGATCAGGGGAAAAGGTGCCAACAGGTCGGCTGCCAGGGTTCAAGCTAGCCAACATCCGTTTAAAGCACTACTTTCTTATCTAGGACCAAAAATAGGCAGGGGTTGTGTTGGCATGGGGCACTCCCGCGCTGTAAAAGGTGTCACCTGTGGAGAATGTAAGGTGTGGCTCTATGTCCTATCTGCAGTCCCGTAAGGAAGGCATTTAATACAGGTGTTGGAAAGAATCCAAGCAAGTCTTAACTGGACGAATTTTTAAAATAACCACTGTGAATTATTGCAAGAACTGACTTTTGAGTGTTTTTAGGCTGTGTTGGAAATTACTGTGACACAGGTCAGGTTGTGAATGTTCTTTATAGATTACTATGACCTGAAGAGATTAGTTTTGATAGTAATCTGATCAGATAAAAGCTGAAACACTCTAAACTGTCCTGCTGCTGAAATAAAGAAAACAATATTATGAAATCAGATAAGCCCAGGTAACCCAATCTTGGTTTCTCCTCGAACAAAGGATCCATTTTGTGTTGTTCAAAGCTTTTGAGTTCAATTGAAACAACTTTGACTGAGAAGATCCGTATTATCCTGACCCATTTAGGCTCAGACTGGGTTTCTAATTCAAGTCGTAGCCTAATAACTTCAATGTATATGTTGGATAAAAAGTTCATGTTATGCAGACCTTGTCGTGAAGTAACAAAAAACCGACACATTATGCGCTATAGACAATTTGAGGTCAGCTGAGGAGCTCTTGGATAAAGTGTCAGCTTTCCTCATAATGAATCACAACAGACGCAGTGAATCATGAGTTTTGTAGTTTTCCACAGAGAATCTTTTATCAACCCTGTATGAACCATGTAGAAATCCATGCTCACACACCGTAGAAGTCAAATAGTTTGAGGTGAGATTAGATTATCTTGGTGCTTAAAAACTTCAAAAGAAAACGAATGGCCAGTGAAAGACAGAGATTGGAGATAAGATACAGAAGGAAACAGGGAAAGCTGCCCTGTGATGTTACAGGATAAAGGTGATGAACTTGAGTAGCAGCTCTTTCAGTTCAAAACCCTGGATGATGTTAGAGGGAAATGCAGCTCAGTTTACTCTGTTAGGTTGTCCAAATTCCTTACTTACCATTCAGTCTATGTATACTAAGCTGTGATAACTTTCTGCAGCATTTACTTTCACACCTTGTTAACCCCAAAGGTGAAACCTGCAGGTGTCCAAGGGCCTCTTTGAACCCCCCCTTCCTGCATTTCTCAGCCCCCCTCCTCTTACCCGCATGCAGGTTGTTGTTGGGGCTGTACAAACAGCTCCCCAAGCCCACTGCTGCCGCCACCCTTACCCCTCCCTGTCCAAGCACAAAGGCAGCATTTACCAGTACGTTCTGGTGACCTTCAGAGGGCAATGTTGTTGTAGCAGGACACTGGCTCTTAGATCACAGACGCTCAGCTGTCTTTCTGCAGGTCATTACTTTTGTTTGCTCAGAAAGGTGGTGGAGGATTGTCAGGGGTCTGCACAAATTTTAAGGCGTTTACATGTGCTGACATTGGCATTTTCACCTTAAACACTCAAAGAACCCTACACCTATGTTTCTTTTTGACTTTTGGCATAAGGTGTTAAAAATCTTGCATTTTTTTGACACATTACCAGAACCTATACAGTCTTTACAGGTCTCACCAGAACACCATGTCCTATAGTAAACCTTGAGTCTAGATTTCACCCCATTGTGACAGAGGTAGCGCTATAAAGTGCTTAGCTATGATTGTCCACTCATGTTTACAGTATTGACTCACTCCTATTGTCTCATGTCATATGCTGCTCTATCTGCGTTGTGGCCCGGCTGTGAATGGAGACTGTTCTGTGTCTGACCGCACAATACCAGAACATTTCAAAGAGATTACTTATTGACAGCTGTTCAAATATTGAAAGGAGATAAGTCATCTGTAAAATATGGGGCTGTAAAGATGTATGCAAGGGTTGATAGAAGAGAAAACAGGTTACATTGATGATACAGACTATTGAGAAAGTGTTGATTTGATCTCTTTGTAAAGTGCATCTCATTCTGCATCTGCTTTTTGTTACACTCTGCTTTTGAATGTTCCACTTTTATTGGTGCAATATATGTGCATTTTGAGGAAATGTCCAGCTCCTTTGTGCAAAGAGAGGACTGGTACCAGCCTTCTGGTCTTCTTGTGATGCAAATGAAGTTACCACCAGCTTAACTCAGCGCAGGAACTGGGATTGCAACTGTGTTGTCACTTCCACTTTTGGTGATTGAATACAGTAAAACTCTTGTTTTTTAAACTCAGCTTTGAAAGAATGTTGAATATTTCAAAATGTTGAGGTCCTAGTCGTTTTATTTACCCCTGAAAACAAAAGCATCTCTCTTTTAATGACTGACATCCTAAAAGTTGTCCTTTATCTATTATCAGGTGTGGTTCTGATGGAGATCGCAGAAGCCCACAGGAAAGTCCACATGGAACTTGAAGAGAACGTGAGTAGCCTCAAAATTCATATATTGATCTTTTCTTTTTATCAAAACATCAAAACCACACCTTGATCATCGAGCCGCATATGCCTCTTTCCTTTATAACGCCAGACTCCTTTTAAAAAAGACATAATAATGACTCTCACTGTTGCACGACGCAGCATGTCCCTTAATGAGGATTAATATGAGCACTGTAGTTTGTCTGATCCTGCACACACAGCCCAACTCTTGTCGTCGCTAGGTTGCCAAATCAACTATAAGTAGCTTCAGTCAAATGCAAAATTCACCAGGGGTGATCAAGACATTTGTTCACATCTATGATTAGATTTATTATGATACAATGAGGTTGTCATACCATGCTGGTATTTAATTCATCACAGTGTTTCTCACAGAATGACAGTGTACCTGTGATGGGGGAGGTGGTGACAGAGGTGGTGTGTGTTTATGTGTGTGTGTGGGTGAAAATATCAAAATACAGAACCTTTTCTACAATATGTTAATCTCATCTACCCAGTGATTCTATGTTTGGATTAGTTTACACATCAATAGACCTTGTTCTTGTGGTGTCACTCTCTATAGGTTGTACAAATCTCAAATATCTTTCCAACTGTGGTGGTTTCATAACTCTTAGATTAGTGAGCAGCCACACCGCATAAAGACAGAGATGATCAGGAGAGACAGTGATCAGGTCATATTTTAAGTAACAAACACATTTCATGCCCCAGAAAGAGAAATAGGAAAATGCAAATTAATTATTTTACAGATGACTCCTCTGTTTACGCTGGGGACATTTTTTGTACTAGCCAGCTGTACAATATGTACAGTTCTGCACAGGTCTTACCTCAGTGCGGTTGCTGTATTCTTTATAAATCATTTTTTTTCTTGAATTTCTAAGACACAGGTAAGATTTATCATCGTACTCCTAAATAAGGGCTTTTAGTGATGAGGGTATGACTACCTGGTGCTATGGTTTAAAGCTCCTCTAAGGAGTTTTATTGTTTGTTTGGTTTTTTTACATTTATGAAATAGACTGAAATTCATATTGATGCCTTAAAGCGAACAAGACATTCTACGACAAGATTGATGGTTGTATATCCTAATTTGTAAAGCCTGAAACTGATGTGAGGTGGCAGGTGTCAGCTAAGCAGCTGAAGAACTCTGTTTTTTTTACGAGTTTTACATCAAATATTTTGAGTAAATCACTGTCAAAAAGTTAACAGGATGCTATAAGCAAAGACTTCTGTGCCTGCTGGGGGGCCAAAATTGACAAATCTTCAAGTTCCTCATAGAAACTTTAAAGAGAGACATTGATGAATGTTTTGGAGATAAAAAAGAATCCCTTTTTTCTGTAGTTGAAGCCTGCAGGGCTTTTTGCTCTGACGCAGAATATTTGAAGTGAAGTAATTGGAAGAAAATTCCTGTGTTGCAATTGTACAATCTGAAAAGTTTCTCTGCGTCACAGGTCAACAGTTGAAAAATTCTCCTTTCCTGAAGTCCCCTACAGCCACCAACACTAGATCTGTCATGGTATTATTGGACAGATTTCTTCAACTGTCTTTTCTAGACATCCTTGCAACCTTTCAAGCTCATTCTTTTCATTTTAGAAGGTTCGCAAGTGTTGTAACTAAAGGTGAAAGAAAGTTAATGAGAGTCGTTCCACAGTCAATCCTGGCCCCGCTGCCTCGGGGTTAGATGCTTCAGATACCTGCTAGTTACTAGAGGTTAATTGGAGTCAAGTGTCTTCAGTCTGAATGCAACAATCAGTGGGATGTTAGAGAAATAGTTAACATGCACAATTTTTGGTAATGCAAGAAACAGACCGTGGATAGGAACTCTTCCCTTTTAGGCGAGTTTCCCTGCAGCTATCCTCAAGTAATTGAAATTCATTTGCACAAGGAAAGTTGTTAATCTTTAACCTTAACAGGCTGATAAGCTATCCCCATGGGTGGAATCACAACCTCTCAGAAACCCATTATGATACATTCCACCAGGTCACTCCTCTCTTATCGTCATGTTTTCACCGAGCCATGTGACCGATCTGTACATCATGTTTGGAACAGCATGCTTTATGCGTGGCTTCTGTTGCAATGACTTTGAGCGAGTATGTGTGTGTGTGTTTTCTCTCTGCAGTTCAAGAGGTTCCACAGAGAGGTGATAGTCGAGCTGGAGAAGAAGACAGAGATGGATGTTAAATACATGAATGTGAGTATAATGAAGTATAAAATATCCCCCTTCCTTTCCCAAGATTCTTTGTCTTCTTGCAGCAATTCAGATACCTAGACTCTATAGCCCACTAGCTAGCAAATGAATCCACCCATGCTAGTGTGACAATAAAAAGGTGTTATTACACATTTATAGATTTAATTATGCTTAATAAATGAATAAATAAAAGCTACCTTAAATTGTGTGCTGGGAGAACACTAATGCTGCGTTCCAGTTACCTCAGAAGTCAGATGTCGGAGCTGGAAATGACGTTAAATCCAAGTTGACGGCGTTCCAGTTAACAAGTCGGAAAACCAAGATGGACGCCTCCAGTTACCCGTTGTTAGCTGTTGTTCACAATTGTCAGTTGTTGTTAGCTGTTGTCAGCGGTTGTTGGTTGTTATTAGCGATACCAGTTGTAAACAACGCATAACACAGTATTTTACTCTTATAAACATCATAGCACAGTGTTCACAGTTCGAAGTTGGACAGTCAAACATATACCACTTATTTAATTTCAAAAAAACAAAACAGAAGTGCTAATAAATAATTTATTACGAGAGCTTTCACTGTTACTCTTCACTGTTGATGCACTGTGCTGCCATCTTGGATTATGACGTTGTTGTCAAGTGGTGATTGGTGAGGATTGTCCGACTTTCTGAGTTGGAAATCTGACTTCAGGGGGGCGTTCGGGAGCTCCCTGACTCGGAGCTCGGAAATTCCGACTTCCGAGTACAACTGGAACGCAGCATAAGAGTTGGCTTTACCTGCTCCGAGATAGCTCCAAACAGGAGACGTTACATAATAAAGTAGCTGAAATTAGTCTATCTTCCTACTCCTAAAGAAAAATGTGCAGCCTAGGAATAAAGTAGGTGAGTAAGTAAGTTAATGGATGAATAAATATTTCACACTTACAAATCCTGAATAGAAACTTATTCAAACATTAGTTCCTCTCCTTTGCATCTGATTGAATTTATCATGTTTATCAGTTCCTTCTTTCTCATGCTTCTCTTTCCAAACATCACCCACAGGCTACATTTAAGCGCTATCAGTCAGAGCACAAGCTGAAGCAGGACTCCTTGGAGCGCTCACAGACAGACCTGAAGAAGCTCAGGAGGAAAAGCCAGGGAAAGCACTCGTCCAAATATGAGATTAAAGAGAACGAGGTGAGTCTGAAACCAAACTGACCCCAGAGTCCTCAGAGCCTTTGCGATACATAATGTACACCTGCCTGATGCTTTGTGTGGCTTTTTCAAGCATGGTGCTGTTGACACATGCTTATGCTCTGATGCTTTTGAAAAGGAATATGACAAGTGTACAATTAACGTAACTGGGTGGGGAGATTTGGCAAGATAGTTCTCATGATAACTACATACCTGTGTTCAGGTGAGAAAAGGGAGGAGGGGGGCATGTGGTTTACATTTTTCACTTGAGAATAACATAACTTACATAACTTTGCAACATATATGACAGCTACTGTAGGAAACACACTTATCTAAGGTAGTTAAAGGGACTTAACCACTATGCACAAGACTTGGTTTTTGCATGCACTAGAGCTGTATCTGGTCTCCCTGCATTCATCCACAAACAGAGGATTGTGTTTTTATTGATGCTGGACACACCCAAATTTGCAAATATGTATGCATGAATGCTCACATTCATACAGGGTTCATGCAAAAAACCAGGTTCTACTGGATGCTGCAATCACAATTTGCCTCAACCAAATACTTACCTTATGCTGACTAAAAAACAATTTGATTCAATTTGGTTAAACTTCCAAAACAGTTCCATAACAATTGTAAGAGGTCTTTCTCTGTTCAGGGAGAGCTGATGATACAAACAGATAATAGATGTAGACAAACTACAAGAGACCAAATCTTTCGCATCTCAAAGATCTTAGATGACAGAGCTAAAACAAACACAATGCTGAGTGAACAGAAGAACACGCACATGGCTTTGAAGCTTTAATTCTCAGTGTTGAAATCTGTCTCTCATGAATGTGTTTGCTCTGTGGTGTTCAGTGACCCTGAATTTATTGGCTGAAGTGTGTGCTTTCAAAAGCCTGATTGTTGCATAATGTGGGGTGTTTTCTGTCCTGCTGTTTACTACCAAGTACAGCTTGTCTGTTGAGGGAGTTTTTTGACTGATTTTGATTAGAATTTCACAGGGGGATAAAGGTTCAGTGATTACTAATATGACCGCATGGATACACCTAACCTTTATGATACAGTTTCTGTATAGCGGTAATGATGGTCAGAAGAAATGACTCACTGTATCACTCCCTTATGACTCCTTCATGACTCCTTATGGTCGTGCGAAATGCATCAATCCTGTAATCTACCTTTCAGGGCCATTTCTTTTTTCTTTCTGTTAATCAAAAACTGTGATGTTCCATTGTTTGATCGTCTTGTATTTAATTAAGTATCGCTATATTATGTTATCGGCAATGTTACACAGTATGCATGGTCTTGTGAGGTACCCACCACTACTGCTGACAGAGTAAATTTTCAATCTGTTGTTGATTAGAAACTACATTTTATGTAATTTTCTATATAATATTTTCTGTAAAAGAAGTTTCTACACTGGCTTGTATTGAAAAAAAAACACAAAGATAAGTCTATGATTGGCTCATATTGGCTCAAATCAGTCCACATTAAATTGGATCAGGCATTTATTTTTTACATTATTATTCATTCATCTATTCATACATCATTATTCATTAGAAAACAAGATCTTATTTCAACCTGATTTGCAAACATATGCACTGATATCATTATACCTGTCACTGGCCAGTATCGGCTTGATGACGTATGAGAAAATATATACACAGTATATATCTATGATGGCACATATTGGCTTCATAATACTGGCTTACTGAAATATCTGTCAGCCCAATATAACAAGAAGTCCCAACAGCTCCGACACCTATTTGCTTTGCATATCAATGTTTTCAAATGATAGAAGACATGCAAAAAGCTCCTGTTTATCTTTTGTAATATTTTATTGACTGTTTTCACAGCCGGACTTCCACACTGCCAGGATGGTGTGTAAGACTTGCTTGTTTTTAGACAATGATTAAACCATATATTGAAGGTTTATTGCAAGTGAAAAAGCTATCCACATTTAGTTTCCTTTACCCTTGCTGATAAAACCTGAATCCTATCTCTGCACTTGAATAACATCTTTTAGAAGATAGTCGTACACTCAGTTGTCTTATCAGGGTGGAGCTGAAAAGCTCAGCTAAGACTGAGAGCTGTAACGCCTTTTTTAATAGATCATTATCTAAAAAAGTGACACCTGTTGACCAAAGGAAGACTTCCCAGCTTTCTCTTTGTCACGTCTAGGGGTGGCAGTGAGCTCAGACCGGTCTGTCAGCCCTCCCACATCTCAGAGCCCCAAACAATTGTTCGCTGCAAAAATGAGAAATGCGGAGTCTTGATTCAGCGTCTGGCAGGCTATCGTGGAGAGAGAAGGAGTGAGAGGGAGAAAATGAGACCAGACAGAAGAGTCAGGTCTTTCCACAGGGCCCTTAGAGACAGGCTGCTTTAGTGTCACCATGACAACCTGGGGAAAATGCTCTTATCAGAGTGGGTGTAGAGGAAAAAAGATGGAGGGTCTACTGTAGTTGAGAAGTCGTTTTAGAGTTTGAAATACCTTATGTCAGGTTTAGTGGTCCATCTGCTTTATTTATCATTTGCAACATCTCTGCAGAGATGGTGTTTCTTTGAGGACATTAATTTGTTTCTCGCTGCAGTAAAATTGATCTACAAGCAGCAGGAAAGCCACATTAAGTCGTCCCTACAGTGCTGAGACTCTGATTACGAAGCTCATTAGGACCTTAGTGACTGAATCTGACCAGAGCATGTAAACATTATGTTTTAACCACTTGATGATTAAGTCTGAGTCCAGCAAGACTTGCCACCCACTCAGGTCAGCGTTACTTTCCTCTGTTGCTCTGCAGAACAGTCTATGTCACAGCCTACACTGCAGAGCTGTAGCTGCAGGGAGAACATGGAGTCAAAATGTTGTTCATAAACACACTCTCTGTCTAAAAAAATATGATTTTATGCCGTTTGAATACTAATAACAGCAATGCATTTCCCACAGCTTTCATCAGCCTTATGAAAGAGGGACAGAGCTTAAGAAGAAGTCTTACTCAAAATGCATGTAAACAACTGCTTGTGTAGGAAGTAAATTTTCATGGCAACAGTATGACGTATGACAGGTGTGTGCAACAGGTTTGACTGTAGATAATATCTGTGACAAATTGAATGAAATAAGTAGGAAAACATAAAAAAAACTGCTTTTCTGATTTTGATGAAAAAATGGGGGAAATTTAAAAAATTGAGAGATGACTCTTAAGTTAGTTGATTTTGCATGGACACGTCAAGCCTTTCTGATCTCAAGACTCAGTCTGATCTGCAGTATGATGTACAGTTTCTTTAGGATTAGATGAACTGATATGGCATCCTTCATGGATATATCTGATGATGTATGTGAAATGCTGTCAGACTGGAAACGTGATGACTCAAGACATGATCAGGCGATTGCTGAGGATAAACTTATGTTGTGATAACGAGACAATTATCGCATTGATTCAGAAAAGCTGATTAATTTGTCTTCAGTTAATGCATGGAAACAAAGAAAGTTGGAAAAAAGACAGGACGAAGAAAGAATGACTGATAAAGAAAAGTCAAATAATGGGGGAATACATTTATAGTATCATATTTGTTATAGTCTTCATTTTGTCCAAATTTAAGGGTGGAGGGGGTTCTGGCTCTCAAAGGTTGATTAAAAAAAAACAATTAATTACAGATTTTACATAAAAAATAGTGATTAAATTGAAATATCAATTCTATGTTACAATCTCTATAATCCTGCATTTTATAATAGCTTAATGTCCATATTAACAATGAAACGCAATTGAAAAATGCAGCTAATTCTTTAGCTGACACCTTACCACCCCATTGCAGCATTTTCATACATTAAGAATGAGGTTATGGAAGTTATTACAGTGAGTTTTAGTTGGTTACACAAATGTCAAAAGAATCCTCACAGTAGCTTTAACTAGCTCTGTTGCCTATTAAGAATATGCAGGAGTCCATGTGCTAAATGTTCAACAGTGTCAGTATGATGTGCAGTTATTCTTTGTACAGTTCTGTTTACACCCTGAGATCCAATGAGCTTCAAATCCCCAAACATGACAGCATTTATACTTATAAGGAGTTTCAGTTGTCATCCATCCTGCAAACAACTCTTCCGTGTAGTTTTACCCGCAGGTCTGCTTGCTTGAAATGTGTCATTCAAAAGAGCATTGCTGTTGTTATTTTTCACCGCAGCTATAGCAAGAGCAGAGTCGCAGTTTTGGGTCGGGTACAGCCTGCTGAAAGTGGACAATATACAGTGCAATTAAAAAAATTAATATGTCAATTTTTGGGGAATTTAATTGGATTGCAATCAACATTTTGATACAAACAGCCCTGGGGTTTTTTTTTAATCTGTAAACTCACCTTGCCTTTATTTTTGAAAAAGTACCAAAAAAGGCTTTTAATTGTTTCGGATCAGAATTTTCTCCCAGGAAAGATACAAATAATAGATATTGTTGACAGTGAGGGATAAGGAAAAATAGAGTCTATTGTCAATATAATCACTTGTATGTGATTGTGTTGTGTTGTATGTTAATTGAGACCAGCCTTTTTTCTTTTGCCAACACATGCATCCACACCCTCCCGCTTAAGGGGTCCCTGCTTTTAACTCGGATTGGCTTTAATTCAAAGTTTTATGGTATCTTAATTCCTTAAAAATCCTAAGCTTAGGGTTTTAGTTCTGGATTAGTTTGAAATCAGTTTAAATCTTTTCTCTACAATGTAATTTTTCACGTTTCGCTCCTTTAGAATCAGCTGGTAGCTATTCATGTACCCTGACCTGCCGTCTTTCCTTCGACCCTCTCTGCAGTATTTGGAGACCATCTCATCACGGCAGATGGACATGCAAAAGTTCATCGCTGACGGCTGCAGAGAGGCCTTACTGGAAGAAAAGAGGCGCTTCTGTTTTCTGGCTGACAAACACTGCATGTTCTCATATCAACTCACCAATTTCCACGAGAAGGTGAGCTTTTACAGAGAGATTATCCTCTACATTTAGACCCCTTAAATATGGAGACTTGTAGTCATTTAAAGTCTTGTTCTTCCAGGCCAAAGAGACTTTGTCTGTGAAGCTCCCCACCTGGCAGGAAAAGTGCAGCGACATCACTAAGGTGCCAGACACGGTGATGACCATGATAGAGGGGCTGTCCACAACTCCAGAACAATCTCCGCTGGTCGAGCGCTACAACAGGGTGAGCACTGGCTGCAGTAGGAAGATATATCATATTCTAATCCAAACTCAATTTCATCTTTCAGTGAGATGCTTCAGAGAAATGACTTAGGATAAAAGCATTTCAAATTGTTTATATGAAGAACAAATCTTTCAAAAAAGCTTGGCCCTGAAGGGTTTTTATCTTTATCTAGCAGAGGTGCTCATATCAGATTAAGACTGCACTGAGAGGAATGGTTATCTGCTTTTCACACATGGGGATCCTGCATGAGCTCTTTTTGTTCCCCACTGTATGTGTTTTGGTTAAGGTAGTTTATTGCTGCTTGGGAGGCAGACAGTGAGCTTCAGATGATGACAGTTTGACATTAATCGCCTTGATAAGATCTTGACTATAGCCATTGAGACAAATGTTTGATATTATTTCATTATTGCCAGCTCATGTCAAGGGTACTGTCTGTTTCTCCTTCCCAGAACAATGTGGAGTCAATGGTTCCTCCTCCAGCACCACCCATTAAAGCACATATCAGTCCGCTAGCCAATATGTTCAACCCAGAGCCCAGATCTCCACTCACCTCCTCTTCAGACCACAACTCAGGTATAGATAACTCCAACACAAATAGACTGTACACTAAACTGTTTCATTTAGAAACCGTGTTGAAGACGGTCTGTTTGATTTTGTAGGATGTATAGATGTATTTTTATTAATTTCTCTCAGATTTTTTGTTTTGTTAGTAAAAGCTCTTCATAGATTTATTCATCTCTGGTATTGTGATCCCTTTGACCTTCAGATCAGGGCAGTCTTGGCGAGGGCAGTCTGTCCCGGTCCACATCTCAGTCATCTGGTCTCAATATGGGCAGAAAGCACAGAGTCAGGACCATCTTTCCACACACGGCAGGCAACAACCCCACACTCCTCAGCTTCGACGACGGAGACATCATCGCTCTGCTCATCCAGGAAGAGAAAGACGGCTGGCTGTATGGAGAGCTGGAGAAGACGCAGCAGTAAGTTTTCAAAACTATTTCCTTAGTTTGGATCTGTAGAGAACATCTGAGCTCTTTTCCTTAAACTTGTTTCATTTATCAGTAAAATAAATTTATTTTGGTGGGGTTGTTATTTTGCTTCGAAATGAGTCAAACTAAACCCAACTTTTTATTCATATCAGGATCCATCTGATTTTAGAGGCTGTGTCCTGATTTTAAGCTTTTCTTGTTTTTAACAAGTTCCTCTTCTCTCAAATGGTGCTGAAGACTTAGACATGTAATTCCTCTGATCTACCGAACACTATTGTTTCCTGATAACCATTGAAATGCATCGATGAGTGACATGCCTTTAATAGCTGGCATGTTTCTGAACAGACACACTGCAGTACTGCAGTACTGTAGTTAACTTTTATTCCAACTCCTGTGAACCTGCTTATGTAATCCTTATAAAAGTGCCAAATTAGAGTGAAAAGGTTGTATTTTTCACTGCTAATGTCAGATTTGCAGAACACTACTATTCCCAGATTTTTAAGTCAATTTTCTACCTTTATAAAAGGCTGAACTACTTTTTTATGGTCAGAGAATCACAAAATATAACAAAGGTATGATTCACTTTTCTCTTACTCATGGTCTGTCTTTAATTTTTTTCACAAGGTTTGATTCCCCTTGAAATACAATTGACTACTTTTGATGCCTCTCCAAAATCCTGAACTATGATTTTTTTTGTGACAGAATCTGCTTAAATATCTGTTTAAAAAGGTTTATATTTAAATGTGCACATATCAATGTTGCCTCAGTCTCTCAAAGTCTGGATCTGGATCTTCTGAAAGTCAGAAAGTAATGAGACAGATCTTGACACTTGGGTGTTTTTTTGGATTTGTTAAAAAAAAAGGTTGTAAATGATGAGCAGGTTGGTGTTACTTTAAACTTTGAAAAAACTACATTTCTTTACAAAGCCCCCCCCACCCCCACGCAGCAGATTTAAGTTCAGTCTAAATTCAACCTTTGGCACACCCACGAGAGGAAATGTACTCTCATCCCTGCAAATATGCAGCAGCACTGACACACAGGCGTTTTCCACATAGCTCAGGTTAGCAGTACGAGTTTCTGTTTTGTGTTCGAGAATATTTGACTGCGTTAATGCATCGTGCCCAGAAACACGGAGTATGTGAGGTATGTTCAACATGACAGTCATAAAGCTCTCTCTCCCTCCCTTTCTCTCTCTCTCTCTCTCTCTCCCTTTCTCTCTCTCTGTCTTCTACTCTCTGTCTCTTGCCCTGCCCAGCAACAACCACACACATGAAAAAAAATTCAGGTGCACATTATCTGCCACACACACTCCCAAACAAGCTGGAAACATCTGGTCTTTTTATATTCCAATAGACATGAACAAAATTTTTTTTCATTGTGCCGCATGATGATGATGATGAGCGTCTGAAATAAATTCAACCAAAATGGCAATTACACTGAAATAACATCTTCATTCAGCAGCTGTGACTCAGCGTCTCCTGCTGACAACAAAGAGGGAAAGATGTCCCATTTAAGATGCTGCTATATAAACACACACACACACACACACACACACACACACTTGTTGGATTTTCTATCTTGTTTTGATCAAACTGTCAAGCTGGGGGGTACAAAAGTTTTGTTTGTAGCTGCAGCACATCCACAGATTCTCCTCTGAGTTTGTCATGTTATTACATTTATCTTCATCTTCCAGATTGATCAATTAAAGCTGATAATGCAGCCAAAAAGGATTACAGCCTGTTTACAGAGCGGGTGTGTAAATATTTCCACACTCTATTTAAAATGAATGAACACAAGCTTAATCTGTTCCCTGTGTGTGTTTGTGTAATTGAGTGGCTTTTGGAGTTGAGGGGTTTTTAATGCAGTCCTCAAGAAGAGGACATGTTGCTATAAATCACATTATACTCTGTTTCTTAGCAACAAATCCAGTGCATCAGTCTGATAAGCTGTCTTTCCTCTATTCGTGACTTGACAACAACTTCTGAGGCTGAGTGAACAAAATCTTTCCCATTTTTTATGGCTGATATATGCATTTTATCCAAGTGTGCAGCATGTAGCAGGGATTTCTAACTAGTGTTACTCACAAAGAGATCTAATTATAGCTTTTGAAGGCACACAGAACAGTAAAATTCCTGCTATGACTTTTTAATTAGATAACATACAAGTAAAAATAGGCCTGAAGATTTGCATTATTAATCTTAAAATGTGTTGATCAATCATACTGCTAATCTGGCATTAAGAAAATTATGTACCTCGTCAAATAGTCTTGAAATAAAATCCATCTTGCCAGCCTCAGTGCATTCTCCTGTAACTGTGTAGGACAGAGATCAATACTGTCAATAAAGACCTCTGCTCAAGGTCTCCCCCAGATTTTTCTGGCTTTAGTTGCTTTAATTAAAGAACTTGAAAAAGTTCAAAAAGTTTCCAAAGTTATTGCAGGTCTTTGTGGGAAAACTTTTACAATTGTCCCTAGTTTTCTTTTTGGTCAAACTAATGTTATCATGAATTGTCCAGAACTAACAAATCTGCTGTTGCGGGGCTCCTGGAGTCGACTTCGCATCATCACAGAACGATCTGAAAAATGATTCTCCTCAGCTAAAGTTAACAGCTGCAAGCGAAAGCCTCATTATCAGAGAACAAAAGCAAAATCGGTACTAACTTTGCCTCCTGACACTGGGCGAGAATCCAAATAAACAAGTTAGTTTCCCCAAGAGGAAAATCACTAGAGTTTATGTAAGGGACTATGTGTAGTGAGCAGGTTGTTTAAGTGGACTGAAACGCTGATATGATGAATCCACAGCAACTCAAATGAATTCATTGCTTTACACCAATTATTAATTCAGAAATAATGATAATAATAATAATACATTTTATTTAAAAGCGACTTTCTGGACACCCAAGGACACTGTACAGGGCATTAAAAACACAGTTAAAACACAGTTAAAATAAATAAAAACAACATACAGGTTTTAGTTGTTTAAAACGGAGATCCAATCACTACTTGATCCAATCAGAATCAAGTTTTGAACACAACCAGGACAATGTCTTATGTTATCTTACATTTTTTTAACTAATGTTTTTAACTCTCTCATCAGGCGAGGCTGGTTTCCCTCATCTTACTGCAGACCTTATTCTGAGCCAGCGATATCAAATAGGTAAGAAAGTTTGTACATCCTGGGAAGTTAATCAGGGTTTTTTTTTTTTTGAGCTCATATGCAAAAGCTTTACTTATATCTAATGTATGATTACAGCGATCTGGGCACACCAGTTCGAAGCCTGAGTGAAGTCAGTCTGCCAGAGCAGGAGGAGGAAGAGGAGGAGCCCGTGTTACTGCCCCCGCCGGACTACAGCGATGATGGCGCAGTGATCCCTTCAACGCTATCGCCACATAATATGGTCAGTACAATCATCTTGTCTGGCAATTATAGACTAATCACACAATGGATCAAAATATTGCAAAAAACGCAAACTACTTTATACTGTTACTCTTGGTTTAATGTTGGGGGTTGGTCCAATAACACACTCACATACTGTAACTTTAAATAACCCTTTTTCAAGCGTATGTCCTGTTATCTGTTGTTTCTGTGTGTAATAAGGATAAAACATGAGCAGAACAGTTGTAGTAATAGTAGATATGGGATATAAGTATGTTTAAGTTGGTGTATAATCAGCCAAACTCAAATGAAACGGGACAAAATTGTTATAGGTGTATGTGTTTTTGTGTTTCGCAAGTGGCTGATTGAAACGCTTCAGTCTGAAGATGAAGAAGAAGAGGAGGAGAGTAGTTGTAGTGCATAAAAGAGGTCTTGGTGATCGAAGTTTTTGATAGAAAAAGACTTCATAAATGGGGATTGTTCTTATTATATATCACAGCAGCTGCACACTTTCAAGCCAACGTAAGCTGGCCCCCTTTCTATGGGGTTGCTATTTTTTGATCATACAAGTACAGAGCTGTGGATGCATGGCATGTTTTATCAAATATTCATCTAAAAAAATTTATCTAAGACATTTGTAACCATGAAGCAGAAGAACAAGTGAAAAAGTAGCTATGAACAATCGACTGACAAAATTAGAAAACAGATGGCAAACTTTTTGAAACATGTTTTGCTAAGTAGTGAAATCCCTCTCCTGTGTGTTGCCTAAAGACAAAGAGGAGAGTGATGGAAATCAACTTGATAATGAGCGCTTAGTTATCTATTTGACAAGTGTATTAAGCTAAAGTGAGCTTTCTGCCAACAAGTTTTCACCTTGATGTTAACATGTTAGTGTTTTGTTTGACACAAAACTTGATCTAACCAGGAAATAACCAGGAAAGACTCTAAACTTGCAACTTTTTGCTCAAAAGTTTGATTATTGCCACAACTGGTGCTATTTAATGTTATTTTCACAGCTTGAGACAAATCTTTAAGCCATATTGAAACATTTTAAGGCTACTTTATGCCAAGTCAAATGTATGAGAGAAGCTTTTATCAAAGAGATAAAACATGTGAATCATCAGCGGCAAGCAGAGAGTTTTTGTGGGGTTATGAAAGCTAAGATTAAAGCTTTTATAACATTTTTACCTCAGGAATGAGTTTGTTGTTTGTGTCTGACGCAATTAAAATCCATGAGACGAATTCTGTCTCTCTTTCAACACACAGTGCTGATTTGCCTTTAGGCCACACACTCAGGCTTTGTGGGCCAGAAAACATCTTACATTTCCTGCAGGGATTTCTTGATTGAGTGTGCTATGACTCTGAGGCCAAACCCTTGTATGAAGTCACACATGCAGAACTTTTTTTGTCTGACTAATAACGTCTTATCAGCGACGCTGCACTGAGTCGTCAAACGCCTCCACACCTTTAAAACAGAGTGAGCCTGGAACACACCTTAATTCCTCTGTCCAGTTTGAGGAAATGTGCTATATTTACCCGGATTATGACAGCCCTACAGGAAATGTTTGTGCTCTTCAGGAGTCTTCTTTCTAAATTTTAAACCAACTACTGTATGTTGGTACCAAAATACCAAAGTAAAATGTGCAAAATAAAACAGACGTTTCTTGTTATTCCCCAGGAAAGTGTTCCCAGTCGTGTTTTGTTTGGGATTAGATATAGAGGAGATAAAAGAGAGTTACAGTGAAGGCATAAAAGGACAAGAGGGTAAAGGAACAATTTCATTGCCTGCACTGTGTCAGCTGATTGAGAATGAACTAGTAGCTGTCCAGCCAGCAGGCTAGTCCGGGCACGCTCCTTTCTCCCTCATCACTGCTTCCTCCCTGCTCTGTCTGTACCCAGTGTCCTCTGTATTTGCTGCCTCAGAGTTTTACCAGGAAATAAAACATGATGAGGGGGACACCTTCCCTATCCTAGGAATCCTGAGCGTTAAACCCATTATTTTCTCATCTTATATTCTTTTAGAGTTAGATTTTGTAGGCACTCAGCACAACATGGAAACAGTCCATGCTGTCTCTTTGCTGGTGTTTTGAGAGGAGCAGAAGGCTGAGTCTGTATTTTGGGTTTGTTATTGTGACTGAGGGGTAAAGGTAGACTTTGTCACCTGTGCTCTTGGAAACCTTGTTCCCTGAGTTCCCTCTTTTCTGTTTGTTTTGTGTGGTGGAGACACACACAAAAAGGACCCAAAGTGACCTGAGGTTTTATCTGTATTATTTTCAATTATTGCCAAAAAATGTGGCTGTTTTTCTTGTGATGAAGGCCCTAAACTGAGAGAAGGTGGCAGTAGTTTTTCTGGTTCCATGTATTTGGTGTGCTTTGCATAAAGTTCTTAACCATCCTTAACCATTAGTTTGCATGTTGTTGGCAAATTTACTTAGAATGTGTTGTAAACCGAGCAGCAACTTCACAATGAACCTTTCAGCTTAGCGAAGTCAGCAGGGAAGTAACCACAAGGTTAGCAAGGTCGTTTGTTTAGATAGTATTTAGTCTGACAGTTATGCATGTGTTTGAAGGGTAAGGGTAATAAAGGGTGGAGTAAGTTGATTGACAGGCGGGTGTATTGTATCTGTTGGCCCGCTTCGACTCCACCTCCAGAAGTTTAAGTAATTTTTTCTAAGGTACTTACAGCTAAAGTTGAACTTTTATCATTTATCAGTTCATGTTCAGTCACCCTGAATATTTAAATGATAAAATCTTATTTAAATACATATTGGTATCCGATCCATTCAACCAAAAACAACTTGCTTTAATCAAAAACTCATGAGTTGAATTCCTCGGATGCATCCTCAGAGGTTCTTCACAGAAATATAAAAGCAAGTATTTGCTGCAGAGACCCCCCAGGGCTCATAACTCAGATTCATGTTCTCACACTATATCGTCCCCATGCCCACTTAGCTCTGTAAAGTTGATAAGATTATTGTCGTCCTCAGGTGAGAGAAAAGAGGAGTGTATCTCTCACCAGCCTTACTAGATTGTCTAGATTCCTGACTGGCTGAGGTTCGTGGTTGAAGCTAAACTACGTGTCATAACTCGGCAGCGCTGATTAGGAAGGAGGGAGGGGGCCAGACTAGTGCTGATGGGAAATCTGATCAAACCAGTCTGGTAACGCTGACTTTCCTCTCTGGAGGGAGGGTGTGGATTTATGGTGATTCTGGTGTTGTGTGTTGCATGTTGTGTGTCACCTCTCTTTGTTGACTGCATCTTAAAGGGTCTCTTCTTCTGTGTTTTTTGACAACAGGTGTCTCTAGTCAATGGAAATGCAAAGGCTCCCTTTCTAGGGTGAGTGATTTAACACAACTAACAAAAACTGACAGTTTTTTTTTCCAGGTAGAGGTAGCCTAGGGACCAGATGACGGTTTTTGTTCCCATTTTCTTCCTGTAGGGGAGGGAATCCATTTGCAACAGTCAAGCTGAGACCAACCGTCACGAATGACAGATCAGCTCCAGTCATCTAAAAACCCGGAGGAAGATTTTCACCGCTGTCATGCCTTCAGGGGAGTCATAAATATGGGACCCCTGTGACACAACAAATATCACCCCAACCTGACATCTCACCAGCCTGCATGCTAGTCCATCTCAGTGCCAGTCTCCTCAGTCATGGGGATACATTGTTGCTTTGCACAAGTGTGTTTTACTGAAGTCACTACAAGGACATGTTTTGTAATCACATCCTGGTAGGTTTTGTCAAAGAAAGAAAATATTTTGTTGTAAAGTAAGTGTCTAAGTACAATAAATTACCCCAACATGAAAATTCAGACCTTCGTAAAGTGCTGAGAAATGATTTTGCTTCTGATGGTCTCTTCACAATAAAAGCCACATTGTGTTTTGACTGAAGGTAGCTTGTGATGCAAAGTAGTGCCAGTAAGAAAAGCTGGATTGTTGGAAACATAACACTTTGATTGAATCTTACAGTAGCAGTAATAGATCAGTGTTCCCTGTGAACTCATCATGCATAGGCAGGAGATCAGACTCCAGCATGAGAATAATGGTCCCTGAAGAAAGTACCTCATTATATAGAGGTAATTAAGTAAGGATCATGTATGGTGAAAGGATGGTAATGTAAAAAACTAGAATCCTAACAGGGAGAGCAGGACACTAATGTGAAACTGTGGGGTCCTCCTGTTTCTAATGACATGAATTTTCATTTTGGGGTGAAATGTCCCTTTTAAAAGAATGCTCAGACTCTATCAGACGGTCTTTTAAGGCTTCCCTTGACCTGCTGTTGGCTCACTATCTGAATGTAAACACTAGAAACATGATACTGATTAAAAAGACCAGTACCCAGGCTGTCTTCCTGACTTGCAAAAAAAATGATATGACGTTATTTCTATTTTTATTGATCATTTTTGTGTTTCTTTTTTAAGAAGCATTGTGATATAAGAGGTTGTGAGAATGAAGGGAGAGTGACGTGTTAGGGAAAAAAAAAGATTTGTCATTTGAGTGAAGGCAAAGCAGTAAGTATGTCGCTGTTTAAAATGAGACAGTTATTTATATTCAGTAATTTTGTTTGAGATATTTAAATAAGATGTGTGTACTGGAGTCTGTTCTGTGAAGCTGCCCTTTTAAACACAAGAGACTGTGTTGATGATCCCTCTTCTGCTGCTTCTGATTTGACTGCTGGTATGTATTTGAAATGAGCAGAATGACCTTTTGATGAAGGGAATATTTTCACTCCTCATGGTTTCACTGTTTCATGTAGACTCTTGACAGATGACGCAAAACAAAAATGTACTTCATTGCTAGCCATTTGCTGCGTATGCATAGAGTGGGTCATTGTTTGAAATCTACTTTAAAGTATTAACTGTTTTGTGAGGAAGAGGACTTTTTCTTTGCCATGAATATCAATGTTTGATAAGAAAAAGATTGAACTGTTTATTGATCCCCATTGACCCACTGATGTTAAGTGTGTAAGTAAACCCATCATACAGAATAGTAAATCTGCTTTCTACAGAGTACTCTGCCACTGTGTTGACCAGTGTAGTCTCTTTTTCTCAATAAAACAAAGTAAAGTATGAGTCAGCATGATAAGTGTTGTCTATTTCCTTCTCAATGCATGCTTGTTAAACTTCTGGAGGACATTTTTACTCTTTTTACATCTTAAAAAAGCTGATTATTGCAAAATCAAAAGACCTATAAAGAAACAGAAAAGTACATAAGTGTAAACAGAGAAGCAACAAGCACTGGTTCAGTCTTTGACAGCACAGTTAAATCCCCTGTAAGGAACTTTAAGTTTGAGTCTGTTTTGGTGTCCCTTGTGGAAAAAATACTGGGCTCCTCACCATGTCTACATGCTTGAGTTGTAGCTTTTTGAACCTTTAAATATGTGAGGCAAGAAAGTAAATTCAGGGCTGTTTCTTAAGCCTCTTGACTGACACCTATCCCCTCACACCACTTTCAAGAATTTTAAATTGAAAAATAGAAGTCAACAATCTTGACTCTGATGGTCTTTTGTGCTTTTGGGTGTCATGAGAGAGCATCATATTTGTTTTATAAATATCAAACAACCTTCATAGGAGCTTTAAACAGCAAAGGGTTCAAAGCCTTAATTAGTTGACTGTTAGCAAAAACTATTACGTTCATTAGCAAGGGAAAATTTCCAATGTTTTCTGTTTTCTTTAAGATCCTAAAGCAGGGTAGCATCATGGCAAAAACCTGGCTCTGAAAGGGTAAAAATAATATAAATATTATTTATATTTTATATGAATAATTAGGGAAGATGTGGACCCAAAAAATGAGCCCCAAAATAGTTCAAATTCAATAATATTTATACATATTTTTATAGCTGTATTTCTTTAATGAACATGTTATGCACAAAATGGTTTAAATGTAAACAAGATTAAAGTGATACCAGAGGGTTAAACTCAGAAATTTATATCTGTTGCCCTTCGTATGCTTGCATAATGAAATATGGTGCTAAAAGAGAGTCCTATATAGTTGTTTTTTTAGAGTTAAAGACACTAAAGCTGTCGTTGTCCCTTCAATCCTGTTACTATCTTCAACCCTGTTCCTAGTCTCAACACCATCACACCTACATTTTCACACATTATTTTTAAAAAATGTTGGAAAAAATAATCTAATGTTTGTTGACTTTTGTTTAAAATGTTGAGACCTATCAAAAGATCATGGATTTAATTACAATTCCTCAGTAAAACAAGGTTTTTGATAAAGAAAACACAAGAGTGCTTTTACACATAGGTACATTTAAGGCTTTAGGGCAGCAAAAATGTAAGCATTTGTGTCATTTTTGTGTTTGAAATTATTGAAATAGTGTGGGGGACACCTGACGGATATGAAAAATATTGCTTTCTTTGGAAATACTTTTTTTGATTATATTCAGAGAGTTTACATTTTGTCCATAATGGAGTTGAAGAAAAACAGTGACCACATCTTGAAATAATGACAAATAATAACAGAGAAACAATGCCTGGGCTGGGAAAATGTGTTTTTCTGAAACTTAAATATGTCCTTAATGCTGGGGGGTATAAATCCAAATACATTTTGGTCAAAAATGTGAGAATGTCTAGGACCAATTTTAACTATTCTCTTGTAATGGCACATGTATTGGAATAAAAAAGGAATCATTGGAGCATCCAAATATATAATATGCTATGATAATAATAATAATAATAATAATAATAATTATTATTATTATTATTATTATTATTAAGTCGTAAGTTGAATTTAAATGTTGCATTTAAAATGACCAATGTTTATAAGAGTTTTTTGTCGAGTTTTTGTTCATCTCGAGTAAACTACAAACGTCAAAAAGCGTCTTTTTTGTCGACAACCCAGCTCCAGATTTTGCTGTGAAATATGAGCTCACGGCGCCCTCTGCTGGAGCGTTAATGACAGACACCTGCTGCCTAATGAACAGCCAATAGGATCAAAGTAAGAGCAATACTTCCGGTATCACGCAAAGCGAAATTATGATGCGAGGATCAGAGAGGGGATACCTGTCCCTGTCATGATTTAACAGCTGTCCATTCATTCGTACCAGCCGAATGTCCACCGCTATAGTCCCAACTGCGGCGTTTGTTGACGCTTTATGAGAGGAAGCTCCAGGTTGGTGTGTTTGAACTCTATTAATTTGCTATTTCTAGAGAGCTAAGCCTGTAAGCCTGCACCAAAAACAAGCTGAGTATTGCCGGGTAAGCCTAAATCTGCTTTAACTCTACAGTGGTCCTTTACTATAAACATTTCTGCTTATATGACCCTCTATTCACTCACACCTGCTGTAAATAACCCTTTTACCCTCATTCCCAGCTTGTGTTGTTTGCAGCATGCTAAATTTAGCTCTATAGCGTATTAAACATTTATAAACAACACACAAAACCAAAATAAACGCCACATTTTATGTACTGCTGTCACTATAAATTTGCATCCACGTCTAGCTTTGTCACTGTTGTTTTTCTCTTAAGTATTGGCTGTTTTTATAGTGTACTTGATGTAGGTGACAGAGGATACGCCTATTAGCGTCAGCATCTCTACGGGTTACGCAGTGTTGTGAAACGGAGACAACAAGCTTTGAGCATCTTTTGCAATATTTACATTAATAACTGTAGTATTATACTTGCATTAACGTCTGTGTTGTGTCAGTGTTGTGACAGTATGGGTCAAGATTCAGCATGAGGTTAGTGTCATCTTAGCACATGACCCTGGTTAATGAGAACAGCCTGCTTCAGGTTTGGTTTGAAGGCACTGATTTTGAGGCTTTTAGTCCTCGTTGTTCAAGTCAGGTTACATGTGCACACACACACACACACACACACACACACACACACACACACACACACACACACACACACACACACACACACACACACACACACACAGAGACAGAGAGAGAGAGAGAGAGAGAGAGAAAGTAAACACTTTTACTGTTTGAAAAAATACTCCTTTAACATGTCAAAAACATATAACATAATGAGTGATGTCCATTTTTCACATTGCCTGTTTTTATCTGTTGTTCCCATGCATGCATTGTATACTGCAATGAAATATGACCCTCAGTCTAAAGGAAAAAACGCATTTAATGTCAAATATTTGTAAAGCTATAGATTTACTTTCTGGGTTCATAGCAGAATAAGTATCGCCTATGATTGTCCGCCTCAGGCCCTGAGCTCCTTCTTCTCTTGGGTTCCTCTGGACTGTTGCTGCAGACATGAACATCAGCTTCACTGACATTAATAACATAAAACTAGAGTTGACTACTATTAGGGCTGCTGACTGTAATCACATTAAATTAATTTAACATAGTCCATAATTACTCATATCCTAACTCTGTAAACTGAATTCATTTTGTTTCACCATTACATGAGCTGCTGTCTCTCTCTCTCACCCTCGTTCTCTACTCTTTCTCCCTCCCTCTCCCTTACAAATTCTCTCTCTCCTTCCCTCTGGCTTGTTCTCTTTCTCTCCCCCTGCCCTCTCGCCACTTCTCTCTCTCTCCCTCTCTCTCTCTCCCTCTCTCCCCCTATCTCTTTCATCAAACAATGAGCGTGGTCTAGACCTGCTCTTGTTCTTTGAAAAACATCTTGGGATGATGACTGTTGTAAATCGGCACTATATAAATAAAATTTGATTGATTTGATTGATAAGTGTATAAAATGGTTTGCATGGGACATAGTCACAAAAACTGCCTCCTCCTCAACACCTCAAAGACAAAGGAGATGGTCATAGACTGTTGTAGATCCAAACCCCCTCTTCAGCCAGTGAACACCTGTGGAGAGGACATCGAAGTGATGACATCATATAAATACCTAGGTCTACATCTGGATAATAAGTTGGACTGGTCTAAGAATATAGACTACAGCTACAGAAAGGGGCAGAGCCGCCTCTTTTGCCTGAGAAGACTCCGATCAATAGACATCTGTAGTAAGACGCTGCAGATGTTTTATCAGTCTGTGGTGGAAAGTGTTCTGTTCTACGCTGCAGTCTGCGAGGGAGGAAGCATCAAACACAAAGATGCAAGATGTCTTTAAAAACTGGTGAAAAAGGCTGGCTCTGTGGTAGGATTCAAGCTGGACTCAGTGGAGGATGTGGTGGAGAGATCTACACTGAGGAAGGTGGAGACTATTCTAAAGAACATGGATCACCCACTTCACAACACGTTGATGGACCAAAGGACCAATGGTGGTGGACGGCTCCTCTCTCTTTGCTGCAGGACAGAAAGATTCAAAAGATCTTTTGTAACAACAGCCATTAGACTTTATAACTCGTATAAATTGTAGATAACTTTTAGATTGACATGACAAATGAGACAACAGACAATTGAATTTCCCTTCAGGGATCAATTAAGTCCTTTTTATTCTTATATCATAGTGATGCAGCTACAAATAAGGGCCTTGCAGTATGAATTTTATGCTAACAGACTGAGATTTCATAGTTAAAACAGTGTCTACATTCACCGTCACTCTTCCTCACGTTCCCCAGGTTCCACTTCAATCATGCCCATCTCCTTGCTATGGGCGGTGGATGTATACGGGCGGGTCTACAGCCTCTCCACAGTGGGGCAGCAATGGGAGCAGTGTCGAGATGCTCAGATGGAGTTCAAGCGGGTGACGGCAGCTCGGCAGTGCTGCTGGGGTATTGCCTGTGACAACAGCATCTACCTGAACGTCCATGCTTCTGACCTACCAGTCCGCTACCAGGAGGAGACCTACGAGAACCAGGTTTGTGTCTGCCCTCATAAGTGCCTTTATATAGACAGGTTTTTCTCATGGAGGATTTAAGTTCTTTAAATTTCCTTGAACCCCCTTTTGTTCCTACTTAAAATATGCCAAGTCAAATCGAAAAAATGGAGTTCCCCTTAATCTTGTGTCATGTGGAATGACTGAAAGTGTAAGTGCAACATCCTCATACAGGAAAATCCAATTTCCTATGTTGCAAACTTCAGTAGACTGTCAAAACAAGCCAACAAGAAGCATGTTGAACCAAATTTCAAGCCACTTACTGCCAGAACATTCAATGTGAATCTTTAATTCCAATGAAAATCAGATTGATGCCATTTTGAATATTTTGGGCCAAGTTTGTTTTCAGTCATGTGTGCTTGATGTGTGTTTGATGTGAGCATTATACATGCTTTTACATGTTCTGTCTTTTGTCAGAGGTGGAACCCCGTTGATGGTTTCTCTGATCGGTTGTTGCCAAGCGATCGATGGCAGTGGAGTGATGTCACAGGTTTGCAACATCAGCCTCTTGACGGCTTCCTGCTCCCCTCCAACAGCTGGGAGTGGGAGGGCGACTGGTACGTGGATGAAAACTTTGAAGGGGAACCTACAGAGAAAGGAGTAAGTGTTCAATGTTTGTTTGGTTTTGGTAAATTTGTTTCTTTTTTTTCCCGTTGTAATCATTGAAATACTTTTATTTGCAGGGGTGGAGCTACGCCATCGATTTCCCTGCTACATACACCAAAGACAAAAAGTGGAATTCATGTGTTCGTCGCAGAAGATGGCTCAGATACAGGAGATACAAAGCCATGGATACCTGGGCTAAGGTGTGTGCTAGTCCGTATGTGTGTGTGTGCGTTATAAATGTGTGTTTGGCGTTTTCATTTTTTCACCCCCTCTCCCCTGTGTGTGCTGACAGATCCCCTCACAGCAGACATCCCTACCAGATCCCTTCAGTGACATCAGCTGTGGGGGCTGGGAGGTCAGCGAGGAGCCCAGAGGGCGGCTGTCACTGTGGGCTGTGTCCCTGCAGGGCAAGGTACATCTCACACAGACACACTGGTCTTCAATTTAATAAATGCAATCTCATAGATCACATTTATGAAAATTGCAGGTGATCACAGGTAAGAATGTAGTGGTTGATATTAGGTAGAAGCTGAATACCTGTGTGGGCATGTCTTGCATTTTGCACCTCCAAACTTTTACTTGCTCTGCACAAAAAAAAGTTTAACCTTGTAAAGTGTAACTTTCACATTCAGGATCAAAAGTCCTTGAATCTCCCATCAACTAGGTTTTTTTTTATTTTAGTGATATACTAACTGTAAACATCCATGCTAAGGATTTGCAAGTGTGTCTAGTTTCTTCATTAAACAAAAAAACTTAATAACAAATGTTGACTTCTTGTTCTGACTTCTCACCCAACTCTCCTCTCTTTCCAGGTGTGGTTCAGAGAGGGAATCTACCACCACAATCCTGAGGGTTCTTCATGGGAGGAGGTCTCTCTCCCTGGGGAAGTGGTCCAGATCAGCTGTGGCCCAGGGGATCTTGTCTGGGCAGTGCTGTGGGAGGGTCAGCTCATAGTCAGAGAAGGCATTGGCAGAGACTGCCCTAAAGGTACATCAGCTGATCAATGGTAAAAGCACCTGGTTTGACTGTAATGTCTGTATTGTCCTTATTCAAGATATTATTGTATATGCATCTCAGGGACCTCCTGGGCCATGGTGGACTCCCCTAGTCCAGACGTTGGAGCTACACATGTAGCTGTGGGAGTGAACGTGGTTTGGGCTTTGACCAAGGATAACAAAGTAAGAAAATTCAAACATAAACATGGTAGGAATCAATTTATTTAAAAAATAAACAGCTGAAAACTATTTAAATGAAGTAAGACATTGTTTGTTTGTTTTTTACTGTTATACAAAATTTTAGTCATTACTAATAAAACATTGCTTTGAGTTACTGCATCTGGTAAACCATACAAACCTTACAAAACACTATCTCTATAGTGATTATTTTCTGTTGTTATTTTTATTACCCAAATTTGCTATTTGAAATGGGCATCTTTATATATTAACCCAATACTGTGTCAAATTAACATTGTTTTCATCTTGGCACTCTCTGTACCTGTTTGACTAAGAACAAGATTTCAAACACAAAAATAGTTACACTCTTTTTTGTATTTTTCAGTTTACCATTATAAATAAAGTAAAATCTCTATGTATTACACTACTTTAAGCTGTAGTGATAGTTTGGCTTTGTCCATTTTCATTGAATTTGCTGTAGACAACAAGCCGCTCTCAAAATTCACATTGTCAAGAAGGAGACAAGTCACTGATGGTTATTTGATTTTGAATTCTGCTTCAAAGTGTGTGAGCAGAATTCTGTTAAAAACGTGACGTCTTTTCTCCCATCTCTCTGGTTTTGTCAGGTATGGTTCAGACGTGGCGTGAACTCTCACAACCCCTGCGGCTCAGGCTGGATCAACATGGTGGGGGAAATGATCATGATCAACGTTGGCCTCAATGACCAGGTGAACATCCACATAGTCAGAAACCCAACGTATTCAGTAACCCCTTCTCACTGGTATAAAGCAAGTCCACATTTTTGGTTGATCCTTTACTGTTGGGTGCAGGTGTTTGCTATCAACTGTGAGGATCGGGCAGTGTTCTTCAGACAAGGTGTGACCTCCAGTGAATTGAGTGGGAAAACCTGGAGGACCATTAATGTCCCCCGGGACGGGGACCGATCACACTCAAGTGCAAGTGCAAGCAGCCTGCAGAGGTGAGAAGACTTAGAAAACACACACACATATAGACATCCACAATAGAGACAGATTTAGTCAAAATTTAATATCTTTGAGATCAGGAAGCGAGGAGGAGATTCGTTGTGGATTTTTGCACGGGGTTTATGTATCCAAGTTTCTAATGCAATGACCCAAAACTATCAGACATTGACTGTGATATCGATGATGCATATCAGCTTTCTGAAGCCAGAATACTCCCACAACAAGTGCCCGCCAATATTTTTAGAGCCTGAGTCTATGCAGCTTACAGATTGGCTGGTTCACACACAATACTAACCCCCTGCCCTTTGGGCTAACCAAAACCTGACCCTGATCCCCTCATCCTGATTCTTCACAGTGCTGGATGTTACTTTTGCGGTGAGGTCCAGGCCCAGACAGCAGCGAGTGATGTGGAATCAGACACAGACAAAGTATCCACAGATGGAGCCAACTGCCTTGTCGCCTCCACCTCCCCAGAATCCTTCGTCGACGCCCCCACAGACCAGCCCACAGAGACCCCCAAACCCCGCATCCCCAAAGTCACCAGCGACAGCTTCATCTCTGAACTGGTCTCTGACAGAGAGCCAGGAAAGTGCTCCAGAGACAAAGCTCCTGCTGTTCTGGAAGAGGAGCCCCTCACTGAAGACGGTGAAGTCAAAGCCTCCTCTGATGGTGTTGCTGTTCCCCAAAGTCAATCTGGGGCTCCTCTTGATCTCCAGTGGAGTAATGTGGACCTGGAGGAGGCACAGAGTCAGCGGGTTCAGACTGGAGCAGTACTGGAGGAGGCTGACACCTGCAGCTTGTCATCAGTGGCCACATACACCCTAGCCATGGAGGACCCATATGGAGCAGATGAGCACCCTCTGTGGGCGTGGGTCAGTGGAGGAGGGTGCTCTGTAGACAGCCACTCTCAGCTCAGCTGGTTCAACTGCTCCACGAATGCTTCCTGTGAGTTCATTAAGGAAGGTTTGAACTCCATTTTTCAGCTTTTAACACTGAATAAGTTCATAAGGGAAAGATGCTCTTTGGAGGTGAGACAGAGCTCTGCAGTCGACTCTAGCATGACTCAATCTTCATCTCATGTCAACAGGAGAACAAAAAGAGAAGAAAAGCAACCACTTTTGATTATTTTCTGTTTTTAGGTAGTTCATTTTTTCCATTTTGGTCTCCCTCAGCTTTGGTCCAGTCCGTCCACTCCATGGGTCTGTCAGTCACCCCAGCCCAGACAGCGGCCTGGAAGAAACAAATCTTTGAGCAACTCAACGAAAGGACCAAAAGAGAGCTGGATAACTTCAGACATTACGAACAAGCCATAGAACAGGTACAATCAGGATACTGCACATTTGTAAAGATGGTCATTCAGAATGCTTATTCTGTGTCTCTTTTTGTTCGTGTTGTATGTCTGGATACAGTCAGTGTGGGTGAAGAAGGGAACCATGCAGTGGTGGAGGGACTGGAAGCCACACAAGTGGATGGACGTGCATTTTGCCCTGGAGCAGTTCTCAGGACCAGAGGGCAACAAGGACGGCATCCTTTTTATCTACTACAACTTCTATGAGGAGAAGAAGGTGAGGAATGTGCGTCCGTTTGTAAAACAGGGATTGGAGTTTGTTATCACAACACAGTGACAAAGTCAGGTTGTCATAGAGCCAACAGACAATAGATTCATCTAGCAGAAGAATGAGTCATTAACATGAATCATCACTGCTGTTCCTCTCTCACTCTTACTACTGCTTTCCCTCCTTCCCTCAGTCTTTATTTTCTTTTTTGACTATTTGTCTTATTTACGTCTTTGGTGTTGCCCTCTCCAGTACCTTCATGCGTTCATCAATGAGGTCACCATCCTGGTTCCTGTGCTGAACGACTACAAACACACTTTTGCCATCTACACCCCTGAGCGGACCAAACAAAGGTGGCCAATCAGAGTGGCTGCAGCCACGGAGCTGGAAATGCATGATTGGGTAAAGAGAAATACTCACGCAGAAAAGCAGAATGAAGCTATTTTTCACTCTGATTTTGTCTGATTTGATATGAAAAAACTGACTCGAGATTCTTATTGTCTTCTTTCAAGATGCATGACATGCCCACGCACGTCTGCATCTCCATCTTTAACGCCTCTGTCTGCGCCCTCTAATCATTCTGTTTGCGTGTCTCTCTCTCTCTCTCTCTCTTTTTGATTCACTCTGTCTGTTGTCTGTTGGTCACGATCTCAAGCTGGCATTGTTGAGCGTGTCGTGCTGCGACTCCAGGGGGATCCAGGGCCCCCCCTCCAAACAGGCCATCTGGTCCATCACCTGTAAAGGGGACATATTTGTCAGCGAGCCGTCTCCCAGTCTGGAGGCGGCGCCTTACCCGACACCCTGTGACCAGATGTAAGAATGACCGATGAACCTTTGACATACAGGAAATTACATAAATGTAGATTTTCAATCATTGTGAAATTTTTACTGATGACATTTGTAAGCTTGTTTGTTCTCTCTCCCTCAAATCAATAAATGTAAAACCCCCTTTTCTTTGGTTCAGGTTCTGGCGACAAGTGGGAGGTCACCTCCGTATGATTGAGTGTAACAGTGTTGGCATTGTGTGGGGTATCGGCTACGACCACACGGCTTGGGTCTACACAGGGGGCTATGGAGGAGGATTCTTCCAGGGTCTGGCCAGCAGCACAGATAACATTTACACACAGGTGGATGTCAAGAGTGTTTACATCTACGAGAACCAGAGATGGAACCCTGTCACCGGCTACACCAACAGGTATGGTGCTTGCTCTAGGTGTTGCTGAAATTCAAGTTACAGAGGGAAGTCTGCACTTTGCATATCTATGAAATACATCTGGATAGTTCAGAAAGGGTACAAGGTAGGGTATGACCTCAAATCAATATCACCATATATTGAGCAGTTCACCTCGATAACGATAAATGGACGATAACTACTCCACAAGCTGCTCACACCCTCCCACATTAACTTCGTCTACTTCAGCTGCTACTCCAGTCGCTACAACTTTTGAACCGTCCTCCATGTCCTCACCTGTCTTTCCCTCTTTGTTACGGACTGGATGGGGTGGAGTCCAACTTTTATTTAGTTTTTTTTTTTTTGACACAAATATATTGATATGGCCAAAATAATGTCAGTTATTGTTGTAAATTTTCGGTTTATCGCCCAGCCCTAGTGCAAGGCACAGACAGAAAGTAATGTGCAGGCTTCTGATAGAAACTAGAGTTGAAATAACTATTCTCCATCTGACCGTTTCCTCTCACTCTTTACTACAACACCACATCATGAAAAACAAATGGAAACTCGCTGCTTGTAGTGGTTTGATTTTAAGCATAAAATACTCCCTGGACTCATTTTATGTCTTTGCTTGTTTGTATTTCAGAGGACTACCTACAGACCGTTACATGTGGAGCGATGCATCAGGGCTACATGAGTGCACAAAAACAAACACAAAACCCCCCTCTCCTCAGTGGACATGGGTGAGCACAACTACACACACTCACACACACACACACACACACACACACACACTTTTCCAAGATACTAATGAGTTGAGAGTGCTCACTTCTGTTCTGCTGTTCTCAGGTGTCTGACTGGGCCATTGACTACAGTGTCTCAGGGGGGACTGACAGAGAAGGCTGGCAATATGCGGCTGATTTTCCAGCGTAGGTTTCATTTGCCACTTTCCAAACGGTCTCAGTGTGTAGTTTGTTACCAAATACTCTGCCTTCAGAATAATGACATGTTTTTCATCACACTCTGCAGATCGTATCACGGCTATAAAACCATGAAGGACTTTGTGCGTCGCAGGCGATGGGCCAGGTACTATAAAAATTTACTACGCTGTTAGCCTGTCCAACCTATTTGTTTGTTTAGCAGGTACAGAGTGGCCTGAAAAACGACATTAGCAGTTTTTTGTGTGTGTGATTGTGTGGCACAAAAGCAGAGGATAAAATATAGAAGTGTAGAAAATCATTTTTATGATCAATCAGTGTGAAGTAATGAAATAGCATGTTTGTGGCAGGATATATTTTTAAACAGACCTTAAATAAGAGTTACAGAAATTGCTGCTATTTGGAAAAACATAAGAAGGAGCATCTTTACAAACATTTATCTTTAAAGCATTTGGTGAGCTATGAGATCATGTTACTGTAGTTTCAGCTAAATTAGCTACATAGAATAACTGTTTATTGAAAATGATTTTAATCCCAAACATACAGTCTTACATCTCTCATAAGACAGTGCTTTTAGGAGATGCAGATGATTAAAGAAAGTCATTCATGTTGTGTAACTGTTTTCATAACTTTCTTATCGGGTGTTATTTTTGCTTGTCATTATTTGAAAGAAAAATGTGTTTGAACGTAACGCCTATTATCAGAGATCAGCCAATCAATGCTGAATTATGGTTTGAGTTTTAACATGAACATTTTAGCTTCATAACAACATCATAGCCTGTATTAGCATATTCATATTTTAAGACCATGGTCCCAGTCTTCTGCTACATCCACAACACCTGAACCATTTTACCTGCAGAGATAAGAGTGCCTGAGCTTTCTGTCCCATTTCCTGTACAGGAAGTGCAAACTAGCCACCACTGGACCCTGGCAAGAAATCCCCCCGATACCACTGAGTGATGTAACCATCCTGCCATGTGCCGCTCAGAGCAGCGTGGACGTGGTTTCTCTGTGGGCGATCAGCAACAAGGGAGACGTGCTCTGCAGACTGGGAGTCACCGCTCTGACACCTGCTGTGAGTCACGACTAGATATCCAGACACTCCATGAACAGGTTATACACTGTTTGATGAGTCACACACGAGCAGTTAAGGCACTTTCCTTTTCTCATGGCATAAGTCCTGATCACTTACACACTTTCCACCTCAGTTTTGAAAAGTTTTTCTAAGTCTTTTCTAATCTTTAGATTTCATTTTTGGCATAGTTTTGGTTCGGGGTGTCAATGCAAAATTGCCAGAGATACAGTCCTCCTGACAAATTGCTCTTATTAGGTTTCTAAATACAGAAAATTCAGGGGTTCTATCTGTAACGCCCAAACAAAAAAGACCATAACACCCTCTCGTTGGTCTCTCAGGGATCCTCGTGGCTCCACGTAGGAACAGACCAGCCTTTCAAGTCCATCTCCATTGGGGCTGCCAGCCAGGTTTGGGCCATTGCCAGGGACGGGTCTGCCTTTTACAGAGGATCAGTCTCTTCACAAAGCCCAGCAGGTCAGTTGGAGAAACTGTGATATGCCTGTTAAAAATCCCGGAAATAGAACTTAAGCAGTTGTCTAAGTTAAAACAATATTTACTCCTGAACGAACAGATAAAAAAAGACCTTCCATGCAGTTAACAGATCATGTTTACTTGGTGTTTGTCTCCCTCCGCAGGAGACAGCTGGTACCACATCCCTTCCCCAGCCAAGCAGAAACTAAAGCAGGTCTCTGTAGGGAGAACGTCTGTCTACACAGTTGATGAAAATGGTAATGCACTTGTCTATTTACAGTGACACATACATGCATTATTATAGGTAAATACCAGATAATCATGAGCCAGGTGTGGTCTAATAATGTGTCTGTCATCCAGGTAATCTATGGTATCGCCAGGGTGTGACGCCCAGCTACCCCCAAGGCTCAGCCTGGGAACACATCTCTAATAATGTACGCAAGGTCTCTGCAGGACCTCTGGACCAGGTCAGTACCAAAACATCAGGACTAAATGGTGGGACTTGTTTGAGATGCCACTGCTATTTGCTATAACGTGCCACACAAAGAGTGAGATGGTAGACATGGCCATTGAAATACCTTTTATTATTATTATTTGGTACTGAAGGTCAGACTATTGTCTATTTATACATATATATATATATATATATATATATATTTGGAGCTCCTAACACTAGTATGAATTTTTTCTTGAATGAGTCAAGTTTTCCCAATTTATACATCTACACTAAATCTGTCTAAGCCTTCTTAAAAACACAATTTGGAAGTCATAAACATTATTGCGTGGGGTTGATTTGTGTATTTTCTTTTTAATTCTGGATCATAGGTTTGGATCATCGCAGACAAAGTGCAGGGCAGTCGCAGTCTGAGCTGTGGGACAGTTTGTCACAGACTCGGGGTCCATCCAGCAGAGCCTAAAGGACAGTCATGGGACTACGGCATTGGGGTATGTCACTACACAACCCAAACTTACAACAGTGTTTTCAGAAGGTTTTGGATTTGACAAAATTTGTTTTTTTAGTAAAATTAAACGTGATTTTTGGATAAATACTACCATCTACTGCATCAGAGTGATGATGTTAGATTATTGAGCTGTCAGTGGGCCAACAGGCATATTATTGACCTGTCAACAAAGTGTTTTTGGCTGCTATTTGATTTGACAGCCTTTACCTTTAGATACCAAAGACACGATGAACCCCTGTCATCAGGGTTTTTGTGCTGAATTAATTTTTCTGCAACAAAAACAACTAAAAAGAAAATTAGGTAACAGTCTTTAATTTCAAATTTTTGTTAAATATTGAGTATTGACAAATGTAACTGTGAGGTATTGGATACTGGTGCAGGAGCCCTTTTGGTTTTGTGATCACAGAATCATAAAATACTTCCATGTAACTGAAGTCTTTCTGTCTCTGATCTTGTCTTCAGGGTGGTTGGGATCACATCACAGTCAGAGGGAACTCCATGGAGCCGCCTCGTCTTCCCTCTCTCACAGACACCCTACTACAATCCTAGGACCACTTTCCTCTCAGGACCACAGGGATCAACACTGATGTTGTGGTTTGTTAAAAACACATACATCCACGAGTGCACACCTACTGTACAAAGCAAATCCTGAACCATTGTACCTTTGTTATTTTAGTTTCATTTTGTTTTGTTTTTTTGTTTAAAGGTAAATCTTGATTTACAGCACAGTCGGTAGACTTCATATTACCATGTGACAGAAAAATGTGACTTTTGAACACTGAGCTCGATGTTTAATGCTGAGCTAATGCTGCCTCTTTCTCCCTAAAGAGAAACTCTCGTTTTTTTTAACTTGAATGTATGTCATTTCACCAACTATTCATCTCCTCTGTGTTTGCTGTTTTTAAAAGGGAAATAAGTTGATGTACTGTTAAGGTGTCAGCTCCTGAGCTTGTAATGTAAACAAAGTGGAAATGAGGTTTCATTTTAGCCTGCAGGCAACAGGCTGACAAATGTCACCCAAAGAATAAAACCCAATTACTCCAGAAACAAAAGAAACAATGAAGACTGGATCAAACAGGCAGGACAATGTCTGATCCAGTCCTTACTGGCTGAGCTTTTTGTTGTCTTCTCTTTTTTTCTACTTTTTTTTAGGTTCATGAAAAGACTTTTTTCAGTACCACAATTCAGAGATATTCAATTTAGTATAAAGCTGAGTTTTGATGGCTGTGAGTTTTCTGTTAATCAAAGAAAACACTTAAAAAACACACATCAGTCTTGATCTGTTATAGTGTGGTACCATTAAAGCTCCTCTGAGGTACCTCCAATGTTGTTGGCCCCTTTAAATAGATTAGACTTTGCTGTTTTTGAGCTGTACACATGACACTCGTGTTTCCAAACAACAAAAATCTTACAAGTGGACTGGTGTTTTTAATTCCAAGCCAGCGTGTAGCATCAATCACAACACCTGCACTAGCTTCATTTACCTGTGGTGGTTGCTGCTAGCTTTGAGCCAACATCTGAGTGATATTTTAAAAAGATTTTAAAGTTTATTTTCAACAAATAGGTAATTATTGTCACTCTGTTGTTTTCATGGTGTAAGTGCAACGGTTGGTGGTGTAAAGAAAGGCCAAGTGTGGATTACTCGTAAAAGTCTTGTGGTCAAAATGATCGAACTAACCTTCCTCTTTTCTCAGGAGAATATGTGCATGCTGTCTACTTCCTTTGTACTGATGTCAAGCAGTCAACAGAAAAGGCTAAAACTGCTGTATATGTAAAATAGCTGTATATCTGTAAAATATGAGTTTGAAATAGTGAGTATAATGGTCATATATAAATGTAGGGTTGTGTTTTTGACAATGCAGCTTTCTGCTGGCTAATATAAAAGAGAAAACACGCTGATGAACTGCATCTGCCCCAGCATTAATTTCTATTAACTGCCTAAACTCCCTCATGTCATTATGTCATGTTTGAATATGGTGCAGCTCGGAAATGTTGGAAGCGTTCAGGAGTGCGGCTGTATTATCTGTGAATAACATCTCACTGTTCCTGTAACACAAATGTTCTTTTAACACTATGGAGTACATTTCTCACACTTTGCATGGTCAAAATAAAACTCCTTGTCAATAAATAAATGTGTTTATTGATACCTCTCCTCATCTTTTTCACTATAATGTCCCACCTCAAGACACACAGAAACACAAAAGTCAAATAACAAACACTCATCGTCCTTGCCTTCCAGCTACAGATGCGCAACCTGTAAAAAGACAAGTAAATGTGTACTGAAATTTTTTTTTGAAAAGAGCAAACAAAATGCTAGCCTTAAAATTTCAATACTTAGTCTTTCAGCTTGTCTTTCCTCTCTTCATGATTGTGACAGTTATGACCAGAGGCTACACTTGGCAGGTTTCTCAATAGCAAACACAAAAAGATCATGAGATAACACGAAGGAGAACAACTTTCCTGCACCACTCAAGCCTGTAGAAAAAAAAGGAGATAAGAGACAGAATGACCCTTCCTCAAAAAAAGTACAATAATAAATGAGTCTTTCTCCACCTCATGATAAATCCATGTGGTTTTCGCTGTCCAGTTTTCAGTCTTTGGGACCTCAAACTCCATATTTTGCATGTTACAGTTTGACAACCCCCTGCTATGGTCAGTCATCTCTAACCATCCAGTTCATACAGAGGACTCCACCTTGTCTTCTTGTAGAAAACTGGAATTTATTTGGACCCTAGAAGTTTACCCACACCTCAGTCTGACTTGAAAACAGCTTCCATCCTGGGGCTCCTCTGGTCTCAAGGCCAGACTCAGCCACTGTTAGCTTTGTTGACTTAAGCTGTGCACATGGGTGAGGTACTGGGTGAGATCAGCCTCCCCCTCCTCCTCCAGGTGCTGCTGGTAACACTGGAGCAACTTGGCAGCACTGGCTTCTGATGGGACCCCCCCAGCAGGCAGACATGCCCCTGACATATCCAAGATGATGCTGGTTAAGGATTTGATGTAGTTCTTGGCCAGGGTCAGGGTCTCAATCTTGGACAGCTTCTTTTCAGTCTTGACGTGTGGGATGGCCTCTCGTAATGCTTGGAAGGCATTGTTGAGTTTGTGCATGCGCTGGCGTTCCCTCTCATTGCTCTCCAGCCGCCGGATGCTGCGCTCCTTGTTGCTGGAGCCGTGCTGCCTACGCCTCCGACCTCCCCCTGCACCTCCTTGACGCTTCCCATCTCCACTTCTCAAGGATCCTCTCCAGGAGCCTCTGATCCGGACAGAGGCCTCAGAGCCCTCCTGCTCACTTGAACCTGGTTCACTGGTGTCTGGTTCCAGCTCTGGATCTGGGTCAGACCAGGTCCTCCTGGGTGGTTTGGAAACCTTTCCTTTGGACTTCATCCTGCACCCTCCTTTTTCTCTCTTTCTGTGATACTGAAGTTCTTACAGCTCCCTCAGCCCTGGAGTAAAAACAGGGGATTTAGGAAACAAAACAAACAGAGATAGCTTTTTTTTCTATCCTTTTTCTTTCTCTTTTTTTTTTAACGGATCCTTTCCGAAAAACAACCAATACGCCTCTATCCAATTCAAACAGTTTTGCATCCTGTTGTATCTAATCAGGCTGGTGCAGTGTGAAAACTCCATGATGCTGATGTGTTAATCTACCCCTCTCTTATCCCCACAGGCCTGTGATAATGCCCATTTCAAGGTTACACTCACAACAACAGAGAGCCCAGCCAGCACTCTCTATTTATCACCTATACTCTTATTAAAGATAGTTTATCAGTAAATTATCCCCTTTTAAACTTATTTATAAAAGAACCTCATACACACAGCTCATCATGTTAAAATATATAATTAGCAGTAGATCTAAGCAAGTTTCACACTGCTGTTTTACATAGATATATACTCACAATAAAGATTACTCTATTTTGCTACTTGATGTGAGATAACTCTCATTTACTTGATTTACTTACACATAGAGAGACACATACACACACTCTGTCAACATAAAAGTGACAAAAACAGTGCGACATGACACATGAACACTCACCTTAAAAGTTTGAGTAACTTTCCTTCCTCCTGAGTTTTTACAGAAAAATCAGCACCATGCAGCCGGTCATTGAAAACAGCATCATGCAATAAACGCAGCAGAGCGGCTCCGTATAGCGGACACACACTCACACACAGAGATAACTGTCACATGCGAGCTACCTGTTAGCTGACTGATGTACACGTTGCTCTGCTCAGCCAATCAGAGAGCAGGAAACACTCCCCTCCAGATCAGCGTTCAGCCCACATGAACCTAAAAGCTACTGCTGCTGTGGAGTGGGAGTTACCGTCCTAAATAACATCTGTATTCACAAATAATGAGAGAAACAATAACATTTTAAGTATAGAGAGTGAGTATTATTTAACAATGTGCTCTCAGTGTTAAAATAGTTCACAATGAACGTCTTGAAGTACTTCTCCAAAAGTGAAAGCCGTTTTAAAGTTACAGGTATGAGTAGGCCTATCAGGAACATCATAGACTACACAACGTTCAAAGATTATTATTGGGTGTTTACTATATATACACAACGAAAAACCAAAATGTGTTAATGTTAGAAGTTGAGCCACTGTTGTATCAACTTGAACTGCTGTAATCTGTTGTAAATAAGTGTAGATTTATAAAAATTTGAAAAATAAAAAAAGGATAGGGGGGCTTTTGTCACTCTCAAATATTTCCTCTGAACTATCATCAATTTGTTGTGTCAATTTATTTGTCAAAGTTTAATCTGAACCACACCATCAAGATGTATTTTGCACATGATAAAAAAATAAACAAGTTGTTTGTTTTGGACCACTTTACTGATTCACTCGACCACATAGGGTGTACCTCACTTCTACTGTATATGAGACTGTATATGCCCCATGTGAAGAGTAAAATCGTTGACTTTTTTGTAATATGTAAGCTTTTCCCTCTACCAGAAGCAGCAGAAAGGCTCAGGTTTTTGCCAGTTGTGGGAGTTACATTATCAGATTGACAGAGGCCGAAACCCTCATTTAACTCAGAGCGGTTAACATAATTTCCATTGAGGCTTATCGCCCTCCACTGCTTCATTTGAATACAGTCCTCCAGGCTACACCTGAATGCACTCAGTAACAACTCTCATTCAAACACATTGGTTACATTATTTACTTTTTACCAGACAGTTTTTTTTTTTAACTTTGTATTGTTGTTTCTCATTTACTGACAGTTGTACAAGATAACAAACAAGGCAGATCAAGACTTAATGAGCAAACTGACCCTTTTCTCACTTGTGCGTGTGATTTGCAGTAATTCCACCTTGTCTGTTCGACCTGGGGCTTAGAGCACACTGTTGGCAGTTGAGATTATTGCCCTTTCCTGCTGTGACAGACAATGAAGTAGACGTAAGGTGGTGTCAGGACACTGAGACGTAGGCCTGTTTAGGTTCAATTGTGTGTCACAGTGTGGCTTATACAGTGAAAATCAGCACATACCAAAGTCTTGTAGCTTTTCTTAAATCTCCATGTTTTTTCTTTTTTTTAATGGATGGGTGTTCCTCTCAGTTACAGTCATTACTAGCCAATCAGAGCAACAGATTATATGTTGTAAGCTATGTACAGAGAGCTGAATAAGTTGCTGCTTACTTCAGTCGTCAGCATAGATGTGTACAACTACACTGGTGTTTCACATCATTTGTAGGTGACATGAACCTTGTCAATAACAATTCAGACTAGTTTTTACAATATACGTCTGAAAAGGGCATATTTCACCAGTTCAGACCACTGCTGTAGCCGCACCCATGCTAATCTCCTCAAAGGCCGCCATAGGCTTACAGTGACTTATTGTAGTCACAATTTTACATGCCCATACCTCTTACTTCCTCTCACTCAAATTACAAAAAGATCAGAGCAACTGTATCAACTCAAAACTCTTTGAGATGGATCTGCCAGTAATTTAGCCAATTTAGCTAAATTTAGCTCTTGGCGCTAACAGCTGCAGTATAGGTCATAGATCCCACCTCCGCCAGCAAAGTTTATGGGGCTGTGGACAAACTTTAGAAATTTATTACACAGAAGATAATTTTTTTTTCTCCCCTGCTTGCGATGTTGACATGTTATGTTACATGTTATTGTAAGACTGGTTCGTGCTCAAGTCTTCTTTTTTCTGTACAGCTCAGTTTTTAAAAGTTATCTGAGGGTTCATGTTTTCTATGATTGACACCTGATACAGCCAATGGGTGTACAAGGATTGTGTCGCTCACCCAGGTGATACGCTGTTTGAGCCGAGCATCATCACAGCGAGTCTCTGTGACTCTCCCGCCCAATGCGTACAATGCTACTGCGCAAGTGGAGGAGTGTGTACAACTCTACTGCACAATGTTGGTTTCAGGAAATGGAAAAAAAACCCAGAATTACTGAGAGATTTTTGGCTTCAAATCCGTGTACCGGCAGAAGGCGGAACCAAGTTGTCCATACAGTCTATGGTTTGAACTCTCAAAAAAGGAATAGTAGAAAACATTTGAGCAACAATAAAAACAAAACTTCAAGGTATTTTGTGTGAAAAAGACAAAAGTTCAACAAGTCGCACAAGTCGAGTGTTAGCAATATTAGCTCTGGATAACACCAGCGTGTCAAAACAATAATGTACAGGTGTGACGCTCCCAGCTCTCAGGCACACGTTTGGCTTTTGATGTCCTTGAACAGCGTGAGTGTGTGTGTGTGTGTGTGTGTGTGTGTGTGTGTGTGTGTGTGTGTGTGTGTGTAGGGGTGTGTGTATGTGTATGCGTGTGTAATGCTGGTTCTGCCAGGTTTCCTTTCTTTCCCAGGTACACTGTATCTAATCAGGCAAACCTCACTGATGCTGGCTCTGTAGAAACTTTATCTGTCACTGCTAGTTTGTTCAGTTCCTGCCTCCATTAGCCCTAAGGCTCAAGCTCACACTGTTTATTCAGTTGCAGTCGCTGATAAATTGTGAGCTGAAAAAACTTAAGTAATGAGGCAAGTAAATAGAGCCTTCACAAGCAAACACTGTTTGAGCAACCCAAACTGAATAAACAACATATAAACTTTGTGCTTCAACAAGTACAAAATAAAAATAGAATCAAGTAACATTTTAATTTCTTTATCTCACAAACATTTACATGGTTCTTTTTCACAGCTCAAGTCCAAGGACACATCCTCACATGAAAAACAGTCCCCAAAGAGCTCCACAACTGGACAGGTACCAGCTCTGTTACACAACTGGTCTGTTTTATCACATCATAGCCAACGACCGTGTCATACCAACAACTGTGAAAGCTGAATCCACTGTCACACTGTCCTACATGGTTGTGATGTCATGAACGGCAGGTGCTTTTTTTATAAAGAGAGGGGGGCCGTTTAAGTCCCTGACTCATCATAAAAGAGGAAGGAGGGGAAGCTGGGAGAGGAGTAAGAGGTAAAGAGGGTGAGATCTGGACGGTTCGTCAGTTTTTCCATTAGGCCAAGGCTGTGTGTCAGACAGAAAAACAAGTGTGGATGTCACATTCGGCCATGGTGACAGCGAGATGGCCTTTAGATAGCGGCAGATGATGCGATAGATTGGCTGCCACCACTGTGTCAAGACAATCAGCACCCCCAGCTTTGTGTGTGTTCATCAAACCCCCACAGAAGCCATTTTCCTTCATTATGTCATTATGTTGTATGCCGAGGTCATGACTGTTAATTCACAGGCTCTCTTCTCTTCAAGAAAAGAAACTGGACTTTTCCTCAATATTCTACTGTTTTCAGATTGTGGATTTTTTAAATTTCTGCGAGTTATAAACTGTTTCATCTAAAATCAAACACAAAAGTCTAGAAATATTTCACTTTATGTGTGATGGGTCTGAATACATGGAGGTTTCACTCTTTGGATGCAATTATGAGGGGGGAAAAATAACTTTTTAGGACATTTTAATTCTTTGAGCTGCTCCTCCTAACATTCTTACCCTATTTCCTGCTTTTGTGCTATTCTGTTTCATCAAAGAGAGGCACACAAAGCCCCAAAATAAAAATAAAAATAAATGCAAATACCAAGCTGATGAGATATACCTCATTGTGAGCACACTACTGTAATGTTATCCATGTGAGGGTTTTCTACACAGCTTTTGTCATACTTGAAATGATGCTAATCTATGCTGACATCAAACATTAAAGGAATCTTTATATATTAAAAAACATCCAAATGTCAAAGACAGCCTCCTCTCCTAATCCTGATCACAGAGGAAAATGGCCACCGCATGAACATAGAAATATAATCCTTCATCTCACTGCTCAAGGTCTGACTCAGTGACATGTGTGAGGAACAGGCAGCTTTGGGACAGAGAGAACCACTCCGGCCTGGACAGGTCAGCGCAGCTCTGTCCCAACAGGGAAAAGGTGTTGTGCTGAGAGTGTCTGACATGCTGAAAATGGCAGTTTTTCTCCAGAGCTGAAAAGTCGTCTTCCCACTCCAAGCCTGCAGGCAAACCAACCAAACACACAGTAAGCAACAATGAAGTGTCCACAGCCTGCAGCATCTTTTAGCAGAACATTGATGTTTGTCTACACTTTGGTCCCACCCTGATCTTGCTACATTGTTACAGGTCTTTCAGTTTGAGGTAGTCACATGGAGATATATATAAATGAAGGAATTGCAAAATATTTACTTAAATGACAAAAATTCCCCTCAGATAGTTATAAAATCTGTAATATTTCAATTCTGGGGTTTCAATTCTATCATGATTTGAGTAGCAAGGAAAAAAAGGTTTGAACTGTCTTACTTAGTCACATCATTGCATTCAGTAAAGTTCAGTACCAATGTCTTCTAAGGTGACATCTGGAGGGCTGCAGGAGTAGCTGCTTGACAGAGGTGTGTAGTGCCCAGTGTGCAGCTCCAAGGTGGGAGTCTCCTAAAAATAACAGTGGACATATCTGTCAGTATTTAACCCCCACATAACCAAAACCCCAAACCTCCCATGTTTTTGATTACAGCAACAACTAAACAACAGTACCTGATCAAACAGGTAGACTGTGACATCATCATCAAAGGACACGCTTTTCCTCTTTGTTGCTTTCTTGTCCCTTCTGGATAAAACTCTCGGAGCACCATAGACTTGACAGGATTTCTGAGGATCCTCATCGTGGATCCTCAGAAATCTGTTGACGTTGCTGGTTGGATTGTGAAGCTGGCTGGCAGTGGAGTGTTTAAAATCACTTATCACATTGTTGTCACTTATATTCCATCCTGTATCTCCTGTAGATCTCCCATAATCCTCCGTGCTGCAAATGTCCCCACACAGTGTTAGTGGGATGTCTTCATTACAGAAAATGATAACCCTATCATCCTGCTGGATCTCAACATTTAAACCCTTTGTGATCAAACTGAAAAAGTCCTTCATATCTAAAATCAATCTCGCCCAGAGGGCCTCTGTCGAGCACACTGAAACAAAGGGAGATAAAGACGTGCATTTTGACTGATGGGTGGGCTCCATTGAAAGACTTAAACATTGAGGGGGTTTAAAGACGGGTGGCGGCCATGTTTCCAAGCTTGATCTGTAGTTTCTGGTTTTATTCTGTGTCTGGAGGGCTGTGCAGATCCTCTGCAGGCCCTCATCAGCCTGGATCATCTGACATGAAGGCACCGACAACTGGAGCTCTTCATCCCTGTATGAAGGAATCACTTATTAAACTTTTGTATCATATTTGATACATACTTTTATGATACTTCTATCAAATCAACAAACTATCAAAAAACACCTTAATACAGTCAAATAAATGATGAAAATGTTCTCTTGTGGTTTATCAGTTTCCAAAAAGATCTAGTGTATCAAACAAGATAAATAAATATATTTGTTAAATTTTTTGATTTTTTTGGTTTTTAATCGTAAGTGAAATAAACATTTCATCTAAAAAAACTGAAAATTTTCTGGCCATAATTTGTGGTGTTACGCATTAAAGGGGTTAAGATTCTGCTGGATGAAAGCCCCCAATCTAACAAAGGATATTCAAACATTTACTTAGAATTAAAGAAAGGTTTAAATGGAATAAGCAGCAGCAAGGACATCTTGATGAACAAATTCAACATTAAAACTCAGGTCTTAGTTAGGCAATTATTGATTAAATTTCACAAGGAGGAAAGGTGTGGCTATTGGTGATAATGAGTGTATTTGGGTCAACTTCAATGAAAGTTCAGCTCAGGCAAAGAAAAGTGCAGCTAAAGAGAGTGCTAATCACATTTAGCCTAATATGTGACCACTATGGTACCAGTTGTTTCCGTGACTTATTTCTAATGCTCTTATGTGGCCAAAAAAGTTATTGCAGGAGAGCAAAGATTGAATATTGCTCCTAATAGTTTGAAGATCTGACCACCTAGCCTTCCAATTTCTTAGCTAAATCTAGACAGGCTTACTTAGCTGGTTAGCTGGTTAACTTACAGTACGGAAGTGCTAAAATCTGCTAGGACTAAATGGCAGCTCCAGGAGTGATTATGGTCACCAGGTGCTATGCTAAGTTGTGTATACCAATGAAAGAACATAACTGCTAACGGTAAACAGTGTTGGTAGCGTAAACAACAAACATGATTTAAATGTCATTGTGTCATAGTGCAGTTTTTTAAATTGGTTTTGGGACTTCGTGTGCACGTTGACTCCTGTTACACACAAATGTCAACCCCCACCCTCCCATCCCCATCAGTGTCTGTTTTTGTCTGTATCTAGTCCACTGAACTTCTTTACAGGTGATCTGCACAGACATCCCATCAGCATCAACAGGATGTTCTAAAAACTGACTGATCAGCCTTTGGTCCACAGAAAGCAACCATGTACACACACACACACACACACACACACACACATACATTATTTGGCCACTCACTCCTGAGCCTGAATAAATATCGGGGCTCATCCATCCACGGAGACAAAGACGCAATCGGAAACTTTCAGCCCTCTGCAGTCACCAAGCAACCGGTTGATGAGTGACTCAGGAAAGGAAGAGAGGAGCTGACTCACGGTGGCTGTGACGTAAAGGATGTTAAAACACACACTTTCACACATAACTACAAAAACACACACACACACACATGCAGAAGGCCACAGAGCCTGTAATCTGCCCTGTTTCGGGTGAATTAACACTTCATTGTGTAACAGGTGGAGGAAACACAGGTAATAATAGCCCTCCCAAACTGATCATACACAAACAGGCGCTTTTAAGTACCACAAATATGACAGAGGAAGAATCAGAATCAGCTTTATTGACCAGGTATGTGTGCACATACATGGAATCTGACTCTGGCAAACTTTACTGACATTTAAAGAGTGCATATGTAGACAGTCAAAAAATCCAAATAATACCTTTTCTTGATTCTTTCGCCCTTCCATCGCCTTTTAGCGAGCCAATTCAAACCATCCAAGGAAATCACCAAAGTAGCTCCTTCCCTGCAGTATTTAAACTCTATGAACAGAAGTGCAGAGACAGGCTCGTCAACTGATGCATTGCTTCAAAATCTTGCTGCATCATGACACTGCAAAATATATTGCAACACTCTCTGCATCCTCTGTGCATGCATGACATTAGCATATTTCTGAACCTACCTTGTATTCTGTTTCCCCCACTCATCCCTCCGGCTTTTACAGTATGGCAGAAACCTCATAGAGGACAGCGGAGGATATAGGCAGTACATACGGACAAAAAGAGGAGAGAGGGGGGAGCAGATAAAAAGAGAGAGAGGTGCCCCAACTAGCAGGCAGGATAGAGAGAGGGGAATAAGGGAGAAAAGACAGAAAGGGAATAGAAAAGAGGGATAAGCTGGGTAAAAGGAGGGTGAAGGGAAGTGATGAGGAAGAGATGAGAAAGGATGTGAGGACAGAGAAAGGGCAAAGAGCTCACATTTACAGTAGACTCTCTGGGGGCTGTGGGCATTTCTGCAGCAGCAGAGTGAAGGACGAGGATCAATAACTTATCTGCTCTAATGTAACACAGCTGCCTGAATGATTAACAGCAGAAGATGTCACAGTGACACAGAGCAAAACTGCTGCATGATTTCAAGTAATTTCCCCCCTGCAGCTTCACACTTCATACAAATGACAGTGAGGTTACAGCAGTGAAATTAGCAGCTTATCTCCAAAGCTGCTCATTCATACAGTTGAACTGACAACCAACACAACAGCTCTCAGGAGGAACTGGTTTGTGTCAATTTTGGCGCCCCCTGTGAGCAGGTCCTCTCAGCTCATAACTGTCACATAGATTACTTTTTTATTACAATAAAATTTCACCCCACTTTCTTCTCGCAGTCAAATGTATTGGCCATCAAAAACCTTTTCCTGTTTCAGCAGCATGCTCTGTATCATTTCTTTGACACTTACCCTGTGGCAGCAACTTCAGGCATTAAATGTGACTATAAAGAACAGCCAACAATTATCCTGATGGTCTTGTTAGCTTTTGTAAGACATAAAGAGTTAACAGTTTGCTTCACAACCAAATAAAAAAACTCCCTGTGGGAACTTTAAGAGTCAGTACACTGCTGTCAGTTTTACTCAGAAACAGCACATAACATAAAAAGTCCTCAGGTTTGCTCAGATCAGCTATTCTCCTGATCATTAATGTGAATGAAAGTTATTCTAAGTGGGTTAATTCAAAGGTTTAAAGCTAAACTAAAGTAATACTGATGCATCCTTATGAACCCAGAAAACCAATCAGAGCATCAGAAACGGGATTGAATATGTTAAAGTTTTGTTAAATGTCAGGCCTTGTTGACATTTTTCACCGTTTTAAGGTGTGTGAAAAGTTAAACTGTTAAAAGAAAAAGAGGAGGATTTTTATTCAAACATGATACTGACATGCAAAGGCCAAGCTGTCTGTGACATTTTTCAACTAGAGGAGACTTAAATGACCAGGGCACAAGCCAGCTGCCCTAGTTGTAACTAACGAAGCCACTCAACACTTTTTTAGCACATTACTTCCACTGACGTGCAAATTTTGTATTCTGTGACATTAATTTTGCACATCAAATTTGATCAGAGGTAAATTTTGTGATAAAATACTATTGGATAAAAGATTACTTTATTTTGCTCCCTCACAGATCTGTGTGGATACACCTTTAAACGTATGTGACTGTTGCTAAGATACACTGACAGTGCCTGAGATTTGTTTAAGTATGGTCCCACCATTTCTGCTCTTACAGACATTCTTTGCAGCAAAATATTTTCAGAAGGTGAAATATTTCTTGGTCAAATGAATATTATAAATGTATGTATGTAAATATTTTTGTGTTTTCAAAATCAATTTGTGTTTGCAAATAATTTTTTGTTTGTTTTGTTCCCCTTTTTTCAAAGCATATTTTTTTATTTTTGTTTCTGCAAATATTTTTTTATATCTATTATTATATTTATATTTATATATTTTTTTGTCTTTAGAATTTATTAAATATAAAAATATAAAATACATTTTGAGTTGAGTTTTGTGTGTTTGTAAAATGTTTTTGGGTTATATGAAACATTGTCATAGTATAATGAAAATGTTTTGTGTAATATAAACAAAATATTAATGTACTGATAAATAATATTTGTGCTGCTGACCTTCAAGGCCAGCATACACGACAGTCCCTGGTTTAACTCCAGGTCGTGACCCTTTGCTGCATTGTCACTCCCCATGTTTCCTCTTTCTTTATCGATGGAGGAAAGAAATGACCAAAAAAAAAAAAAAAAAAAAACACAACAACTCTGCATATATTATGGTTGCATGCTGGTTTCAGTAGGCTCCTCTGACTCTGTTATATTGTCAGGTACAACAATGAAAATTAGCTCCCTCTAGAGGTTGAATGCAGAAAAGCAGGCAGCTGTGATCTTCAGACAGATAGAAGAAAGAGCTGCAGTATTGCTCTTACTGCCTTATGAAATTGGCTAAATAATCATGAATGAGCGTTAATAATAACATACTAGTTAAATCATAGGCTTGTTATGCTCATTTTGTATACCGTGGCTTGTGCTGATAATGCTGCATTTACCAAAAAGAAATCATTGCTAAATGCTGTATGCATGCTGCATACTGTATATAAAGACAAAAATACCGTAACTGCTGCTTCTGGACATCTTTAGTGTGGCTGCTGCTGTATGTGACACTGTGCTTTTGCTACTGCCAACTAGGCACTAGTTTTATCAGGAGGTCATGCTGGTAAAGTCGTCCCCCTGGCAACAAAATCACTGATGCTGGAGTTCTGCTTCACACACTCAGACAGCATCAGGATGTTGTTCCCAGGAGGCAACAATGTCACCATTCAGTCCACCTCTGGCCCCCAATTAAAAGAGGGTTGTTAAAGCAAAAGTGGAGCGACAAAAGACCTGAGATGGACAGATGGTGTTTCCATTCAGAACCAGGAGGATTATTTTACACAGTTTGTCCCTGCATGGCATTTTAAACCCACAGACCTCTATGAGGTCATTCAGTCCTCTCTCACTGCTCATAGTGCAGTGCTTCAGTACCATCAACTCTTTTTGCACTGCACTTAGCTGTACATATGAGGATGTGATTCAGTCCAAGAGCTGAAAGGCTTCTCGGTGGAGCAAAATATGAGCTTGTTCTGCTCTGTTTCACTTTCTATTTTCACATAGGAGCAGTGATTGATGTGCACTCTCTATGTCTGAGCTGCTCATAATCTGATATCACGACAGCTTCTGCATTTAAATGTCAGATGAATGAATGGAACAGCTTTAGTTTCAGACCTTCAGACTGATCCAGTCAAAGTTAAAGGGCTCTTATAGAAGTGTTTTATTATCTGCTGGAGTGACTGCAGACTTTAAAGTGTTTTCATTTTGATCAAACTGAGGCAGAACAAGCTCAAGAAAGGGGTGAATGTTTAAGCTTCAGCTTGTTAACACCCAGAGCAGTCCTTCTACATTTCAAAGTTTGAATGAAGTTGTAATACCCACACTGCGTGCCAAAAGAACTGTGGAAGAGTCCTTTTACACTGCAGCCGCAGAATTATCCTGTCCAGCCTGCAGACGGTGAGTGACACCAAACAATCTGTGGGAGGAGGTGTAATTGGAGATGATTCAGACTTATTCCTAGCGTGCAGGACACACCGCGCTCAACATATGGAGCCTGCAAAGACGCCAGAGGAATGGTGCGCTGCAAAGCATCATGGGTGATAACAGAGGAATGAGGCCTGCAGTCAGAATGGCAGTGGTGCTTCTTGCAGCCTTTATTTGGACACAGCAGGGTCTCATGTCTGCAGAGTGACATATGAGACTAAAAAAACGACATGCATAGTGGTAAATATGTCACTGTTGGGTACATATTTGTTTAAGGTGTCTTCAGCAGCAATAAAACTCTTTTTCCATCTGTCGAAAGCATGTAAGAAAGACAGGAAGTATTTCTTTAGCCTTTAACTCTATATACTAATCAAAATTGTACCAATTCATGAAAAACAATCAAAACATCCTTTGAATGAGTTTTTATTTTGTTTTAAATTAGTATCAAAGTCTGATTGCCTAATTTTCTTTTGGGCGTGAGATGATGCTCTTCAAAGTGTTTGCTGACAGAACCTTAAATATAATGACATAGAAGCGTAATCATGAGCCAAGTATTTATGAGTCTCTGTTGACAGCAGCACACCTGCTCTTCCTCAGTCCAGACCCGGGAACTCTGCCCGCCTGGACTAGCAGCACTTCTGCCATTTGTGGACAAGTGCGTGTGTGAAAACATGAAGAGAGACAGACGCAGGAAAGCCAGGAGGGTGTGAGGATTTGTAAGGGGTGTAAGTCTATCTTAAGTCATTTCCTGATGCAAGAAGAACATGGATCACAAGAGTCTTTAATTATGGAATCATTCACCATACAGAGTCCATTTCATGACAGAGGGAGGAATAAATATCATGTTTACTCAAAGTGTGTCTAAATCTAAAGTGGGTCGATCAAGATCCTGCTGAGAGACAATTATTAAAGCATTGACTGACAAAGGAGTGCTGTTTGGTATCACTGGGCAGAGTTTCATGAATTTAACAGAAGTTTAGAGAGTTTTGTAACATAGAACAAGAAAAAAAACAACTCTGAAGCACACCCTTGAAACTGTTTCAATGGCTTCTTTGTGATGACACTGCCAGGTTGATGCCAAAATGCACTGAAGTTTGTTTCCAGACACCATCACAGTAAAGGCATTCTGACTGTTTTTCACAAGCTTTGCGTATGTATCACAATCTGAAAAACAGTCTTTCTGCAAATATTGATTGTGTGTTATCTAGGGTGTTTTGTAACCAAGAAAGTCACAAGCTGCACTTGCATGACTATTTTGGGTACTTTTTTTTTTGGGGGGGGGGGGGGGGGGTTGCATGGACAACAAAAAAAAGGGCAAAAGAAAATAAGGGCAATGATGAAGATGATGAAGCAAAGAGGAAAGTAGAAACTTTGATAGTACCATTATAAACTTACCAAGACTCACAATGTCTAAAAGCTGTCAAATACTGGTCATAATTAAGCAGGTTGCTATTATAGACACCTATGGTGTTCTTAAAAAGGGGACAGGAGGGGTACTCCTCTATCCCTGGTTTTCAAAGAGGTAGCAAAAGTGTCCTCTCAAATATGGGCCTATCCAGACAGTTTTGACTGGGACAACCTAACAGGAGTATTGACATAAGCAGGGGTGGCTCTGGTATTAGTGCACACACAAATAAGTGCTGTTTACCCTCTCTGTCTTCACTATCTACTCAGCTATCATCATACTGTTATAGTACTCCTGTGTATAATCTAGTGACCTAGAAAAAACATAATAATAATGCATCATATTAATATTCTTATCTCAATTCCTTACTTGAAAAAGGCACAAATGAGAAAAAGAAAATGAGTTACATTCAGTCCTGTCTCTTAAAATTGAAATCAGTGAATTTTCAGGTTGGCACCTAACCATGTGAAAATAACTGATTAAATCTTGCTAGCATATGAGTTTTATATGATAATAATCATCATTTTTTTAATAATGATTTTGTGTTTTCTTTTCATTTTATTGCATGACCAGTACACAAATACAAGAATTTAAGTTTTGGATATTCAAAGTCCAATGATCACAACTTTCTGCATGCTGGTTCTTCAAAGCATTAAGCTGTTGCTTTTTTCTCATATCCCTCAAACAGCTTTAGTTCACTACTTCACATCACTCTGTTCACTGTGTCTATATTAAAACGAATGCTTGTGGTACATTTATTTTTTATGATACAGTGATGTAAAGGCATGTAAGCATTGCTGGAATAATCATCACTTCATCACATGCATCAGCATGTACATAACATCACAAACAAGGAGCCATCTAATAAGAAAGACTTGCATTATAATTGAAGCATACATACAGTGGTTAAAGCCTCTTTGCGGTGAACGGTGTTGCAGGGGTCTACCACTAGAGGGCAGTGTAGTAGAGCCGTTAACCTCAGCGGAGGACTTCACACGCCAGCAGACACAAACACCAACTAGTTGGGATAAATACATAAATAGCCAATGCTAAGTGTAACTAGTTATCTCTTTAAAGATCTTAAAGATCCTTCCCTTTTAAATCCAAATTTACATATCATATCAGACACTTTTCTGTTTCTGACCATTTCAAAAGTAAAGCAATGACTTAAAACAGGGACATGTAAACACTTACCTGATCCCGTCCTGTAATCACAGCACAGCTGAGGGAGCAGCCAAGGAGGACATGGCGGTATACTAACAATCACATAAAGTCATTACAGAGATCACAGCTCACACAAACAGGGAGGAATTTAACTTAAAATGTCATGGACTGCTGGAAGGGGAGGAAAACATTGGATACAGTGTTGAAGAGCAGGGCCGTGACCTCTAACCTGTGCAAGCACACACATCTACACACACACACACACACACACACTTGAGCATGCACAAGCAGAGGCAGCTGTGAGACTCCACCTCAACTGGTTTAGAGTGTTTATGGAGGGGCTGAGTGTGAGCGCTCGATGACAGAGCTCTCATTTACTCACACATACACACACATACATACACACGCACATACACACACACACTCTGATCAGATAAGGAGAGATCTGTTTCAGCAGCTAATCTTAAATGTGATGAGGTTTACAGGGCCCGGTGGTATTGCAATATACATGAATATCTTTATTTGGAAATCAGGCGCTGCTCGGGGGTGTATCACACTACATTGCACTATAGGAACATGTAAGAAGACTCTGCTTTCATGTAACATCCCTGGCTGTTTATCAAGACCTGTTCCTGGCTTTTAGATCACAATAAGAGTTATGACACAAAGAAAAACAGCTACTCAGACAGTGTGCAATCTGGGTCTTAGTTTAACACTCCGGTCCTCTGTGACCTGTACATGCACTTGTTCTGCATTGTAAACCCCCTCCATAGATGCCTGAGGAAGTCCCCGCCTGCTCCCTCCTTAACCCATCACCCTGACTTCTCCCAGTACTATCACTTCCATCCCTGAGCTGGCTGGTATTCATCAGGCCCTGATCCAGTTGCACGCAACTATACATAAGTTAAAAATGTAATGGGTCACGGTTGTCCCTTAGTGAGATATACTGTATGGAGTGTGAAGAAACAGATGAACTGTCTCTCAGTGGGCTTAACCAGCAGTTCAGACAGATCTGCTTAGTCAGTAAGAAGAACGATTGTCCTGTCAGTCTGCAATAAGCCCAAAATAACAGTTTGATGGTTTTGACAAGCTAATAGTTGATTTAGCATTCTCCTATTTTGAATAAAAGGTTTTAAAAAATGTTCATACTGGTTCCAGTTTCTTAATCAATACTGTCATTTTGTTTGTTAGCTTTGAAGTTACAGGCTGACGACATGGCAAAGGAAAACACTACCTAGCAAGTTTAACTGTTTAGCTGGTTGATAAAATATACTCATTTATTGAATATACAGACTCCCCAGAAACTTTTTAAATCGAAAGGAGGCAATTTCTTTTCTTCCAGGGAAATGAAACAAGTTCTTTTGCAATGGTTAACTTCTCTCAACCTTTACAGATGTACAGATAAAATTAGGAGGCTGCAGAGTAGACACATAATAAGTACAGTCGAGAGAGAGTGAGAAAAGAAAGGCGTGTTTTGTTGCTGCAAAAGTCAAAAAAGAAACCCAGGTTGACCAACATTTTGGGGTTCAGCACCAGTCAGATAAGTAGATCTACCTTGTGGTAACATTCACATTACAGCTTTTATTTTTAATGAATGTAGTGACAGCAACAAACACATCAAGGGCCTGTACCCACTGCCAGCAGAATTTGCACTGGCAGCGCCCGCCACCTCAAATTTAGAGCACTTCTTGGCACTGCCTACTGTTGCTAGGTTAAAAAGTTGTCTTGATAGTAACTGCTGAGTGTGTTTACAGTTACTTTTATCTGAGGACCTTTTAAAAAGAATTGTTAAAAACAAAATTGAATCAGAATCATGACATTATAAGATACAGCTTTAAACCAGGAAATTCAACCCTTAACAATGGATATGAGGTTGACAAAGTCGATCTCAACAGCCCTGCCTTTCAAAATGTTGATTGGCCAGTGATGGAGAAGCGATATTGATGAGTGTAGCAGTGTTTGAAAATTATATACTATTCCTAATTGAAAGTTATAAAACACAGCTGACAATGAAGATATTTTTTGTACGAAGGACACTGAGTGTTGAAAATGCTTATCTGCAATGGTTTTGCCATCACAAAAAAGTGCAGTCAGTGGGCACAGGCTCAGTGACTGTACAAAGACCTCATCCATTGACCAGGATAAAGACAAATAAAGTGACATACAGTAACTACTGTTGAAGTACACAAGATGAATATACACACCCGAAATCTCAGATATCCAGGCTTCAGTTTTTCACATCAACACATTGTTGAAATCAAGCACACAAACACACACATGCACAGACGCACTGAAAACCACCAACAAACCGCACTTAATGAAAGACTACAGCCAAGACAGAGAGGTGAGGAAACTTTTAGCGAGTGTGTGCTTGAGGAGGTCTTGAATTTGAGATCGTCACTGGCATGCCCTCATCACAGCTGGTCAGATTGAAATAGACGAGGCTGAAAATGAGCCAAGAAAATGGGAGGAGTAACCACTAATCTCTGCGATGGGTGGAAGATGAACAGGCTGCTCTCTTGCTTCCTGTGTCTCTTTGTCTGAGACAACATAAGTTTCAGACAACTGATGTCTGGCATCTAAAATTGTACACTATTTCAATCTTTTCTGTCCACTCAAAGAAGGTTAAAGGTCATAGTGCAACTGATTAAAAGAAGTTGGTCAAATCTTGTTCGTCAAATCTGAATTGATGAAGTCTCATGAAAACCAGAATGTGTGAATAGGTCTACAATACGCCCCTGAAAAACACACTTAATTTTGACCTGTTCACTCAGTCAAAGGTCCCTCTGAATATGTCTGGAAGGGAGCCTTATATAAATGCATCTCATCACAAAACAATTTGTGGTAAAAACAGGGTCTTTAATAAGTGTACTCACCTGTGCTGGAGTCCACGCTCCGTGCTGTAATCTCAGTATTCCCAGGGAAATGGAAGACCAACCCTAACATACTGTATGTCCGAAAGGTTGAGACAAATTGAGTCCAGTACTGCATGAGGCTACTCCCTGTCTGCTTTGCTGAAATGAGACTCCATTTTTCAGATGCATAGACAAAAAGTCAAAGTTTTCTGTCTGCACCGAAGATTTGTACCGTAATCGTTCCAGTTCACAAACTCTCTTCCAGCTGCGCATACCTGTCAAGAAAAAATATGTTGCAACAAACTCCCCCCAATTCCCTACGTGCACAAGATCACCCCATCCCTATCCATCTCATTCTGTGTCTGTCTTTTCCTCTCTGTCCCATCCCCCTCTTCCTCCTCTCATCCAACGTTCCATCATGCAGGAAAAGCCTGGTCTTCCTGAAAACAAGCATTGGAGCGTGGAAAAGGACAAGGCTGAGGGGGGCGAGTACGTGAGGGAGAGCAGAGGATGTTTTTGTCGCTCTTCGGACCCTCTGGTTACTGCAGGCCTCAATGTGGTCCATCCTGAGGAAACCAGACTCACGTCACTCTGGCCAGGCCTTGGGCCCACACGTGCTGCCTGTGAGAGCGGTATTGACGCAGTCACTACAGTGGTCAGAAGCATGGGAGCTATTAACACATTTGTAGGTTGAATCAGTTGAAAGCATAAAAGCATGTGGGAGATGTAAAGGTGACACAAATTCACTTTATAGTTACACAAAGGGTCAGTAGTGGTGTTGACAGGTGCTGTGAGGAGGAGGTGAAACCATCTGCGAGTGTGGGAAATCCTCAGCAGGTGTTTTTCCAGAGACTCCCATCCACTGATCTCTCTCGCTTCCTAACTCTAAATACAGTTTCCTCTGTCCTGTCTGAATGGAGAGAGAGAGAAAAACAATTAACCTTTCACATCAGCTCACCCAGACTTTTTGCAGAAATTGTAGAGGGTGGCTGGCAGGCAAAACACAGGTAAAATTTGGAATGCAGTCACACATAGTCACAAATTTCCAGGGTTTATACTTGTGTGAAAGCTCCTTGGAGGAGGATTTGGATCAATAAAAGGGAAAAAGACGCAACTCTTTGTCATATATATCCCCATGGCAAATATTCTTCATAAATGACAATTATCACTTTAACACACACAAGAGGAGTTTTTCAATTTAGACCACTTTTAAAAGGATAAGGCAGTGCCAGCAACAATAAAATTTTTTATCATCGTGTCCACAGGGGGCGCCAAAGTCAACACAGACAGAAACTTCTTCACAGGAGCTTTCAAAGATCTGTTCTTTAGCTTGTATTTTAAGCAACATTACCCTGTGATAAAATAATAACACCTGCGCCAGCACATTGTTCATTTCCTGTTTCTTACTTTGGTTTTTACTCTTGTCCCTGTCTTCTAAGTCCTGCCCCCAGGACGGATAAAAAAGGATAAAAAAATCATACTCAGAGCTGCATTGGCAGGCAGGAACGTTTTACTCATTGTTAGCCTGATGATTTTAAATTTAGCACCCACGGGTACCCGTGATACTGCTATCCTCGCATCCTCTAGCCTGCTGTCCGGAGGATACTGTGCAGTTTTTTCATCCCACTGCTGGAGCAAAGAACTTCTTTTAACCAAGTGTTAGTTTCTTTTTCCACAGTGTGTGTGGGTGTGATTGTGATCACGTTTCAATAGCATGTCCAGTATCTAGCACAGACCTCTTGAAATGCTAACAGTAGCATGTGGGAACACAGTGGCTGTGAGTGGAGACAGCTGTGTGGAGCGCAGCCTGAAAGTGACAGAGGCCATAATAACAGGATGTTTACAGCCCGAAGAAACACTGCCTAGGATGACCACAAGCAGGCAGCAACTGTGGCTGGAAACGCAAGGGAAGAGGAAGTATGGGCCAACAAGGGTCCTTCCAGATACACCATAAATAACCTCATTGAGTTCCTGTTCTGATTACAGACAGATGCTACCTGTCAAGCATCCGTCAAAGTAGGTTCACTTTGACCTCTGACCCATAAAACACTTTCTAGTAAACACAGAGGCGCAGTGGTTTTTCTGTGTCCTTTTTATACACACATACACTTGGTGTTTGCTGAAGTGGTCAGCTGCAGGTGACAGCAGACAGAAGGACACTGGTGGTTTCTGACACCTTGGGGGGTTGAAGCCAAGTCACTGTCCCTGGTCGCTTCTTTCTGCACATTAGTGATCACATATTACCCCAAGCTGCAACATCCACCACACTGCAGTTTCCACCACCATGGCCATTACCGACTTCCTAGCTGCCTCGGACATCACTTCAGCTATTAAAGCTTGTAAAGGTGAGGAGATGGCTGATCTGAGACTGTGGATTAATCTTCATCACTGCTTTTTAAAATAACTTTTGACACAGTATTTAAGACCTTTAACTGCAAGACTTCTTTACCTGTAATCAGTCATTTCTCTTACAGAGAAGGATTCCTTCAGTCCGAAGACGTTTTTCAAAACAGTGGGTTTATCTAGAAAAACCCCAACAGAGATCGAGCGAGTCTTTAAGATTTTGGACCAGGACAAAAGTGGCTTCATAGAACAGGATGAGCTACAGTTGAGTTCTAAACAGCAACTGTCTTATTAAACATGTGCTGTACTGCTACGGTTTAAATTTAACATGCATCACATTTTATAAGTTTACCTGTTCTGCTAACTCTTCTTTGTCCTGTCTGTGGGCTGTTTTGTCTCAAAGTCTTGTCTCATACCTACTCTGTTTCAGGCTGTTCCTGCAGAACTTTTCCAAAGGAGCGAGGCCCCTGACAGCAGCAGAGACCAGAGCGTTCCTGTCAGAGGGAGACTCGGATGGAGATGGGAAGATCGGCTGGGAAGGTGAGCTGGTCTGAGCAGTATGTAGCCTGTTGATAGTAAACAGAGATCCCGTAGCTCTGTTTTGGTGAATTTATACATTTTATTTAGTATTTTTATTTTATTTTGAAGACATCATTTCAATAAGATAGTCTTCAAGAGGCTATATGGAGTAATTGCAATGTGTATGTCTGAATGTATGCTGAATGTTAAAAATGTTAATCAGAAAACTCAGTCTACCTTTTATTCACTATGTGTGCCTTTTTTAATGGAGTCCTTATGTTTAACAAATAGCATTAAAATTTTGATTTAAAAACATAATTATAATTCAAAGAAAGAGAATAGATAAAAACAGACTATGTAGAGTAGAAACAAAAATTAAAATTGACATGATTTTAACAGACACAGGTTTTTTATCTTTAATTTGTAGTGATTTTTCAATACAGTTCCAGCAACACACATATCTTGGCTGATTTACATGTGTGGGAAACCTCATATTTTATTTGTCCAATATAACTGATTTGTCCATCACATTTTTTATTTACTGTAGTGGTCCAATTTTTTTATTTTGGTAAAATGAAAAAAGTGCAGGTGCAAAACAATTGAAGCTCTATTAATCAGAATTGATCAGCAAATTTTTTCTACAATAAAGCCCCTTTTTACAATATTTAAATGTCTTTTATTGGTGAATCAATAGAAGAAAGGTTCATCGCAGCATGTCTTTGTTTTAGTGTTGCCATAGCCATAGCAGCTTAAGTGAAGCTACAACACCAACCTCCTGCACTATGTCACTGCCGGAGTTACACACTTGAGTCCGGCCATGTTTGTAGTTTTTGTAGTTTAATGTTACAGGAGAAAAGTTAAAACCAGATGAAATGTGAAGGTGGTGCTGTAGAATAACCCAGCACTTAAATTCTCTTTTATCTTTCTCTTTTTTTTTTCAGAGTTTTCTGCACTGGTCAAATCTTCATAAACTGTGCTTTATCCCTGTGATTTGTTGTATGGCGATTTTCTCAAGATGGACATCAATTCATGATGTGTAATATCTGTTTATAGCCACAGTAAAGAGCATGGGAAACGCCAGGAGTTTTAATCATGTTATTAGATATGTTGTAGTTTGAAGGGAATAAATAAGTGGTTTAGTTTAATTTTACCCCTCTGTCATGTGTCACTGTCTGCCAATAAATAGCATTACAAATATTGTCTTGTCATTCAGTCTTTTTCTTTGGGGGTTGGGGTATCTTTTTTTCTATCAAGCCAAACTGAACAGATGTGCTAACTTCTTTCTTGTGTTGTGTTTAGAAAGGGATTGCTCAGGGGACTTTCGAGAACCAACTCTGTTCAATAAATTGGAATTGAACCAGCAGTCTTAGCTATAAAGTATGATGCTTAGTTACATACTGCTCAAATTTCTGAAACTGGACCAGTTTCAGAAATTGTTCTCCCAAACAGTCAAGCATACACAAACACATGGGAAAGTGTGGCCCAGGTTTAAAAGTACAGAAGTTCTCACTTTGATGCTTGTAATAAACTGTATTTTATGTACCTCCAAACTTATTCCAAAATCTATCAAAACTATGAAGAATGATCAAGAGGCTGCAGTGCTAGGTTAGTATATCTGACACAACAATAAAGTGCTGTTATTTCTATTCATTTAACGGATCAGTTTATATTGCATCCACTTGTGGAGTTCCTCAGGGATCAATACTTGGACCAACTTTATTCTCCTTCTCTATGCTCCCACTAGGCCACATTGTACAAAGACATTCCCTGTTATGCTGATAACACACTGCTGTATCGACACATAAGAATCCACTTGACTCCAAACTCCACTCATGGCTTTTTGGTTCCGAAAAAAACTTGCTCACTTCAAATCTTTGCAAAACAGATTCTGATTATTGGTCTAGATAAGTTGCTTCATGTGGTTAAGTCCTACCTTGGGCCCAAATTATGTAATATGAATCAACTTTTCACAAATAACTCCTAAGTATTCAAGTTCTTTGTCTTACATTATTTTGAATTTTAAAGTTGATTTTTTTCACAAAAACTGTGACAATTGCACTGCCTGGCTGGAGCCAGTGGGTGTGGTTGGCAGAGGTTTGGCCTAGTTGCGGATGAAGAACACCTGGGCCCAGTGTTGACATCTATAACAGCAGACTCGTACATGTCTTCAGAGAGAGCAAGGAAAGACAGGCTGGGTGTGCCCGCTCCATTTCATGCCTGCTCCTCAGTTTAGTTATATTTTGGTATGTCTCTTTTGCAGCACCTTGTTTACTTTAATGTAATTGCCTTATCTAATTATGCGTCATAAAAAATTTACTTTCTGGTTGTCAAACTACTCCGTTCTCCCTCTATTATTTGTCAATGGCTCAGAACTGGCCTTGACAATACCGTGTTGAACAGTATTGTGTGGTACTGACTCATTTTGGGGGGGAATGTCGTGGCATTAGTTTGCTCCCACAGCTTTGAATTACTTGTGATATTTTGAGTTATAAACACTAGAGCTCAGAAATACGGGTGTTAATTGGGTGAGGGCAAAAACAGGAGACCACAGTTGAATCAGGGCCACTGGCTGACTGACCATTGTAGCAGTGCCAGTACGAGGAAGACTTGCAGTGACCTAGAACTTTGGTACGGAGGGGATAAAGTTTCTATGCCAGCACATTTACAGGACTTCAGTCAACGATGCACATTAATTTGCAACTTTCTCTCAGATGGCAACCCACACAGACAGTATATGGGTCACTTCTACTCCTGCTGCAGTATGAAGCTCCCAGGTGATAGCTATCACATAGAAGCAGAAAACAAATATTTGCTGCAGCTTTCAGCAACTTAATATGACTACAAATTACCATGTGGTTGCTAATTATTTTACACAGGTGTTTAAGCTTGTCTAGGCACTAATTTAGAACAGATCTTAAACATACAGTTCAGGACATGGTTTGGGATGGTACATCTTTGTCTCAAATTACAGACATTCGTTTCTTAACTTGATGGGTTTCATGCCTGCTGTGGGATATTTGTAATTTGAGCCGGATATTGAAGGAGGGCAGGAATAGTTACAGTATCTATGGCTCAGTCGTTTGAGGTGAGAGACCTTATTTGACCACAGCAAATGTTTAAGTCCAAAGATGAGTCTTTGCAGAAAAACAGCGAGAAGAAACAAAAACAAATTCACAACGCAAATGCACTTACTAGCTCCCCGGACACACCTGAAATGAAGGAAAACAAAACACTCAAAAGAATTGAAAAGACATTATTGGCTACAGCTGAAGATGTGAATTTGTGATACATCCCACAGGTTGAAATCTTAATGATGATTTGTACTGACAGTTTAAAACTGCTGATCTGTCATTTCAGTCAAAGGAATCATCTCGCCACTGCCACCCTAAGGACAAAGTGTACAGCAACCTGCACACATCATAGGATCAAAAATGGGTACGGAAAGACCCCTCATTTCCAGTCCTTCATTTGATCGTATTGTTTCGTGCAGAGCGGGAATCCTGTGTCATTAGCCCTGAACCACATGGCACAGCAGTGAAGTGTTAATATGATGATGATGATATCCTAGATATTAGTTTTCAATGATTCCCAAAATAGCATTAAATAGTTTCATCGCCTTAAGGAGAAATGGCCTGAATGAATGTAAGCAAGAGGACCAAAAATAAATCTTGGCGGACTGTATGGTAGTAAATGATGATTGAGGACTTTTTAATTCAGGCATCTCAATGAATTAAACTAGCTTTGCGATCAAATCCCCTCCATGTTATTGGTTTTTTACACCCTCTGGCAAAGGTTGATAAATATGAGTAAGTGGGCATAAAGCTATCCACCATGATCCACTTTTGAAACAAAAAATTGTTCTTGCATGATGCAGAGTTGCACATTTAAGCCAAAAAAAATCCATGTGCATATTTCATCGTGTTTGAGTATCAGAATGACATTTAGGATGCTTAGACCAACCCTTTTTCATCAAAAATTTACTGTTGTTCACTCTCTGCAGAGATTATTTCTGAGTTGTTTGCAGAATTTTCGTTGGTTTCATAGTTTTCATGCACACTACAAAACGACAGAAGGTTAGTTATTTTGTTGAAGTTCTCCTGAGGTCTGTGTTGGACGTACTAAGACACACACTTCAATCTTGTGTAATATGAAACAGCAACAGTTAGAGATTTTTGGCTCTGCAAAGCTACTGCAGACACTTGAGGTAGGTCAAGCTTGTTTACACTAAAACTGCACAGTTCCAAAGTCTCAGCAGGAGTGTAAATTGCTCTGCAATTGGTGCATAATCAAAAACAAATACACTATATCTCATCAATAATCATTTTTATTTTCTCTAAGCAACACATAAGTAGACAAGCTTTAGTTACTATAGCAACCAACATTAATTACACAGAATTTGTTTTACAACATCACAGTCGTCATAATAGGGAGAGGATAAATTACACAGTATAAATCTTTTTAGTATTGATGGAAATTAGGCACAGACTGTTAAGTGTTATTAGTAAATTATCTCTAGAAGTACTAACAATCTGCAACTTACAGTTTAAAGTTTATCTCTTCCTTCACTTCATCGCTGCTCTGCACAGTTCAAAACTACATAGCCACAGAGTCGGTTTCACCCAAATCAGCAGCGTATATTATTAGCCCTATGCAATATCAAGCACTTTTGCATAGGGCTACACTTAGCCTACCATTTAAGCATCTTCATTTATGTGCATAAAAATAGAACAGCTCTGTCTACTGGACAAATTTTTCAACCGACTGCTTTGACTGCTTCTACACAGTGTCCATTACATAGCCTATGCATCATATTTCGTGTGACTGAAGGTATATAAGCCCGTGTGAGAGTCCCATCGCTTCACTGCAGTGATCTGATTCATCAGAGCGATTTCACTCTAGTCCTCTAGAAAACCCGAAGGTGAGTTTTCACTGAGGAACTGCAGAACTGCCTGACTCAGAGAGGGGCTCGGGGGCTTCAACTTCATGCATATGGATATAAAGTGGTGAAAGGGCAAAGCTCAGAGTTTGATTTTGGACCAACTAAGGAACCAGATGGGGGAAAAATGATTTGCCAGCCAGCCATTGCTGCAAAGGAGTTTTGATCTTTGGCTTTGGAGGGCTTGGTTTTGGAAAAAAATGGACTACCTTTTCTGATATTTGAGCCTTCAGTTTTGGGTCCTTCAAAGAGGAATACTTTCAAAGAGGAGCTGTAAAAGTTACTGCATGGCTTTATGAAGATTACTTCTAGCTCCATAAATGTGAACGCTGTATTATTTCCAGTTTTTCTTCTTGTCTGATTGGTTGATCTGATGACTTGTCCTCTGCTCTCCTCCCTCAGCTAAAAATGGCATTCGCCGGAATCCTCAACGATGCTGACATCACTGCAGCCCTTGCAGCTTGCCAGGGTAAATCCCACTATAAAAATGACACCGCATGCAACATTTAAGAGTCAAATTAGAAGTTGTACATGCACATGCAGTTTCATGTCTACTTTACAAGAGAACAGCTTTGATTAGTACTTTTTCATTTGCAAATCACATTGCCACATTAAAGCTGCAGCCAGTTGCTCCATTATGTGTCTTTTCTGCACTTGAATTAGCAGGATTATATTTGCAAACAAATCTTGGAGCCAGATCAATAGTGTTGCAAGCATGTGTGATGTACCATTGGCATAATTCTCATGCATCTGATTAGAAAGCATGCATTTCCATTCATACAAGTAAAGCTAATTTAAAATGGAAAACACCTGCAAATGGAGCTACAATGCCCACTTAAAAATAGGGCTGAGGTATCAGACCAGAAGCATCCGGTAGAATTGCACACTTCTTCTTATATTCTATAAGTCTTATCTGCTCTCTTCTCTGTTTCTGCACAGCTGCCGACTCCTTCAAGCACAAGGACTTCTTTGCTAAGGTCGGCCTGGCTGGCAAGTCCGCCGATGACGTCAAAAAGGCCTTCGCCGTCATTGACCAGGACAAGAGTGGCTTCATTGAGGAGGATGAGCTGAAGTAAGCACTACTATAACATTCACTAAAAGCATTTTTATTTGGGAAATCTAAGAGAACCTTAATTACACAGACTAAGAAGACTCAAATGTGCAGTTCAACATACATCTGAAATATGACCCCTCAAGACTAAAAGCTTCGGGGCATAAATGAAGCTATATTTACTATAACACTCAGTATCTCTTTGTGATCATCTCTCCAGGCTGTTCCTGCAGAACTTCTCCGCCTCTGCCAGAGCTCTGACCGATGCTGAGACCAAGGCTTTTCTCAAGGCCGGTGACTCTGATGGCGACGGCAAGATCGGAGTTGATGGTAAGAAAATATTTACCTTTTTTTTTCTTATCTTTTCACCAAAAATTCATCTTAGATAAAAACCTGATTAATCAGCTTCACATGGAAGTAAAAAAAATGTTAAGATCTGTAAAACTAACTCAAAATTCTCCCTCTTGTTTCCTTGCAGAGTTTGCTGCCCTGATCAAGGGATAAATGGATTAACTGACCAACATCTCTACAACTCTTAAGGAACAATTGGAGCCAAGGCTAACTCCTCCTCTCTCTCTTCCCTAACACTCTCTCTCTCAACTCACCGAACCTCTTTTTTACAACCGACCTTTCACCCCTAACCTGACCATAAGCAGACTGCGACCCCTCGCTCTCTCTCAATGACAGTGCTCACCCCTTTGCTCTCCACGATGAATGTACCTGACTAAGTGTATGGCGTGGTTGACTTGTGTCTTTCTCTCTCTCTCTCACTTCTGTCATCGTTTTACTATGTGAGTTTTTGCTTACCTTGAGATCAGTGATGGTGCACTTTTATGGGAAACGGACGGACGATGAGAAACAATAAAGGTTCTTTTTCAGTAACACAAGTCTTGGTCTGGTCTTTGGAAAGGTTGTAAATCTGTGAATCAGCAAACGAAGTCTCAAAGAAAAACTTTTGACAGTTTAAGTAAAAGTCACTTCAAAAAGGGATCCGAGCAACTTAATTTTTACATTTAAGGAGCAGACTTTGGGGCTAAACCTTTAAAACCCTTAAATTTGGTTTTAGTTTAAGCCACTAAATGACCACAAAAAGGACATTTGAAATAAGTGTACATTATGAAGTCTACTTTTACAGAAAAATCTTGAAGATATTAAAGTACGATATTCCTTTATTACTCCCCAAGGAGGAAATTCCAAAAGTAAAATTATCTTTCACGGAAAATTTGACCACATCAATGATAAATGCTCAACCTTTAACCAAAGAGCTTGTCTTAGTATTCTATTTTTTCAACATAAAGAAGACTGAAAAAGTAGGAATTGAAGTTTACACTGACAAATACAATTTACAGCCTTATTTAGACCACTTAGGGTTTGCAAAGTGGACACTTTGAATGTTCAAAACTAACCAGCAGTGCATTTTGTACTTCATGAGTTACATTTCTGAATTTAACTTTAAGGTCTTCTACCTAGCTTTCAAAGTTGTCTTTTACATTTCTCCCAACAGGAGCATTTGTTGAGAGTCGGCAGATTTGATCTTGGCCCTATTACAACAAAGTCAGTTTCAATCTAGTTTTTATCTCATACTTTGTATGTTGTACATTTTGGAAGCATAGAATAATTTACAGTGAATTTACCCCCCTCTCCTGTCATACCTAAAAATTACAGCTGGCTCTGCATTGAATGTGAGCAGCCACAAGATGGCGCCCGTGATCAGTTAATAACGCTAGAGGCTTGATGGACTAGAACTGACATCTTAAAAATATGTGACAGATATTTTCCCAGATGAGTTCTTGTTACCATTTTTTTGGTATTACAAGTCACTGAAAAAGACATAAAATGCTGATTTTAGACATGTGATATTTTTTAGAATAATGAGATTTATTCTCATGGTTCTTGTTAAGAAAAGCGTCTCTCTTTTCTCTCCTAATGCCATTAGTGCTTAATGGGTTCACTCGATTGCTGTGTCAGATGGTTTACAGGCTCTCTCTGTGAACAACAAACGGTGGCTTCTTGATGCGTCCAAAAAACAAATGTGCACAGTCAAATTTTTCACCCAGCTGTGTGTGCATGTGTGTGTCACAGCTTTTTCAACATAATACCAAAACACTGACTCAGTAAGATCAGACCCACTCCCTGACAATTTGCAGCATCTCAAGAGGTCACAGTGATGAAAAAAAACCTTGAACCTTTGAACAGGCACAAACTTTGAGCAGAACCATACAGATGTAACACAGTCATCTGCTGCTACTGCACTAGGTTTGGAGAGGGGATAGAGGGAGATGTTCCCAAGAGATGAATTTATAGGTTGTCTGGACAGAAATATAAATTTCAACCCATTGACTGGTCTGAAAACACTTTGAAGACAACCAAAATTACACTATCAGATATTTAACACAGCGAAACATAAAATCACAGAGCCAGCTGGTAAATAGTGTCAAATTGTTTGACAACTCTGGCAAGTGTGAGCAGAGCCAACATCACCAAACTTGATCCGCCTTGCATGTGCCAGTGCTGGTTGAGTGCTCAAATGGCAACAACTGCCTACAAACACAACCTGATCTCCATTTTCTGGATCAAATTGCAGCCAAACTGAGTTATGAAATGGTTATCATCTGTGCTTGTTTACATCCCAGTAGTAGAGCATCAATGACAGCAGTAACCTTTAGTCAGCAGTAACCTTGGCTGTGTTGAGACAAGCATAAGAATAAGAATAACTTTATTGTGTGCGGTAAGGGAACTTCAATTGTCTTTAGTCTCATTTGTCATGTCGAAAAAGTCATCTACTATTGACAGAAGAGTTGTAAAGTCTGATGGCAAAAGATCTTCTGAATCTTTCTGTCCTACAGCGAAGAGAGAGGAGCCGTCCACCACCATTGGCCCTTTGGTCCATCAAGGTTGTCAAGGTGATCCATGTTCTTCAGAATAGTCTCCACCTTCCTCAGTGTACATTCCTCAGAGTCCAACTCGAATCCAACCTCAGAGCCAGCTTTTTTCACCAATTTGTTCAGACTGGTGAAACAAAGGTAAACAAGCATTTCAGCCCTATTATTTTAATTTTAGTCATAATTTAAACTACAACTATGGCCCTAATGCTGTTGCTGATGAGTGAGGCTGACAATGTTCGTTGAAGTTGACTTATATCATATTATCTTCAAAGTTACAAAAGCACAAAACGAACTTAGAAATAGGTTTAAGTAGTCCAAGCAATGGTTGCATGGCATGAAATGATGCTGAATCATAATTCAACATAATTCAAGGTCAGAAATGCATCCTGTTAGCATAAGAAAGTAAGCTTTGGAATCCCATCATGATGAGACAAATTGAGCTGCCTGTAATACTGGGAAAACCAACTTTGATAACCAAAGATAAAAAAAGAAATGGACCCAGTCTTAACCTGTAATCCTGAGAATACGAGATGGACAATTTGAAGTCCAAACAAAATGACTATTAAGTTGTCATTATTGCAGGAAAAACGTATAATTAACTTGTAGCCTTTGGATAAATATTGTCTGGTAAATTATGTGGCTTCAGCCTTATCCAATAGCTTAACCACCTTAACGTCATATTTTCTTTTTTTTCCTCTTACTTTTTTTATTCTTACTGAAGAATCTTTACATTTTAGCATTCATATTGACTGATCTATTCATTGAACTTTTTTGTTGTTGTTGTTTTTTTGTTATTGGGAACCATTATTTTTATATTTTCCTTTACAGGATCACCACAACGGCTTAGGACTAACCAAGGTCTACATAACCTAGTTGGCTTTCACCATCAGTCCCTTTTGCGTAATTAAAATACACAAAATATAAAAAAATGAAAATCATACATGAGGCCTACTGTCTTTATTTACCCACAGAGGCTTGCAATATCAATTTAATGTAAGATTACCAGAGGGAAAAAAAAAACTCCTGATCTGAATCATAAGATGATTTATGGCCTGCTGTTGTCTATGGTCATCTGAATTTAGGAGATTATTTCCCAAAACCAAAGAGAAAAGAGGGGGCCAGATTAAATTTGAGATGTCTGTAAGCCTCCACGTGCACCTGCAGAGAGAGAGAGAGAGAGAGAGAGAGCGAGAGAGAGAGAGACAGAGAGAGAGAGAGACAGAGAGAGAGAGACAGAGAGATGGGGGCGTTTGAAGAGAGTAAAAATGTAACACAAGGAGGAAAGTTGATTGGACCACAAACCACAGCTTCATGACAGTGAATAGGGAGGAGATAGACAGTGCAGACCAGGAGAGGTTAATTGCGCAGGTGAACAGGTGAGCAGGTGAGGAACACGAGAAGGAGGCGGCCGGCTGCAGGAACATTTGATCTGCAGACAGGTTGAAACTGAAGCATCCACCCCGGCGTATATAACGGAGAGACAGCCGTCTGAGCGCACCACAAAGCCTTACCCGGTGCTGCTGCTTTGGACCTGGACGCAGAGGACACCGACACTACAGCGGTGAGTCCCACAGCTGCATGAGGAAACTACAGGTGTGGGCTGGGTCAGCTTCCAACCTTTGGAGGAGTTCGGCGGGAAACGGAGCAGCACTGGAATTTCAGACAACATTCAGAGAGTTTTTAGCTACATGTTAGCCTTTTTTTTTTTTTTTTTACAAGAAATACTTAACGTTTTTCGACTCAACAGAATTTTTTCAATGTGTGACTTCAATGAAAGTTTATTTTTGATTCAAATTGGCTATAGTGGTAGAATAACACCTTTTATCCAATAAGGGATTGTACTAAAATTATCAGGTATATCACAGAAGTCTAATATGTTTCTATTATCATCCATTTTTACTCATGGGAAAGAGTCAGGGGAAAGTACTTTAGACTTTTTTCGTTACATATAAATGATTCGTAACCTGTCTAAATGTGGTGGTTACTGAAATCTACATGCACCAACTGAGCTGATGTCCTGGATGTTAACTGTGCAATTTTATTAACAACTTGAGGCTGTTGGGTTTATTTTTCACTCTCTTTTCGTTTCCCAAAGGAAAGAAATATTGATATTGGTGTCAAGGGTTAAAAAATAAGAATCAGTTTGATAAAAACAAAATTAAAACAGGTAAATTCAATCTTCAATATCACCCTGCCCCCAACACAAATATTTTTTGTACAGCTCCTTAGTGGATAAATGTGGTCATGTGAGCACTCAATAACATTTAAACTCTATTATTTATTTATTTATTTTTTGCTGTCATTTGTTCTGTAGAGATATTATCTGACATTTTGGCTATATCTGTAAAATAATCAACTGGAGTTATTTTTTGGGAACATCACATTAACCTTAATACAGCTGCAAATACAAAACAAGTTAATCCAGCATTACACAAAAATGGGAATAAATCACCGACTAATGTGTGTCAGAAAGAGATGGTGAGCTAGAGTAAGAGGGGAAGAGAGAGAGAGTGAAAATGGTGTGATTAAGTTACTGAGCCCTCTTTGACCCGACAGGACCAGCATGTCGCTCACCTCCATTCTCTCAGCTGAGGCCATTGAAAACGCTGTCCAGGACTGTCAAGGTAGCATCTCCACACAGACACACAAAGACACAGACACACACACAGACACACACACACACACACACACACACACGCACACACACACACACACACACACGCACACACTTGATCATTCATTACATCATCATTGAGACAACACCCTGACATAACTAATTACCTTGAGCTTGCAGGAATTGAGTGTTATAATGTTAACAGGCACAGGTTCTTGCCTACGTTGAATTTTTAATCTTTGTAGTGTTCATTCACCCTCAGATCATTTCTCTTTCACTAAATAAAGCCTATAATCTTCCCTGCAATGCAATGTTTCCGATACCGCACAGCCTGCCTGCACTCAAGTCACACCAAGCTTTAACTGAATGACAATGAACTTGAAATGTGTCTCCTAAACTCAAAAAGATACAAACATGGGAAAGCAGACTCATGCTGTTTTAATCTCCTTGCAGCTCCCAAATTGGTTGACTAATAGGCCAGCTTTTACATATCCCTTTTTGTGGTTGTTTGGGTGTGTTTTCTTTTAGCTCCGGACACGTTCTGCTATAAAAAGTTCTTTAAACTTTGTGGCCTGTCAACAAAGACGCCACAGGAAATCAAAGATGTCTTCCAGATCCTGGATGAGGACAACAGCGGATACATTGAGGAGTCAGAGCTCAAGTATGTAAAAATAAAAGTTTGCAGATATTTTCTTACTGCGATATTATTTCAATTTGAATTATTAGTCACAGTGTACAATAAGTGCACAGAGATTCAGCTCAGTGGTATTACTGAGACAGCACCATCAGGACTCTCTTAATAATCCCCGATGACATAATTCTCTTTTGTCTTATTGCGTGCAATTTAGGAATTAGTGGTGTTATGTGTATTTAAATGTGTGTCAGTGATCTGTCAACTCAAATACAAACAACAGATGTTTGATTTGTGTGTGTGTGTGTGCACGCCTGTGTTTGGGTGTGCGCATGTCTAGGTACTTCCTGCAGAGGTTTGTTCCAGGGGCACGAACCCTGACCGAGAAAGAAATGAAGAGCTTCATCTCAGCAGCCGATGATGACAGTGACGGCAGAATTGGAGCGGACGGTCTGTATCTGATTTCTTACATTATAGGTTTACAAAGACAGAAGGTCAGAAGATCACATATCAGGGGTCAGACTAAATCTCAATTGACAAAGTCACACAACCACAAATAGAGAAAGACAGGAGTTAGAGTCTTACAAACTTTCTTAGTATGAGATAAATATCCAACATGCTGATAATGATATCAAGTGCAATGATACAATGACAACTGTTTATAGCAATGACTCAAAAAAGGCAAATTTCCCCCTTTATGTTGGCACTACTTGATCTGATGATGGCTAATATTGAGCTAGAGCTTCATCTGACTGCATCAGGTGGTGTGAAAGGATGTAAACCACACAAAGGTCTATGGGAATGACATGCAGCAAAGGGCCACAATCAAACCAAGGACACCCACTTTGAGAACTGTAGCCTCTTTATTACATAGGCGTGGTATGAATTAATTGCTAAACTGCACCGCATTTCCTCCTTTTCAGCATTACTTTTGTTTGTTATGTGTAACTATGCTCTCAAGAATGAAAGTCTGTATCTGTTGCTGTCGTGTACTGTGTGAAAAGAGAAAATCGGAATGTAATTGTCTAATCTTATTTATTTACTCATGTCCAGGTTATTATTTTTTGGAAAAAATATGAAAGGGAAGTATTTGATAGCCAACATTTAGATCAGACAGACTTTACCAATGCTGCAGATGATAGAAGCAACTTGGAGTACCCTGAATTTAGCTCTTATAAAGAAAATTTTAATACGTTTATCTCTTAAGCTGAGAGATAAAAATGAATTGGATTAAATGATATTTTTAAGGCTTATTTACTGTGAGGAGTATTTTAAAGGGAACTGGTTTACTGAGAATATTTGTTGAGTCATGTTGTTTCAGGTTTATCAGAGTAGAAAACATCTGCATGCAGTCGTGACCTGTAAAATCCTGTTCCTGATTTTCCTGTCCTCTAGTTACGAGCAATATTTGGGCTCAGCTGTCTTACATAATAGGATAAGGGATTTGGACAATCCAAAAGAGATTATCTTAGTCTGTATTTGTTTATATTTTCCTGTGCTCAGTCATTTAAAAGTTCAGAGGTGATCCCTATGTTAATCACACAAGTAACAGTTCAGCGTAAGGTTAAATTTTGTTTGAATGAGCTGTTTAGTAGAAGGCCAAGGGCAAAGAAGTGCTGTATGAATCCTGTATAATTCAGTCATCCTGTCTGCAGAAAACTCACTGCTCTTTTGTAACTGTCTTTGCCAGAATTCCAGACTATGGTCCTGTCCTGAGTTTCATTCATGGAAAGAGAACAAGTCTTCAGATCAAGAGTCCTCCTCTCACCCCTGGAGTCCTTCTGTTCCCAGTGAATCATTTTCTACTAAAATCAGCTGAATAGTTTTGAAATCATATTTTGTTCATTTAAAGACATACAACTCTGACTTTGTCTGTCCTCTGTGTTTGTCTGTGTTTTCTTTTCCCTGTAAAGCTCACCCCTGACAATCAATCACTTCAAAATAATCAGTGAGAAGAATAAACACATTGGTGCTGAGATTTTACCTGTATCAAATTTATGACAACTGGAAAATACAATGAAAATTGTGTGTGGATTTTACTGTACATTAATTGTCTTTCAAAGAATAAAGCAAATTTCTGAAATTAGGAAATGAAAGGATTGTGGATTTATTTATTTATTCTGTGATTTATATTAATTATTTGCCACTCGCAATTCCCTATACAAAGCTTTATCTAGAGTGAAACCAAAACTATTTCATTAAATATTGTTTCCTATCAAGTTGGTCGAATACAAACACAATATCATTACTCATGCAGGGTCTGAGGATAAGAGATATAACTGGGAGATAATTGTGACAAAGAGGATGTATATACTGTCACATTAGTAGAGTAATTTTTAATGATTTAATTAGGTTTCGTTCCTTGTAAATATGAAGGGCACTTGTTGAAAAAAATTAGTAAGTTAAATAACTGAAAATCAAAACAAATGTTGTATACATTTAACGCGGATTGCCATCGTTACTGTAGACTACTGTAATTACAATATTTACTGTTGTTACAGTGATGGTAAATTATAAACTAAAATCCAAAGGAAAGAATGACCTGATCCTAAAATTATAGTATGACCACTCAACCAAATAGCTCTTTCAAAGTACCAAGGACGTTAAAAACCTGAGCCATGTTTTTTTTTTTTTTTTTTTCACTGTAGTGCGGTACATCCCATCTGGAGTAACATGTGCAGCTGGTTGCAGTCCAAAAACATTGACTTCCCTTGTCAGCAGAAACTATTTTGTTTGGTGATTTTAATGAGGATAGGAACTTGGATTTTGTTCTAAATGCTTTGTTGCTTTTTTGACAAGTTCTTCATTCTTCAAGTGTCGATATTTAAAAAAAAAGACCATGCCTACCTCACTGGAAGAATGAGCTGCTACTTTTTTGTAAATCCTTAAAACTTGTTACAGACAAGAAAGCCCTACGCCTATTGTCTTTACTAGAAATGTTCGAATTGATAAAGAATGGCCTCTGACATACATAATCATACAAAAAGTACCTAGGAACCTTAATTTGCCTGACATCGGTTTTACCCGGACAGAAGAACACGTGACACCTCGCTGTCAAAAGCAGGAAGTATAGAATGTGAAGTATAATGCGGCATCTCTTCATATCATTGATTTCATTTCCTCATTTTAAATTATTATTTTCGCACTCTACAACCACAAGCAGTTGGACGTGTTGTGTTTATGCTCTGTAAGGTGAGTGTTACCGTCGTGTTTTTCTCTCAGCCTCGTGTTTTATTGAGCTTTTCTCCTCGACTCAGTGCCTGCAAACACAACTCCACTGCTAGCATAGCCGGTTAGCTGAATTCACCCCGGCTGTTTGTTGACGAGTTCATGTTAAATTGTTGTTCTCGCAATCACAGAGCCACCAACATTCATGTGTAGGGTATTTCTGTATCAAATCAGCAAATATATAGTTGTTTCTGTAGCTCGGAGAGACTTGGATGTCTATCATCAGAAAATAAAAAAAAACAGGTGAGAGCCGAGCTGGTGATCACAGGTAAACAGAGAGAGCACAAACACGAACAAAATTCAATCTAGTTCAGGAAAACAAGTGAGCTGCAAAGGTGAAACGTGTTGGATATTCAAGATCTGATACTCTGAATCTAAAACTCAAGTTAAACTTTGAGGTTATTGATGTTGAAATAGAAAGTAAAACAAACTGGGTGTGAACATGGACCATAAACTTTGAAAGTAAAATGTCAACAATCAGAGCCACATTATACACAACTGAGGAAAACCTGAGACAGAATTCGTTATACAGTTTTTATTGTTCTATTATTCTATTAAATGACAAACTGTGCGGAGGTATTTGGTCATATTTACAAAATAAACACCAATTCCACTTTTAAGTGAGAGAAAAAGCTTAAGTAATCACAAAGCAATGATACTACTATGAACCAAACAACACAGCATTTTATAGTTGAAACACGCTTTAATTTTGGGACCAAAATTTGTGGTCCCAGGAAATGAACATGCTGTGCTCCTACTTTTGTCAAACGGAGTACCACAAGGTTCAATACTAGGTGATGTTTTATTTACAATTTCAGAATCACAACACTTTACTATCCTGGGGGGAAATTTGGTCATTGCACTTACTCTTGTCTTGAAAATGCAAATGTGAATAGGGAAGTAGGAAATAGTAGTATTAGGGCTGGGCGATATGTGGAAAAGTTAATCACAATATGTATTTTTTTCACATCAGTCGATATCATTCATTATATTGAAAATGAAATTTAACAGTGCTCATTGGTAGTATGTCTTTTGCAATATAATAAGTTGTGAGGTCTTTGTGTCTCTTCGATGTTTTGTCATAAGACGTTGCGCTAGACAAAGCGGACTGATTGGTCGGCTGTTTATAGCTGCATGGGCACCATTGGCTCTTTGCTCTGTTCGGGATTGGTAACCTTTTGCATTGTGCGTGCTCTGCCGCGTGGCACTGCTTCAGGTGGTGAAAAAGATTTGAGGTATTCCCCAACTTTGCGAGAACATGTATTCAACACAGTTTACAATGCACATTACTCTGCTTCATGTCCGACCTAAAAAAAAAAACAAAATACCTTCACATCACTGACGTTCAGCACATGATTGGTTCAGTGCAAAGCGGACCCAGAGCAACTCCCTTTTTCATTGGCTATTCGTATAGTCTACCAAAACATGGCAGAATGCTGACTATTGAAAAACATATTGACCATGTTTCATTGATTGTTATCGTTTTATCGCCCGGATCCAAGTAGTAGTTAAATTAGAATGGATAAGAAATTACAATAGCCAGTACAAAAGTGTGGGACATTAGAAATAAAGCTATTTACAAAGCGCAGCGTGTTTAAGACATTAGTCGTGTATAGGCTCAGATAGCAGGAAGTCATAATACCAGTTTGGAATATTGCACAGTTTATTGGAATATTGCACAGTTTAGTTTAGTAAACAATGTATTATCAGTATTGTAATCTTAGATTAGTGAAGTTTTGAGCAGTTTACAATCAGATTGCACAGTTAGATATAATTGTATGTCATGGAGAAGCTTTCACTTACTACAGTTACTCGACTAGGGTTAATATTGATAATATTATGCCTACTGTTTCAAATTGTGCCATACATCTGTATGCTGATGATACAGTCTTATACTGTCAGGCCATTCAAACACTGCAGCAAGCTCTTGATCAGTTACACCAAGCTCTGTTTAATCTGGAACTGGTTCTCAACCCCAACAAAACAAAAGACATAATAATTTCTAGAACCAGAGACATTACATACGACGGTTGATATATCAACACTCTGACAGCACACAATATTAAAAGAGTTACCGAGCATAAATATTTGAGTTATAGTTAGATCAAAAACTTTTATTCAAATTCCATGTTGATTCTCTTGGCAGAAAGATAAATAAAAAAAATTGATTCCTCTACAGAAACAAAAGTAACTTCCCAAGGCTCTGCAGAAAACGAGCACTAAGGCAGTCTTTTTATCTGTTTTAGATTATGGTGACATTGTTTATGGAAATGTCTCTGTTTCTACCCTTGCTCTCTTAAATTCCATTTATCACTCAACCCTCAGCTTCATCACAGGTGACAGTTTCTTCACTTGTGATTGTGTTTTGTATGAAAAGGTGGGCTGGGCACCTTTATCAGTACAACTCGACAGGCATTGGTTCTTGTTTAGCTATCAGGCCTTAATTGGTAAACTGCTCAGATATATTACATCTCTGTTAAATCAGCGTCATAATCATGACCCAACGGGTTCTAGTGACTGGTTCTAGTGATGCTTGGCATCCCACGGACAAACTCTCCATTTGGAAAGAACTGCCTTTTGTTTTTCTGCTGCATTTACATGAAACACTTAACAACAAACATTGAAACCTTTGGGTCAGTTTAAAACTATGATGTTGAATTACTCTGATGTTGTGTGTACTTGCTTCTAATTGTGTAATGCCCCCCTTGTATTTTGGAAAAGTAGATCAGGTTTTTTTTTTCTTTGAAGGCGTGCCGTCAGTGGTCTTTGAAATTTAGTTTATTAGGAGTTGACTTCAAATATACTTTATATCTGTTATTGAAGACATAGTGTAAGAGAAATAAAGAAAGAAAGAGCAATTATCACCTGTCTGACCATATAAAAGAACAAGCTTTGTGAAAGTAGCATTTATGGTAGAGCAGTTGTAATGGGTTGTATTAGATTGCTCATATGCCTATAACTTTTACTTACAATTTAATATTGTGTAAAGAAGTTTTAACTTTAATTTAGAGCCAGACTCATATGGGATTTTAATGGCTAATCCCAGTAATCAAAGGCTTGCAAACTTGAGTTGTTTTTGGCTGTAGAATAGAGTGAAAATAGACCGTCTCTGTGCATCAAGCTTTGTGCCAATAGCATTTTACACTTTGCAATGTACCCAGAAGCCTTTTATCCTAACTGCAGAACTATTTAACAGTTACATTTCAGCCTGTACTTCTGCAGACTACTGCCTGCTCATGTGCTAATGATATCTTCCTACAATCTTCCCCGAGCATGATTCTGGGCACAGTGTGGTCTGAAAAACAACAAACACATTTGCATGACTCTAATGGGATGCATGCCAGTACCAATATATCTGTTACTGTTCTGGCCAGGAGATATTTTTCAAGTGCACTCTGATAAATAATTATTTTTCCCATATGTTTATGAGGAGGAGTTTCCAATTTCAATACTACAATTCAATCTTGCAATGTCTGATGCACCTAATAAGACCAGTAATGGATAACATACAACCTTCGGTACTTCCACACTTGCCCACTCTGACCTCATTTAGAGTGCTTGAACCCCCACTTAAAGGTAATGATCATCTATCTTTAAGTATTGTCTTTCTGCATGATATAATAGCACTTGTCTTCACTCTGCAGGCACACGGCATGCTAACCAAACTGTCTTTAAAGCGAAGAAATCCAGACGCAGGTTACACTAATGCTGATGATTAGGTAAGGGGCTCTCTTTTTAATAATGCAAGGATGACTCGGTGTCATTTGAATGAAATCATCAAACCTTGAATTATTCATCTCTCTGTTTCAGTCCCAGGATGGCCTCAGGAATGCAAGAGAAACAGTACACACCGTCTCTGCTGAGTTTTTTCATTTATAACCCCACATTTGGACCTCGAGAAGGAGAGGTAGAGTTAATTTCTGAATCAGCACATATTTACCAGTTAATCAGCTTTCCTTTCTATCTGTTTTACTTACATTGCTAATTCTCCTTTTTCAGGAGGAGAAGAAGATTTTATTTTACCACCCTAGTGATGTAGAGAAGAATGAGAAGATTCGAAATGTGGGCCTCTGTGAAGCCATTGTACAGTTCACCAGGTAAAGAGTTTGGCACTCGACCTGAAAAATCCCCTTAATTTTTACTGCCTTGGTGGATTTGAGTGTTTGTTCGGCCTTTTTTGTATAGATTTAAAAGGCTTCTAACATCAAAGTATGATTCTGGTATTTGTCAATTTGGCACTAACTTTAGAAGAGTTAATTACCAGTTGAAAGTTTGGAATAGTCTGTGTACTTTATAACTTGAACTCAACCAAAGCACCTCTGTTGAAGTTCTTTCTTTGATCCTCAGGCTTTCTGCCCACAAAGTCCAAAAACTGGTCTAAATGCTGTGTGTTTTTTTTAACATTGTCCAAGATTCTTTGAAATGCAGTATGAATAACTCTCCAAATCATGCCCTAGTTTGAGTAGTTATGGTGTAGTAATCCAAAAGAAACCTGTAAATTTGATGAATATGAAGAGAATATAGCAAAATGACTTGATATTTTTGTGAGTCTGATACAAAAGTATAAAGGAACACAAAATAGTTGTTCGATCAGATTGTTCAGGTGTGTCTCCTTTGTCTTCACGGTCTACAGGACATTCTGCCCAACAAAACCAGCCAAATCCCTGCACACACAAAAGAACCGACAGTTCTTCTTTGAGCCCGAGGACAACTTCTGGATCGTCATGGTATCTTGACGGATTATGTGTACATTACTTGCTCAGTATTTATTCTGTTTGTCTAGACTTTGTTGACTTTCCTTTAAGGCTGTAATTAAGGCTTATTTCACCTGCCGTATCTAATTCACAGGTGGTTCGAAACCCGATGATTGAGAAACCAAACAAAGATGGAAAACCTCCCACAGTAGAATACCAGGAAGAGGAAATACTTGTATGTCTTAAAAACTCTTAACAAATCTGTGTTTCCTTTATTTCTGTCAGTAAAGTCTGACTTTATCAGCCTTTGTACATCGACAGGACACAGTTTATGGTGCAGTGGTGAGACAGTGCTACAGTATGTACAAGGTATGTTTGACTAATTAACGTGTTAACTGGACACTGTTGTGTTTGTATGATTTAAAAATCATATTTAAAATGCTTTAAAGCCTTTTAACCTAAGTCTGTACATTGCTTAAATATGTTGGGATGTGTTTTCTCAAATTTTCTTTGCTTTATATTTCAAGTTGAATGTAATTGCTTCTACTTTCATTGCACTCGTTGGTGTTGCTTTTAATGATTAACAGAGTTCCTCAAAGGAGCTTTAAACGCCACTGTTTTATATATTTTCTCTCTCCTGTTAATCTAGTCAGCAAAACCCTGAACTATTGATGATGCAGACTGGAAAAAAAAATTTAGCTTGTGAAAATGTATCAAGAAATGATCACTGACTGTTTCACTGACCTCTGTTTTCTTTTCGCTAAAGCTCTTCAACGGCACGTTTGGCAGAGCGATGGAAGCCGGTGGAGTCGAGCTGCTCATTCAGAAACTTGAAAAATTCTTCTACAGGGTAAAAAAATAAAATCTCATGTAATCATATAATCAGCTCATAATATAAGCCCAACTTCAAAAGAGTTGGAACCTGATGTGAAATGTTAGTAAAAACATAATTTGATGGTTTGCACATCATTTAAATGCCATAGAGAAAAGTGTAAAGACAATATATCGAATCTTGAAAACAGAAAATGTGGTTCATGAAAAATATGTGCTCAGCTTGATGAAAAAAAGTACGGCTGAGACATGTACACCACTGTGTTGTATCATCTCCTCTGGCACTGACTTGTTGAAATATTCAATGTATCCCCTGAAAACAACAAAAAAGTCTGGATGTTATATTTTTCAGTATTAGTCTTCTCAGTCCTTGTGTGTAAGCTAACCAAACCATCAGGGATGCTGGCTTTTGACCTGCTTGCTTACACCACACTAACACACCCTCTCTTTGTAGAGTAGAGTGGAGCACTCAATGTCCTGGATTTCCAAAAAAAGATTATACAATTTTGATTTGTATCTCTGAGTGTTGAATCTCGTCCAACCTTTACCTCCGAGAGACTCTCTGTAACATCCTTTTTATACTCAGTCATGTTTCTAACCTTTTGCAAATTCACTTGTTGGTGTTGGGGATGTTCTTTTTTTTTTTAGCACTGAACAACTGTTTAAATATTTTGTTCCCCCTGTCTCAACTTTTATGATACCTTTGTCTGAAATTTAAAATATGCATATTTTTATAAAATAGTAAAATTTTTCATCGTTCCAACATTTTATGTGTCGCCTTTGCAGTATTTACATTTAAACATGCGGTTTAAATGATTTGCCAGCCATCAAAATCTGCTCATAAATCGACCAGTTGACTGAGATGTGGCTGGTTTTTGGCTCAAACAGCATCAAACCCTCTGCAAAAGTATTAAGTATTCATTCCTAATCAGGGAATGCCCTTCTAGAGTGAATACAGGCTTTCCTCTCTACCATGTAACCAGAGGACAGGTAGAAAGAGGGTTCGGTGTTGGTATCAGAGGTTGGATGTCAGTGCTTCCTTCAGGATGATGCAAGTGTCTCCACAAAGCATCAGTCAAAGTTTCTTATTCCTCTGACTCTATAAACTCTGAGCTTACATTAACTACTATGTCTACTGTTTTTTTCTGTGTGTGTGCTCCTCCTGGATCTCCAGTATTTGCAGACCCTCCACTTGCAGTCGTGTGACCTGCTGGACGTATTTGGAGGAATCAGCTTCTTCCCACTGGACAAAATGACCTACCTGAAGATCCAGTCCTTCGTCAACAGAGTGGAGGAGAGTTTGAGTTTGATCAAATACACAGCCTTCCTCTACAACGACCAGCTCATCTGGTACACGCTTACGACTTTCATATCATGTGTTTGTCTTTGGAAGCCTCCTGTGGGTTTAATGATTTTGTGGCGACATGTCGTCCTGCCGCACTTCAATCCTTATTTGACCCTCCATGTTTTTCTCAGCCATATACAAGCACTGACATTTACAGAAGCATCAAGGCAAACTGGGCAAACAGAGGTGGCTTCAAACACGACCTGTAATCCTCTTTGCAGTTAATGTGCTCCCTGACATGTCACCTGCCCCTTGGCTGGCTGTGCACACATGGGGGGGGATTATGGGATTGCTAATGAAATTACTCCGGAGCGGTTTAATTATTGTCCAAATTAAGTGCCTGTATTGTGTGCTCATAACTCATAATCGAGTGTTTACAGCCACTGCCGGACAGTGATCACTTAATTTGAACACCCAACACGCTAAACAGCACTCTAAAAATGCCGCCCTCAGCAGCGCATGTGTGTTTTTGTGTTACGGTTATGTTATGTTTTGTGTTTTGTGTGGCGCGAAGTTCAAAAGGTGTAACTGTTATTTTTATGTGTCGGTTCGGTCTTGCAGGAGTGGACTAGAACAAGACGACATGAGGATCCTGTACAAGTACCTGACCACCTCGCTGTTCCCCAGACACTCAGAACCAGAGGTGAGGAGCTGGAAGTGCAGGAGAAACAGGAGAGAGGGGAGCTGGTGGAGGAATGGGAGGTCAAATGAGAACATAAAAAACAAAACAGAGAAAAGAGGGCATCAGGAGAGAAAACAATTTTGAGGCACCTCAGTATAAGTTTAGTTTTTAAGTTTTTAATGATGATCTTGACAGCTAACTTTATGACACGCTGTGAATATTTCTCTCATGGCCTTTAAAGTAGTAGGTAAGTAACAACAGCATTAAACAGTCTTTGATCCTAGAGGACACAGGCAGCCAATGTGGAGCTTTAAGAATAGGGATATGTGAGTCCTCCTATTAGCGGGGGTTAGAATTCTCGCTGCAGAGTTTTGCACTAACTGAAGACGAGACAGCTCCTTTTTGTTCAGACATGAAAACAAACTATTACAGTAGTCTAAACGTGACGAAACAAAGGCATGAATGATGAGCTCCAAGTCATTTTGCAACACCATTTTTTTAAGCTTAGAGATTTTCCTCAGTTGAAAGAAGCAGTTTTTCATCAACTGTTTACATTCTGTTTACACTCTTAACATTTAGAATAGAATAGAATAGAATAGAATAGAATATTCCTATATTGATCCCTCATGGGGGAAATTTTTTTGTCACAGCAGCATCACAGACAAAGAGTGCAAAAATGCAGTTATAAAAAAATAAGGATCGTAATATTAAGAACTTAAATAAATGTAATAATTAAGAAAAAAATTAGAAAAAGGGAGAAGAAAAAATAAAACTAAAACTATCTACAATTTTCCTCCTCTAGTTGGCCGGCAGAGACTCTCCTCTGAGGCCGGAGGTTGCAGGGAACCTGTTGCACTACGGGAGGTAAGTATTTTATCCCGTGTAACTTTGTACCTACTTCATATGCATAGAGAAGAAAATATAGTAGTAGATTTTTTATTAATTAAATATCTGGGTGTGCTCATCAGTGTTTACAATTTCAGGCATCACTTGGTTTAGACTGACTGACATTAGTGAGGCTTATTTGCAGTGAATACAGTGATATAAGCAGGAAACTCCCTTGGCTAATAGTTTTAGTGAGAAAGAGAGCAGGAGGTGGAGTATGACGGCAGTCTCACGTTTGCAACACGTGTAAAAAGTGGACTGTGTTATCTGTCTGGTAAAAAAACAGGAAGAACACCATCAAGTCCAGTTGTGATAAAAGGATATAAGACCACTGATTCTTTTTGAGATCCACGCCGTCAAAGAAACAAATATAAGACAGCGATCTGCCTCCCAGTGCAAAATGTTCCACTTAATATTAACTGGCATCTTTGGAATCCAGTGATTAATCAGCACAACAGTGAGGTCTTTGTTGAGCATGAGGTCCCATCCTGTGGATCAGCCATCAAAGAAAGGAAGGAGACGTAAACGAGCCCTGATCCATCTTTTTATTTATTTTAGGATTAACATGGATATTACAGTGAAAGTGATGATTGAGATGTTTTTGTTTTTTTTTTTCAACATTTCGTGCTCGATTGCTCATGAATGATTGTTTTCAAACTGTAAAGACTAATAAACAAAACAAAACAGCTTTGATTTAGGGAAACCATGAATTAACATTTTGCTCTTAGTTTTATACTTCCGTTTAGGGGGACTATTATAGTCCACTATTGTATTTGCTTTCACCTGCTTCTTTCAGTGGTTGATAGTAGGGCTGGGCAATAAACCAAAAATTTACTGATACCGAAATTTACGACATTAACCAACATCATTTTGCCCATGTCAATATATTTGGTGTCAAAAAAATAAATAAATAAAAGTTGGTTTTGGATGAATGTAGGTAGGCTATGGTCTCATGTCCCTTTAAGACACTGTCCTACATCAGAGACGTGACTCCACGCCATCCAGTCCGTAACAAAGAGGGAAAGACAGGTGAGGAGATGGAGGACGGTTCAAAAGTTGTAGTGGCTTGAACGGCGGCTGAAGTAGACAAAGTTAATGTGGGAGGGGGTGAGCAGCTTGTGGAGTAGTTATTGTCCATTTATTGTGATCGAGGTGAACTGCTCAATATATCGTGATATTGATTTGAGGCCACATCACCCAGCCCTAGTTGATAGCCACACAGGGACCAGTATCAGAACAGCTCTATTTGTAGTCCAAAGTTGGTTCTCCATCTTCATCGAAGGCCAAATCATTTCTACAACTTAATCCCAGGTTTGAGATCCGCGCTGTAGGGGGTATGCTAACATCACTTAAACCGTCACTGGGCTGGACAGACTTTCTTTTGAAAGGCAAATTAAAGAAGGCCTTGTTAAATCATTGACACTTGGGTTTTACTCTGGATATAATTCATCCTGGATTAAGCAGTAGGTTTACAGGCCATGTTGTTGTGTATTTTAGACTCCGTTATTCGCAAACACCCTCACTCTCCAAACAAAGTTAACTGCCCAGATTCAGTGTAACACATTGGGTTATTTTTAATATCTAACTAATGTTCCTGGCTTTGAGTAAGCCTCAACAGAACGCAGCATCTGAATGTTGTATTTACAAAGCTGGTTAAAACTGGGTGAACTCCCTTCACATCTGTGTAATCTCTTAGCACTCACTAACAGCTGTTCTGATTTCCGCTCCACTAGATGGCTGCTGTACCAGGTACCAGGATTTACTCAGATTTTGGAAGAGCAGATTTCCCATATTTTGGGACTTCGGCTTAATGACATTGTGTCCCTCAGAGAGGTCAAAGCTCTGACAGAATCTGTAACAGAGGAGTACAATTGCTAAACTGTTTAATAGTATGGGTCAGCTGTTTATTAACAAAGGTTTCACAAGTTTTTAATGTAGCTTGTTTGTCTTTTTAAATATTTTCTTAATAATAAACAGGAATGAGTGAACATGAAATCTATTAATTAATAGAGGAAAAACTTGTCATCTTTTTCACAATCTTTACTCCAACACCACCATCAGGACCAACTTTAAAATCTCAGTTTCATCATATTTTAAGCTATTTTTTTCACAGCATTTCCAGCATCACATCCTTGCATATCTGTAAGCCTGCTTTGTAAAGATCTCTCAGATGAAGATTTTTACGTTTGACTAACATTCTCCCTTTATTTACCCAACTCCTCATTGTTCAATTTTTTTCAGATTTTTGACAGGACCGACCAACCTCAAAGATCCAGAGGCCAAATTCAGATTTCCCAAAATATTTGTCAGTGCGGAGGATGGCTACGAGGAACTACATCTGATTGTTTATAAGGTAAAACTGAAATAAATGTGCCGTTTTGGGACGGAGTACAAACTCAGTCGATCCTCTTCAAGAAGTTATTTATGCAACAAAACAGGGAAGAACGATTGTAATTCATTTACTGGATGCTTAAAATGACCTGCAACCACAGGATTTGTGGATGAACAGTCTATTTAAGAAGTCATATTCCACTGCCGGATGAAATGATTCAGATTTTGAGGGATTAAACAGCTGAATTTTAACATGATGAACCAGCTCCCAAAATATCAACCATCACAGTAATGTCATTTCTGACCTGCATGATCTTGATTCTGCATATAAACTGCTCTGATCTGATCTCTCCCAGGCAATGAGCGCTGCAGCTTGTTTTATGATCAATGGTAAGTGAGCACCACGGATGATTTTATTCAAATACAGCTTGATTATTTTTCTTTTCCACCTGGTGTTTTGACAGTTGTAAGGCTCGTATAAGTCTGAAATCAGCCTCTTTTGTCTCCTTGGTCTCTCTCCAGCCTCTGTGGAGCTGACGAGGGACTTCTGTGAGCAGTTGGACAGCTTGGTGGGCCCTCAGCTTACCCTGCTGGCATCTGACATCTGTGAACAGTTTACCATAAACCGCAGGATATCAGGGTCAGTACAGAGAATCCACCTCACCTTTAAAGGCCCTTTCAGGATCTCATAATAAGAAAAAGGCTGGAATTAAAATTGATGCCTTTAAATTTATATTTGACCATTACCAGAAAGACATAGGACATTTTATCATAAAAACAGAAACTGCACTTATAGGACAAAATCACCAAAGAGTTTGGAAGCACTAATCTATTCACAAAACCAACAATCAACCAAAAGTTGTTTTCAAAAGTGCTCTAAATGGAAAGACCAAATAATGTCATCTTCATAGTTTCAATTGTTGTCCGTTTGTTAAGCTGATGAAAAGACAACAATTTAAAGATTGATCACCTTTTTAATTATTTGATTGTTTCCTGTTTGAGGCAAGACCAGAAATATGAAATTAAAAATTTAAAGCTCCTTTAAGGACATTTTAGTGTTTGTTGATTTTGCTGCCCCTTATGTGTAAGAAATGTTATTAAGCGAAAATCTCATTCTACCATCTGTGGATTTCATCTGTACCCAGGACTGATAATCTCAGTGATGTAAAAACGTGTCGTTAATCTGTTTGTCTGACATCCACCCCGCAGCAGAGGTTTGACAGGCATCGAAAATTACTATCTAGAGACAATCTGTTGTCCTCTGGGTGGCTTTGTTTGCTTTTGCAGCTCATAAAGAAGCGTTGGTATGATTTTTGGATTTATTACCAACTAAAAAATATCTCCTTTGAGATTTGCATCACTAAAACGACACAAATGTCATCAGTGAAATAGTTTGGTTGATCTGGTCATTGAAAGAAAAATAACTAAAGCTGTTTTTTTTAACCTATTCTGCCTAATATTATTAATGTATAATATATTATTTTGCAGATAAAAATGCCAAATTTTACCCATTTCCCTTTTTTACATTTTTTTTATGTGTGTGTTTTCGTGCCAGATTTATTTTAAGTGGCATTCTTATGTTTTAAAAGGCCAACTCACTAGTCTGTTGAAAGATAATATCAACAAATGAATCCATCATGGTTTGTCTGTTTAGCCCAGTTGGTACAGCAGAGTCCCTTCAAACAGAGGTTAAGTCCCGGAGTCATCAGCAGCAGCAGGCGTGACTCTTGGCCAAGATTTTCAGACTCTTTAAGAAAGTTTGAAAGAGCCAGAGTAAATGCTGCAAGACAAAATCAAGGAGACAAAATCTCTGTACTCTTTAGTCGTTTGTCATCAGTTTTCTGTCAGTCCTTTGTGTAAACTCTGCCCGGCAGGCAACGGCACATGAAGCTCTGATAGCACTGGATATCATAGGGGCACTACTTAGGTGTAACTCAAGCAGTGCAGCTTCACAGGCTCAGACTGGCATCCTGGCCCGCTCTCCTTTAACCCCTGCAGTTTGCTGCAGAGACGTCCACGTCTGTAACCCAAGACCGGACTCCCCAGCCCAGACAATGTGATGGGCTTCTTTTTAATCACTCTGCTGAAGAATCCTATGAATAAATAATGCCGTCCCAGAATCCTCTGCTGACATTCAGATCTGTGTCCTTATTTTGCCTGCAGTAATGTGTGAAAATAAGAGGCTGCATGAGTAGAAATCAGCGTACATGAACACATTCCTCTTGCCATTACTGCGCTGGTGTTTTGGTCAGTTGTCTTAATCATACTGTTCTGTGACATGTTAGGGCAGCATACGTCCTTGTAGACTTGTGAACTGATGGAAATGATTGAAAGTGAGGAAATATCTTTCCAATCTGTGTCTGCTCAGGCCTGAAAAGGAGCCCCAGTTTAAGTTTATCTACTTCAACCACATGAACCTGGCAGAGAAGAGCACCATCCACATGAGGAAGACTGCCAGCGTCTGCCTCACCTCCGTCCATCCCGACCTCATGAAGATCTTGGGAGACATCAACTGTGACTTCGCCAGGTGCAGCAACGAGTACAGACTTTAACTGTGTTTATCTTCACCATATTATTCAAGAGTTTTCACTGGGAATGACTGCAGATCAACATAGTGGCATCAAAAGACAAACTTTTTACAGTCGAAAGCTTTTATGAAAAAGTAAACACTCATGTTTAGACATAAGCATGAGAAAGTCATAATATCAATATATAGAGAAAAAACTTGTGATTTTTATGGGAAAGGGTCATTGCCTTGATGTAGCATCCCGACAACTATGAGAGATAAAGTCAGATTTATGACTACGGTCCTGATCACGACATAAAGGTAATAATTCTTCAACAAAACCGTTACCGAATTTCCCCTCGTGGATAAATAAAGTTGTTCTTATCTTATTTTATCTTATTAAGGGATAGGGTTTCAACATATGAGATAAAAAGATATAAATGTCTAAAAAAAATCATGATTTCAGATAAAGTAAAATAAAGACCAAAAGTTAGATCAGAAGTGACCAAGATGAGACGAAAAGTAAGCTAAGGAATTTCTGTCAAATTGTGAGGGACAAAAAGTCGTACAAAATAAGAGAAAAATCAAATTACTGAGATAAAAAGAAGAAAAAAATATGACTAAAAGTCAATGCTAAGATAAAAAGTGATAATTAGGACACAAAATTAAAACATTTTAGTCCGAACTGAGATTAAAAACTAAAGAATGTTAAATAAAAACTCATTATTTTAGAATCACAAGTCAAAGAAATAAAAATTGAGGAAAAAAAAAGGTCTATCTTTTTTTCAGAAACTTTGACTATCATTTCATAGTTATGACCCCCAGTTTATTACACCATACTTTTCCCCCCATAGATTTAACTTACAATCTCATGGGAGGACTAATTATCTAAAATTCATCTTTTACTTTTAATTCTATATTTCAACTTTTTCTCACCAATTTGACTCAAAAATAGCAATTTTTTTAATCACAAAGCCTGAGTAATCACCTCTCTTGCTTCGACTCTGGCTCTACAGGGCTTCCATGAGTGGACAAAACTGAATCTGTGTTAGATCTGCAAACCCTTTCTCACATAATTGGATCTTATCTACATCATTTCATTGAGTAATGTGATGCCCTGGTATCCCTGTAAACTCATTTTCTATTTAGTCATGAGACTGTAGTCATCATGTGATGGCTCCACTGTCAGTCTGCTGGGCATGCTGTGGTCATAGTATTTGTTCCAGTTTTAGTATTAGTTCTTCTTTCAAGCAGCTGCTGCCCTTTTCTCAAAAACACACTCAGTGTTAGATGTGTGAATTAAGGTGTTTTAATGTGGAATTGTTGATCGCTTTCCACATAAAGTGAGAGTATTTTTGACCAAACCTTAAAAAGTCAATCAAACTTTTTGGGTGACGTTTTAGAGAGAGTAAATAAAATACTGTCACAGTTACTTTATAAAGTAAAGTGGCTCTGAAACAAACAGTTGTATGTGAGCTAGTTAATCTTTTTGATGGTGCTTACTTGTCAATGTCTGTCTCCTAGGGTGGATGAAGATGAAGAAATCATTGTCAAAGCAATGACAGACTACTGGGTAGTCGGCAAGAAATCAGACCAGAGAGAACTCTATGTGATCCTGAATCAGAAGAATGCAAATCTAATTGAAGTAAATGGTAAGTCCTTACCACCTCGACGTAAGAAAACCATGTCGTAATGACTGCAGACATTCTTCCTTAATGCGTAATCTGCATGCCATCCTTAAAGCCCTTTTGTCTTTTTTCCTGCTACAGAGGAGGTTAAGAGGCTTTGTGCAACACAGTTCAACAACATCTTCTTCTTGGACTAATGCAGCGGACACACAGAGACTCTTTCAGCACACTAAAAACTGTCAGTGTTGCAGGGTATCATGACAGCATCAGCGTAATGCAATAATTGCATTGTAATATAAAAAATAAAAAGCTTTCTCACCAAGTTTTTTTTTATTTAACCTATAAAAATTGTAATTTTCTCTTGTAATTAAGTGTAAATCCAGATTTTTACTGTACATGTACGTTATTTTCTCTCATTTTTCTTTGTACATATTTGTAGGATTTTGTTAACTCTTACTTTTGATTTCTTTCTACAGTTTGTCCATGTATTTTTTTTAAACCAACACACCACGTCTTGAGTTAATGTCAACAACAGGCACAGAACTCCCGGTTCTTTGATGATCAGTGATAGTTTTAAGATAAGATTTCATCATGTCAAAAGTATTGTAGTTTGTAAAGGACTGCGCTTACTTTAAATAAATTAAGAAGTCATTTCACAAATTTTTTTAAATGTCTCTTTTTTTAGGATTTACATCAAGTAAAAGCTGGGAACATCCAACAAATAGTTACATCAGCTGTTGCAGTTCTCTGACATCCATTAGACACATCTATTAATCCTAAAATATGAGCCAAGATTACTACAGCTAAAACAGCTGAAAGATATACAGAAGTGAAAATTTAAATAATTAAAAAAAAAAGAGGATCTGAAAATACAAGTGTTTGAGGAATTGAGTCTAAAGTAGTGAAAAGAGGTAAGAAGTGAAATTAACTTTGGAATCCCCTGGAAAATAAGTTTTTATTTGCTTCAACCCAAACTTTTATGCTTTCTTTTTTTTAATTTGCCATTTACTTTTATGGATGTGGTATTTACCCATAATTATTATTATATTGCAAATTTTGAAAAAATTGTTTGGCACTTTGTAATTTCCATACAGCACTTGTTCCAATTTCAAGTGTGCAACTTTATCCATTTTAATTTTCAACCAGTTTACTAAATCATGCCAAAATTTCTTAATTATGCTGCATGAGAAAAATAGATGTTCAATTGTTTCCGCTTCTTGCGAGCAGAAAACACATGGCTCCACCTCGAAACCAAACATCTTTTTAAAGGGGACCTACCATCAAAAATGTATTTTTGTGTGTTTTTTGTGTCAGATAAGGTCCATATTATGTTCGTCTTATGTTGTAAATGTGAAAACAAACCGTTACGTCGTTTGCATTCTGTAAAGGTTTAAAATAAAGGAACGAGTAAACCAGGCCAATTGAAAAAGCAGGTCCTTCTGACGTCGCGCTGACCTTGCTCATTATTATTCACGAGCGCGTCCTCGGTGAGCCGCGCCTACTCTCTCGTTCTCGTGTTTCCTTGGGTTCACTGCCGGGAAAATGAACTTAAAGCTGGGCAGAATGAATGAGAAAACACCGCTGGAGATCTTCGGCTTCTTCTTCAACTTCCACCTCCTCTTCGGACTCGGGGTCTAAGATATATGATTAATACCTGTCATTTTTAGCCTTTAGCATAAGGTGACCAGACGTCCTCGATTTCAGGGGACAGTCCCCGAATTGGATGACCTGTCCCCGGCAAAAGCTGTCCCCGATTTAAGCGTTTCATGAATGAATGTTAATGAGCCAAAATCAGTTGGTTTTCCTGTAAGGTTTTTTAGGCATACTAAAAACAAACCATCAAATAACTTTTCAGCTAAAATTATGTTGCAAACATGATCAGAGGACATCAAGGATTATGAAAAAATAATAAAAATGGGTATGAAATTTTGATGGCAAGTCCCCTTTAAGGATTGTTGCTAAAGGATAGTAACCATTGATTACTTTAAACTGCATTTCCTTGATTTTTGGGGACATTGGCCACGAATGAGAATGATACACATCATTTTAACATTGAGAGGGCTTGTTATCAACACTCCAGACCGATAGGTGGCGTCAAGTGTTGCCACTGAAAAACTATTCAGGAAGAAGAAAATGAGCCAATCAGCGTTGGCAGGTCTGATCTGTCTGCAGCCAATCATCGTCCTCGCAGCGGAATTTGAAAACGTACCCGCCATGGTTGTTGTGTTGTTTCAGGCTCCGTTAATTCAGTCCTTCCGCTCGGTTATGTACTGGAAGTAACGTAAAGGAAGTTTGTTTTAGCTTAATATTTTTGGACTTAAGGGGAAAGGTAAGCGTTTTTTTTTTACCCCAAAAGCCTGTTATGATATACGGTAGCTTACCAAACCAAGATGTAGGAGTTAAAGTCATATCCAGGGCCTCTTGTTTTACGGTGATATTCGGTATGGCTAATGTGGCTAACTTTGGTACCTAACATAAACATCAAAACAGTGCATGTTCACTCGCCTTATTGGTAGACATAGTTTAGTGACTCTTTTGCTGTCACTGGTTGAGGTGAAAGTCCATCGAAAACAAGATTACTCCATTTAGCTTCACAGTTTTTAACCATCGTGGTGTGTTAATCGTTTACGACGTGTTGTGTTTTCTGCGTTATGACCTTTACATTTCCTCTTTAATCCACCTCCATTCAGAAAACTTAGACTCCACATTATTTTTCCACTAAGGACCTCCCTTTCATACAATACTACGCACTTTCTTCAAAAAGGAGATATGACTTTGTTTATGTTTTACAAAAAAATATCAAATTAAAGTTAGGAATGCATAATGTTGGATATTTGGCAACATCTTAATTACTGTTATTAAACTTCTATACAGTAAAAGAAAGTGCATATATAAGTATCAACCAAAATAACATCAAGTGTTTCTTGCACTAGAATGTAGATAGTCTTTCTATTGATATTACTCAATGTGCCTGCAGTCTGTTGACGGCACTTTTAAAAGAGGAAGGTTGTTGTTTGAGCAGTCGTAGGGTTACACATGAATAACGTTTCACCTTATTTTTGTTTCATATTGTGAGGTAAAGGTGTGTTTAATGAGGCTACAGGCTGCTCTGAACAGCTTGCTCAAAAAGTCAAAACATGAGATTTAGTGAAATCCTGATACACTAACTGGTGGGTCTCCTTTGAAAGGCACAGTACACATAAAACGTACATCTAATGCTGGGTTTTTCTTGTCCCTTTCCAAATGTTTAGGTCAGATTTCTGGCTTGAAACATATTTCACAATTCCTCATTTCAAATAGAGAAACAAAGATATACTCAATGACACATCTTTGCAGCATAGCAACAGTGGAGGAGGGTTCTGGAGTGCTTGGTTTGGGGCTTTAGAGTATCTTAAAAAGACAGGTGCTGAAACAAGGTTTTTTTTTTTTTTTTTTAAAGACACTAATCTTGGATAAGTAAAGAATTTTTTAGTTCTAAACCATGTAAAGCTACTTGAAGACTGAAAATGGGTGTATTCAATGTTAATGCTCCGATTATACACATCTGTCTCTCTCCACAGGTACTGCAGATACCTGAACATGGAATCTCGATTTGCTCATCTGCGCCAGCGGGACACCAGTGTGTCAATGCTGAGGGTGAAGATGTCCCGCAGAAGGTCTCAGTCTCAAAAAGAGAACAGAGATCGGGCCGTGAACACCCGCAGACAGCTTGACAAAGTCCCAGAGCTCGACGTGTCATCCCTGGATGCTTCCATTGCAATGGCCAATATGTCGATCATACCAGAGAAGACACAGAACAAGACAAAACTTGCTAAAAGTGAGGCTGCATTCACTATCTGAGATACAAACTTCTGTTAACATTAGCCCCTGCTTTAACTGGTTCTAGTAAGTGCTAGTTTTAAGCTTAGACTGTTTTTTGTCTCACCCCACATGTGTTTTTCCACAGATGAGGCAGTAGAAGAGAGGCTGAAGCAACTTGAGCGCTGGAAAGAGCGTAAGGCTCTTGAGAAGGAGAAAGAAAAGAGAGAAAAGGAGCGAAAAGGAGTATTTAAGACGGGCATGTATCATCCAAAGGACACTTTTTCCATTGGCTCCCTGCCTGAGGTCCCAGCTGTCGCAAACAGAGCTAAAGAGGTGAGGAGGGGGGTCATCGAATGACCGGTTTATATTAATTACTTGAAGTGATGGTGACATGAGTGTAACACACTCACAATGAGGCAGTGTTGTTGTGTGATGATTCCCACGAAGGTAAATGAAATGTTTTTGTTTCATCAGACTAAGGTCAACACTGCAACATCACAGAGTACCAGAGTCACTCGTTCAATGAAGCAGCAGGACATTCAAAAGGTATGACTTGCTCTTAAATATCTTTCACAAATTTCCTTCTGCTCACTTTATTAATACTCAAAGCTATTATGTGCTGTGTTTTTTTCTACAGCCTCTAAAACCGCAGGATCCAAATGCATCAAGAAAAGGTATGTCAGTTAAAAGTTACTTCATTTACATTGAAGCAGCCCTAAGTCTGTTGTGTACTCGATCTAACCTCCTTCTCCTCCTGTAGCTCAACCTGCAACCGAGAAACTGAACCGGACTCGGGCAGCTCCTGTAAAGCCCGCAGCAGCTGCAACCAAGACCAAAGTGTGCGCAGGTAACTAATAAAGAGAAAAATCCTGGCCCATGAGTGGACCTTGCGATGAGCTATCAAGTTGGTTTCACCCTATTGTGTTTCCTCATTTGCATCTCAATCTGTGCCTGTGTGTTATGCCATCCTGCTGTAGTGGAGCCAGTCGTGCGAGCGACCAGATCAGCCAACAGGCCTCCTGTTACAGCAGCTCCGGTGGTGAAAGACAAACCCAAGGGCAAGCCTGCAGGTACACACTGCGCCAAAGCTTTAATTTAGGCAGTCTGGTTTTTAGAAATAATGAAATCACTCGGCCAAAATCAGCAAATACAGCAGGACTTTGTTGTTCACTTAAAAATAACTGATGTTTAAAATGTCTCTTCTTTCCCTCAGATGTTAGGACCACGAGGAGCAGGGCTGTTGTCAACCCTATGCCCCCCCCATCTGACAGAAAAAGGAACTGTAAAGGTAGCTTAAAATGTTGTTTAAAAGCCGACCAATTATTAAGGGCCATCAGCCTTCATTGATTTTTTTCTCTTACTTCAGCTGTGACACAAAACAGATTTATGTGATTCGATACATAAAAAAATACTCTCAGTACACATTACTGCACATAACTCCATTACTGCTTCATCTTGAATGTGACATTAAAGAGTGGATAGTTTATCATTTTTCACCAAGTAACCTTTCTTTTCGTGTATCTTTTCTTGAAATATGCAGCAACCATCAGCAACCCGATCCAGCCTGCTGAACTGATGGTGAGTTTTCTTATCAGTGAAAATTCAACAGTGTGTTCAACCATTTTGATTTTTGTTTTTAGTGACTTGATTAAAAAAATACTGTTTCGTTTTGGTTAAGGAGCCTGAGATTCAGAACCCAGAGGAAATCCCATGTCCCTCCAGCCCAGTACCCTGCCTCGAAGAGGAGAAGATGTTGGTGGATGAAGCTCCAGCTGACTCCGTCCCTGCTGTGGAGCCTGTTGAGGCACCATCCTCTTCGTCATCTTTTGCACCAGCGGGCTTCATCTTCCAAGCTCCCACTGGGTTGTCCTCGTTTAAGTTTGAGCCCCTCACTCCTCGATCAGCAGATGCCTTCCTCACACCGAGGTCTGTCTGATACCCCTATTATTTTTTTATCATTTGAAAACACAAGAGCTCTGTTGTTGATTTTTTCTTTTTGCATTTAAGCCTAATATTGATACCAGAGGTGTTTGTGTACCAATCTGTACTACTTCCACTCTCATTGTCACTCTTTCTGTCTACAGCTCAAGCTTCACTTTACCTGCAGCTCCCTCATTTAACGACGAGCCTCAGACTGAGACGACTGAACCATCCCCTCCTAAATCTCCTCGCCGTTCCCCTCAAACAACTCCCACAGTGCTTTCCCCCACTCCAGGCAGCCCGCTGGAATCAAAGCATGATGTACCTTACTTCAGGTGTTGTACCTTATTATTTTAAAGACATATCTTCAATACCTTTAAAACTTTTCTCACACACTGTTACGGACATCTGTTTAAAGATGAACAATTCTGTTTTCATTTTATTTAATCAGATCAGAAATTTCCAACGAGACGAAGCGTCTGACAGCTCTGTGTGACCTCTGGGAACCGAAAGTGGAGGATGAATCAATCCCAGAAGAGAGTGAGTGTGCAGAGTAACCCAGTCTGAATGTGTGCCAGTGTTTTCTCCAAGTAAAAGTGTTCTGCAGGAGAGAGGAAACAAGTTTTACTTCATATTTAGAAGTTGTTGTCATTCTTTCGTCTACCTAGTGAGAGACAGCATACGGACAGCTGTCGGCCAAGCAAGGCTGCTGATGAAGGAGCGTTTCAAGCAGTTCAGTGGTCTGGTGGATAACTGCGAGCTGGGCTTGGGGGAGAAGATCACCACCTGCTCTGACCTGCAGGGATTTTGGGATATGGTGTATTACCAGGTGGGGGTGTCATCTGAAAGATATGAGCTAGTTTTTATCAGACACAAAAAGAAAGGCAATAACTTCTTTTCACTGTCTTTTAGGTTGAAGATGTCAACAAGAAGTTTGATGCTCTAAAAGAGGCAGAAAGCCGAGGGTGGGTGGAGGAGCACAAGCCAGTGCCCAGACAGAGGAAAGCAGTAAAGGTAAGCTAGATTTAGATGTTAGAGAAAGAAACAACATGCCGCCAATCCAGCTCATATTTATTCGTGGTCATTTTTGTATTTTTCTAGATGAGGGATTGCGATTCCTAATTTACTCTATATGGGTAAAAAAAAAAACAAAAAAAAGTCATGATTTTCATCTCATATTTTCGCAGAAACCCTCGGCTCCACCTGCTCACCCAGTGGGAACCAAAGCAGCCGCAAAGTCTCGCCTTGCCGCTGCTAAAGCGGCCATGAAAGCCAAACAGCTGGCGGCTGAGGCAGAGAAGGCAGCAAAGGATGCTGGGAGCAGTGAGGGAAATCTGGATTCAAATTCCCAAGAGCCTCAACCCCAAGTGGAGGCCAAAGCAGCTGACACAGTGGTGTTTGATGGAGGTTTCTTTCAGGTGGAGAGTCCAGCCAAACCATCAGGTGAGCAATGAAGACCATACTTGAAATGTCATGTACCGGTTTATTCAGTTTTGATTTCCCTGCTGTTCAGGTTGAGCATATTTGGAGCGAACACTTAACCTTCTTTTTGTCACACCTATAGGTTCAGTGAGGAGATCCACTCGTCTTAGTGCAGCCGTGCTCCCTCAGGCCTCTCCCTGCTCTAACTACCTCTCACCCAGAAGAGTCACCCGGAGATCCCTCGCACTGGCACAGACCCCCAATCACAGCGCTTCCCCTCTCGCTAAGCCCGCCCCCACTCCTGCCCAGTTCTGTCTCACCCTTGATCAAACCCCAGCACAAGCACCGAAATCTCAGCGAGGAACTCCTCAGTCAACTTGTAATAGAAAGGACCCTGTGACTACCTCTCTCTGCTTCACTCCCGTGAGGGAAGTTCGTTCAGACCACGCCAAACCTGAGCCAAGTCCTGCCTGTCAAATGGAAACAGTCTCCACACAAGAAAGCACTGCCACACCTGGGCCTCCACTTCCATCTATTTTTGTAGAGGAGGAGCAAGAAGAAGCAGAAGCAACCAGTAACGACAACCCTCGCTCTCCAAGACTTTCCCTCTCCCCTTGTAAAACACCTCTTCCTGTCTCCAAAGCCCCTGAGCCCTCATCCTCTCTGAGTTTTACCTTGTCACCATGTGAGACTCCCAGCCAGCCTCTTATACCCTCTCCTGCTGCTGTGGAGACCCAAGAGTCTGTTTGTCACACACCAAACAGCGCAGTTGTTGAGGTAAAACACTTCCCAGTTTCCCTAGAGGCCCATTTTTTCATAGAGACCAATTATATAAACCTGTTTGCCTCGGTTTTAAACAGAAGTTTGTTTTGTGTTTTTAGGAGATTCCAGGGTTGGACTTTGAGCGTTACCTCCAGCCTTCACACAGATGCAGTTTGTCACTGGAGGAGCCAGTTCCCGCAGAGACACTGTCACCTATGGCAGTGGATGTAGAGATGGAGAGTCCCAGAGGTCCATCAGAAGACATGAGTACTCTGCAAGAACCAGGTAAGATTTCTGTGCAGAGAAACTTTGAAGATTTACTGCTTTATAACACAATGGGGATGCTAAAGATTCTTGTATTGGAACTTGCTTCAAGTGAGACAGAAATTGTGGTTTTACAGTCAAAGTTTTCCAGAAAGCACAATTTTTTAGATCCTCTGCACACCTGCATGCTGTAATTTATGATATCACGTTCGTTTAAAGGATAGAGTTCACTGACTTTTATGGTATAACTTTACTTTGAAGGGATATGATTAACATGCCACTGTTTTATCACTTTTTTACCATTACCACAGCACTGCCATCACTGTTAACTCTTCAGTCACCACAGGTGAGGGGTTTATCATTTTCACCTCCCAAACTTTACCTTGAAATATTTATTTTTAAAACCACACTTAACTATTAACTCAGACTTAAAATATTACTCTGGTTGCCTCGCTGAATCATCTTAAATGTCTTTTTTTTTCTCCTTTTAGGCCCAGTCAGCTGAATCTGAGCTGCTCCTCTTCACCCCCGACCTGAAGGACCGGATTCGGCAGTCCGTCTGTCCAAGTGACCTCATGGTCTTCACTCCTCCTCCCTAATACGTAGCAAAAGATGTCCTTTTTAAAAAATTTTGTTGCTTTTTCAAAACTGCTTTTGTAACATTTTATATCCAAGTGATTTTGAGTGATTTTTAGATCAATGGAAAATAGTTTTTCATATGAGATGTTCTTATTAAAGATTTACTAACAGTGGAGAGGCGAGTGCTCTTCATCTACATCCAAACACAATTCCACCAATCCCTCATGGTTATATAACTCACTTTGTTTATTCTGATGAATATTTATCATCAACCCATAGACAGATATGGACTGTTCAGCCCTGACATGTAAATCAAAACAATGAAAAAACTGAGTTTTGCACTTCCTCATCACAAGGGCACAATATATTGAGTGATAGCGCAGAATGATGACTTGATGATGATGCCATCTGGTGGCTGTTTTTATGCACAAGAAGCCACTGATTGTGGCAACAATAAGGTCCAGCAAATTTCATTTTAGGAAGCAAGATAAATCTATGATCTACAACCAACAAATTTTAAAAAATCATATTGAACTTTGTCCAAGACATTTGTTTCATATATTTTTGACTGGTTTGGTTTATGTTTTACATTTTATAATTACACAAAATCTAAAGTATAGACTAAACTACTGACTGCATCTTACCTAAAAAGACTCCTAATTGTGGTTAAAAATAATTTTTACGGAGGGAATTTGAGAACTAAACTACCTAACTGTGCTGAGCTGCAGTCTGCAGAGTGACGTGTTTCCGGGCCTCGTTTTAAAGCTTCTCTTCCTTCATCTTTTTAGACACTAACTGGTTGTGTTCATAGGCTGGGAAGAAAAAGTGATTAAAGAACTGATGGATTGTCTGCTTCCAAAGTTGAAGTTCATGGTCTTCGGCTTCTTCTTTCCTGGTTCGCTTTTCCTTTCCTCTATGCCCTTCTGCGTGCACAAAAGGAAATATAAAAACATTATGTTGTCAATTACAGGGTCAATGTTTATCCACAAAGTTTTAATAGTAATTTTACTTCTGCAGAAAAAAAATAAAATAAAAATCACCAAACCAAGCCAAGGCTGTTTTTGGATTTACTTTTGAACTAATTCAAATATACTATCACTTATGCATCAAACATGATCTGAAAGAATAAGAAAATCACTACCAAAAACCAACCTGCAGACTGTAGATTTTCCTCAAATGTAGTTTCAACATTTTGTTGACCCTCCACGCCTTCAGATGCAGATGATTCCTGTGATATTCCAGTCTATAAAACAACACAATTAGTGTTTTCTTAATTAGTTTTCTTAACTTGTTTGTAATGTGAAGAAAATACTGTCAAATAAATTTTCTTAATCTATTTCAATTAAACTTTGAACAAATGACCATCAGTCAGGACAACTTTACTCTTTACTTATAGGGTGTTGAAGGGTGTATGGTAGTGAGAGGATCTGATTGATTTAAAAAGGGCAGTTAATCGTCTTTACCACTTTCTCTCCAGCCTCTACTTTACAACCATCTCTTCCGGCTTCAGTTTCAGCGCCCTCCTTCTCCGATCCTCCTGAAACCTGCTTACATTTCACCTCTGCAGAACCCAAAAGCACCTCTAAAAACTCCAGGAATGTAATCTGTAATGAAGAGTTGTACAGCAACCAAAATTACAACTAAAGAGGAAGAATAAGGGAAGAGTTCACAGATGTAAATACTATATACGCACCTCCAGATCCAGACAGCTGGTAAAGTTGCTGGGGTCGCTGCTTTCTGAGGTGATGATCTGCAGTAATTTCCTCACAGTCAGGTTGTTATCCAGCAGGTTAAGATCCTAGGTGGAGTTAGCATTAACACTATATCATCAACAACTTATTTTGTCTGAGACATCATGACAAAGTTGGTAATCATAATGCCTTGTCTGTCGCACCTTGAACATCCACAGCAGTTGTCTACAGGTCATGATCTGCTCATTTCTGGGGGGTTTATAAACTTTGCAGTACGTCTGATAGATTTCCCAGCACTTCTTTAAGTAGTCTAGAGCCATCACATCACCGCATGGTTTGCTAAACAAGAAGCCTAGATCAACAAAGATGTAGTTAATGAATATATCATTCATGTACAGTATTCGCATGGTTCTGTCTGGGTGTGTTGTCTCACATGAAATGTAGAAAACCAAAAGGTAATCAGAAATGCATGTTTTTCATCACTGATTGCAGCACATTTTGCACTTCCTCCTTGGGTCAATGCCATGTTCCCCTTATTTTGGGCTTCTAATGTGGCAATACATGTTCATCTGTGCTTTAGGGCTCCTGTGTAGATTCCAATTCACCCATAATCACCCACTCACTGTACAGTTTTGTATTGTAAGCACCTTTTACGTTCTCAGCATTAGGGAGGATGTTTTCTGTCATCAGTTTAGAAAAGCAGGCAGCCAGAAGGTTCTTCTTTGACCTGTGAAAACAAAGGTGCTGCCAGTTACTGAGACAATCTGACGTAAACATTGTACATGTTCACAGAACCACAAGTATTTTAATCCAGCACTATAATAACAGTCAGGGAATAACCATAGTCATTAGCATTCATCCTCTGGGGAGCTAGCATGGCATTCAGCTTGACTAGTCTGTTTAATACCATCAGTTCATAAAGGATGCTAGTTTGCATTTGGAGGAAGAATTTCTTACACCATGTGTTCATGGTAGATGTGATATGCCACGACCACAAGACAGCTGAGGAGCCCGCGAAAAAGAATGGGGGTAAAAGGAGAGTGTAATTCCTCCATTGGGGCATCTGGTAAGGCACATAGAGAGTGTAAACATTTAGGACAAAATAGGGTTATCATGAACCTTATCATCTTCTGACATGCCTTAGATTATTCTGTAGAGGAGAAAGTGAGCGACAACCTCCCCTTACCTTTGATGAAATGGTCTATCTTTGTCAGAGTGATGCTGTGGTGGTGGATGTAGCAGTCTTTAAGCAGGCGCCAGAGCTGCAGGCGGGACAGCGGGAAGGTGTTATTGGGAGAGTGGGCCCTGCCAAGTTTGCTGTAGAAGTTGTAGACTGACCTGAGCTCTGTGGCCAGCTTCAGCACCACAAACTCCACCTGTTGCACACAAGACATGGTATCACAGATGAAAATTAAGGAAACCACAAAGCTACTGCTTGGAACAGTTTTTTAACCACAGCTGTAAAATGAATACCTTTTTGTGGTTTTCTTTAAGGGATGCCACCTTAGACCAAAGACCAAAGAAAAATAGCCAGACATGCACCATTATGACCCTGTCCAGTTACATTTGTGTAAATCTCTGATGAGCCTTTGTTTGGTTTGATATGAGTAAACATGCATTATGATACTGAATGCTTCTGTGAGGAACATTTGGCACCCTCTGAGGAAAAGAGCAGACTTCGCTTGAGTGTTTTGTTTTTAACAAGAATCTTATCGTGTTGATTTCTGACAGTCAGACATACCAAGAACAGTGAATATTTGATCTGAAATTTGTAAAAACAGGGCTGTTTCGTCTGACTGCTGACACCTCAGTCAAACAGCAAATTAATGAACGAGCCCTTTCTCTTTCAACTTCTTTCTTGTAGGTGTCTTTATGGAGGACCTGACCTGCTCCTGCTCAGTGTTCCGATTTCTTTCAGGGATTTTATCCAGGAGACAATCAATGTTCAGGGCCATATCTAGTCCTAAGATGGATGAATCACTCCCTGGCAGAGGGGAGGGACCTAAAACAAAAGGTCAAATCAGAGAGCATCTGTAACAGACTGTAACATTTGTGTACAGGTGAGCATTTTGAATGGAGCTGATGTACTGTGGATGTTTACCGCAAAAAGGAGTGGGAGCCCTTTGTCCATTCAGGATATCTGTCATCATCTGATCATTCACAAAGTCCCCTTCAAAAACATGACCATTCTTAAAGGTGAATTTTCCCTGTGAACCAGATACAGTGTTAACAGGTAAAGAATCAAGTGATGCTATTTAAATACATCGAAAAACAAGACAGTGAGGTGATAAGGTACAAAATTCTAGGTGTGACATTGTATCTTAAATGAACCTTTCCATGTTTTTTGTTGTTCCTCCATTGTCCCACATAAATTGCACCACCAGCATAGTAGAATGTTCCCAGCCCATGCCTTTGACCCTGCACAAAATCCCCAGTATACCGGTTGCTCTTTGTATACTGGGATCCATCTGCTCTCTTTAGGATCCAGGTGTGTGTACCTTGTCCATGCTGCAACAGAGAAGACAGTGTATGAAGAGTAAATACATGTTTGTTTTTTCGTCACAGTAAAGTACATCTTGGACTGAGCAACTTTGTCTTTTATTTAATTTCATACTTGAACTCCATTCTGCCACATCCCATCATACTCCTCTCCCAGTTTTAGCCACTTCATAGTTCCTTTTCCGTGTCTCAGATTGTTCTTCCACTCACCAGAGTAAACATTTCCAGAGGGGTAGCTGATAAAATAAAAAAAATATATATACAAATGTCAAGTTCCCTCAGTCTCAATCACTTTGGCTTCAAATAAGACTGTATACTCGACACTTACCATCTCACTCCACATCCCTCTCTGATGTTCCTCACCCAGTCTCCTTTGTACCAAGATGTCTTTTCCTGGTTGTAAAACTCTTCACCCTGACATAAAGACAATCAATAAAAGAAATAGATCTTTGGTGATATGCAATAATAAAGAGCATCAGTTCGTGGGTTGTACCTTTCCATGCCTTTTTCCCTGATCCCACTGCCCTGTGTATGAAACACAGTCTTTTGCACATGTGTAGGTTCCTGTCCCATGTTGTATCCCATAACAGACCTCACCCTTGTAGGTGCTGCTATCTGGCCAGATATATGTGCCCTCTCCCATGGGCTGGTTGCGCACAAATTCTCCCTGTTGGGATAAAAATTGACCCAAAGATGTAGTTGTTGAAAACACTTATTGCCCTATGTTTATAGTTAGAATTTTTAAAAAAGTATCCTTACAATCTAAGTTCATTACAGTTATGATAGCAGCCTTTTGGTCTTTTTTTTTTTAATATCACCTCATATTTCAGTCCACCTGCCCATGTGAAGACACCGTATCCATCCATCAGTCCCTTAGAAAACATGCCCTTTAAAATCACAATAAAGTGAGTTAAGTCCTTATAACAGTCCTAACTTTAACTATATAAAAAGCAAGTGTTTACAGAGTACTTTGGCAATTAACACTCTTGTCTTTGTAATAATTTAATTTCAAGAAAATACAAGAATACGTGCGTGAATTTGTAACTATTAAAATAATCAAAATGGTCGAAAAATTTTACTTTAAAAAAAAAAAAAGTTATTCAATTTGAAATAGAAATAAAAGGCTACAATGAATGAGTTAAAATGCATGTAAAAAATACTTTTGGATTAATAAAAAATAAACGTGTCTTGTTTCGACCATGTCTCTCTTGGTTTTAACGTGTAACTCATGACTGTGTGAGAACTTATACCTTGTACACATGGCCTCCGTCAAAACAAGCGAGTCCACCCCCTTGAAACACGCCTTCACATGTTTCTCCTTCATACCTGTTCAAGACACACGGTAAGCTGCCAAAACCATGTGGGTGGACTAAAAAGTTAATCTATATTTATTCAGAATTATGGTTTACCTCTGTACTGTTAGACGTATATGAGCATCTCCATTCCCACGCTGCTTTATATCCGCTAAATTCACCTTTAAAACACTTATTTTGTCTCTTCCCTCGGCCACTGGTTTTGTGTTTCTAATTTTCTGTTCACCGTGTCTTATGAGGATTTTACTCTTTTCCTTTCTTTGAGTCATTTTTCGATGTTAAGTTGTCTCACGGAGCAGCTCGACCCCTCTCCATGGCAACGCAAAAAGACGCTGAAACTACGGCGTCCTTCCACACCCAAAAATGTCAAAGCCGCAGACTAGCCCTGATTGCGCCAGATGCAGCCTAAAATGCTGACATTGACTCTTATTAGAAAGTCTCATCCACTATTACTAAGAATTATTATTTTTTCTATCCAATTATGTCTGACGGCTTCGACTACTTGTCTACTGGATTTTTCCTACCCATCTCCGTGACCAAAAGAATTCATATTTGCAGAAGACAACATAGTTTGCCTTACTCACTTTACAATGCAACATAAACATCAATGCAGCAATGGTATTATTAAATGAGAATTGGTTTATTTACAAAGGGTTTTGAATTCTGGGTTTTTACTCTATGTGTACTTGCATTTTCACAGTTTTATAAGACTAATACTTTTGTTAAAGTAAAGAAACTGAATGCTCCCTCTCCCCATTGCACAGGCTATAAGAGAGAAATTAGCATAGAGAGGCAACATGTTTCAAATATATCTTGTTTATTACTCTGATTAATAAAGTGTAAAGGTTAAAAAAATGCAGACAAATACAATTAAAACCCGAACCTATTGGAACAGATATAATTTTAAAAAAAAACAGTATACATTCACTTCTAAGCGTTTGATCCATACAAATATACAGTATATTTTTGTCAGTGCAGTCCTTGCATACAAAAACAATCTGGAATGGCAGCACATTGTAGTTATATTACTACAGTACAAAATAAAACTTTCAGCAGGACCTTCCATGGTCAGTCTGGAGAGATGATATCCAGGTTGGCAAGGTGTCTCATGGTGGGTCTTCCATGAGGACAGTTCCAAGGGTGCTCAATTTCCCCCATGTGAACCACAAGCTTCTTCATTTCACTGATGCTCAGAGCAGTGCCAATCATCACCTGAAGATGGATACCAGCAAAAAAAAAAAACAACAACAGGTAATGTGTCAAGAAAAAGAACAGTGGTATTTGATAACAAAAGTGAATAACACATTTCTCATTAGACACTTAAAGGAACATTACAGTGTATTCATATATTTTAGATTAAGACAAGACCATGTGCGACTATCTTAACCTGAAATTTAAGAAATATTGTTCTCATGGCAATAAAAAAAAAAGAACCACGAAATATAAGGTATATTTTCAGAGATGGATATTGCAATTACAGTTTTAACATTACTTTTTTATGGATGGGTGGATAATCTGCATTCTTGGTGCACTGGGATATATATTACAATGTTTAGGTAGACTTACAGATTTTCGACATGCTCTAGAGGCAAACATTTGCCTGACGCGAGACGGTCGACACATGATCCCCGGACTGTCAGTCAACATGAAGATCATCTCTTCAATGTCAGTTGGGCCGAATGTCCAGTTTTTACTTGTGGGCAGAGACACCAGCTTGACCCGCTCCATCACCTGAGCTGCAGTCAGAGTTTTAAAAAAGGACTTCATATCTGGAATCACTAAATTAAAAATAATAGTAATAAGTTGAAATAAAATCAAATCATACCATCTTCATTAATGAGAAATTCAAAGCCGTTCTTCCTGAAAATCTCGATATTCTCCATGAGGATGTTTTCACTGACAGCAGTGAGGTAAAGCTTCTGAGGGCTGCAATCAACAAGGAAAGTTTAACAAAATACTTAAAAAGTTACTTTAAATAGATGTACTTTAAAATATAACATAACATTCAAACGATAGCTTTCAGAGTCTTACGCAATGAGTTTCTGTCCTTGCAGGCTTGTGTGCTGCTGCAGCATCTCAAAGTTGTATTTCTCATCTGTTGCATGCTGGTCGATCATGAAGATGTCTGAGTTGAGTTTGGTGATAATGAAGCCGAGGTTAAACTGTCCAATAATCTCCATCTGTTTAAACATGTCTTTACTAGGAGACAGAAACAGAAAAATCATCTTCTGTTGAGCAAATATCACTTTGATGTTGAAACTTTAAATCGGTATCATGTACAAAAGTAAATCCCACCTGATTTCTTTCCTGAGCTCCTCCTCTGCACTTTGGTTTTCTCCAGGGTTGATCTTGGCCCTGAAGCGTCTGTAGCGCAGACTCTCCTCACTCCTCTGTTTCTGCTGGTCATTTAATCTCTTTAGCTTTCCTGTTAGCTCCTGAAGAGAGAACTGGAGAAGCACTGTCCTCCTCTGTAGGGAGATGGGAGCATCCACAGTGGAGTCTGGTAAAGTGTATGATCCGGGTTTGGTAGGAAAATGTGTTTCATCTTTTCTAGCTTTTTTGGCATCTGGACTCAAGAAGGAGTCTTTGTTGGAAGTGCAGGGCTCAGTCTGTAACTCCAGATCTTCCGAGAAATTTTGAGAATTGTCAGATGTTTCTTCAAACGTTTCATTTTCTACAGTGAGTTTGTTTATGTGTTGTTCAGGTGACTGAGTATCAGGTGTTGACACGCCACATGTCAACACAGCCCTGTCTTGATCAGAATCCACATCGGTGCCTGACGTCCCTCTATACCTGAACCCTCCCAGCACTGACTTTCCAGCTACTGAGCATTTGCCTACATCTCTGATGGATTTAATGGGAGATTTCGAGCTTGAACTGCATGTAGAAGGTTTGACAGAACCCTTGAAAAAAGTCTGTAGTGTTTTCTGTGTTGGGCCACAGTTTGAAACTTTTGTAGTACTTGATCTGTTGCCAAATGTGGAACCATGAGTACTTGAAAAAGCTGCTTTAAGTCCAGCCAGATTTAGGGTTGACTTTGGACTCTGGATCACTGGCTCCATGTTGGTTCCATATTCAGGTACATTTTCATTCGATGGGGTACGATGACAGCCATCAGACACCAATGATGTTTCTAGAGAAAAATGTCCAAATAAAAGCACAGAAAGAGAAGCATGTAATCATGTCAGCAAAAAAATCTCCAAATTCACCTGTTGCTTTGTAGACTATATTTAAGGACTGGTTCTTACTTGTTCCTGGTAGAGGTGTACAGTTTAGGCTGATCTTATTTACCCCAGCTTCATACATGTTGATGAGAGAGGTCTTTAGGATAGCCAGCAGGAGTTTCTCTTCTTGAAGGAAGATCTGTCGTTTGTCTGGGGTTACATTCACATCCACACACTCTGAAATACCAAGTAGAAAGGAAACAGTTCATGGAGTAGCAATAAAATACCATCTGAGTAGCTTCTAAAAGGTTTCAGATTGATAAATGTCTTACCTGAGGCAACAGCTATGTTCAAGGCAACAAATGGGTACTGATGTCTGTTATACATGTGATACACTTCATTCACAAGCTTGGTCACCTGAAAATGGCAAGAAAGTTTTAATACAGTACTATGAATTTCAATTCATGTCACATACTTTCAAAACAATAAATTCAGGTTTTATACGAGTTGTAAATGATTAATGGAGGACAGAAACCTGACATGAATTACCTTGAGAGGATCACATGGTCGGTTGTTAATGAAAAAGAACTGCCTGTCTGTGGCACTCCTCCCAACACCGTGGTCTCCCCGAGAGACAAACCCTGTGATGCTACCAGAAAATAAAAACTTCTTCAGTATTTTTGAGGGTAAAAGTATGAAAAAATTCAATTTTAATGATGTTACTTACGTAAAGAGCTGTTTGGGTAGATCTGCCTCTTTGAGTCCATATTCCTCAATGACATTTTCTGCAGGAGAGACTTGCTGAAAAGGCAGAAGACTCTGTAGCTACAAAAGGAAAAAAGACATTGCCATGTAACAAAACATATCAAGCTGACAAGGTTACACAGTTCCTCAAAGTGTTTAAGCTTTATTCAACTATCAATAATACTCATAAAAAAGTTAAATGAAGAACACTGGTAAAAAGTGATGAATTAGTCCTAACAAAATAGTCCTTCTACATTCTGTAGATCATCCATAAACAACAAATAAAGAAGTGGTATCTTTAAGTTCCTACCTGTTTTGGTCCAAATATGGCCCCGATGTTGTCTCTCATGCTCTGACTGCCGCTGGTGCTGAGGACTGGGCTGCGCTTTCCTTGCCCGTTCTGGTTGGAGCAGGTAATACGCACTCCGGTGGAGATTATACAATAGGACTGCAGGACATGTATCATTTTAGCGTATTCCTGCAGAAGAAGAGGGATTAAATATGAAAGATTTAAGATTAAGAACACTGGTAGATAAATCTCATGCTGTCTGGCTCTTGCACATCAGCTATAATAAATTTCTTCTTAAATATGTCATTATTTTCACATTTATCAATGCGTTTTGCCTTTTATGGGATTTAAATTATTGTTATTTTAGCATGATTTTTCTCTTAAAATAGTGTGCAAAAGTTATGTCCATGTGCTGGCTGAGGGTTAGAAAAGTCAGGGCATGATGGTGCTAAAAGCTATCTTGTAAATAAAATGCAATTTAGAGGGAAAGCTTGGGTATAACTTGGCATTCTCTTGGGAATTCAGTTGTTTAATTAATTTTCAGAGGTTTTTAAATTGTTCAAAAGTACATAGTAAATATTGTCATAAAGAAGCACTGTGGTAGGAATGCCTACACCACATCCCCAAGGCCCAAGCCCACTGTTCCTGCAGCAAAACATTAAGCTCTAATAGGCCATATAAAGACATAAGGATTCTTAACTGACCTTCTTGATGTTGCGTTGGAACTCCTTGTGTCGGACAGGCAGGGTGTAGAAGAGTTGCTGCAGGCTGACAGTTGTGCCTTGCTGACGCGGATGGGGTGACTTCTGCACCAAGTGGCCTTTGTGGTCGAACACCAGCTTGGTCCCAACCTGGCTGGACTCATGGCATGTCACCACACCCAGGTCACTAAGCAGGAGGTCAGACAAGATTTTCAACTAATAAGGAGACATGTACCACAAGTTCATGTGTCAACTGAATGTTGCTGATATAACACAGTTTACCTCAGAGCACACAAAGAGCTGAGGGCTTCACCTCTGAAGCCAAATGTTTCCACATGGATGAGATCAGAAAAGTCCCTCAGCTTAGATGTATGATGCTTTAGCGCTGTGGAAAAACATAACAAGTGTTGCTCAGCCAACAAGTGTAAGGTATACTTCTTTATAAAAATAGATAAGGAAAGCTTGCACTTACTGAGCCCCTCAAAGTTTGCCTCTTCTACTCCTTTGCCGTTGTCAGAAACCTCTACCAGTTCAGTTCCACACTCCTTCAGCCTCACATCTGAAATATGCAATAAAATGGTGTTCCTTTATTTCCAAAAACAGTTCATTCCATGTTCTTGATTTTCTCATAATGTACTGGTATAGTTGCACACACAGAAAACCCAGTATCACAGCGTTATAGTTGTGTGAAATTCCGTGCAAATGAGTTATGACCGACTACTTCTGATCTTCAATATGAGAATAAAAGTAGATTTTTCCTTATGTGTTCGCGTGGAAAAAATGTGGCAGTGATTCAGTTTGCATAGTGTTTAAAATCATAAACACTGTTTATCCGGTGTGATACTTTTCTCAATTGTATGTTCCTTTTCACAAAAAAAAATTAATCTGAAGAAATAAAGAACCAAATATAACTACTGACATCTATCTATTATTAATTTTCTTGGTATAAATACATAATTGCATCTCCCCTAGCCTGATATGCAGGTTGAAAGATTTTTACAAACGCACAGCTCTTGTGTGCAATATGCATCGATACTTACCAATATTTGTGGCCCCTGCATCGATGCTGTTTTCCACTAGCTCTTTGACAGCAGTGGCTAAAGTCAGCACCACCTGTCCTGAGCAAATCTGATGTACTGAGTGCTTGTCAATAGCCTTGATGCTTCCTGCAGGTTCAGGGCTGCAAAGAGAAAACAAGTACTCAGTGACGATGGTATACAACTTTGCTAGACAAAAAGAAGCCCTTTTCTGTCGTTTTTATCATAAAATACTTAGTTCTGCTTGAGTTAAAACTTGTTGGAGAGCATGCTGCTGCATGCTGAGCGGACCAATATTGCTTTAGACATTGGGTTGTTACACATTGTTACACTTTACCAGACTGTACGGGGGAGTTGCATGTTAATGTAACTACAAAGGTGCTTGGGTCTGCAGTGTAAAGGGGCTTCCACTTTTAGATTTGCATAGAAAGAAATATTTGCAGGCAAGCGAATGAATACCATGTTAGCTGACTTACCAGGCATCTGACATCTTTAAGGACCCCAAAAGCTTCACGAGGAAATTCACAAAAATGGTGATAAAACACCTCCGAGTGACAGTCGAGGCGAGAGGCCGACTAATGTATTGTCATTTATGCAAATATTAGTTTGTGTTCATTTCTAAGTAGCGTGTGCCGCAGATCCGCTACAGCACGTTATGGCTTGTAAACAAAAGTGAGGCTGTGCCGCGCGAGCGAGTGCAGTGTTCGCGAGCGTCTCTCGTGCGCAGGATTTCCGCAGCTTAACTTGACTAAAAATCTACGTAAAATGTTTAACATTTAAAGAAATAAGCCCTTCTGCAAACAAAGTAGATTGAAATATCTTGAAAATAAATTTTATATACATATCGAAAGTAGTACAAAAATAGTTGCCTTTATCGGTCTCGAATTACATCACCGTACCAACCAAAATCTTTGACCCACGGAGATGTTAGGGTGCATGTATAACTACCGTACTCAGTATAAAACGAACGATTTACATTTTGTTGGGGGGATAACGTATGTCCTCGGATTCCAACAATCCTAAATCAGATGGTTGGGCCTTTAACACTAAACTACATTGTTATGTTTCGGTGTTTTCTTCAAATCTGGCACTTCCGCGTTAGAGTATGTAATTCGAGCACATGTACGCTTTAAGACGGTCCCTGCTCAGCTGGTGTGTCTGTTCAATCATGGCTGCCCGTGTACTGACTAACCGTATGGACCTGTGAGCTCCCAGTATCTTTGGACCGTTTCATGGATTACAAACAGTTTGAAAACTGTGAATTTTAGAGACATGCTACCATGGGGTAGCTTTCATGAATTTTGCCGGTTTTGAAGTTAAATATTTTTTCGTCATGTCATCGTTTTTCACACTATAATGGACAGTTCAGTATCTGACCACGGACCCTTGCTGTCGAAGGATCGTTCTGGGAGCAGCAGTAGTATTTTGGTCCACAGAAACATCAGCCATGTCAGGGGGCATGAGGTGGAGACTAACTTTAGTTTAAGTTTGGCAGTCGAGGAGGACGATGATGTCCAGTTTGACAGTAAGCCGCTTTCTTCAAGTATTACATGTCGCTGCCCATACACTGTTTACTGATCCCTTCTGAGCTGACCCCTACAAAGATTACATTGTCACACTAAAATGTCCGTTTATTTTGCTTGGAGAATTTGGCAGGGGCGTACTCAAGGGCGCATTGGCCATGGCATACCCTCTGACCACCTCCCTGTCTACCTAACAATGAACCGTGCAGTGAAATTGTTCATGTCAATGGATCAATGACAAGGTCAAACTGAACCTGTTTCTATAGCACAGAGTGACAGAAAAACTATATAGTCAAGCCTAGATGCTGACACCTGACAAACATCAATATATAAACATTGAACACCCTAGGCTTAAGTAAAAAACAAATATTATTTGGGGCGTAGCAATTTAATGTTACATTTTTTATAGGTATTGAACTTCAAATCAAATCAAATCAAATCAAATTTTATTTATATAGCGCCAATTCACAACAGTCGTCATCTCAAGACGCTTTTCAAGGAACAAGAGCAGGTCTGGACCACGCTCATTGTTTAACTTAATCTGACATTTTTCAGTCCTCTCCTACATTTTCATACCAAACTCATCCATAACTTGCATTTTGGACTATAGATTGCATCACAGCATCCACAGGTCCTCCCTTATCTAAGTTTAAACGTTAGATGAAGTTCTACCTAGTGTTGGAAGAAAATCTTTGTTTTTTCACCCCCTATGTCCAAGAGCAATCTGACAAAGAAGCCAGGATATTGTACTTAACATATATATATATATATCCCCGATCAACAAACTTAAATAAATACTACAATTTCCAAGCACATTTATAAAAAGGAAGATTTATAAGTCATATATGTCATAATCAAAACTGAAGCAGAGGATGCGTTATCCTAGCCTGGCTGGGCCATCCTGTTGCGTGAATCACTTGCCATTACATCAAGTGATTCACGCAACAGGATGGCCCGGCCAGGCTAGCGTTATCCAGACTTTTAGTTCAAATCAGTTAATCCTACATTTCCCAGAATGCAACTCAATTGAGCCCACCCTTCCTGTTAGATGCACCAATCTTTAAAACTGCATAGCCTTAGTCTATAAAACAGGTTTGGTGACCAGTTCTCCTTTCGGTTTCTTTTGGTGAAAAGGACAAATAAGCTTTAATGGGCCTGGGGGACCAGCAGTGAATTAATTTCTGTGCCTGAACATGTCCAGACATGCCCCTCCACATATCCTGCTGTAAGATATTGTGGGCATAAAGAAGAGTGATGCAGCTGCATGCCTCTCACTCTGGCACAGTGACTGAGTGCCTCTGCTTGGTTATGTGTCTACAGAGCGTTTGTAGGTGGAGGAGGCTGGTGTGTGCTGGAGTAGGCAGATAAGCATTACAGCTGTGTACGCCCCCCTTATGTATAAACAAGATCCTTTTTTGCCTTTGGGGTGAACGGAGAAGCACTTACACAGCTCTGGATGCTTGAAATAGGTGTTTTTATTCACAAAAATGGACCTAAGAGACAAAAACATTGTTGAAATGATAGCAAAAGTTATTGAAGAAGGTAAGACTAAGGAGAGTAAATGTGATGTTTTCATGTGTACTTGAATTTAAAATCTAGTCAAGCATAATCTGAAGAGGTTATTACACTAAATTTTCCAGTTTTAGGCTTTTCAGATAGCAAAAGTAAAGTGGAACAAGACACAGCGGTTATCTGTTTAAGTAACCACAGCATCCTCTTTGTCATGGTTTCATTTCTATGCTCAGCTTCTGATACAGAAAATGATGGTGAGGTGATGATGGCTGGTAGAAGGTATCCATCCATTCAGGAGTTTGCCTCTGCGATCCCCAACCACCTTCTCTTGGGGTCTTTGCTTGAGCACCTATGCTTCGTCTACGAGAGCAACCCAGCCCGTTCACGCATGTTGTTCAAAGGTATGTGTGGAGATGATGTTCCAGAATGGGCAGCTAGTTTAAAAACACTCTCATTTGTTAATGCTGTCTAAAAATACTGAAAAAGATGTTATTAACTGGATTAAAATTCAAGTTAATGTTTTTGTCATCCCTCTGGTAGTCATTGGCCAGCGTTTGGCAGCCATGAACCTCCTCTCACCTTTAGCTATCAGTGATGAGTTCAGCACTATCAGACTACAGCACAACAGAGCCTTCACTGAGCTGCTGCATGCTGCTAGCTCTACGTTATTTCCTCAGGTAACACAACAAATCAATAGTATTGCCTTTTCGTTATTGCTTCATCATAGTCTTTTTAGTATCCAAACCAAGTGCAAACAATTTTTAGATAACTCCCTCCCCTGTCAAGGCCATCCCTAGATCCAACTTTGTTATGTTTTGTATGCTGGTATCTAACAGAATGACATAAAGTGATGGGTATGCTAGAATTGAATTCACTAAATGTGACCAAGGTTTTTTGACTGATCAATTATGTGAGCTTTTTGTGACATGTCAGCTTCTTTGTATGCAAAATAAATTTGAATTTGAGGGAACTGTAAATAGTTTTTTCTGACAGGGAGAACTGATCCAGGATCAAGGTCTCAGTATAAAAGCAGAAAAAAGCTTTAAAATGTTCCCTAGAGAAGTTTTAAACATATGAGTGACAGCCATGTGTTATTCATTATTTCAAGTTTTCTTGTGTTGGTCTTTATGTCATTTGCAGGGCCAACAATGCCTAGGCCCAAATACACATAATCCTGTTCTAAGGTAGGCTGTATTTTCATAATTTTTTGGAATTCACATTCATTTTTTAGTATATTTTAGTTGTAGTGGAGATAATTTCTGTCTTTTTACAGATCAAAGGATGGACTCTTTCAGGCACAGACATCCCGGTATCTAGGTGAATTTGAGGAGATATGCAGACTTGGAATAGGTGCTTATGGGAAAGTTTTTAAGGTATTTTTACTCCTTGGACTCCCTATCTAATTTTAACCTCTTCCAGCTACTTTAGTCGAAAATGAATTCAGTAGATCACCACAAGCATGCTTTCTAATCTCAGGTCATGAACAAACTGGATGGCCAGTTTTACGCTGTGAAGAAAATCCTCATCAAAAAAGTCTCCAAGGAAGACTGCATGAAGGTTGGATACAATTTTAACTCAATAAATCCTGTAACATCCATATGCCTGGAAAACTATTGTCATGATACAGGGTGTTTCATTTTATTTGCATTAGGTCCTCAGAGAAGTCAAAGTGTTGTCCAGCCTGCAGCATGTAAATATTGTTGGTTATCACACGGCGTGGATGGAACATGTTCAGCCTGCAACATGTGAGTATTTAAATGCTGTACCTGGACAGGCTTGTTGGGCTTCTCGATTAAACTGACAATTAACTATGTGGAACAGTACAACTAATTGTTCTTATAACATACGCTCAATGTTTAAACAACTCTGTTACAGCTCCTGACTCGTATCTGCCAGCACTGGCATCACCTGAAAATCAAGACAGGTAGGATCCCGGACACAGACATCTGTAAAGCTGTTTCTGGTGTCTGATTATCCAAGTAATGAAAACTCGGCATAATCAATAAAGCCAGATTATTTGGATCACCTGAATAATATGCCACTTTGCCACAAGCATTAACAGGCTGAGGTTGTATTTTATCATGTGTAAAAGTGTCAAATATACTTTCAAAAAGTCATCTGTTTAAATGATAGTCTTCTGCATGCATTTATGGAGGAGCCATACAAAAATAATGCTTACTTGATAAAGAGTTGTCTTTTTATTACTGTAGCTATATTCACCTTCTCAGCCATAATATTGCTACTTGTCATAACAATCAGATTTTTTTTATTTGATAATGGCATCATATCCATCTTTACATATTTATCTACAGCTCTTTTGAGAGCCCAGACAGCAGCAGCAGCAGCAGCTCTTCCATCATTTTCCAAAGCCTCAGTCAAGCAGAGGCTTCCCCAGGTGCCAAAGGACCCCTGCAAAACCAGCCGGTTAAAGCCTTAGTCCAAGCCCAGGAGAAAGGACAGGTAGTTTGCCCCAAGACGATGCGCCGCATCCCTGAGCACTATGTCCCCTGTGTGTTCTTGGGACAGCAAGGCCCCATAAATGCATCCAAATGTCCCGCCAAGGATTGGGACGGTTCACCACTGCTGGAAGAGGAATTCAGCAGGAGCAGTATGGAACTGAACAACAACTCCTACATCAACCAAGACTGTCAGCAGCTGGCTGACAAATGCAAAGCAAAGCCTTCCAAAGAGGTAGGAGACCAGAGAGACTTTAAGTCAACAAAGAGTATATAAGACATATACTGATTTTTTTAGACTTACAGCCTCCTAGAAATGAAAAGAGTGATTATTTGGGAAATCTGTTTAAAAATGAGGTGTAATTTTGCTTTATTTGCAGGTACAGTTCCAGCTGATGCTCTACATCCAGATGCAGCTGTGTGAGCGCTCACTGACGGACTGGATCTCTGAAAGGAACTACAAGGCCAAAGACGAACAAAGCTCAAGATGTAATTATTCAACACATTTGCTCTTCTATATTGATTATTTGTTCATCTTTATCGCCAATCAGTCTCTTATCATCAGAAATAAATATGAAAATTTACTTTATACCTTGAATTGACTTAACTTCTGAGATTTGAATGAAAAAATGGTTAAATGATAGTATCCTCAATATATTTTGCTTTCAGTGCCTTATGGGTGTGTTGATGCTGAACACACACTCAGCCTTTTGAGGAGGATACTTGAAGGAGTGGAGTATATTCACTCCAAAGGAATCATGCACAGAGATCTGAAGGTGAGGTGCTTTTTGCAGATTTTATTCAGTCCGCATGTGTAAGGCTCATCAAATTACATGTCTGTCAAACCTCCTGCTAACTCATGCATGTGTCAACTAGGAGTCCTATCATAGTAGTCGTTAAATAAGTCCTGTTCACCATCCATCTCAAAGGAAATGTCATACGAATTCTCCCAGTTGTTGAACACAAAGTCGAAAATCTTCTCAGGCAGGATTTTTCTCACCCCATCTCTTTCGTCTTGAACATACTTTAAATAAATGTCCCTCTTGCAAATATCTTGAAGCCTTCTTGGCTGCCGAATGAGTTTGAGAATCTGGTCTCTCTGTCTGAAGAAACATGGTAATGTGAGGGTGAAGGGCAGGAGGCCACTGTGGTTGTAGACGGTGAGCGGGGAGGTCAGACTGAGGAGCTTCTTCAGCAGAGAGTTTTTCTGCACATTCGATCTGTGGTTCAGAAACAGGAACAGGCAGTTCTCCCCTGATGTGCTGAGCTTATTGATGTCTGCCCCGTGTCGGAGCAGCAGGTCCACTAGCTCCTGGTTGCCCATGCTGCATGCCTGCTGTAATGGCGTTATGCCGGCGTTGTTCACCGCGTTGACCTCTGCCCCTTGCTCCAGCAGTTGAGAGATACAGCTACTTTTGTCGTTGAAGGTTTTGCTGGTTTTCATGGCCACTGTCATAGCAGCAAGGTGCAGAGGAGTGTTTCCAGAGTGTTTCACCCCCTAAAATCAGGAGGAAGTGTACATTTAGTGATAAAACATATTACAGTATTATCTGAACTTGCATAAATGTTATCTCATTGCTTTTACAGACCTATCCTGTTTACAGTCTGTAGGCCATCATCTTAACAATGAGAAACGTTAGATTATACTTTATTGATATTATAATGACAGAAATCACTCATTCACTTCCTGTTTTGCCCTGCATTCATAGCTCATCAACTCTTGTAACCACTGCAGCTTTACTCTCCATGCTCACTTTGTCCCTTTACTTAACTAACACACATCGGATCCTCTTTCTCTGCCTGCTGTGCTGCAGGTCTTCTTCTGTGCTCTATGCTTGGGATTTTTTAGTTATCATCAGAAACAACAAGCCTGGTCAAATTACCTGTCATCCTAATGGAATTGCAAGTGAAATATAATGAGATGTATTTTTTGGATGACTTTCATCAATAACCTGCTGTTGAATAAACAGAGCAGACGCATACAGGAAAAAAAGAAAAGAAAAGTTAAGAGGAAAGGTGGAGCAGATGGAGCTGCTGTGAGGGTGCAGGAGAAAAAAGTAAGCAGATAAATGTCATATACGAAGAAATATTGTTATCAGTTAGTAAATTTAAGGGTGTGCCTTCTTTGAAATACTATTTTAGATTAACAGCCATTTTTCTGGGGCTACAACGTGCATTTTAAAGATTGGTAATCACCCTCAGCTACTTTTCTTTGATTGCAAGAAAGAAACATTGTGCCTTTTTTTTAAGTAAAGTAAGACAAGATCATTTTATTTAAATAGCACATTTAAAAACATTGTTGACCAAAGTACTTAGCAAGTGTTTTGAAAGGTTAAGCAAAAACACAAGCAAATACCAACCACCAAAAAAAAGAGAGAAGTAACACAAACCATGTTAACATCCGCTCCCTCCTTGATCAAAGTCACGATAAGGTCCTTTTGTAGCATCCCTGCAGCCATATGCAGGGGTGTCATCCCGCTGCTGTCCACAGCATTAACATTAGTCCCAAAGCTGGATAGAATATGGACAGCAGATTGAGCAGCATAGCGCACTGACAGGTGGAGTCCTGTTTGGTGACAATGTCCCTCCACCTGGTGGGGAAAGACAAGAATCACACATTTCAAGAACACTATGAGATGTTTTATTACCACTCATGTTGAATTTCATAGATACTGTGCAAGTCAAGTTCTACCTCAGCGTTGACGTTAACACCATGCTCACAGAGGAGCTGCAGACAGGCCTCAGCCTGCCTCCTTGCACTGATCACATGATTTGGGAATTTGGATCCTGGTTTTGGAAAACTAGTAGAAATTTTTGGCCAACTTGCTATCACCAGATGTAGAGTGGTCCGACCAAGATGGTCCCTGTGATGGAGGTAGAGACATTAAGAAAATGCAGATGGAGACATTGAAATTAGAAATAAAGGTAAGAGATGAAGGGCATGTGTTTGAAGCGGACATCACTTTCATGAGTCAACCTCTCTTTAAAAACCAACATAAAAGCAGGCTCTCACACGCTATACTTCTGATGTGATTTTGCCTGGACTCTTTAGTATCTACAAGTGTGATGTTTAGGGTGTACATCTGCGGAGTGTGCGTGTTTGTGTGTGTGTTTATGTCCAGACCTCATTTCAGGGTCTGCCCCTACAGACAGGAGGCACTGCATGCTCCTCATTCTTCTGTGAGAAGCGGCCAGGTGGAGAGGGAGGATTGCAAAGCCCTAAAGCAGGACAAGAAATGACAAGAAAAACTGGAAACCTGTAATATGCAAATATTTTGTGGTCTTGCACAAGTCTTTTTTTTATTTTTAAACAATTTTTGCTCTTTTATTAGAAAATCAAAGATCACAATAGGGTGCACTTTTAAAGATTAATTTACCCATGCGATAACTTTCAATCTGAAGCAAGACTGTTATATTCAATAAATTGTAGGAATAGTTGCATTACCTTCCAGAAAACTTCTCCTGGTGTACTTTGCTGCATTTGGATGAGACAGTTGTTCCCATACTTTCTTGAAAAGCCCTCTATACGTCCTTCATCTTCATCCATAACTGCACTGTAGAATTCATTATTGTGGATGATGTTACTGCTCCTTTTGTCATGAACCTCGCCTTCGTCCTGCATGACAGCCTTTAAGACTTCTTCTGCTGCGTGTGTTCAGTCTCTGTACACATCCGCAGTAGTTGAATCTGGTTCTTCTGGTTTGCTGGTGCCTCACTCATGGTGTCAGTAAATTAGACAGCCCCAAGAGGACAGTCGAGGGCTATTAGCTACATTTGTTTCCTGTGTTTGGTGGTTTGCTAAGCTACTTCTCTTTACTGTGTTGGGTGTTCTTAGCCTGATTTCATCATGTTGCTTTGAGAGTTGCGCGTCTAAGTTTGGCGTGCAGCCTTCCTGTTACAGCTGATAACTTTGTACGGGGCCAATTACAGGGACGGGTGACACCTCCTCTGAGTCATATACAGGTCTTGTACTTGACAATTTTTTTTTGTAAAATGATGCAGCTGGATTTTTCTGGTTCATCTTTACTCTTTGGTAATGGCTTTATCTAGTTGTTTTTATTAATATAATTTTATATAATGTCATGATCAGACTCAGCTATAGTGGTAAAGTATGTTTGCCAATGACTGGTGAAGTTTGCTGTTTATGTACAACTATCAAACATAAAATTGTTCAACTAATTTTTATAAATATATGTAATACTGTAGTGTATGGTGAGTGAAAGGATGCAGATTTAAAAATGAGAAATACATAATGATATAACAGCAACATTTTTAAGTGACAGTATGGTTAGAGAATATGGACAAGCTGCCAACCAGTCAGTCACAACACCAGCACCAAAGCTCGTTTCTCGTTGTTTACCAGTTTTGGTGTTCAAAATGAAACCTAAATAGGGGTGTGGTTGCCTTGGCAGGATAGGAGCAACGGTTAACCACCTATGAATCAATCCAGTCATAAAAGAGAAGTACTGCTTCGCTTCCTAGTTGACAAGTTTTATTATTCAGTGATACTTGGTTGTGATTGTGCCTACCTACTGACTAAACTGAAGTGAACATGTAAGTTTTGAGAATGTAAGCTCTGAGCACAGGGAAGACAAAAATGCACCACCACTGTGTCTGCATGGACTCGTGATACTGTTTTCTCCTCACAGGCTGCACAAATTTGCTCACAAGCAGAGACATTTTGCAAACAAGTCCTGTGAAAGCAATGGCAGAGATAAAATATGTACAAGACTGTTGTACATGTACAGCCCCTCAATATCCTCTTGAGTAAATAGTGTATGCTGATGTCTCATTTGTTTGTGCAAGATATTGTTTGCTTTATCAGACAAGTTCAAGCAGTTTATGTAGGTATGAAGGGTAAGCAGCTAATAACCTGCCTGTTTCAACACCCTGAAATGGTGTAAGTCTTGAATATGGGTAAATTCCGTTCTGCTTGTTTTCTCTGCAGACCAGATTGTACATTGCTGTCTGTTCTTGTAGTTTTTGGCGACAAGGTCCAAACAAAACAGTGAAGGACTTGTCGAAAACAGAGTAGAGGTTGGGTGTGTAAAATATGGTTAGCAGCTGCTAAGGCAAGTTGAACTGTGTTGTATCATGTATTTCTTATGGTGTTAAGGAGGAAGAGTGTAGGGTTGCTGAAAGTCCACCATCATCTCTACAATTTAGAGCATGGTTCTGGCCACTCAGAGGTCCAGCTTTTCCATCTCCTGTTTAGATACAGACTAGTTGGACAAGGCTGATAACATTTGTGTCCTTTGCAAAGTTGAGGAGTTAAACAGATGGGTCCCCTGAAGTGTGTTCATTGGAGTTAGAGGGAGAAGGGCAGTGGGCTCTCCTATAAAAGCCTTTATTGCTAAAATAGAAAAAAAAAGTTGTTAAGTGTAATATAAGGTAGTCTGAAACTCTAAAACTGATTTTTGTCATTGATTCTTGTGCAAAACCAGTCGACTTTTCTAAAACATACATATTGTGCACCAAGCTAATTTGTGAATCTTTATTTTCCTTTTAGCCAAGGAACATTTTCCTGCACGGACGTGACTGCCATGTTCGGATCGGGGACTTTGGTTTGGCCTGCAAGGATATGATACTGGACAGCCACACAAGTTCTACCTCTGTCGTTGATGGTAATACTGTCCTGCCCAGTTTGTTAGGTGCATATGTCACAGAACATCCAGTAGATGGAGCCAAGTCACATTTCTGGTGTATTTTACAGATTCGACACATACCACAGGTGTTGGGACATTTGTGTATGCTGCACCAGAACAACTGGAAAGCTCCCACTATGATTCAAAGGTAAACATTTTCACTTCATCATCTTGCAAAGTTAGTTTTTCATCATTGCTCTCTCTTGCATAGCGGTTCATGAAGACTAAACTTTGTTTTGTTGCTGCCTTGCTAGTCAGACATGTACAGCATTGGGGTACTGGCTCTGGAGCTATTCCAACCCTTCGGGACAGAGATGGAACGAGTCCAGACCCTTGGGGACCTGAGAGAGGGAAAAATCCCAGACTCATTTGTCCAAAGATGGCCTGTTCTGTCCAAGCACATACTAAACCTGACGAGTAAAGAGCCCAGTGTTCGACCGACAGCCAGCCAGCTCCTACAAAGTGAACTCTTCTGCAGTAAAGACATAGTATGTGTAATACTGATTTATGTTACCTCTTACTTATTAATATTATGGGAAGTTACAACTATTTACTAGCCATAGAGTATAACACAATCAAAACCACAATTTATTTGAGCACTGGGTTTGTGACTGAAATATTTGGGAATGTTATTTAGAAGTACTTTCATGTGCAGCCTTTGTTGTGCTATATGCACCACAAGAATGTGCTGTGTTTATAACATATTGATCTAAAAACATTTTCAGAACTTTATTTTTTCTTTGCAGGTGATCCATGGTTTGCAGAGAAGGGTTGAAGAGCAGGAGGAAGAGATCATGCAGCTGAGGAGACAGATCAGTCAGCTCCAGAGCTCACAAGTCCCTGTTCACATCTCTCAGGCAGACAAAATCTGAGCCAGACAAAATCTCAACCAACACAGACTGTTCAATTTCCGTTTGCCAACCACTGCTGTGTTATGCTTTGTACACAAGCTCAAGCGGTGGTGAGTGCGTGAGTGCATGTGTAAGCATCTGAGTGTGACATGTGTAGAAGAATGCAAGTGTGTTATTTATCTTTCTTTTAGCTGTTTAATTAAACCCAATTTCTGCTATTGTGAAGATGCAACATGTGATTTTTGAACACTTAATTTTATACATTAGAAATATTGCACTTGTGACAAATTGAAAAATTGACATATGTGCAAAATCGACATGTCACATGTATGTAGATTTTTCATTCTGCAGTTTGATAAAGTAATTTTGGACACAAAATACCTTGAAATTGAGTTTGGAGGGATAAATGTCTGTTTTGGTGTTTCTTTACATAGATGGACAAAGAAATTTCTTTGTACCCTGGTCTATACGTGTTGTTGTTGATGGTTTGATAATTTAGTTACTTTTTAAAGGGGTGGCTATGTTTTTCATGAAATTTCAGATAGTGTAAATATTGTGGATACTTGGTAATTTCTTTATGAATAGGTATTCAGCATGGACACTGGTAATAGTGCTGTCGTGTCATTCTTTGCGGGAAAAAACAGCCGGGTAATTACTCTGGTACCGCTTTTGGGGGTTATGGGTTCAAAGTATACCATATTGGATGTACACCACGTACACAAAGGTCAGAGGTGTGTACATGCGACGGATCTTCCCGACACACGTCCCTCTCAGAGAAACGGCCGTATGAACCAATCAGAGACCTCGTCTCATCGCAGGTACCCGGATGCACCCGTGGGGCAATTAGCTACGTCATTGTTCACCGCCGGACACCCGCTGTAAATAAGGAATGGATTTAAAGGAGCTATTAACGTATTCATAACAGATTTCAGGTGAGTGAGTTTTCACTTTAAGAGTCGAGTAGCACTCAGACTATGCAGCGGTAACAATTATGTAGGCCTAGACCACTCAGGTTTATAGTAGTAGCCTTACACCGGGTATCCGTCATGTCGGAGAGCGGCGCAGTGAGCACACACAAGCCGCCGGTGTCGAGCCCCTCCTTTCAGGGGTCTGCACATTTAAATCAAATCTACCTCGAAGTGTAAACCGCAGACTACTCTTGGGGCGTGAATGGACAATAATCGAAATGCTCTCCGTCATGTTGGTTAGCCTCCTTCGTGCTGGGCTAACTAGCAGCATTAGCATCTCTGTTACCGCACGAGCGCCGCTGCACGTAACGTTAGCTTCCCTTCGCCGTGTGTTATGTTCGCCGTTTCCATGGAGTCGGAATGTATCTTTTAGAACGTCTCCGCCACCGTCACTCATTGTTCGCCAGTCCTCACCGAGAGAGTTGACATCTCAAACGATCAGTCGTCTCCATCAAGAGCTACAAGCTATTAAATCTGAGTTTTATTGAGTATTTTAGCGACACTGCGTGATAAAGGCCTAGCTGCTGTCTGTTAGCCAATGTGAGCCCGTCTGCCTGAGCAGGTGGGAGGGAACAGCTGTTGTTGTAAACGTGCTTCCGACCAGCCAGGACATTTCCTCCAACTACTACTACTACCGACCACTTTTTTCTGTATTAGTGGTCTGGATTTTCGTGTAAGACTACACCTTTTAGTTGATTACGACATGTAGCTTTTGTTTTTTAGTACTTTTGAGAAGTGTGATCGGTCAGCTAATACTTTGTTTCGTTTTAAGTCACTGTGTTGACCTGGTTTACGGTATAACCATAAATCCATTGATCACACATAGTTACATGGTTATTTCGAGTGTTTTTGACTAATCTGCTACACTTATTGTTGTGATATGGTTATGTAGGACACCGCTATGGCCCTGCAAAGACTTTCCCTCCTTTTTAAATGTGTTGTAGAGGAGGTGCTCTTTCACCAGATCTGACATTGCATCCTCTACTGCACTGGTTCTGTCATAGCATTTCATCTAACCATGTCCAAACCAAACAGTCAAGTACATCCGACCACATTTTGTGTTAGGATGAATATTGATTCTTTGGCCTTGGCATGAGTAGTTGTAATCTAAATGTACTGCAGTGCTATCTCAATTTGAATGACCTGTGATAACAAAATGGCATGTAATATTCAGGGTGCATCTTTTTGTTTACTCCTGTATATGATAGAGCTCCTGTATGCTAAGACATTAAGATTGTTTTTTCATTTGCCACACATGTTTGTTTACATTATTGTTTACATTCATTTACTCATATATATGTCTTGTTTCTGCCCCTCATAAAGCTATGAACAATGACCATAGTTGACAGGTCATCAGAGAAGTCTGACCACGAGTCAGTCGGGTGTAAACAATCGCCCTTTTCCAGTGGAGACGCAGGAATGGACGGCAGCTGTTCCAGCAGCTGGGCAGTGGGTCCAACCATGCCCAGTGACTCTCCAAGACTAAAGGCTCCAGGAGGCTGCCTGGGGCCGACACCTGGAGCTGCTGTTTACAACAGTTCATCCTCCTCTGTGGAAAGACCTAAGGAGCAAGGTGGGAAAAAGGGCTTTTCTCAGCTGGAGAGTTGATTTATTTTGATACGGCTGTCTCTGATTGATTACAAAAGCGTCCTCACAGAAAATGTCATGTTGCTAGTAAACCTGTTTTTCCAAAAAATTGGCTCTTATTAGTTTAGGTGTCCTTCTCCTTAAGGCAAATTGAGAAGTGTTGCCAAAAATTATAATGCATTGGTATTGTAAAGTGGAACTGATGAGGATGATGAACTTTTTCATGCTATTTTTGTTTGAGCGAGTGACACAACTGGTTTTGTAGGAGTTGTTTTCTTGCTTCCGCTCCACTTTCATTCATCCAGTTACATAACCAGGCCAGTTTTGAAGTGAGAGCGTGATCAATCAGTTCAGCCGCTGACGCATCAATGTTTTGACATTAAGAGCAGCAGCCTGACTTTCGCTAAAACAAATGAGAAAATAAATTCTGTCTTTTCTCCTTCAGCCAGTTTCCACCTTAGTAGTCATTTACATAAATGTGAAATACAACCAGCTACAACATTATGAACATCATGGAAATCTTGTGGAACAGCTCTATCGAAGATTATACTTTGCAAAGCTTTTTCACTTTTAATATTTGTTGACGTGGTCAATCAGCTGTTGATTGTCCTTTAAATGTATTTTTGAAGTTTTGCTGGTTGTTGGTGGTACACTAAAGGGCATCAATATTGTAAGGTGTTCCTAATATTTTGTTCCCCTAATGAATTGGACTACCGTATTTTTCGCACTATAAGGCGCACTTAAAATCCTTTTGGCTTGTCGGAGCACTGCAGCTGCTGTAGCCTCATGGAGTTATTGAATGAGTCAAATAAAGTTTGACTTATCTGACTGTTTTTTTTTACTCAATGCGCTTTATAATCTGTTGCGCCTTGATGTGTGAAAATAGACGCGTTCATTGATGGTGCGCCTTATAATCAGGTGCGCCTTATAGTGCGAAAAATACTGTAAGTAAGAAAGACCCTTTGATACAATACACTTGTCATGTCGAAATTTGTCATGTCAACAAAAACTGCCAATTTAGAAGCTTTCTGAGAGTAGTAATTGTGGTAGAGTTGTTATATTGGATTGCATTACATTGTCCAGGTGCTCATTATATTACGGTGGGTCAGTGTACATTGGTTATTCAGGGGATATAGAATATTGTTTATGTCTGACATGTAAAATGTATAGACCTTAATTGTAGCATTAACGGTTTGCTCTGTCTATGCAGTGATAAGCTGTGATGATGGCATCGACTTGCCTCAGAAGGTCCTCTTCCCTCCAGAGCGACTCCACCTGAAGTGGACCCAGGTTCACCGCATTGGTGCAGGTCTGCAAAACATGGGGAACACCTGCTTCCTTAATTCAGCTCTGCAGTGTCTCACCTACACCCCTCCGTTTGCAAACTACATGCTGACACGGGAGCACTCCAAAACATGTAAGTTGGTGTTTTTTAGTGCTTATTAACACCAAGAACGTTTTCTTGAATTTGTGCAATAGTTCAAATATTTCTAAATGTAAATTCTGGCCATTTTAACATGGTTACGAGCCATTTTCTTGCTGCGATAATCAACTCTGGATCATCAAAGTCAATCTTCATCTGTCCTCCTGCAGGTCATGAACCAGGATTCTGTATGATGTGCACCATGCAAAACCACATCGTTCAGGTTTTTGCCAACTCTGGGAATGTCATTAAGCCCATTGGTGTGCTCAATGAGCTTAAAAGTAAGTAGTTACCTGAAGAGTCACAACACCTAAGTTACACCCTCTTCTAATAGATAATCCAGATAAACAACAGGAGGCGCTATGGACCTGTTTACCGTTGTGATTTTGGAGGGAAATCTTTATTTGGCTTTTCATCGTCCGCAGTAGAAAGACTTTTTAGACTTGTGAAAGTGTGAGACCATATCATAACTCTTCTTCTAACTTTGTTTTTTTCCTGCTCAGGGATTGCAAAGCACTTCCGCTACGGGAGCCAGGAGGATGCACATGAGTTCCTGCGGTACACAGTGGATGCTATGCAAAAGTCCTGCTTACCTGGAACCAAGTAAGTTTCATCCATTCCTAAATCCTACTCAGCCAAGATGAAACACAGTCATACTAGTTTAAAGACAGGACTTTATTTTTGGCATTCTCAAATGAGTTAATTTGGAATGATTTTAGGCAAGTAAATTTACTGCCAAGTTAATTATGTACACATACATGTTAAATACGTTCTCTGGGCTAGTCATTGTGGTTCTCAGGGAACCTGTGAAAAGATATTTAAAGAACAAAGTATAAAGTTTGTTCTTCTGCAGTAACAGGTGTTCATAACTGATGATTCTGGCTCTGATTGTTTTTCTGTTTCACCCCTGCTCTTTGTCGTATCACCGAACAGTTCAATATACTCTTAAGGAAATTTTTATCATATTTGCCTGAATTTATAATACAGTGTTATATTGTTGTGAGTCTGTGATTTTTTTGATAACCTTTACTGGTTATTTTCATCTTGATGTTTATCTTTGTGACAGATTGGACAGGCAAACGCAGGCAACTACTTTCATTCATCAAGTATTTGGTGGGCACCTTAGGTCCAGAGGTAAATGAAATTAGTTGATTTGTCTCTGCTTCATGATATCTTGCTGTTGTTGCTCTTTTTAAACAGCTTTTTTAACACATTTTTTTAAAACACTGATTTATCTTTTTTTTTTTCAGTTAAATGTTTAAACTGCAAAGCAGTCTCTGATACATTTGACCCTTTTCTGGATATTACTCTGGAAATTAAGGTAAGAAAGCAAGATCATTTTGACATACAGGTCTTTCATCTCTGATGTATCAAATGATAAACAAACTTATTGGTCAACTATGTAAAGAGCAATACTCTTTTCTTGTCTCCATGCAGACAGCTCTCAGTGTCTCCAAAGCTCTGGAGCAGTTTGTCAAGCCTGAACAGCTGGATGGAGAAAACGCCTACAAATGCACCAAGTAAGTTGTTTTATTGTGAAATAAAAAGGGTGTCTGCTTCTTGTCACATTTTATTTCCTTTATCCGTTTTTTTTTTTTAAAGCTTTTTGTGAGCTTAACAACTGAAATTTGTTTCTTCTAGGTGCAAAAAAATGGTCACAGCCTCAAAGAGATTCACAATCCATCGCAGTTCAAACGTGCTCACCCTCTCACTCAAACGTTTCGCTAACTTCAGTGGAGGCAAAATCACAAAGGTACCATTGTAAAATAGAAAACCATGATTAAGCTATAGATTAGTACGTGTTGTAAAATTGTTCCATAAGTTTCCCTCATAGCAGTTTACTAACAGCATTTTTTTTTTTGCCATTAGGATGTGAAATATCCAGAGTACCTGGACCTTCGGCCCTTCATGTCACAGTCCCAGGGTGAGCCCCTCATCTATGGGCTGTATGCTGTGCTGGTCCATTCAGGATTCAGCTGTCATGCTGGCCACTACTTCTGCTATATTAAGGTACTGGCTACATAATCACTGCTTAAGTCTGTCATGGCACTCCAGTTGCCAAACACATACGCACCAAATTGCATCTCCAGCATCATCAAAAGAGTTCCATGCAGAGCTTCCATGATAACTTTTTGCTTAGTTATTTTAAGGTTAAAACAGGGAAAACTGTGTGCACCATAAAAGTTATTTTTGTGTTTTAGAGTAAATAGCATAAAGAAATTATAGAGGTGTGTATTAGACAGACCTCCCTAGCCTTTATTGTGAAAAAAAAAAAAAGGTTGATATGTAATATTGGAGATCTTGTTTCGCATCTGTGTTAAAACCCGCCAACTGTTCTGTTGTGTTTCCAGGCAAGCAATGGGCAGTGGTATCAAATGAACGACTCCTCTGTGTCGGTCAGTGACATCCGGTCTGTTCTCAACCAGCAGGCCTATGTGCTTTTCTACATCAAGTAAGTAAAAGCATTCTTGGCAACAAGGGTTTCTGTTAATCTGAGCCTAAATTCAAATTTCTCGTTTTAATGTTCCCTTGTGCTAACGCCTCTACATTTTTTTGTCATTAGGTCTAGTGACATGAAAAAAACTGGAGATTATGGTCATATGGGTCATAACCCAGGAATTCCTGGTCAGTCATCTCCCAGGCCAGTAGTGATACCACGCATCAACACCGGTGCCCACTCCAATAACGTCGGCTTTATAGGTCCCCAGCTGCCGCCACACATGTCAAAAGTACTGCACTCTCGTTTACTTGCTTATTAGAGATGTAGCCAGTGTTTGACCGAGAAACTCAAACCATGCTCTTGATTTTATTTTGTCTTCCTCAGAGCTCACTTCATGTCAATGGGAATGGATCCCTGAGGGATTATCATCACACTAACTCAAAGCCCAGCACCAGCAGCAGTGTTGTGGGAAAACCCAACCATGGACTGGGCTCCTCCTCCTCCTCATCCATCTCCCACTCCATCAGCCGACCCACAATGATCCCTGATCACGACAAACGCCAGAAGCTTTCATTCTTTATCGGACAAGGCAAACAGAACCGCCCGTCCACCTCCTCTTTGTCATCCTCCTCCTCCTCCTCCTCCTCCTCCTCCTCCTCTTCCTCCTCCTCCTACAGCCAGCCGTCCTCTGCAAGCAGCTCCTCCAGCTCTTTATCCTCCTCACAGTCTACCTCAGACGTCCAGTCAGACATTCGCTTCGTTCCACGCCAGCTTAACCGCGTTAATGGCACACCTTGCAGTAATGGGGAGCGACACGCTGGAGGTAACGGAGCATCCTTTTTGGTTCCGTACAGTCAGGAGTCCTCAGAGGAATCTGACCAGGAGAACTGTGGCACCCTGGAAAATGGCTGTTTGGGCAAGTCTCACCTAAATGGTAACAAAAAAACAGGAGAAATCTGTAATAACTCTCCGAAAGCAACAAACGGGGAGGCAGGAGTGCACCATAATGGTAACGGATTGAATGGCCACCATTATGGCCACCACAAAGTGAACGGACACAACAACTCTGACAAAGTAAGTTATCGCCTCGTGTGTCTTTGCTGTCTTTCTACGTGATATTGATCCCTCTTTTCATAGACTTGATGTTCCTTAATTAACAATCCTGTGTTGTGCATCACACAGATCTCTGGCAGTAATTATGGCAGTTCATCCTCTGTGGCTACCGCCCCTGTTAATGGACTGGACAGTGACCACAGTCACACAAGGTAAGATGAGTTGTCTAACACTAAACTGGAAAACAAGCACCTTTAAGACCTGGAGGTGTGATTGAAAGCCATGTCTGCTCTTTTTTTTCCAGCAAAGAGGCACATAATTCAGCCTCATCCCAGGCCAGTTCTTCCCAGAGCATCCACACTGCTACCAATGACAGCCAGCTTCTCGTCACCCCTGACAAAAGAGCTACAACTGATTGCGAGCCCCTCCCTCAGCATCCGCCACCCTCCACTGCTAGCTTGTCGTCTTCTTCTTCATCCACCGCTACAAAGACATCCACAGAATCTGCAACATTTTCCGCCCATAATGGCATCATCAATGGGGCCTTAACTACCCCGCCAGACAGCTACCAAAGCTCAAACGGGCCCTCTGTGGCTCTGCTGAAGGTGGGCAACGGTGGGGATGAAGCAATGGATCGACCACAACAGAACGGTGTATTAGCAGGGACTGATGAGCGTACAGATGCCAAGGAGCAGCACCAGTACAAGCACAGTTCTCGCAGTAATGAAGGACAATCTTTCCGAGACAGGGAGAGAGACCGGTTCTACTCTGACTGGAGCAGAGACAAAGAGAGACATTACAGAGACAGAAGTACGGAGAGAGAAAGTGACGGTGACCGCCACAGGTACAGGCGGGATTACAGAGATCACCATCACCGCTCATACAGAGATCGTTTGCCTCATCCAGATCGTTACTACAGAGACTGGGAGTCTGAGCGTCGCTGGGACAGACACCCTCACCACCCAAGAGAGCGAGATCGCGACAGGTGCTCAAACCATTACCATCGCTACCACCACCACCGGTCTAAAGAGGACTGGGAGCGTGGGCGAAAGGGACACTGTTACCCTTACCGAGATGAGTCGAATGGACGCAGGAGGTGGCAGGAGGAGAATCGGGAATCCCGAGTGATGAAAGACAAGAACAATGTTAGAGAGAGAGACAATTTTTCCTCTGCAACAGAAAACTCCTCAAAGCCCAACAGCTCTTCCCCTCGAGCTCGTCCCTCTGCGTTTGAACCTGCTCCAAACAAGGAGGATCCAAATTACAAGAGGAGCCGCAGTAGAGACAGGGAGGGCAGCACTGAGACCCGTCGCTCCAAGAAACACAAAAAAAGCAAGAAGAAGAAGAAGTCAAAGGATAAAGAGCGGCACCATGAGAGCGGGTAAGTGACACCATGCTGTCACAATCGTGAATTACCAGATTTAATCTGCAGCTCAGGCGAGAGTCACTTATGAAGCAATTTCATAAACAAAGTGATCTGAATATTTTGTGGGTTTTAACTTTTCATTACCTTCAGCTCTAAAGTAGTGAAGAATATTCTATCTTTTTTAATAATTCGGAAAAGTCCACACAAGAATACTTTTTGATATCAAGCATATTCTATGAGAAATTGCATTTCAGCAAAAAATGGGTACAGCTGTGATTTGGTAAAAACGTATAATCAAAGGAAAATAAAACAAAGCTGAAACAAAGAGGAAAATTTAATCTTCTCATCGACAACTTTTTTGCCTTTCAGCAAAAAGTGCTTCTATCAGTTTTTGTTGTCACTAGAATATTATCATATCTTTCCTAGAATGATAAAAATGCCTCATACCAGTTTGTTTGTTTGTTTCGTTCATGGATTGATTGGTCACAGCTCTGCTTTTGCATTTCCTTCCAGAAGCTCAGACATTGACTCTGACAGAGCCGCTGAAACAAAGAAAAAGAAGAAAAAAAAGAGGCGGCAGCAGGACAGCGAGCCCGAGACGCACAGCCCGGAAGCTGCTCGACGCCACAAATACAGGAGCAGCGAGGAGAAGAGCACCCGCAAGAGACATTATGATGATACCAAGAGCTCTAAACACAACGGTTGCTCACCAGAGAAACGTCGGCGCATGGACAACGGTGACGATGGTAGTGATCATAAACTCCCCTCCTACCATGCCTCACCCACAAATGGTTCATGCCATCACCATCTAAATGGGTTCACAGGTACGATAGGTGATTTACAGTAAAATTCACCCTCAAAAATTATAAAATACTACATCTAACGCTGCTGTTGTGCTTGTTGATGTTAAGTGTTGATTGCATTTTGCAGGAAATAGCTACAGCCAAACTAACGGAGACTCCCACACCCTCTCCAGTGGCTTGAAGCACTAAAAAAACTCTGTAAGTGGGCGTCCTTCTCCTGATGATCACAGATTCTTTGGCACTGTTTTACCTAATAGACAGCAGGAGCTCTTATCATGGATGCAATTTTCTCTGTTCTAACTCTGTCTCTGCAAAAAGATAACACGTGTGCCTCTTTTTTCTCTCTCTTCAGCCCCATCACCACCATCGTAACAACAGCAAAGGAATGACATCTACCTTTCGAAGTGGTGCTTCTAAAATGGGAATAAAAATATTTTAACTGCAACTAAAATATTTTAAATGTTCTGATATTGCTTTTCTTTTTAAAGGCATTGGTTTTTATTTTATTTTTTTGCTGTTATTCTCCTAGAAACGGTTTAAAAACTGTCACATTGAACATTTATGATGAAAAATATTAATATATACTTGTACGAACACAAACAAAAGCCTGGAGCTTAAACATCTCAGCTGCTGCTCTGTGGAACTCAGGACTTGAAACGTAACATACTTCACCGGTATTCACCAACCACTTCAAATCCGACTGAAACTAAAGGGAAAAGGGTTGCCTAAGAGGAATAACCGACTTCAAGTTAAAGATGTCACCGTAACTATGGAGTCAAATGCTTCTTGTTTTTCTTAGATCCCCCTGGGACCGGACAGACTAACAGAGGGTGTTATTTATGAATGAAACAGAGGAGGGGCAGTGATGGGAACATGGCTTTTCTGACTGATACCTCCACGTTAAACCCTGGACAGACTTGAGAACATTTCCCTGCTTTTTAACATTTTTAAGTTTCCACTTTTCTTTGGAGCCTAAGATTCACTCTGTAATTTTTAAACTTTTTCATGTATGCAGAGGTGTTTCTCTGGATCATGCCTCTCTCTTTCTTCTCTCATTTTTTTTTTCTTATTTTAAACATTTAAAGAGAAAAATGCGTCAAAAAATTTGTTATAGCTGTGGACCATTTTGTGTTTGCTTTTTAATGAAAAATACAGTTTGTGTCTTCTAGCGTCATCAAAAATACTGTGAATTTAATTTTGAACTGTACTATCAGTTACTTTTATATGTCGAAATCCTGTATCAGGGTTCTCAGTAGTTTTGTTTTGCTTTGATTTTAGAAAATCTCACGTTCGTTTCGACCATATTCTCTGGACAAATGTCTACAATGAGTATGGTTTGCTTTTTGATTGTTTTTTTTTCCCCCATCTTACCAGGAGTTGAAAAACTGCTGTTATATCTTTAGTTTAGCATGTCAGAATTTATACATTGTATAAGGTAAAGGCCTTAAAATACATTTGTTATGTCAGAAATTGTGATTTGTTGGTCTTGGTCTTGACTTTGTAAGCTGTGGTGCAATGAATGAACAGTGTGAATTGAGATGACTCAAGAGTCAACAAAGTGATAAAGCTCATGTCTGCCTTTGTATTATATTGTCAGTGAGAGACTGATTGTACTTGAGCCTCTTGCTGAATCACAGTTTCTGATTTAGGTACATCATGTGAGGATGGAAGCTGATAGCACTCTTCTGTAATCAGGTTTTGTTAAATACACACTTTTCTAGCTGTTCTGATCAGCAATATGGTTCATCTGATTTGGCATCTCATTTGTACTGAAGCCCCAAACAGGCATCCATACATTTTATTCACGCTGTAGTGGTAGTCGGGTTGTCTTCTCCTGAACTGACTTAGAGGTGATGATGTTGAATTAGAAGTCTTACAGGGTGAGGAATGCACATATTAGCTAAGATGAATATCCATGTGGAAATGCAGCTAAAAATAGTCTCCAGAAGGAATATGCCTCACTTATTCACTTAAATAGTGTTTCTATTATCACTACTACATGTGGTTTCTGTTGCTTTTTAGCGATTCAGAACTTAGTATCTGTGATGCCATTCAAAGATGGTTATAGCCCAGTCACTCCTCAATCTTCTCTTGCATCTATGCTGTCATTATTTCCTGACTCACTAAATCTGACTGACACTGACGCTTTGACCTCAGTGACCCGTTCAGAGTCCGGATGGTGACTAAACTTTCACCAAGGTGTTAATGGACAGAAGGGAAATGTAACAGGCTACTTTTGGTTTAATATCAAAGCGTGTGATCAGGTAACCCCTGGCATTGTTTTTGTCTTTAAAAATTAATCACAGTTTCTTCAGGGTTTTAATCAGCCAAGTACTTAGTAAAGCCAGGTAATTAAAGCTCCTGTAAGGAGTTTTTAATGGGTTGTGAAACAGGCTGATAATGAGCAGTGATGCTTCTCTATGATCAACAAGAACAAAGAGACCTTTGAGGACCATATTAACAATGTCTCTACTTTAATGTTTAATGCTGCTGTGAGGGTGCAGGTAAAAACTGCTTTAATTCTAGTGCAAATTTTTTATGGTGAACGATAAACTTAACCTTAAATAGAGAATGGGAAATCTTTCTGCCACAAACACCACTTTAAAAGATAACACGAAATAAGCAACGATTAGAGTTAACACTTAAACCACAGGGGGGCGCCAAGGTCAACAAAGAAAGTTCTTTTCAGGGGCTTTAACAAGAAAGGGGTAACTACTAAAGATAACAGATTTTCCATGATTTTGAGTTAAAGTCTGGAGCCTCCTTGATCATAACTTATCTCATCATGATTGACGTACGTTTTCTTGTGGTGAGAGTACACACCATGCTGTCACTGCCTCCAGTAATAAGCTAATTTGGTCCATTTCTACTTTTGGGGATATGACTCCTGATCACAGACAATATGTTGAGATTTGAATAAAAGCACAGATTCATGCCCACTGACATATGATTACAACACTGTTCAGAGAAAACCAAAGGCCTAAACATTAAGACAGGATCTTGTTTTCTAATCAGCATGTATTTTTATTCAAATTCTTCAGCATCGAAGTATCCAGTCCAAATTTTCCCAGATTAGGATTAATCTCTCTTTAAATCTCAGAACTACATCTATTAGCGAAAAATTAGGCTGCTGTTTGTTTGGTTTGATCTGTCGGGGGGGGAAACAGTCTTCATATTCCAGTCAGCGTTTGCACAGTATTCAAAAGGAAATTGAACCCGCTTGTTTCCTGTACTCCCTCCTTCACAACTTCATATAACATCATGTTTTTATCTGATCTGGTGTGATGACAGCGTGAGGAGGTTTCACTGCTGCACATCACTTCCACTCTTGTAAACGGTTATGAACAAAAACGGTGAACAGGTGAGTCTACAGCCGTTATGATTGACATGCTACATGAACACAACAAAGAAAAAACTGTATGTACATCATATACTTACTACTATACATGCAAAATGTAAAATGGGGTGCCTTTTAACAAAATTTTAGAAATAAATACAAAAGAGATGATCACAAAGTAGGATCTTCAATACATATGGTGACGGACTGAAACTGCGGCCACTTAAAGGGTCATTCCACTCAAAATTATGTTTTTTTTTCTGTCCTGCATGAATTTCTTTGTCTTTAGAGGTAACATGGAAACGTACTTTAAATGAAAAAGTATATGAGCTTAAATTTCATGTTTCTTTGAGTAAACCAGAGTGTTTGCATATACAGACACAGTCACTTGATGACTAACAATCAGACCAGCTGATTTAGGAGCTTGAGGCTTTTTCGTAGCAACAGGATACTACTACTGTTGGTGTTGGCAGTTTCCAAAGGACGTGTGAGGAGACGGTAAACCTCCTCATACGCCCAGCAGAGGGCAATCTTGTCAAAGCCACGTTTTGCAAAGCGTTCCCCTTTGACTCCAGTCCCTTTTCCTTGGGTTTTCTTCCAGTTTTGTAATATTTTTCGTCCCTCCAAAAGTCCATGCCCGTTTAATAAAACCGTCATGTCCATATCCTCCAAGAACTGAGGTGCAGAAAATCCATTTCAGTCTGAAAAACTCCCACCTCTGTCCATTTCTCGCCCTCCAGCCCTGAATATACAACAGGAGGTCTTCATGGCTCCTGTCGCACACAAATACACACACTAACACACACAGGAGGACTCTGGAACGAGATGAAGGTGTCATTTCAGGTGGACAGTCATCATTTCTTGTTGGCTATTCTTCTTTTTCTGGTGGCCAGCATGTCGTAAAAAGGATCCCTGCTGATGCTTGCTCTGTGGAAACAGGACACAAATGACAGGATCAGAGATTTTTCCACTTTTCTGAACAAAAAAAGTTTCCATTAAAGGTCGAAGTAGAGAAACAGCACAAACATCTTCATTTCTGGTTTGTTTTGGCACGAGTTTCATGTATTTCTTGTCCTCTTAACTTGACCTTAATCTGTCTTGTCTCCATCAGTCATCTCACCAAAAATGCATCATGCCGTGTGCCTTCAGTGTGTTCTGGGAGATCCAGACTGAATCCCGTTTGCTTTGATTTAGTTTTTTACACCAAAACCTGACATTTACAGTCATTTGTTACACCTCTGCAGACGTCTGGTTGTCAGTCAGACTTCACTCACTGAGCTGTGAAGATCTTCACTAAACAATTCATTATTTAGATTTGCAACAGAGGGAGAAAAACTACAAAACGCATCACGTCGCGGATCAAAACTCTTGAACTACTCAATAAAAGCTGTCTGCAGAAAGAGATAGCTGTCAAAATGAATAAAGAAGAAATTACTAATGCACCATAAATGTGTGGGTTTACTCCTGAACTCTTTACTTTCTTTTCAACAATAAAACACCATTCAAGCAGCAGGATATAAGAGAGAGTGATGTGATTGTGAATATCAGCACTGCTGCAGTTCAGTTTTAAAGGCTAAACAGAACAACATGATATTGCTTATGTTCAACAGTCTTACAAAAAGATCACAAACTTTAACTCACAAATGAAGAAGCAACAAATCCTTTCTTTGTTTATTTAATTATTCATTTTCCTCCACAAACAGATCTAGTCTCAGAGCTTGATTCAAACTCGATTATTACCAAGTAACCCATTTTTTTACAGCTTCTACAGGCCAACTAATTCATTATCAACCAGTGGAATAAGGGTCCTACATGTATTTAGCAGTCTTTGTGACTCTGGTGTGTCAGCTTTAGGTTGTACCTCTGTATCCACACTTTTGTGGGGGCCTCTTATCCAATCAGACCACCTGATCAGAATTAAGCATTTTAATTTCATACTTCACTTTGAATACAGCTGACTGCTGCTCAGACCAGCAAGAAATTCATCTGGTATCAACTTAACACATTATTTATGTATTTAGCAGCTGCTGTACTACTGTTTTGATGCACCTTCTCCATTGCTTCCTTTTTATGGCTTTGATTGCCTCTAGAGCAGTGGTTCAATCAGTCCCACACCTGATTCAAATGATCAGCTCGTTATTAAGACATTACAGAGTTTGATAACGAGCTGATCATTTGAATCAGGTGTGTTGGAGCAGGGAAACATCCAAAACATGCAGGACAGTGGGCCTCGAGGACTGGACTAGAGAACCACTGATCTGGAGGACATATAAAGTTTTTTCATTGAACTGAAAAGAACTGAAGAGTAGATTTCATAAAGTGAACATTATATCATCAACCATTGAGGTAAAATGCTGAAACAACTGCAGCAAAAAAAGGCACAATATTAGCGCCCATTAGAATCTCATTTCAAGATATCTGATCAACAAAAGTTGAGTTTTCACTCTTCTTTTAGATTTTGTTTTTTGGTCTCCAAAAACTCAAAAAAAAAATCATGTCTGTTTTATCATTCTGCAAACTCTGCTATAGAAAGACAAAGCCAGTGCAGGAGTTCAAAAACTATAGTTCTTCAAGTGTCTGCTTCAGGCTCGCTGAAAAGCCAAGAAATCCTCTTTAGGTTTTAAGTTAAGATGCCCATTTTTACAGCAAAATGAAACATGTTTACAGTCAAATACAATGAGTGTTGGCTCATTTATTCATATACTCAGCACAGGATCAGCATTTTTATATGATATACCTTAGGATGATATAAAGAGTAAGGGTTAAACATAAAACTGCAGAATAAGTGACCGACTCAAGTTCACCTCTTCCTTTTGAATTTCCCTTCGGGGACTCATGAAGTTCTTTTTATCTTATCTATGTGCTTACAGATTAATGTTTTGTTGAGTCAGCATTTCCAACATGTTGTATGCCATTATTTGGCTTCAAAATGTCTCTTCAGAAACTAAAAGGTGAAGCATGAAAACTACATTTATGCCTCATACTGCCTTTGCTTTTAAGCCGCTAAATGTTTCTCTGTGTTCAATGGTCAGATACTAACTCTAAGTGTTTTTTTTTGCAATGATCAGCTTCCTCTTGAGGTCTAGAGTTACCCTGTTTGGGTCGTAAGTGTGAACCACTGAATATTTTGAAAGCATCAGACAGAAGCAGAGAAACCGTAACTTTACTGTGTTTAAAGGCTGAAGAGTTGAGTGTCTAATAATCATTATTACAAGTGAGGCCTCGCACAATACGCAGTGACTGATACTCTGGTATGAAGCTGCTTTAAGGCGTGTTGCAGTAGCTTCACAGCCCTTTAATCTCTCCCTGCAGGGAAATCAAAACTTCACACCTTGAAGTGTCCTCAAACAAACACACACACCACTGATGGGAATATCTCTGAGTAACCTGCTGCTTTCCCGGCAGAGGAACAGTGTACACGCTGAGAGCACTACTGTTACGCATCTGTGTGTACAAGTGTGTGTACAGGAGTCACAAAAAGAGCAGTTTCTAGCTCCACAGATGAGTCAGGTGGAACAGTGTGGGTTCTGTGTGTGTGTGTGTGTGTGTGAGTGTAAACCTGCTGACCACGGGACAGTCTGCCGCCTTTGGCAGCTGAGTCAAGTAAGAGTGTGATCAGCTCTGTCCTGCTGAGTCCAATCTGTGGCCTTTTTTTTTAAACCTACAGTGACAGGAAGAGATGAGCAACTGGACTAAAACACTCCTGAATCACACTTTCATTTTTGCTCTAAAAACACTGCGAGAGCTGCAGCAGACGTGTGAACGTGCTACACAGAAAGCCTGTCATCTCATGGCCAATTAGCCGGAGAAAATGACCCCCTCTTGACCTCTCCAGTCACTTTAACTGTACACCAAGATTTCCCGTAACTTACCCTTCCAAACATCTCTAGGTTTAATGGATGCACACATGTATGTCAATGCTAAGTGGTTTAGTAATACCATTAGAGCAGTGAAAGCATTGTGTAATATGATTTTAGCTGTGATATTGATCATATTTGGAGGCGAAGCTGTAGCTGAGATGATGATAACCAGCCGACTAATCAATCACTCAGCAGGTCCAATTTACTGCTCAACCTTCACTCTGCTGCCTGGTTAACAAAGCAACATTTGGTAAAGACAAATCAGAAGTAAATGCTGCCAGAGTGTGTGTGTGTGAGAAAGTGTGTTTATACATGCAAGTGAGTGTTTTTCTTTGCAAATTCGAAGGAAGTGAGTTTTCCCGCCGAGTAGAAATCACCTCTGAGTGTTATCTGAGTGGAAGTGTGAGAAACAGACTCACATTTAGACATCCGGCTGTGTGTTTGTCTTTAACCTTGCAGTTCAGTGTGTCAGAATGAACATGAGTGTGTGTGTGTGTGTGTGTGTGTGTGTGTGTGTGTGTGTGTGTGTGTGTGTGTGTGTGTGTGTGTGTGTGTGTGTGTGTGTGTGTGTCAGGGTTTCTAAGTGAAGGTCAAACATGAGAAAGCCCCACATGGGAGCAGCCTGGTGATGGCTAAGTGCCTCCTCAGTGTAAGTGGATCGCTCTAGCATGCTAACACACGTGTGCGCGCTCTCTTACTTGATAGATTTGATCCACTCCTCCTTCTCCTCTGGCGTTGGGGCTGATATCCTGTATACAACGTGGTTGCCCTCGACGACCCGGCCATCCGCCTCTGTCTTACAGGCCTTGATTACCTGGCCTTTGTGGTTGGGGTTGTAGAGTTCAAAGCAATTCTGGGAACACATTGGACCAAAAATGGGTAAAAATAGAAGATGTAGGTCTGTTTATACTCAGATTCAGTTCTCTGTGTGATTCAGATGGATAAGAAGAGTCTAAAGTTGCTTCTTACAGGTTTCCTGGGCTCGTCAACCTCTCTGATACTGAGGTTTTCCAGAGGAATAATCCCACGAGGCTCTTTATCCTTGAAACACACACATATAAAAATGACTATTAGCATCAACATCAGGACAAAAAGAAGATTTTTCTGAATGTTTCTTTGTTGTAACTCGAGAGTTTTGAAGAGGTTATGAAACAGACTGAAACTGATACTGTTACATGTCTCCACTTACATAAGCAGACAAGACCAACAGCAGGAACATCATACTCACAGTTTACCAGTGAACTATACTGAATGAAATACTAAAAGAAAGCAGGATAAAAAAGTATGATAATCACACATAATTGGATTAAAAATATATGTTGTTGGTAACAAGCATCAAAGTTGACCCCAATAAAAAGTTCCTTGCAGGAGCTCAGAATGAACTGATGCATGTTTGACCAAACTTACTCACTGTTAAAATGATCATCTAAAGAGATGATGAACAGCCTTTTGAAACACCAAGTCTCTAGCTGTTTTATAATCTTTTCCAAAATTAAAAATGCAATTTTCAGTTAAAAAATGTACAGATGTAAAAAAAAATTTAAAGACAGGAAAAAAAACGACACAATTCTTTAAGTAAAAAATGAAACAACAACAAAACAAAAAAGATTTCTGTGAGAACTTTCAATTTAAATAACTGAGCATCAGATCGAGATCAGATCGATAAATAACTCTTCTGACTGGTAAAAGACAGTAAGGTGAGTTTAAAAAAAAAACTACTCAAGTACACGAAGGGGAAGCTCAGCTTAGAGTTTTCTTTCAGTTCATCAATAATTATCTTCATAACCCTCAAGTTGTCTGACAAAAGTACCATGCAATTAGAGTAACCTGTATCTTACAGCACAGTGTGATTTTAATTTTGGAATTTGGCATTTTAGCATTTAGCTCTGTTGTGTCAAAGTTCTGCCTCATATTATGCGAGCACAATCAAACATTCATCTTGTTTTTTAGAAAATCAAAATATGAGTCAATGCAGATACAAAGGAAGCAGAATAACATTTTAATTTGCTGTAAAGACTGATTTTATGGCAAACTATGCATGTTTGATTTGTGTAAAATGACATTCCCCTTTTCAGCTTCATAACTATCTAAGCTGATTTAAATTGTTATTTTTTGCCATTTTTTAATCAGAAAGTAATTTAAAATGTCGGGATAGTTGTTTTAAAAGCTAAATGAAGCACCACTGAAGCAAATCTGAGCTTTTAAAAGCGTTATCTATGAGCTTTAGCTGAAGCCTAACACCGTCACAACAAAAATCTGAGGGTGATAAAAGCCCACTAGAGACTTTTTATTCATCCTGGTCACGTAGAGGACAGCACCCGAGGGAGACGTAACCCTGCCCTCTCCATCCTCCACCCTCCAGCGACTGCTGTGAGTCTGCGGGGCCAGATGTGAAGGGTGGGTGTGTGTATATGTTTGGGGGGGGGGTCCTTGAGGAACAGCCCCCTGTCCTGCTTGTCATCTTCTTACTAATGAGGGGGCACAGCGGGGGGAGGAAATGCCCTGGGACAGCTGCTCACAGCTGGCTGTTTGCGGGTCTTTTATGAGTGTGTGTGTGTGTGTGTGCGTGTGTGTGTGTGCTGAGGGATTGGTGAATGCATGTGAGTAGGGATTTTTTGGAGGGGGGTTCTGGGGTGAAGTCTGGGGTGACAGGCAGTGGGGTTGGGGGTGCGCCTGGCTTGTGGCTTAGCAGAGCCAGATGTGTGTTGTAGATTTTGCAGATGTTTCCCATGATGCCTTATGGTAATTGCTTGAGTGAGGTTCATTTAGGTCAGAGGGGAGGCATCTGTTAAAGAGGTAGAGCTGCAGGGCAACGACCCCAGACTCTGTCTTTAAATTTACGTGTGCATTTGTGTGCATGTGTGCATGCATGCGTGTGTAATAGCATGTAAAAGGGGCGTAGATCACATATATTCTTTTAAGTTTCCATGCCTCCACCTCACTGTTAAACCTGTGGTACTCTAGCCACTTACATCTTTTATTTATACCCTTTTCAACTACTTAACTAAACTTTAAAACAAATAGGACACATATTTTGAAAATTAATTACTTGATATTCTAACAGAAGTACTGATATTTTAAAAACATGCTTAACAATCTTAAGCCAAAACTTATGAGATGCTATTTCTCATCAGACTTGCTGCTTGGTCAAAGTGATTATTATTATCTTTATTTTTATTGTTGGCCCTAAATTACAGTCATATAATGTGTCTAAGCTCTAATGATGCCAAGCTTGGCCAAGCTGTGGCTCTGGTTCTGCTGCCATAATGCTGTGCTACCTGGATGTTAACAAGCATAGTTGCTAGATAGCATCTTATTTTAAACCTAATAATGAAAATAAAGTTTGACACCTTATAAAATAAATATTCATTTGGAACATATTCACTTTAATCACTTAATAATTAATTGCTGGGCGCTAATAATTACATGCAGCTCCTTGATTCTGATGATGGCTAACTGAGATACGCATATTTTGGGATCATTCCCACCTCCACTATTTGCTGCATGTCTACCCCACTCTCTACTCCCCACATTACCCATCTCTTTTCAGCTGTGCTACCCATATATATATATACATATATACAGTATATATACTGTATATACCCAAATATACCCATATTTAGCGTCAAAATAGCATTTGAAGCCAGATGATGCAAATGTCTCAGACACCAAAAAGCACACACTGGTGGGATAACTTACTGTCGTGTATTCAAAGTAATAGAGGCAGTTGTCGGTCAGAATGAACCACCGTCTCTTCCACGTCTTCACCCTGCCCCCTGCAAAAGAGAGGAAACACACAACATTTGAGTTCAAATTGGGGAGGGGGAACATGTAGAGGCTAACCTACTGTAGACCTCACTCCACGTGCCACATCTGGTTCTGATCATCAGCGCTTTGCATTATTAGGCTCAAATCTCCCTCCAGCACCCCCTCCCACCCTCAGGAGATCGGGGGCCTGGGGGCTCTGCAAGCAAGGCGAGGGAAGAGGGGTGGACTGTTCCCAAAAATGTACAAACCCTTTGAAACTAAAGCAGGAGTGGAAACAGATAAGCATCTCGATTCAGAAATAACATAATATTATCTCAGACTCAATCTCTCCGTCTGCCACCATCATCAGATGAAGGTAGATTATTGGGATTATTGGATTTTCTGTCAGTGATGCAATGACAGATTTACCTTCATTATCAAACAAAAACATATTATGGCTGATGTCAGTGTTTTGTCTGCAGCATGTGCACTATAAGAACAAGTTTGCTGACTCCACAGATTGAGCCCCACGCAGCCGTTACTGATGTAATCAATATGTAATGTTCACTTGACCCAGATTTTGTTCTATACTGAATACTAGAGTAAAACGCGACAACTACATTATATATGAGCGGTGTTTACTTCCAGATGTATACACTTTAGGTTACTCAAGTAAAACGCTTTATGCATGGCAGAATACAGTCCTCAGTTTTCAGGTAGATTCAAGATATAAGGTTTATTCAGGTCTCTAATTTCATCTTTAAAACCTGACTTCTGCTGCTGCAGGACCTACTGCTCTTATGTTTAAAAACGCGTATTTTCTAGTCACTCAGTATTATTGAATAAAGGATAAAAATGCTTCCCATGGGTGTAATTTAGTCAAAAGGTTATTTGTTGGATGAATTTGGGGTCCTTAAATGCAGAGCAGCTGATATACTGCAAACTGACCGTTCATTTTTCTAAGAAGAGTATTGATCTGATGGTACGATAGTAAGTATACGCTAGACACTTAACAGAATTAGATGCTTGACAAGTCCAGTTAAAGTCCTCTGACTTTGGACATCCCTGCATCCACTTTGTGTGCATGTTTCGCAGAGAAAAAGCCTCCATCCTTGTGTATTTTACTTTACCCTACAAAATAAAACTGTACCAACATAGATACAATCTCTGTTCGTCACTTTTTTAGACAGCAAGCCTATTAATAATTTATCTCATCATCCTAAATAATATGGCATGGCATGCTGTTCAAACTGGATGATGAGGGATTCAGGCATAGCAGCAGGCTCACCCCTGGCTAATAGTATGGTTTAATGAGAGCTTATGGAGCTTTATAAGCAGTGCTGCAATATGTCATAGTGAACAATCTGAAAAGCCAGCCGAGTGCTTCATTCAAACTAAAAGGAAATCTTCTCTCATTAAGCGCTGACTCTGCTGATGGAGCTGAAATTAGTGTGGAATTCACTAATGAGATAAATGATCTGGGAAATGCAGCTGGTGGGATCGAAAGCAATAGAAAAAAAAGAGTAAGCTGTTTCTGTGAGGGGAGAGGAGCAGGCAGCAGTGTTTGATACTAAGACCTGTAGCAGAGGAATGCAGGACAAAAGTTCAAATGGGCAAGGGTCTCCTTAGTTTAACCAAATGTCCAGTGACACAGGGGTTAAGTATGCATCCCTGCAGTGTGCATTCATGCAGCCCATTCACTAAAGCATCGGACAGTGATCTGAATAAGATATTTTAACAGAAGCTGTATGAGGAGCAGGGCGTGCTCAGCGTAGGAGAGATGACCTCTTCGACTCCCTCCTTGGTGCTACAATGAATGCTAGCTCGCTTGCTTTCAAGTTCATTTGTGTCTGTTTTTAACAACCTTGACATGCGTACACATTATCTTGTGGAAATATGCTTTTAAACATCTTGCTCAGGGTTTGCTGAGAAGATTGATACCTTACACTATTATGTCTGTATGCCAAAAATTATGCTAACATTTTAGCTGGTGGTTTTGTTAGCTTAGCATAGCACAAAGACCAAATATCATGGAGATAAGTAAGCTGAGCAGGTTTTTTCAGGCAGGTTTTGTAGCCTTAAATCTAGTTAGACATTTTTTCCACTGTTCCAGTAACCTTGCTAAGCTAGGTAAAATAGCAGCTTGACATTCTGATATAAGTAAGATTGATCGCGATCTATTGTCTGGCTTCTTCTTTGGGCATTAACATATAAAAAATGTCATTATACCTTTAAGGATTTACATATCAAATGAGTTTCTAGAATAAATATATAGTAAATAGAGGATAACATTGAGTCTGATCTGTGTTTTCACTTCCAAATTATGCTTCTTAAAAACTTAAATTTAACCTTATCCTAGTTACTTTGGTTCCCACGTGGTGTTTTTTTTATTTCCAGCAGTAGAAATATTAGTTGTTGCATGTGGTATCATGATCTGATTAGGACAAAAGTTACTCATTCGAAAATTAGTGGCCTGTCACCAACTGAGACAAGCCCTGGGCGTCATCCAGCTACTTCAAAGAAACAAAAGGAAACTAGCCAATCCCTATACGAAATATAAGAGACCACCAACCTCCAACCTGCCTGTCTTTACAAAAAGATAACCCACCACTTTACAGTGACGTTCCTGTTTTTCTCAACAAGCTTATTAAATGAGGTGGCTAGCATGTTCAGGGGCCCAGTGTGCTCAGGAGGAAATGGCAGCCAATGCCAGTATGAGGGACTCTGTTATGAGCTGATCAGGAGGATAGGAAGGAGTGTTACCTACCTCCTAACACAGAGATTTAAGGAGGAACAGCCATCACAGAACAAGATGAAAGTTGAAAGGGTGAAAGTTAGAGAGGCAGTGACGACAAAAAAACACAGAACGATTTCCATAAACAGACACAAAGAGCACAAAATTCCCCATGCCAGAGGGATATAGGTGAAAGTGTCATCACAAAAGCAGCATGCTTTGAGTAAAATCAGAAAGAAGAAGAGACAGACAAAACAAGAGAAGATGAAACAACACGAAGAGATAGGAGATACAGATGTTATAGCATTTATAGCACCATGAAAATGGACAGCTTTGGGGCAAAAAGACTGTTGTGTAAATAGAGTAAATCAATGGCCTAAGAGCTAAGTGAGTTTGCTGACAACAGTTCAAGGAAAAAGCAGGTTAATTCACCCTTGTAACATAGCTATCTGTGTAAGTGCTCAAGTATGATGTTAACATCGACTCCTGGCGCAGAAAACTGATAACTTCAAACAAGCTCAAAGTCGACAGCTACACTATCAGCTTTTTGAGGTTTTACTGGGGACGGTGATGCATCGAGCTAAAAGCGAACACTGATATGCTTACTATGTGCTTAAGTGTTGACTCAGTTTTGTTCCAGGACCTACCACGAATATCTTATGAAGCAATTTATATACAAAGGTTCAAAAGTGAAATTTCCCAATTATCATTTTTGCCCAAGAGCTGTCCTGTCCTTACACAGTCATCTTATAGCCAACATATACACATTAAAACAACACATAATACCATGGAGAGAAAGGACATAACTCAAACTGATGTTAAGGCGCTGCTGAACAAATATAGAGATGTATGAGTCTGTCATTGTGAATGCACATACCAAGCTTTAGGAGCCAGCCTTCTCTGTCAGGGTTGAAGAATGTGTGCGTCAAATCATTCCCATCATCCTCTGGGATTTTGAATGGCTCGTTTTTGATGCTGTCATAAAGATTCTGTGGACGAGAGGAGAGGGCTGTTCATCAAAAATGAAGCCGTGAAGGAAATGCATTGGTTTTTCATGAAGTGGGTGTTGCAGCGGTCACAGAGATCTATCACCACACACACACACACTCACTCATTAAAGGGATATTCTCACCCTGAGAAGCTCCTCTGGCAGATCTCCTCCTTCATTGATGCCTCTGTTCATGGAGATGAAGCGCTCCACAGGGGGTTTGTCTCTGACGTTGGGGTTGTGTAGGCTGGTGTTCAGCATGATGATAGCGAATGACAGCACGTAGCAGGTATCTGACGGCAACAGCAAGGTGATCAAATCAGTTACAAGCCTGTAGGTTCTGAGCCAGAGCAACCCCTATCTGAATGTCAAAGTTATTTTCAAACAAATCTTCAGCGCCTTTATTTTAGAGGACGCATTTCAGTTGATGCAGAGCATCCACAGGAGTGAGATATTCTCTTAACACTGCAACACAGAGGGTGACAATGACACAACTTGATGCTTGTTGTCACCTGCCATTATGTGACTCATACTTTGGTCATGAAAGTCATAAGAGGCTTGACAATTGGTCTTGAAGCTGGATCAGAACTGGTCTAAATGATATGAGATATGCAAAAAAATAGACAAGTTTGATATAAAATGACATAAAATTCACCATCTTGACAAAAAATGTGATCTTTTTTTTTAAATCAGTGACAGTACACTATTAGACAATGACATGGCTTATCTTATTTTACAAAAATTTCCATCTCTAAACCTGTCTGCTATCTTCTGGCAGTAACATAGCTTTTACTGACACTGACCAACTTTTTGGGGCCAGTAGTGAGCGATCAAGGACCCCAGACCAAGACTTAAGTACAATTTGCAGCTATATAAGTGAGGCTGGAGTTGGTGTTTAGAAATGTGTAGGATGGTGGAGAATTAGCTCCACTAGCAAAAAGATGTGGTAAAAAAAAATTCAATACATGCCTAATGGATGTTACAAAAGCATTTGTGAGGCTACGGCAACAGAATCTTTTTTCATTCATAATGCCAACACTCGCTGAAATGCTAGTGGATGATCCTACATGCACTAAAACAAAAAAACCAGAGCACTTAAAACACCAAAAATTCAGTGCCATACCTACAGATTTTACACTTTTACCCAGTCTACAATTGGAGATTAACAAAACTCAAATGTACAAAAAGGCATATCAGAACATTCCACCCAGCATCAGATGCATATTTCATAATTTTATTTATCATTTTAGACTTTTTTTTAAAAGACCAGTACTGGGATCAAGCTTGAATTTCACACATGTAGCCAAACATTTTAAGGCTTTCAGATATAAAGCAGGATATCATCGGCATAAGGTGACATTCAGTGTTCATTAAGACCTTTTGTTGTTAGTTTCTTCTTTCATATAAATGCAGTTTTTTGCATCTAGAGGTTTTCATAATTGGTATTAGTGGAAAAAAAGGTAGAAAAAGAAAGGAACAGAAATATACAGAGATTAGAATCTCTCTATTTCTGTTTTTTACAGACGAGTCCGTCACTTTAAACTCAGTCACGTCAAGCTGGTAGGAGGCAGTGCTTTTTCTCTGTACTTCGTGTTAATGTTCAGACACACACGGGCCAGTGGCTGCGTGTAAATGAATCATTCATTCCCCTCTGTCTGTCTCCTCTCACTGACACACTTTGGTTCTGGCTGCCCTGCGCTGCTTATTGTCTGCCTGCTTACACACATTCTCTGTGAAAGGAGCTTTACACACTGTGAGTACAGTGGAGCTGGATACCGCTGGAAAATGTCAGTGTAAAGCCTGCTTGCACGTAGCCTTGTAATCAATTTCTTTTTTTCTAATATCTTGCACTTGTACTACCTAGTATAATTTCTTATTTATCCTAACTTCATTCATACTTATATTTCCCTATATGTTATATTTTAACAGTTGCATTGTCAGGAGTAAGTGTATTGTAATGACCTAATTCCTCCCTGGATAAAAGAAAGTATTCTAATTGTGATTCTGATAATAAAAAGAAAGTTGATGAGAATGATAGATACGGTTTTGAGACCATGGGGTGGCTTATGTTACTGGTAATTAAAGATGATTGATAAATTCATGTTTTAATGAGGCTTAACCATGATAAATAATGCTACACACTTTGTTCTAATAAGCATGTGGTCTAAGAGTTGAGGCTTTCATCATGCATACTGCACACATAGCCTGTAAGATGTTCAAAACCAACCTTATTTAATGCAGCACAACCATGCATTATTACCTATAGTCTACTATTTTTCATGCATTTTAATTGAAATCCTTCAACTAAATTGCACAACTTGTACTATTTCCTCACTGGGACCAACAGCTTCCTCAGCAATCTTGTACACAGTAAGTTACCTGATAAGGTCTTTAATTATTTACTGTTGACTGTTGTAGCTGCAGGCTTTGTTTAACACAGCGCTGTGTATCAGTCAGCCAGGTAGAATCCTCCTGAATAATGTATGCCTCTTGTTTGTTCCTGCTTATTTACTCTAAACACATCTGCTACTGCTGTGATCTGTAGTCACTGTTATCCTGTTAATCCTTGTTGAGCTTTAGTTACAGTAACTCTTACGGCTTAATGATTAAAATGCATTAAATAAAATATAGGCCATCACTAAATGCATTACAAAACCCTCAGGCTGTACTTCTGCGGGCACATTGGTCAATAATGCTTACATTGACTTGGTCCAACAGATTGGATTTCACACTTTGTTCACACATATACCTCCCAGTAGGAGTACCAGGGGGGCTTAAAAACACATGATACTTTACAGTTTCCATGGGTAATGCAAAATATTAGCTCAATTTAAAATACAGGTTTTTTTTTTTTGGCTTCATTAGATTTTGAATCCGGGAAATATGGGAGGTCGAGCAGGTAAAGATCTACAGTAAAAGGTCAAAAACAGCATTAAACCAGTGAAGTAGATGGTCAATATGGAGTTTAGCAGTTTCATTAACGGTAATGGATGGCCTAATCATCAACCATCAGACTTAACAACTCTTCTGTAAATAGTTGATGACTTTTGACACATGACAACTGATACTACAGACAATTGAATTTTCCTTCTGGGATAAATTAAGGTTATTCTTATTCTTATTTCTAAATTTGAGGATCACAAGGGATTGTAAGGGACAACAGTGGAGTAGGGTCTGGCTTCAGTGCAGAGGTGCTAATGAAAGAAGTGGGGCCTTAAACTTTTCTTAAACATTGAAAGGGTCTTCATGTGTTGAATGTAGTTTGGTAATTCATTCCACCTTTAAAGGGAAACAGAGGAGGAGAGCCCACCCAGAAACTTATTGATATGGGAGTACAAGGCACCTCTCAGAGGGATGGAGGGTGGACCTGGATGAAGGATTTCAGGTAAACAAGAGCTGATTTTATCACTGCTTTTCAGGTAAGCAATAGGGTTTGAGTATGAATTTGACTTTGGGTTGGTTTAAGATCAGACTCACTGCAGAGTTAAAGATCATCCCCAGACTGAATGTGAAAGCAGCAGAGGGCAGACAGTAGGGAGTTGCAGGAGTCAATGTTGGACATTACCAGAGCCACTACCAAGAGTTGTCTTGCACATTAAGCTTATTTTTATGCAATATACGCATGTTTTCTGCAAATCTATAGACCAAACACTGCAGTACCACCAGTGGAGCTAATATGACAGACAAGACCAACCAAACACAATTAAGAACAAAACTAGGAAAACTATAGAAAACGGGTTGTGCAGGTTGGTTAGAAACCAGAGGAAGGTGCAGAGGAACCAGAAAAAGAAGTGCAACATAAACAATATGCTCTCCAACATCGCCATGTTTGTTGTCATAAACTTTTTACTTAGGGTAGCGCCCTCTAGGGGTACGCTGTTTAATACGCATCCTGTCATGAAAGACGCAAGTATGTGGGTAGTGACAGTTATAGTGTTTAAAATTATGTACAGTTTATGTTTGTGATTATTTTCAAAGGTTAAGCAAGCATCACTGAGCCCCGAGCCTGTCTGAACCCACATCTGGTTTTTAAATGGATCAAGAAAGTTCTGGTCAAAGGGGAACTAAAAACTCTTCTGAGAGACTATCGAGTACACATCAGACAGAGACGATGAAAAAACTGTGATTTATGATTCAGTATCCTGTTCTGTTTCTGACCTGTTGATTGGAAGACTCCAGGGTTGCACTGGCAGTACCGAGAGGCAAACGCCTCCATCATACGATCAATCTTCTGAGCTTCACCTGGCAAACGGAAACTCCACAGAAACTGCCTGAAATTGGAAGCGCAGGGGAGGGGTTAATTTTTGATGTTGCCGGGAGTCATTTTGTACAGGAAATCTATTTAAATCCATCATTTTGCTGACCGTAGAGCTTGGACAAGGTTGAGATCTGCAAACTCGTGCAGCTCCACAAAAGCCTGCAGCACCTTGATGTTGAAGTCATCCCTAGTGATAAAAAAGACAGATGTGAAGATGAGATTTCTTCATTTTTTCTTCTTTTTAAGGATGTAAAGATCATCCAGGAGACATCCAAACACCTTAAAGAAGATTTAAGATCACTATGCACACAAAGTGAACTCAAAAGACAGGGTGGAGAAAACTAAATTTCCTCCATGAAAGTATTTCTCAACCTGAATTCCTGTTTCTCAGCATTCCTGTCATGTTTGTGCTCTTATTCATACCGGACGCGGAGTCTGGAAGCAATTTAAACAGCTGGCCGATGTTGAACGCCTCTCCACCCCGAGGGGAGGAAAACAGTGTGTTTGACTGATGAAAAACAGCTAAAAACTGAAACCAACACAGACTCCTTTTTTCTTTCAGAGGTTTGTTTGGCCATCAGAGGGGTTTTTGGGGAAAAGTCAACAGCTGCTCTCGGGCTGCGGTCACAGCCTCTCTGATCATGTTTGTTGTACTTCAGGGTCTGTGATCCAGATCCTGTATGAGCTTTGTGTTGTGTTTTGTTTAAATGAAACCAGGAATTTTCAGACTTTTGTTTGAGGCTGAGAGGAGAACAGAGTGTTGGCTTACAAAAAAAATAAACAACAAACTTGTATAGAAATAACAGACTTGGATTATTTGGATGATGACTGCGGGTAGGGTATTTCTTCTCTATTGACTGTGACTATATTAGATCCTATACTTGAGTCTGCAGCTGAATCAAATAAACCCCATCCACTGAGGACTGTATATGTAAAGCTACTGCTATAGGTACATTTATTAAAGGAAACTGGCCTGAAATGAAAAACGTATATAGGTGTCTCAGTGTGAAAAATGGGAATTAATTGTATGTGACAAACAATAATAGCATCATTAAGGAGTCAATCACCCGCTCAGCCTGCATCCATCTCCAACCATCTTTTCTCCTTCCAGCTATTTTCTCCCCACTGCCTCCATCTCCTTTCCATGTGTCCCTCTCCCTGTCCTTCCTCTTCCTCTCCTGCTCCGCTCAGCACGTAATGATAGGTTCCTGCTCCTTGCATAAGCTCAATTAGTGATAATTACTGAGCGTAAACCCTCAGCCTGTGTTTAAGTGTGATTTTCACCGGGTAGGTGGCCTCTTTGATGATGCTCCATGAATAAAGACTTCAGAAACCCGCTCTCCCTGCCCCCCTCGAGCCTCATTCACAGTGTGTGTGTGTGTGTGTGTGTTTCATTGTCTCAGTTTGTTAATCTCTCCACTGACGATTGCACCCCTACTCGGTTAAGATAACACAGACTGTAATTGATGTGATTTCCTGCATAGGCAGAGTTCAGGCACAGGAGCAGTTGTTCAACTAACAACCTTTACTGACTTTTGTTCGCATTCAAATTCAACACAAGAAATTCAGAAAAAAGCCAGGAAGACCGTGAAAATCATACTAGTTAATAATAAAGGCAGTTTTTTTAAGTTGTGTGTCCTTCCCTATCATATCCTATTGTATCCCATCCTATTGTTTTATACCGTACCACGTCAGATCATTGTTACGCATCACACCATTTGAACCACTTCAAATCATATCATAACACAAGTCATGTCATATTGTTTTCTATTTCATATTGTTATCATATCCTCTCATTTTTATATATTATGTTGTCTTATTTCATATCTTGTTTCATATTGGACCACCTTGTCACAGATACCATATCACATTGTACTGTATAGCATCATATCCCACTGTATCATTTCTGTAGTACCATGTTGTATTGTATCATATTGCATCATTTGTATTACACCATTTCCTACTGTATTGCATCTTACCATCTTATCGTTCAGTACTGCATCACATTGTACTGTATCATACCATATCCTATGGTATTGTGTTGTATAGTACTGTGTCATGTCATTTCATGTCGTAACGAATCATACTGTAGTCTGTAGTGAATTTTGCAAAATCTACTTCCAAATCCAACATAGAGATCCTAATTAAACACAGAGGTTTGATGAACATTTGTGCCTCATAGTTCTACAGCAGTAAAGCTCTGATGTTCAGCTCCCTTTTCTGCTTTTTGATTTAGTGTATTTTGTCCTTCTTAGCCTTTTAACTGACCTTCAGACAACATCATCTGTCTCACTAGCTGCAGTTCTCCTTTTTTCTTCATTATCTAGTGCCGTGGACTAAGTGATGAGAGGCTGGACTGCCCCTTTTTACTGCCAGTGATAAGTCAACATAGGTGGACAGTGACAGGACGCGCCCACGCTGGCTGAAAGAGTCTCTGGGTCAATCATGTAATAAATGCAGCTCATAATGCCTTACTCTAATCACAGAGGAAACATTAATCTGAAACAAGGAGGAGATCTTTGTCTCACCTCTCGCCCAAGTAGTCTCCAATGACGGTCTTGTTGAGGCCTTCGCCTTTATAGAGGAACTGTGCGATGTCTTCAGGGGTGTGCTGAAGGAGGTCGTTCTCCAGCAGGAACTGGATTCCCTGGAGATGAAGGGAGGAGGGGAAAAAAGGACGGCTGTTCATCTCAATTAAGGTGGGATGATTGAAAATGACAGGGTTTCATGGCTGAGAATGGATGGCTCTTTGAGGTAGCTCTGGTAAAATCATTTCTCTTAAGGCTGCAGATACACTGGAGGCTGTTGTGGTTTGTGATGACAACATGAAGACACACTGTACCTTCTTTGGATCCATATTGAATTTCTTCCTGCCCATAGCAATCTGTTTGTTTCTCTGAGACGTTTTGCTGCAACAAAAGGAAAAAAAAAGAGGTGGAAAATACGTGGTGGAAAACACTCCTCTGCTTAAAAAAAATGACACACTCATTTTTAAAACCATACCCAAAACTTTCCAATCAGCACACACAAGCTTGTGGACAAAACGTCTACAAAATTGAAATGAGTTTGTTAAACCTGCAGTGGATAAAGATGCAGGTGATGGGACTGAGCAAACACCACCTTAATGACAAACAGCTCACACACTCTTTTTGTATGGACAACATTCCTGTCTGATTTATTACACTCACATATGGTGTATACTATCTGTCACTGTTTGCTTTATGCAGCTGGTGGTTGGACAAATGACACCGTCTCTCCAGCCTGGTGTTTACAGTATATTATATAGAAAGGGGTTGTTAACATTTTAACCAAACATAACGTGTAAATAGTAAATATTTGAACTACACGGACTACTAGATGGACACGATAAGCTATGTGTGCTTCCTAATAAAGTCATTTCCTGTCCAGCTGTTGGTGTTAGCTTATATCAGCTCAACAAAAAACCCTTTGACATCTCTGAGCTCCGGACATGCAAATCCTAAAGACAACTAAGATTAAGGCAATGAGTCAAATAAGAGTCATAATTCTAGGTCTGGTTATTATGGCTGAAAGCAAAAACTTGTACTAGTCTTATTTAGGGCTGTGGAGGTCATTGTTCAAGTTTTCCAGAGACTGCAGGAGCCGGATGTATTCAGAAAATTAATCATCCACAGTTTTTTAGTTCGTGTTCAGTATTTCTCCATATTATATACAGTATAATTGACAGCCAGTGTGCAGAAAGCTCTAAACGCTTACTTCTGGCTGTCATGTAAATATAGTAAACTAAATGGAGTTATCTTTAAATTACATTATAAAGACTGTTGTTGTTATGCACACAAGAGGTAAACCCACACAAGCTGATGCAATCTAATACCACAGTCTGCCCAACATTAAAGGCACTATCAGGAGATTTTAAGGGTTTTATAAGGAATTTAACTCTTTTGTCTGTAGTATTATATACACCATGAGTACACACATTATTTGAAAAGAAAAATATCAAAAGGAAAGACCTCCCCTGATTGACAATTTTCTTCTCCCCACCAAGCTTTACCAAAAGAGATCTAAACAGAGTTACTTCTAGGTGAACCCAAACCCCAACACAGCTTTCTTTGTGTAAACAAATTCGAACTAACCAAATTAAAGCAAAATAAATAATTGAATTTGTTGCTAATAACCTTGTTTCGCTATGTATGTCATGGAGGGACATCAGTATAAGACTGGCGCTATTTAAAAATGAGTCTAAAACTCATGGTGCCTTTAAAGTAACTTTATATTGTCAAAAACATCAAATGGTAATACAATGACGAGAGACTACACTAGTAGGGGTTAATATTTTTTCCCGTTTACTCAAATTACTATAATTTCCATTAGTTGAATTTGATCATTTCCACTCACATGTCAACAAAAATTGTGATATGTAATGGTTTATAAGCTTTACCTTGAATCTTGGCCATTGGCACCTTACTACATATAATATTTGTAAAATAAGTATTGTATTTTAAAGCACTCTGAAATGGTTGATGCCATATTGGGGATCTGTCAGAAACTTTAGCATGTATGTATACAATGTGACATCTTAACTCAAGTGGCTTACCTTTCTCCAACACATGTCAGCTGCTCGATCTCCGTCATCACTTCAGCTATCTCGAACTTCAACCTCTGAGGGAAACAAGTCAGATATGTCACAATTAGTCCTTTTTCTTTTGATGATAAGAGGAAAGAATATAAGCCTTTAGAGATGAAGAGGAAGGAGATGCACTGTAAGCAGTGAAAAATTCACTGCTTTTAGTGAGCAGATTCAGTTTGCAAAGATATACTGCAGCTCTATTTGCATTACATACAGTATGCAAATAGAGCGATGCTGTTGCAACAGATATGCAAAAAAGGTTTATATACTGTCGCTCCTTTAATTGTAATGTATGTGTGTCAAAACACGCACCTCAATATCATCGAGCAGCTCTCTCTTCCTGCGTCGGATATTTGACAGCTCATCCCTCTCCTCCAGGGACAGGTCCTCGGGAACTGCAACACACGACGAGGAAACACAGTTTAACTCTCATCTGGGCATCGCTCACATCCCAGGATCCACTCAGCTCAGAACAGATGAGAGACAAAGGTAAAGTGACAGGGCTGCTGCTGCTGCTGCTGTACTGACTGTTTCACCTTGTTCAGCTGCAGTAACACATATCAAGCAGCTCCATGTTTGCCTTAATTAACTACAAAGAGGGGATTCGAGGGGTCTTAATTATTCCACTTGAAAGTGTTTTTAGCGCCTCACTCCCTCCTTCCCCGTTTGGCTCAGGGGAACATTCTATTAATAAAACCAATCCAGATTAAGATTTTTTTCATTAGAAGTGAATTTAACACGGCCCACGACCCTGATTCCCAGGCTGTGAGGGTGTAAGAGCTCCAGGCATGGATGAGCAGGAGCAGGGTACTTTCTGTTGGGAATTTTCTCCCTCGTTCTTCACTCTGACTTTACATCTCAATCTTGTTTTTCAATCTTTTACCCCACTCCTCTCTCTCCTTCTCTCTTTCTCTTTCCCACCCACGCACACATTGTTTATCAATTTTGCGCAGCAAAGAGGAGCCTGTGTGCCATCTTGCTTCATTAAACCAGCTTAGAGGCAGAAAACGCAAAGTCTCTCAACGGGAAAAATGGCACATCTACAATCACAGTCGCAGCTCTCTGCTCATGTGCTGCTAAAGAGAGATATAAAAGAAATCACTTGTTGTTGCCTCTCACAGGCAGGCAGGCAGGGATGCCAATTAAAGTAAAACAAGGTCACCAGGTTTAAGAGGAAGCATCCAACCTTTATTTTACTCAACAGCTTGAAAAAGAGTTGCATCCAAGGGAGCCGAGTACTGTTTAACATGGCACTCAAATTAAGAGACGAAAGGCCCTTCCGAACCTAGTTATCTACTCCTGAAGCAACATACTGAAGGTCAGGTAGCAGAAATAGCTGATGGATTTCCTATGGAGGGTGTGTTTTTAATAACAAGATAAGGAGGTATAAATGCACAGTGACTAAAAGTATGAAAACAAAGATGTTAATTAGCATAACTAACCTGCAGCAATCTCACAGCACTTACGCAATACATCTACGCACTCTGAGATCAAGCTAGTTAGAGCTCTTTAAAAGTCACAGGACTGTTTTACACAATCATTTAATCTCACCATTGAGCGGTTATATCATGTCCATGTCTTCTACAGAAAAAAGTTTTCAAACTTAAAGGAATAATTCAACATTTTGTAAAGCCAGTAAGAGGCTCTCCATGCCCTCATTTTTAAAGCTAAATCTTGCTTACTAGCTGCCAGCTGCTGCCTCATATTTAATAGACAGAATTTCCCAATGTTTGGAACTCTTTTCAAGAATAACTGGGCTGTTGGCTTTGTAAGTACGCGCTAAAATGTTTGACTTAAGATATCATCAGTCACATTTTGTTAGATCCTGTGGGAGTAGATGCAAGTTATCATTAAAAAAAGACAAATCAGTATTAGGAGAAATGAGTTTAACATTTTAACATCTAAGACCTTTTCATCGTTACAAATTTTGTATAAGTATTACACACTTAGTATTTAACAACTCTTAAGTGTAATTCTCCATATTAGTCATGATTTAACCAAACCAAATACAGAACTCAACGGTGAAACTAAAGTCATAACCGGTACCAAAACACAGTATTACCACCTCTTTTAGCTGTGTTTTGTGCTTAATATCCCATATTAGAAAGTTTGTGATAAACCAATGCTGATAACATAAGTTAAAACAACATGTAAGCTTGATAATGAAAGCCTGTTGTCTGGGGGCTTGCCCAAACCTTGGGAGGATTATATCCACTACTTACACTTTTTTATCTATAAAAACCCATTAATTTATACTCTTGTACATAGTTTTAACATCAAAAGGTAACCCAACAGAGGGGCAACATTTAAACCTGCAGCACTAAATTGTCAAAGGACCTCGACAGTAACCAGAGGAGGCACAAGCTCTGTCGTTGTATTTTGATTCACAACAAATCTTTAACGTCAGTTTTGAAAAGTTTGAGGTCATCTCTCAGAAAGCTAGTGTAACAACCAGCACAACACGTCAGCTCCCAGGGAGGCTTCATATCTCTTACTAGACACCTTATCAAAACCTGTTATAACACCCTTTCTCAAACCCGTCACAACAAACTCTAAGTATACATTTCTCTGACAAAAACCAAACCATATAGAAAGTATTTATCAGATTAATCAATAATTGGAAAAATCACTCAATGCAGCACTTAAAAAAGCGTTTCTCTCTTTTTTTAATGTACTACTTTGTTAAAGAAGACGTGCCAGCAGCAGACAGCTCCTTGTTTCCTCTTTGCCTGAGGTTGTGCATTAGCTAATGGAGATTGTGTATCCATTGGCTGCAACAATGTGTATGATCATAATCTTGGCTCATAACAAATCTAATGACAAGCAGACAATGCTCCCCTTAATAAAATTCTGACACCATTAATGGCAACAGGTTTCCATCATCCTCCAGTCCAGGTCTCTATTACTGGCTATTCTGTAGTATCGATCCTTTCAATCAGATATTTGAAATAAGACGGTACAATAAAATCAGTACTCAGACCTCTGGTCCAGTGGTTAATCTTGTTTAGTGGTGGTGGAGGGGCTCTTCTACCGAGGTGGTCCACCAATTACATGATTAACACACTTCCCCCTGTGACCTTCTGTGAGTCATTCAGGAAATTAGTTTAGTGTCTTCAGCAGGCACAGAGGGAGTCATGCTGCCAAAGCTCCACATTGGCTCTAACCAAGCAGCCACGCTTGAATGATATTCTACTTAAATCAACTTTGGTGTGAGTCATTTCTTCGTAGTAAACAACAGACCTTTGGGAGGTCAGACGGTCTAATAGCAGGACAGCTGTAGCTGGTAAAACACTCGTTTTTATCAGTATGTGAGCTAAATGTGCAGAGAACATCAACATCTGTGACTTTTAAGAACGATCACATCAAAATTGCACTATATTTGATGTTGGGTTGAGAGGGTCCAAAGGGTTTAAACGTGAACATGTGCACCACAAAAAAACAAAAAACAAGCTTCAGTAATTTCCCCCCTAAAAACCAAAATCCTTCAAAATCTACTTTCTGGAGTAAATCCCCTGCTGCTCTTCACACCCAAAACTAACAACTGTCCCCGGCCACCCACTGAAACCCGAGGCTTTGATGGCATTTAAACTAATACAGGGCCGATTTGGCACAAACAAACCCACTAGAGGCTGGATCAAGGCTGAATTTTATAACTTGTACAGTGTTTACTTTGGTCACATTTGCAATTTTTTTAGAGAAAGAAAGAATAGAGTATTTCCAGGCCTTGAGAACTTAATCAAGGATTTCCGTCGAACCAGTATCCAACAGCGAGGTATTCACATGGAGCTCAGAGTGAAAATCCCACGCTCACTTAACACTGGCTGTATTCCCACACACTTTTCACTGACTGGTGTGACTGAGAGAGAGAGAGAGGATTTGCCCAGATCTACTGGCTTTAAACTGAGATTTTAGCCTGCTATAATGTCTCTTAAAAGTGGGTGAGCTTTAAAAACGATAACCCTGTTACCCCCAGTTGGCTATGCGGCACACTGGCACACATGCAAAGGAAGCAGGAGGGTGAAGAAACTTCCTCTAGATCCGGCTCTAATCTGAAACCCGCCGCTCTCAATCCCTCTCACTGTGGATGATGACATGCTCTGCTTTAAAGCCTGGGTCACACACACAGACAGACACACAGACACAGACAGACATAAAGACAGACTCACACATGAGCACGTACACACTAAAGCCAGCTGGCACTAATCCCACACAATGGCCCTCCCTGCCGCTGTGGAAACCCACCAGGATCTCTGTCAGAGCGGAAGTGTGATGTATAACAGCGTATGCACAGATGTTGTACCGACCAGCCGCTGCCTACCCTTAACCTACTTCGCCTCAGTGATGCTGGGTGAAATAATGCGACAGCGTGCACAGCGGCAGAGACAGTCTGACGGAGCTGTCAGCAAAGACCCTTTGGCTCTGAGCCACAGAGCAGGAATGCTGGGATGTCGGAGCATAGGCTGAGGTGAGGAGGGAGAGGTTATGATACAGAGGGTGAAAGACCAGACACATACGCACATGGGTTGGAGACGTAAATGTGAAAAAAAACAAGCCAATAACAGATAAAGTGATAATAAATATTCTTAATATATTAGGAGAAAAGGAATGTCAATTTGACTGATGTTGGTGACAATAAACTATTGACATTATACAATATACAACAAAATTAAGACACGTTACTCTATGTAAATGATATCAGACATCAACAGAGAGAAGAGTAGCACTTATTAGAGTCAAAAAGATGTATTGCATTGCTAAATATGTAACAAAGTAGATTGCACTACGAGATATATAATGTACACTTACTAGTGTTTCAATGTCGTTAATGCAAACTGCACACTCAAATAAGGTTTCCTGCATGAGAGGAAATAACTACACTAATACAAAAGTATAAAGCACAAGCCAAAGCATAGAAGGAATGTGATTGTTGCGCAAGGAAAAGTAGGGGGATGGTATGAGGAAAAAAAAGGGGGGATAATATGCTAAACATTATCTGTAAATTTGGGAGGTTTCCAACAGTACAGAGAGTTAGTGAATGTTATCATGGATAAAAACACGCTCTCAAGGCGCTGTTGGCCCAATGGCCGAAGGGGACGCCCAACGTACAGGAGCTATAGTCTTTGTCACAGCAGTGGCTGGTTTGACTCTCAGCCAGGACCATTTGATTAATGTTTACCCCCACTCTCTACTCCCCACATTTCCTGTCTGTCTATCCTGTAAAAATAACTCAAAACTAAAAAAGCATGCAAGAACTTCTTTGATGCTGCAGCTGCAAATTTCTAAAATAGAAATTGTTTTGTTGTTGGTAAAAAAATATTCAGTTACTATTGAACAGATGTTTTTTTTTTTCTTTGGCGAGGAAGCTAGATCAACAAAATATGGCATGAAACATTTATTTTTCATCCCATTTAGTGTCAAAATACTGATGAATCTTTTCTTTTTTGAGATTGCAATCTATCTAGGACCAATGCAATGTCTCAATTTGTTTAACTTTAATTCACATACTTGGTTTAAGATAGCACATGCTCAAATTTCAGATGTAGGAGATTGAATACTTTTTGCTTCCCTCGTCTAAAAAGTGACTCACATGTTCAGCTGATAATCAAAATAGTTAAAAAATGTATTGTAAGTCTGAAGAAAACAACATTATCTGCATAGCACAGAACAAGCTTAATCCAAAGTGTTTCAGAGCTTGAGGAGAAAACAGTAAAAGAGAGAGAAGGAAAGGACAGATCAAAAAAAAAAAAAAAACAGCAGCAGCAGGGAGCATGAAAGCTTTTATGTTTGCTGTATCATCATTGTGCTAAATTGACTCTGTTCCTGGAGAATAATAGAGCATACAGTACAAGTACATGACTACTTAAAAACTGGGTAAATCCCTGATAGCTACCATTTATATGTGCTGTCTTTGCATGTGGATTTTAACTGTACACTGTGCTACAGCCTGTAACATCAGTCCCAGCCATTATTGCGTGAGAAGACAGATTCGGGGGGCTAATATGGCTTCTAGTTTTTAACTACCGCTGAGTTCATGAGGAGAATCTGGGGCTCGGGGAGCTGAAGAGCCCATACACTGATTGCTCTGGTTAATCTGCAGTTTTTGGGGAGTGACCTCCTGCTGTGAGTGCATTTGTGCGAGAGTGTGGTTGCATAGGAGGTGGTCCGACCGTGATGGCCTCCTTATATCACACATCTGCTCAGCATCAGCACTATGTCAACATCTGATTCGTTGAACACAGCCAGTACTATCTGAGGGGGTTTCCATGGCCATATGCTGGAGCCAAAGCAACCATAATCTGAAGATATGATCAGCCTGAGAGTGACTTAGATGGATGCTGTTTCTCCTGGCATCAGAGCAGGACGAGGGGCTTTCACACGCTGGTTACAATCCAAGATAGTCTGTTAACATGCTGCAACTGATCTCAGATGTTCATCCAGGTTTCATGCTGATTTTGGAAGGAAGCTGTATAAGCATCTATCTTTCACTGTTGCTCTCTCACTGGGCCAACATACCCATAATACAGCACAATGGGCTTTTTTTTTTAGATTTTACTCCCATTAAGTAGCAAATACACCATAAAACTGGGGTGTATTGAAGCCATGGATACCTGAGATTGACAACCTATACCACAGAGGATTTCAGTCTGTGTCTAACTTAACCCGTGTTACATGTACTGATGCCTGCTCTGGTCTCTGTGCTGGGGGTCTTTGCTGCTGCTCTCCCTGCCTTGGCTTTTCATGTATGGTCAATCGAAAAGGAGATGTGCTCTCCCTGTCGCAGGCTTTGGCATTCAGGCAAAGACCTCCCAGAATAGAGACAAATATCACTATTGCATGAAAATAATTAATTCTTTTTAAAGAAAGTGATCCTAACAGAAACAGTGGTGATAGTGGTAACAGCATGTGATAGGGGTGTACCGATACGATATTGATATCTGATATCGGTCTGATATCAACAAAAATCAGATATCAGATTGTATCAGCCTGCATCTAAAATCTCCAATATCAACACTCTGGTACAAGCAGTTCATTCCAGACTCCGCTCCAGCACCTCTATCTAGCAGCACCCGGATCCCTGTGGCAGTATTTTTCGTTTAAGTTTGAAAAAGACGTTGCAACTGAGTGCAAAACTTATCATGCACAAGTTTGTGCTAATATCGGATCAATATCGGTATCAGACAATACTGAAGGCTACAATATCGGTATCGTATCGGAGGTAGAAAAGTTGTACCTGGACACCCCTAGTATGTGATACTAGCTACATCAGCTGGTTAGCTAGCAAGCTACCAGATGCAAAGCAGCAAGGGTGGAAGGACAAAAACAGCTTGATATTCAAAAAGGAAAACTTTGTGAACCAAACCATGACCAGCTACAAAGACTAGATCCTTCAAAAAATCCCACACCTGAATTAGGACACAGCTTTGACACTATCTTAGTACCTGATATCCTGCTATGAAATAATCAAAATGGTGATTACCAACATGTCAAACTTTGGTCTGCAACCAGTACAGCAGTCTGCAGACAGAGTGGTAGCATGATGAGGTAACATCTACTTGCTATGAAGGCTTTATGGTAAAACAATACTTTCCTGAAGGTCAACCTGGATTTAAAGCAAGATACAAGGTTCGTGGTATTTATTCAATTAAGATGGCGAACAAAAAAAGGATCATACTTTCTAAACATCTGCTGGCACTGTCATTATCATCATGTTGGTCTGCTGATTTTGGCCTTAATGCAAGAGCCGCTGATACGGCTACAAGCTCTTTGTCTTGTTGAAGCAGTTTATAGCTTGTGTTATTAAACAATTACAGATTCAGCATAACTCGAGTATTACCTGTATCTGAAAAACAAGAATGCAAGACGACGGTTATTAAAAAGTGACATATAGCCGACTTTGGGGGTTATTTCTGTTCTTACTCTGCGTGTTCTTCCTGCGAGTCTCAGGTGATTGACAGGGAGCATAATGGTTGTGGCGTTTTATCTGACACGGGCGCCCTCAACTCCATTATTGCGATTGATATCTAGCCGGTGTCTGTATTTCATTCCTTACACAACAATAGATGAGAGGAAATAAGTTTTGATATGTACCATGAAGTTGAGCAGATACAGGCAGGGAGAGATGATCGGCACCAACTTTCAACCTTTCGGTGTTGAACCACATGTCCGCCTCCAGTCTGCTTGAAAGTCCAGTCCAGACTGTTTGTGATCACTGTGTGCCTGCCTACAAAAACACTGATTTCTGCAGACCACCCTGATCCAAGAAACAATGTGACCAGGGCTACCTTTGATCCATACAAGAGAAACCACCCAGAAAGTTGAGATAATTGTTCTTTTTGGTATTGACTCAAAGTTCACCACAGTAGATGGATTGTTTTAAGTATGTCTATGTTACGACTACCTGCTGAATGTAGAAGCAGCTCAGTCCCTCAGCAAGTCTGTTTGAAACAGAATTCAAGATACTACTTTATTGAGAAAAACTTCAGGAAATGAAATGAAAAAGAGCCAGGGAGTGTTATTAATGTGCAAACAAGGCTGGGCAGTGGTACGGTTCCCTATTTCTTTTGAGCCAAGAGCCAAAAAACACACATCTACGGCCCCCTTCGCCCCTCCTCATTCTGTCTGTATAGTCAGCTGGACCTTGTTTTCTCTAAACCCTTCTTCCACTAAAACTAGGTGCGGAGTACTCAAACACGGTGCATCTTTGCTGTCCTAACTGTCTGTCTGTCTGTCTTCCTCTGTGACTCTGGCTCATTTAATTTGCCGTTCCTTTTGTCTCCCATCTGCTCAGTGTCTCGCTCTTAAAGGGATCCCCTCTCGACAGCTCCAAGCAATATATCCAGGCAAAGAGCACCTCTATTCAACAGCAGAAATGTTGCTTTACTGACAGACCACTACACACACTCAGACACTACCATGGTGATGGGAACATGTCGAGAAGCCTCCCTGGTCTCGCTCCTAATCAGGTCCATATGTAGTCTCCTCTCTCACTTAAATCATGCACTTTGTTACAAGCCTCAGCTCAATCCTTGCACGTCACTCTGTCAGCCCTGTCTGTGTTTGGGTATTTGTCCCGTTGCATGTGGTATAATGTACTGTATGTTTAATCTTCTAATGTTGCACCACAAAAGCCATAATCTTGGCAGTCAAAATGAATTTCTCTTCTTTTCAAATCTCCCTTTAAGCCTTTAAACAACACAGCCAGCCTGCCAGGTCAACCAACAAGACTTTTAGGCGTATGTTTTAGCACATTTTTTTTGGCATCTGTGTCAAAACACATAAGAGACACATTTTGCCTAAACAGTTGCAGACATTTGTTTTTGGCTACTGGGGTGTTGCAGGAAATTTGGAAATGGTGAATTCAGTCCAGCTTAATGTTTTTATACCTGAGGGGGAATTCTTTCTGGGGTGACGCAGGTGAACAAACCAGATGTGAAGCGAAACATCCACATAAATACGAAAGCTTCTGAGAGGTTCTATAGTTAAAAATACCAAAGAATCAGTGGTATGACTACTGGTCTGATAACATTTTAAAGAAATACTTTGAAACTTTAAGATTGATCACTTTTTTTAGGGGGGAAATTAAGAGATAATACAAATCCTCCATGTGTAAGCTTTAAAAAGTAAAGCAAGCTTAGCTTAGAGACTGGAACATTTTACCAGCCATCTCTAAAACCCCATCAAGTTTGAATATAAATTGAATAACAGGATAAAAAAGTGGAGGAATTTAAAAGGTATGATTTCTGATTACTCTCTGATAGAACTATGCAAGATGTTTCTAATATTTTCAGTGTTTTTGCTAAACTAAAATAACCTTTAGGAGGTTGTAGCTCCAAGTTTAGTACAAAAGTATTACACTTTTTGTCTTGCTTTCTAAAAAGTGAATACGCATGTTTAGTAAGCCTAAGAGTGATACATGTATTTGGATGATTCTAATCAAATCAACTGTTAAGAAATGTCTGATAACTATTTTAAGGGAAGAAGACATTAAATACACAATCACATAAAAATCAATGAAGGGATTTGTCGATCTGGATCGATTCACACTGGTGTGTATTTGTCTAGTCAGACTTCTGCGAGAATGTGTAGCCCAGTTTGAACTGTTTGGTTGCCATAATGGGGAAGACCAGACAAACCACGACCTTTGCAATATATTTGGATTATTTTAGCATCTCTTTTTTTTGTTATTTTGAAATCTGCAGCAAAGTCTGTTTATCCTGGAGCTATGTGACCGAAGCGAAAGACATAAAGATAGACGCTGCATACACCAAAAACAAAACCCATCAAGAGTTGGTTAACATACTACAAATCCTGTTACCAGCTCGAGTTGCCACTACTACAGCAAACAGAGAATTACGTTGGCGATGTTTGAAGCTGTAATAAAGTTAGAAAAGTAAAGACATATCTACCAAGCTTTGACTCTCAGGTGATGTTTTGAGCCTAATCCCAACAGACCACGGTTCTCTGCTATTTCTGGTGAGCCAAATATTTGCTGGTCTTGTGTAATCACCACAAATAAAACAAATGATATCTGAGAAATTTGTATGAGTCAGACAATACTGACTTTTTCCCTGTTCAGTCTGAATACAAAGTAATCGACTCAAATTTGAAGGGCTTTCAGGAAAAACAGGGTGAAAATGTTGGTGAACATTAAGTGTTTGGACTATTTAGAGCCAGATAGAGCCAGGCGGATGCTCACCATTAGTTCTTAGAGCCAATTATTATGCCTTTGAGGGTCTAATAAACCTCAAGGTACTTTATCAAATATTGTAAAAAAAAATTTAAACTAGAAAATTCTGAATTTCATCAAACCAGTGTCACAGAAAAAGTCATAAGTATTCTGTAATTTTCAGCTTTAATGCATCTGACCCACTGTATAAGCAGATTGTGTGTACAGTATTGCAGCGTGTCTACAGGGGGGACTTTAGGTAGATGAAACAGATGCAGACAGACACAGATGTCTACGCTCTGTTCGGCTGCTGTCTCGCCATTCAGCACCAACCACTTACACTGAGCCAGCCAACCTCCCAGGGCAAAGTTTAGCTAAAGAGCAGTCACATCTCGCCTCGAGTGACTGCCTCATGTCCTCCCACACATTCAGCCTGAAGCCACGACAAAGAGCGTATCCTAATCACAACAACTTCCCCTTCTTACTGACTAATCCCTCTCAGAATGACGGGACTAGACGCCAAGAAATCGCACACACAGTATGTTAGTCATATTTTTTCTAAAGTCACCTTAGCTTGGGTTTCCTGCCTGCTGGGCTGAACTTGATACAAAGCTACTACATCCAGTCAGTTGACCATTAAGTATGAGACAATAACAAAAACTGCCGGGAACAGAGGCACTTTTATCTTCACTGGAAAAGAAGTCAAATAACAAAGCCAAGGTGTGCATCAATGATCCTGAACACAGACACTGCCATGAATACTCCATTAAAATGCCTAACAGACAAAATAGTGGTGCTGCAGTCTGATATGATTTGTTATCCCAGCACACACTCACTCTTTCAGCCCAAAGAGGGGAGAAGAATTGAAGGAAAAAAGCCTTTCCCATTCAGCTTTCCCACGGTCAGAGAGACAGAAAAGTGTGGACTGACACAAAGAGGTTATCACGACATTACACAGGAAATTCTCTCAAGGAACCTCACAGGATCCTGTTTTAGTGCATTTCACGGCGTCAGCAGGGGCGTATCTAAACAATCTAGAGTCAGGTTCCCCAACATCTGCAGGGTTTGGGTGTAAACTATTAATTTTTCCTCTTTTTACTTTTAATTGAAGGATATTTTGCAGTCTTTTTATTCCTGTATTTTACTTTCAATAATTTTGATAACACATGATTTAGCATCAATTAAACTGGTAATCTTCTATTCTTAAAGGACTCAAAACATATGTAGGGATGTGGGGGTTGTGGGTAAACCTGCAGGGAGGACTGAAGGCTGGTGCAAGCTCTGCTAGCGTTAGCCATGCTCAGCAAACAAATTTGACATTGTTCACTGGCAGACTCTGTAGTCCTGTGTTTTTCCATATAAATTAAATTATGCTAAATTTGGACCGTTTCCTGATATATCTCTGGCTTTGAGACAAGCTAGTCGGAATTGAAATTTCCTCTAACCAGGAAATTAGATGCTTTGGAATATCATGACCTACTATCTTGGTTTGAATCCAAGTCCCGCCTCAGACCAAGAAAACTGCCAATCAGAGTTGAATATCAGAGGGTCGCAGCTATGACGGCTAATCTGGTTTTAGTTTGGGCTAATGCCACCCCAGACAGCACTCTGGATACGCCCATGGATATCTTTGTCTTGAAACTGCAGGCCTATTTCTTTTCCTTTTTTTTTCTTATGGAGAGTCTGAGTTTTCACGGATGTCTTTATTCAAATGCAAAGCATCTTTTAAAGGTCAATTCTGTTTATTTCAAAATTTTTATACTCTTACTCCCAAAACAGCTATTTACTCTGCACATATTAATCCCTTGCTACAGGATCACAACGCTGCTATACAGACCAGAAAATACAAGCAAGCCAAGTCTTAAAATTCAGGGTCTCCTTCCAGCCGCTCAGTGAGCTGCTTTCCAGCCAATTTCTGCTTCTACGTTCTTTCCACTTCTCCATCCAGCTATAGTAGGATGCTAAAAATAGACTCATGAGTAATAAAAACTTGTAGGATTTCAAGCCTGTTGCTCATTTTCATTTAAGTCTCTGTCTGCTCTGGGGCGTAAACCGAGGCAGAGAAGCGGCAAGTCTGATTAGCATGTGCAGTAAAAATGTACTAATGAATCCCATGTTTAAGTTAAATCATTAACGGTTTCATTTATTGTGCAGTTAAAACTTGCCTAAAAAATATGCACCCTGTGTGGAGTATTTAACTAGAAACACGGCTATTCCAGGAATGATGCTTCTTAATCCAATTGTTTTTAATACAAAACAGTTGATCGTAGCTTGATTGTCAACTTTTAATGTACAATAAAAACCACTCTGTCTGGAAACTTCTCCTTCTCCTCCAATGTCATTAATGCTCATCTGGAAGTGGCATTAATCAATCCTAAAGGGTACCATCTGTAGGCTCTTTTCTCCCTCTAATGTACTCAGTTTGGTGCCCTGATGCAGAACAAATCATTGCCCCTACTTTGCGCATATGTTTGCATGCATACTGTACAGGCAGGCGTGAGATCATGATCCATAATGTGCACAAATGAAGGGTAATGTGCATATATGTTGTCATGCAGAAAACCCCCTCAGAGTAAAAATCAAAGCTTGTCATTAGCTGGATTCAGGTCATAAAGAAACACTTTGGCATCATAATGCATCCTGGAGCTTATCTGGGTTGGCAAGCTCCTCTTGATGAAGGTGCAACTTTGACATCAGCTTCTATTAGCAAGTGTTGGAGACAAATTTAGCTTCAAGTGCCAGCGTTGTGATACCAGCATATCAAGGTGTGCGTGTGTGTGAACAATGTTAAGTGACGTGTGCGTGTGAGGCAGTGAGAAGCAGTGAGGGTGTCAGTGAGCGAACTCTAGCACTTAATTACTTTAACATTTATGGTAAGATATTTGAATAATTCACGCGCTGCACAGGGCTGCGCATATAATCTCTCTGAGTGTGTGTCGTATGTTTCCAGTTTGATCACAGGCAGCATGTCTCCGCTGCTCTCTGACATCCTGTCACATGATTCATTGACCGATATCTCTTTAACTGGCCTCATGTAAAGAGGGAAGAGAACATGTGATTCTCATTTTTTTTTGTGCAGTAATTTATCGCTACAGTGAGTCATTGCAGTTAAACTAAATAAAAATCAATTTAATCCAAAAACTAAACCATTATTCCACAAATCATTTCACTTTCAGTAAGCCTCCAAAACACCATATAGATCATCACAACATGCTAGAAAAAACAAGTAAGTAAAGCTATGTGTCTGTACAGTGAGGGTCTATCTTCCCTGGATCATGAATGCACCACTTTCTTGGTTTTTAATTAGACTTTTGAACTTCTTGAACCATGCCTCTGCCTCAAAATACGCACCAAAATTAAACTGCATGCAGTCACAATTAACCTTGTGGTTCGTCCTTTAAGGACCATGAATATACAAAGAATAAGACTCTTAATTGAAATGTAGTTTTTAAAATTGATCAGTCACATGAAGACAAAAACAGTATGAGTAGTGTGAAAAGTCTAACTGGGTCTTTCTGGGTACATAGTTGGTGCACATTCACACTCTTCAGACATGTGTAAAAAAGTGGACATCCAGATGAGGCTCTCTGCTAATCTCTCACAGTTTAACCGACAAACTCTTATCAGGCTATAACCATTTGTTTACACCATACTGCCTTCAAGGCTTTGAGCCCATGAGGCAGTTTGGATTATCTGCTCGGGAGCAAACTGCATGCGTGTGTTTCAACTTCGCTATCATATATAAGACCTGATAGGGGACTGTGAGCTGCAGCCATGCGGGCTGTTTTCTGTGTCAGACTTGCAGCTGCACGGGTTCATTTTACTCAGGTTTATCACTCAATAAAAAAACACAGGTCTATGGCACTACATGCATGCCTTTCGGGTTGAGTGACTCTTCACCTAAACTCTACATTTCCTTAAAGTTAACCTCTATTTATAGTTCAATAGTCTTATCTCAGTTCATCAATGCATTTATTATACTTTATATAGTTTTTAAAAAAGCATCATGCTCTAAATTGGTTGCATCCCTGATATTTCTAAACAGAGGAGTATCTTCCTTACAATTGACATGTTTTCAAGAGGAAGTAGGTCCCCGCTTGGTTTATCCTCCATATGGAAGGCTGCCAGAGAGATTTCTTATCAATTTGCACCAGTTTAGAGGCTTCCAGCAGCGCAGAGAGATAGTGAGAGCAACTTCAAAGCCTAAGCAGGACATCAAACAGATGGAGATGGTGCATGCATGATCAAATTTGCAGAGTTTTTGTCTTCTTGATCTGGACCATGACTTGAGCGTTTCTGGACACGTTTGTTTCTGCATGGGACAGCCAGACTCTGTCTCACCTGCGAGTTTGCACTCTTGTTCCCAGGCGTGCTGGCTTCTTTTTAAGGTTATAATAAATCATGACAAGAGACACTAGTTGTTTTATAAGGTACAGCCTCGGTCTGAAGGGAACAACGTGTAAAATCTCCCTGATATACACAACATGCATCAATCCATCCGTGCAGACGGGTCGCGAGGGGGGAGAGGAAACCAATGTGGAAATGGAAAAACCGTCTCACCGTGATTGTCTTCATCCATGTTGAGGGAGCCACTGACAGGACAGTCCAGCTAAAGGTGTGTTCCTCTCAAATCTCGCGAAAAATAAATTTCACGGATAGATTTTCAGCGGGGGTTTCTTCAGCAAAACAGTCGAAGCCGGTGTGTTGACAGGCAGAGGTGTGAAATGGGCTTGTGCGCATGTGTCAGCGGTTATATGATCGTAAAAATAGAAGAAAAAAAAGAAGAAAAAGAAAAAGCCGCAGTCTGGGTGTAATTTCAGGGCAGGGTCCTTAATTGTGGCAGTGATATTTCAGATGTGTCTGTCCGCGATGTGAGACATCCCTCTCTCCGGTCTCTGCTCCATCCTCCAGCTGCTCCGTCTGCAGTTACATTAGCTACACTGCAACCGCGACCACGTCATTAAGCCCCGCCCTCATAATAACACCCCCACATTTTCACACACACACACACACACACACATAGACTAGACATAATCATGACCATTAAAGTCGAATATTTTTAAGATTATTGCACCTAAAAATACTCCCTGTAAGAGACAAACAATGCTTACAGTATTTCATTTCAACGCTCTGAAAAAACATGTCTAACCCAGCATGTTTTTGTTCATATTGCAAAAATGTAAAACTCGATGTTGTTTCATAGTTTTCAGCTCCATTTAAAGCTACTGTGAAGAATGTATATAAGGTTATGATACAGAGAGAAATTCATACACAGGAAACTTTTCAGAGTAAATTTTACTATTCTTCTTATTCAAACAAGACGGCTATGAAGGGACAAGCTTTAAGATTTTTCTCTTTCTTTAGAGTTGTCAAATGACTGTTTTTTAAATTGTGATCAAAAGCTGTTCTAACTGCATATTTGAAAGATCCCTTTTTATGTTTTATATTGAAAGATCACTTTTTTTTGCATTTTAAAACAGTTTCCAGGTCTATATTAAGAATTCAAAGCAATCCTTTCCATTGTCTTAATTTGGGATCATTATTTCACAGCATATGTCTTTCAGCTTGTGAACTGTGCAGTTCAGGAGTCTTTTAAAAGGGAGTGTGATTTTCCATCAAGTAGAAGAAACTGCAGTGACTCAACTATGGTGCACCAGAGAGGACAAAATAGCCGGTGATCAAAAATGAAAATCACATGTCAGTTCTGGATCTTAATTACATTGCAGCCCAAATTGAGGATTGGCATGTTAATACTTGTAAGACTGTTGTTTTTGTAAATGCCTAAAACCACCAAGACAAGGTGTCAAACTAGACAATTTATACAACCTTTTACATGTATATATTGTTTTCAAAGGCAAAGATTTTGATTTGTGTTGTACTTCTCACAGGAGCTTTAATATTAAATTCTAGCATTTAGGTAAAATGGCCTTCTGTGAGGAAAAGATGAAAAAATTCCTGTTTTACCACATTTTCTTTTCATCTTGTTTACACTGAGGCCAGCGTAATCATTTACCACACCCACTAGCTATAAATAGATTGAACAGAGTGTAACTGCATGGGTGAATTTATCTTCCCATTTTTGCAATTACATGTGGATAACAGAGTTAAACTGGATGCTCCTCTGCTGGTTCCTGGCTGAAATATGAGTAAAGATATAATTGGTTAATCCCTTAAATTGTACAAAATATCCACAAAAAAGAAAGAAGAAAAACATCATGAGATATTTGGAAAGGTGATCTAAATTTCAATTATCACATCCAACTGTGTGGATTAGGGATAATCCAAAATGTAGGCCAACTTTGGTATTAAGTATTTGTCCAAATAATCTTACCACAAGATTCATTATTGTTCTGGAGCTTTCCATCCATGGGCGGATTATAGACAAGTAAAACATAAGACACAACAAGACCCCTCACCCCTCCAACATCATACAAAGAATCACAGTTGCGTTGTGTGTAGTAATGTTTTGTGCATATCTTTATGTGTTTTTGAATACTTTTATGGTTGTGTTTGACCTGCTGTGTTTTAGTCATTAAAAATCATTTTATATTTCAGAGTAATGTGTCCCTTTATGGTTCTTCTTGATCCATAAAAGTTGATTTAATTCCCTGTATGGTAATTCCCTGCATCTCTGTGTCCATTTGTTATTTTGTTTGTTGTTTGTTTGTTTGTTTGTTTGTTTGTTTGTTTGTTTGTTTGTTTGTTTGTTTGTTTGTTTGTTTGTTTGTGGAAACAATTTTGTGTGATGTAGTTGTGTGTCTCTGTTGTTAGTTTGAGCATCTCTTTGTGGGTGTTCCTCTATATTTATTAACATATATTTTGTTTCTTTGTAGTTGTTTGTGTGCCTTTGTTTCTTTAAAGTGTGTTGATTTTGGCACCCCTTGTGGACAAAGTGGCACAGCTCAGTACTCTCCTTGTCTTTGTCCTGTTTATGTGTCAAAAAGTTTTTTGACAAAAAAATGTGATTAATATGTCAATTAAATATATATTCAAAACATAACATTTGGTGCTTAAAGGGTTAATCAGGCTGTTTCTTTACTGCTCTTTGAACAGTCTTTTCTAACACATACCCCTAGCAGTGGTTACCAACATTTAAATCACATTTAACCAACTGTACATTGTCTGACTGACGGTTTCAGCTGCTTTTTAATTCATTTAGAGGCATACATTTAAACTTGAATAGTTTTCCAAAACAATGTAAAAAACTACCCACTGGAGCTTTAAATAGCCGATGTCTTCTGGGGACCCCTTGACAACAGGTCATGCAGCAGACTTGGGGGTCATACATACATGATTTTAACTCATTACATCCTCTACAAATCAACACGTAAATTCAGCTTTTATTTTTCAGTGACAAGAGACAATTTTTTTCAAATGAGGAAGATCATGTGACTCCATTAAAATCCCCTGCTTTGTTTTTTTTTCCTGTTGAAATAAATTCTCAGTGTTCATATTTCATTTCAAAGGAAGCCCTTTGAATATTCCCACACAACAGTTCCTCTTAAGAGAGTTCGATAGAATTTCTGTGCTGTACGACTGTTTTGAAAGTGATGCATTGTAAACCACTATGAGCTGAACTTATGACCCAGTCTATGGCAAAAAGAACATTACCAGCAGCTTAGATCTCACTCAATGGCTGCATTTGTTGTCTGTAGATTTGAAACACCCATGCTCATCAACTTTGATTACAAAGACCAATACATCAACCACTTTTTATGGGTTATTATTGAAGACAGTCTGCTGCTGTTTAGTCAAGGGCCAAAAACTTTTTCCAGTAATATGTAGTGGATCCAATAAGAAGAGGAAACTTGCTCTATTTGTTGAATTTCAGATCATTTAAATCATTTCACCTCTTACAGCTACTTTGTACAAAGGTATAAAACACAATTGTGCAAGTATGACCACTTGAGACACAATCTATACTCAATACAGAGATTTTTTTCTGAGTCTGACCTCATGTGTCCGCCCTACTTTCCCTTTCTAAGTAATGCAGGCATGAGGACAACTCTGAAGCTCATTTCTGGTTGTTCTGCCCTTCCCGTCTGAACTCATGACTCACTGAAGCTTTTCCAGGGATGATCCCGGCCACACCAGCAGTGATGTTCTGCTGCAGGGAGGAATATGAAGGCAGGACCCAGCATGTGGTCCGGGGTTCAGGAAGGGAGTTGTGCTGAAGACTCATTGTGCAGCTCTACAGAGAGACAATAGAGGAAAACTACATGAAAGGAAGTGATGTGATTGGTGTGCCCTCCACACCCTGTTATGAAATCTGATTTGACCTCTGTCTCTTTATTTCCAGTATTGGCGTGAAACTAATTAAATAAATACGTCATTATGGGTAAACCAGTGCTTTGCTTTGAAAAACCAGAAGATTATCATACAGCTCACTCCATGTAGGTTGTATTTTTGCATCCGTAGTCACTAATAACTTTTCAAATCAAAGTGTTACATTCAGAAACATGTAGAGCTCAGTAATACCTTATAAATTAACACCAAACCAGAAGTTGCCATCCTTTTTGGCTGATAGTTTTTTTCAAAATCTTTTCTTAACACCATTTTAAAAGTACTCCTTGCCCCTCAGTTGCAAAAGTGCAAAACCAGCTGTGCTATGCTTAGGTAACAGAAAAAGTCAATATCTCAAAGAAAAGCTGAAAGTAAGTCCTTATTGTGAGTAAACCAGCAGTTTTATCCCAAAATACTGAGATAAATGAGTTAAGATCTTGAAACAAAAACCAGAAATCACTCTTTATTAAGGGAAAATGGAGTAGATACAATGCAGGGATTTGTGTCCCCTTTGGGCTTTCATACAAAGGAGCTGAAACACAAACATTTTTTTAAAGATACAAAGACCTCCGAGGTTTGTGATTTCCCTGTTTCCTCTTTTAATTATCATTTCTTAAACCCTTAGTTAAGCTCTTTGATTAGGCCCAACCCTTGAACTTGTAACTCTGTCAACTCCACTTTTATCAGCAATTAAGTGCTGCTTATTATTGATGAATACAAATACAATCCAATATAATGAAATTTAATATATATTTCTTTTAATTTTAATTCATTTATTATACTATTTTTTGTGTTAAACAGAGGTCCACAGTTGGGGTGTAGGGTCATCAGTGGCCATCAGGGCCCATGTGGTGGTATCACCCGTACACTAGCCTGAAGATCATAAACAGAGCCTGAAAGGACAGTTTGGGTCACATAGTAAGTTATATAACTCAACACTGTGGCACAACAAAAGCACTGGGATGAGGCCATGGTGGTGGTGGGGTCTTAAAGGGGTACATAACTTTTGCATAAGGGAACAAGTATCTTGTTCTTGTCAGATATTAGTCATGTTGGCCAATTTTCTCCTCCAAAAAGTTTTTTTTTTTCCACTTTTGGTACTTTTAGGATAACTAAGTACCAGTTTACTTGTTGCTGTATTTTGTTGCATGGCCTCAATCATGTCAGTACACATGTTGTGAAAGAGGCAATTGTCCCATATTGGTGACACATGTAAAACAAATTTCTGGTCTTTCAAGAACTTGTAACATGTACTGATAGATAAATACACAGATAGGGATGGCATCGCCAAATAGAAATTTGCAGCATCATAAATATTATCTCTGTTTATGCACTTTTTACAGTGTACAAGCATTAAACTCATATAGGACCCATGATTTAAGTCATCAATTTATTCACCACAAGTGTAAATGAGAAATCTTCACATGTGCAGTACGTACACTGAAAGTCTAATTATAGCTGTAAATTATACAGTGACGGTTGAGTGTCTCAAATTTTCCTAATGTTCATGCAAAGCTTCAACAGTTATGCAACATGTATGAAAAATAGTACACCACTCCCACACCTTCCTCTCTGTGGTCCACTCTTGCACACCTCTCCTGTTTTTAAAGTCCACCTTTGGCAGCACTACCACACTTACATAACTGATGTGTGCATCTATTGTTTCATATAAATGACCTTCAGGATTACTGGAACGACCAAAGCACAAACATACAGTATACTGATTTTAAATCAGAGCCTGATGTAATACACAAAAATATACAAACATGTTGAACTCCTCAAGTGCAGCATTGGCTTTTAGATTTATCTTTGGTCAAAAAAGGAGAAACAGCACTATGTGTTCAATTCATGAGCTTGTAAAGGTCAATTAATGAGGAGCCAAAACTCAAACAGTGGTCATGGTCTAAGGACCTTTAAATTTTGATTAGTTTTGTCTCCAAAAGCACAAATCTTATGATCGGATCACATGTTTCTCTGAGGACATAGCGATCCCTCTTTTTTCTATGTTTCCTATACCATGTTTTCTTCTTCAATGCCCTGAATTATTTACCAGAATATAAATTTCATGGCCCGACATATTTTGAAGAGCTGAAGGCATAAACAAATATGACCACACAGCATTGATAGCCACATTCATATGCAGCATGTTCTCATGAATTCACCTCTCACACCCTGGAAGGCCCGCCTGCCGCAGAAACCAAACAAGGCAAGTTTCTTCAGGACCACATGACGTCTTCCTATACATCTGTCCCTCCTCTCGGTTATTTCTAAGAAGAGTAAAAGGGGTTTTTGTGTGTGAGGGAAGTGGAGGACGTCAGTTTTGGGAATAATCTGGTGTTGAGCACAGGCATCCTGGCCAGAACAGGAAGAGGCTCCGTTTCCAGCTTCAGTGGAACAAAAAGGGTGGAGTCCAGTAAAAGCACACTCTTTTCATCCTACTATTCAATTATTCCCCCTCTGATCAATGAAACACTTGAGTTGATTTATCTACTGATAACAATGTGCATACTTGTTTGCCAGGAGCTTTAGTTAGTTAGTGATGCATTTTCCCTCTAAACGAATCCATGTGAGTTTAACTGGGGATATGAAGTGATTCAGAATGGGAGCCATGCAGAACAGAAGTTGTAAGAGTCAGACTTTTCTTGGCTGATTAATTTCTGACCCATAAACTTGGCCCCGGGTCTGACGTCATCCCTGCCTGCATTTTGAAGCCAGCAGAAAAGTTTGCATGAATGCACTCCATATTTCACTGGGAGCGGGTCCCTATGAGGCAGCATATGTCGGCTGAATTAAAGCATCAGACTGACCTTGAATCCTAGTGAGTGTACAACTGAGTGTATGTCTGATTACAGCACTTGGACACTCTTTGAGCACAGTAAAAGGTAAAGGCCTGTATATTATGGAAGATAGGGATTTTTAGTGTTGCAGTTTGCATTGATAGCACTGTTAAAATATGAAATTATGTTGTTTTTATTTGGAGCATGATCAATCAGTCTTTATTCTAGTCCAGACATAATATTCAGTTATATTTGCAAAGACCAGCACCAAGATTGGGTGAGACCGTGCTCCATCATTTAAGATCAGACCCACTCTGATCCCATCTCAATCCACCATGGGCATAACACTTAACAGCATTTATCAAGTCACAGAGGCAAGAAAAAACGTTCTTAAAACAGGTAGAAACCCTGTGCAGGACCAGACTCGTGTTAGACAATGATCTGCTGAGACTTATGGCAGAAGGTCTACAATGATAGCAAAGCAGTGATGGCATTTATAGGAAAGAATTTGAGGGCAAAAAAGGGGGGTTGGAGTTTGATCCATTAACGCTGACAGAGACAAAATTTCTACAATTAACAGTGATTAATTGGTGAAACTAATGCTTGTATCTGAAACAGCTGGAAAGCAGACAGGTCCACAACAGAAGGACGTTTGCAGCAGCAATCCAGAGGAACCTACAAGATGAGGGAGCTCAGGGACTCCTAGATAAGACTGTGATTATTCATAGTTTTTATCTATAAGTCAGTGAATAAAATTTTTCCTGATGTGGTTTCAGTGCGTTACTCTTCTCAGCTGTCATGAGCCAAAAAATTATGAGAAATGTAAATGAAAAAATAACATAAAAGCTACAACCAGATATTTTTTGTATTTTCTCTCTGAGAACTTAAAGTTCTTTACAGGTAGACTGGAAAGTTTTTCCACCAAATATATTAGAAATTACATCCTAGAAAACATAGAAATATGCATTTGATATCAATGCTTATTGCTCAGCTTTCCTGCTTATCAACAGGCTTTATTTAATACTTGCTAATCAAAGCCCATAACAACAATGATTAGTTTTATGCATAGGGATAGTAAGTACAGCAACTTAAGCAACAGCAATATATAAAACTAAATCAAAATGAAATGGGGTCACAAGAATTGGTTTGTTTGACACCAGAGGGTTAATAAAAGTCAAGAGTTATTACCAGAATTATCTCAACTCATCCTGCAGGGTTTGATCTGCACAAAATTCAAACTCCAGCAGCTGTCAAGACATTTCATGTTAGATTGAGTGTGAATCACCAGTCAGTGGGATTTATTTTATGTGGCACTTAACTGTCTGAAGCCATACATTGTACTCGTGCTCACAACTGCCAAAAAACTTTATTTCCCCATACAACCTCATTCATGGTCAGAACAAAAGTTAATGATGATGTACTGTGATGTATTTCTCCTTCACATATGATAAATGACTAAATTTAGAAATGTGTTGTGTCTGGATGTTTTCAGTTTTTCCAATGGTAACTGCTAACATAAATCAAGTTGCTGTGAAAAAAAAAGAGTACTTTCCAAGTATACAGAGTTGCACTTTATCTTTTATGGGTAAACATCATGTGGTTGCAATCATACACAGACGATTCCCAGTAGCAAGAGCATGAAACAAGTTTAGATCTGGGTTTTAGGGGGATTAGGGTTTTCACAAACCTTGAGGGAGAGTTGGGACACCAAAAATAAATTACAGACATTTATCAATACTGAGAAAGGAAAAAAAAAACTACAATTTAGTGCACAGACTCCTACAGAATACCCTTCCAGTTCCAGTTTAGCACTGTCATTGTTTTCTTCTTTGTCCCCCAAATAGACTCACCCAAATTTTTGTGCCTTGGGCTTTTGTTACACTCATTGAGGAAGTGGTCTGTGCTGTGCAGAGCCAGAGTCATCTAGTGCAACTTTCGTCTGCTGTTGTATGACTGCAGCCTTGTAGGCTCATAACCTGCTTCATGACCCATACTGTTATAATGAGGAAAATGCTGAGGAGTCTCAGCAGACTGTATTAGAGTCGGATTTGTTTTGATTGGAAAGCAGTAATTACTCAGTCTCTTTCGATATCTCTTTGACCTACACTGTAAAAAAAGGACTGTCAGCAATACTTCATATTTCAGGTCGACTCAGCTTAAAGATCTAATTTTGTCAAAGGGACATTATGTTGTTCTGAATGTTATAAAGTGAATGGTAAAGTGAAAATGATTGAACCAGCCCCACCACATGAATGGCCCCTTCTAGTTCAACCTGTACACCACACACATATTTTGTAGGCTCATTTTGATTTCTCAACTCGATTCAAACATCTTGCATAAGTTTGCATAGTGGCCCACAAATACAAATATGAATTTAAATTGGATTTGAGACTCAAAGCTGCAACTTGAGCCTCTAGAGATACAGAGGAATTCCTGAATCCTGTGAAAACCATCTGCAACAGTCCCACACACATTCCTGCTAATGCAAATACACAAGCAACGTGACACACTTCCTTTCACACAATGGCTGAGAGAGTGGGGCAGGCAGGAAGAGAAACCGGAGAAAGAGAAACACGGGGAAGCAAATGAGGGTCAAAGGAAACATGTGGGACATCTTTCCAGCTGGGAGCAGAATGCAGAAACTTCCTATCACGTCCATTATGGCAGCATGTGACGCATCTCTCAGCGTTAGTATATCTGATGAATCTGAGAGCAAAAATGACTCATTGCTGATAGTCAGAATGTCATCAGGAAAAAAAGTTAATGGATGGAGCTGGACACCAGTGATACACACACACACACAGAGGTCCTGTTTCATCTCATGACTAATGCTGTGTGTATGCCGCGTGTCGCTGGGAGTGCAGACTGAGGACTTCTTCAAAAGTGAGGTTTATTTTTAGGGTGCTTCACATCTGCCACTGGGTAATAAACAAGCTAAGCAGAGCCTCCTGAAACCAACCTGGAGTAAGCTGAATATCCTTCTGTCACAGCTCAGCATGCAGAAGTATCAGAGGAGGCTTGCAGGGAGCATCGAGAGGCCGTGCACAGACTTCAAAGAATCAAACTGAATTAATTTGCTTGAATTTGTTGCGTTGAAGAAGCTGTGCATGGAGGTTTTGCTTTAAAGTCCAGAATATGTTTGTGCGTTTAAAATACATGTCTAATAAGTGGGTGAGCTGAGAGACAGGACTTTATGGATGAGGCATTTTATAATGAAAAGCTATTACAAGACCAGATCATAAAAACATTTACAGACTCGCCTCTTGAGATACATTCTCTGATAAACCATCAGATGTCAAAGTTTCAGCTTCTGAATGATTCATCATGTTGCCAGTTATCTGCAGGATCTTATTACAGAGATGTACAGGCTTACATTGATCATATGGGAACAGGAGATAGCAGCCGCACAAATGCCTCAGTGTCAGCTGCGTTTTGCCATCTGCTTTATGCGCTCCATTTAACTGAATTGATGAAAACTAGGGAATAACCCCTGAATACTCTCATGCTTTAACATTCACGCCATTAAAAATGTTGACTTTCTCCACATGATGTGATCGCAGGCATCCTGCAGACTCTCTCTCGTGAGGGAAACCATTACAGAACACGTTACGGCATTTAAGTGTTGATTGCCAACAGACTGTCAGTCTGATGCCTATGCAAATGACAGCACCATGACAGGGGTCATTAAATCTTGGTGATTATTTAGAGAGCTAATGGTGGTACATAATGATCTTGTGAAATGACTCTCCAGGCTGCAGTGGGGAAGAAGATGCATACAGTCTGAAAGCAGCGGGAAGGCAGGAGGAAAGCTGAGCGTGACACAACAAAGCCTCAGCAGAAAAGTTTGCTTTAGTTGTTGCCACTTGTTAAAACCTCTTTACTCCCACCTCTGATGTGAGGCAATCCTTCTTATAGAGCCAGATTGCACAGAAACACACCTAATGGCAAGATTCCCACATTTGGGCAATTTGTATTTTTGAAGTCTACTAGTTAAACAAGTTAAAGATGGAGAACGTCAAAACTATGATCCAAAAATGATGGACAGTACACTGTTTAGGGAATTAGCATCATGACTCATAGATTTGACATGATATGCCCTAGCGCTTGAGGAGTTTTCAGCTGGTCGTGAATCAGACTGAAATAAATACTATTGCCTCTTTATGACTTACATAGGCAAATAAGACCAACAGCAAACAGCGGGAATTCTATATTTTTATTTTTGGTACCAGAAACTGTTGCCAAAAGGTGAGTGTCACGATAAATGATAAACCTCACACTGACTAAACAGCCTTTATTTACAATTTCCTTGTCAAAGATTTACAGTAGTTGATTAATTAAAAGACAGAAAGATGACATACGATACGAAAGATAAAAGCTCCAGAAACAAAGAGGTACTTCTTTGTCCACAGCGGGAGCCAAATTCGCCCCAAAACTGTTTTAAAGATACAGATATGACAGTCGTGTTTGTCTTCTTATCGTACTCCTGTCTGTAGAATTCCAGCAAATTTCCAAAGATTTTGAACTCTTTCTCAAAGCCTTGAGCTGTTTCATCTCATAAACAATGCATGCCTGCATCACAGGCTTTGTTTTAATAAAAAGAATGAGGAACAGCCTGGAAAATGATTAAATCAAATGCCAAACACAGCTATCCTGCACTGAAAATAGAAAGTACTGCCCCTGAGACATCCTCCCCCAGTGATGGCCAAATGCTTCAAGAGGCTGTTTTGGCTCACATCAAGGTACCCTCCCTGACACCTCAGACCAGCACCTACAGGGAAAAGAGATTAACAGGGGATGCTATCAACCTCAGCCTCCATATTTAGCCTCATAAGACACAAATGTCAGGTTGATCTCTGGGGAACAGTTTTCGTCTTAATTTTGTCAGAATTTCCACACTGTTGGTTTGAGTTCCATAACAAAAACTCCTGGACACAAGTATTTGCATCATGGTTCGCTAACCAACCTCCCCTCAGACTGTCAAGTCAGGATAGCAGCATCATCCAACCCCAGTCATACGTACTCACCCTTGACTATGCTATCAGGAACAAGTCAGGGCACAGTGTATTCCCCATGGACACTGTGGCATGTGGATTACAGGAGCTGGGATATGCTGACTCTACCACAGAGCCAAATCTACGAGCTCTGCAAAAACAAAAGAAAGGAAGAGTGTCAATACCAGCAGCACTTGCAAGGACCAGAAAGACGGTCTTTAATATGGTTCTCAGCATCTTGATAACACAGCTGCATACAGCTGAGCTCATCTATTTGGTCCATATTTGAAGAGATAGTTGCAATAGTTGTATAATCATGAAGAGTCAAATTGATTTCCTTGTGTTGCTGTGTTGTAAAGCACCAGTAAAAACACATTACAAACCAGCAGAGATTTGTGTGTAAAATGCAGATCACTGAAGTCTGACAAATGTGGTTGATCAGCTCTCTGATATCACATATTTCTGAAAAGTGAACTGTCTAAAAACTCCTTCAAAACACCCCAAAATATTTTTCCAGAGATATGAGCACTGCCTCAAGCTGAAGCGAATTTTCCTTAATGCCTTTTCTCAGTTTGACATCATCATGTCGTGCAGTTTTCTCCTCTGTGTTTTACAGCCTCCCTGATGTGCAGCGACAGGCCCGTTTATCCTCCATTAATCTCTATGCTCTGCTTTTACCCCCCACTTAGTGCTGACGTTTATCCTATTAATGAGTTGTTTTCTGGGTGGAAAAAATCCCCCTGTAACATAATCCAGAGTCAGGGGTACTAATGTGGGTGTGAGCTGATGCTATGCTGTGTGGTTGCCATGGAGCCAGTGAACAATTGATCATATAATAAAACCATTACAGAGAGGGTGGTTAAAGACTTTAAGACTGAGAGAAAACAAGATGGAAAAACAGTGAGAGTTTGAGAGTATGTCATCTTGTTGGTTGGACTTGGTCACAAACATGGACTTTTGTGTAACAGTAAAAATGTTGGATTTTAAAATGCTGCCCCCTCCTGTTCATTTGCAAAATTACAAATTTGTTTTGTTTGCAAGTTGCATTGGAAAGGAAAGAGTATTTTTTGTCAATGTCAAAAGCTTTTTGTTTTGTAAATGGTATACCAAGTTGTTCCCATAAGTCATGGTTAAACAAGATTTTAAAAAATCTTGTACGTCCTTAGAAAGACAGGTATATTAAAGCTGAATAGTCTACTTGAAGTATATCGCTGTAATAACTTATTTTGTTGTCTCTTTATTGTACAGCTCTTTTTAAAATACAATAATGCATTAATAGTATCAAATTAAATTGTAAATAGTTCATACAGGACACTTTCCTCACCTTAATTTTCATATCTTTAAGTAAATTTTACACATACTCATGATAGGACAGGACAGGACACAGTATGATACAAAAACTTTAGATACAAAACAATACAAAATAATACAAAACAATGCAATATAATAAAAGATACAATACACAATATGATAAATGTGAAATCCTTTAGGGAACCTTTTCTTTTACTAAGTATAAAGCAATTTGTCCTTTTTTTAACCAAAATAGTTGAATACTTCTTCACTCATGAAGAATAGCAAAACTTGTGTCACGCTACTTAAAATAAACACAATCAACACTGGAATATTATCTTTTGTCACATCTTTACATTTATCCTAAAACCTTTTGCAACATAAGATAGTTGTTGTTAAAGGTTTTTGATGGGTCAATTTGTAAAGGCTCTCTGGTGCCTTTACATTGGCTATAGTGTGGAAAAATACCCATTTAGTTGCCCTGATAGGCTATAAAATGCAAAGAAAGTGCATTACATGTGCCCTTCTAGAGGTTAAAATATATTTCATAAAAGCCCTTTGGATGCCCCTACAGTATGTCACATGACCGGACTGCTCTCTAGGTAATCTGTTTAGATTATATTCTTATCGTATGTTTGTAATAAATCAAGATTTGTCAATGCACATTACTTATTGTTAATTTTGCAAATGCAATGACAAAAACTTAAAAAGTCCATTGTTATTTGGCCCTGGCACATTTCCCGAGCTGGCTTGTTCCAGAGATGACCGCTAGGTGGCAGAGTAGCTCCGTCCTGCTGTGACCGGATATGACTCGCGGTGATCTCGGCTCTCCAGCTCCCAAACTGAGGGCGTTTTTCCCTCAATCTTGACTCGAGTTTTTTTCTTTCCTGGGTGTTGCCTGCCTAGACTCCAACTTTGGAGTTGCACGGGGTGTTGCTGAGTGGAACATACAAAGCGGAAAATCTCTTTTAAACCCACATTTTGAACTTTTTGGCTCGTGCTCTAGCTTTCCTAACTTAGCTGCCGTTGTATTTCTGCACGCGACGCAGGATTGATTTATTTTAGCCGCTGTTAGCTAGTTAGCTTAGCTAACTGAGCCTGAGCCGCAACTTCTTCCGATGCAGGCCATTAAGTGTGTGGTGGTGGGGGACGGGTGAGTTAAACCATTATCTTTTCCTCTCTTTAAAGTCGTATGTAAAGAGTTGTCCAGTTTCCTAAAAAGCCAAAAAGAAGGGGGCTAACACGGTTGTTTTGGTTGACCCAGTTACCAACAGTTGGCTCGCGGCTAACGAGCCTCAGAGATCACGATGAGCGACAGCTGTTGTTGTGTCGGTGTGCTGTTCAGTCCAGCTGGGTCAGACAGATTTATGCTCCTGTTGGGTGGGACAGGATGGGTCACAGCATGTCTTTTTTTTTAATATTTATCATATATATGTTTATTTAAAATGCAGTTTGCTTTGTCGGCGGCTACTTAATGGTCGACCAAAGTCGAAGTTTTCATGCTGTTTGGTTGGTACACATGTTGTGAACATTTTGTGTCAAGCTCCATTAGCCACTGAAAACTTGTGTAAAATAGTTTCGAAACATGAATAGAATAATAAGTATTGGAATTTCAATATCACTTATGGGCTATCTTTCAAACAAGGATTTATTTAAGCCAATCTCTGGCGGACCACTTGAAAACCCAAACTAAAACTTAAAAAGTTTTCAGCAATCCTCGATTACTTGTGTAGTAAGTGTTCGGTATTTAACTTGTTGTACATAAAGCCTCATTCATTTTCTTGTTCTGCTTTAAAATGTGTTACATAGTGTCACTTTTCCTCGTCTTTTAAGTATTTTTGTCCAGTCAAAAACATTTCAAAACGTGGAAAATCTACAAAAAGAATTTGCAGACAATTATCCAAAATGAATTATTGAATATAAGGTTAATTCGTGGCTTCTTGGTGTGTATGTATCTGTGGTTACAGACGAACATTAGTCCTCAAAGATTTCAATGTCATAAAAGTAATGGTAGAGTAAGGTGACTACCTAACAACCTTTGGATTGTTGAACTTTGTATTTAAAGCTTTGACTGTGCACTTCATTTCCCTTTAAACTGCTGTCATTGTTTTGGTGAATATTATCTATCTGTGAAGGACTATAAATACCTCATGGTTAATTCAAATACCCAGTCTTCACATACTGTGAAAAAGTTTCATGAATAAAGCTTGAAGCTTAACTCCACTGAAACAGTTTTAATCAGGCAGCACAGGTCAAACAGGGCTTGCTGGACTTGTTGACCTGTCAGGCAAACAGGTTCAGCTAACCGGTCTCTTTTGTAGAGTCATGTAATGTAATCAAAGCTGCAGTTGTATAGCTGCTCTCATCATCTTTCTCAATCTTTTCTCTTTTCCTTTTTTTTTTTTTTTTTTAATCTCAGGGCCGTGGGAAAAACATGCCTCCTCATCAGCTACACAACCAACGCCTTCCCCGGAGAATACATCCCCACAGTGTAAGTCAAACACACACACACCTCTTATGAACAGCTGTGACATGTGAAGAGTCAGCATTTGTTATGAAACGCAACAACGCCAGTGCAGTACCTCAAATCTTACATAACAGTGCTAATTGCCACAATGTTATTAACTTTGAAGCTGACCCTCCTCTCTACAGTTTTGACAACTACTCTGCCAATGTGATGGTTGATGGGAAACCAGTGAACCTGGGTCTGTGGGATACAGCCGGACAAGAGGACTACGACAGGCTCAGACCTCTGTCCTACCCACAGACAGTATGTTTACATCTGTGCATTCATTAAGAGTGGAGACAACTGCTCGTCTCAGACCACTAGGACCAGTTAGAGCCAGACAATGTTAGCGAGTACACTATGTTCACTTTCTGTAGCACTGATTCAGAGTTATTCACTAGCCTGAAACGCTGGAGAGAGAGTCTTTACCCTCAGCTGAGCAGAGCCTCGTATCCATAGTACCTATACACTGTCTGGAGGAAGTGAAGGGAGCTTTTGTTCGCAGTCTTTGTCTTTGTAACAAACTGGCCTCTGTGCCAAAGACTAACAGGGAAAAGAAATGAGAGTTAGCTTGTATTAAACTTACATAGTCCAGATTAGTCTGGTTTTGTGGTACCCCCCTTACCTTGAGTATTTTGGGTATTTCATAAGCACCAAAGAATTTTGATTATTTACTTAGGTTTGTCATAACTCTTGTCCAAAGACATTTGCTTTGTGATATTGAGGTCTTTGTATTTCCTCTCACAGGATGTGTTCCTGATTTGCTTTTCCCTCGTCAGTCCAGCCTCCTTTGAAAATGTCCGTGCCAAGGTAAGAGGAACAGGTTATTCTTTCTGTCTGTTACAGCAAATTGGGCTTTTTTTTTCATTTAATTCCATAGTACACAAAATGTATTTGATTTAAGGATAAGCAAGTTGTGTTACGCAAGGGGAGAAAGAGGGTATTTTTTCATCAAATAAAAAAAAAAAACCCTCTTTCTCCCCTCATAAATGTCAAAACTGGGTTTATTCCTAGTAGGTCCAACCGATAAGGATTTTTTGGGGCCGATGCCGATACTGATTAACATCGGGAAGTGGGTTGAACTGAAACTTGTCGACTTATTGTGTATTTCACAAACTAGTTTATTTACCGTTGAGGCGGACCACTCTCCTCTGTGCGTCCCTGATCTGTCTGCTTCAGATCCGTCACTCTTCTGTGCTGTGAGGTAGTTAGTGGATGAAGATTGTCATAAGGTCGCTGCGCCATCTACAGTATAAATCATGGAACTTTTCAAATGGTGGAGCATTTTTGAAGTGAAACCGAATCTTATTCTCCGCATTTTATTTCTGAAAATATCGGCGAAAATCGGCGAGTTTTGGTCAATTACCGATTAGTCTCCAATGGACTAAAATTGGCCGATTTAATCGGCTCGCCAATAAATCGGTCGGGCCCAAATTCCTAGTCCAATTATCATGATATATAGACTGAGTTCAGATTCACCTCAGTCCATTTTTTAATATTTCTCGGCATGTTAGGCGTCGTATATCATATTATTATGTGTTTTTTTAATTTTAAAGTTACTGTAGGGGAAAGATTCAAATTAAACGTCTTTTTTGAAGATTCAGAAACTGCTGTTGGATAACCACAGGAGCAGAGATCCCTCATGTCTGTATCAGTTTGTGTGCTTGAGGTCTCAGAGGGTCACATTGTTTTGAATTCAGATAATAACAAAAAAAAAACTGAAAGTAATCTGTCTGCCATACTGTCCATCTGCATCCTTCAGCCTCTGTCTCTTTCTCCTCCCTTAGTGGTACCCTGAGGTGAGACACCACTGTCCCAACACACCTATCATCCTGGTGGGCACCAAGTTGGACCTGAGAGACGACAAGGACACCATTGAAAAACTCAAGGAGAAGAAACTCTCCCCCATTATCTACCCCCAGGGCTTGGCCATGGCAAAGGAAATAAGTCAGTTTACATACACACACAGAAAAAAAGTGAAATATTTATTCTGAATCTGTGAGAGTCTCATATACAGATTTCTTTAAGAGAGTAATGGAAGTTAGTGTCAGAGATCATGCCTTCAAATGTTACCTCAAAAGAGCCAAAGTTGCGATTTTAAGCTCCGGTACAGGGTCCCTGAAATACTTGATCCCTTCATTACTTTAAAAGGTGTTACATTTATATATATATACACATATCAAATAAAATAATCACACTTGCATATTGCTAGTAATTGAAGCAAATTCTGTCAGTTATTTGAGATCAGTAAAAACTTTAGTAGGAAAAAGACCCTTCAAAACCAAACAAAATTACATACATTTCAGATATTTCTTTTAGTGAAAGTTTAAGATGAAGAAAATCACATTTTGTTCTCTCATTTTGAAATCTTGTGTACCCCAGAATGGATAGTCTTTGAGAAAATACAGAGCAGAGTCAATTTAAGCTTCAAATCAGATTATTTGACTGCTATTATATCATACAAGCAACAAAAAATTGATTTGCCTCTTTCTCCTTTCTTTAAATGTCTTTTTTTCTATTACTTTCAGGTTCAGTGAAGTATCTGGAGTGCTCTGCTTTGACGCAGCGTGGCCTTAAGACGGTGTTTGACGAAGCCATCAGGGCGGTCCTGTGCCCCCCGCCTGTCAAGAAGAGGAAGAGGAAGTGCACATTATTGTAATGGTGAACCACAGGGATCTGAAAAATCATGGCTGCAGTTAGAACTCACCTCCTCAAAGGGAAGAGGACTGGGTTCCCCAAAATTCTATTCACCCCCTGTGTCCTTGCTTGCATAGAAGCTCTGATAGATCAGACATCCATCTGAAAGAACTTGACAGATTTAAGCAGAGCGGACAGTTTTTGGTCGGCTTCAGTTTGTCGTGGCTTGTATCTGTTAGGTTTGCTCAGATTGGCAGGAATGAAGTGACTTTGCTATGGCCTTGGGGAATACGGGTGGGGGGTTGTAAATGAAAGAAGCGGGAGGTTTAAAAAAGAAACTTGTCACTGTCCTGACATTGTGAAGAAACATTACTTGAACATAATTTTTATGACATTAGCATAGATTTGATTCCATAAGAGAAGGATTTCCTGCACTACACTTTCTCCCCTTTACACTAAGAGATTCCTGCTGCCTTGATGAAACTTTAAGACATTATTTTTTAGAAACTCTAATTTCTCCTTTTTCATGGTCAGTCTTTGGTCTCAGCTGTGATTGACTAACCATTTTGTTTACATATGTCATACAACCTTGTCTGAGGTGTTGCCAAAACTCAGTCAACGGTCTTCACTATGTAGTCACTCCATGAACACTAAAATGTTGTTTCTCTTTCTTTTTAAATCTTTAACATGTACAAGACACCAATATTTAGACATATTTTAACCCATAGAATACTTAAAATGTTTAGCAGTAACAAGTATTTAGATATCAACAGGTTATTATCTTGTTTTTTGTTTCTGAAAGCTCCCCAGGTGTATCCATTGTTCATTTTCTACTGTGTTTTGAGTGAACATAGTATTGAATGACGGATTGTTGGACATGTGAAAGCGCAGTGCAGCCTGTGTTGTACGAATTCATTATCAGTCACACTGTAAAAGAAAGTGCTCCAGATATGCAGGCTTTTTTTTTTTCCAGTATTTGATCTTCATATTCATATCGCAATGGTGTATAACCTTACATCTGTTTTGATGAAGTCAAAGAGCCGGTGTATTAACACTTGAAGATTGACGCTTGTGCATTGTGTTTGTAACTATTCAGCACAGTCATTTTGTTTATAAATGAGCGATGAACAAAGCCAGTTATTCAGGACTCATCGGATTGGTGTTTCACTTTCAGAGCTCAAAATACACGCTTGGCTTCATTATTTGCTAAATGTGGATTCATTTTCATTTAGTAGAATGACGATTTTTTAAAAAAAGCAAATAAACTCACTGAAAATGCTCAGTTGTATTTAATTCTTTTGTTCAGACAATGAAGTATCCATACTTTTTTTCCAGTTACTGTCAAAGTGCTCGTTTTTTATCCATTAGTGTTCAATACAATTTATTGTCATCATACAAAGAAAGCATAAAAATCCCCACAAGCTCTTTTAAGCAGATGCTGGCCAAACCTTCCCACAACAACATTTAATCCATTACTTGCTCTATTCAACAGAAGTAGAGTTGGTCTTCAGGTGGATGGGCAGTTTGGTCCTAGAGTGGAAATGCCCTTGAGTAAGACACTGAGCCCCAAATTGCTCATGGTGGCATAAAACAGCAGCCTCCACCTTCGGTGAATGATTGTAGCATGAATAGGGGAGTAAGACATGTAACATAACACAGAGCGACACATATCCCCGGTTTAACTGGTAAACACCCAGGGTAAGCTTCAGCTTGCTAACAATCTTGCTGAAAAGAGTTATCTTGTTGACGTGCCAAACTAAACACACTCCTATGGTAAACATGGTAACTGATTTGCAGAAAGGGTTGAAGGCCTTTGTATTAGCATGATACTAAACAGGTGTCCAAAAGTGTCAGAACCAACGTATGAAACGGAAATGAAAGAAAAAAAAAATTTCTCATCTGCTGTAAATTTAAGATGGTAGAAGTATGAACCCTAACAAATAGAAAGATAGCATTTAAACATGCTCATGTTAGCATGTAGCTTAACCCTCACTGCTGCCAAGGCTTGAAATCACTACTCAAAAAATGATAGGAGCAAATTAAATAAATATGATTATCTCCAATTATTGACCACAGCACCAAACAACTGAGTTTACTTAATGCATACTCTATGTTCTCTAAAGATATATCTGGTAAAAGAAGAGTAATTGTTTTTGACAGATTAAAAATGCAAAAAGTTGGACAAAATAACAATTTAGTCTACTAGTGTTAAACCTTCATTTTATTATCTTAAATTAGCTTGAGTTCTGTGAATCTTCTGTGATCAAACTGTGTGTAGCTTGTGTGCTAAAGGCCCAGGTTGAAACTTCATAGTTTGAGCTTCATCGTCTGCTGGCTTGGTTGGCGTTCCATTTGTCCAACACCAATTTGGCAGACACCGCATCTTCAATTCCCATTCCTGTTATGTAGAAAACAATTGAGTTTACACTGTGAAGTGTTGCAAATGTGATAAATCAGAAAAAAAAACACATGCATTAAGCAGGTATTACCAAGTGATTTGAACACAGTTGTCTTATCTCTGTATGCAGGTTTTGTCCCATTAACTACATCTCCAATCTCTGCAAACACCTCAACCTGAAACATTAGATCAACAATACAGATTTTTCTCAACACATATTCTGCAAATAGAGTAAAAGCTCATCAACCTGACAGACTTACCCCTGAAAGGATAACATCACCAGACTCAGCCAGCGCTCCCTCCCTGCTGTCAGCATACACCACAGCCCCCTTCATCAACACATCATCCAGCTCCCGCCAATTTGGCCTACAGGCTCCCACAGCTGCCAAGAAACAATGGATGAGTTTTTTTTTTTTTTTTCTGTGATTTTCAACCAAAAAAATCTAAAAGTTCCACTTACTTCAGGATTTATTTTGTTTGTGTGGCCATTATTTTTGTCTCACCTGCTACATGTGCCCCTGGTTTGACCCACTGACCAAACAGCACTGGCTCTGTACACCTGGTTACTGTCACTATAGCATCTGCTCCCCTCACTGCCTCCTCCACTGAGACACACAACGTCACCGGACCACTGACAGATTTGCAAAACCTCTCTGCATTTTCTCTTGTGCGGCTCCACACACGGACCTGTGAAAAAAAAACCAAGGCGGAGAGACAAGTTGCTTTAAACGACATGTTTTTCTGTTGGTTCAGTAGTTGAACTTTTTGGGGGTTTAGGTTATTTTCTCTCATCCACGATTAAGTTGAATCAATTCATAATGCTGTCACTTCTGTAATCTAAACTGAAAGTTCAGCTGCATGGCTTGGCATGGACTCTGTAGACAGAGTAAGACAGCTGACTTGACTCTGTCCACACACAACAAATCAAAGTCTATTATTGACTCTGATATCCTTTTTTTATTTCTTCAATCTGTTAGTTTTCATCTGCTCTGGAAATTTTTCTCTGGTGATTTCGACCTGAAGTGGCTTTTTAAAGGGAGTAATCGTGGCTTACTTAAAGGGACTGAAGTGGGTATTTGTGTGTAAGAGACTAGATTTCAGCTACACACTAAAATGTATTCATATTTCATTGTATAAAATAAGTGAGACATGGACCAGTCAATTACTATCTTATTTAACAGACAAAATCAGGTCAGGTGTTAAACCTCTCTGAATAACTTTCAGACTCACTGGAGTCTGACCATGTAACCAGCAGCGACCATAGAAAACAACCACACAATGCAAAACCAGAGTCTGTCAATGCACAACCCCCTGTTAAAGCACCTCTTGCTTCTCATATCCTTTCCCCCCGGCAGTTTCATTAACGTGGTTTAAGTTTTGACCGTTTAGCAATAGACAATTCAACCAATCAGCTCCTAGCAGTGTTTTTTATTTTGAAATATTAAAGCTACTGTGAGAAATTTTCAGCAGGTCATGAAACAATGAAAGGTGCATCTTCATGACTGACTCAAACAAACAAAACCATTGGCAATCAAGTTTGCTTTTCTTAAAATGTTTTTTTAAATGTCTGAAACCAGTGTAGCAGGGTAAATATAATAGGAAGTAAACCTCAGAGAACAGCAAAAATAAATTTGTTTTACATTCTACTTTGCAAAAATATCTGCAAATCTATGTATACAGTGTCTATAAAAGCAGAATATGATGTTTGCATCACAATACTACTTTGTTCAGAGGTGGCACAAACCAAGTTTCTCAGATGAGCTTTAAACAACAAGTTTGTTTTGATTTAATGAAGATGCAAAACCAACTTTGTATGCGAGTTGTTCCTCTTTCTCAGTCCCATGCATATCACATAGGACCATGTTTTACATTATTTTACTTCACCCCAAACCACAAGATGAAACAGGCTTCAGTTCAGACTTACTGTTCAAATATTTTTGTCTTAAAGGAATATTGCGGCGTAAAATTAATTTAGGGTCAAACACACTGTAACACAAAGTTAGACACCCCTTCAAGAGATGAATGTTGCCGACTGCTTGCTTCTCTAGTTATACCAACTTTGGTAAGGACTGCACGATAGCAAAACACAGAGGAGCCATTAACAAACCTCAACCAAAACACCACTCTACAGCCACAAATAATGTTCAGAACAGCACCTAACTTCCCTAGTTAGGTGCTAACCTAATTACGGAAGCTAACTATAAACATAACTACAAACATTTTTTTAAATTTGCCTGATTTCTTTAGCAAAGAGACTAAACACAACTCAGCTACTCTCTTCCAGCAGCCGCTTGTTTGTAGCATGGGGTGATGCAGCTCAAGGAAGAACATTTATGATGAAGTTAGGTGCTGTTCTGAGCATTATTTGTGGCTATAGAGTGGCGTTTTAGTTATGGTTTGTTTATGGCTCCTCAGACCGCTGTGTATCGCTATTGTGTGGTCGTTACGAAAGTTGGTACAACTAGACAAGCAAGTGGTCGGCAACAATCATCTCTCGAAGTGGTGCATAACTCTGTGTTATGATGTGTTTGACCCTAAATTAATTTTACGCTGGAATATCCCTTTAATTACCTCTTTGAAAGAAAATATTTCTGTGAAGACATTGTAGTGACTCAGGGCCTCTTTGCCAGTCCCCAGGATGGCCAGAATCTCAGCTTCAGGGCGCATTAGCAGCTGGGAAACAAAACCACAGAAAGCCAAAGAAAGGTAACAGCATTTGAACAAAAGTTTAAGAGCAGAAAGTGAAAGTAGATGTTTCCAAAATCAAACATAAAAAGACCTTGGCAGAGATGGCTGAGGCTGCAGCTGTCCTCATGCTTGTGATGACTTTTCCATCTATGACCTGCAGGATGGAGACGCTCAGATTGATAAAGCTCACCCACTTCCTCGAGAATATCTTGAGCTTTTTAACATTTAAGAATCAGAGGTACTTATGGGGTGCCGTTTGTAAAGCAGCCCATTATAAAAACAACAGCAAGATTTGGTCACATTTAGCAAAACAACAGCAAGATTTAGTCACATTTAGCTTCAAACAGCATTTAAAAAAGTGATGTGAATTTTCGGCAGTCATTATTTTGCGCATTTACAACAACATTTAAATACTAAAACTAAATGTTAAATGTTAAATCTAAATGCTAAATATAAATCTTAAATATATATGTTAAATCTAAATGTTAAATCTAAATCTAAATGTTAAATCTAAATCTAAATGTTAAATCTAAATGTGTTGGGCGAAACTAAATATTTAGCTAATATGCAAATTCACGGTCGGAAACCGGAAGTGCCAAAATAAAAGCTCCAGAAGACTATTAGAAAGACTCGAGTTTTCAGTGTCGCTTCTCCGTATGGCGCGGACACTGTACGAACCATAGACTGTATATAAGATACATATATGTAGCATATACATATATACTTATATACAGTCCATGGTTTCGAACCCCGGCTTCCTGCGTCCCAGTCGTCCGCGTTACCCGTATGGCCAAAGCACTTCATGAATAGATAAGGTGCCATGGAGTATTATGACGTGTGCGCCTGCATGTGTTTGTGCGTGTGTTCGTACAGTGTCCGCGCCATACGGAGAAGCGACACTGAAAACTCGAGTCTTTCCAATAAAGTTTTTGTTGTTGCTGTCGCTATTGTAGGTAGTTATTAACACGAAACGTCACCCCAAGTATTTGTTCCCCCCTTAAATTGGTTTTAATTCGTTTTCTCCGACACAGGAATCATCAATATGACCTTCTGGAGCTTTTATTTTGGCACTTCCGGTTTCCGACCGTGAATTTGCATATTAGCTAAATATTTAGTTTCGCCCAACACATTTAGATTTAACATTTAGATTTAACATTTAGATTTAACATTTAGATTTATATTTAACATTTAGATTTATATTTAACATTTAGATTTATATTTAACATTTAGATTTAACATATGTATTTAAGATTTATATTTAGCATTTAGATTTAACATTTAACATTTAGTTTTAGTATTTAAATGTTGTGGTAAATGCGCAAAAAAATGACTGCCGAAAATTCACATCACTTTTTTAAATGCTGTTTGAAGCTAAATGTGACTAAATCTTGCTGTTGTTTTGCTAAATGTGACCAAATCTTGCTGTTGTTTTTATAATGGGCTGCTTTACAAACGGCACCCCATAGGTACTCTCGTTTTACTTACAGCCTTTACATTCCCATACTCGGGGTCCATCAGCACCACTGTAGCTTGAGTAGATGGCAAATTTGAACCGTCCTCCCTTTTGTAGAAACAAAGTAGCTTTGTGCTCAGGATTCCATCAATCTCCATGTACGTTGGCATCAAACCCATGAAGCTGTGAAAGTGACAGTGTGGCAGACAGCAACATACAGTCAAGTTAAAGATGCAGCTGCCACAACAATGAGACTTGAATTCGACATCCAGGCTTACCCATTATGTTTCCGCAGAGGCAAGGTGGTGCGCACAGGCTGAATCACCTCTGCGGTGTCCCGTCTGGAAAACTTGCCCAAAGCTTCCTCCAGGCGTGGAATCAGGTCCTTGTAATGCAGCAGTTGCGCTACTTCATGGTCCGATATGATCACAGGTGGAGCAGCCATGGCCTTGGGAAGACGACTGAGTGCAGAAACTTCAGATAGAGGGTGTTGTCTTTAATTGGACCAAAGTTCATGTTGAGGACTGTCATACATGCATTCAAGAGCCGTAGAAAGGTTTTTACTACAAAGAGGGCATGCACGTGCTGTTGTTACATGAACAAACCATGATTTGAAAGTTTATTGTACGGAATTATAATTGACACAGTGGAAAGCACAGTTACACTGTTTTTATGTTCAGAACAACACACCGAATTAACTGGAGTTCGTAATTTTGCGCAGACAAAGGTATCGTATATCCGTACATTTTTGCACCTGTCTATAAAGATACGTTTGGGTAAGTTTTGATGATTTTGGACACATTATGCTACCAAGACATTGAGATTTCTATTATTTAATTGTCTTTTTCTTCCCTGCGATGACAGGCAGCCTTCAAGTATGCAACATTTCATAGACAAATATATTTTTTAATGAAAATATAAATAAAAGTGATAACAATGGCTCAATCTCAATCAGTACATAAACCTAACTCAATGAACAGACCTTTGACACCGTAGTACAGGCCAGGGGTGGGCAATCAAGTGCCATGGAGGGCCAAGAGGCTGCAGGTCTTCTTTCCAACCCAAAACTCCACCAGGTGATTTCACTGATTAGTCCCTGCTCTCTGCTTGGAGGTAAGGTAATCAGTGAAATCACCTGGTGGAGTTTTGGCCCTCCATGGCACATGATTGCCCACCCCGCCATAGTAATACGATTCGGGGGATTTTTCTGTATCAATAGTGAACACCTTTCATGTCATACTACTGATTGAAAGAGTTTGAATGTTGGATTTTGACTTGCAGTGGAATAAATTCATATTCCTGTATAAACACTGAGTTTTCTCACTACTAAAAAAGGCCTTTGGCTGAGCTGTTAAACTCATGCAATTAAATGTAGATTTACTATTTCACATCCATTACCTTGGACTGTTTAATTATTTACAGTATTTCATCACGTACAGTACAGGCCAAAAGTCTGGACACATCTTCTCATTTAATGCATTTTCTTTATTCTCATTACTATTGAAATTGTAGATTCTCACTGAGGGCATCAACACTATGAATGAACACGTGGAATCATGTGCGTAAGAAAAAAGTATGAAATAATTGAAAACATGTATTATATTTTAAATTCCTCAAAGAAGCCACCCTTTGCTTTTTTGATTGCGCTGAAAACTTTTGCTGTTCTCTCAATGAGCTTCCTGAGGTAGTCACCTGAAATGGTTTTTACTTCACAGGTGGGCTTTGTCAGGGTTACTTCTGTCATCAAGAGCAAAGGGTGGCTACTTTAAAGAAACTATAATATAAAACTTGTTTTCAGTTATTTCACTTTTTTATAAGCACAAAATTCTACATGTGCTCATTCATAGTTTTGATGCCTTCAGCGATAATCTACAATGTAAATAGTCATAAAAAAAATAAAGAAAAGACACTGAATGAGAAGGTGTGTCCAAACTTTTGGCTTATACTGTATATAGTATAACTCAAATATATATTGTTTAGTGCTCAGTGTGTGGTATTGTTCATGCTTTGGCAATATTTGTTGACTTTCATGCCAATTACGCTCATTTGAAAGATTTACTTACAGGGTTAAAAATGTAAGTGAAAACACAAAGAATCAAATAAAAAAATCCATGTTAAAATAAAAATGTTTTAATACGCCAAAATGATACACTGAAGTCAACTTACTGTCCTAAAATATAAAAAACAATTAAATTCTCTCCTCATGCAGGAATTTCTTTTTCATTTGACAACAGATGGAAAACTGGGATTGATCTCCCTCTCTTTTCAATACAATTCTATCATATCAGTGCAACAAAAATTACACAAGAAGTCTCTCAATAGCCATCTGAGCAGACTGAATCTGTGGTTTGAGCTGAGACCCCTCCTTTATGGTGACTGAGGTAGCAATGACGGGGCGAGACACCCCGCAGGCTCGGCCAAGAGCCTGCTTAGAGCGAACGAACACATATGGGACGTTCTTGTCCTCACAGAGGAGAGGCAGGTGGAGGATGATCTCCAGTGGTTCAGCATCAGCAGCCATCACAATGAACTCAGCAATGCCTCTGTTCAGAGTCTTAGTGGCTGGAGGAGAAAAGGAAACTATGGTTAGTATTCCCATCAAAGTCATGCATCATTTCCTTGACTATAGCTGCAGAATGGTAATCCCTTGAAAGTAAGAAATCCATTATCAAGACACTTTCTCCCGCAGAGAAACTATAAGAAGTGAAATTAGTTTAAACGGTCAATGTTTAAATTGATATTTCAAACATTACATAGAAATCATGTTTGTAGTTGTCTTAGCTTGTGATGGCACCACGTTTCACACCAACTTAACCACACAGAGGACATATTCAGTAGAAGTTATCAAATGGCCACATACTTCTCAACCAATTCTTAATTTGTGATCCGTCCCAGTACATAGCTTACCTTCATTTGCCCCCTTTCTGAGCTGCTTATAGTTGGAGGCTTGCTGCACCAAGTCCAGGATGGTCTTGGTCAGCGTGGCGTCGGCCAGTGGGTAGGCCTTCGGGTTCACTTGAGGTTCAGCCTAATATTGGTAAACAAAATACAATGAAACCACGTTAATTGCGTTGGAATATGATTTAGTTGACAAACGCGAGGGTCTCGCAGGGTAAAGGTTACTTTATGCTTAACCTACTTTCCCCAGCACGCGTGTAGCTAGCTTGTTTGTTAGCATGTAAGTTCATTCAGATTTCAGCACTCACCATAGTTAATGTTTTTTTCCTTCTCCGGCCCTCTCGGCGAAATGCTTCACGGAGGCCTAATTTGTTTCCTCTAAATCTGAAGTAAAACGAGACTTAATGTACGGATTTATTTCGCAAAGTATTCTTTTGTGAAGCTACGTACTATCTCCAACAGAGTTGCATGCAGCTTGACTGAACGTTTACCACACGTGTGAAGTTCTGCACATGCGCACTGGTAACCCACTGAAAAAAAAAAAAACGACAGGAAGTGCATTTCGTTTGCGTGTATGCTTTGTTCATACTTCATAGCGTTACATTTTCTGTTTTTTATTATGAGTACATTCAGATAAATGACTGTAATAAAAATGATAATACTATAAGGTACTCTTGAAGTTATGCTACATCAAAATATTTTTTCAAAAGACATAAAACGAATTATTAGTCCTGGAAAATAAACATTCAGAGACCCATTTTAGTATTCCATTTTATATTTAAAAAATCTTTGAAAATATATTATTCAAATGCAAATTATATTTGACAATGATAATAAAATGAAATAAAAATAAATCAATAAAAAAGATTGTAGTACTTGCCGACGTGTCTGTTCGTCTCCGTAGCAACAGAGGGCGCGCGCTCATTTGATCTCAATTGTACTTTTGCGAGGCAAGGGACACGCGGGGCATTCTGGGTAGGGCACTTTCACGCCGGCCATATTGCTCCATCGTCCTGACCGAAGGAGAGAGGGGAGATGAAGGGGATCCGGGGAATCAGCCAGCTCTCGGTGAGACTTTAATTCTTTAATCTAGGCTAGGATGTTTCGGTAGAGCCGCTGACACACCGCTCTCCTGTTTCGGTCATTGTTTTAATCTGAATAGGTGTCAAAATTCGGGGTCGTGTCAGGACGAGGTGTGATGAGGGGCTGTTGAGGAAACAGCTGAAGCTTGGCACGGAGAGCTCTTAAGTAACCAGATCTAAACCAGCAGATAACCAGAACACTAACCACTTAAACCATGTCAGCATACATCAAAGTCACCCATGGTCTACCTTATAAACTGTACTCGGGGTTATAACGCCTATTCCTTGAGGCAGTTTGCATGTAAGAGCATCTTTATTTACTACCGTGTAATGTTGGCGACAGCCGAAGCCTGTGAGGAGATGCTTACAGTTTATTTCTACTTACAGAGGTATATCCTGCTTATTGTACTTAAAAAATCATTTAAACTCATACTCAGACTTCTGGTGGAGATTTAATCATTAAACAAAGAAAAGAAAAAAGTTCCTTGTTTGTGTGTGTCGCCAACAAAAACAAAAAAGCATCAACATTGAAACATAACAGGCCGTATGAAATTTCATTGACTCTCTCCATGTTGTAAGGAAGAATGAAACAATGTTCATGTGCTGATCAATGTGGTTTCAAGAAAGTTCACTGATCCTGTCGTTTCTAGTGTCTATTCTTTTTTTATGATCAATATTTTACTGGATTTTTTAATATTGTACGTTGCAGGTACACGAGGCAAATGTTGTATATCGTCATCCTATTAAAATAATGGCCCATGTCACTCCCCTGACAAAAACGAGTCCTTGGCCCAAACCATCTCCTGAGATGATATAGGCCAAAAACCCACCCTCGTCAAAAAAATGACCCAGGCCACCACCTCAATAGGGCGATGATACGTTGTAAACGTGACTTGTATACAGAAAGTAAACAAATAACTATATTAGTGTCTATACTTCTGATGTACATTACCAAAACTTCGCTCACCTTACCCTCACCAGTCCATATACCAGCAACACATTAGTTGTAATGTCCCGCCTTCCCATGTTCTCTGTTTTTCCAGACAAGGCTTTACGCGGCCCAGGCGGCCCGTAAGGTGGAGTTCACAGGGGCGGCCGAACCCGTTAAGTTTCAGCCGCAGGATGTGCAGGTCAGTGGTTGTTGACTTGTTTTTCTCCTTCACAGAGACGGTTCTATGCGGCAACAAGATCAGGCCAGTCACTTGCCCAGCCCTTAGCTGGCCTCAAGCTCTCTCCAGGGGCTGCCCACTCGTACCAGGATGTCCATGTATGTGCACAGGGAATGATGAGGATGGCTGTGCTGGGGTGAATTGGGTCTAGATGGGATGGTTTTGTGTCCCAGAACAAGGCGATTATGTTTTATGCTCATGCTTTTTGTCTCATAATATTAAGCTAAAGCATAAAACATGAAGTCATCTAGTTTAATGTCAAATGGCTGACTTGCTACCATTTTAACTAAATATGGATATTAATGATGATATTGAAGTATATCTATTTATGTGTCTCTCTGTCTAGGTGACCAGACTGCCCAGTGGCCTGGTTATCGCCTCTCTGGAGAATTATTCTCCAGCCTCGAAGATCGGGGTGTTTGTCAAGGCCGGCTGCCGTTATGAGACCTCCGACAACCAGGGTGTCACCCACATCCTACGACTGGCCTCCAGCCTGGTATGACACTGCAGTCTTGGTGTATTTAGATTTTGTACAGTTTCAAGCAATTGTTAGTAACCTAGTGTTCAGATGTTTTTCATTTTCCCACATGTCATATCCAAGTGTAATTGGGTTCCAACATTTGCCTAATGTCCTTGGCCTTCTTAAATTTGACATTTTCTCTCCTCTAGACAACCAAAGGAGCCTCGGCTTTCAAGATTTGCCGTGGTGTGGAGGCAGTGGGTGGCAGCCTGAGGTCAGTAACCCCATGGAAAGTTTGTTTCAAACTATGAATTAAAACTTCTGAATTGATCCACATTTCTTAAACAGAAATCTGCATGTCTGTGGTTCTTTGCAGTGTGACTTCATCCAGGGAGAACATGGCCTACACTGTTGACTGCTTGAGAGATGACATGTGAGTCTTTTGTATGATAGTAATTTAATATAAATGATACTCTGTAGCCAAGGTTATTTTAAACTTAAATCTGTTGTATAATGATACAACATTATGGCATCACATGTTTCCATTCGTAACAGTGAGACTTTAGCTGGTGCCGCAGGAGTGTGATTGTTTTTTAATTTGGTGCCTCAGTTCCAGCTCTCTCTATTACTGACACATTTTCTTCCCTCCTCTTTGATATTCACCTGCAGCGACACAGTGATGGAGTATTTGATCAATGTGACCACAGCCCCAGAGTTCAGGGCATGGGAGGTATCAGACCTCACACCGAGGGTGAAGATGGATAACGCCCAGGCTGCACAGAGCTCTCAAATAGGTAGGTCTCATTTTCATTGCATGCCTGCACTGATTCGGAAGAATTATTTTGGCCTGCTGTCATCCAACTCCAAGAATCAGGTCTGAAAAGCTCATTTTAGGGTGTTTAGGGGTTACCTCTTTCACAAGTTTTAAAGATGTGAAGGTTAGAGATTTTGCACAGATAGAGGCATGACTGACAGGAGGACACACTGTAGAGGTCTCCCTCAACCCCTCTCTGCGCCTTGTTGAGTCAGCATTTCCAGTATGACTAAAGGGTCAACATGCTTAAAAAATTCCTCTATAGAAACCTGTGAATGACATTACTGAGACGACAGCCATGAATAGTAATGTCTATGCAATCAACTCTGGAATAGCCCATGTGGATAGTGTAGCTCTACAAGCAGGTAGTTTTTCTTAGTAATGTCAAAACCAAGAATAACATTGAGAACACGACATTTTAGCTGTAATATCAGAATATTACATGTCATGATCATCTCACTTTCTGCGTCTTTAGGTTTAGTTGAGGCTCTTCATGCGGCCGCCTACAAGAACGCTCTCAGTAACTCCCTGTACTGTCCTGACCACATGGTGGGGAATATCCACTCTGAACATGTAAGGAGCTCTTCTGAAATCAGTTTCATTTTGGTGATAAGGTCAGATCTTTCAGTTTTGATGCTAAGAGAGTGGTTTGTTCACTGGTGTTGTGTTATGGTATTATGACAACCCAAGTTTGTAAAGCATCTTCTGAAATTGTTTTTCCCACGCTCTTCTTTTCAGCTGCACCAGTTTGTTCAGAACAATTTCACAAGCGCAAGAATGGCTCTTGTTGGACTTGGTAGGGGTCATTGCACATGTTTTTTTTCACATTATAAAATCAATTCTGTTATGACTCGATATGTTAAAATGACAGTATAGATAGAAAACTGCATCACTGCAGCATGCCAAGTGTGAAACCACATTACTCCAAAAGTCTTAAAGCTTTTGTTGATGGTTTTTCCTCCAGGTGTCAACCATGCGGTGCTGAAGCAAGTTGGAGAGCAGTTCCTCAACATCCGCAGTGGGGCAGGCACCACAGGGGCAGAAGCTCAGTATCGTGGAGGTGAGCTGGAAAGATGTTTTGAAGAACAAGAAGAGATGACAACAAGCCACTCACAAGCCACTTACATTTTTTTTACTTTCATCCTCAAGGAATTTTAATCTTTTCCTCTCCTCCTTCCTCCCCTCAGGTGAGGTCCGTTTACCGAGCACCAGCAGCATCGTCCACTCAGCTGTGGTCAGTCAGTCAGCAGCAGTGGGCAGCAATGATGCTCTGGCCTTCAGCGTGCTGCAGCATGTACTGGGAGCAGGTCCACATGTCAAGAGGGGCTCCTGTGCGTCTAGCAAACTGGTCCAGGGTGTTGCTAAGGCAACAGCTGACCCATTTGATGTAAGTGGTTGTATGATTAAACCTTGTCTTAAAAAGCTCACATGCCAGTAGTTGGAATGGAGCCACTCATATTAAACACCTTTTCCACTTTTGTCCATACAGGTGAGTGCTTTCAATGCAAGCTACTCCGACTCTGGTCTGTTTGGGGTCTACACCATTTCCCAGGCTGCAGCTGCTGGTGATGTGAGTATTCCATAGCTTTTACACAAACATGGCTGTTAATCAGCACAAAATGTTCAACAAAGCAGTCTGTTTAATTCTCATCATGAAACTATTGAGGAGAATTTTGCCCAAACTTCTGTCCTTTCCCGTCCCTTCAGGTGCTTAAGGCCGCTCTTGCTCAGGTCAAGGCTGTTGCCGATGGTGGAGTCACAGCTGCCGACCTCACTCGGGCCAAGTAAGAACCAAGAGATATCTATGGTGCCTTTCTTACATCTGATTACTGTGAGCATTTGAAGAAGAACAGATGGCCTCTTGTAGCAGGGTGCAGTCTGTCAATATTTTGATTGTGAGTCAAAGTTGTGCGTCTGCTCTCCGGTTAAACTAATTTACAACCTCTCTTGATGGAGAAATGCATAACCAGCACAGATGTGATTATAAACCCTGCAATGAGGACCAAAAGCTGCTGGTACTAGCTCTGCAAACATTAGCCACATTCAGAAAACCAATCAGACTTTTTTTTACCCTGATAGTGGCAATCCTGTGTTGAATTAATTGTTCTGAATTTCAGGCTGTTTTCTGAGCGTTTCTTTAGCAGTCAGGATTAAAATTTCAGTTCAAACACTTTGTATGAATAAATTATTGATCAAGTGTAATAATACCTATCAGTAATTTCTAATGGCAGTAGGTGTAGTATAGAAGAGGAAATTAAATAGGAAAATTGAACCAAATCTTTCTATAAACAGACAAGTGGAGCCAAAGCAGGGTAGCTCAACTACCAAGTGAAATGGCTTGTCTGGCCCTGTTGGATGGGAAAAAACTATAGTTTATAGTTATTGATAGATTGGAAAATACATAATAAACCTACATGTTGAATTGCTGGAACATAAAAATGATGTTATATAAACTGTAAAGAACATTGACTTGGAAAAAAGAAGTAATTAACTTGAATCCATGTACCTTTTATTATGCATGTTCCAGTTATTGCCAGTAGATGGTGCCATTCTTCATTTCTTTTGTACTAAACCAAATTCTTTTCATAACAAGGTGAATTTTTTGCCTAATGTTGTCCACAGGAATAACTGGTTAGCTCTACCTCTTATACCCTTCATTGTGTAGAAAGTATATAAAGTATACTCTTTCCTCGTTTTCATCTTTACAGCTCATAATGCACATGTCTTGTTTTGTCTGCAGAGCCCAGCTGAAGGGCCAGTTCCTGATGTCTCTGGAGACATCAGAGGGTCTGCTGGAAGCCATGGGCACACAGGCTCTGGCTGAGGGATCATACAGCTCCCATGAGGAAATCTCCAAAAAGATCGACAACGTGTCTTTGACCGATGTCGCCAATGTAAGACTATATCAGGATATTTGCGTCACACCAAATCATTAGTTATATCACTTCCTGTTTTGTGTCCGTTAACTTTCTTTGTATTCATTTCAGGCTGCTAAGAAGTTTGTGACCAGCAAGAAGACCATGGCATCTAGCGGCAACCTCGTAAATACACCCTTTGTGGATGAGATCTGAAGTCCTCTGTCTCACCTCTTACTGTACCCATATCTGACGGCGAAGCAGAATTTGTTTCCTCCACTGAAGAAAAGAGGAACTTTTCTTCACTTCTTACAACATTGTGGTTCTGAGATATATAATGTCATAGCACCACTGGGTATTTATAGGTGTTGTAACAGTATATTTTCAGGTTATTCTGAAACTTTGTGCTCCGCTCATCTGTCCACATTAACTATATGTATAGCTGATGTAAAATAATGAATAAATTCTATCTACCTTCAAAGAGGACTTGTGATGTGTGTATTACATACTATAAATATACACAGATTTAAAATAGGTGTTTTTGTCATTACTGTTATCATCAAACTGGCCTATTTGCTCTCCATAGAGATTATTACGGGATATAAACGATCACATGGACAAATTGTGAACATGATGGAGTCCAAGAAAGGTTCAAAACTTGAAGTAAACGTTTGCACTACAGGATTTAGGCAGTTTTAATCTTATACACAAAAGTTGTTTAAATAGTTAAAAAGCGAATAAATGGCCGTTGTTTGGAGGAGGAGGATGTTAGACTTTGATTTCATGAATGTAAATTTGATTACATTTACAAACTGCGAAGACACACGTACAAAGGACTACACTATGCATATTTCGTCTGATGCAAAATGGGCAAGTGGCGTCGGCTACTTGCATTTTCTCGCGAGAGCAGCCCACCACAGACATGGAGACGTGAACAGGCTGATTTTTAGTTTCCGTTGCCGAGAGGATTGCAACGCCTTGCAGAAAACAGTGAGATTGCATTGAAGAAGGCAGTGAAAGGAGCAAAGTGATGGTCATTTACTTGTGTGTGGAAGCTGGGGGCTTTAAAAAGCGCTTTAAAGTGAACATGTGTGGCGTTTTCCGTGTGTGCGCGTCCAAAGGAAACCAGCTTCCATGTGGGGAGAGGGAGCTCGGGGATCCATGCAGACTCAGGAAATAAGTCAGCTGCATACATGAATACATCTGCACTTGTAGGGGTTTAATCAACTGTCTACCTGAAGGATTTTTGGTGTAATTTGCATTGGAGTATAACGGGACGCATCCGGATGTGAGTAACCCATGAGCCCGAGCTGCGACCCTCTCCTCCTAGGCTGGAGAAGAGCCAACAAGTCGCTTCAGCTCCGTCTGCTTTTGGACTAATTAAAGAGGATAAATGATGGGAACAGCCTTTATATCTCACTACAGAGGAACGAGCGAGAAGTCCGGACCAAATGTGGATCAAACAAAGCCCATCACTTTCGAGGTCCCCAACGCAGGCTGGAATGGGATGATGACAGGATCTGAGACTCGGCTTTGGGGTCCTGACTGCTAGATGTCCCGCCTTACCCCAGGTGAGACGGATGCTGCGTCCGAACTGCCCGCTCGGATACTACATGCTACTGCTACGTGCTACTGCTAGATCCTACTCCTACATACTAAACACGTTGGCCCAATTCGGACACACTAGACGAGCGGTGGGGAAAGACGACCCCCGCAGGCAGAGAGTAGGTACTGCGCCCGTGCAGACAGTGGTAACTGAAGCCCCTCATCTGCGGGCCTGGCTGTAGTACTGCAGCTGTGCAGTTTAATGATGGAATAAGTGAGCTTTACCTCCATGATGTCGCCACATATTTGCTCATAAAATGATTACTTGGGCAAATATGACACCATGACATGACAAAGAGATACAACCGGACATTTTTTAGGACAGTGTGTGAAGTTACATGAAACTTACATCTGTACTTCTGCGGTCCCGCGACATGGTGCGCGCTGCTGTGGCCAGCCGGCGTTCGCGACACATTTAAATAGGCAGAGCAGCTGGTGGCGCTAGCATCACATGCGCTTCTACAACTTTTAAGAGGACGAAGAAGAAGCCCGTGGTGCATTTTGGGTCAGTAGCATGCCCGTAGGATGCACCGAGACCAACCTACAATGTGGGCGTGTCTAGTATCTGAAGTAGTATCTGAAGTAGCATGCTACTCGCTCCGGTGGCCAATTCGGACATGCTAGATACTACTTCGACTACTACTTCGACTACTACTTGGCAATTCAGGTGAGACGGAGGCACGGTCGGAAACACTCTTCCTCGTCTCTGTCCTATGTCCACAGACATGGATAAACTCACCGTGATTTCAGGATGCCTCTTCCTCGCCGCAGACATCTTTGCAATCGCCAGCATCGCCAGTCCGGATTGGATCAGCACTGGAGATTCAGCTGGTAGGTCAAATTCAAGCTTTTCTCTTCTAAAGAAAGTGGACTTAACATCTGTTTATAGTTTTTTACTGAAGCTGATTCATTTACAACAGTAAAATCTTCTATGTAAATGATATTTATTCATCAATATTGTATTTTTGGCGTTGTAGCCATTAATAAAATCCAACTGCCATGGTATAATGTGAAAGTGTAATGACAATTTTTTTTACCAATTTCACTTAAAAGTTTCACCCAACTTGCAGTAATATGTTAATGGAGTGCATCAGAGCAGTGTTTATAGAGTTATGCCATATCCTCTACATGTTTCTCAATATTTAGAGATCAACAGATTCAGTCATTTGACAGGATAAGTTTTAGTATTTCTGTCTGCATGTGTTTTCCTGACTGAGCTAAAGAGAACAGAATTGTTTGCACATGTGATGTAAACGCACAGATCAGGATTTGCTATCCAAATCAAATTTGAGTCTAGTTGTTAGGTTTTTGGTGGGACACCCAAACTTAAGTAGGCTTAGTCTAAGTCATTGGTTCTCAAGTCCAGTCCTCAAGGCCCACTGTCCTGCATGTTTTGGATGTTTCCCTGCTCCAACACACCTGATTCAAATGATCAGCTCGTTATCAAGCTCTGTAATGGCTTAATAACGAGCTATTCATTTGAATCAGGTGTGTTGGAGCAGGGACACATCCAAAACATGCAGGACAGTGGGCCTGGAGGACTGGACTTGAGAACCACTGGTCTAAGTAGCTTTGCTGACACCATTACCATGCTTTTTTGTGCCCTGTGTACATTAAATTAGGCTGTGTCCGAAATGAATCACTCAATCCCTAACCCCTAACCCCTAACCCCCATATGGGATTTCACTATATAGTTGACTATGTAGTGAACTCAATCACCAGAAGTTTCGGACACTACATGGCAAGACACAATGCATGACGGGATGCCCACCACCGTTGAGTGACCATCGGATGGTCACTACATTTTGCAATGCTTTATGGGAAATTTTGAGTCGCCTATATAGGGCACTGGAATTGATAACTCAGGTTTTGTACACCTCTCAAAATGGTGCAAACCCCCATATGGTCACCTATATAGGGGTTAGGGATCCATTTCGGACACAGCCTTTGTCTCTTGGTGCATTAAAAAGACTTATTCATCTGCATGTCTGGTGTTTTAATATTCATGGTGGAAAGGGTCAAAGCATTGCAGCTACTGACTTCTGTTGTCTGTACTTTCATGTATGCACTGGGTGCTATTATTTACCTCAATTAAATTCTCAAACAACCTGTTATATATGACAGCCAAGGAGAGACAGAAAAAGTAAGGAAATTAACTGTTAAGCTTTAGCGCCAGCAAACTTGCTCTGATTCAGTTAAGTCATATATTTGCAACAGCCCAATCTAAGAAACTACTTGAGGCAGTTGATCAGATTTCATCACAGCTCCCTCTGGAGAACATAGATGATCAGTTTAGGTAATGTCAAATAACGTCAACATTAAGTTGTTCATATTTCCTCACACCACTGAAGACAAATAGTTGTCTTGTTTACGGAAACTGATGTCAGCTTTGTTAGGCTCAGTCAGCATTGTTAATTGTTCCCAATAGGATGGTACCGATATGCTTTTTGTTAAGTTTAGACACAGTTACAACAATGTCACTCCATTATCGTACTTTATATTCAGTCAGCCTCTGCTGTGTTTTGAGTGTAGAAACAAACCTCTTCAGTATTTTCACAGCTGTCTAAGGCTCTCACCAGTCCCCACATTGTAACATTACAGTGGAGCTGGACAGTTAACAGGCATGTTGAGATTTGTTACACAACAAATTTTTTTGGGTGAAAACTCAGACTGCAGCTGCAAGTTTAGTGGCCTCTACAACAAGCAGTTTTTGTTGCATAATTATAGAAATATTTTCACCTACCAAATCTTTTTTTTCCCCTCAATTGTAGTACAAAATGAACTTAAGTATGCAGTGTTGTGAAATCATAGTACTTAATGTACTAAAAGACCATTTTTCCAGTTTAATTATCCAAGAAGTAATTACCTTCAGGCAGGAAGTGTTGATGGGGATGAAGATGTGTGACTCGTAATTGGGCCTCCTGGGAGAGTAATGCTTTCCACCTGGAGAATTAAAGCTCCTCAGGCTCAGCCATGACGTATTTTATTTTGGCTGTGAGCTCTCAGTGTATACAAAGAAGTCAAAAACAGAGAGAGGAGGACTGCAGGAAAATCAGTACTTCATAATCTTCTGTCAGACTGTGGAGAGTTTGTTTCCTGGATTTATTTGCGCACAGAAAAAAAGAAGAGGAAAATACGCTTCTCTGTGTGAAACTGTGCCCAGCTTTAAGACAATCATGTGCGTTAGCTTGCTGAAGGGTTTTCTTAAAAGATTTTAAACAGCAGGAGCAGCTGAGTTTATGAAGTGTTCGCTGAGTAGAAGTTCACTTGTAAAACAAACACACATGTACTCTTCAGACACACTGCTGGCTTGTATTCACACCATGGCAGTGGCAAAAACCTGATGTCACATCTGGCTGGCTCACTCAGACGTAAACAAATAAAATCACTGCCATGAGGTGGTTAGCGTGGGAATCCCCTCTCACCACAGTTATATTATTCTTACTTCTTTAAAGAAACAAGTACTTTTTATTAGAGAGAAGCTACATCTTGGCGTTATGTTCCTTTGAGCCACCAACAATAAGCTGCTCTGAGGCCGTCAGATCAGGGTGGACAACTGTGTAAATGCGAAACTTATGTGCTGAACCAGAGCATATACAGTATGTGCTCAGCAAATTATCTCTGGTAGGAACAGGTAAAAAAAAACTGTTGAATTTGAAGATTTACTTTGTATTTTAAATAGATTAGATTTTTTTTTTCTGTACGTAGTGTTTAAACTTTGTATTTTGTGCTCCTCATTTACCCTTATTCTATTTTTAATAAACAATCTCCTTTAAAGCCTCTGATATTTGAAAGGTTGATAAAATAGTTTGAACTTCATATTAATGCCTTTTATGCTACACAAAAGCAAACAGACAATCAGCAACAAGATTGACAAATATTATAAACCTAATTTTTGATGCCTGAAATGGGATGTGAGGGGGTGTCGGAGGAGCAGCTGTAGAAACAGGCCCGCCTATTGATTATGCACTTCAAATAATCACGATAAATGATCAGTTTGACAGTTGGAAGTCAGACTTATAACTTTTTTTAAATTTTTGTCAAAAAATACTATAAAGCAGCAGACAGCATAAGCAAAAACTAATTTGTCCACATAGGGGCACCAAAATGGACATGAATCGAAAGTTCCTCTCAAGGGCTTTAAAGCGCCTTTTAGGACTCTCAGATTGTGATGAACCTTGTGACACTGTAAAATACAAAACATGGATGTAAACTCAATGACATCACCTTTTGGTTTCCAAAGAAACACTGCTAAGCAAGAAACTGGTGGGTGGTGGAGTGGACACCTTTACTTCTGCTTCCAGCTACAACACACCCATCTTTCTGGCAAATCAGCTGCACCCCAAATGATCTCTAATCGTGCGATAATCTAAGTCATTTTATAACACCGGGGGTTTCTGTGTTGCTAGGGCACCCTGTGTAGACAGAGAATAAAGTGTACCTCATCTCTGCTGAATTTGTCCTGTACCTTGTTAAACAAATAACCCACATCCTGCTCTCTTTAGCTGTAAATTAAAAAAAAAAAGTCTCTTTAAGCAAAGTGTGTTCAATCTATCCGTCTTCTTCATACCCAGCAGCAGTATTTACAGGTATTAGAAACAGCAGGATATGAATAATCAGTATATCTAGGGTCGCTTTTGAAGGTCGTAAAACAGCACTAGTGTTATTTCAGTTTGTCTCATAACCAGCTGAAAACTCCTGACTGGAGCTTTAATTTGCATACATTACCTTTTTATTTAAATATTTCTTTAATTTAACTTATGTTGCAGACTTGTAATATTATTGTAAAATGCATCTACTCTCATAATTGATTTTACTGTGTAATATTTTGAAGTTATTGTTCCTCTTCTCTTACTTAATCAAGAACAAAAAACACTCTCTGTAATTGGATGAAGCTCTCTAGCCGGACACATGAGTCCAGTATATGAGGGGAATGGATGCACTGTTTACACTGTCTCCCTCCCTGTGGTCAGAGAGGATGTGTTTAGAGGGAGCAGGATGTCCGGTGTGAGTGGGGGCTAGGTCAGCCTGCAGAAGGATGTGGTTCAGGCCTGATGTTCCTCTGAGCCTGGTTCTGGTATCATTGACCAGCACTGCACCCTCGATCAGGAACTGAAGCCTTTTTGACCTCTGTGTTAATTTCTGTTTTTTTCCACAAGGTCCGTTATTTTCAGATAACATACTTTAGAAAAAACGTTGGTAAAAGATGCTCAAACTGTTGAATGTAGACGGAGGAGTTGTAACGGCTTAGAGAATGAGCTTTTTACTCAAAAGAAGCTTATATAATTTTACGCTAATTACAAGATGTTCCCTGTGTTTTTCTGCACTCTTTGTGATATTGGTTTCTTGTAATTGTGTTTATCATGACAATTATGTTAATTCTACAGTCGCTGGGTTTTAAATTGTCCTGAATAAATCCATAAAAATGTACAAAGCTGCTTTGCCTCCTGCTTGTCGGGCTCTAACTGCCTGCTGAAGATAATAAGTAAGAGAAAGGAGGGGAGACTAAAGAATAAATGAAAGTGTGGGAGGATTTAATTTGCATTTATGTGCTCTGTGCTGTTAGGGGGCTTCTGTGCAGTCAGACTGGATGCAGAGTTTGGCTGACGCAGACCCCTGTATTATGTGTGTGTTGTATGAAAGAGCCCTCCTACAGTGACTGACATCTCGGCGCCCACCAGGGTCTGAGGTACAGGAGGCTGATGGATGACTGGTAACCGGATGTATGGTCATTGATCTCTTGTTTTCTGCTTCAGCTGTTTCACTTTGAGGTCATCATATCTTATAGCCAGAGTCAACAGATGAAGCATGCTTTTGAAAAACACCAGCTACTGGTTTTTTATGAGATACCTTTCATAGAAAAGATTAAATGCGCAGTTGAAGTGGAAGAATTATTATCATTTGAAGCAACATCCTTGGACTCAGACGAAAATGACCTTGGCCACATAAGACCTCCTACGAAAGCTGCAGATGAAAATTCCATCTGGACGCTACGACCAATCAGAGCAAAGAAATAATGTTGTGATGTTAGCTCCACTTCAACATATTGCAGGATCATTTGGCATGAAACAATTTTGAAGTAAATACTCAGTTTGTGTCATAACCAACAGGAGAGGAGGGGGCTTGACACGTCTGGGGGAACATGTAAGACCTGAGCTTACAGATTTGTCACTTCCTTTTATATTGCTAGTTCAGAGTGCGATGCTTGTGCCCCTGTAATGTCTCACCTTCAGTATGAATGTCACAAAAGCATGATGTTTAGACAAAGTAGACCCACCGCTGTGCCTGCATTAGAGCAGGCAGGGCTGATCGGCACTGTACCTCCAGGTCTGTGTATTTGGCTCTTGTTCTCCCACAATGTTTAAACATGAAGTGAAATCACCCACAAGAACACACAATAAAATATACATGACAACTGTATTACAACGTTGTTGTGTACTCACAATATAAAAAGGGGTCTCTGTTTACCAGGCTCAGGTAAAATACCTCGTCAGATGATGTTTTTGTCAAGCCATATTAATGCTTTATTTCTTACAGTCCTTGAAACTTTATCACTGCCTTAGCTTTGGGGATTTTTTAGCTGGTTGTGAAACTAACTGTGAAATTACTGCCACAGGCTGGATGTTAATCCCAGCAAAAATAAAAAAACAAACTTGTTTTCATTTTCTTCCAGAAAAACCCTCATAAAGAGAGAGCCAAAGAGAGCATTTTGGATGCTTGATTTAAAACCCCAAGGCAAAAACAATCAATATAACAATCTATAATTCTATAAATTCAGTTTTACGGAAAAAATAATACAGAATTTAGTTTACTGACATGATGTGAATGCTAATGATAAAAAAGTAGCTTATAGCACCTTTGGGAAAAAAAGGGGTTTACACCATTGTTTGAGCAACAGTATCTCATTCAGTTTGAAGGGGGCTCAAAAAAGTGAATGTAACTTTGTTGGGACCATAGTGTTCATGTCAGAGTGTAATACAGGAATAAAAGAAACATGTCACGGTCTGAAGACCTGTTTCTCTGTCTGTTATGTGCTTTTTTAAAGATCATTTTTAGGGGCTTTTAGCTTCTGTCAGAAACAGGAAATATAGGGAGAGACTGGGGATGACATGCAACAAAACCTGTTGAGACCTGGAATCAATCCAACCACCAATGGACACAGGGTCGCAGCTCCACCAACTGAACCACCAACTGTGTTAAAATGTGTTAAAATTTCTCACCAAACAAAGAGTAGAGGAATAGTCCAACTGAGCTGTGCACTTTATACTAACAAGTCAGTGAGTTTATGACCCACCTCTGAGGATTGTATCTAGTGTCAGACAAGGATCAGTCCATGTGTAGACCTGCTGTAATTTTGTAGGTTGTGGTCTTTCATTGATCAAGGACTTCTCTGTTATCAAAGCCGTTTGATTTTTTGAGAAATTAGGACTGCTGAAGCACAAAAGAAGTAGACTGATGTGGTTTTTCTTAGGTGTGTTCTTTGAAGCTTGCTGATTGGTTATTTCTAATCAGCTGACTCTGATTTAGTCCTTCATGTGTGGATCTAACCTTCCCTCTCTGTCTGCATCCAGGTTCTCTGACTGTTGGTTTAGTCCGGCAGTGCCAGACTATCCACGGCCGAGATCGGATCTGCATCCCCCCACAGCTGCCGCCAGAGTGGATAACCACGCTCTTCTTCATCATCCTGGGTATCATGTCCCTCACCATCACCTGTGGTCTGCTGGTGATGTCCCGCTGGCGCCGCGAGGCTGCCCGGTACGCCAGGTGGATCGCTTTCACAGGGAGTAGGTTTTCACAATCACCGTCCATCCTCTCCTGATACAAACTGTTTTTATGAATGCGGACTAACGCCAAAAAACTGTTGAGTTAAAGACAGATGTCAGCCAAACACAGGCAGTCCTTTTAAATACAAAGTTTTTCAGCCATGACTGTGCTGTGTCTTTTGATGAATCATCAACATTACTCTAAAACTCATCAAAACCTTTTTTGCTGTAAAGTTAAAACTAACAGCAATTATAGAGAGAAAAAAAACCCATTAGAGTCTATAAAGAGAAATCCTACTTTAAACTCTCCTGGACTAATAGAGCAAATTAAACATTACATTTCCGAAAAGCTCTTAGTCAGGTAATTATGAACAACCAGACAAAAGGGCTGCTCGGGAGCTATAATTAATATATGAACATGTTTCCATTTTTACAGCAAAAAGCTTGAGATTCTCTAAGGAGATTCAGTTTGCTCTACATCAGGAAAAATACGAAGAGGACAGTTTTCACACATTTCTGGCCAACATTTACCCTGTATTTTAGTAAACCAATTCAACTCTTACTTAACGTTCCATCTCCTGCATCTAATAAGAAAACTAATTTAACTGTATATCTTTTCATTATGTCATAAGTCTTCAACATTGACATGTTTGAAGAAGACTTTGGCCATTCTCGTCTAATGTGGAGCGAAAGTATTAATGATGAGGTGCTAATCAACTGAAAAAGTTTCAAAATTTGCAAACTTGGATGACAGGAGGACATCAAAACTGAATTTGATCTTTCCAAACTAAGCAAGACATTAAAAGAAATGAAAGTCGTACAAATGTGGTTAAATACATTTATTTTCTAGCAGTATCAAAACCAAAATAACTCTATTTTTGTTCAGGGTAAGAGGTTTTTTTAGTTTAGTCGCAGCCCTTCTGGGAAAGTACAGGAGACATCTGACTTTCAGAGAGAGGTTTCTAAGTTAGACTTGACTGATTTTTATTAGCATCAGTGCTTTGTGAGTTGACACATCATCTATTTCTTCTGTTTTATTTTTGATGAAGACAGTTCTTGTCACAGGAAAATATAAAGGCTGCTGGACTTTTAAACCTTACTTTTCTAAACCGATTCTTAGTTACTGAAACAGTCTGAATCATTTTAAAAGTACATTTGCGATTGATTTTTATCTGACTATTTGATTTAGTGTAATTTTGAGATTTTTTATTTATCCTTTATAATAAGTTACTTTGCAATTCCAGTATAACCCTTAGCTACCCGTATTTGTTCAATCATCTACCACACTTCATAGGCATATATTTCCCTAATTTGTGCTTTTTTATTTGATTTATTTACAATTTATGTTACCCAACAGTATTTTATCATTGTCCATTGTAAATATGTCTCAAAGGAGATTGATTTGATGTTTTGATTAGATTTTTTGCACAATTTATAAGAGTGCAACATAAAACATGATAGGTAATAATGAAACAGCGCAGGGAGAGACAAAAAAGTCACAATGGGCTTATCTGAAGCCTCCACCTTGTAATAGCCTAACATTAATATTACAATTTAACGTACAAAAGCACAATATAACATGGAAAAAAATCAATAAAAATAATGATGTTGACGTTCTTCTTCCTGTTTTTCTATCTTCCCTCTGTCACAGTGGTCCTTTTCTGTATGGCTGCGCTGATTTTCCCCATCGGCTTCTACATCAACGAGGTTGGAGGACAGCCATATAAACTCCCTAACAACACAGTTGTGGGCTCCTCATATGTACTCTTTGTGCTTTCCATTTTCTTCACCATAGTTGGACTACTGTTTGCTGGGAAGGTGTGCTTACCTGGCTGACATATCTTCCTCTTCCTTTTGTATCTTTGGAAAAACACCTCCTTTAGAGTGAGATTGTGAACACATTGACTCGTCCGCGGCAGTGATGGGAGAATCTTTGAAGTGTCACAAAGCTGAAGACTATCCGTCTTGTGTTGAGCTGAAATCATATTTCCATTTGTCGTCTGACGTGCTGAGACTGAGTTGAGACAGCGAGCTCTGAAACAACCCTCAGCATCATCTGTCCTGTATGACGTACATGAGGTGGTGAAAAGACAACTATCGAAAACCGTGATGGCGATGGATTATAGCAACAGGACTTTGAGGAGAGCCCTGCAGTGTAATCCATCATCTCAAAAGTAATGACAGATAACAGATAAGCCTGTCTTTTCTTATCCTGTTTGAGATGCCTACACTGCGATAAGACTGATGTCAGGCTTTATACTGGCTAAGGCACCAGAAATCGGCCAGTGTTCTGGAGGTGCTTCTTTCACCACAACAACATGGACATGTTGTAATATATCCAATGAAGTTACACTTTCTCTGCACATTTTATTTATTTGTTTAAATGTTTTTTTATAAAAGTAATTTTTATCAAAGGGCCTAATACATATCCCAGAGTTTCCCTGCCAGTGATACCTGTGGTGGATCACTTTGCCTTACAGAGCTACAGACCTTATATTGTTGAATGTGGACACGCTCAGTGACTCAACTTTACAGATATTGAGACTAGAATGTAAACTGGACTATCATCATGTCCTCTCTATATTACTTCATGGCCGAGTAGTGTAAAGCTGTATGAATGAGTGGCAGGCTGATTGTCTGGTCTCTGTGTTGAGTTTAACATTCAGCAGTTTGGACCAGCTGGAACCTCCAGAGTTAGACTCCGACCTGCACGGAAGGGTTTACTAAGAAGCTAGATTTAGAGATGTACAGTTTGTCAGACCTAAAGCGTTGATTTGTTTAACATGGTTAAATCATTATGATTACTTCTACTGCAAGACAACCATGCTCCGGGAGAGAGGTGATCTGGCTGGTGAAGCTGCAGGACCAACGTCACACCCCTCTGCTAACCTAAACACACTATTAACTTACAACATCCAAGATCCCGCTGGTCAGTTAAAACAGTTTCTTTATATGATCTGGGGCAGACACTCTGGATTATGGAAAATTAAATTACTCTTGTGTTAATGTTAAATATGTTTTCTCTTTTGTGTCCCTGGTTACTTAAATAATCTGTTTTACACTGCTGGTGTTGCAGGTTGAACGTAGAATAGAGGACTCTATTATTAAATAGGAACAATCATATTAAATCAGGATGTTTTTACCTGACTCAGACAAGAGGCTGCAGTGTAGGCCTACCTTTCTATATAGGGCAGTGGTTAGTTTAATCCAAACTCCTGACATTGCTGATGAAATAACTTTGGCCCAAGTTTAAAAGCTAATCAATGTGCATCCGTCACATAAACTAGAAGTGATGAGATCATGTGTTACATCTGAACAAATCTTGAACTTAGATCATTCTCTGCAGCACCCCTCTCCAGTGTTGCTTTTTTCTACAATGTGTCTTACTTTACCCTTCACTGCTGAGAAACCCTGAGTTAATAACATAAATGTCTAACACTGTTGTGACACCCTCTGATTGAGGCCTTATCTTTGGTTCAGTCAGCTGACCCAAAGAAAGCTACAGCAAGTCAGTGTTGCTTCTTAGTAGACCCCTCTGGTCTTTCTCTTATACTCAGTGATATAGTGAATGTATAATTCACCTTTTAGAGCATTTCCTGTTGTTTTAAACACTGTATCATGGAATGACTGAATCTACAATAGTTTTTTTTTTCTTTACATTTTGGAGGTTGATGCGTTTTTTTTTTTCTGTACAAACAAACCGACCACCAGTCTTTGTCTTTTTTTCTAGAAGCACTGTGATGTTCTTGAATGAGCATGGAGGATTGCATCCCATTAAAAACAGACTTGTTTGAAAGCTAGTTGTTGTGATTTTTTTGTACTTAAAATTTGTATCAGCGCAAAATATTACCTCAATAAATTTCATGCAGGACAGGTATAGATTAGTTTTTAGTATTTAAAGAGCATCATAGCAAGCGATAATGATGTTTGCTCTTAATTTTGAACACAGTAATTATATATAAAAACACAATGAGATTATTTGCAATATCCATTTTTGTAAATTCAAAACTTAGTTTTGTCATTAACTTTTCAACAGTTGCATTTCAACTTTAAGTGAAAAAAAATCTATATTACAGCATGAGAGTTAAAGCTCCTCAGAGGTGGGTTTATGTTGTGTTGGGAACTCTATACTCCTGCACATGCATAAAAAAAACTAATGGTGTTTACAGTTTCTCCAGTCTGCCATCAGACATAGTTCAAAACATTAAAATGAATATAATGATCAATCTAATCAACAATAGTCCTCTTGCTTTTGTATGTTATACACAGGCACAAGTTTTAAGTCAAGTTTGTTTCATGAACAGCTAAAAACTTCTTTAAAGATTATCTTACACCGAAACTCGTCATATACATGAAGCCAAACTTAATCTTGAGTTCTTTGCAGATGCTCACGCCTTTACTGTGTATTTATACCCAAATTCTCCCTCCAGGATCAGTGAAGTAGTATCTCATCTGCTTTGAGTCAGAGCTTGTTTACTACAGCACCTCACCTCCGCTTGTCATCTCTCATCTGTTTGGATGCACAGGATATTTAGGTTGCTATGGGAAGTAAAAGCCAAGGAGTATTTTGTTCATGTGTTATTATGAACTAGACTGCAGTAGTCGCTTAAAGGTTACCTCCCACTCAAAAGTCAAGTATTCACACTGCCCATGACCTTAAAAACTAAATTTTCCTGAGTCAGTGCTGCTATTTTAGGCCAGGAAAATATTTTTCTGTCTGAGACTCTTTTGCTATTTGCGTAAATGTTGCAGTTTTTAGGTTGAAAAAATAAAAAAAAAAGACCCAAAAGTTATGAATAGCTGTTCTCTCTCTCCACAGTGGAAAACTCCCAAATACAGTTGGCAGTACTTTCATAAAGAAACTGAATTAACCCATTATCCTTTTTGATTAGCACAGCCTGACACTGCACACATTAAGAGCAGGAATAGTCATAACAGGAAAAAGCATCTATTGATCCAGTATATTTGTGCATTTGAGTCATATCATCTGTAGATGAGTCACATTTACTGTACAGTTTGATGACATCTAGCTACCATGATGGCACAGTTAATACTTGAAAGTTAAGCTGCAAATTGCCAAAACAAACAAACAAATGAAAAAAAGTATCAGCTAACTTGAAATAAATATGTTATTAAAATGTTAGCTTGACTATAAAGTTTGGCACAGATTCATAGTTTTAATTTCAATCTCCCAGCAATTCTATTTTCCACCACAAGAGGGCGTACTTGACCAAATTTAACTTATTTTGAGTTGTGAGCCACTGTATTTACAGCAAACTGCATCAATCTCTGCTCAACTTGAAATCAAACACTGTAAGCATTCAAAAATATATCCAACCTTTGAGATTTCACTTCTCCTCTATTACCTTTAAATGAGGCAGAACCAAACAGTTCATCAGTGCAGTCCTCCTTTTGACAATAATACAGACATGCGTCAGGCCTTGGATGGACTGCTGTGCTGCAGCTTGATCATTCGAGCGCCTAAGAGCAGAACACCAGCCAGGAGCTCCAGGCCATAGGACAGCCAGGCCAGATACATTGACCAGCCAAAGGAGGTGTGAATGTAGGACAAGGCCTCAAGACCTACCAGCCTCTCTATCTCAGCCAGGGCCTGGTGTGAATAGATGATGTAGAGACTCACTCCACACAGAGTCAGCAGACCTGGAGGGAAATAAAAACACATTCAAATTATCGCCTGTTGAGTATTATTGACTGTGCATAAAGATGGATGATGTGTTTCCGCCTTCTAAAATAACCCCAGCACTGGGTAGAGTCAGCACAGGAGGAGTCAACTGGTGGAGACAAAACAGTGATGACCCTCTTCTTGTGTTCAGAAATAGAAACACTTTGTTCATTACTGGGGGGACATTTAGCCATTAAAGTTGTTCTTTTTTGCACTATAATAGCAAGATCATAGAAAAAGAAACAAAATAAATACATAAGAATAAACAGATGAGTACAAAATGCAGAATACTACAAAATTAAGCTAATTATAAAGCGCAGATTGTTGAAGAAGTCAGTGATAATGTACATTAATCATTATTCATGTTCTGTCCTGCTGACTGTCAGGGAGGTTTGTTGTACGTCCAGGCTTCACTTTGGGGTTTGTCATGTGGTCCATCTTTTAACAGTTTCCATGATCAGTACTATCAAGTCCATTGATGGAAATGCACTTCACATTTATGAGCAGGGGTGTTTCTGGGGGTGCCCTAGAGTGGCATGAGCCCTCCTGAATTTTGATTGTCTGTCCAATGTTAGACTTCATAACCGTAAACTGTACATACCATGGACAACTTGGTTCCGCCTTCCCCAGTATACGGATTTGAAGCCGAAAAGCTCTTGGTATTTCCGCAATTTTTCTCCGTTTCCTGAAACCAACATTGTGCAGTAGCGTTGTTCACGACTTGCGCAGTAGCATTGTGCACATTCGGCGGGAGAGTCAGGTGATCTATACAATCTTCGTACACCCATAGGCTGTATCAAGTGTCAATCATAGAAAACATGAACCCCTGATAACTTTTAAAAATGGAGCTGTACAGAAAAAAGAGGACTTGAGCACAAACCAGTCTTATTGTAACTACATGTCAACCTCACAACCAGGGGGAGAAAAATTTATATTCTGTGTAATTAATTTCTAAAGTTTGTCCACAGCTCCATAGGGATTGCTGCAGGAGGCAGGATTTTTGACCTATACTGCAGCCCGTCAACAGAGGGCGCTGTTCTCGGAGTGGCTTCACACAGCGAGGAGACAAACGCTGTCCATTCTATATACTGTCTATGTTCATAACCTATAATATGATGATACATTTCCCCTAAGAGGCCAGACTTCAGTTCAAACTAATGCTGTGTTTAAACAGACTATAAATGGCTTTTAGGGATTTCAGTTTAGCACACTTTCTTCTTTTGCTATTTGTCTTTTTCTATCCCTGGGAAGTTCAACAAATTAGTTTGGTATCATGCTGTTTTTTTTCTTTTGAAATGCAATGAAGAAAAACTTGCTGTGCAAACATGTAGATCTATAGGTTGGACAAAAACATATTAGACAATGTAATGTTTTTAGTGACAGACTGATAGAATTCAGGCATCTGTATTTCCTCCAAACTACCAGGAGTTCATAAATGTGATACGTGACGTAAGGATGACAGTCAAAAAAAAAAGGTGAACTGCTCTTAAAACCATGGAAACAGTCAGTAAAAACTGGTCGCAGACTGAGATTTTTGATTGATTGATGATTAAGCTCCTGCGTGAAATTTTACCATTTAAGATATTCAACCTCTGTGAAGACAGAGATGATACATAAATTAAGTTAGACATTTTTGTACTCCCACTCCTCCAGGTATAAGAAAGTATAAGGCACATAGAAGACATGTACAAAACTATGTAGGAAAGTACACGACATCACTGCGTCAGCAGAAGACAGTGTAAGACAGTGTGAGACAGTAAAAGACACGAATGAGACAATAAATGACAGTAAAGGATGTTGGGGCAATGACAATGTTGTTAAAAAATAACAGGTACATCCCTGTTTATGTGTCACAGAGAGTGTAAGACATTAGTATAAGACATGTATAAGACAATATAAGGCACGTTAAAGACCATATAACACACAAAAAACACCATAAGACAGTATAAGACAGACAAACAGTATAAAACAGTAAAAAAAAGAGTATAAGACCGTAAAAAACAGTATAAGACTGTAAAAGACTGAGTAGGACAGTAAAAAACTGTACAAGGTGGAGAAAAATAGTATTAGAGTAAAAAATAGTGAAAGAGTAAAAAAAAAAAATCATTTTAAGAGAAAAAAACAGTATGAGAAAGTGTAAAAGAGTATACAACACAAATAAGACAGGTAAAGACAGATGGCCTATGTTGGGACAATGCAGTGAACAATCTATGGGTACATCCCTGTTTCTGTGTATAAGCCATAAACATTAAAGACTTCTGAAAGAAATTGAAAACCAATTATAAAGCAGAAACTCATAGCAGCCCTGTGCAGAGCTCATCAATGAAACCAGACAATAACACCGGGCCATTAGATTCCCAAAAATGTCGTATTGTGAGGCAGAGGAAGTACACTGACGTATGTGCTGCCTGCTCACACAACATCACCGCCACCAGAGACAAGACAAACACAGACACAAATGCACACAATCCTCACAAGTTTCACACAGTGTTGCTATTGGAAACCCTTTGAATTCTGAAGGCTTGCTACTGGTTTTACGGGGATGCAAGTGGAGCGCAGAGGCAACCCAAGGCGGGACTAATAATTGCTTTATTACAATGACACCCTGAGGTGCTACGAGCTCAGAGTGAAGAGGAAGCTGGGTGTTGCTGCTCATGTTGTGCAGAAAAGCAGAGATACAGGGAGTGACAATCTGGAAAGTCACTCACATAGAAAGCATGTAGAGATACTATTACAACTACAACTACCACCCCTTTAATACCTTAATGACAAGGCATGTAGCTTCTCAGTTTTGGATTGAATTAATTAAATTAGGTTCATATGAATAAAACTGGGAATTGATGTATATTTTTTGAGCCAACCTTTCTGAATATCATCAAAACAACCCATAATATTGCTCAGTAGTGTGCATATGCACCCCTTACAACATCTGGGCATGCTCCTGATAAGATGGTGGATGGTCTCCTGGGGGATTCTCCTCCCAGACTTGGATTATGGCATCAGTCAGCTCCGAGACAGTCTGGGGTGCGACAATGTATGCAGTGTTTAGGTCTCAGGAACTGGTGGGCCAGCTAATGGCACCAATGCCTTCATCATCAAGGAAATGCTGACACACCTCAGCCACATGAGGTAGGGCATTGCCATGCACCAGGAAGAATCCAAGGCCCACTGCACCAGCATATGGTCTGAAAAAGAGTCTAAGATCTCATCCAGGTACCTAAGAGCAGTCAGGGTACCTTTGGCTAACAGGTGAAGGGTCTGTGCAGCCCTCCAGGGATATGCCATCACTGACCCACCGCCAAACCAATCATGCAGGAGGATATTTCAGGTGGCTGAAAGTTCTCCTCAGCATCTCCAGACTCTCTCACGTCTGTAACTTGTGCTAAGTGTGAACCTGCTCTCATCTGTGAGGGGAACAGGGTGCTAATGGTGGATCTGCCAGTTCTGGTGTTCTCAAGCCAAGACCAATCAGGCTACATGTTAACGGGCTGTGAGCACAGACCCCACTTATGGATGTGGGGTCCTCATGCCACCTTCATGAAGTCAGAAACATTCACACGAGTGGCCCGCTGGAGATCATTTTGTAGGGCTCTGGCAGTGCTTCCCCTGTTCCTCCTTGCACAAAGGGGCAGACTGCAGTCCTGCGGCTGGGTTGTTGCTCACCTATGGCCCGCTCCATCTCTTCTGGTGTATTGCCTTTTCTCCTGACATCTCCTCCATGTTCTTGACACCAGGCTGGGAGACACCGCAAATCTTGTGCCCACGGTTTGAATGAATGTGCCATCCTGGAGAAGCTGTACCTAGAGCCCTAAAGCCACTTCTGTGGGCTGCAGACACCATCTTCTGCTACCACAGCTTTCAGTGAGGGAACTGGAAAACTGCAAAACTAGCCAAGAGTCACCCAGAAAGGACGAGGAGAGGGAAATGGTCTGTGGTCACCGCCTGTAAAACTCACATTTAAGTAGGGGTTGTCTTGCTAATTGCCTCTTCTATCCACCTGTTGCTTGTCTCATTACCTGAGCAGCAGGGGACACTGATTCACCGTTGCTTCTGAACTGGAAAGGTCGATTCCCTGGAAGTGTGATTGACTGGAAGTTGCACAGTGTGGGAAATATGTTCCCTTTATTTTTCTGAACAATGTATTTCTGCGTATCCTTTTGTTCTGAAAAGTCTGATTTAAATCAGGAATCCCACTGTTAACTTGTTCATCACGATACAATTAAGGTCTGAAATAGTAGTGTTTTCTTGCTTCTGTTGCCACCTTGCCCACTTAGGAATAGACGCCTATTTGACGTCTTTTTTTTTTTTTTTGGACCTAATTTCAACCATCTAGATTCTGTATATTTTTAGATGAAATTTAGATGGTGCACTTTAACCGATTGTTGGATAACTATTTATTTCAAAAAGCAACTGTGAGTTGGAAAATTGATCTCCAAGTACTTAACCAAAATAATTATGATAGCCAGTGAGCAATATACAGTGTAGGATAGATATAGCCCAGATTGAGACTTGGTATAAACTTGGCCTGAATTTAGACGTCTAGAAAACATTTTTAGACCTGTTGTAACCTGATTTCAGACCAGTTGTCTAGGCTACATTTAGACATCTATTAGACCTCTTTAAGACCAAAAAATGCTCAGTGGGTGGTAAAAGATAACAACAACAATGTGCTTTGGATGGCACATTTCGATTTAAAAACTCCCAGATGGTTCAGTTAAAGTGAAAAATAATGTGTCAAACAGGACTGAAATATCTCTAATGAAGTTCAAGTTGAATCCTGATGCGTGGAGAAAAGGCTAAACAGCCAACAACAAAACAAGTCTCCAGTGTGGGGTGGAGATAAAGACGCGTGTCCATCTTTATATACAGGGAATATACACTTAGATCATATAGTGAACTCTCCTGCTGAACATGAAAAGGAATAAACTTTTGCTACAATTTTGAACGTCAGTATTGTTCTTCACGCTTCTCCTTCAGATAATTATCTGCAGTGTCTGATAGAGAGGGAACAATAAGCTTTTCTAAACTATATTCATCAAAACTGATTTTAAGACACTGCAACATAGGCAACAGCAATAACACAAATGTCCTCAGTAAGATAGACAGTTCTGCTGTGGTTATGAATGCGAATCGGTTTTCAACAGTGAATCTCTTTGTCAGAGTTCTCATTAAAGAGAAAACGGAGTCACACTGTAAATGAAGTAACCAGGAAGCGATCGAAAAACTCTGCAGGGAGGCTCCGAAACTGACTCATTTGGCTGTTTAATGGTTGTTGTGCAGAAGTTTCAACATTGCAGCAAAGAACAAGGCAATTATGAAGATTTCCAGCCATCAGTTCCAATTAAACACACTGTCACAAACACACGCACAGCATACACAAATGTATACATACCATATAGCCCCTCAAATACATGCTTTGGTCTGTAATGAGGCTCAATTTTTCACCCTCTTGCTTCTCCTTCGCACAAACTTTTCCAATTGTGCTGAGGGTTTATTAAAAGAATAAATGCTGACTAAACATGTGCTCAGGAAATACTCTGGTCCTAAACACTCATTAAAAAACACGTGCTCCAGTGTTAAACAAATTAAGACAGCAGCAGAAAACTGGTCGACAAATATTTCAAAGGAAACAGACACTGACGAGAAAAGACACCTAAAGAAAGACTCTCTCAGCCTCGGGTGTGTGGAGGAGGAGATATTTGAAAAGCCGGACAGTAAACAAGACATTTCTTCAATCCAATTAGTATTTATCTACTCAACACATTTCCATGTGCTGCTCATTAAAGGGAACACCATGAAAGGCCCCTTTAAGTGTTAATCAATCACAAGGTCTTCTTCGTAAAGGTTGTAATGCATTACCATGAGAGGATCCAGAGGGAAAGCTCAGACACCTTTTATAAGTAGTAAAGTTAGTGTAAAAACCAACATAAACATGATAGCTGTAATGGTAATCTGACTCCATCAGTAGAATGAACTGACATGGTTTATTGAATATGTCACAGACAGCTTTGGTTTACTGTCTAATCTGCTGGGGTTTTTTTTTGGCGCCAACACCAAACTCATGACAACTCTAGTGTGTGACAGACAAGTTTAATTTAAAGCACTGATGACTAAATCAACTCTATTAACTTATCTGTTCTTTCTTAAATCTGATAAACGGGTAAGTGTTACACGCAACATTAAGAGTCTTTACCCTTATATCACTCCTGTTTAACTTTAACAGGAGTGAGAAGCAAGTGCAAAACTCTAGTAATGAGTTAAACTGAAAACTGTACAAGAGTAGATGACACAGCTTCCCAAAAGTGAAGCCAAAATAGACTGTTGCTTTTCCCCTCAGACCAATTAAAGCTCTCATAACAGTAGATGACAGCTTCCCAAAAGTGAAACCAAAACAGACTTAGAGCTCCTCTCCTATTGACTGGCTGTAAAAACCAACTATGGTGACAGAAGACGTGTTTTGGGGGGAATTATTTGCCATATATTTCAGTCTTACAGTCTGACCCCAGTTCCACTTGTTGACGAAGGGAAGGCTAGTGCTCATGGTTCACACAACAAGGGAGAGGGACTCCCCAGAGATGTTCAGGGTGACCTCTAAAAATTGACCACTTTTAGATTTTATTTCATTTTCTGTACCTTAAAGTTCCTTGTAGTGAACAATAATAGTATGAATGTGTTGATTTGTGTTTAATAACTAATAATAATAATGCATCAGATTTTTATAGCGCTTTATCAGAGACCCTCAAAGTGCTTTACATTGGATACATCAATGGATACACCACCACACAACACTCACAATCATACACCAGTGGAGGACATACACTGGGAGCAAGGTGGGTTGAGTGTCTTGCCCAAGGACACAACAAACAAACTCAGGATAGGGAGGAATCGAACCACCTACCTTCCAGTTATTGAACGACTGCTCTAACTCCTGAACTACTGCCACCCCCATAACGCATTATATTAAATTTTTTTGAACATCTGTCTCCTCTTATTAATGCAGTTTTGTGTCTGTTCCTGCTGTGGGCATAAATGGCGTGGCTGCACTTCACTGGAATCAAGATTTATCTCGTAACCTAAACTCATGAAGTGGTTGTGATTTTTCAAAGGACAGGAGTGAAATTGTTTCAGAAAAACAACTTTTTTTACTCAGTTTTTCAGGTGGTTTATGGATGGTTAGAATTTCAAAATGGCATCAGCTGTGCCTTACTAGAGATGACAACGATGAGTGAGGTGCACAAACTACAACTTAACAGGTTTTGCTGGCAGTGTCAGCTCAGCGTGGTCAAAGGAGCAACAGTACCTTCTGCTCTAGCTACACTAAAGCTCATTCAAGTTGCACATAAACACATTAATTTCTGAGAAATTCTCCATAATAAAAGTCCTTAATAGCTTTGTCATTAAAATACCCTTGTAACCCTTATAATGGAGGATGCAACAAAGTCACCAGGAGGAGCTCTGATAATTTTGGCTTCACTCCAGGCAGCTGCTATGTCAAGCATGCTTTTAGAGACTATACAGATGTAATGCATAAAAGTTAAACAGATTTGGACACACATTTTTAACATTTAATGTGTATTTATATATCAATATTTTTCCTTGTAATTACTTTTTCCACACTGAATAATAATCTCTTTGCGCCCACCAACCTGAAGTCCCTGATGTGTGGGTTCCTGAAGGCCCTGACAAGTGTTATCATTGGCTGTATCACAGAAATTAAGTGAGATGGGAGCAGTATGTGTTGAAATAAATAAAGGTATACAAAACAAATTTGGGATTTAGTTGTTTCCAAGACAATTTAGTTTTGCTGTTGCTCTTCCCCTCAGACCAATTAAAGCTCTCATAACCCATCTGACAGAGAGCAAAATGAATCTCCACTGATGTAACAGACACCACCCACACACACACACACACACACACACACACACACACACACACACACACACACTTCCCCCTGCCTATCCATGCATATACAGCCAATATGGCTCAAAATGAGCTGCCAAGTACGGTGATAAATGTCAGTCACTTTGCCCTTATGGGGTCAATAACTATAACCTGCGTCATTTTCAGTCTTGCAATCTGGCACAGGCGCTCCATCTTCTTCAGATCTACCACATGGACTGAATCTGCTGCCACGCTCTTTACATAAATGTTGTTTTTTTTTCACTTATTTGCTGATTTCACCAAATAGTGTATGTTACATGAAGGGAGATCATGAAAGCGTGCCACACTGACAGTGTACCATCCTATACTGATACCTGTAAATCAATTCATATGTTAATCTTTCTACTTCCTATAATCTTTATATTCCATTTTTTTATCAAAGCATGGAAAGCCAATACTTGGATCATTCCAAAACATAGTCAGGGTGTTTTCCTCAGGTGAAAAAAAAAGCAGATACAAATGCAACACTTAGAGTAGAGCATGGGGGAAATATTAACACTTGCACATGACACATAAAGGTGGAGGAAATTGCACCAAAGTTCACACCTCTGTGTTTTCCTGTTCCTTTAAAATCAGCCATTTGAGAGAAGATATTTCAGCAAGGTGCAGACAATGTTCTGCTCTCTCCTTTTCACTAACTATTCACCTAATGACTTCGCTTTTTATCCTGAACACTTAGGTCATTGGTCCGGAGCAGAATCATATAGATGTGTATTTCCATCCTACTCTCACTGTGGCACATTTGGACAGTGTAATTAAATCATAACCTACAATTTATGGTCCAGTGTGTGCTGTGTTTGGAACTCTTAAAGGTAAAAAGACACAATTTTTCTGTGAGACCCCCCTCTGTCAAGAATGTGTGGATGTGGACCTCTTGCTTGTCCTTTTGAGCCTTTTCCTGTATTGTCTGGAGTAATTGCCACTAATTCTAATTCATCTTGGTGCGTGAGTACCACTGGGAACTGTGGGTTTTTTTTCCTAATGGATGATCAGACGTCATAAGCAGCTCAACTGACTCATTGAGTGCAAAAAAAGACAAAACACTTTACCAACTGGATGCTCTCCGCTTCTATTGCCATCATCACCAACACTGACATGAAACAGTCTGAGCTTGAACTTACTGCAGATGAAGAAGAAGGAGGCCGTGCTAGTGAGGAGCACAGGGCTCCGGGCCAAGGAGCTGACCAGGCCAAAGATGCCTCCAAACAGCAGCAGGACTAGGCTGAGGGAAAGAACCACCACGATGGCTCTGTGCATGTCTGTTTATGAGGACAGGTGGGCAGAGAAGACAGAGGCGGCATCTATGAAGTCATAGATGGAGTCAAATTTGACAATCGAAGTGTGTGTTGTGATGAACACTCACTCAGCATGTGGAGCTCGGTTTCAGAGTACCTGGAGTAGTCAGCTGCGAAGGAGTCGATAGAGTCTGTCTGCATCTTCCCACCTGAATAGTTCATATTAAAAAGGAGGAAGGGCTCTTAAGTTACATGTAAATATCCGAGCTGACACCACATGCGCCAAAAGGTTTGAATTGTGAATTGAAAAGCAGTTTACCTTCATTAATGGTCCACAGACCCGAATGTGAGCTCATGTCCTCTAGGTCGCTCGCGTTCTTCATCTCTATAATGTACCAGTATTCTGTTCCCAATGAAGTCGCCAAAAGGGCGAAGCTGAGCAAACCGCAGAATCCGGCTGAGACCACCAGACACCCATAGGAAACCTTCATCCTGCATAGGTGAGGCTTTGATCCACGCGTAACGACGATGGGTTTAACTCGTGCGTAACGCAGATTTCTTCAGTACTGATCCAGACTTTAAACGATTACACACATCAGAAGATGCGGAAAACTGTCCTCATTACAACGTTGTTGCAGTTATCCACATGCAGGCATTCAAGTATGAAGACTGGAGATGGCTTTGGCTGAATGAATGAAAGCACAAAGCTGTGCGAAGACGGTAAGAGCCTCTTCTTCTGTCTGGGAGGGACTTGGATTAGTGCGGGAAACGCACACGTTTACGCAACACGGAGAGAGAGGGGAAAATAAGGGAAGAGAGAGATCTGTGGGATGCACTTAATAAAAAAAAAAAGACAGGGGGAAAGTCACCACATTCACTTCCCATCAGGACTGGAAAATGCGCAGCAGAGTAAGATGTTCTCATGTGTCGCAGAAGTATTTAACGCACTTTAAGGAGAGCGAGTTTTCCGATGAAAATGACATGAACAAGAAAAAGTTGGAACAATTTCTTTACTGTGAATGGCGTTGAAGCTCATATGAGAATTTTTCAGTGGGTATAGAACGGAATTTGATGCTGCAGATAATTAATATTTTCAAAAAGCAAACAGGACCATCAGCTGTCTATTGCTTATTCCTATATAATCATTCTTCAACGCCTGGATTTCTTTTCTTCGTCTGACAAGATTCTCAGTTTATAGTATTTCTGTATGTAAAAAAAAAAAGCTGGATAAAGAAAACCACAGAAACTTTCTGTACATGTGCAGGACAAAACACAAGTCTAAATACTGAGTTGAACAAAATTAAAGCATGAAATAAAAAACCCAATCATGTTTGACTTATAATCTTGAAATGCAAAATTGAAAACATGAAATAAAACACCAAATATTTTTTCCCCACATTTTTGACTATTAATCAAATATCCCTTAATCTTTAATTTAACAGATTTTCGTGGCTTATAAAGGACATTTTAAATAATGGTGCTAAATTTTACATGATTATACTGGAGGGAATATGCAGACTTCATACTGATGGGCCAATAAAAATACAAATATGATATGATCTCATGGGCCAGATTTGGCCCCCGGGCCTTGAGTTTGACACCTGTGCATTAGAGGTACAGCTTTGTCCACAAAGGGTGCTAAAATTGTCATTGATTTAAAGTTTCTCACAGGAGCCTTATGTTTTATTTTTTAACCACCTTAACATATTTGACAAGGATTGAAAAAAGTGATATAAAAAAGTGGCCAAACAGATCAAGTTTAATGAAATAAACACTGAAAAAAGCTGAGAATAAAAAAAGAACACAGATAAACAGTAGACAGTACAAGACAAATAAAAGGGACGTAAAAATGTTTAGTTGCAATCAATCACTCTCTGGCACAGCACCCCCCCCACCCCTCATTCATCAGCTTCTATTCTCTTGTCACTCTTCGCCCATGGCTGTCTTGATGATATCTGCCCTCCTCAATTTGGCTGCCTCCTCAAACTTGGTAATGGCTTCGTTGCACGTTTTGGCCTGTAAGAAGAGGAGATGAATTGTGGATGAGAAATTATGCTGAGGGTTCTTGTAGATCATGGTCTTGGCGCAGAATTAATTTACTTTTCAGACATGGAAAGAAAGAAAAGAAATGATCACAGAACAAACGGATAAAATGTGGCATTGAAATTTTTGATATTTGAGTCTTACAGTCAGCTGATTGTATTACTCATCTTGTGAGTCAGTAATTATTAATCACATTAGGAAGTTCTCTTATGAACGTACAATCATGAACTTGTGCCTCTCCTTCTGTAGTTTGAAGAATTCCTCCACAGTCAGCTCCTCCACTTTCTTCTTCAGGCTGATGAAGTGGCACGATGAGGAATGAGATTTGTGCTCCGCTCTAGCAACAAAACAAGGAGTGATGAATGAGGGAAAAATATCTTACCCCAAGAACTGTGTGAAAGTAACACATAAACTCATATCAGTGATGTCTGCTTGGAAACATCTGTTTACAATGGCAGAAGTAAAAAATTACTGTATGCGGAAAACACGTGGACAAAATATTTCAGTAAATTTTTGATGAATAGAAAACTCCTTAAAGTCATCAATGAAACAAGATGGAGCTCTTTTAATTTTACACCCATATGTCCAGATAATATACTCTGTCTTATCATGTACTGTACAGTGTTGTGGTCCAGTATTCAAGAATCTCCCGAGCTTGTGTTTGCAATGCGCTAATCTTACTCTGGGTCATCCTCCGGCTCCCAGCCCTCCAGCTCTTTCTGGCAGAAGAAACACATGGCAACATCAGGGCTGTTCTCTGTGGGGGTGTGAATGAAGCCAGCTTTGGCCATCTAGAAAACATATAGAACACAAAAGAAGAAAAATCACTTATTGAATAACAGATAAGTGCTTTTATGTCTATACTGAAAGTATAAGGCAGTGGATAAAGCTCTTTACTGCATGCAGTAAAATGCAGCAGGTTGGAAAAACACCCAGGCCACCCATTTTGGAAGGCTATAACCCTTTTAAATGGGGCATGGACTTAAAAACTCCTATGAGGAGTATTTTGACATGCATGAAATAGACTGAAATTCATCTTGATGCCTGTTAATGATATACAAAATCAAACTAGACCATCACGACTAAAGATTTGTGTCCTTCCTTAGTTTTATTGTCTGAGATCAGTGCATGGGGTGAGTCCGAGCGTTGCAACAGAAGATTCAGTCCTGATTTTACGATTTCCATCAAAAATATTCACACATACTACATATGACCATCAAAACTCAGCAGGATGAGATCTGTTCTCTAAAGTAACTACTCAAGCATGGTGCTGATAAGATAAGCGAGGACTGCTTCATCTACAGTGGGCGCCAAAGTAATGCAAACCAAAGGTTCATCACAGGAGCTTTAACCACAAGGTGACCGTGAAATTGACTTCTTCAGGAAACTTTTAAAACTGTTTTTATAGCTGAAATTACTTTGTTTGAAATTTAACAACTTTGAACTTTAACTTTCCTTAAGTGTTTTCATACTACAAAGTAAAAATGTCAGATCAGTTGTTAAGTGCCCATATGATACGGGTGCCTATTATATGATATAATCACCTGTTACTTTAATAACAGGTCAGTCCTTTGGGCATATAAACCCATGAAATACTCCCAAGTTTACTTTCCACAGTTTGGCATCACTGTAAAACTAAGTTCTTCCGATTTTGGGCAATCAGGCAGTAAATACAAAATCAATCTTTCTAAATGTCACATTGGATCCTAATTCTTCTGAACTTTTTCTCTGACATTTTAGGGGCCGTGGGATAAATTTCAGAAATAACATTCATGCTCAGGTTTCAGACTGGTTTCGTCAGTTGTTTGTTTCAGCCTTTTGAATCAAAGATATGTTATCCTATGTCAGTTGCAACCAATGTATCTTTAGGTTAGGGACTGTTGTACAAAACAGGCTACACCAACATGCCATAACATCCTAAAGAAGTCCAGTACAACAGCTACCACACAGTCTGTAATAGGGCTGGGTGATACGGGAAAAAGTTTATCATGATACATATTTTTTTCATATCGGTCAATATTGATATGTATCACAATATAAAAAAATCACTTGTCAATCTCAAATGTTTCCTTTTACTCTTAAATGAAATTTAACTTGTACTCAATATAATTTGCATTGCTCATTACTCTGCTTCATGTCCAACCTCAAAAAAACAAAATACTTCCACACCACCACCGTTTTCATGCCAGTGTTGTCGACAATGTCATCATCTGTTGAGCCTTCATCTGCACTTCTGCCAGGGGTAGCACTCATTATCTTTTTTTCTCACCAACAGTGCTGTTGGCTTTCACGTGTTAAAGTGCTATGGTTGCGTGTAGCTGCAACCTGCTACTATGCAGTCGTTTGTCACTTGGTTCTAATCCAGCACATGATTGGTTCAGTGCAGCGCAACCTGGAGCAACTCCCCTTTTCATTGGCTATTCGTGTAGTCTACTAAAACAAGGCAGAATGCTGACTATCAAAAAGCATATTGACCATGTTTCATAACATGAATTTAATTTTTAAAATGTATCATTATTGTTTTATCGCCCAGTCCTAGTCTGTATTGACATAATCCAACAGGCATTTACTGTACTTTTCATGTTGGAGACATGTAGGTGGTAATATACCAGCGTGTGTTATGCTAGAAGATGCACAATACTGCAGTACACCACTACCCCCCACTGCAACCTCAAACACTGATTTGAGGATAAAATATCATCCATGTGACCAAGTCAACAAAATATGACATTGTGGAAAGAGACAAACGTATAATTAGTGTTAACCTCTCAACTGATAGGATTGCTCTGGTGTTCATGTTATATTGGTGTACAAGAGTCCATTAGATTAGGCAATGGGTATGGCAATTGTGTCTGATACATTTCTTCATTTTCTGAAATAATTTAAGAATGTAGCCCTATCTTCATTGTTTACCTGAAACTAGTGACACTTTGCACTGAACCCCTCAACTTTTGACGTAAATCACTGTGGATTGTCGCAAACATCATCAAGTCATGATAGCAACAGCGCTTTTATCAAGCCCCTACTAACTCACATCAATGTTATTCTTATAAACTGTGTTTGTTGAAAAACAACCCACAGTCTTTCGTGTAAAAATGCGTTTGTTATTGGAGTTATAGAGTTTTTCTATCGAAGCAGTCAGGTTGCTTTGTGGTGCAAAGCTCGCGAGCGCAACCACTACACCGTTTTAAACGTTTACTCACGTTCTCCGGGGTACAGTTGCAGTCCTCGTCAAACGGCCACCCTTCAAAGGTTTTCAATCTGTTCTCGTAAAAATACATTTTGAAAACGTCTTCGTTGCATGCCTCCATTTTTGTAAGGTGTTTAAAAGACGATTTCTTCTGCTTGTGTTGCGACAGCGACTTCCCAAGCTAAAACAAGACGCTTTCAAATCGGGGCGCTATTCGCTTTAACTGATTTGATTGGCCCTTGGAGATCACGTGCATTATGTATTTTCTTCTTCTACGATTAATAGCACGACAACAGAACGAGTGCGCCATCTAGTGTTCACAGATGCCCAGAACAGGAATTTGGCGTAAAAACACAAAGTCAATACGTTAAACAAATAGATTTATGAAATAATTGTTTGATTTTTTTCTTGTGCCCATGTCATGTGTCTACCTCGCGGAATCTAGAAAGACTTTTGAAGCTTAGTGACACCCACAGTCTCGCACCGAACTTCCGTTAGTTTTTCATGGGAAATGTAGTCCTTGGTTGTCATTGGTCTAAAACAGACGCGCGGAACTTCATGAAGGGCATCCCAGCTTGTGTAAACAGTTGGGTGCAGGATTAACTTTTTGCCACAAATATTTATTATCCATCACCAAGCTAACAGTCTCTACAACGACACACACGCACGCTTGTCAGTTTCTTCTTCGGTCCTGAGGTGATGGAAGGACGGTGTGCTGTAGAGACTTGGGCAGAGTTTCGCTCCTCAGGATCAACATGTCCACAGAGGCTGGTATATACTCATGGGACAGATGTGTTTCTCTGCACTGGCGATGATGAGGTTTATGTATTTTGTTCTGAAAGGAGGAAAGTCACTGTAAGTAACTTTTGAGAATGTCTACATTTTTCAGTCATTACAGTTTCACCTCAGATTTTCAGTCCCAAAGACAACTTCTGAACTTCATATGTTTGACTGAGTTTCTGTTTTGTTTTTCAGACTGTCCTAAAGTTCCCTGGACCCCTGAATGACCTGTATGGGACTAATGAAAAGACACCCCTTTATGCAGCCTGCAGTAATGGAGTTTACTGTGTCTGTTTACAGTCGCTCTTATCCAGGTATGCACTTCTCTACACTCTGTGCATTTAACTACATTCACAGTTGAATTATGTCATGAGGTAGTCCACAAATAAGCATCTGTTTTCATAAAATCTGTGGATTTATTCATGTACGTACCTTTAACATGCTCCTTATACTCCCTGCAGACCTCAGAACCTCTCAGCTGATGCATCCACTTCTCCCGCAGAGCTTCAGATTTCCTCAGAGTCTCTAGTTGTTCCAGTAGAAGGAGTCTTATCCCTGCTCCCAATTGGCTCACTACTTGTGACTTTGTCACTGAGAGACACATTCTGGACTTTAACTTTATACAGTTCTTCCAAGCAATCAGAACCCTTTCAGGTGCTTGGTTCATTCAGCCTTCCAGTGGTCTCTGGTGTTTCACACCATGAAACAGAGGGAAAAACACGGATGAAAAGGAGGCCTATGCTGATCTATGTCTGTTCTGGTGATTCCACACCGCTGTCTTCCTCCCCCACTTCATTAGATGCTAATGGTCACATCAGTCATTTCTCCCTGGAGCCTGTCCTCTTCAAACTCCTATTTGGTGTTGATGCTGCTCTTGCCAAATCACCTGTTATCCTCTGTGGACTGCCAGATGGACGGTTGTGTTTCCTTCCTCTTCGTCCCTTAGGATCAGGTCTCAGAGTCCTGCACAGCCTAGAGCAGTCTGTGATATTCATCGGAGCTTCTTCCTTTTTGGAGACTTCAGGACATGCACAGTGTTTGGTTGCACTGGGTGAACAAGGAAGAGTGGTGCAGATTAAAGTGAACAAAGCGGGACCAGAAGGAGGGAGGAACACGGCTGGTTTTACAGAAGGGTGTGTGCCAGGTCCCGTGATGTGCAGTTGTATAGATAAAAACTATCTCTACTACAGCACTGGATCAGACCTGCTGGTTCTGGATCTGTCAGAGGGATCAAATGGGAGGAAAAAGGATGAGGAAACTTGCAATAAGATGGTCGCTGCACTTCAAAACCCATCCAGTTTGAATGTCTGCAGAGTTAACACCTTGGTTGAACTGAAAAACACTACTGGTGAGCAGACTAAGCCAGGACATGAAAATATAATTTCAAGATGTCATTTATTAATTCATTGTCATGCGATTTTGTCAGTCTTAATGTGAGGTGTTCAGAGCGTGCACAACACAAAAGATGAAACATGCCAGATTTAAAACTTGAGCTCACAACTTTAAGCCAATCACCAGAACAAGCGGGACATGAACTACTGAGCCAGTTTGATTTGGAGTATGATTTGATGGTATGCTGCCAGTTGGAGATTTTTTGTCTACCATAAAAAGACATAATAACAAGAAAACAGTGTAAGATAAAGCAGGTTAGACAGAAGACATAATGAATTTTAGTTTAGTGTTATGTTGTAGTTTATAGCCGTATCTGTTACTTTAACCCCCACATCTGTTTTGTGTCCTTGTTCAGCAGGCGAAGTTCAGCTCTTATCTTTGTCTGTGGGAGGGCAGCTTCAGAGGATTACTGTACCTGTGAGGAAAGATGATGGAACGTTGTCCAATGTGCCCTCCACACAAGTGGGCAAGGGCATCAGGGACCTCCTGTCTGCAATTGGGGATGTTTGTGAAAGGTACATATGCACAGTCTGGGTTAGACAGTGTGTAGTGGCTCTTGATGCTCCAAGACCAGATGCTCCAGTCCACTCCTTGTAAGCTCTCCCAAGTTCCCAATTTAGTCTCTTGGTAATCATGCGGTTGGGTCATCCCTGTTTCTTGAGCCTCTTTTCCCACCACATTTTTTTAACTTTCTATCAGTACAATATTTTGCAAAAAGCCAGTCTTTGCAGCAGCGCCCTGTGGTTCAGCCTCCTAGTCGAGTGTGTGATTACAGTCTTCTGGCCACTTATAAGTCGGCGGTCTTTTCCATGATTGTGTATGTTATTATCTCGACTGAAAGATACATAGTATTCGTAGTGTTTGAACAGAGATTTACTCAAATCTGAAATGAAGTGTTTTAACATTTTGAGATGTTTTAGCTTTAGACCATAGTTTTCAAAACTGAAAAAGATAACAAAGGACTAGATAAATTAGACTTTGTTGACCCTTTTGGGAAGGGGAAAAAAGTAGTGTTTTTTGAGAGATGTTTTTTTTTAATTTACCATGGGAAAAATATTTAAAAAAAACACACAGAAAAAGAGAAAAGGCAATAAAAGCACACTATAAAAAAGGTGACAGGAAAGTGAAAAAATACGTTCAAAGGTTTTAAGCACTGAGTACTAGGGGTAGGAGAAACAATCGATACAGCATAGTATCGCGATAATTTGTCTGGTGATGTATCGTATCATCTTATTTACCAAGTATTGATTTTCAAATTAATTGTTAACATGAAGTCAAATCTATGATAATGGAAAAATAAAATCGACTGTTTGTCCAGTGAGGTTAGCAGAGGTGACATCATAGAGCAGGAGAAAGTTAGTACAACAAATATATAAAAGGTTTGCAAGATGTGCTTCATGAAAATAAAATACTGTGTAAATAAGACAAACATAAAGAAAAGACAAATGCTAAATTAGCTAAACAGTTGAAATAAATTATATAAATCGCAATATATTGTGTCACAATACTCACTGTATTGCAAAGTGTTAAAAATCACAATAATATTGTATCGTTTCCCAAGTATCGTGATAATATCGTATCGTGGGGCCACTGGTGATTCCCACCCCTACTAAGTACTTTAGAGCTACTGGAGAGGCAGCCGTCTCCCACAGCACCTTAGCATCAAGAAAGATTCATGAAAAATCTTTAGTTCACATGTAAAGAGTCCTTATTGTATATTCAGCAAGATTCAATACCTGAACTACTTTCCCTAAACATCTGTCTCATTTGAGCTGCACCTTTTCCTCTTTGATTGATACCATAACACAAAGCTGAAGTAAAACATCAAAGACATGCAACAGCAATATGAAGAAAACCAGAGTTGTTTAATGAAAAATAATGCAATGAAACTGCAGCATTCAATAGACAAGCTAATAATTCATTTTTGGTTCCCTTTTCTCTTCAGGGCATCAGATCTAAAGTCTGCCATCAAATCCAAAAACCAAATCCTGATGCACCTGAATCAGGTCCTCAACATCAGCTTCCTGCTCACTGCTAACAGTGACAAGCACCTTCTTGTGCAGGAGAAGCTCTTCAGATGTCATGCTATGACCAGCTGGAGCAGACTCCTCCAAAAAGACTTCTTGAACTTGACATGTGTCCTAGATAACTCCAGTCCTTATGTTTTGGAGCAAGGCTGGACTCTGAGCATCACTGTTTCCCCTCTGGCCCATTCACCCAGCGCAGGAAGGGAGAGATCCTCCACAAACTTCTCTTTCCCTTTCCAGAATCTTCTTCCAGGGGAAACATTAGAAGTATCTCTGCCTCTTACGGCTGCTGCAGACACATCCTTCCCCATCACAGTGAGCTGCTCTATCATCTTCTCACTCTCCAGTCTGCTGGAAGAGGAGGCTGCAAAGCTGCATGGACTACAGAGCAGATGCATCAGTCTGCCCCTGAACACACTGACAGTGGATTGGCTGCAAGCCCTACAGGTCGACTGTTCAAAGCCTACATCTCAATTTGACAACACAAACAATGCCATTCAGGCTTTTATAGACTCACGTCGGATAAGGTGTAGCAGAAGAGGGGAGGTGGGAGGTGAGAGTACCCCAAAGTCTGAGCCAGAGAAGTATTCAGCTACTGTTAGGGTGTCGTCAGAGTTACTAAAGGAAACACTCCTGTTAAAAAACTGTGACTCAGACCCTCATCCAAATGTGTGCCTCTCTCTGCTGGACTGGCTGTTATCTGAGCAGCATGAAGGAGTGAAGAGAGGACAACAAGGAGACAAGACTGCAGTCAGCAACTCAGTGATTTACGCTCGAGGTCCAAACGGTCACACAATCAAACTGACTGCAACAGAGGTAAAGACTGAGCTAACATTAAAATAACTGAATGTTATAAACTATAATATTTTAAAATAAAAAAAAAATAAAGATAAAATTCACATTTTCAACTAATTAGAAACATAACAAATTCAGTTTGAAAGTAAAATTATGATTATTATTTTTTATATAAAAGAGCATATTTATTTAAGGAATAGTTTGGTATTATACAAGTGAATTGTATGATGAACTATTTCAAAGCTCCTATCAGGAGTTTTTCTGCTTATGGAATAATACAAAAATACAAAGGTTTTCTCTGGTTTGTATTTGATTTTGTGTTATTTTTGTAAAGTAAATATATTTGTTATCTTGTCCTCCAGGGAAATCTAAAGGTGGAGAATACAGGAAAGGAGGAGTCTTTGACCACAGTGGAGGTTCAGATAGAGAGCTCCTCTCTTGCAGCAGTGTGTGGGCTTCATCATGCTGTGCTGCACCGGGTGCAGGTACAAACACTCACACACCAACTTATTCTGAATTATCAAGGAAACTTTATAAATCAGAAGTGCTGAATACAGGATTATAGAGGTTTTAAGATGATTCATTCTGGACAATATAGGTTTCATAGACTGGATTCTGCTTTTAGGCTTTTAGCGAATCCCATGTAAGGGTTTCATTATCAAATGCTCTAAGATGAATGTTCTGCTCTGTTTTAGACTCTGTTACTGACAGCTCCTGATAGAGCAGCTTCCACAAAGAGTGTCCAGAGTTTAGCTTTAAGACGGACACTTCAACAGGCTGAGGTAAGAACTACATTTACACCAACACTGCTTAGCTGTAGACAAAACCGGACCCTCTATGTCTTTGCTGATCTTGTTTTGGGTTGCCGTTCCTGTTGTCTCTTTTAGGTCCCAAAGACCTCACCAGATTACCACCAAGAAAAGTTGGGATGTCATTACAGTTAATTGTACTTTGCTTGGTTTTGCTCCCCACAGGAACTGAATTTTCCTGCTCATACATGTCTGGTCAGTAGTAGGGGTGTCCCAATATGATATTGATATTGGATATTGGTCTGATATCGGCAAAAAAACAAATATCGGATTAAATTGGGCTGCAAGAAAGAAAAAAAAAAACCCATGGAGGATCAATAAAGGAATATTCTATTCTATTCTATTCTATCTTAAATCTCCGATATCAGCACTCCGATACAAGCAGTTCATTCCAGACTCCGCTTTAGCACCTCTATCTAGCAGCACCCTGATCCAGCATGCTGAGCCCACAAAAACACAACAACAATGTGTACTAAGGTACTAACAAAGCAGCATGGAGTAAGAGTGACATTGGCCATGTGGCAGCATTTTTTTGTTTAAGTCCGAAAAAGACGTTGCAGCTGAGTGAAAAATACACAATTTTGTACCAATACCGGATCAATATCGGTGTCTGTCAATATTGAAGGCTGCAATATCCGTATTGTATTGGAAGTCAAAAAGTTTTATCCTGACACTCCTAGTCAGTAATACTCAGACTGTAATAGTACCACAAACAGAAACAAAATCCAGACCCCTGAGTTCAGTTGAGGTCCTCTATGCTGGGTTCCACACTAATGTTGTAGCTTTTGCCTCTTCTGGTTACTTATTAATTGAAAATTAATTCTTTCGAGCTGTATTTTAGTATTCTTACTCAGTAGATTTGAGTAAGTTATTCAGATTCAGCCTAAGCAGCCTAAATACAAGACAGATAAGTATTAAAATAAAAAATGAATTCATCAGAACAGCTTCAGTATCATAAATATTTCCTTCCTTAATGTCAAATTTCCTTCCTCTTCTCCCCTTTCTCATGTGCAGCACCTGTTGCAGCAGATCCAGCAGCATCGAATCTCAGAAGGCTTCAGTGTAGGAGTGTCCAGAGGACAGATGACCGGTCCTCTCCTCAGAGTTTACAGAGAACTCAGAGAAAATCCTCTCCTCATTGTTTAAGCTTTCACCCAGCCTGCCTACACAGCTGCCTCTGACCTTGTTCTGTGTTGTGTAAGCTGTGTTTGAGGCAGTTTGAAACATATTGTCTGTGATATAAATTGCGATTATAAATGTACCTCACTGTAAGCATTGCATGTTCTACCAAAAGCAGCTTTATTGCATGGCTGTAGTAGGAAAATGTTAAATCACACAATAAAATCCAGAGTTAGTTTATTCATTTGAACTTGTTGCTCTCATCTGACTTAATTCCCATCAGCTATTTTTTCATCGCACTTGCTTGACATCTCTAAAAAGAAACAATCAGTGACTTTCCCCCTTCGTCTTTGCTTTAACTACACTGTACAGACTATGACACAGAACGCACGTCAACTGAAGCGCTCAGGTGGAGGAAGAAGACACACAATTACACTCTGAATAGGAGAGCAGTGAGCTACAGCTGGGGGAAGGTCGTGCAGTCATCATCTCAGATGTGTTTAGTGACATGGGACCAGATGTGCTTTACAAAAGATGCCAGACAAAACACAAGAAACACATTTTCAGACAGTGGGTTAAAAAGACAGAAGAGGGACTATGTATGAAGTCTTTATCAGAGGCAGAACAAACAAGATATAGATGAGCAAATTTATTTTGTGTGCAGCCTCCACTTGGATCACTAGATAATAAATAACGCTTCTACAGACGGACAAAATAATTATCTGCTGCTTAGACGATGCTCAGGTTGTTGAAACATTAAATCTGGATCTGGTTATTGCAAAACGAGGAAGCCAGAGCTGATCATGATACAAGTAACAGCCTCATCAAGTCTTAAATTACACTCCTATCAGTGATGGTAATAACAGAGACTGATCTATCTGTGTGATTATTGAAGCTAACCTTCACCAGGGCAAATACAGACATAAAAAAAACTTGAAACAGTCGTGCAATTTGGAAATAGTTTCCAGGCTTGGAGAAGTTCTGCATAATAGGGTCAATGTTTTAGAAAGTTATGGAAATTTGAGTGTTTATATGTACTGTTAATAACTCAGTGTGTCACTGTTGTTTTAAGCAGATTTTATGAGTGCGGATCCATGCAGGTTAGGTTTTCCTTAATTTGCTTTGTTTAAATCTAAAACTTTATGTATGTTGTGCATCATAAAGCTGAATTAATTCAGCATTTTATTTCACCAGATTCTTTAAACTAATGTTTTGTTTCTATTTCGTTGATTTTGCAAAAGTCTTTTTTTTTTCTTTACAGACATCAGTGAGCTGTGATTTGTTTCCTGTCACAATTTCTTCCAAGGCTTTTTCCATAAATCCTCAACAGCTCCAGTTCACAAGTTAACAAATTAGTGCAAACGAAATACTCACATGTTGTCCATCAGCTGGGATGAGTCACAAAAGACTGGGGACTTTCCAGTGAGAGGGAGACTGCACTGAACAATACTGTTTCATGCAGAAATTTCTCAGATTTTTGCCAATTCCTTCATGTTTGGTTTAAAAATGCTGATCTGTGATCAGATAACACCAGATTTTTTTGTTTAAAGCTCCTATGAGGAAATTTTCTTTTGCATCACTTTTGACGCAATAGTGAAATTCTATTGACTGAGTCCGAACAATAACATTACAATTCTATACTGGCTTTTCCCCTCAGAACCAGACAGGACAGGAGGAGGGAACATGCAGCGAGCCAGACTGGAGTTAGATTTTTTCTTGTGTGTCTGTGACGATAATGAAGATCCTCTGAAGTACCAACCTTCTCGTCTGTTTGACAGGAGCTGACCAGATGTAGAAGGTATGAAAACATCTTTGAGTAAAACCTGCCTCGGCTCCTTTAATCCTGGAGAAGATGAGGCATTAATAAAACAAAACATGAACGGCCACATGGGGTTTGTATTTCAACTTTATGTTTGCAAAGAAAATAGTAATGTAGAAAAACAACACAGGAGACCATGTAAACATATTTGAATGAGCCGGTAATTCTGCTAACATTAGTTTTAACTGCAGTTCTCTGTATCTGTTTTTTTTTTTTTACTGGCATCTGAAACTTGATGAGCTTGTCTGCTATTAAACAGCATCAGACATTGGTACCATGCAAATGACTGGAGGTCTTCTAGCAGGTAACACTACTCTTAAAAGAGACTAATTCTATCTCAGGTGTCACACGAACAAGTGTACTTCCTGGTTTGAAAGAGTGTCAAGTGAAATGAAACCCCTGTAGTCGTACTGTTGTTGCTGTGTGAACAATGGTGTAATACTTAAAGGAAAGACGATGCCATCAATGGACAGTGGTTGGTTTTACAGCATAGAAGTATACATATCCAATAGAAAGAAGGTCTTTAATGTGTCGTTTAGCTTTAGATAGCTATGAAATTAAGGAAAAGAGCAAACACACTTAGCTTCATTCACACAAGTTTTGAAGTCAAGCACAGACTAGAAATACTGCTCCTTCATGGAGAATTGTCTTGGCTGGTTATGCATCAGATCCTCTTCTCACACTTTCTCTCCTTGCATAAGTCTAAATTTCATGTTGCAGATTTTTTTAAACTGAAGGTTCCAAAGATTGCTTCCTCATCCTCAAAATTCTGCAGAGTTTAGGTTTAGATGAAACAAGGCGGCTGGCTCCAAAGGTGTTGTGTCTAATATTGGAGTATGTTTAATACTCCCACAGGGCCGAGCTGCTTGGGCTGAGTCCATCTCCCTTCAGCGTGCCTCCCTGATCTCCTCGCAGGTATTTACCGCTCTTGGCTCGGATGGCGAGGCGACCGTGCTCCAGCAGCTCCAGAGAGAAATCCTCAGGGACCTCACCGTCTGAGCATACCAGACCAGAACTGTTCACATACCAGAACCGGCCTTCCACACCTGCAGGATGTAAAGGGTGAGTAAAATTTAAGCAGAGTAGTTACAACTGAATTTAGAGTTTCAGGGATTTGCTTCCTTTTGATTTTGCACTTGATTCCTCTAATGATAAACATGATTTATCAGCCAAACAAAGAAGAAGATCAGGGTTTAATCAATCATGTTTGTGAGAAAACATCCCAACCTTTAATGTGGTAGAACCCGTTACTGAACTGCAGATTGAAAATGTCATAGACTGATCTGCTGGCGTCCAGCGTGTTGGAGTTCTTGTGGTGGCAAATGAATCCATTCTGTCCTCTGAGGATCAACATGGGTCTGTTGATCAGTTTCAAAGTGAGCTGTTCATCCTCACCTGATGAGAGGTGACAGACGGAGGATGGAAACACAAGGGATGCAGGTTTTGATTGAGGAGGTACATTAGTGCAGAGAGAGGATGAAAGAGAAGAAAACCTTTAAAAGTCTCTCACCAACTGAATCACTGACAGCAAGCAGCTGGCCATTCTTTTTAGTGCAGATGTATTTCCCGTTGTTAGCTTTTATTGCCACCTTGTGGCCGAGCCACTCCACTGCAAACATGGTGTTTGCTGACCTGCAGTTGACCAAAAAAAAAAGAAAAGTAAATTACACTTTCTTCGCCTTTAAATGCTAAGACTGTTGAATTCAGTTTTTTCATGTAACTTGCAGTCTAATAAATGTAAGTAGCTACTCATTTCAATTTCATATGTTCCTTTTTTGATGAATCTCAGGTCTTGGCCTGATGCAATATCCTAAATATAAATATTACCATGATTTTTTTTCTATAAGGTTTTCTATGGGTTAGAAGACGGTTGAATTCAAATAACACAGGGACATTAATGCTTTGATAGTGAGGTATTAACAGGTAAATACTAAAAACTGCATAAAAGCACCTTCTGTACACTCTTTTATGTTATATTAAATGTGCAATGTGTAAAATCTTTAATTCTCCATGACCAGCACTCACACTTCAGTAGCCGTGCTCTGGATGCCTCCATGGGCTACCAGTGCCCAGTAGTTCCCCTGGCTACTGCGAAATGTACACTTCCTGGTTTCTTTGTCAATCTCCATCTGAAACGTCTCCATGTCTGTCTCATCATCCTGATTGGCTGCAAGGCTGACGCCTAGGAGGGGCAGAGAAAGCACATCCTGTTATCAATACTTAAGTATGAAAACCTTGGAAAAGTTCATCAATTTTTGTTTTAATTTTACAATTACAATAGCAGTTCAAAAGCACACAGTATGTTTGAGTAGCAACAACTAAGTCTTAGTCAAATCAAGTTTATTAGTCAAGTCAAATTTATTATAAGGTTAAAACATATTTAAACTGAACTTTGAGGTGTTGTTCAACTAAAGGAGACAACCAAAAATGAAATCAAGTTCCAATTCAAGACTGAGAGCCTCAACATATACAACAATACATGAAAATAAGACTTAAAATTGAAAAGCTGAGTTAAAATAATTCAGTGTACATTAAAAGACCCGCAAGACGATATAAAATATAGAATAGAAATGATGAATCAATGTCAGCTTGAACTGACAGAGTGTGATGGTGCAAGAAATCAACAAGATAAGAGGGTGAAAATCCTTTTAAACCCTTTAAAATCCTCATTACGTCCTCAGTCCTGAAATAGATCTTTAACCAATGCATGAAGATTTAAGTCCATGTAATGTTGTCATATGTTTTCTTCCCACTCAGCCAATGCAGCAGCAGTTTGCACAAGCTGGACGTGCCACAGATACAACTGACCAAAACAACCTTGATGTTTTAAAGTCAGTTAGAAGCAGATAAGATTTAACCTTGGCTATAAGTCTCAGGAGGAGATCTGTTTATCAAATTTGCATAAACTGTCAAACATCACAAAAATTGACAGACAGACATGAACACATGCAGGGCGAGGTTATGGGGTTTAACAATAAACTTTCACGAGTACCAAAAGATGTAGCTTAAGGGATTTCAGCATGAAATAAACAAATTCCTCCGCAAACCCCCCTTTGACCCCTCACTAAATAGTCAGGAGAAACAGTAACATAGCAGCTTTCTAATCAGGTTGTTTAGCTTGGCTCAGCATGAAAGAGTCTGTAATCATATCTTGTCACGTTTGTTCTGGAAGATCCAGTCATCAAGTGATTTGCCATCGAGCTCCAGCTATCCTGAGGGAAGAGGCATCTTAACTGATTGGGGTTTTGGATGCATTCATAGAGGGATGATAATATAAATGAACTTTAGTAAACATCTAACAAGTGAACGCCATAAACAGTAAATCCAAATGGATGCCATAAGTCTCAGAAAGAATGATGACTATAGCCCCTGTATGACTGAACTGAACCGGTGCCTCTGTAGTTACCATGAAGTCTATGATCAAAAGTTGAAAAGTATTTCTATAATGTGTCCAACATTGAACAAACACATACTGAAACCTTAAGAGAAAGCAAGTCACTATTAAATTTGCAATTTGTAAAGCAAATTGCTGCTGTAATATTATCAAGCTGTGGCATTATCATAAATATTGGCACAGAAGAAAACAGTTGTCGTCACTGCTTAGAGACAGATTGCAGAAAGCTTAATCCCAAATAAGAACAATCCCTTAATATCCCTGATACATTTTCTTTATCCTTTAACAGCCCAAATCTGTGCTCCCAAGCCCCTTCTTTCCCTGTATAGCCCACCATCACAAGACCTGCCTATCTGCCCTCCTCACAGCAGGACTCTGATATAATCAGCTTTCTAGCGCTGCCCATCCAATCCCTCTAACCCCTCAATAAAAGAATAAAGGAGGAACAGGAAGAGAGCGGAAGATTTTATGGTCCACACTTAGCAGGACGTTTGGGTAATTACTAACCACAGTCAACCCTAAAGCTCATGGGCCCATTATTATTCCAACATATGGAAAAGATACTGAACAACGAAAGTCTAAATGCCAACTAACTTTATTTTTAATATACCTGAAACCACCCAAATTATCCCATGAGGTAGTATAATCCATATTTATAGAATACTTTGTATTCATACACTCAAAGCCTATTTAGCTAGAAAGTTAGTAAGTCTGGAAACTTCAACCCCCTCATGAATAATCATCCTATAACCACAGTATTATAACTCTTGGAAACCCGAGCCTCTGTATGTAACAGACGAGATATAATAGAAATGGTGAGTGTACACAGAAAGTCCATTGAACAACTGACTGCTGTGATTAGGTGTCTCAAAAATGTAACCAAAAATTCAAAGATGGTAGTCCTCGAATCCTGTCTCCTGCTACGCCTGAATTGGGACAAAGCTGATGCAATATGAGGCCAGAGTCTGTGCAGCAAGGATTTGCAGTCTGAGCTGCAATATTCCACAGCAGCCGATCACCACACCACCTTTGCTAACCCAAGAGCCATCGTGCTAATCTAGTCCAAAGCAAAATGATATGAAGTTAGTGTCAAAGTGATAAGTGTTAGCTGACGGTACTGTAATAACTTGAGGTTTCATCAACTTCATCTTTCAGTCCAGTAGTTCATCCCTATCTCAGAAACAATGAAAATAAAATGTGTTTAAAGTTTGCCTTTGTGCCTTTTGTCTCAATTTGATATTCAAGCGTAGACGTGGCTTTGAAGAGGGAGAAAAGGATGATTTGTGACAAAGATGTCATGGTTTCTAAGCTGCCGCAACACTTTAATCACATCTTATTCACACCTGATAAACGAGCTACCATGAGGTCTTACTACTGGTTGAATTATCATTGATCTTGAGTGTATTTCAAGCATAAATTTCTGCCCCCTCTACTCTGCAACTACGCCTGGGGGCCCATCACTCTCATTCCCTCTCATCTCAACTCAATGTCATGCTTTGTCTACCTATTCTATGTGTCCATTTCACACTAATTCAACCCAGAAATGATCCAGCGACAGGCTCAGCTGGGACCTCACAGCCACAGTCTGATAGATGAGAAGAGGGAATAAAGGATGGAGGGAGGGAGAGAAGGAAACAGAGAAGAAGAGATTAGACATGCTGAAATCCAAACCAGCAATCTGAGGATATCAATAGCTGCATTGACGACCATCTTTGACACAGCAGTTGGTCAAGCAGATGAGATGATGTCATGGGAATAGAGACACACACCGGACACACAGGGGTAGAGTTAGCAGCACCACAGTTTGGATTAGACCCCGGATCCAGCTCTACTTTCTCGTGCTGTTCTACCTGCAGTTTGCAAGTGGAGCAGTCCTAACTAATCCATCAGCGATAGATGGCTTTGACATCTATTATTAATGGTAAGCTGATGCCTCATTCCCCCTGTTCCTTATTTCCCTTCTCCTACTGAACCTTCATCTTTTAGCTCTGTTAATGTTTACAGTGCAATAACTGTCTTACATCTCATTTGTTCCTGAGCTTTAGGTGTGTGTCTTTGCGCGCATGCGTTATACATTCAGTATATAGTGTATATGTTCACAATAGGTCGTATAAAAACAAAAACAGCACAAGAGTTTCCCTTAAGTGAAGCTAAAATTTTAGAGCTCATGGACTGTTAATTTTTCAGAGAAGTTTGGGTTCAATAAGTTATTTGTGCTTAAAAAGCGAGGATATGACATCATGATTGACAGCTCTGTTAACAAATGCAGCTCCTGTAGTATTCCCCAGAAGGTACAAACAGAAGGAAGGCGGGGTTTTTAGGGTTTTTCTTTTCATTTACAGTTTAGTTTCAATAATTTTTCATTGTTTTTCATTCTAGTTTTTATTTTTTGGGAACTATTAGTTTTAGTTGATGATTAAGTTTGGGTATTTGTGATGTGGGTTTCTTTGGAAGGAAAGACTTCCCAGTGGATGTTGTGCAGAAAAAACTCAAAACACCAGACAGAACTTATGTTAAATGAACTATACGGCTTGTTTTATGACACAAATCCAAAATAATTTGCAAATTTTCTGTGTGTTTGCTCACATCCTTCATGCTACCCCTGCATAAGTCAGTGCCCCAGTTTAACCACCCCTGTCAAAAAGGCCGGGACATTATGTTACTCTGCGCTGCAACAGATGGATCCATGTGGAACACACAGTTCTGATGATGGAGAAGAGGACGTTGTAGTCAACTATTAAATGATTTATGTCCTTGTAGAGCCTTGCTCTCTTCCAAACTAAAAGTGAATTACTCATAAGTGACATTCTTCCTCTCTGCAAACTTCATAGAAAAATAATAGATCATCAAGCCAGATTAAAAGAAATCTGGGAGAGATCTTAAGCAGCTCTTATGAAGTCTAGCCAAATTAAACTCCTGGTGCTGCTCCTGAGATGGACCAAGGGGGAAATGTGTGTCAGGTGGGGTGTCTGTTAAAAACAAAAGGATATTTTCTCTGTAATTTCATGCTGTCAGGTTATATCAATCCCACAGCTTCATGAGCTGGATGCTTCTGCACATGCCTTGGCTTCAAAATGTTGCCAGTTTAATATTTTAGCGTCCACCAATGCAGCATTTTGGCGTCACTCTTTTGCAATGGGGAATAGTTAAATGCATGCTGTCTCTACTTGTATACAGTCAGTGATGGGCTCCCGATTATGCCTGTTAATGGAAAGTGACCCATCATCACTCTTTCAACCTCAGGTCTGAGTGGACCACTTAGACCTGAGACTTGAGAACACTAGGAGGGGATGAGAGACATGATGACAGATCTCCCTGTCATGCTGAGACACACAAACTGAAAACACACATGCATACACTCAGCAGTCAATTATGAACATCCAAGTGCAAACAGAGTATACTGCCTCCCACTGCTGTCCACAAAACCTCTATTTAACGCTTCTTTTATTGACATTCATGCTCCACCTCATAACAGTCGACCCTCTTTTACCACTGACCCATTTTCTTTATTTGGACTCTCTTTAAAATAGATTGCAAACACAACCCCTTTGCTGTAAATGGAACGGAGACAAAGGTGCTAATTTATGTGAAAAGACAGGAGATATTAGGGAGGATAAAGAGCCCACCTGTCTCTACACACTCATGTTGCCCTAAAACCCTTTGGGAGCTGCTTTGTTTTCTTCTTTTTATTCTTCTTAAATCATTATGTCAAACTAAGAGGTGGGAGCTTCCAAAATTAATGCACCAAGGTACTGAAGAGTTTTGAGGTACTCCTATGTTTGTATTTTGCAACTTTTCTTGACCTTAAACTACAAAGTTCAATCTTAAGCTTTAACATATATCTGAATAAATCTTGCAAAGTGAAATGTGATTTTTCAACTCATTTCATGCCACTTATTTCAAGTTTTCTATCACATGCAACAACATGAGCAAATTATTAAATAATAGGAAAACAAGGAAAGTTCAGTTACGGCCATTTAACAAGGCTGTCCTGGAAAGACAAACTTGATCATTGCTCAGCGGATTTTGGTGTGAATACATGCTTAAATGTTTGCGAATTTTCTGACATGCTCGATTTAGTTATTTCAAACTAAAATGCCAGAGATGCACAAAAAATACAATTTAAAAAATGTGGTAAAATATCTTATCATGTGTCGTAACCCGACCCCTCTGCTGTGTCATACTTAGCTGAACACAACAACATCTCAGCACTGACTGATGTGGGTGAGCGGGTTAGATTAGCGGGCCAGGGCAGGACTCGAGGGGCAGAAGCTTTGGCCCCAGGTGAGATCCAGCTTGGGTTTCTGAAAGCAGACTCCCCCCCTTGCCTTCCAGGAACAGGGGCCAACTTCATCAATAATTCAGAACACTACCTCACTATTCGCCACAGCAGGATGGAGTGGTTTTGTGTGTAGGCGAATGTGGTGGAAAGAGATTAAGCTTCTGTTGGTGTAGATCAAAAGTCGAGGATAAGAGGGATGAGCAGAAAGAGAAAAGTGTAAGCATGCTTAGCTTCGCATATTTCTGTCTGTTTGTTAGTATAAGAGGCTTCTGGTTCCTCTTAAACCAATCCGTTTAGAGAGCTCCATTTGGTTTGGTTTCTGCTCCCACAGCTAACCAGGGACAAAGAGAGATAGGGAGATATACAGTTACAGCACCCAGGGCTGGAGTAACTCAACCCTGCAGACAAGAATCTGCAGCCTGTAGATGGATGTCATGGCCAAGGATGCTGACAAGCATTGTTGGTGTATGCTAATCCATCCCAAATTCAGTTTCAAATCACACCAGCAACCAATACAACCATCAGTAACTGAACACTTAGCAAGTCTTCTTACTTTTAGTGAGCCTCTGATTGGATGAAACATGATCACGATCCTTTGATTTTAAACTTACTGAATAATTTTCTTTCCTTTTTTGTTGTTGTTAAGAAAAACCACTTTGAATTAGACATGCATTAGGTGTAATCCATCTGCATAGAGGTCTGGTTTTACAGCTGCATGCTGATCAAATAACCCACCCCAGCTGCTGAGTCAAAAGACTTAAGAATAAATACATAATACAGTAACAACACAACAATATAGCTGACGAGCAGCTGTATCAGCAAACACAATGAGCACAAGTTTAGTGGGTTTACAACCATTACCCAGCAACCGCTGAGGAACATTTGGATCAAGCACCAACCCCCAGTGTTGGAAAATGAGGTAAATATGGAAGTAAGAAAAACTGCTGTTCCTTGAGTGCCCACTTGAGGCTGACTCTAAGACCCAAAGAATCCCCAGCAGTCCTGTTACAGTATGTTGAGCTAAAGTTAGGCTGAGTCATCATTTCCAGTATGTGACCAGTCCAGTGTTAACTCTGGCAGGTATTTTAGATTTGAAAAAAAAAGAAAAAAAGAAAATGCTTTATTGGTTTTAGTCCTTTTAGTCTTTTCTGTCCTTTGAGGTTTTGGTCTAGTTTTAGTGGATGGAAGTCCACAAAAAGCAACATATTATTTTTCCTAACACTTGTAGTTGCAGTTATAATACTGGATTCCTTGTCTTTGCTCAGTAATCAAGCAAGGACGTTTCCATGGTGCATGCTGTTGTGCTGTCCTTGCTGATCTACTAGGGTAAAGAAAGTGTTTTACATGCAGATTTAAGTGGTAAGAGAGAAAAATTAATCTTACTCCACAGTGATAGCTATATATTTTTTCTGTATCTTTAAATTTGCAATGAACGTATGTGTTGATAATAAAAATGCACTTTACAAGTGTCCTTAACCATGGTAGTGGCAACTGGCATGCCTTTATGTTACTCTGAACTGTCCCATGATCTTTGATGATTTATAGTCGATCAAAACTATGAAGCTTCTTATGAGAAGTTCTCTCAAACATGTTGTCATAATAGGATAAATTTAGGCTTTGATTTGTACCTAATAAATCGATAAGCAGAAAAAAATCTACAAAAGGCAAATGTTTCCCGACATGTCACTAACATGCACTAAGTGACAGTCATCAATGACAGTGAGAAGAATGAATGGAGGAAGTGAGTATGTAAACTCACAGCACATTTTAAGGAACAAAATTAAGGCTGCACCTATCAACTTATTCAACCTGTAACAGGAAATAATTGCCTGTGCTCAACATAGTGGGTAATATATCATGGATTTTGAATGTCTGATGGTCCACCTCTGACGTTTTTTGTCTTTGCCTTTCTCACCAAACATATCGTCAGAGTTTTTAATGTCAGAGCAGCATTTTCAGCTCATCATTTTTTTTTTCAAAAGAAATGGTTATTGGCGAACCTCTATCATTGCAATTTTTGATAACAACATTATCTCTTCACATCTCACATCACTGGGCTTCAAAACACCTCTTTAGAAACCAAGTGGTATCATCACAGGAACCATGCTCCTGCATTGTATCGTTTGGATTTGATATTTTAGTTAAAGTTTTTGTCTTGACTGCGGTGTGTTACAAAGACAATATCTCTCTTTTCACAAGTCCAAAATCTTCTCAGCAACAGCTTTCTTGAGCGCAACAGTGCAATTATGAACTCATTGTAAATTGTTGTTGGAAAATCTGCTCTCTTGTCTTTTCCCAAAATAGGTGCTCAATTAATCTGTTATTGAACCACCGCTCTCACTAATGTAAGACTTAATACCAAGAGTGGACTGACCTAAATCAATTGCAACCCTAAAACAAATGACGTATTCGTCTCAGTTTTCCCAGATGAGGCTGATAGTCTCCCCTATCAGCCTCATCTATCTTGTTTTCCTGGAAAGATGCTGCTATCCCTTGTGATACTGATGCATGTTGATGAGCAGACTACATTACCCATAATTACCATGCATCCCTTATCAGCTGTCAATCACAGGAAGGCAGCTTATTACCTCAACCTTGCATACTCAGCATATCCCTGAGTTAGTGTTCTTCCTGTGAATTGTAAGCTCAGTTTTCAAGGGTGTATCAATGCACAGCATGCTCAGAGGTAGTAGTTACTGTAGCACTGGTGGTGGTTGTTGCCCCTCTGCTTTACTATGTATGTGTGTAGGTCAGTGTGAGTTAGCTTGAGGCTTGTGTGACTGCCCTAGGCATCACATAAGGTCAGTGTTACTCCATGTAATTGGTCATTAGGGATCCTGCATTGGACTTCAGAGAACCAATGTATTTTCAAGTTGGTATATACATGCAAGATTTCAGATATATGACACTCAAGTCTACTTAGAAGTCCACGATTTCCTACCTTGTCTTATGGAGACATATCGTCCATTGGCTGCCATCAGAACCACTTGTGGATGGCTCTCCTCCAAGTCAAACAGTTCATCTTTGCCCGGCTTGGAGCACCGTCCAGATCTCAGGGTACCCGTAGGCCCCATTGGAGACAAGTACTTCCCCTCACAGTCTTTAAAGGCGAGCTTTCCACACTTCAACTCCAGTGTGTATGCCGTGGCTCTCCCACTCTGTGTCAAGAGCTTCCCATCATTACTGAGGAAGCGGCCGTCACAGGTCTTGAGGCAGTACTTTCCATCCATGTAGACAAGAGTCAAGAGTGCTGCCACGCCCCAGGGAATGTTCACATCTACTGCAATCTCCCCATCCTCCATAGAAAGGTGGGCGTATCGCCTGCGGGCCACAGACAGCAGGTTGGCCTGGGGATGCAGCGCCAGATGCATCGCCCACAGCTCTGCATTTGTGATAACCTGGGCAAAGCAGGACAGGTAGTCCCTAGAGCCACCAAAGAAGCGTAGATGCTGCTCAGACTGGAGGGCCCAGCGACCATCGGACTGAGCCACGATGAGGAATCGACAGTCAGAGTTGTGCCCATCAGCCTCGCAGGTTACTTTGCCGTCCTTGTCGGAGGCCAAGTAGCGTCCCAGGTGGCTGCGCAAGTAGACCACCTGTATATCTTGAGAGTCCTGCTCTAGAGTCCATATCTGCTTCTTCTTCAGACTGGGGGCTGATGCATTCACCTGAGGGGAAAGGAAATGTTCAAACCAACACTGTGAAACCAATCAAACCAAAGTGAAGTCTGTGGTTACTTTCTACAAGGATGCAACGCTGGGTAACCCTACACCTGCAACTGAGCGTTATCCTGAATGATAGGAGTGGATAACCTTTAACAGAGGTGTATCTGCAAAGGAGATGCATTGAGGATGAAGTGAGAATCAGTGGTGGCTGTCTTCCAAGTTGTTTGGCAGTCTTTATGCAGATCTACCCTGCAGTCTGATCTATTCTGCCCTTTAATTTTTATGTCATTGGCAGGAGACATTTGCAATGTCATTCAACAAATAGGCAAACATGCATTTGACCAGGATGTGCATACAACATGGTACAGGGTGAGACAAAACTCCTGTGGTTTGCATTGGAGTCCTCCTGAGCCTCTTGCGATTCCAAATTGCATAACCACCCATTCACTATACATTGTCGTATTTATGCATTTTATTACTTAAAATGACAAGCAGACTGAAGTGTGACCCATGAGAAGCTCATCAGTAGCCCTTTGTTTAGAAATTGTTTAAGATAGGGCCTCACTGTCAATGTAAAGGTCATAGAGGCGTAATTTTGGGGCAAAGTTATACACTGTCACTCAAGGTAGGGCGATCTTTCAGGGTGTATGCGATTGACTTCGGTAAACATGGTTGTTAGATCCAATTATCATGAGCTCTGGTTTGTACCTTGAAGCTGAAGTTCTCTGCAGTGAGGTAGCGTCCCTCATGGTTGATAAGACCGAACTGTAACTTCAGGGGATGGTTCCCATTAGCCGGCATCTTTACCTGTGGAGTCACAGATGTGGAAAATAAAAGGGGGACTGGGAGTCATACAAGTACGGGATGTCAGGAAGAGTAGCAAAGTAACAGCAGTAAGGGTTATGCCAAAAAAAAAAAGAAAAGCAAGTTGTGTTTTTTTAAGAGGTGAGGAATAAGGAGGGATATGAAGTCATGGAGAATGATGAAATGAGAGAGTATTACATGCAGGAAATCAATTCATTAAGGTACAGTATATAAAGCACTCCCAAAACCACAAACTCCTCCCCCCGCCCATGGCTTTATTATACGTTTTTCCAGCTATGGGCTCCTAAATTACTTACTGTGGTTTTGTGGCTTCCCCTCTGCAGTTTCTGCGGCTCTAATTCCAGCTCCCAGATTTAAGAGGCTTCTTTCACCAAGCGTCCTCTTGTAATTCTCTCTGACTCCCCGTCTTCTTCTCTCGCTGGCTCCGTTGATCGTGGTCTCCCTGACTCCCCTCCACCTCCACCTCGCCTCAACCTAATCAGGTTAGAAGCAGCAGACTTGAGTCAGCCTTGATCTCTCCTTAGTCCATGTCCCCTTCTCTTTCTCTGAAGACTAATTTTCCTCCCTCTCTCTGCCTGTTGCTCCCTCGTCCAGGCTCCCTCCTGGTTTTTCTTGACTTTTTATTCACCCTGAAGGCTCAATCACCTGGTCCCCCTGACCAAACCTCCCTGGGGTTTTGTTTTGTGCCCCTCCTTTGGATCACATCCAGTTCTCTGACCTCTCTTCTTCACCTTCCTTGAAGTCCAGGCTCCTCATTTGTCAGACGAAAGTTTGATCAGTGAAGAAGAACATCCTCGGCAGTCGGGCAAATTTTATGGTAGCTCACTGACGGACTCCTTCACTCTTTCCCTAAACATAAGCTGTCCATCAAAACGAAATTCGACAACAAAGAGTGCAGCTCGCCTGTGTAATCTTAAGCCTCTCCCTGTCGCTTTTGCCTCCCATCCTCTCCTTCTCTCTCTGCCTTTCTCTAACCTGCCATGTGTATAATCCTGCCTTTCTCTGCCTCTGCGCTTTATTCTGAGCCCTGCACTTCTGTGACACAGAACGACAGGTAAGTAGAAACAATACACACACACACACATACACACCACCGGGTAACCAGAGCACCCCCCATGCCTTTAGGGTAGTTGCCTGAGTGCAGCTCCACTTACTTGCCTTTGCTGAGGGTTTAGTTACACACCTTCTCTGATTGCAAGCTCTCTAGGTCAGTCCTAATGGGAAACGTGTCCAAGAGGCAGAGGGAGACGCACTTTATATCTGAATTTGGGAGACAAGCAAGAGGTAACGAGATGACGGATGATGTAAAGGCAACAATAATAAGCTTATAAACATATGGTGTTCATGAACCAATGTGTGTGCACAGCAAGTAAGCCTGCACGTGTGTGTGTGTGCGTGTTTGTGTGTGTGTGTGTGAGTGCGTAATCAACATGCCAATCAGCCTATTATAAGTCTTCTCTGCAGAGTAAACAGACGTGCCTTCTCTTGAATCCATCTAATCCTCAACCCAATCATCCCAACCTGGCTAATCTATCAGCTCCCCCCCCCTCCCCAATCCCTCTGACTCACACACATAAACATACACACATATAAATACTCACACACATAAACACACACACTGCCCCTTCTCTTTGTCAATGACTATGAACATAAACATAGACTTACTGACCCACAGCAACATACATGTTATCACTGCACATACACAAACACACACACATATACAGAAGGGGGTGGGGGTGGGGTCACAGAAAGGTCACAAGGTTCATAGCAAACACCACCCACCTAAAGATTTACTGCCCTGACCCAGACTTGAACTGCTGCACTTTTACACAAAATGTGATAAACAATGCGTGTCACACACACACACACACACACACACACACACACACACACACACACAGATCCCGAAGCACGTGAGGGCGGCAGTGTATTGGGTGCACTAACACTAAACAGACAAACAGACATCCCCCATTTGTTCGATGCTGATTGGAGATCAGCTTCTCTGTTTGAAGTCTGAAACTCTGTTGCATTAAAGCTAGATTAGAGGATGTACAAACAGCATTTATTTTGGTAGTTTTATCCCCTAAGTCTGTAATTTAAAGACAAAAACAAGAACAATATCCAAATAAACCACTGGCTTTGCAAAATATATCTTCACAAAATGCTTTCTTCTGCCCTCGCAATATTTAAATAAGAACCCATATGCTTTAAAATCTTCTGGGACTTACACTGGTATCAGATGTGAATCTATGTCTGTTATAGTTTATTGCTATTTGTGTTACAACCATTTCTGAGAAGGCAAGATCCCGTGCTGCAATCCAGGCAGTGACAGCAGCAATGAAGTGAAAACATCTTTGTTGGTTGCGAAGAATTAATTTATACCATCGGCAGAGGTAATATTGAGTCATTTGTGCTTTAGGATGTGTCCAATTTAAAGCTCAGAGTAAAAAGAGCTGAGTGAGGACAGAAATGTCAACTTAGATTTTCCTGCAAGATGCCCTGTTCACCTTGTTTGATGCTACCTTCAATGGTAATGTTCAGTTTAATGTAATTTAAAGGAAAAACTATGGTTAGTGCTTATTGACTGTGAGTTGAAATGTTCAGTTTGATGTTAAGTTGTGTAAAAGCTGATGAGGATCTCGTCTCATACCTTAGAAGTGTCAGCAACTTGGTGACACAAAACTCCAGTCTGCTTATGAACACACCTAATGATGTGCATGAATCACTTTGGAGTAAACACTCTTCCCACTCAGACAAGCCATCTGATCTCTTGTTGGTAAGAGGACGTGCAGCCAGTATGTGTGCTCATGTGAGCATATTTTTCTGTGTGTAATTGGTTCTGAAAACTTAACACCCCTTATTTGTTAAATAACACAAATAAATTGGAAATCAGATCCTCATTTGCATTGTTGAAATGTGCTTTCTTACTCTTTTCTTCTCTTCGAACACAGGAGAATGCATGTTAACACACACACACACAAGCTGCAGAGGGAGAGTAAAAAAAGGAGGTAAGGCAGGGGGAAGCAGACTGTTCACAAATCAAAAAAGTCATAGTCTGTTATTGTTATCAGCTCTATTATTTTCATTACTATCACTATTATCACTATTACTGTACTTCCTCCTCATATGTATCCTATCCCACGCATCATTAGCTTGCTCTCTGTGGCCCCCGGGGGCTTCTTCTTCGTCTGCTGATGTGCCGCCATCGGCACGGTGACGCCTGTCGATAGCCAAACAGATGTTTTTTTTTCTTCTTTTTTTCCCCTCCTCTTATTCTGGGACGGAGGCTGTGCCAGGTTCACCGTGGCAACCGTGGGATGGTGCTTTAGAAGCCATTACTGCGGTCCTCTGATGACACTCAAATAGCTATCATTACACCTCCTCCAAGGAGACACAGAGGAACGAGGAGGAGGGAGGTGAGATGAGGCAGAGGAAAAGGGTGTAAGGAGAGGAAAGGAAGGAGGAAAGGAGAAGCGGGAAGAAACAAAGGTGAAAGAGAGGTAAAGAAGGAGAGAAGGGTTAAAATAGAGGGAAAAGGAGGGAGAAAGGGGAAATTATACAGATAGACAAGGATAGGAAGCAAGTAACAGGAATAGGAGGTGCGTGAAGGAGGGATGGGAGGAAAGGGAGTGACGAAGGGAGAGAATGGGGAATTTAAAATGACCGTTTCTGAGTTAACCGCCTCCAGCCTTTTTCTACCCTATTAAGTTCTATTCTGCCATTACTTGGGACTGCGGGGTGCTGCCTCGTACCCCACAGTGTCCCCCACTCTTCTACAGACACCCCCTCCTTTACACATACACACAGACACACACACACACACGCACTCTTCTTCTCTCTTCGTCAATGTCCTCCTCCAGTCATTCTCCCCCAGTCTTCCTTACTTCCATTCTCCTCCTCATCCTCCTTTCTCCTCTTCGGAGGCTGTGAACTGAATAAAAGTAAGATCAGCTGAATCAATCTTTGAGCCTACTTCTTGTCCTTGTTGTTGTTGTCAAAACATGCTGTAAGGGTTTTGCTGTTGTCTTGATTTTGTTCACTGCAACAACAGTTGGCTTGGGTCAATTAACTTCATTGTGGGCAATGTTGAAAATGACGGAAAAACCTAGGATTTTCAAGCGCATTAAATGAAAAAAAATTCAGCTTTTCCAGTTACAAATGTTTGCATACAACACGATTCAAGGGTTCAGATCAAATGAAGCCACTCAGAAGGCCCTAACCTTTGACCAGTCCTCTCAATTCACTCACGATTAGTGTTTGTTATGTCTTTGGCATGCAAAGTTTAGAAAGGAGCTGATCTTTTCTTGTGTCACATTTTCATTTTTGGTGAATTAGGGTGAGAACAGGTGAAAATCAGGCTGAGGATGGTGACATCCACAGAGGCCTTGGTTCCTTTGAACACATCTGCTATCTGACTACAAAAAAAGCAGTTTGAAAAATGATCTAAACCAAAAGCAGCCACCATCTAGCATTTTGTTTTTCAGCTTGTTTTTAAAGTGCAGAATTGACAAAAATGTTGAAGTCTTGTCTTTGCATACGGCTCAATGGGCCCCTTTACTTGACTTTGTGTATTCTGGCTCACAGTGAGTCCATAAAATGTTAGTACAAACAATAATGAGCTGTTTTTGTTCTTGCTGCCAAACTTTTGCTCTTCTCTTATATGGCGACTGGCAAAAAGTAACATCTTCTGATTGAGTTACAACTGAGGAAAAGTCCTTGAGCCATGAAAACAACTCATGCTAATAATAAATTCAAGATTTCTCAGCTAAAGTGAGGTACAACCAGACTTCATAAACTCTGTTGAGAGGTTTAAATAGAGAGAGAGAGAGAGAGAGAGAGAGAGAGAGAGAGAGAGAGAGAGAGAGAGAGATCTGACTTGCCTAACAACAACAACATGTCCACAAAAAACGATGGTGCATTCTTTCCATGTGGAAAGTAGCCTATCAAATGTTAATTGAGCAAAAGCAAAGATGGAGCCGTTAGAAGTTAATTGTGATAGATTTATTAAGGTTAGGATTTGCCTAAACTTTCTAGCTACTTGGTTGTTTTTTTATCCTCACAAGCATCCTGAGCTGGCATACTCGTAGTTGTAATTCCCAAACCCTCCACTGAGGGGCAGTGTCAGCCTTCTCCTCAGCCTCCTTTATGAGCGCCTTGCCTATATATTTTTTGGAGGTTCAAAAAAAGCGAAAGAAGATTGATGCTTGGTTTGTCAGTGTTGGTGCCTGTATGACTGCATAGCGTGGAAGGGAAGGACTTTACTGCTATTTAAAATGGCTGCTTTTAATGTCTTCTTCTTCTTTTGAGGGCACTTCGTAGGAACTCAAAGGCGTCAACAACACGTGTAGTGTTATCAACTGTAAAACATCAATGCAATTAAAACAAGAGGGGTGGGAGGGGTGTGTTTTCCCCCCTCGTTTCAATCATTTCCAGTCCTCGTACCTGGGTCTGTTTCTCCTCCATGTAAAGCAGTCGGTACATGGCACAACAGGAGAAGCTTTGACCCACAGTTTTAGAGCCTAAATGTGTGAATGTGGGTTATACCTCACTGCTAAGCATGCATTTCTCATGTGCTTTTAATCTCATTGGTTTTCTCGCATGCTGATTTGATTACGATCAGGGCAACAGGCGCGCTTAAAAGGCTGCAGCGCTGCTCAAGCCGCCCCATGCGCTTCCCTATAGTACAGTATATTACCCTCGCTTTTCTTTAAATGTGTCTGAAACGGGGCTTTGAAACAGTCGGGATTAACTGATGTATCGCGTTTCTAAAAACAAACCGCCTCTGAATCATTCATTAATTCACATTTGGCTATTACAGAGCGGGATTGTGTTTTATGGGCAGAGCTGCTCCTTCCTGTGTGGTAGGAAAGAGTTAATACAAACGGGCTTGAACGTGATGAGCGAGGGGGGCGCTGAGAAAAACAGCGAGCCAATCGGTGACAAGATTAACACCTTACTTCGCTATGATTGGCTCAACTCCCGGCCGTTGTTGTTTGGAACTCAGCACCCACGTGGGGGAAATCGCTCCTATTGGCTGATGTTATCCACTTAAGCTCCGCCCATTGAATGTTTAATAGTTTATTGGCCAAGCTGGCGCGATAAACCCCGCCCTTCTTTTCCCAGCCTTGTTTTCCGTCCGAGAGGAAAGGAAATATCCCTCTCGCGAGCTCCATGGGCTCGAGCAGGCATCCACTGACGTCCGCTTCACATTCATCGGCAGGCGCTCGAACTTAGCTCTGACATTTCTCACCAATCTCCTTAACGGCCCGAAATAAAAAAAGAAACACGATTACTAGACATGATTTTTTAACTCAGCGTCGACTCTGTGCGCAAGGAGCTCCTCGTTGTTCCGTTTTATCACCAGTCTTTGCCGAGACGTTTGCTCTGCCTCTGCCTTCCCCTTCATTTTCTCTTCATAGAGCAGCCAGTTGCTTCGCTTTCTCCATTCACACTCATACACTCACTCTGTTTCAAGTTTGTACGTGAACTTTTGCAAGGATAGGACCATTAACCTTAAATGAATAAATTATATCACTCAAAATTAATAGACAGATCCAATTGATTGGTACAAGGAGCTTATATCTATTTATCTATCTATCTATCCATCTATCCATCTATCTATCTATCTATCTATCTATCTATCTATCTATCTATCTATCTATCTATCTATCTATCTATCTATCTATCTGCCTAAGACTGCCTGGCTGTCTAACTATCATTGGGACATAGACAATGCATATACTCATTTAATGCAGACTGTGTCATAAGACATTATTTTTCTACCTATTTTTTATCTCACAATAAAAGCAGAAAACTAAGTAAGCTAAGCAATTGGCCTTTCTGCAATAACACTTTCAATACGTTGTGGTAAGGACCACTTCTTTTGTCTTGTTGCAAACAAACCTTTCCCATACCAGTTGGTTTAACTTTACAGGCCAGTTGGTAGGTTTAATTTTGGCCACAAATTGTAAAGGCTGGGGAATGTATTTAATGGGATTGGCTAGAAAAAAGCTGCTTTCTTCATTGAAATCGAAATGCTTCATGGCTGATTTTTTTTTTAAATCAAGATTTTATCCTCTGGCACAATATGCTGGATGCAGTTATACAGACTCCCTTTTCTATTGTAGCTACGTTTTCTTCTCTAGCCTCTCGAGGACTCAAAATAAAAGTGTCTCAAAGTTGAACATGTTAAATCCAGCGCATTTGGGGCAAATTTCTTTTCAGAGACGCAAACAGGATAAGTGTGTAAAATGTGAGGCACCCAGACCACATTATAAGCTCAGAAATACGTTAAAATTCATTGAATCACAAAATCATGGGTATCACTGCCAAAAAACATGCTGTTTGTTCACTCCTAACCGTCTAAAAGCTTTGACATTGGCAAGCTGTCAGAATATAATGGAGCTGTATTTAGAGCTGTGGTGTGCTTTGGTAAAGTTCTTGTAACTCAGTTCAAATGATGAGGTGTTTTGATTTTATTTGGAAGTACGGTCAGCTTTGAAAAATTACAGAATACTCTCCAATATTTCATGTTAAAAAAAAAAAAAAAAAACACCTGAATGACCTATAGCTCTTCTGTGTAAGAAGAAAACCTGCCAGCAGAGAGACGGGGGGTTTGCTCTCTATTTGAGTTACCTCCATCTTAAATCCAGGTATTTTGTAAAACTTCAACCAAAATGTAATAAAGAATTTAACTTGGCTGTAACACAGCTTGTCTAATGTGAATTCAGCTATGACCTCTACTTACAGATTAGACACAATGTTAGTTTCTTATCACCTCATGACATGTAATGAAAAAACAGCCTTATATCTCAATTTATCAGATTATACACTTAATTATTCTTGAAGCATTTTGCTAACCTTGTCTGCGCTTGCTAACCAGGGTGTGTTTTGGGTTTATTAGCTTATTGCAAATACAACTGCCTGTGGGAGAAGAGGAGAGCGAAACTCGCAGAAAAAGGTGGTCAGCTGAAAAAAATAATAATATGAGCTGCTGAAAATCTTTGCAGAAGCTGCACAGCTGGAAATAACTTCCCCTGTTAGTATTATCAGTTATCCCTCTCAGATAAGCCTTCGAGAATGATTTCATTCATGTTAGTCTGAAAACACATGAATTTATTCTGGCTGATTTATCAGGGAACCACCAGGTTTATGTAAATCATGTTCAACTTTTTTTCCTGCTCCCTAAACTTCAGTTATTCTGATACAAATGCAAAGTCATTTTTGCTTTTTGTCACTGAAGGGCAGCTTTTTGCCTGAAATTGTTTCTTCAATGCAGCAACACTTCCTGAGCCTCACAGTCCAGTAAGGTGACTCTTAGGGGGATTTCTTCCACCAGAACATCCCTTGTCCTTCCTCCTCCTCTTGAATTGTTGAATAATGCTGCTAAACTCAGCTCAGATTCAATCTCCTGTCCATTCAGTTCACCTCAGAATCAAGATCAGTCAGCTTTTTCTCGCCTCATCCTCTGCCGGAGCCATGCTGTGGATTTAGCTCGCTTCTGATCCAGCAGCAGCGGGCGCAGCGGCCCTCGCTGTGCGGCGGCTGCAGGAGGGGAGCCAGGCCAGCGGGGAAGGGGGATACCCCCTGTGTGCGCTGGGCAATTGTTGTCGTGGCAGTGGTGGCCGCAGTGGTTGGTTGCCAGGGAGATGGTGGTTGCTTGTCTGACCCGTCCCCCTTGTGCTGTCACCAGCATTATTGATGCACGCTGCTGCTCGGCATTGTGGGAGTGCAGGAGGGAGGACGGAGAGGACAACAGTTAATGAGTTCAGGAGGAACAGGGACTATCCTCTCTAGCTGGCTCAATCTCTCCATCTTCCTGTCTTTTTCTTTTTTCCCCCTTTCTCTTTACTCTATCTCTTCCTCTCCCCGCTCTGTCTCCCTTTTCTTTATCCCTCTCCTTACTCCCTCTCCCTCCCTTCCGTCATCACCTCTTCCTCCCTCCCCCTTTCTGCTCTCAGCCTCTCTCTCAGTCTCCCCTTCATTTCTCATGGGTGTCTGTCTTGTGCGAGTGTGCATTAAGAATGTGGGTCTCTCATGATCCATCACGGCAAAATGCACTTTCCCTCCTTACACACTCGTATGCACACACACATGCACACACACCTAAATGGCATACAGCAATACACTCACCAAAAAACATGTTCTCCCACACCTTTACCCGAACAACTAACTGACTCATTCGCAACCACTCTTCTCCCTCTCACTTACACACACACACACTTACACACAGAGACACACACACATACACAGATGCTGCCCTGCTGTTACGCCTGAAGCTAGGAGAGCTAGCAAGATTAATAATGACCCCTGACTCCCCATAGACAGACCCAAATATACACAGTTTGGAGAGAGAGCGAAAGAGCGAAAGGTAAAGAGACTGAAGGGGAGAAAAAGGTGACTAAAAATACACAGTTTAGAGACAAAGAGAGAGAAAATGTATACAGTATGGAAAGTGATAGATCAGGGAAAATATGAAAGAAAGAAAGAAGTGGGGGGCCAAGCGTGCTTAATTGGGTGAGAGATTTAGTGAGGGGGACATGGGAGATTAGTACGTCAACACCATTGACTCAAAAGATGGACGACACGTCTTCATCTCTGTTGTACCAAACTGAAGCAAAATTTCCTGTGTGTACAGGGAACTGCAGTATTGACTTCCCGCCCCTCAGCCAACCAAAACACACATTTAACTCACCAATAAAACAATAAAGATCCCGCAGTTAGTAGACCACAATATACAAAAGAAAAGTCTTGGAAAGCAGATACAGAGGTATGGAAAGTTCAATGGCCCTATTTGTGATAGTTTACATTTCCTTTCACCATTCCTCCTTCCTTCTGCAAATCTGGTGCACACAGGAGCCACATATATATTTACAGAGTTGTCAGTCATGAAGCAATATCCCCTTTTGGTTTGTCAAATAAAGAATCAAAACAAAACTTATCAGAAAAAAAATGACCATTTGGACTTAAATCAGCAAGTTAAAACAAGAGGGTAATCTGTTTATCCACTTTCTGCGAATAATCAGGGCCGATTTTCAGCATCAGGTCAATATACAGTTTGGTTGAAAGCCTAGGTTATCACTTTGCTAGTTCCGGTTCTTGTTTGTGTAAAAGACCATGTAAAATAAGACCATAACGTATTTGAGTTGAAGCTGATTAATGTTGTGAAGCAGGTGATCATGTTTTACTTATTGCACAGACAAAAAGAGAGGAGACATCGGAAATGTCCGCCAACAAGCAGACCAAGGCCTGTGATCTGGGTTGTTTTAACACATTTTAGAAAAAGAGCTCATTGGCTATGTGCATAGGCTTCTACATAGGGTTATCCAGACCTGTGGGATAGGCCATGGTTCAGGGTGGACACAGAGCATAAATCAGGCTTTAATATCAGTGGTTAGCTACTCGCTAATAATCAGTATCAGCTCTGAAAAACCAATATTTGTCAACCTCCAATAAAAACTAACTGTATCAATGGAAACCATGTTTGCGGAAACTTTATCAGTCATGTATTTGGATTTAACAGTGTGATCCATGCGTAATCTGGTCGAATGGAAGAAGTTCATACCCTACACTGTAGCCACTCAGTAAGGACAGCAGTCATATCATCTGTCTTTATAGTTTATTGTCCCAAATCCAGACTCCTCTCTCAGTTCTCCAGAGGATGTAGAGTAGGAAAAGATCAAATCAAGAAATGAAATTAAATCAAATCAACGCAAGGGTGCAAAAAACAGCTGAGTGTCCACCTGAGGCTGACTGAAAGAATCTCCATCAGGTTTCATGATAAAATACCCATTTTATCAGAAAATTGAGCATGTTTACAGACTGGTTCAAAGAACATTTTTATTAATGTAGCTCCTTTTTTTTATCTGTACACACTGTGCAGTCTGTAGAGATGTTCTTAAATTAGCAAAATTAGGGGCACAGTGGAGTCGATGGACAGGCTGGTCGTAAAAAGCAGTTTGCTCTAGCTCATTTCCAGTTTTTTGGTTGACACAAAGCTACGCTGAATCAACCTTTCCAAGATGGTGACTGCCATTGTTTTGCCTCATAATGCCTCCTCAGAAACCAATGACTAACATCACAGACACTGCATATGTTTTATACAGTCCGTGGGAGTATATAAAATCAATCTGACCATCAGCCGTTGACTGACCCAGGCCAAAGTCATTCATAGCTCCATAAAGTCAAGTTGTTATGGACAACAGTTAGCGTTCCATCTGTTTTCATGCTAAGCTTTTGAGACAACTGCATTACGTTGACAAAGTCTAATTGATTTCCGTGCTAGCTGTAATTTAGAGTCAGTGTGCAGTTTATACATGTGTTTTTCCACATTAGCTCAGCATCGCTTAGCGAGAGTGATAGCAGGGGCAGTTTCTTTGACAGTGTGCAACGACCCCTCACTTTCTTACAGGGGAGCCCTCTCACACAAGGTTTTTTTATTCAGCTGTCTTTATTTTTGTTAATAACCATACACGCACAAACACACACGGACACACACAGAAACACACTCTACCAGGAGCGAAATGTGGACAAAATGCAAAAACACGACATGGAGTGACATAAACACACACACATACACACACACACACACACACACACACACACACACACACACACACAAACAGAAGCACGGCATGGAGTAATGTGTTTGGCTGAACTATTTCATTCATTACTGTTGGAGGCCCTTTGTGATGAGGGCATTTTTCAGGTTGCTAACCATTATTCCCTCTGGGCCTCAGGCTCATCAAGGGACCATGTGCGTGTGTGTGTGTGTGTGTGCGTGTGTGTGTATGTGTGTGTGTGTAAGAGAGAGAGTGAGAGATTTACACAACATTATGGTTATGGTTATGGTCTAACCAAGCAGTCAGATTTTTTCTTTCAATTCTTCAGGGGGTTCACGTTGCCATTTCTGACTGTACTTAATGCTCCCTCCCCATTTGTCAACACCAGCCCGAGCAGCTCCAAGCATGTTTGTTTTGCCATGAGAGGTTTTTTTGCACCTCCATCATAACCTGAAATATTGCTGAATGTGCTTTATCCATCAACACCAAGAGGATCTAAGAGAGGGGGGAGAGAGAGAGAGGGAGGAAAGAGAGAGAGAAAGCGAGCGAGCTGGGGAAAAGAAACAAGTGTATGCTGCCATGTCACTCATCTGTGCCCTGATGTTCTTTCCTCTCTTCCCCCCCTGTGTATTAAAATGTGTTTACACAGTCCTTGGATCAACTATAACACAAATTACATGCACGTAGAGATATAAACTCAAACCAGATGGCTTTGCTTCTGCTCTGAATAATGGTTGCTGTTTGGATCCATTTTCATGGCCTCGTCCTTGCTGTCGCCCCAAGAATAAATTAATTCATTGGTTTATTCTCTGTTTCGATTGTTTGCAGAGGAACATTGGTTTTCTGGCCAGTGGGCTAATGTCTGACTGTAACACAATAAGTATTTGAAATCTGACGAGGGATAGACTGAGTGAGAGGCAGGAAGCCTTCGTCATCGTCATCAGAAACTCTAACCCTGTTACATCACCAGGCTAAAAATGGCCTGAATTAAAAATTGTGATTGGGTCACAGGTACAAAAGCACTACAAGTGAAAATGAACCCAAAGTGCACTGAGGGAACAATTTTATCACGTCCTTGAGGATGAATTTAAAGCTGGTCAAGATCAGCGAGTCTACATATGGTGTTGCGGAACATTTGGTCTGTGTTCATTTTAAGAACCAAGCTGTTTTACTGATTGTGTCTGTTGCATGCGTAAGTAGTGAGATCTTTTTGTCTTAAAACTTCACCCTGCCATCTTCAACAATAAAACATGAAACTCCCAACAAATCTAAATGAATCAAATTTAAATAAAGGGCTTTCTGCAGTGTCACTTTGTCTGATGCCTGCCCAAGAACGTCATTAACAGACATTAAAACTGACACAGAAACGGTCAACCTTGTCTCTTCTGCAGACCATATGGAGGTATCATGGATTTCAGTCTGAATCATGACTGACTAAAAACCCCTAACAGATGCTTTTAGTAAATAAACCTTACTGACGTCACTGAACCACTACCACAGAAAGGTGTGACATCAGTCATGTGGCTTAGTTCACTTCTAAGGCATGACATGGCTCTGAATTACATCACCAGCACAAATGTCTGTTGTCTATTGTGACAGTATTTTGGCTTCACCACAGGCTCTCTTCGTAGCTTAATCCTGACGCTTTATCCTAGACTTTTGAATCCAAAAGAATAAGTGACCAGGGGAGGAGACTAGCACAAAACTGCACATTTGATCCCTTTGCACCTCACAACTATCAGCAGTACAATAGGAGGTTCAATACTACCATACAGGCAGCTGGCTCGATGATGACTGGATGACGCTAGAAAGAGACACACATCTGCACTGGAACTGCGCATTGCTGATCGGTATGGAAGTCTTCACGAGGGAGGACAATTCAAGCCTTTTTCTTTCTGGGAGCCCTCAAAAACAGACTGCATCTCATATACTGGTGCAACTCTTATTATGAATTTTATGGTAATTGCTAATTAAAGGGATATTCCGGCGTTAAGTTCAGTTAGGTTCAAACACACTGTAACACAGAGTCAGACACCCCGTCGAGAGATTAATGTGTCCGACCGCTTGCTTCTCTAGTTATACCAACTTTAGTAACAACAGCAGATAGCAATACAGAGAGTCACTCACTCAAACAAAACGCCACTCTATAGCCATGAATAATGCTCAGAACAGCACCTAACTTCATCACTGTTACATATAGGGTCCCAGCCATAGTACTAGCCACCAAACACCTTTTTAGCTTTGACTAATTTCTTTAGCAAAGAGACTAAACACAACTCACCCACTCTCTTCCAGCAGCTGCTTGTTTGTAGCAAGACCACAGGCCAGTCCATTACGGACTGCTGAGGGGTGACACAGCTTAAGGAAGAACATTTTATCATTACTTTATCATTTCCTTGAAGTAATAATCATTATATTAATCATTTTGCACTGCAGACGTGGTAGTTCTTCTGCCTTAGTGTCTCTAATGTTCCTTGCGCTGCGTCACCCCGCTGCAGTTGATGAACTAGTCTAAGGTCTCCATACAAACAAGTGGCTGCTGGAAGAGAGTGGGTGAGTTGTGTTTAGTGTCTTTGCTAAAGAAACCAGGCAAAGCTGAAACGATGTTTGGTGGCTAGTGCTCTGGCTGGGACCCTATACGTACTGTTGATGAAGTTAGGTGCTGTTCTGAGCATTATTTGTGGCTATAGAGTGGCGATAGAGTGATAAAACTAGAGAAGCAAGCAGTTGGCAACATTCACCTCTTGAGGGGCTGTCCAACATTGGGTTACGGTGTGTTTGACCCTAACTTAATTTTACGCCGGAATATTCCTTTAAATGGGATGTAAACTGTGTTTTCTATAATACACAACAATTGAAGAAACTTTACCAAAGTGGGGATCTCCCCCCTTGAGGCTTGTGCAATATGGCAAAGTTTGAGTTCTTATTAAAGCCCTGAGGAGAATCAATCATGATATCTTAAAGACCTATAGTTTGGTTTTGAAGTCAATGTCGAAGTCACACCAGAAACGCATGTTTAAATCCTTCTTAACCAAGAGTTATTCACTTACTCTGGGTCCAGGAGTGTCAAAGCTGAACTGAAGTGCCCAGAATATTCATTGTTAATATCTCCTCCGATACGTGTGTAAGAAAGACTGAATACCAACACGGCACATTTGCAATAAAAAGGTGCAAAATAGTTTGCATATTTTAGTGTTGTGTATGCTGTCATCAACCAGGAGAGCTCCTAAAGTAGCTTGTTAGAATCCAACAGGTTAAAATTTATTTTTCAAATAGTAATGTTTCCTTGAGCCAATATAATGTACAAATTCTGCTTAACTTTTCAGCAATTTGAAAAGAAAGGGAAATATTTGACATATCTGGCTACACTTGACCTGTTTCTTTCACTTTCAAATTTCATTTTAGATATATTTTATTGAAGTCTTTTCATTTGAACAAAACATCAAAGGCGTTTCAATCTTCACAGCTGCTTTGTTGAACTGAAAAGTTTGAATACGTTTCCATAGATGTCCCTGAACAATATTGTTGTACTGTGTTACCATGATTACATGATTTGATGGCTTTGTTTCATGAAAATGCTCATTGGAGATCTATGGGTTGATAATACATGACTGCAAATGTATTGGTTAAGATAAAGAAAAAATTGTTCTACAATAAAAAGGGTTAAAAAATGTAATAAAAGTGGGGTTTTTTTTCGGATAACAGAAGAGTCTTTACCAGACAGTGATTGATTTTTTGGTGCACCACAGCTTTCAAAAAGATGTCTGAATCTTTTAGGTGTTAATTTAATGGATGAAAAGGTTGAGGCCAAAGTGGTTTAATGTCAGAGCTCAACCACACAGATAGACAGACATTTACTGTGAGAGGAAAACTTCTGAAAACTGTGGATATACACTATTAAAACGGACCGAGGATTTTAATCAACCTCTGGACACCTCTGGACCACAATGTCAACCAACACTGTGCAGTGAGAGCATCAAAAAGAAGGTTATTAAGGCTGTTATTCACAACTTCCTGTTTCCAAGGACAACACACAAAGATGCATTTAGTGTAAAGACCACAAAAACCCCGAGCAGGATGATCTAATGAGCTGTCTGTGTCTCTCTTATAGGTGTCATGAGAGTCTATTTGGACCTGTGCTTCCTTTGTATGACTTCATAACAGGAGAGGAATATGAGGCCGTTTTAGTGCATCATTTCCCCTTATTTCAACATGATGATGTGCACACAGCTGGAGACACTAAACAGAGGTTTCATGACCTGCAGAAAGAAATCAAAAACCCTCAAATGGGTAAGAGCATAAATCTGCCTCGGCCCAATAATGTTGAAAAGCATAAGACACAACATTTAGGCCATCCAAATACTCTACTAAGAAATTTAAATACACAAAATAAACAAAAAATAATGTCCATTAAATAGAGCTACTCACTTTAAACCATTTTTCAGCTGCTGTGGCAAAAATCTTAATGACCAATGACTTGTATTTAAAAGTAAAAACATACAGTTTAATTAAAACTAAGATTTCTCCTCCTTGATTATATCATGCAGTCAAAAGCATTTCCTTCTACATCACTGCTCGAAGTGTAATGAATTTCTTAGTTTATCTTATCCATCTAAATTGAGTTTCTCGCCTTTCTCTTAGTTCAACAGGTCTGAATTTTTCTTAATCACTACACTTTCTGTACTACTTAACATAAATTCAACCAAATTACAGGCAAATGAAGTAAAGACAGTTGATTTAATGTACTGTACGCCCTTACAGCCAACACATTGCACATATATTTAGAAAACAGTGTCCCGTATACACAGAGTTTTGCTGATAGGATTAAGTTACGTTTGTTTTTCCTGTCAGGTATATGGGATAAATGCTAATTGGGGTTATTGAACAAAAAAAGAGGTAAACTTCTGTGAAAATCTCAAAAAAGTTTCAGAACAGAATATCAAAGCATGCTCTTCCTATTCACTAAGTACACTTAACCCTGTTTGTGACCAAGAAACACTGATAAATAATACAAACTGACTGATTCTCACTACTGTTTGTATTTTTCAACAAAAGCCTGCGTTCAAATACATGCTGTAAAAAAGGACAGGAAGACAGAAGTTTACCACTGTGTGAGAAAATACTTCAGCATAAGAGTGCAAGAACTAAAGGATATCATCATCGGTAGTGAATAATATCATTAGAAAAAGGCTAAAGCCAAAAACAAATACTGGATGTCTGTGATCTGGATGTCACTGTATGAAACGCAGACATGACTCTATAGTGGAAATCACTGCAAAATCACTTCCAGAAACCTCTGTCTATTGATGCAGACAGGTATGTCCAAAAATGCTGGTTGATACAAAACATGTGCCAGGCAGATGGAAATAAAGTGCAAAAAATTATGTGTATATGTTTATACAAAGACATTAAATAGTTCTCTCTTTTTCTTCATATTTTCACACATTATCCACCCGATGCATGGTAGCAATACACTAAATAAAAGGAATCAACCACTGTTTGGTAGCTCATCATTTAGACAAATTTGGATGAGTTGTTCATGAGAAGTACTTCCTTCCACATCCATATACAGTATGAGTTTTTGATAATTTAGTGAGTAATGTGACTGAGAAAGGGGGCGGGGAGTGTGAATAGGTGCCTTCCACAACTGCATCATCAGAGACTATTTTCACCAAAACAGCACGGCTGATGAGGCTGTAAGTATTTTCTTATTATCGTACACCCTAATGTTTGTAATACTCTTTATTCAAACTACAAGATCAGACAGTGTGAGTGGTTGCTGTGGTCTGCAAGTTGGATCTAATTTGAACCTGTTTTCTTTGTAGCTTAAGATAGACCGCATCTTAAAATGAATATGAAGACAGCTATAACAAATGATTTTTTTTTCTTTTCGAGTGAAGTGGCTTTTTAAATTTGTATAATCTAAAAGATTTTTATTAAGTTAAGTCTGTGTGACTGTGTCTGTGAATGTAAATTATATGTAACATTTCTGGATTGAAAATAGATCATTTTTATGCTCATGGTTTACCCTTAAGCACGCGAGTATCTGCCGTTTGGACTTGAGGTAAATGATTTCGCTCATTATTTTATTTTTCTTTCCAGCAAATTTAAAACAACGAACGATGTGTGTGGCGACAGCAGGAAGTGTATTTTTGTCCCTTCTGGTGCTGTTTCCTGTGGCAGGTACATCTCACTTCATATTGTTGCTGTAGTTACAAAGTTTTAGACAGTCACCTCATGATGTCAGGAGTATTAATGCACTCACACTGGGTCTTTCATTTCAGTTCAAGGATCCCCTCATTGGTGTGTAACCTACAAACACAGAGAGACCTGTGGCTTAGAGGGCTCATTTGTAAATCTTCCGTGCACCTACCCCAAAAATGTTGACATCCGAATATCAGGATGGTCAAAAAAGTACAACCCTAACAAGAAACCCAAGCTCTTAAAAACGATTCCTGCTTATGCCTCCCGCTTCGAGTCCATTACATTTGGAAACAGTGACTGCACACTGAAGCTTACAGCCCTAAGAAAGAGCGATGCATCCACATATTATTTTACCTACATAGCAAGAAATGAATCAGGACAGCGCTTCACATGTTCAGGTGATCCTGGTGTGAGTCTTCATGTTTTTGGCTCTGCTGTGGGAGTCCTTGTGGAGACGGGCATTAAGGGGCAGAACATCTCTACGTCAGACTGGCAAGTGATGGAGGGTCAAAGGATAACTCTGACCTGTGTCCCCACCTGTACTACCAATCAAAACTCCACCCCAGGTTACACCTGGTACAAAAACAAAAAGCCTTTAAATGGCAGGAGAGCAAACTCACCTCTTCTGTCTTTGGACCCAATCAGCAACCAGGATACAGGTAGTTATGTCTGCTCCATGATGGGCCTTGAAAATCTCAGCTCATCTGCCATCAAACTCGAAGTCATACAGCGACCCAGCAACTACTGCACAGAACAAACCCTCAACTACGACCAGGCACCAACAAACAGAGGCATATTTACAATCTCTTTGATTCTGATAGCCAGTCTCTGTGCTGGGTTTGCTTTTGGAATAACATCGACTGTACTTATTTTCATGCAAAAAACAAAGGTTGAGAAGAAGAGGAGGCAATGTGTAAGTTCAGTTTGCAGGCGACCTGACCAAAGCAGTGATGTCTACATGGCTCTGGATATCAGCGCCATGTCTGCTGAGTATGACATGCTGAATACAGTCGAACACTGCTCAGCCACTGAAACTGTTTACGAGAACTTAGATCTCAGGAAATTAACAAAGTGAAGGAAAATTCATTACATGTTGTAGGGTTTTGGGCAGGTATAACTTGCAATTTTCACCATTTCAGTAAAACTTGTTGGCAAAGTAATTTTTGATGTCAACCCAAAGTTAGATCTAGTTTGATGGATATAAAATCTGTGAAAAATTTTGCTGTATATTGAAGTATTGCTCAAATTTTGAGCTGATGATAGAGCTTTCGTGTATGGAGTAACAATTAACTCATCAATTTTACTGTAATTCTTAACATTTTTTAAAGTCTCTGGACCAATATGTTAGAGCAACAGAACAAGTGACTCACATAATTACTGCTGAAATGCGGTCCAAAGTGTGTGATCAGCACAGGCGTGTCCAAGGATCGGCTAAGGGTGGCACAAGCCCTCTTGAATCCCAATGGCCACCACTGGTGCCATCAAACAGTCTTGAACAATGACTGGCTGGATTTGGCTTTAAATCAACTGGACTGTGTTGTTACAGAGATACTTTTGCAACATTAAGTTAGAGCTTTCAAAATTCATGTATTAATATTGCATTGAGGCAAATGCCTTTTAATGAATGTAATACAAGCAGACTCTGTGGTCTTTATTGTACAGTTTATGATATGACTCTTTCCTCCTTTTTGTTCTTATGATACTCAATGTTGGAATCTAATCACTCTGTAATGAGGGTTCTGCTGCTCATGTTTGATGATGGAGTATAGCACCCTGTATGTTTGATGCTAAATTCTGTCGAATAAACGCTTGTGTTGATATACCCACTCCGTTGTCTGTAACTCTCTGATGCTAACCTGTTATCCAAGAACGAGCCTCCTTTAGCTGAAATGGGCAAAGACAGAGATGTTTTGAGTGATTTGGGGGATTCACGGCCTTGCCAGATGGTTCTCTCTACAAAACTAGATAAGTGAACGAAGTTACCACCAAAAGTTCTTCTCAAATACCACCTGCTTGCCAAGCACACAGCTGATTTTTTGACTCTTACTAAACTACTCTACTGTTTGTCTTATTCTTAAAGTTTTAAATGGGCTTGCCATGCTATTTAACTTTCAGGATGCGAATACTGGAGCATGCACCGAACTCTTGAGCTAGTTATAGTTCGATTGAGCCACAAACACGACAGAGATATTGATCCCCAACTGCCTTATCCAGGTATGTCAGTTCATCTATGAAGAGTTCAATTTGGTGCAATTTCAGTCAGACTAACCTGTTAACATGTTTTTTGTAGTCCAGTTTCAGTCGGACAAAGGCGATATATTGATTTTTTTTTTAATAACATGTAAACATACCGACTGCCTTGTGGGTTTTGATATCCCTCACTACTTTCTTTGCCTCTCATAAACAAAACAATAGATGAGCGGTCTCTCTTTTCAGCGGACTGATTTGATGTATGACATGTGGGACCAGGATCTTCCTTGCATCGCTTTTGCTATTAAAAATTGATAGCAATGGTCAAAGGGTTATGACCAATCAGAATCGAGAATTCAATACAGTCAAGAGACACAGAGCTCAGTCCTGTTTGTAGGGACAGACACACACAAACGCACACACACACTAACCTTTGTCCAGGATTAAGACGTGCAAGGTGCTCTGAAAACACATCCTTTACCTTTTCAAACGTGTCATCACTCCCCCCTTCTCTCTCTCATTGTTTCTCTCGCCTCAGTTTGTGTATGTGTGTATGTCCTCGATACCTGAATGTACCATCATCTGCTGTGTGTGCGTACTCAGTGGCAGCAGCTAATGACATAAGTAGGCGCACATGTTCAACAATGTATTGGTGCATGTAAACATTGTACGCTGCAGCAGCCTCACCCCTCCCCTCCTCCTCCTCCCCATCCCTCCCTTACTCCCTCCCTCTGTTCCTACATGCTTTTATCTCTGCTCTTATCTCCTGCCCTCTAAATCTGCCCGTCCATCGCCTTCTGCCTCTTCTGTCTCTACCTGCCTTGATCGTTTTTATCTGTCTCTCTTCCCCTGGCGTTCAAAACCAGCCCTGCTGTGTTTTTCTATCCTTCCCTCTTTCCTCTCTTTATTAAAATTTCCTCTCTTTTTTTTTGCTTCTCCTCCACTCAAACACCTCCACCGGCTTTATTTATATCTCTCTGGTACTCCATCTGTCTGATGATCTGCCTGCTTTTTCAGCTATTCATCCACCATCGTTCTGCTGCTGATGTTGTGAGCTTGAGATGGTTAATAAACAGAGCCAAAGCAAGGAATCCTAAAGGTTGCCGTCTTTGCATGCAGGAGAGTAAATTATCAATACCTTGTCTGTTTCTTCTGCCTTTAGGAAAGTATTGCTTCCTAAAGGTCATGCATCCATTTAGATAACATTTAGGCCTTAAGTTAAACATAAATAGGTTAACTAAGCTATTGTGGAGAAACATTTTCCTATTTCAGTTACCGCTATTGCTGAACGTAACAACTGTGGCACAGTGGTTTCCAAAGAGGCGTTACACAGGCCAAAGACAGCAGTCATTTTATTGGTAATGCTGACTCCAACCAACTTTTTTCAAATCTAGAAGCCAGCGCAGAGTGGGTTTGTTAATACTAAGGAGAAAACAGAATAGACTAAGCTCTCTAGCCCCTGACATCCTCCACAAGAGGAATGTTCCACCACCATCAAATAAGATTTTTTAAAATTAATTTAGAAATTAACAAATTGTTAAACAAATCATAGTACATTTTTTATATCTAGAGAGCAAAATGAAGACGCTACAAATATGTAAGTTACTGATTAGTCATATCCCCTTGACTAAGACATGAAATGCGAGGCTTGCAGTGTACCGTCCATCTAAACCTGAGAATAAGTGTTAGGCTAGTCTCAGAAAAAGCAATAAACAAAATGCAGAAGGAAAACTTCTGAAGTGAAGTGGCTGAAAATAATGTTGTTTTAAAGGAGATCTTTTCAGGAGATGCTTAGAGTCAAAGAGCTTAGACCTGCATGATGAGCAGGACATCCAAATCAAAGAGCACTCCAACAGAGGGAAAAAGTTCACCTGATCATTTTCAAGGAGCTTTTTTAGCTTGTTTACTTTTTTCACTAGCTCCATTACTCCAAATGATACATTACCGCTAGAAATTAAAGGAGCAGTTTTGAGCGGTGTAGCCAACAGTTCAAGCCAGACCAGCAAATTACAACGAAGAAGAATAAGACAAAGTCCAAAGACTGAAACAAAAACCAAAGAAGACCATCAAGGAGATGGGGAGTTTTCTCTTTTTTTGTGGGGGGATTTTAATCGACAAGTCCTTTTTTTTTTCATAACATGAAACCATGGTTACACAACATTCTTGTTTCTGCAGGAGGGAGAGGAGTGCGCCATAGTTTTCCACTGTATTAAAATATTACCCCTCAAAGGGTACTTCATTCAGCCAGTGTGACTTCAAACAGAGTTCGCTATGAAAAAGTAGGCCCAGAGTCAGGTTCTAACTTGGCACATGAGGTTTGATATCTTTAATGAAAGTCTTTCTGGTTGTTTCAGTGTGTTTGGCCTCCTCAGCTGCCACAAAATGGCGATACAAATGTGATGAAGAATCACAAACAATAGGTGCAGAAACAAAGAGGAAATGTTTTGAAAAGATTCACCTCGTTGTGGAAATCCCCACAAAAAACCTGTGCTCCCTCCCTTTCCCTTTACCCACTACTCCCCCCCTCCCCCTTCCCATTACCAATTAGCTCTGAGGCCATAATGGATGTTGTTTGCCGTGTTTCCCTGTCAGTGGATTGAATTAGCGCCTCTGTGTGTGCACATGTGTATGTGTGCGTGAGTGATCATCTTATCGGCTCTTAGTACAGTAATGAAACACAGTTATAAATGGCTGCAATCCTGTTAACAAAACAGCACCTGAGTGTAGCCCGCTAGATAAATCAGGCCTGGGCCGCCGCCACGTCGACCCTGGCGGCTGTTGCTAAGGCGCAGAATCACCGGGAGACAATTGAATCATTTGCTCGGTGTCTGATAAAGCATCTGTCTTTAACAACCGGATCACTGCTATAAAAAATAACACTGTTTGTCATCGGGTGTTTTTCTCCTCATGGGGTTCAGGAGGAGTCTGGTTGGTTTTGTAATCAAGTTGATTTTACGGTAAAACGGCAGCATATTTCTTTGTTTTGCAACATTTTATACCCAGCCAGTGCTCTGCTTCTGGTCTTTCTTCATCACACCATGGTGATATGGGTTGTCATGCATGCACTCCTCTCTCTCTCTCACACACACACACACTCACATTCCTCTGTCTTTGTGCTGGGGGACTATTAAGACAGTGTCTAATGCAGCGACATACTCCAGCGCTCACACACTTAATTGTGTTAATGTTTGAGTTCACATAATCTTTCAGGGCTGTCATTCTCTCAGATTATTCAGCCCTGTTTTCAATTACTGAACGCCTTGGCACTGTAGGACCAAAATGCATGATATACCTGCCCCTGTCTGTGTGTGCATGCTCGTGGGAATGTGTGTGCGTGTGTGTGTGTTTGTGTGTGTGTGTGTGTGTGTGTGTGTGTGTGTGTGTGTGTGTGTGTGTGTTTTCATGCATTGATTGCTAAACCAGAGGAACAAAGATTGAGTATGAAGTAGCATGAATTATTTTTTATGCTGCCTTTTTATCAGCTACTTATTTTGCTACAAGACTCTATCTGTGTGTGTGTTTGTGTGTGTTTGTGCATGTGAATAGTGTGTATTCAAGCTTGCACACTCACTTGTGCATGTGTGTGTGTTCATCTGTGTGTTTATACAAGCAGCTCAGGCTTTCAACGGGCACTCGGTTGAAAAATTGAGCAGCTCCTCCTCCAGCTCGTTGTGAAAGCTGTCTGCAATAGTTTTGGCTACAGTCACCGATCGCACCACATCATCAGTTATTGTGAATATGAGCAGAGTGAACTCTGTTAGCGTTTCGACACACGCACTCGCACACACAGTCCGGGCAGTGAGGCGTGAGTCAACTGTTTGAGAGCTAGAAAAATAAAAGGCAAATAGCAGTGTCACTACGTGCTGAACGGAGCCCACTCAAGCA